AAAAATATAATAAATTATATATAATATTTTTTTAAATAAATTAAAATTTTATATTTAATTTAATTATTTTAATTTAAAAGTTAATTAATTATTAAGTTTTTAATTTAATTTATATTAAAAAATAAATCTAAGGATTAATTAAGTAAATATTTTAAATAAACTTTTTAAATATAGTTTATACGTGAAATTTATTTTTTATTATTATTTTAAAAATTTAAATTTTATTTAAAACTTATTACTTATAAATAAACCACTTTAAAAATTATTTATATTATATTTAATTAATTATAAAACTTTAATAATTAATTTTAATTAATTAATAATCAAGTTTTTAAACCACCTTTCCTATCCCTGCACCCAATCAACAGCCATGCTGTCCTGGAGCTATTAGTGTCACACAACTTTAGGGCCGGACTTTAAGGGATTACTGCGATAGGAAATTTTTGATAAGGAATTTTGCTGGGAGCTTAAAAGTTTAGATCCACAATATCCCTTCGTAAACTCAGGGTACAATCAATCTAAATCATTCTTGGTAGCCTCAAGAGCTGAACAGTGCCTTAGGGTAATCATTACGTGATAGATATCATGCTGCATAAGTTGAACTTACTTGAGAGACATTAAGAAAAAGGCTAGAAGGGCCCACCTAAGTATCAAAGCCTCAACTCTTAAGCGTACTACATGTTGTGTACCCAGACAAGCACCTATGGTAGTGCTAACTAGTAACTAGTAACTATCTACCTACCTTAACTCTCTGAATACGTATTGGGCGATCCAATCCGATTTTCTATTGTCAGGACTTAACGAGTCAAACTTACGTTCTTACCAAACGGATAGCATAGCCGGAACCCGACGAAGGAAGACCATTTGGTCCAATAGTTATCAGAGGAATGTCTAAAAGGGGGAATGTCCCCACTATTCTCTTCGGCGGTTTTGGACCCATCTTTCAATCTATAAGTCTCTCTATCCGCGTCGTGAGACTTTTTATAGGTAAGATCGACCATCGCCTACTTAAGTTCAGGACGGGACATGCAATTTAGGCAGATTTCTCCTTGGAGAATGACTGACGTCGATGTCATCAATGCTTGAACGTAACGTTCCTAACCGCTCCAAACTTGAACCGCCGAACACTAATTCCGTTCATATGGAATTTCATGCGATCGGCACGTCCTGCATGTAATGATACCTGGTGACCAGTATCCTTGGCATACATTGAGATATTATTTGATCTTGGTCAAGTTCTATATAGTCTCCCGAACTTGTCTCACTTTTCGTGGATTCGAGTAGGAACAACATCGTTCATCAAATCCATAAACGTTTACAGAATGAGGACTATCGCCGCCGCACTTGCGTTAGCAGCTACAGCTGCTAGCCACGCTACATTCCAAGAATTGTGGGTTGGTTCGGAAGACGAGGTGTCGACCTGCGCTAGACTCCCCGTATGTTGAAGTTAAACCCTGAAATATCCCCAGAGATAGATCGTGTTGGTCAAATGCTAACTCCAGATAAGGCCAACAATAACCCGGTAACTAACGTGGCGTCAAATGATATTCGTTGCAATGTCGGTGGTACTACAGCTGCGGGCGCCAAATGCAGTGTAGCTGGTAAGAATACTATCTTGGCTAGTGACTTGCACATTCTAACATGTTTCTAGCTGGCGAATCTGTCACGGTGGAGATGCATCAACAGCCCGGCGACAGAGACTGCGTATGTGAACCTAGAATTGCCCCCTTTTATTCTACCTATCACGAGAGTCGTAGCTCTGCTATCAAGCAGATCGAGGGAGAGCTACTCTCAGGGCTTTTGGGCCCCTTGTCTAGAATAACTTTTGCTAACTCTCTTATGTGCATCAAAGACGAAGGAAGCACTCGGTGGCAACCACTTCGGTCCCGTTATGGTATACATGAGCAAAGTCGACGACGCCTCCTCGGCCGACGGATCGTCATCGTGGTTCAAGATCTTCGAGGACGGCTACGACTCCGCCACCAAGACCTGGGGCAACGACAAGTTGAACAAGAACTGCGGCAAACAAGAAGTGACGATTCCTGCCGACATTGCTCCCGGAGACTACCTTCTACGTGCGGAAACGATCGCCCTACACACGGCGTCTCAGGCAAACGGTGCCCAGTTCTACATGACTTGCTACGTATGTAGATACCTCTCCAGCTACATTGTTCGCCTACTAACGCGATTAAATAGCAACTCACGGTTACTGGTGGAGGATCCGCGAACCCAACCGGTGTCAAATTCCCGGGCGCATACAGCGCCAGCGACCCTGGGATCAAGGTTGACATCTGGGGCAACAGCTTTACGGAGTACACGATCCCTGGCCCGCCTGTCTACTCCGGCTGAATTCCTCCGATGATGTTATCTGGAGTGTTAGAATAGGGGAAGAGAGGAGCTAGGCGGTTGAGAATTGTATGTATCGCCATATCGACGTAGTGCACATAGTTATCTATCCAATGATCTACAGTAGATTTGGAATATTATGCTGCTGTGATGTTATGACTAACTGAGAATATTCCAAAGTGGTAGTCTGATATTAATGTCTACCCACAATCCAATCAGTAGAAGCTCACCCTGGGAAAGAGATATTACTTTCCGCTATTGCATAATAATGTCATGAGTAGTTCGAAATTATAGGACACATCTATACTATCGTTTTGTAATTGACTCTAAGTTCAAAAGATCATCACGGAAATCGAGATTAATCTGAAAATATCTGCTTCGGTAACTGATACCCTTGTAGTCTCGGACCCAAGGCAATCAATCCCACCGGCTCTGGAAAGCACTCTCCCACCGGGCCCTTAGTCTGTAGATATTCTCGGCGGTATTAATCAACGGTTACAAACGGCTTTCTGGATTTGGATTATCTAAGCTAGCCGTAATAGTTGATATTTTAAGAGGCCTGGGTACTTTGAATGAAATTGAGGAAGCTTCTATTGCGCGTTTTGAGGTTTCAAGTAGGCGCCATGGAGTAAGCAGGAAGAGATCAGGAAAGAGGAGCAGGGAATTTTCATTAACTTGAAAAACCACGGTAATCGGACCGTGTATTAGACAAGTTGGAAGTTTGATATATCGGTTAAACAGGCTTACCTATGCAGAAGACTTTTAAACTGGAAGGGTGCGTAGATTTTTAAATCCTGTAAAAAGCCCTGAGAGCTGTAGGTCCACTACAGCGCCATGTGCCCTATGATTACAGCGCAGTCTTCCACTACAAGTAGGCCTGTGATCGTGGATGGATCCATAGTTAGATCCGTCGTGTCGGTAGATCGAGCGTGTTCCAACACCACGCTAGCCTAATCGCTAGTGCTTCGTACCTGTGTATGTATTCGCTAAAGTGGGGGATCGCCAGGGCTTCAGTGAGCTACATACCTGGTTCCATGTTCGTGTAAGCCAGGTTGGCCAGGGTCACCCCGCCCATATGAAAACCGCTACCCCAAGAACGCCGATGACAGACCCTCGAGACCTTCAAACTTCTTTTGCGCCGATTTCCTGGGTCCTTCTGTAAACTCATACGAGAATAATTATCATAGGCCTCCCGCACGGAGATGGAAGAAGGGCATCGATTTCTACTCTGTAGGTATAGAGTTCATGCTTGTATACTCTCCATCTGCCCAAAATGCCTTGAGCGATATCTTGTTTTGCCCATGGGCTTGACCTAATCCGATGTAACCGCATGATAAGACGAGCCGGAGGGTGGGCTCGAATCCTACGAAAGGTAGGTATATGAGTAAGCGAAAGTAATCTCTACTTCATTCTGAACTAGACTCGAACTCTCCTCCTTTAGTTGCCGTAACTATCACCACTGATCGAAACATGGCAGAGAATCAGGAGGAGTTAAAAGGTGCAGATTCGCCTTTGCCGACAGCCACTCGGGAATTGGGGGCTGTAACGGATGGAGACACGGAGGTCGTCTCGCGTGGTACCAAGCGAGGCATCAAGTCGCGCCAGGCACAGATGCTTGTTATAGGAGGCACTATTGGCACCGGCCTTTTCGTAGGCACGGGGCAGGCATTGGCCATTTCGGGACCTGCGTTTCTCTTCGCCGCATACGTAGTGATATGCCTCCTAGTTCAGGGCATCGTCACCGCTATGGCCGAGGTCGGTGCCTACTTGCCGGTGCAAGGCATGTCCGTGGCATACTACGGGAACCGGATCGTATCCCCTAGTCTTGGATTTGCGCTGGGGTGGATGTATTGGTACATCTGGGGGTTGAGCGTCGCCTACGAGATCACCGCCGCCGCCGTTGTCATTAACTACTGGCCGAACACGGTACCGGTGGCAGTGTGGATCACGATAATGTTGGTTGTCATAGTGACCCTAAATTTCTTCCCCGTAAAAGTTTACGGGGAATCGGAGTTCTGGTTTGCTTCGATCAAGGTCTTCGCGATCATCGGCCTCTTGGTTCTCTCCGTGGTCTTGTTTTTTGGCGGCGGGCCAGACCATACTCGTTTGGGTTTTTGGTATTGGCAAAACCCTGGGGCGACTAAAGAATACCTCGTTGATGGTGCTGGCGGTCGTTTCTGTGCTTTTCTTTTCACCCTCGTCTACTCGTGCTTCAGCTTCAACTTCAGCCCCGAGTTGATCATCATCGCGGCAGGTGAGATGAAATCTCCTCGCAAAGATCTTCCGAAGGCCGCATTACACTTCATTTGGCGTCTAGCGGTGTTTTACGTCTTCGGCGCCCTTGCTATTGGCGTCATATGTCGCAGTGACGAGCCTGCACTTACGGATGGTGGTAAAGGAGCTGCCTCGTCTCCCTGGGTTATTGCTATCGAGAAGGCCGGGATTCACGGGCTAGACAGCGTCATCAATGCTGTCGTTATTACTTCAGCCTGGTCGAGTGGAAACTCAGTGCTATACATGTCCAGTCGCTCTCTATACTCGCTTGCTGTAGCTGGGAACGCACCCCATATATTTAGTCGCTGCAATAAGCACGGCGTACCCGTCTACGCCGTGATTGCATCGAGCCTGTTATCCTTATTGGCGTACCTAAATATCGGCACAGTCAGTGGCATCGTGTTCAACTGGTTCGTCAGCATCATCAATACGGCGGCGTTTATAAGCTGGGCATGCTGCTGTCTTATATATTTTCGCTTTAGGAAGGCATGCGCCGCGCAAGGTATTGCTAGGTCGGATCTGCCGTATTCAAGTGTCATGCAACCATGGGCAGCTTGGGTTGCGCTTGTGGCGTTCTGCCTCTTTGGATTGTTGAATGGATTTTCGGTCTTCTTTCCAGGAAACTTCACCGCATCAGGCTTTCTTACCTCGTATATTGGTATCCCTGTGTTCTTGTTGTTATACTTTGGGCATAGAATATGGGCCAAAGACGACCCATGGATTAGAACACCTAACTCTGTTGATCTTAAAACAGGATTAGCAGACGCACTGGCGGATGAAGAACTTGAGGTGGTTATTCAAGAAAGAAATGCTTCTTTCAAGCGTGCAGGCAAAGAATGGTTAAGAAAGCTATACCTCATATGGGGATGGGAATGAATGAGAGTAGGTAAGTCAATCGCAAAACCAACTTCGTAGATAGGTACCTATACATCATTAAAAACCGTATCATCTTATGCAATTAGAAGCTCATGAATACCGTATATATGCATAATATTATTATTCTATACGCTATGTATGCGGCACCGCTACTCGCATATAATCATTTATGTCTTCCATATATCAAAGGGGTTTCCCCACTTCATCACAAAGATGCTCATTGCATTCTCACGACAGACATGCGCCACGAAACTACGCTCGCTAAACCAACAGAGGAGGAGCTGTGGATTGAGGTCATTGAAAAGCCTGAGGATGTCATCGCAGGTTTTGACTGTGCTGCAAATGCGTTTGGTAAACAGACCCACGACGCAATTTGGATAGCCACGAATCCAGAATGGGACAAAGACGGCCCTGATGGTCGAACGCGTGCTGCGGCACGTCTGGTTGAACAGTGGCGTCGCACAACTTACGATAGTGATGGCAATGCGAATACTATCTTTCTGAAAGCCACTCTTCCTGGCGAAGGTCGTCGTATCGTTGCGGGGATCGCTATTTGGACACAATTCTCTATGGTAGAGGGTCGCGGTGCTCGGCCACCAGACGACCCAATTGAAACTCTAGGACTAGAAAAGATCTACCCAGACGACGAAGTCGAACAACGCTATCTGGGCCAACTTTTTCGCTCCTTCTTAAAACGTCGCGGCGAGGTCATTAGAGAAAAAGAGGCATCCCAACCGCCGTCGCTGATGCACCTTGAATTATGTGCTGTAGATCCAGCTTACCAACGGAAAGGCATTGCGTCCAAACTTGTTCAATGGGGCCTTGATGAAGCGCGACGCCGTGGCGGTTTAGAGGCCACCACAGAGGCATCTAGTAGTAAGTATATTTCGAAAACACATATCAATGCTCTATGTCGCAGATATCAAGTACAAACTACTTCCTTCCAACTTTTTCTCGCATCGCGGGCACAAAGACTCAGCACCTCTCACAATCGATACTATGAGCTGACTTATCATTTCAGTGGGACGTCTTGTATACAAACGTCTAGGCTTTTATCCTGAAGGCCCAGATGTCAATTACCATGTTGATGACGAGTTTATGTCACGAGAAAGACCACCTAATCTCTTTATGCGTACGGGCACCAGTCATTAGCGATATTTATCGTTTAAGAATTGCGAGATACTTCACAATACATTATGACTTTTTGGCGGATTACACTTTGGGTTTGTGGATGAATAAAGCAACTTAGTCCACTAGATTATAGTTAAGTAAAGCATCTCCTTGGGTCATTGTTAAGAATGGAAACAAGATAAAAACCAGGTCATTGTCTCCTAAGCTGGGAAGGACAACGTTGTACATGGGACAATCCTATTATTCCGGTTAACAAACACAAAGAAATAATACAAAGTCGTTGAGTACTGAAGAATACGATATTTCTGGGCGCGTATTTAAACAGCGCACAAGACCAACAACCAGCAGAATACACTCTGGCAGATCAGACACTGAAGCTACATTGATCCTCCAAATTTTGAACTGGTTTTCTCTCTTAATACTTTAATAAAAAACGTATCTATCTCAAGATGGATCCATCCGATTTACAAAGTAGAATGGAGGCAATGGAGGCCCGTCTCAAGGGGTTGGAAACAAATTTGGAAGCAGTCAAGCCCAAGCCCTCGGTGGCTTCATTACGCTCAGACCAAGCACCAGATCCGAGAGACGCCACAAAAATGATCAAGGAACTTGAGGTTCTATTAGCAAGAACAGAAGAAGAACGTAATCAGCTTCAGTCTGATCACGATATACTCTCTGCACAGCTCGACCGCTACAGGGCCGAGTACGACGAGGCCATGGAAAGGCAAGAGGGATTAGAGGTAATATGGATGCAGAAACTGGATGCGGAGCAAAAGAGAAGTCGCGCCCTTTTCGAAAGATTGCAAGCATTGAAGGGTAACATCCGCGTTATGTGCCGCATCCGTCCTCCTCCGGCGGAAACGCCATACGAAGATCTCGTCGACTTTGGGCCTCGAGAAAAGGGTGAGTTTTCGGACTCCTGGGGGCGCATGCAAATACCCGTAGAACGCCAGGACGTGACCGGTAGAGTATCTACTGACACGCAGTCATTCGACTTCGAGCGCATTTTCGGCCCCGAGGAATCGAACAATGATGTATTCAATGAGATCTCCGACCTCGTCGAATGCGCGCTTCAAGGTGAGAAAGTTGGTATCTTCGCATATGGGCAGACCGGGTCTGGAAAGACGTTCACACTTAGCCACAAAGATCCGGCAGGGGATGGCTTAGAAGATGGTGTTATTCCCCGAACAGTAGCTTTAATGTTTCAGAACGCCGAAGCATCACTTACACACAACTACTCAATTTCACTGTCCATCTTGGAAATTTACATTGACAGCATCTATGACCTACAGGAACCTATTGACGGCCAGAAAGCTCAAACTCGGATCGAACAAGCCAAGTTTTTGGAACTGACCTCTCAAGAGTCGGCGGAGGCCATGATTGAGGCAGCAGCGCAACTTCGCGTGTCGAGCTCTACGAGCCAAAACGCGTCATCGTCTCGCTCGCACCTAATATTGACGTTTCAGATACACCGAGAACGCCTCGGTGGAGGGGAGGAAGAGACAGGATATCTCTACCTCGTGGATCTCGCCGGTTCGGAGAGGTCTGCTGCAAGTGGACTAAAGGGATTGCAGCTACAAGAAGGTATCAAGATCAACACAGCACTAATGAGCTTAAACTTGGTCATCACAGCTTTAGGCAATGGCACGCATGTGGCTTACGATAATACGTTGACCAAAGCACTAAGGCCTGTTCTCTCTCACGATTCGAAGACTCTCATGTTTGTCATGGTGAGTCCCTTGAAGAAGGACTTGGTCACCTCGATCCAAACCCTCAAGAAAGGTCAAGAAGCGACCAATGCAAAGTTAGCCGCAGTCAACCGTAGTGGTACTTCCACTCCCAGGGGAACTAGATCTGTCTCACATCCGGCATTGTCGAGCGGTTTAGGGACCCCTACATCCGTTAGATCTACCCCCGGCACTCCGACTTCAGGACGGGGCGGAACACGAGGTGGGCTAACTCCACGCCCTACTCCAAGGTCTTCCCTAGGCGGCACTCCGACCAGAGGAAGGGGATCAGGACGAGGGGGGCGCTAGATGAGAGAAATAAGTGAGTATCCAATTAACCAAGACAGTTATTTCTAAATTCTTAATTTCATCTTGTTCTTATTACTTATGTAGCTAGCTACCTAGGTAGGTACACAACTCCAGAAAAATTTCTCATGTCATATCATACCACAAATAATTATATTGGAAATGATATGGAATCTATTGACTGTAAGTCATGACTGAACACTTGTGAAAGTTGGAGATTCAAATTCTTTACCAGATTTCATGGATATCAATTGAAACGCTCGAACTCTTTTAGAAAATATCGAAAATGCGCAACTATACACGTGCCGTGAGGTCAAAATAAAATCTCCATTATGACACCCATGCAATTACCCCTTTTTGCCATAACCCCGACCAGATTATTTTTCGTGTCCCATAATCGGTCCGCAATACCTAAACTCCCTCCAACTTCAAATGTTCATATACAAGCCCTGGCGCCGCTATATTATACAAGGACTAAGTTGACGGGCGTCAAACTATGAGCCAGGGACATAATAAATAAATAAAAATTATTCAACAAAAAATATTAGCAGTTATGCGAAGGCCGCTGTGATGACGCTTGAGCAGTCGGTCAAGGTAGACGCGTCGTTGCCGAGAAGGCTCAGCTTTTCCATCCTATATCATAGAGAGTTAGCGATATGACGAATGACAAGAGCCTTGAATACAACTCACGCTGGTACAAATGCGTCGGCCCAGGCAGAAGCATCGGAGCCGAATGTGGTCCAGTCCCCGCTCGTTACCGACGAGCTACTCATAGATACGTCGCTGTTCAGGCTCGCGGGGGCGGTGCCATTGGCGGTCTCTGTATAGAAGGTTGTGTCGAGGTCGTCTACGGTCGTGTCGAGCGCGTTTCCGTTCAGGTCCTTGGCAGCGCTATGAGCTCCAATAAGGGCGACTAGCTCCGTGGACGTGAACCCCTTGGCCGCGAAGGCGGCGACAATGGTGGTGGCGTTGTCATTTTGCGTAGGGATCTGGTTCGCCGCGTTTGCGGTAGACGAGTCCGTTCTACCGACCTTGACGGCAATTGCCGGTAGGCCTGGGCATGAGGCTATCCCGAACGCTGTGGGGGATGTGTAAGCTACGAGACTTGAATTATGGTGATGTGGCCGGGGAACTTACCAGCAGCGAATTGGATCAAATCAGCTGTACCGACGGTGAAATTGGTTGCCATTGTACCCAAGGTTGAACATATACCAATCATTTGAGCGTTCTCGCCGCGGTCAGTGCACTCGTCCGCCAAGATGATAGACCCATCGCAGGCACCGGGGAAGCAGTCATGGAAGGAAAGCCTGATAGCCGCACGAGCGTCGTCGTTGCAGTTGCCGCTGCTGTCTATGAAGGTTGTCTTCAGTTCCGCAGCAACGTCAGTCCAGACTGCAGGGCATTGTGCCCTAACAAGACCAGAAGAGGCTACAAGAGCTGTGAATAGTACGGTAGGTCTGAACGAATGCATTTTGTATGAGTGGCTCTCAACTGGTACAATATAAATATAAAAAATAGACGGCGTAGTGAGCTTAGAAGAGCTAGAAATGATAGTGACGAGAAGACAGAATAACGATTGAAGGTAACTCGCAAGTAACCAGCTCAGGAGTATGTAAAATAGGAGTGAAGGAGAACTGATGAGATGTTGTTGCCCACCTTAGCAAAGTTGTTTGTGTAGATCCTCCTCACACTTATATATAAAAACATTTTACTCCTAAATCGATATGCCCCTAATCGAAGCTGTGATACTTCGACCCTGGAGTTGTTGGACTCGTGTTGAGAGACCCTGCATAGCGTGCAAGGTTATCTTCGCTTGGTCCCTCCGAGGGTCGATCCCCTAGGACGCATCAGCAAATGGTCGAAGACTGCCCTAGACCGGAATGGAGCCACGCAGACGGTAGCATGGAAGCCAACCGAGATGCTAAACGAGATCCGGTTCACCATTTTCTGTTTTTCAACGGCCAACTTGGTGAGTCGTTTTCCAACATTTTCTCCCTGCCTACATCACGTAGGACTATAGACGACTTCCCCAACATCCACGCTGAACACTGATAACAAGCCGGTAATCATCGTGCCAGCCAATACAGAGCGTCCGAAATATTCGATGAGTGGACCTAGCTCATCGAACGATGCAAAATTGTTTAGAGCACATGCTGCTCCATGTGTGTAGGTGATTAAACCGATCCTAGCGTAGATCATAGCTCTGTCACTATGGTGAAAATAGTATGCAGGGTGAATATCTCCGGCCTATGACACGAATCCACGGGTAGTAGTCCCAGGCAGGCCAGGTAACAGAGATGGCGGACTGATCAATCCCAGGGCCATGAACCAATTGCGCGGGAGATAAACATTTACTGGAGCTGAGTATGTAAAGGTTCCTAGCGATACAACGTGCTTACGACGACCAACAACGGTGTTTGTCGCGCGCGCTTAGACCCTCTCATCGTTAACGTAGGGAGAAGCGTTTCCAACATCGCAAGGCAGACAGGGCGGACAGGGCACAGAGGGCAGCAAGGGCCAGGATTCTTAAGAGCCTCCAGCGTCGATGTCACAGCAGAGCCGGAGTAAACTGGAGTTGGCAGGGATCGTCAAAATGACCTAGCTGGACCCCAGCGGACAATTGCCGGACCCTCTCGACGGTGGATATTGGACGCGTGTTTATGAAACAACATTCGCCTGACCGTTCAAAGAAAAGGAGGCCACAGGCTATCAACACCTGAAGCTTCTGTCAATAGGAAAATATCGTAGATAGATGCAGCTTGATCCTATGTAGATGTTAAATTTGATGAATACTTACTACACTATGTACGTGACGCGCAGTCTACCTAGTCGAGTATCCTTATCGCGACGCAACTTCGAGCAGGGATGCGACTAACAGACAGGAAAACATTTTCTCTAAATACTACACTAGTACAGTAGATAGCTGTAGATGTTCTATTTTGATATTTCGTGAGGAGATCGACAACCGCTATTGTTACAAACGCTCTGTTTCGCGATAGCTTCGGTAGTAGTAAGGAATTCAACGCTGCTAAGTGAATCCTCTGTCGTTTCTTATCTTGAAGCATTCGTCATCAGCTGCATCAATAGGTTGCCGAAATAATTCTCTCATACCTGATCTTCTGCACATGACAGCTAGACGAGGTAGCTATACAGCATACATAGTAGCATTCAGAGTCGGGAGGTGGATTTAAGCTACGCGAAGCTTTTTCGCAACCGGGTTGCTCATAAATCTCGCTGCATTTAATGAGCTGAATTAGGTAGGTACGTGTCGTAGGTCGCTATGTTACATACATTCGTACCTATTAAATTTAACTTTAGTTAGCATGCATAGGTACTATGTAAATAATGGACTCATAATGAGGCCATGCTAAGTCCACGGACCTTAGGTAATAAGTCACCTAGGTACCTAGTATGTCACCATTTGAATAAGGTGAAATACAAACCATTGAATTACCTAATCGAAATCGAGGAAATTCTTTGTTAGTTGGAAACAATTCTTGGCAGTTTCAAAAGAGCCATTTCTAGAAAAGTCGGTCCAAAACAATGTCTCAGATCTTTGTGTCGCACCCTGATATGTTTGGAGTGTGCGAACTTGAGATACTAGGGGAAAGATGCTAGAGGAAAATAAAAAAGGGTTTAACCTCGTATGGTTTAACTCTTGAACGTTATCTGAGTCCGCTCCACATTCCCCTTAAACGATCTAGTAATTGCCTGATGTGAGTAATTCGGCACTTCCGTTTCGTCATGGCCATGGAGAGGCTCGTGCGGGTGAAGCCTCAACTTCAGCCGCACTTTTGACCAATCATGTGTCATCTATTTCCTTGGGTAGATCCCATGCACGCGTTCATCCAAACTTTTCCGATAAATGTTACCTAAGTTCGTAATTAACATCATCCGAACGAGAAGACTTTGGTGTTGAACGTTGCGATGTTGCGTTACGGGACGACACGGGACGATACGCCAGGCGCTCGAATAAGAGGTACATTCATGTTCTTGATAAATATATTCCTGGATAGGCATTTTCTTACGCGAAGCTTCGTAAACCCTTCCATGACCAATACCGCGACAATCATTGGTGTTAGTGTTGAATATTAAGATCCATTGGAGTCCCATGTGAATACTACCCAGGACCCCACCCTAGAAGCTGGAAGCTCCCGAGACATTTGATGTCTTTACCAGGTCCCCGGTATTGTTTAGTAATGTTCCAAAGACCAAGCATTTCGACGTGCAGTGCCAAGTTGATTGGAATCTCTAAAAATTAACGCCGTGTGTAAAACATTTTCCTTTCCTTTTTCAAACAACAGAATGCTTGGCCTCTAATTCTGGTCAGTATTGAAACATTGAAACTTTCAGCTTCGCGACGACTTACCATATGTATCCAAATACTAGCCTGTACGACATCGGAATTATTCAGGGGTTGATCTGTGTGTGACAGTTACGCAGCCTTGTAAGTGGTACGCGTCCTGCAGATATTAGTCCCCATCACCTAACCCAAAGGCGGGAACTTCTGCCCCACGCCGCCCACGGTCCCTATTTTAGGCCCTATCTGGTTCCTACAGTCTCAACCTACCTAGATCCACTACTTTTATAATGAACCGCACAGAGCCGCAAATAGTATATCCACATATTGACAACCACCAATAAGTGAACTTCTCTAAACCCTCTCAATGTTACCACGATCTATCGTTCGTAATATCTGAGACATCTTTGCAACGCTGTTATGTATTCTAAATCCTTCTGTTCTTCGATCCATCATTTGACCGACCAACAAAGGATTCGGAATACGACAGCTGCCATCTATCATAAGGTCTGGACTCTGTAGTAGCTAGTTTGAATTGTCTGATTTGTGTTCATGATGTTGGTTACCTTCCTATTCATGAACGATGAGCAAGAAATCGGCTAACAAATCCTACTTACATACGATGGCGGCAGGTAGGGTCGCCTCGACTGCTCATTTTGAACTACAATATTCTTGGCGTTCCTATATCACCCCCCCTTTTTTTCGTTGAGTTATTTTATTTTGCTGGAAGGGGAAAAGGAAAGAACTTAGTCCCAAGAAGAGAAACAATAGGTAAACCTCACCTACATTGTTCATTGTTTCTGGGGTGATGTCTCATGTCTGTTTTCTACATTTTGACTACCTACCTGGGTATCCAAGAACGACTACTACGCAGCAAACTGAAAACATCTCGAACTCATGTCAGGGCTAGTAAGAATGAAATAACAAATTAATTCAACAGAACTAATATGCCTACAGTTAAATCTACTTCTGGCGTCTATCCACATCATCTCGAAGTCTTATTCATCAGCCTTTCCCCTAAAAGCTCCCAGAGACTAACCACTAAATCGCCAACGCCAGATCAGCAACCCAACAAATGCATTCTTGAACAATAGTAGGAACTTCCCCCTCTCCGATACCTGTAATCTCAATACGAGGAGCACATCTACTACTGGTACAATGGTCACCACAGTGTCGCCTAGGCGGTGTGCTCTGGGTCAGCCTAGCAATGACATAGTCAACGGGATGATGGCATGTAGGTGAGGATATTTTCCTCTAGGAACTCTGTATTATCGGTGCATGGAATGTGGTTGGAAGGAGTTGGCAGAGCACGGCCGAAGACTGGCGCGTCGAGAAGAGACGAGACGACAAGAGACAACGGTTTCATTCCGTTAAAATCTCAGAGCCCGACTTCAAGATATGTACGTATACGCCTGTTTAATATCGATGTTCATTGACCAATGGTAAGAAGAAACCCATACCAAGAACGAATCGACGATACTTGACTTTTCTACTTCAACTTTTCACCATCCTTAGCCATCCTGAGCGCCGAGAAAATACTGCCCCTATTAAATCACATTTTTGACCGCACGAGGGTTCTATAGATTAATCCTCTGCGAGATACAGTCTCGAATCACACTCCCATACTACAGAATATATGTTTAAGAAAGCCTACTAGTTATCCCGATGGTCTGGTGACTGAAATTTGTCTGGAGTTATTACAAAGTGAGTCTTTCATAGTAGGTTGGCTTCACTGATTGCAACTAAAGATAGGTATCTAAACTTACGTACCTAGGATAATCGGCTAGGAATTTAATTAGCCTTGACATTTCAACTTAGAAACCAGTTTTTAATTTTATATGCTTTTGATGACTTTGTCCTGAAATCCTGGATCATGCTACCGGCATCGTTCTAATTCACAAGAGTTTACACACCATCTCTACCCTCGTTGGCGTATATTTTGATATAAACCTTTAATTGTTCTCTTTATTTAGAACGAAACAATTATATTAGCTCTAGTATCTAGAGAATAAGATTTTGGAGGATTTACATGGATGCTGGGTTGTATTGAATAAGTATTTGCTGCTTCTGTGATGGTAAAGGCGGCCTAAATGAGTTGATCTTTGAATCATACCGCGATTCCAACCATCTTTACACTATCACTATTATCGTGACTTCCAGAAACCCGTCTCTACCACAGCCCGCTCCTTTAACTTGATAAATATCAATAATATCGAGCTTATCGTATTAAAGTTGAGTAGTCGCCGAGAATACAAGTGACAGCCTCAGCTACTTGTCGATGATGCGGTCTCCAATTACTTCGTGATAACCCTAGATGGGGTCAGAGATAACATCAAAAACTCTTCGGGATTAATATACTTGCTGCTTGCTTTGTTCAATGTAAGACAGCCAGCCCTCCGCTTGAGGCTCCTACCAAAGTGATCCCCTACATATGGTAGCTAAGATCCTTATCTCGAACTCACCTCCTTCATCACCGACGTACTAGAGGTCTTGATCGTGATTGGGGTAAACATATCGCGCCGATTTTCAGCTTCCGTTGAGACCGCCACTACTAGTGCAGTTCAGTATGCATACAGCATTTCTACAATGGATATGCCGGAGCATGCTTTTATTGTTGGGGATGTGACTACGAAACATGGCAGATGTAAGTATAATGTCAATCAAGTTAGGAGAACGACAGCCGTAAGCATGTCAGAATCTACTGTGGTAAGTTTGAAAGAGGTGCAACCCTTGAGGATGGTAACTGGAAGTAAGATAATAAAGGTATCGTAGAATGGCCTTAATGTGTGGAAGAGGATATAACGAATCCTATGACCTATCCATCTCAATAGACTGATCCCCTGATCAGCCTTATAAATTCCACCATATGATGCATGGATAAGCATAGGTAGGCTGTAACACTAACATTAGGCTAAGATGAACAACTTGATATTACTGAATTGACTTCTTTTCTCGTAAATATTTTGTCTTTATTTCATTGGGGCTGCTGAAAGCCTAACTCTATTCGTAAAAAAGTGAACGTCCGCATGGGCATCATGAAATTTCCCGCGATCAAATGCGCCGACAGAAAGCGAGCTCCGGCTCTGTAGGAATAATCCCCCCTTCTAACCCCTCCCTGCCACAATCGCGTGGCGCTCTAACAATAGGCAAAATGTTCCCCATTTCCCGACACTCCCTGGGCTCCGAACGAACGCGCCCGGCCCAATTTACTCGATGTGCTTCTTCAGAATGCTGACGAGCGCGTTGGGGTTAGCGCCGACGAGCCTCTCGGCGGGCTCGGCCTTGCCGTCCTTGAAGAGGAGGAACGTCGGCATGGCCGTGATGCCGAGCTCCTGGCTCAGCTCCGGGAGGTCGTCGACGTCGATCTTGCCGAAGTAGATGTCCTTGAACTGCTCGTCATTCGAGTGTCTATTCATATATCCTTGGTTAACGACGTCATTCCTCGTTTACACCTCCAATTGAGGGATTTCGCGGCGGAATGTAGGTCAACTTACTTCGCTAGGATAGGGGCAATGGCCTTGCAAGGACCGCACCAGGTCGCGAAGCAGTCTAGGAGGACGACCTTGTTCTCCTGGATGGCCTGCTTGAAAGCCTCGGCGCTTTGCGCAATGTTAGCATGAGGCTTGGAGGGGTAAAAGCGCAAAGACGTCAGACAAAGTTGGCGGGGCGGGGTAGATAGCCGACCCAGCCTGGTCAGTTCACCGGAAACTTACGTTTCGAAGTTGTGGACAGTCATTTTGGGTAGAGTAGTATGGAATTGGCGAATAGACGTAATATGCGATGGTCGGTATACGGAATGTCTGAAGGAAGACTGGACAGTTCGGAAGAAGTTTGTTGACATGGAGAAGAAAGAAAAAAAATAGCGCGGGGTGCTGGTGGATTTATGTATAATTTACGTAGCGACCTACTATCTCAGGGACGGGAAGGGGGTAAGGCTGTGCTAAGTTTAATTCAGCTCTTACTAGGTAGGTGTGTAGGTGTTAGAGTGTCATACAATGATATCTAGATGGTTCGCATCAAAGCAATTAACTGGATTGTAACCACCGACAACCGGTGAAACAGATGATGTAAATCTTTGATTTGTCAGTGTGTTCAATGACGTGATCCCCGCCAAGCCGGTTCCTTTCTAGGCTATCGAAAAATACAGCTCTTACTGCTGTGGCTTTGTTAGTAGCTGGTGTAACTCTTGGTCTCTTGGTGGAGCTCAGCCCCTTTCTCCATCTACCTACGTATGGTATGACTAAGACTCTTAAACAAATTCCCGACCACTTAGATAATTCATGGCTGATGCCATATATGAAAGATTCCAAATAACTATCGCCATTGACTTTGGTATATCTATTAAACATTAATAATAATTGAATTTGATAAAACCATTCGGGATTTGAAATGGCCATACTAAGATGGACTCTTCCAGGTTCCAAAACATTTCCCTTGCCGCTAACAATTAATCTCCTTACCAGGAGACAACACCTGACTGCAGGAATTAACTAAGAGGTTTAAAAATAATCTCATGCTAACCTCGTGCTCGAGTCGAGTTTTCGAATATCTCAAAATTGACAAATATCATTCATAGTAGATAACATGACAACTACTGACTCCTTTTGATTTCCGCTCTTTTCGCCGTGCGTACAACGCCTTCACAAACTCCCCCCCAAAAGCAGAATACTTAAATTTTTTTCAGTTCATTGGAAACAAGCCCCTTTTTCTCCTTTGCTCACAACTCTACAGGCTGCAATACTTCATACATGTACAATACAACATGACCAACCTAATCTCCAAAATATTACGGGCAAGGTAAAGGGTATACATAAAAATGGCCGAACCCAGGTCGGCCTCGCAGATTTTCCGACATCTCTAACTTTGATTTGCGCTTCCAGCTATTTTCCCTACCCCCGAACACCTAATGCGCCGGCCTGCCTGCTTGCCGACTCGGGCTCGCCCGCCTATCCAAAAAAAACCGTGGAAATCACTTCGCGATAGATAGACTCACAACCCTCGGCGTTCTCACACGCAAATGTGAGAGCGGAAGCCTACACAGTTCCAAGATGGGTATGCCTCGATCCAATGGTCTAGGTTGCCAAGACAGCGTAGATCCACAGCCATAATTATCCTGCCGCGGACACGGAGTGGACTGAATAGACGATAGTATGTGCTTACAAGATTTAGGTCGGCCAGTGTATGTAAAAAAGACATTCCATGTAACATTGTAGGCGCTCCTCTCGGCGCTCGGGAAACCTCTGCACTATGGCAGGAGGTGTCGGTGGTATCAAAAACAGGAAACCCGCCTCGCATAAAAAACCATAAATCCCTGTGGTATCGCAGTATATCAAGAATGGAAAAAATAAATAAAAATAAATCATAGCCCACCATCCACTCCTCCATCCGGTATTCGGTTAAAGCAGTGAATTCGATAAGGTCGCGTCAAATATCATGTGGGTGATGTAATAGGGAGTTATGCTCGATGAGAAGACGTAGAAGTTGGCTACGTAAATAGTGAGGTTGGTAGCCCATTGGTGTTGATGTGATGACTTTATGTGACTTCATGGAGGATGTCGATATTTCGATCCGTAGGCCAGGAGAGAGACCCGATAGTTTTTCTTATTTTCCAAGTTTTTTTATGTTTTGTTCGTTGAAACATTGTAGGAAATGTTGTAAGGAGTGAATAAGGTCGGTGTCTGAAAATGTAAGGAAAATATCAAATGAATGCGGTGCGAATAAGGCGTAATATTCGCTGTTGAAAATGGAAGGAAAAGGTAAATGATCGTAGTTAGATCGTCTCTCCTGGCTTAGATCGCACACCCAACCAGTGCTAGTCATCGTTGTCAAACATCATCTGAACCAATGGGCTCCAGTCAACCCACAGATTTACTGAGTGCCGTGTTCCATCATGCTTCTCCGATTCTCACCGGAGGCACGGGGCGAGATCTCAAGCAGCTTAGCGCTGCCTGCACTAAAGTTTCGAGCATGACCCTTATCGAGGCTGATGCTGGTAGCCCTCTGTGGTAGAACAGGACTATGATCCTCCTCTTCATCATCACTATATCTCTCGGGATATTTGTCGTCGTCATCATCAAATGACTGAAGAAGACCTTCTCGGCTTCGCATTGTGTCCCTATGATGTGTCACGATGGGAATCTGGCCGACTGCGCCCCACTTAGCTTCGTGTTCGTCATCTTCCTCGTCACTGCTGGGACGAGCTTCGCCCGTGGACTTGCGATGTAATTCAGTAGGAACGACGCTGTTCATGTATTCATCTTCGGCGATATTGCCATCATCCGAAGCGCGTCCTTCAGATTCACCTGAGAATGGGGGTTGGGCGTATTGCTGAAGAGAATTCCTCATGCCTGATGAGGCTCGCTTCCTGTTAAAGCGACCAGAAAGCCAAGACGCTTCCGAATCGATCGAGGCAAGCGACATAGACTGTGGCGCCGGCGAAGCCTGCACTTCATCTCGGTGCCATGAGATGGGGGTCGCTCGCATAGCTTCGTGATGGCCGGAGGTAGGGGTATCATAACGCATTTGTACGTCGTCGGGGATCACGGGAAGAGGCTCTGTAGGTAGGGGATCGGCTTCTGGGGATGCCACGCGCGAGTCCGGTGGAGAGAGCGGTAATTCAGGGAGGTCTTCCCGGAAGCGAGACATCGTTCTCTTAGGCACGTTGGGGTTGATCTTTCGTGGAACGAAGTTCGCATGAGCCGGAGGTGGGCCTCCCTGCATCGAGTCTCGCGAGGTGTTCGAGAAAGATGAAGGGCCAGAACTACGTCTGTTCTTGCCCCATCTGAAGAACGACCTCCAAGGTCTCGAAGAGCCGCTATCCGATACCTTTCCACCTGATTCCGCGTATTCGGGCTTAGTCGGGGCAGGTGACGGCAAATCGACATCAATTCTCGCCTTGGTAGAATCCTTTGGCGACTTTGAGCGCGATGTTCTCGATCGTATGAAATTCAGAATCCTTGGACTCGAAGAGCGCGAAGACGGCGGTTGCTCTGGAATAGATTCTGGTACGTGCTCGGATTTGGGAACCCTGGCAGGAGTAGAAGGCTCTAGTGGGATACTGTCCGTCCGATGGAACTCATCCAACGGCTTCGGAGACTCCTCGCGGTTCTCTAAATCTTCTCGTTCTCTGCTTTCCCTCCGAGCCGAGTCATTCGATTGTCTCCTTCTTGATGACGTGATGACTACTGAAGCTGGGTCATATCCTTCGCTGGTCATTTCACGACCCAAAACGCCTCTCTCTAAGTTTTGTGGCGGCGGAGTGCCACTTTTACGAGCCTCGGCTGCTTCTGCTCGTTGCTTTTCCGCTTTTCTTGCGAGACGCCTTTCTAACCTCTCGCGTTCCTTTTCCTTCTTTCTTTCCCTTCTTCGTTTATCTCGCTCCATCAACTCCCGCAGGTCTGCCGTATCTAAATCGTCCGCCAAGTCGTCAATTCTCTTGTGAGCTCTAAGTGTAGCCTCAGGAATAGCGCCCCTGTCGGCGAGCTTCCGTTTTGTCGACTGAGATCGCGTCAGCGCCGCACTAGCGCTGGGTCCATAAATGGGATTTGAAGCACATCGCAATGTCGGACGAGGCGCAAGTGCTTCGAAAGTCGAAACCTTCCAAGAGAGTTGTTCTGAATCAGACGACATAGCTGAATGAATAGAAGCAGGCATGGGCAGGGACATGTCAGAAGAGGGCTCATCCCAGCTTCTGTTCAGGCCCGTCCGAATTCGCTTGCTCTCCTTCTTCGTCGGGCGGCTCGTTGTCCAGGTGTCAGGTGTAGGACGCGCTGGCATAAACTGGCTCATGGCCTTTATCTCGGCTTCTCTGACATGGTCCTCCTTTCGTCGTTTGCTCGACTTCTTTCGCGGTAACGGTTGGCCTCTTCGCTTATTTCCAGAATTGTCATGGTGCAGAGTAGGAACCCGAGTAGCGAAATCTCCGCTAGATCCCGACACGACCCTCTGACTTCCATGCGCTTCATCGTTGATGCCGGAGAGAGGGCCTGGAGGCATTGATGCAACCTTCCCCTTCTTAGATTTGGCGACACGTATAGAATCTCTGCGCCCCGGGGAGAAACTGTAAGTACGGGGTCGTCGTTGTAATTTGTTAGGTCCATCTCGCTTTCCCCTGGGAGGCTCGGGGGTATTAACAGGTTCAGTTTGGCTTCGGGATGGCACTTGGTATTGACGACCACGTCCTGAGGTGTCGGCATCGGAATCGAGAGCGGGAGTTCTCGACCGCTTGCGCGAGCCCTTGCGGCGGAAAGGCCACAAGGCCATATTTCCGGAGTCCGGTGGTCGGGCTCTGGTTTTTGAAAATATTGGCGAGGCTATATGGTGGCGCGCGATTGCGGGTTCCTATCGACGATGTTGGGTGACGATCGCTGCGTGATGATTATCGCCATGGGCGCGGATTAGCTCGAGTTATGCATATAATCAATTAATAAAAGATCGGGCTGTGTATTCACAGTCGATTCGGGTCGTCGAGATGTTTCGCAAATCAATCTGTATTATCGTGCTCGAATTGATGGAACTTCGAAAGGTTGTCGCACGACAGTAATCGGTTAAGTCGGCGTTGGCGTTGGCGTTAAAGAACGCTGGATATATTGATGTCTCTCTCTGTACTTGAGTCGAACACCAATTAGCGACGACTGCAAAAAAGGGAAATGATGTTGACAGTGATGCGTCGACGCGAATTGTTTCAATGCGTTTCCAGCGCAAGTAATGTGGATGGAATTTTGTTCGTGTTGGAATGTTGCGGGTTTTAGATTTGGGATCCAGGGCTAGTGGTTGTGGTTGTGGTTCGAAGGTGGTTCAATCTCCAGCAGGTGGGCAGTGGCGGGTAGTGTAGTGGGAAGGAAATGGATAGCAGAGGAACTGTGGCGGTCGGCAGTGGGGATAGGACATGGAACGCTCACAATTAACTGACAAGGGAAAAGGAAAGCTTGGAAAAAGAGACAAAAACGGGGGAGGGACAGGAGGGAGGCGTCGTTGGCAACTACCCTAGATAACTGCTATTTTCAGGCAGTGCCCAGGTGCGAGTGGCAGGGAAAGGGCGATTAAATGGGCTTTGCGAAATGAAGTCACACCCAGGGGGGACCTTGGGCTGATGTTTAACGGGTTGACGGGTACTGTGGACAATCATTTTGAGTGGGGCCTCAACTGATGTAGACTTTTTAGCATGCTACGTAGTACACCAGTACTATATACTTCGTAAAACCCTAGTCGCAAGCGATTCCGTCACTCCTTCGCAAGTCTCGAAATACTTTCTATTTACTTCTAGGAAGTATCCTTCCCGGTCGTTTACCTGTACCTACATAATGCATGTAACATCCGAATCGCTACCAAGCCGCACCAACCCCAACTTGATCCTATTAGGTACTTCTGTGCCTTCGAAAAAGGAGCGGGTCGACGAGAGAAGAATAATCTAGGTAGGTACTAACACTGACGGTAGTAGATTTGGTGAACTCTCGGGGCACGAAGTGGTCGAATAGATTTAAAATTTAAGATGGGGAATAATTCCGAATCTCGAGCCCCTCAATCGATTTACTACTATCACAACATTCATCGGAAATCTACCTAACCTTAGTTCAAATGTTTTGAGTCGTCGTTTACACGCAGTCACGTACGAAGAATGTAAGGCATTATCGAAGGTCGACGACTAATCCAGTTCACTCTTAGTATGGATCGTAACCAATGAAACAAGTCGTAAGCAGCTTCGTACTATGTAGGGATTGCCCATTACATGCCTACGTCTTCCTTCTACCACCTTTAGCAACCCCCTTTAGGGATACACTATGCCTACCTGGTCTTTCGATGCCAACACTAACAATCCTTAGGACTGTTCTTCTGTGGCTATTTTTGTTAGTATGAATTCGAATGGCAGTATTAGCATGGTGTAGTATAGCGTAGTAGGTATAGCGGCACTTGAAGAGAAAAGCCGGGCTTTTGTTACTTATAGAGCTTAGCTCCAGCTTGATCAGTCCGGTGATGTCAGGAACAAGGGAGAGCAGCAAGGTACCCATACGACCTCTGACTACTGCATAACCTCGACCGTATGAAAAGGTAATGGGTTGCCGGTCAGCTAGCGGGTTGTCCGAAACTTGCAAATTCATAATGTAATCCTTTTCTTCAGAGTCCATTATAAGACCCCTTTTTTAATAATACGTCGCTTATCGTGAAGAGGGTCGAGAGCAACTAGACTGCTAAAAATCCCCCAATGCCCAAGCACAGCGGGAACCCCCAGACGGCGGCATTAGCAGATCGTGTAGCGGCACGGTTTGCCGTTTGACCCATGTTGCCATGCCACTATGCCAACCTACATAGTATGATGGCGGGTAACATCTATGTATGCCTCCGTTATGGGGAGACTTCGATAGGCCGCATGTAGACAACCCTTTTTTATTGATCGCTTAATCAAGCAGTTCTTGGATCGTCCTGAGATAAACAGTGCTCTGCAGCAACGTTTCCCTTATTTATTGACCAAGGTCACGCCAAATTGGTTCCATCAAACACGTGCCCGCGAAATTGGTGAAGAACATAGGGGGCAACATTGTAACGGCCTCTGCCAAGCCAATGGATTCTGTACCTGTAACGCCGCTCCCGAATAAACGCTAGACGCCCACTGCGTCGTCCACTGGCGTCCGCAGGCGAAGCGGGTTACTCCGCTGAAAAAAAAAAGTGTTACCGGCGAAGAAATCGGCGGCCGAATGTTTTAAAGTCAAAAAAAGACTCTCGTATTCAAGGACTTACCAAGTGGGCTTTCGGTCACGAGGTAACAAGGACTCATGTAACTAATGAAATTTCTAGTTTCTTTTGGTACTTGGACTGCATGAAATACCTAAGAGTCTTGAGCAGCCATAACCTAGGCCGTTCAGCATACATACATCCTATATCGTCATAGAGAGTAAGTGGGTGGTAGAGTTTGTTAACGACGATCATATAGGGTATAGCTTCGGCTACGTAAGTTCAGAAAAAGAAATGATAGGCATTCCGCACTTTACAAGACCCTCTGGGACGGCCGTAGGGCGGTCAATCTTTCCTTTCTCGTCATCCTTGAAAAGATGCCGATTTTTCTGGGGGGTCAGTTGTCTTATTCCCCGCCAGCGAGTAAGCAGAAGTTGCAAATGCAGCTCGATATTAGTGATAGTCTGTCCGGCTCTCATTGGGAATCTGGATCTATGCCTCTCGCATGATGCGGGGGTTGTGTGTGGTAGCTCAAACATGCCAGTTACGCCTCTGGAGATTGACACGTAGAAAGTTGTGTGCTTGACACACGCATCTCCCCTGCGCCCGCATGCGAGAGAACAGTTCCTGAGAAGCTTAATGGACGATCGAGCCCAAACTTGCATTAAGATAAGGCCCTGTCTGAGTCTTTATATCGTTCTAGTTAGAGGATTGAGCCTGGAATGGCCAGTTTGCTTCTGACCTCGCTTCAGATGAGGAATATTCCAATGATTGGATGCTTCGCTCTGATCAGAAATTTGTCGTGGCTTCTCGCTATAGCTTAGCCTGTTACATACCTGCATTGGTGTTCAAGGAAAGCTAGCAAGACTAGTTCAAGACATACCTGATTTCCAATGATTGGATGGGACTACTCTATAACAGTCATGGTAACCTATAACATAATGATAATTCGGCCACAAGAATCCAAAATTACTATCTGTGAGATTTGAATCGAGAAGAGTTGATTGGTTATACTATTCACTAATATAATCAAGCCTCAGCGAGAAAAAAGCACTTACTAGACTGCTGTACAACAGTAAGTTGCTTGTGGCTGTCTGTAGGGTTTGTGTCTATGAAGCTGAATCTGAGGTTGCACTTGAACCGGGTTGAAGCATGTAAAAATTATAAACGGCTGGCTCGAGGCTAGATCTCATTAACATGAACTTCAGATCCATGGATATGGTACGTAAGGTATCCTAAGCCAGCTGATGCATTGGCCATTCCCGTCGATTAAGTAGATCAGCCACGTCCGGTATCTAGCCCGCGCTCCCGCCGCCACTTATCCACATACCTTTTTATTCACATTACTATTCAAATTCACGTTACTTATGGATTCCGGGGTATAATAAGTATTGTATTAGGTGATGTGCTAAGTATATCCAGCTTTGCAGAGCCAACCAGCTGGAGAATTGCTTTAGCTCATTGACATCGCTATGTAATAGCTGTCCTGTCCCAAAGCTGAGCTACCAATATGACTCAAGAACATGGCACTCTTAGGATGTTTGTATCCCAACGCTATCCCGATACTCATCCGCACGCCAAGCTAAGCATCTCACCCAGGTCATGACTTATAGTCAAGTAGTAGGCAGTTCCCGAGCCGCTTATACCCTCCAGCGAGCGAGACGTCCGTCCTCGCCAAAATTCCCGCGCTTGATTCGTTTACAAGCTTATCCAAGTTCCACAGAAAATCAAGAAGATGGCGATCTGGACAATGGGCATAGCAACAGCGTCGACGGCGATGCCAGGAGCATCCGCGATCGTTAGGCCTAACACAGTGCCCGCAGTGAAGTTTGCGGCGGCCCCATCGATAGCAACTTGCGACAGGTTTCCGCATTGTTGGTTCAGCTGCACGTCCATCATCAACCCCATCAGTTTCGGCGATTCAACGTCCAGGATAGCGCGGGCGTCGAAGGTTCCCAGGTTGGAAGAGCGCAAGAAGGCTGCACGATAGGTCGAGTTCAAAGCGACGGTAGAAAGGTTGGCTACTGTCGCATAGTTTTGACAGACGGCCGTGGTAGCGGCGTTTGCGGTTGGGCTTTGTCGGGGTGCCAATGCATCGGGGACCTCAGCTTGGGCTACTGTAATGTTGCAGATAGACAGTAGCAGCACGAGGAATTTGAACGTTGTCCGGAACATGGTGGAAGACATCTTGTCGTTGAGGGAATTAAGCAAGAGGCAAGATATTACTAGTCGTCGGATGCTGTGGCCTGCCACGGAGCACGGTATTATTGTATACGGATGAAGAACGAACGAAGCGGCGTTGAAGAAGCGAAGGGCAATAGGCAGAGAGATCAACTCACGAGAAGAGAATAGAAAAATGAGATGGAACCTACATGAGAGGAAGTATCTGAAATAATCCTTTCTGGCGGAGGCAGAGTAGCAGGCGCGTAGGGGCCTACCAGGTTTCGGTCCAGGGTGTTCCGACGTCTCAGATCCTTAGGTAGTCGTAAGATCCAGTCATCGTCAGATTTGCTATCATAGCCACATAGAAAACTAGCCACAATACGACGCTGACTTATACATACCCAGGCACTATCAACAAGTCTGAATTCATCGGCGAAGCATTCGTACTATCATTCAAAGCTTATCAGGTAGATGAGTTCATAATTATATTCTTTTCACATGTATACGTATCCAACCTGAAGTCGTTAGAAGATACAACGGGGTTTTTGACGCACAGACTTGAGGATTTCCCTAGCCGACGATAGTGAGACTAGTATACACCCCACTGACGGATATAGTAGGATTGCTGTAAAACCCAATGTGATATCGTATTATTTGCATGTGGGATAGGTATGTGATATCCAACTTTGAGTAGCAGCGAAATGCATGGTGATATTGTTTAACCAGATATGCATTGCCTACCTAGAATACGTTCTTCCCATAAATTCATCCGTGTCTTCGGACAAAGTCCAATTGAAACGACCTTTAGTCAACCAGCTACCAGCTTATTACATGAGTACCGATCATCCTACTGAATCATAATAGACAAGATAATTATCCTACTAGGTAACCCTAATATGCCTTCATAACAGACGATGAATTCCTCCTTCGTCGATGTCTTTGTCTCCCCCTTTTCGAGCTGGATAGTGTTTATAGCTCTTAGCACAGTAAATCTTGCACCTCCTACTAGTAATTGCTTATATACCTGTTTACTTAATATTGTACCATTAAATTCACTCCACTCTCATAGCATTCGGTCATTTTCAAAGCAATTCATATGAAATTGGCTGAATTATATTTCTACCCCTGATTAGTCACGATGGTGATACATGGAGTACTTAATATTTCCGTATTTCTGTGGGGTAGGGAAAGGACAAACATGAACAGCTAGGTTCATAGCGGTTTTCTAGTGCAAGAGCATCGGACCAATCAGCATGGATGACATAATCAACATTAGGTAATCGATTGTTTACTCACCCCCACATAGCAACCATACGAAAACATCCAACTCCCTAAACCTTTTTCGATCGACTATCTAATTCGATAACCTTGAAAGTTTACCATCGAGAGCGGATTATCGAAATATTTATTCCGCTTTGACACCGGAGCAATAGTAATTAAGAGCATAGAAGACATACACGAACTCCACAAGTATTTCAAAGAGACGATTGCAAATACCCAACACCGCGATCATGGCGTACAATCCACGAATGTCCATAATTCCGCCGTCGCAAAACCAATCGCGCACGCGCAAGAAGGAGGAGGAAGCCGACGCATTCATGCGCCTACCGGACAAGGAGATCGTCGGATGTATAACAGACATCGGCATTCCATTTAGCGTCGCCGACCTCCAGAAGCCGAACCCTCTCCAAGTCCAGATGATCTTCGAATGGTTTGCCGAACTGTTGCTAAATGCGACACGTGAGACCGTCGAGCCGGCAATGCGCGCTGCCGCCGAAGATGTCTGTGGCGAGTTCACCGACATTGTGCCTCCCGATACGCGCAACCTACTGGGCTTCTACGTATCGCTACGCAAACTACTTCTTGAGTGCGGCATCACCGACTTTAGTTTCTCCGACTTGTACAAGCCCACGCACCCGCGCCTCGTTAAGATCTTCAGCTACCTGATCAACTTTGTTCGATTCCGCGAGAGTCAGACCAATGTCATTGATGAGCATTTCAACAAGGCCGAGCAGACCAAGGCACGGATTGAGACACTGTATGGCGAGAACCAAGACATGGAGTCTAGATTAGATGAGATGCGACATAACCGAAGAGCGATGGAGGCCCAAGTACGCGAGAAGACGGAACGAAATGAAGAGCTAAAGAAAACCCTACTGGAATTGCGACGAAACCAGGAGAGGGTTGCAGATCGACTGGACGGGGCTAAGCAGAAAAAGGCAGAGCTGGCCCAGAGACTAGAGCAAAAAACAGCTGAAAAGATGTTGCTGAAGCAGGAAAGCAATAAATTGCGACCATACACTCTTCAAAGTCCCCAAGCGCTACAGACAAGTTTGACAGAGCTCAGCAATACTCTTAACGGGGACAAATCGCATATAGATTCTCTAGACCGACGAGCAAGAGCATTACAAACATCAACCGATTCCTTCGGAGTCGTGGCGACAGATGTGGCGTCATGTATCAAACTCCTAGACGATATCGCAAACGAGTTAACCAAGGAGGAGGAGGAAAATGCTAGAAATGCGAGGCAACGAGATACATTATCCGAGCGTGGCAACAATGTCAAAGAAGTGGAGAGGACAGAGGCGTTGTTACAAAGGCAATTAAGCAAGTGGAACGAACGCACAGAGAAGCTCCGCGATCAAAGCCGAGAGAAAGCCCAGGAAGCGAAGAAGAAGATGGAGGAGCTCCGAGCATTACACAAGAAGCTGACGGAGGAGAGAACGGCAAAGGGCAACGAAATCGAAAAACGAAGAGTTCGGATTGAGCAAACTGAGAAAAAGGTAAGCTTTCCCCGTTTACGTTGATCATTTTCTTCAATAGACTGCTAACACAGAAACAGATGCTTGATCTCAAGGAGAACATTGAGAACGAGGTCCACGCGGCATACGACGAGTATCTGAAGATGGAGTCGCACATCAAGCTGTATATCACTGAGATGGAGCAGGCTATTTGATTATTATCCCTTATTTGTTCAGTGCATGCGTGACGAGACCACGATTGGGATACCACAGCAGGCGTTCAGGTGTTGAGGGCCGGTCAAGGCTTAGGCGGTCTGTATATAGACGTCAAGTGGTTCATTATTATAACCAACGTGACGAGTGTCCGAAGAGAGAATGATTACATGCTCATCAAGATCGACTTTCATCCTTTGTTTTCGGAGTGTTCCTCTTCATCTTTCAAGCTCGTATCCCACTCTCCACGCTGAAAATGAAACCATCTCTTCATAACTCTCCCGACCTCCACAGTTCGGCCTGTCCAACCACCCTCTTCCGAGTCGGGGCCTAACCTTCGACCACCACCGCTTAGAAAGGGGACGGCTTCTTTTAGCACGTCCTCGAAAGGTTGGGGAGGGTTGTGCTTCCGGGGCTCGACAATAATCGTTTGCCATTGCAATCGATGACCCAGCTCTATTAGCGTAGAGGTGGAATTGCCAAGACCCTGAGCGCTCCATTCGCTGGTATCACGATGCATCTCCAGAAACCCATACAATATTATATGTGGTGGGTATCTTCCCGAAGCGCTAAAATTAGCTGGAGGGGTTGAGATCTTGGAATCATCGGGCGAAAAGACGGCTAGATAGGCGCGGAGATGCGTGACTGTGGGGATGTATACCACGCGGGTGTGCCGTGATGTAGCAAGTTGGTACAAAGGAGAGGATAAGAGCCTCTGCTTTTGCCTGACCTGCTCCTCATCAACCATATGAACGTTCCGCGCGGCGTCAGGAGGCGGACTTTCTGCTCCTTGTTCCACAGGAGCTACCTCCTCAGGAGATGTTATCTCTTGATACACATCGTTAGCGAGGGTTGCGAGGAAGTCCTGCCGAGAGGAGCATATTATAAGCGTTGTGGGATAGACGTGACGGTCTAGGATATAATTGAGAAGCTCGGAGGGAAATGCTGGAGATAGGAAGACGAACGGCGCCGAAGACATGGATATTGTAGCTTCATAGTAGCCATCCTAGAGTCTTAGCAGAGAAATCTGAGCATATGTAAGATATATATTCGCTCGGTACTTTTCATATCATGTTGAACTTTGGAATATAGGTAAGTAGAGATCTAGATCATGTACATCCAAAATATTATAAAGCACCAGGTAGTAATTATGTACCTACCTAGGTATTCAATGTCAGGTGTGTCCATCAAATGTAAGTTTGGACCCGCCGTTCCGAATAGAGTTGATTGAGAAACGGAGGGAGTTGCGATGGCGTATTCGGGGTTCCACATAAAGGCGGACTTAGTTGTGCCCCACCAAAACTCAACAATTAACTTTCTTCCACCGACGTCACACTCCTAAGAACACAATAACGCGATCGACGCAGCAGCTTACAAGCTGTATGCGCGCACATATCCACACATCATGGAGTCTATCTCTCGAATATCCAACTTACTCGAGAGCGGTAAGAACAATTGCGTCCTAAGAGCCACTCGACTGAAGCGGACTGACATTTATCTCCATAGCTCGGGAGCTCACCCTCGACGCGGCTCAAGCCGCCCGGAGCTCTCGAAGCACCACACGAACATTGCCCGTGCCACAAATCAAGAAACTTCTAGACAGCCGAAATGATCGCGAAGTGCTCGACGGACTCCGGCGCGTCATCTCTGTACGCATTCAAGATTTATTCTCTTCCACTACTAGGGAGCGCCAGCTGATCGATCCTACTTAACCAGATGATGTATCGCCAGCAAAAGACCTTACCCTTCTTCTCCTCTGTCGTCAAGAATGTCGCGTCGCCGAACCTCGAAATAAAGAAACTTGTATACATATACCTCATTCACCATGCCGAACAGGAACCAGATATGGCCCTTTTATCCATTAATACCATCCAGAAATCCTTGTCAGATTCGAACCCGCAAGTACGAGCGCTCGCCCTACGCACCATGTCCGGCATCCGAGTCCCAGTCATCAGTCAGATCGTCTCGTTGGCTATCAAAAAGGGCGTGGTTGACATGTCTCCCCATGTACGCAAAGCCGCTGCTCTTGCCATACCGAAATGCTATCGTCTAGAACCGAGTACTCTACCGCAACTACTAGAAAACCTGACGACACTCCTAGGCGACAAGCAGTACTTTGTTGCAGGAGCTGCCGTTAGCGCTTTCAATGAAATATGTCCCGACAGGGTGGATTTGATCCACAAGCATTATAGGAGTCTCGTTAAAAAGGTTGTCGACATGGACGAATGGAGCCAACTTGCGATGCTAAAGATGGTGACAATCTATGCACGAAAGTGCTTCCCAAGGCGGACTAGAAGTGCAAAGGCAAATGACAAATCAACAGATCTCCAGGACTTCTACGGAGATGCTTCACCGGAATCTGCATCGGAAGGGGAACAAGTGATTGTCCTCGACCCTGATCTTGTCTTATTGCTTAACGGGATCAAGCCACTTCTTCAGAGTAGGAACTCTGGAGTTGTGGTAGCTGTAGCCCGCTGCTATATGGACATAGGTACTGCCGAATATACAAAAGCTGCAGTTGGTCCGTTAGTTGCTCTCCTACGGGGCGCGCAAGATATTCAACAAGTGGCCCTCTACAACATAGTTTCCGTCTGTCTGGCACACCCGGAGTCTTTCGTCAGACATGCGTCCCATTTCCTCGTCCGCGCTACTGACACAGCCCCAGTGTGGGAATTAAAGCTTGAAGTTCTCACACTGATCTTCCCTCATAGCCCCTTGCATACAAAGAGCCTCATACTCAACGAGCTCGAACACTTTGCTCGCGGGACGAATAAATCGCTTGTTCGCGAAGCAGTGCGAGCTATTGGCCGCTGCGCGCAAGGTGATCCTGCAACCGCATCCCGGTGTATGCGGCTTCTACTCGGACAAATAACAAGTTTAGACGGCACGTTAGCGGCTGAGTCTCTGACAGTGATTCGGCACCTTATCCAACAAGATCCTCAGGCACATGTGGGGACCGTCGTGCGCTTAGCAAAGAATCTAGATTCCGCAACCGATCCACAAGCGCGCGCAACTATCATCTGGCTCGTGGGCGAATTCGCCGGTCTGAACGGCGAGGACAACATCGCGGCCGACGTGCTGCGCATACTTCTCAAGGAATTCGCAGACGAGTCCGAGATCGCCAAGCGGCAGATCGTCCTGTTAGCCGCGAAAGTGTACTTACATCACCTCAACCGAGTAACCGAAGTACAGAAGTCAGATGAAGAGAACCAGGAGCCTCCTCCCAACTCAGAAGATCATCCCATAGCCCGTCTATGGAATTACGTCCTTCTACTCGTCCGATACGACACTTCGTACGATTTGCGCGACCGCACGCGCTTGTACAAAGCACTGTTGAGTGTACCTCAACTCGCAACCCTCATGCTGCTAGCTCCTAAACCGGCACCTCAGGCGCCCAGCCCGTCGGAGACGCGCCGGGGGTTCGCGCTAGGGTCCTCGGCGCTAGTCCTTGCGGGCGGTGGCGGTGTGCACGGGCTCCGCGGGTACGAAGCCCTACCAGACTGGGTCCCGGAGGGCCGCGAGCCGGACCCGAAGTTAAGAAACACGGAGGGTGTTAGGGACGAATACACGGGCGAGAAGAGGGTCGTCCCCGCTGCGCAGATGCTCGGCGACGGACGCAGAGGTGGGAATAGGAGCAATGGATTATCCGCGGCAGCGGCACCGGGGACGGGTGCAAAGACTTTGGATGATTGGCTTGCCGAGGACGAGAACGAGAACGAGGACGAGGATGATGAAGGAGAGGAGGGCGGGGAAGAGGAAGAAGAGAGCGAGGAGGACGAAGAGGAAGAGTCTGAGGAGGAAGAATCTGATGATGAGGAGGAAGAAGAGAGCGACCAAGAATCAGACGATGCGAAAGCTGAGTTGGAAGGATTTCTTAATCGCTGACCTTAGACCTCTCTTCACTTCTCGTTAAGCGCATAGGTCTTTGCGTTCTGGGTATGAATACGGCGAGGATAGAAGCTACCTATTATGGCTGCATTGGGACTAGCTGCTTAGAATTGGAGCATTGCCGGTGCATTGGTTTGTGGCTGCTTTGCCTTGATTATGGATAATGAGGTATCGTCAAAGCATGAAAATCGACTATTTGAATGAAGTGCTATGGTGTTGAAGATATGTATAGTACACACAATAAATTAAAAGTGGATCGCCTGAGGAGGTTGTTTAGAAAAGGGTATATCCATATTCGTAAGTTAGGGATGTCTCGGTTCTATCTATAATGCGAAAACTCAACATAATATCCAAACGTATCTCCCCGTAGGTCGCTTGTTTATGTTCAAGAATAATAGCTCGCTCGCTACCCGGCAAACCCGCAAGATGACATAGATCGTATCTACCATCGAAACAAAGGCCTTATCTACACGCCCGAAACCTCCTCCGGCGCCGCTTTCCGCTCCGCCAACGCCCCCTCGTCGCTCGATATCACGGGTTCTTCGGGCTTCGCCTTCTCGGACACGGCCTTCTTCCTCCCGAAGCGCCGGGCCTCGCGCTCGGCCATGGCTGGGAAGAGGAAGCCTGGCGAGAACGCGGTCAGGAGGATGACGGGGATGACGATGCAGCTGTAAGCGTGGTTAGATCGGGTTGGCTATAGCTTTGATCTCCTTTCTTTCGCAAGTAGGGGGTTAGGAGGAGAGTGGGGAGTTTGATAGTTTGGGCAAGGGGGACGGGCGAGTGAAAAGGAGGAAAGGGGGAGAGAGGGAATAGGGGTGTAGGCGGAACTTACAAGCCCTCGAGGACAACAAACGACGGCTCGTCTTGCATAATAGGGTTTCCCCAACCACCGGCCATCTCCGCGATTCTGTATATACACCGAATCAAGATCCCCGCGTACGCGCCAGCAACCGCATATACAAACATACGGAACTTACGATCCCTCCACGTCGCCAGCGCCAGCCTATCCTGCTCCCCTAACCTTCCCTCCTCTGCCGCTCCCTCCACACTCCTAACCCACCCCCTAACCCTACGCCAGTAATCCCCCACCATGACCCCAAAGCCACCCAGCACGGCGCACTGCAGCGCGATGCCCGCGATGATAACGCGGTCGCCGCTCTCGAGCAGCTCCGGGTGCGTGTACCCGGCGCTGGCGGCGAGGCTGCCGCCGATGGCCTGCAGGATGAGGCAGGAGACGTCGGCGGGCACGAAGATCAGCGGGTAGAGGCGCGGGCGCAGGCGCGAGAGGGCCGGGTTGAGGGATAAGGTGACGTGCTTTAGCGTCAGGTAGATGGAGATGCATATCAGCGTCGGCGCGAGGATGATGGCGCAGATCTGTGTTTGGAAGGCGCTTGAGTTCCACGGGTTGGCGTGCAGGAGGACGCGGGATATGTAGCCTGGGGCGGGTGGTTTTTTTGGTTAGCTAGGTGGTATGATGGGAGCTTGGCTTGTCTCTCTCCCTCTGTGCGTGTGTGTGTGTGTGTGCGTAGATATGTGTAGACGGAGGATGAAATTTTACGGGCTGAAGCGAGAACGTACCTGCGAATTCTAGAATGCACCCAGCTGTCAAAGCAGCGGAATACCCCCAAGTTCTCTTCCAGATGCCGGTGGTGACAAGGCCTATGACACACAGGCCGAACGCCGCAGCGAGGAAGGCGTTGACGCCAAGGTTGGGGTAGTAGCCCAGTACCGTCGCTTCAACTGGGCAGACAGGGCTAACTTCCGTACATAGTCTGTATGATATGTGTTGCGGTGAACCTGTACTGTTTGTACTATTCGACATCTTGTCGAGTTTTTCTCACAGAAGCTTCCTCGCTCCTCTTCTGTCCAATCGTTGCGGCCGTCTAAGTGTATGCGTATGTGTATTGAGTTCGCTTTAGAGAAAAGAGCACTTATCGTACTTATAGGGATTTCGGTTGAGTAAGCGCTGAGGTATTACTATCCTAGTAAGTAGATATGTATAAAATATGGGTAGGTAGGAAATAAAATAGGATATAAACAAGATATGTGCAAGAATTGTTATAGCAAAGGGTATTATACTAAGTAAAGATAGGTCGGGAAAAAAAGAAGTAAAAGGAGAATTAATCCCAGCAAGCAGAAATCCGGCAGTATGGTAAGTTAATAAGGAAACGTGGGAGCCTCATGGATTATGGGATATTTCAGGCGAATCGGTCTCCATCGTGACAGGGTAATCTGATATCTCGGCATCATCGATGGGCGAACCGAATCACGAATACGGGGAATGGCGCGAGGACCCGGTGCGGAAAGAGATCGAATAGTGTCCGCGAGGAGGTTACTAAATGCGGTAAAGACGAAGATTATAGGCCAGGAAGGGTAGACGTCGCTTAACGATCTGACAGGCCCTTAAGTGGGCTTCTAGAACCCCGATGCCCAGCTCGGTACGCCAACCGAGCAAACGAATCTTTGTCCAGTTGCCAAGTCCCAAGATACAAAGAATTTCAGTTGGAAAGATCGTACTACCTGCCTAGCTAAGCCTATTAGTCTGAATAATCGCTTCGGTAATTTGAACAAGCGCTTGGAGTTACCAGCTGTGACGTATCATATCGTTGACAAGGTCCAATGGAAATCTAGATGATGTAGATATAAGATATTAGATCGATCCGCATTAGAGGCGGAAGAGACCTCATCCGGGACGCTACCACGGCGCCACGCAGATCTCGGGCCCAGAACACATAGCCGCATTCTACTTATAATTAACCTTACTCGTGTCAAAATATTCATATTTCCAGTATAGCCGCCGAAAGTTTAGAGACCTGAAATCTGACGAATTTTCATGGAATATAAGTATTTCAATTACATATAGATATATCTCATTCCTTACCGCCGAGGAATCTATAAATGACGGAAAAGTCCCTTCCTCTGCACGATCCTACTTGTTCCGCTTCTTCGTAGACTTGCCTTGCTCGGTCACCGAGTTCCAACTTTGCATCGGCTTCCTTTGCAGCTACGATGGCGAGCTTCAAATCTTTCTTCATCAGACTAATGCCAAACCCACCGGAGTAGTCACGGCTAGCCGGCGCACCTTCAACTACTCCCTTTACCGGATTGTTGACTTCGCTGGGCCAGCACCTACCAGTGCTAACATTGATGATATTCGCCAATGTCTTAGGATCGAGTCCCCATTTGATACCGAGATTCATCGCTTCAGCCGTTGCGATGTTGTTGATCGCCAGCAGGTAGTTATTGGCTAGTTTTGCGCTAAGTCCATTACCCTGGGCGCCGCAATGCAATACTCGTTTCCCCATTCGCAATAGTAATGGTTCTAACCTTGGCACCAAAGCGTCAGGGGCGCCCAGCATAAAGGTTAAAGTGCCTGCAGTAGCACCTACAACGCCGCCTGACATGGGAGCATCCACAAATTGGCCCTGGTTTGCATCTGCAACCCACCTTGCAACCTCTCGGGATGACGAAGGATCAATGGTTGAACAGTCGATATACACCCTAGCTTTCCCAGGTAAGTCTGGAGACAATATCTCGCGGTACACGCTCTTTACGTGAGATGGTTCAGGCAGCACCGTTATTACTATATCCTAGAGGAATCAGTTAGTCTCGACACCCTCACATCATTCCGATAATTTAAAGATGATATGAATTAACTCTTCAGAGGATTGGCTTTAAAGTAGGTTGATAATCACAGGAAGGCCGGCGAACCGGCCCCAACTTAGATCATAGATAGAACAGACTCATCATAGAAACAATTGGGGTTTAAGGAATAACGAAAACTTACCGACTCTCTTGCAGCATCGTTTGCATTGCGCGAGACTTCAACAGCAGCACCACCAGTTTGAGAAACTTTCATCTCTTCAGCTAGACGTTTCGTAGCATTGATATTGATATCGAATAGTCTGACTGAATCACTGGGAGAAAGTTTCGACTGGAGATTTTTGGCCATTTGGTAACCCTAGATCCGCATTTATTAGTCTTCGTTGTTTGCTACGTATTGAGAAGATAACAGCGCGGAACGTACCATTTGACCTAAACCGATGAAGCCATAGCTCTCTAGCCGTCTCGGTGTTGTCGAGAAAGCTCGCTGTTGAGCTCTGAAGAAGCCCCACGCAACCAGACGTGCTCTCATGTTGCTTAATGACGAAACCCAACTGCCCTAAACCTATAATATCTTGATAAGATCAACTTGAAGTGTCGTTATACATATTATAAGGATCTAGAGAAAGGTCAAAAAGTTCAGTTGGAGACTTCTCCACGCTCTCCAAAGCCCTTGAAAGTCGCGGGGTACTGGGGTGATCCGAGGGCAGCCATAGAACAGAACCGACCATTGCCGGTCCTAAGCACTCAGTCTCAGGCTTTGAGCCCCAGAGGCCCAGTGACCTTCAATGGATCAAGGGATTTGCAAGCCACACATCGCACATCTATGATAATGCACGCATTGTGACAGACCACAGTGGCATCTTAATCCACTGGATTGTCTTCAGAAACGTCCTGAAGTGCATTTCGACACGGACGTCGAAGATTCATTTGCCCAAGATGACTTTTCATTCACTGTTGTGGGAAATTTGAAATTTAAATTGGGAGAACGAGAAAATAAAAGGAAATTGGGAAAAAATTTTCGACCCATGTATATTGGGAAATTTAGAGCTTGGGCCATCCGGCTGGAACCGGTGGATCCCTACCTGCTCGTTATCTGCTCGTTATCCCTCAATGGACCGGGGAAGTCACATCCACGAATCCGACTAGAAAGGAGCCGCATGCTTGCGCTTGGACTTATTTGATGTACATGTACAATGATGCATTATGTCGTTACGCAGGTACAAGATATATTTCTTCTCACATTGCGGATTCTAGATGGCATCAGGTGAAGGTAATCTGGACAGACTTGAAATAGCGCTATAGGACGAGTCATCTAAGGCAAGTATAACTGCTACTACCCGTACCGGTAGACTCTTTGTTCCTCTAACAATATATCTTCCTTGTTCTAGCAGGAATTATAAACCCGCAATAGTTTAATTGTCACATAGCATTTTCTCAAGTTTGCAAGTCACAAATACTTATTAACGAGTGAATATTCTCTTTTCATTATGGGTTTATCGGAATCTGTAGAGTACGGCGAACCCTTTCTTCTCAGAGGGGCCCACCGCAAGGGGGGTAGATGTATACATGAGCTATTCCATATAGCTTCGCGAAATCAGAACAGCTGGTTCTGAGCAACTGGGGGTATGTGCAAATATAACAGACGAGTGACCTGGCCTCTCCACCTGATCCAAACCCCTGCGAAACTGTCTGGGTTTATTATGACGGAGGGAACGGAGTGATGACGGGATGGGATGGAGACTACTTGGCTAAACAATCAAAAACACAAGGAAGAAAGAGACGTTGTAATGGTCTAAAATACGCCCATAACGTACGGAATTAAAGCACTAGGGAGAATGGTTAGCTTTTCATAGTCAAAAATGGAAGAGGTTCACAACTTACCCAACCGCGAGGGTTGCACTCAGACCAACCAACGCCCGGTTTCTGACACGCTCCTTTCTCAGCTGTACCTCCGTCTTTTCAGTCTTGGCCTTCTTAGATCGGGGTTCCTCCGAACCTTCGACCGGAGCTTCCGCCTCCTCTTCCTCTTCATCAGCAGCAATATCGTCGGCCTTCCGCTTGCCCTTACTGCTTGAGCCAGACGACGCCGCGGTTTCAGCAGCGGCAATTCTCACCATTTCCTTCGCCTCTTCGATCATCCGAGCAGCCTCCTCGGGGCTGGGTTCGCCGCTAACAGGAAGCTCCAATTCGACAGCAGTTTGTGTCGTCTCGGTATCACCGTGGAACTCGACTTCTTGACCAACCTTGATTTGCACTTTAGGATCCTCCTCAGTCGGCGCGAAGACAACAGGAGGTTCCCTTTCAATGGTTTTGATAGCGACCTCTTCAGTGGCGGCGGTAGACGCGGTATCTTCATCTGTCTTAGTACCGTTCGTAGCGGGCTCGACTTCTTCCTTTACGGGAGGGATCTCTGCGGGGGAAGGCTGACGCGCTGCGGCTTTGGCGGTTCGCTTCCGCGGAGACGCGATAGCTCGCTTCTTCGAGGGACTAGCTGAGCGGCGGCCTCGCGTGCTGCGGGGAAGTGATGATGGGGTCGGCGGTGCAAGAAGTGGCTGCGTAGGTAGGGGAGCCTCGAACTTAGGCGGTGCCGTAATTCTCTTAGGAGGGCTATCTGGTGCGTTCGTGATGGCGATGTCGGCCGGGTCTAGAAGAGCGGAAATCCAAGGAGTAATCCGATACTCTTCGGCGAGGGCCAAAGCTTGCTCAGGCGGGATCCAGACGTTTCCAGCAGTCTCCTCGTGGCTTGTTGTAGGTAACGACTTGATGAATTTGCGTTCCATCTCCTCTTCGACCGCCTCGGCATAAGGGAAAGTCGCCTTGAACATTCCGGTCGCAGATACGTATCCATCCTGGCTGCGACGCATAAGGAAGTACGAGTTTGGAGAAGACTTGAAGATGCCCGAAGTGATGCCCTTGGGCAAAGGAGCTCGCAAGTGCGCATAGTCGAAAACGCCCAGGCTCGAAGGATCGATATCCCCTGCGGTGCCCGCAGCAACCATCTTCGCGGTCAATTGGGTCTGACCCAGACGTCGGCGCGAAACCAGCTCATGATCTAAAAACATGTAAGCGATGCAAGCCAATAATTATCAAATAGGGGGGATGCAATACAAGGAGGGATATCATCCGTCATCAAAGGGTTATGTTTGTTGGGAAGATGTCTCGGGGTAGCCATTTTGAGTATTTTCTAAGACGCGACCGAGTCAACGCTTTGCGCGAGAGGCTCGTATGGGATTTGAATTCGCGACAGGCGATCAGTGCCAAATGAGACCAGAATTAAAAGGATGCAGAAGAACTGGGGCTGGTCGCCGGGTTAGCAGTTGTTTGCCATGGAGTCGCGCGGAGATGCGATGCGATGCGATGTCGCCGGTCGCCGTGGAAGCGCGCGGATTTACGCCCTCTCGAATAGGCGGGTCGCCAGAATGGATCAGACTCACGTTATGTGGAAATTCGTCAGGAAGGGAAATACTATCTTATGTATATAAAAAAAGGCTACACACCAAGATGGAGGATCTTGGGTAATAAGTGAAGATGAAGATAGAATTCTTTCGATGACTAAAAGCAGCGAAGAAAAGGGGTCGATGTAGATGTGACACCCGGCGCAAAGAAATCGAGACGATTTTTTGAGGCGAATGTCAGGAAAAGGACAAGGTCGAGAAGCACTTGAGGGAGGGTAGGCGAAGGGAATTGGGAGAAAGCTGGGGGGAAGGACCCGTTCGCGTGCTGCTACCTGCTAGTCAAGGTGTCAGCACCAGTCGCGAAATAGAAATTGATGAATTACCTCGACGGGCTTAGCGGCCTCCACTTATGCCAAAATTCAATCCAATAGACATGGAGACAAACGGCAGGGGATATTGACTCCTACTTCGCAGAGATAAAAAGCTCGGGCCAACACCCTTTCCAGGAACACACGTGTTGTACTCAGTTCATCGCGGCTGCAGCTAACGCCGAATAGGAATGGGCGGTTGACGAAGTACAGTTGGACAGTAGAATGATACGGTATATAGAAGGATATCTCACTGTACGTAGTATGTAGGTTGTAGGTGCGGTTCATCTTGTGGAATTTGGTTTAAGCAAGAGGGCAACTACGATTCTTCAGATTGTAAACTCGCTTTATTAGATAAACACAATTTGGTTTCATTCCTCATACAACGCCCAGATGTATTGCATATCCTGTCCCTTCTCATAAACAATCTCATCGTCGAATTCTTAAGCACCTCAAATTCCAGCTTATTCCTAAGGACAGCAATCATAGCATATCCATATGGTTATACATACCTATTGATCAGACCACAACTTCCGTTAACTCACTCTTCTTTCATTTCTTCGGCATTATAAATATCAGTTAACTACCTTACAATTTTTAATCATATATTTCAACAGGTTAAAAAGTAGTCAACCTTGTTATCTGCTGAATATAGATGTGTCAATCTCCGGTACCATATAAAAACATCAAGGACGTCAAAACAACACTAAAGCCGTACGGGTGTTAACATTCAGAACACCATGCATGACTTCCTATTAACCCCGATTTGCCATCATGTCAGGCAGCATGAAGTATCACCCGCACGAGAGTAAGCACGCATTACAAGGCAAGCGCGGCTTTAACTTGACACTACAACTGCGGCACAAGTACAGAACTTGGAAAAGTGAATAGAGGCCCGAAGGCCGATCACACACAGTCGGGACGAAACAGAGACCCCTCGAAGCACTGGTGCCTTTCTTATGTTCTAGCCCCGCTGCACCGCTACACTTGAACTGCACCTTTAAAGAGCGATAGAGCCACTAAAAAAGACCAGAAGTCCCCAATCCTGTGACATCGTACTCATCCCACTTTCTTTGTACACTAGATCGACGTAGGAGTATTTCAAGGTACTCAGGTTCAAAGTACCTTCTTAGTGAGCCCCACTACCATAACTACACCTCTGCCAAGTACAGATCCAACACCGCCAGTCTACCCCTCCTATCTTATTTCGCTGAACGACAACACGACAACGTCGTCCTTTATTTACTTCTTCCCAAACAATTCAGAACTTATATTCGCCTTCTCACCGTCTACTTACCGGTAAACTAACCTTTTGATTTGGCAACTTGCCATTAGTCATTTGCAAAATGGCCTCTCAAGACGAAAATGATCATTTGCCTGAGGAGACTCAAGGCTACAAGCTCTCGCAGCCCAAGCAGAGCTTGGCTGAATATCAGAATATGGGTGCGTATACATATCAATTTTTCTATACCTCTTCATTTCACCTTCATAATCCAATAAAATTTTCTTTTGCATTGATTGGAAATGTCCATGTGTTGCCAGTAAGGCTACGGCGAGGACTCTAAAACTGTGTGTTCGGGGAGTAGATGAAGGTTGGAAGGGGTTGGGTAAAAAAAGGGGTAACAAGACGAGAGCGACAACGACGGTGACGACAATAGTGAGAGTGGTGAAGGACAGGTGTTTCTAGGTGCACCTACTATCACCTGCTGCCACTGTAAATTTAGTTTGAGATGGGAGTGAAAAACGGTCCGCGCAGTGGCACAATGACGACGGTTGTTTGAGTCGGAACCTGCCCATGAGTACTGAGGTCGTGCACGACAACCTTCACAAAAATCAGCTCCTGTCATCGACAATGACTCTTGAGATGATTTTTCGTCCCGCAACTTATTCTATTTTTTCCCTTTCCCTCCTCACGTCTCAACCACCCTGAGGCATTCTTTTTTTACGACATCAGCATCGCCATCTTTATTCATTTCTGCTCGTCTTCATATTCGACACATAACATCACACTCCTCAATGCATCGTTCTGCTCAATTTTTTCACCATGGATGCCCCCAAGCATCGTCCACCCCTGTTTGCCACAGGACGTGGTAGAGCTCCTCGGCACATGGTGTCGATGCCACAAATTATGCGTGCCCGTGCCGACGATGTGCCTCATCTACCCACCCTTCAACGAGTATCGGAGGTCGACCTCAGTACGATTTTGCAGGAAACCGAGGAAGAAGCCCAGGAACCCAGTCTACATCAAGAAGCCACACTTGTCAACAGTTCAGAATATGATTCTGTCCATACCAAAAAATCCATCAAGGATTTTTTCAAGAATTACCTTCACATTGGCACCACCAAGCCAAAACTGAAGCCAGTCACTCGCGAACCCGTCCAACGCTCCAACAAGAAACCAATTTTACGCATGGATTTCTTGAACTGGCTCAAGGAGAGAGCGTCACTAGCCATAACAAGATGCCCTTCTTCATCTTCATCTGACAGTGGCCTCGATCCTTGGATGACATGTATAGGAAATCCAGCTCACATGATCAATCCTGAGGAGGAAACTACTGCTGTCAACACCAATCCCTCAGCAAACCCTTCTCTCTATAATTCTTCCGTTTATTCTACCTCATCCACACAGAACGAACATGGCATCACATTCCCCAAGGTTAGAAAGGATGCTTCTAACAAGACTTCCATTGACACAGATGCGAACGACGAGTCTCTCCAGCGCTACAAGCAGTCTCTCGGTCTTGGCGGCGGAAAGGATCTTTCTGATCCCAACGATCCCCGTGTTTGTATCATCAACGCGCTAACTATGGAATCACCCGGCCGTGCTCCCGTCACCATTGACCTATCCGCCCCTGGCAGCGAGCAGACCCTCAAGGACCGCCCCTTCAAGATCAAGGAAGGCTGCAAGTTCACCATGGCCGCCAGCTTCAAGGTCCAGCATGAGATCCTTAGCGGCCTGCAGTATGTCCAGGTCGTCAAGCGCAAGGGAATCAAGGTCAGCAAGGACTCTGAGATGCTCGTAAGTAATTGTTTCCCCCCTTCTCATTCAAACTTGTTCATTGTTAGCTGACCAATCCGCAGGGTAGCTATGCACCGAACACAGACAAGCAGCCGCTTTACAGTAAGCGCTGTAAGTATTCTTCATCTAAACTACATAAAATTGATCTCTTTCATCTGACCTTTCAATAGTCCAAGAGGAGGAGGCTCCTTCCGGCATGCTTGCCCGAGGTCACTACAACGCCACGTCCAGCTTTGTCGACGATGACAAGAAGACTCACCTGCAATTCGAGTGGAGCTTCGACATTGCCAAGGACTGGTAGATGACCAGACAAGTCAAGTTCGACGGACAAAAAGTTTCATTCCAGTTTGACGGTAGCAGTCGAGGGAATACGGATGTATATCCCCCAAAAAATTCCGGCAGGAGAATTTGGTTTCAGTCAGTTGATTCAGGTGGCTAGGGGATAGGATGCTGTGCTGTGCTTATAGGGGGTCGATTCTTGAGTGTAGATAGTTCATTGCCGGAATTTGACCAGTGCTCCGCTGATCATCTTCACTGCACTTTCTTATTCTGATTCTTTACGACACCCAGCATAGCAACCCTTCCTCTCCTCGTTTTATTTGACGAAAGGAGGTCTGAATTAAATAGGCATGCAAATGAAAACACAACTGGGTATTTCGATCCTACTTCTCCCGCTTTATCATCCCTTGCTACATTGATTGAGGTATCTTCCTGTTATTTCCACTCACTTTTCACGTGGTCATGATCCTATGTACTTATGAATTCTAATCCAGCTCAACTGTCATGCTCTTATAGGAAGTAGTCAGGCAGCGCGTTGCCGTCGGACGTCTTCTCGTTTCCTTGCTGTATCTCCTTGTGCTGGTCATTCTCAGGCGCAGCTGCGAACACGTTGAAGAACCTCTCGCCCACGTCACTAACTTCCAGCACACTGGCCATATTACCGCATCTGTAGCAGTAGTTAGGCGCGCTCCATACCGTGCTCAGGTGGTCGTCGTAGAGGACTTGGAAACCCTCCTGACAGAGCTGGTGCGCGCGCAGGATGTGGTTCATTCCGTTGACGGCTAGGAACTTCTTGACCACGCGCGCGCCGAAGGTGTAGCCCGCACCTCGGGGCGATAGAGAGAATTCGTCTCTTTCCGGATCCGGATCCGACCACACTAGATCCGCCATGGGGCCCTCATGAGGTATCTCCCGAAAGCGGTCTATGATCTTGATCTGGTCTATAGAGTGGATCGACGGTGATAGACCGCCGTGAACGCAGAAGATCTGATCGTTGATGACCACTGACAGGGTCAAAAAGTCGAACATGTCCGTGAAGTAGTGCCAGACGTTGGCGTTGCCGTACTTGCGCGAACACTCTGTGTAGAAACCGTATGACTGCGTGACACCACGCGACTCGTGATTGCCGCGAATTAGATGGACCCTGTTAGGGTACCTGAGCTTGAGGCACACGAGGAGGGAGATAGTCTCCACGCTGAACATGCCACGGTCTACATAATCGCCTGTGATTTTCCAGTTAGAGAGGGTTGCTCAATTGCGATATATCGTTTGCGCTTACCAAGGAATAGGTAGTTCGTGTCCGGGCAAAAACCGCCGATCTTGAATATCTCGATCAAATCGTAAAACTGCCCGTGGATGTCGCCGACTACTGTGACGGGGGCTCGCACGTGGACGACGTTGCTCTCTCGCATGAGCAGCTCCTTGGTCTTAGCGCATATTGCCTCGATAACCGACTCGGCCAAAAGTTCCTTCTTATACAAACGGGAGATGCACTCATCAAGATCGACCGAAGCTATGGGATGATTGTTGGTTAATTCGATCTGATGTGGGATGTGGTGGGGGTGGACTAACCTGGGAGGCCAGGCATCTTGGCCGACCAGCGACGATGCGCGAAAAATAGTAGAAGAAAAAGAGTAAGAGTCTACCCAAAGCTGGATCAAGATGCAGTCTGCGGTTGACCGTGGGGTATGGTTGGCGACTTCTTTCTGCTCCGAGGAAATACAAGGTCGTATGGGGAGCTAGCAGAAACCGCAAACATGTTCGAAGGAAGAATTCTTGTCGCCTCGCATGGGGGGTGTCGGAATAAAGTGCTGCACCAAAGCAGGTGGTAGGTTAAGATTAGAGGGTGGGCGACGAATCGAGAGCGAACAAAATGACGAAGTGTTGTGTACCTGGTTAAGATGATGACTTGATGTAGAAGACGATATGATGCGCTGGATGTCAGGGAACTTTGGAATTGCTAAGCTAACTCTTATCTCTTATCACCCCTGCGCCACATAAGGAAGAGCCGCACTTGCGCTAGTTTAGGTTGCTAGGCTGACTTTGGGTTAAGCTACTAAAGTAGGCACTCATTATAACGGTATCCTGTTTCATGTGCATATTGCTTCTATTGATATTATTCTAAGAGGTTTCAACCAACATAATATATCAGAACAAGGGAGACTACGGTAAGTGTAAATGTACGAATGATTTATTCTTAGAAATAATATATATATATAGGTAAGTATTCAGGTTTTTTACACTTTCCACAATGTGTGGACAGCTATATATAGGTGATTATCCGATCAGCAGCGCTGCTCAGATAGGTGAAATACATCATTATGATACTAACTCATTATGCAATATAACCCCTACCTTGCAGCCTCCAGCGGCTACCCGACTTTGCCGCGCATGAAAATCATCCGATCAGACTTTTCTGCACCTTCAACTTCTTTTTTCCAACTTCATCCCTTCATCCTATGAAGCGTTCTTCAAAAGGCTCGGAGTAGTCGTTCTCGCATTACCGTACGCTATGCTGTACTGACCATCCTTTCAGAGGCATGCGTTGCAATAACTTGTTTTCGGATGATTCATAGTGGAACAGCCGATTCCTTTTCCTTTACTATTTCTCTGAAACTGGATTCAGCTGTCATTTCCTGAACTTCTCAGAGGCTCTTTTTTTTTCATATCTTCTCGATGTCCGAGTACTAATATGTATCCGGCTAACTTTATCTAATTTCACAATGAAAACATGAGAATCGGTAGTTTACCTTACGACATGTTGAAGTGACAAAAGGATGGAATACCTAGAATTGGTCTACTTGATCTAAGGCCACATCATTGATTCATCTGGATCCTGTTCTTTTCTTCGTCGTCTCAAATAGGACCTGTCTCTTAGAAGACGTTATCTTCATATTTTATCTGGATGCTTCAATGTCTGGTTTCTTATTATGACTAATGTTATCAGAGCCTGACCATAGCATGACATCAGCCTCTTGATATTACCTTATTGCAGAAGCTCACTCTTTCTTGTCTGAGATCTATTTCTTCTATATTAGAGAGTCAAATATATTCCTATCCTCTCTTGGGATGTCTCGTGTGTGTAGAATTACCTGGAGGTATATGTCCATATATCTATATATCTTGGTCAACCGTGTTGAATATTGTTTTATTATATTCATATTCTTGTCTCCCGGCCAAACAATTTGGAGTAACGGACCGAAGTTTAACCGCTGGCGCCGCGTTTCGAGGCGGTACCTCAATTTATGTACCTACCTCCAAGCTATTTGAACCTAAAGGATGGTCTCAGTCGGATGTACCTTTTCAATCTGGACATTTGAATCTCACCCGTGAAACCGAAACCTTCAATTTCAGCCCATCCGCAATTGATTAACCCATGTTGAGGATCCCAAGCACCCATATTGTTAGACCCAGCCCAATTGCGCCCCGTTCGCATTTCCATCTGATAGAGAGACCATTCTTGATGAATTCACAGCATTGGATCTCGCGACAACGGAGTGGAGGGATTTGTGTTGTTGGTGGTGGTCATCAATTTGTCGCGGTGAAGAGCTGATCCGGTAAGTCAACGACAAGGTGAAGGCCACTACTTTCATCGCTTCTCGGTATTCTCCTATCATATAACCTCTTTTCTATACTCAGGGCCTGCTCTAGCCCAACTTTTCCTTGGATTTGGAATTAATGAGAAGAGCAATTGTCAATTCCTCTAACCCCGCGCATAGGAAGTTGCCCGACAACTTCGTCTCTTCGCGCGCCGCTATTCTCGCGCTGATAGCTGGTCTGGCACGGCGTCGCGCTTTTCTTCCGAACCGTCTTCTATATCGAATTCGCTGTACCAAAACTCACCTGGATGAGCGCTTCGCAACTATTATAGCCTTTGCTCTTGCTCGCCGTTGCGCTTAGGTGCTCCGCGCCTCGTCATCTTTCATTAGCTCTCATCAGCCTTCCCCCTTGTCTATACGAAAGGGACACTCCGATTCGTCAGGGGCGGCTTCCGATTTTCAATATATTCTCTCTTTTTGAAGATGGCCCAAGTTGCTCCGGGTCTTGGACCGGACCGCAATGATCGCCCCTGCTATAACTGTGGTATAAGAGGCCACATGTTCAATGCATGTCCCGAGGAGCCTCGGAAAGTGCCAGCGTAAGTGCTCTAATCGTATTTCTACTTGTCTTCAAACATGATGCCCTGTTCACCTTGACTTTATCACCTTGAATCGTATTGGCTAAAAAAAGGCAACAGTGGGTTGGAGGCTTCCTGGGCACGACATCAGTCAAGTGCTAGCCCTCATAACGACAGCTTTACACCTAACAAGCGAAGCAAGGGTCCGGTAATTACGCGTTACCCCCCTCCGCCTGCTGCTGCTTCTCATCATCCACCCCCTTTGCCTCGCTTCGATAATTCACCACCTCAACCTTATCCACCAGGACCAATTCCAGGCTATCCTCCACCAAACCCATCCTATGATCGGTATGGGCCTCCAGGACCTCCAGGACCTCCCGGTCCGCCACCGCCGCCGCTTGGTTCTCAACCATTAAATCCCCCTGGTTACCATAGCAACCCTTATCCTCCGGCGTATGGTCCTCCGGGCTCTGTTCATGGACCTTTTGATCACCACCGCGCCCCTCCTCCTGCGCGTCCTAGCCACTATTATCCCAATGATTATCCTCCAGGCCCTCCCGGCCGACCTGACCCATACCCCCCTAACCAATTCCCCGCAGGCCCACCTGGCCCTCCACCGTATGCCTCACAGCAACAGTACCCCCCTGGTCCTCCACCACCATACCCACCGCCACCAAGTTTTAGTCATCCGCCTCCGCCATTCGGTTATCAAGGCCCTCCCCCCGGCTATGCTCAAGGTGAATATAGCCAACCACAAAGGGAACCTCCTCCTACTCTCTACCACCATCCGTATGCACCTCCCGACCCCTATGGTCAACCGTACGGGGACGAGAGAGACCGTTATCAGCGCGATCGAGACCGAGATCGGCAACGCCGCTACGATGATAGGCGTTCAACCGAAGCTTGGCACGCTCAAGATGGATGGCATAATTCTCCGCCATCAAATGATCAACCGTATAGGGATGATTATCGCGATAACAGGCATGGCAAACACCCACATCGAGATGATCGACCGCCTCGTAGATGGGGGCATGGTAAGCCTGGGGATGAGCGACGTCGAGATCGCTTTGACCGTTCTCACCCATACAAAAACTCGGACAAATCAGACAGACCTTCTCGTCGAAGACAGCAATCTATAAGGACTCCAAGTCAGATGGCCCCTCGGGAGCGCCGGGAACGGAGCCCTCTTGACCGAGAAGCATCCATAACTGTCAAACCCGATCAAGAACGCGAGCCCGGCGAGATAATATCTGAGCCGGCCTCAGCGTCAGAGCACGGTGACGCAGAAAATGCCCAAAGCACAGTTCCGGACAAAGACGAAGAAGATTTGAATTGGGATGAGCGAACAATCTTCCAGGAGCCCCCTTCGACTATTAAAGTAGATCCTATCGCAGCACCCTTACCGGCCGAATATTCCGAGGATGTGATGATTCCTCCTGCATTTGATGCTAAAGCTTTGAAGTCTCGGTTCATCACACCACGTAATGTGGACGATTTTGCACAAAGCATTCGCGAAACTCGGGATTGGCAGGTAATGCAGCATCATCCTGTGTTCCTGGACCCGGGAGAGATTTGCCTTGAAAAATTGATTGATTACTATAAAGCGACCCAAAAAGACACTACCCGGTACAGCCACCGAGATCGCTCTGGAAATTCTCACGGCGTAGGTAAACCCCGCCACGGTAGCTCAAAGGGACCGGGGCGACAGCATGGGAAAAATCAAGACCAAAGATACAAACCAGACCAAAGGAAACGGAGATGGAATGATTTTCACAGTGAAGCCGATGAATATAGGACGGAGAGGCGCCATCGCGATTTTCCGCATGACGATACACTTAACAAGAGAATTAAACCTGCATCGCCCGAACCTGGAGAGGTTATCGAGGATGATTCTCAAGATCCTTACGAACCTCCTTACGAACCCCCCGAAGCACCTATAACGACTACTGAAAATCACGAATGGGCCCGAGAGCCAGGGATCGCTAAGGATGCTTCGTCGCAAGACTTGAGTGTTAATAACAGAAGCAATGGGTCAACTCACGATGCGATAAACCGATGGGATGACCAGGACAAGTCTAATAACACGCATCTATCAACGCCACTAGCGCTTACGGCGGACAATTTCCCGCCGTATGATCGACCATCGAGCAGAAACAGCTCTAGAAGCTTCCGCAAAAAGAGCTCTCATAGTCGACGTTCTTCAATAGGAAGCCAAAACTCCGGTTCTGGGGGTTCCGATCTTGATTCTATCGACCGCCAACTGTTAGGACTGGCTGAGCCTTCAGCTAGTGGTAGTGAAGGCGAAGGGGAGTCGCCGAAGCAACGGCTCAACGATATAACACCGAAACGTAAGCCCCGACAGCCCATGTCTGCGGCATACTCGTAAGTTAAACGTGAAATCCTGCTTCTGTGTATCATATTATTGACTAAGCACTTAGACGTCGGTGGTGATGAATTGTATATACGATTGTGCGATTTCACGATTACGAAGCTGGATGTCTTGACGACTATATATTATGCTTTCCCCAGAATAGACGCGAAGGTTCTGAGCCGATATTCCTTGATACTTATATATATAAGGCATTTTGGAGCATATTGTTATTCAAACTGGTACGAGCAAGTATCGCTTGTCCAGACGACGGAGTCGGGAACACCCACCCCTGATATATTATTGAGGCTACGATCTTTGAAGTCGCGAAGCATGGCACAGGTTTCTTTTTATAAAAAGAGACTACGAGGATACTGGCAGTGAGGATATTCATTTTCTTTTCTCTCTATAAGCACCTTGGGCAAGGGAGGAATGTTTGCGGAGAACCAAAGGCGTTTGGATGTTAGGTGCATGTTTTGGGTGGTATGATTGAGCTGTATCAATATATTGTACAGTTGATGGATCGGAATGTTGTCGCACTTGGCGTTTATAGGAATTCGCACAGCGAGCAAAAAGCCACATGGTGGGTTGATGGCTTCGTAATAGGGATTACAATTGACTTGTCAAGATGAGCAATCATCTATGGGACTGACCGCCGCTTGTGTCAAAGGTCACATGTGCAGTGCTTGTCTTCTTTGTTTCGTCTCACCGACTATGATGGCTCTCTGATTCTTAGTCCCCTCAGAACGGTAAGGCCTATTCCAGCACCATTCTATTATCCATTGTCTTCCGTAAAAACACAATCTTCTTTGAACCCACGACAATGGCGTTTGGAAAAAGTCTACATAATATAAGGCAATTATCCACTTCGGTAGTTGCTGAGGAATAGCATACCCATCTCTTTCTCCTACTTCCTTTTCCCTAGTCTGCATAGTTAGAGGTACTTCATACTCAACGCTTTCTCTACAGGTAAGGATTTCGAAGCAGGTCTTCGAATTTACCTCGCCCCATATAGAGATTTCTGCGCACCCTTCCTCTCCTCCTACCTACTCCATAGTACCCACTACCCACCTCCCTACCTACCTACCTACAGCTCAACCTACGCATCAAAGCCACCATGTGTACGGGCATAGGCTGGATCTACCGCTGCCGCGGGTGCTCGACGGTGATCGTGAAGGACACGCACGTGTCGGGGCACACGTGCCACGAGGCGAAGCGGGCGCGCAAGCGCGGCTGCTGCCGCACGGGCGTCGAGTACGCGTTCTTCGACAAGACGTCGGACGAGCTGTGCCTGCTCTGCGAAATCAAGGACCAGGTCGAGCGGCTCGACGCGTCGACCTGCAGCGAGGGCGAGTGCGAGGGCGAGGAAAGGGTCGGCTACTGCGTCGCGGGCGAGAAGGGAGGGTACGAGGAGATCCAGGAGTATACGCCGGAGCAGCTTAAGGAGTGGGACGAGTGGAGGGAGGAACTCTCCAGCGACGAGGAGGATGAAGATGAGGGTGAGTATGACTGGTTCAATGGTACTGCGTATAGCGGTACTACGGCGGTTAGTGAGACAGACGGGAAGAAGGATGACGACGACGACGATGATGAAGAAGATGGTGGTGCCCAGTTGCGGCAGGAGAAAGGTCAAACTAAGGCTGATGTAAGTGTCTAATCTGTTCCTTCCCCTCCCCTTCCCATCTCCTTCCCTTAACCAAACGAACCCCTTAAACCCCCCTAATAGAAACAGGTAATATATTTATTTTCTATCTTGAAAAGCGTTCTGCCTATCTGGGTGGGTATAAGTATATGTGGTGTGCAGAATGGTATCGCTAACGTCCGTACATAGAAAAAGAAAGGACTGCCCCCTTGGGTCCTGGCTGGCTCATCCCTTTGGAGAAAGAGAATGTGGAGTATCTGGAATAGGTGAGTAACATACGGTATGTTTATATATGGTGCTTAAGTGTAATAGATCGGCGGCCACGAACGATTCATTTCCCTGTTTCTGTAGCTGAAAGACAGATTGAATACCTATATTTTTGTTTCCGTATGTTCCTGATCATTGTGTGTTCCATTGTATCTATGCTAACAGATCCTATCCAGACCTTCGGGTTGCTCCCAGGCGAGCTGGAAATGGTAGGGCTGCCAGTTAGATATAAACTAAAGGGATTTTGAAAATGTCTATGTCTTGACGAATCGGATTACCTTGGAGTGGCCCTTGATTAATAAAACAAAATGGTTATATTAATTATGTTGCTCATAACATAGGTAATACCTATACCAATGGTTAGCTGTTAGGAGTTGAAAAGAAGAGAGGAGATGATTCTTTGTTTCGGAGTTAGAACTAAAGACTGGCCATCTTTATTATTCATGTTTGACAATCTATATGTTCTCTTTCTATGAATCACAATGTTTTACCAACACAAAGATAGATGGATGTGTATTCTAACTAAAAGCCGAACGCTGATAGGAATCGTTCGTCGTCAAATCCGAATATTGTAGTAGGGAGGTACCTAAGGTCTAGGCCGTACGTGGGGCAGTCGAAAGCTATCGCCAACAATCATCGTCAACTAATAAACGCTAGACCGTGGTCTCGTTCCGCACACGGCCGACAAGCGTAAATCGCGGAAATTATGGTATACACTGACGTAGATGGCGCCAACACTGGCCAGTAAATAGGTTCCCTGCATTACCGACAGCTTGGTCCGATCGATTGGTCCTGACTAGTCTTGTTTAGTTGGTAGGGCGGGTAAGTCTTTGTGCGGATTGGTGTTCCTTAGTAGGTAGAGTTGCTTAGCAACGACCTCATCTCTTCCAATTGAGCTGGAGCAAATATATTTCATGACGTCCAATAGGCATCGCTCCCCTTATTCGACAATGGCTTACATTTTCCATAGGCACGTTGCGATCTAGAGCCGTGCGAATGGCGATGAATATTGTGAATGGTAAAACTTGAATTGGAACTTGAAACTGGGTAGGTACTTTTCTTCTGATTTGGCAGTTCAATATCTGCAAGTTATGATGTCAGAATAAGTAGAAAAGAGAGGAAGGGGTGAGGTCCGGCCGTAGCACCCGTAGATGCTAGTAACTGCTAGAATTGTTTGTGACACCACACGAGCTCCGATAAGATTAAGCTACCCCGCCTGTCCCCCGCTTCAATACTTGCGTACCTCGTAGGGCTGAAGGCAACCAAAAGATGACATAAACGGGGAGGCAAATTGACATATCAGTGGTTTGATGTCGGCAGTTCCTCCCGAGCTCCTTATTTCAACGACGCTACATATCACTTTACCACGACATTTCAATCGAATCCAGATATACAAAAACCTGATATTTTCATCTTGAGTATTCTGAATCCATCGAGCATATTGAACGACATCATCACTACTATGTCGACAAATCCATTAGGACCGTCGGCCATCCTTCAGCAGATGGCCGATGCTCTGCCCACCCATCCTCAGGGCGACACCACTTCTGATTTAAGCAGTTCTCACGAAGCATTGGCCTTATTTGCCCACGCCTGCATGGCATCTCTTGGATTTCGCCTCCTTGGCTTTGACGAGGACAAGCTTGACGGTTAGTGTTTAAATAATCACATATCATCCTTTTGAGCAGTGCTAATGTTCTTTTGACAGAGCCACAATGCCATGAGATGGCTCCACGACTGCCTCCCAACTGGAACGCATCGTTCAACACCTACGCATTTGTGTATGCGCATCAGCAATCGGCGCTTCGCTTTGTCATTAGGACTGACCGCATGGGAGGCAAAGCCGAGATCCGTGGACTAGGCATCAACCACGATCGCATCACACGTGTAGAAGTGACCATCAAGGACTTTGTGTCTAACGCAGCGCTTCCCGTCAGAATCCCTATTACTGAGGACGGAGAAGATCGCTCTAACCTGCCACAATCATTGCGAAATGTCTTCATATCCGAGAGTCGCATTGAGGATCTAGCCAACCTCATTAAGATCAACATTGTCCAAAGGCTTTTGCCATCGCTCCAGAAGGAAGGCTACGAAGAATCTGCCGACGACAGAGCCGCGCGTGACGATGCCGACGAAGCAGGCCGAAGACCGCCGAGACAACCCGTCATGCCAGATCCACTACCCCAGCCGGCTCAGCCGTATCCGTTCAACGACCCACTTAACCCGCCTCCTCGCAATCCCGTCCCGGCTGGAGATTTCCCTCCCCCAGGCTTCGAAGACCCTTACGACATCAACCGCCCGGCACGGAATCCACTACACCCCGACCGTACTCCATTTGGAAATCTTGGGGCTGATGATCTGAACCCACCTGGATTGGGTCCACACGATCCCCTACGCCCCGGTTTGGGCGTTGGAGGGCGCCTACCTCAACCAGGAGGTCGTGGTATGCATCCGACATTTGACGATCCTCTTTTCGGAGGCCCAGGTGGCGATGACGGTCTCTATGAGCCCCAGGTGCCACCCGGAGCCCGCTACGATCCATTAGGACCAGGTGGTGTTCCAAGACTAGGAGGTCGTAGACCCGGTGGTGGTAATGGACCGTTTGGCGGCGGATTTGGTGGTGGATTCGGTGGCTTTGGTGGAGGCGATATCATCTAATATGACTAGCCTAATAATCAACTGTAGTCTAGTTTTAGGTGAAGTTGGACGTGGATAAGAAAGTCCACAAAAGGAGATTGTAATATTGGATCGTGTATTCTTAACTCCTTACTGTCATTACTAACACTTTCAACGCAGCTATTGTTGTAACGAGAAAGTATGACTTACTGACTTGCCCATGATATGGCTATAGGATCACACTGCCTATGGTTTACTAAGATCGCAGCGATTTCGAAATTGGCATGCACTATTGACCCTTATTATAGATATGTGTCTTATTCACTGGATGTATTGGATGATCGTTGTTCTTTAGCATCACCCTCTTCCACCCAACATTCGAAGAATAGGGGGCCAGCTTCGACAGCTCGGAGAGGAGTTGTCTTAGCTCCTCCAACATCTTGACCAGCCTTTTCTCTATCCTTGGACTTGGTTTGTAGGTTTGACTGTGTAGGTATCCATGGTTGAGGATGCTGATATTGGTTAGTTCTTCTAACCTGACGTCTCTAATGGCCCTGGTCAAAATACTTACCCCGATTGGAGCTTCACCCTCATCTCGCAGTTCTACCGCAATGGTGAAGGTGCAGCTATTAGGAAGTGATTTCAGCTTTTCAGCGGCGTAAGCCAACTTTCTGATGGTAGCACGTAACTGCTCATCTACATCAGTCCAATTTACTTTCCCCTCCATATTGGTCTCGATGTTGCCGATTATTTCTTCGTCTAGCTCATCTTCTTCGTCTGTCCTTACGCTTCTGACGTCCTTGAAGCCTTTCCAAGCGGGGAAGTGAGCGACGTCAAACATCCATCGTTCCATCACTCTTGCCTGTCCGTCATAGATAACAACAGCGATACGCTCTACAACACCAAGTACGAGTTGGGCCTTGACGGCATCAACAGCATCGCGGATCCACGAACATACTTTCGGATGTCTGGACTGGTGCACTGGTAGATTATATGCCCGGCTAGTGAGAAACGTCTCTGCCGGATAGATGGAGCGATAATAGAGGATATTGTGAATGCAGATTGTGAGGAATTGCGTGAACGAAGTTAGGAGCTGGGATGCTTGGCTCAATGGCACGGACAGCTGATCTTCGAGAGGTTCGTCGTCTGGTTGGAGAGACATCTTTGCAAGGTATTTGATAGTGCCACGAAAACCCCTACCCTTGGAAAGACGATAAGTGACGCGTTGTGGGGTAGAAATACGGGAAAACAGGCGTTAAGTGAAAGCACCCTAATTCACATGGTAACCTAATAAGGTTATAAACCGATCTTGAGACTTAACGTCGTAGTATTGATTCTTTATTAGGATATTTATCAAGTAATAAATAAATGACGGAAGAATATAGTAATAGTAATGGATTAATTGTGGCAGGTACTGTGCAATTTTGTGATTTCCAAGGTCCTTCATGTACCTAAGTACCTGCCTTACGTAGCTATTTTAGTGATCGGCAATGCCAATAAAAAAAGCGCGTCGCGCTAACGATAGCGGGGTGTGAGCACCCTTAAGCCATGTAGGTGCCTCGATTATGCATAAATTAATTCGAGGAACCCCCCACCTTAAACTGTAAACTGCTTGGATACTTGTCCCACCACTGACCGCTTTGAGATACGAATACGTTTTTAGATAAAAACACAAACAATTCCTTGACGAGGCAACAATCTCGATCAAGATCTGAAACGTCTTTTTTTAATCTTTTTGCGCACGAAATACCCAACGCATCTAGGTAATTTTGGTGACAATATAGCTCGACTGGATCGTGTTTACGATTCAACGACGGACAATGGAGGACCAACTCGTCCAGGTCCTGGCCAACACCCAGCTGCCAGCCGAGGGTCCCCGAAAGCAGGCAGAAATTGATCTCAAGCACGCAGCCAGCAATCCCGCATACCCTCTTTCTCTTGCCAACATTGCTCGACACTCCTCCATTGCCACAGATGTCCGACAGTCTGCACTATCCGCTTTGCGACTTTTTATCGAGCGAAACTGGAGCGGCGAGGGCGATGATTTCCCCGTGGTTCCTATCGCAGATTCTGTGAAGGACCAGATCCGACCTATGCTTTTGGACCTCGCCTTGAACTCGGATGATAAGAAAATTAAGACCGCTGCAAGGTATGTTTTTTTGACAATTCCATTACGGGTTTTATATACCAAATACACTGGTGCTATGTTCTTCGATTCATACTTACCATTTACTTAGCTATGCCGTGGGCAAAATCGCCAATGTCGACTTTCCCGATCAATGGACCGCCCTTTTACCTACCCTTCTCGAAATCATCCCGAATGGCACCGATAACCAGCTCCACGGAGCCTTGATCGTCCTCCGCGACTTAGTTGACGAGAGCTTAAGCGATGACCAATTCTTCTCCATGGCTCAAGACATCGTGAAGGTCGTCTATGATGTTGCCATCAACGAGGGTCGAAAGCCCGCCTTGCGCGCTCTTGCCGTCTCTGTCTTCCGAGGTTGCTTCGATCTCATGGATACTGTCAAGGAGGAACACCTTAAGGAAGTTCAGGGATTTGCCGAGGAAGCCATGAAGGGTTGGTTTCCCTTCTTCCACCAGAGCATGAAGTTGCAGCTCCCCGGCCTAGACTCCCAGGAAGCTTCACAACCCGAGAGCTGGAATGGCACAATTGCTCTCAAGCTGCAAGTTGTCAAGTGTCTACTGAAGTTGAAGGTCGTCTTCCCAAGCCTCTTGTTACCCGAGACGCCCCAATTCTTCCAAGTCGTCTGGGAGGAGCTTAGACTGCTCGCTCCTTCGCATGAGAAGATGTACATTTTGAACGATTCACAAGGCAGACTTGAGGACTCCGACGGTATCCCCTACACACTGGATTTCCTTGTTTTAGAGGAATTGGATTTCTTGAATGGATGCATCCGAGCGCCCCCTGTCCGCAAGGAGCTTGAGGCTCAGTTGGCAGCTCACTCGTCCGCTGGTGAAACACCTTGGGTTCTGGATCTAATGATGATCACTTCCTCATATGCTCGCATCACTCGCGAAGAGGAGGATTTGTGGGACATCGATGTCTCGCTCTATCTTGCGGAGGAGGCATCCGTGAGCGCAAATTACACACCCCGAACTGCTTGTGGAGATATCATGATCAAGCTTGGCGAATGGCTGAACCACCAGGTCTTGGAAGGACTCTATGGATTCACCAAGGGTGTGTTCTCCGAAGAGGGAGCATGGAGACGACAGGAAGCCTGTCTCTACTTGCTTAACCAGCTTATGAATGACTTCCTCGACTGCAGTAAGGTTGTAACTCCGGAAGTCAGCCAAGCTTACCTGGAGCTTATCAACTATGCCATCAATCGACCCGATGAGCCACTACTGCGAGCCCGTGGCTATCTTGTTGCCGGTGTACTTGCGCAGTTTAACGGAACTGCTGCTGCACTTACGGACAGGACGATGGAGGCTATTACGGCAGAAGATTCCGAACTTGTACAAGTTGCATGCATCAAGGCAATCGAAGGGTTTCTCCGCGGTGGAAACGCTGCCGGAAACCAACAGATCCAAGCTAAGGTGGTTAATTCCATTCAACAATGGATGTCGACTAGAGATATGGCCGAACTCGAGGAAGCGGATGATTTGTTAATCACGCTTACCGAAACCCTTAGATCTGCCATCAACATTGACAAACGAGTGGCCGTAGTCAACGATGTGCCTGCTCTGGATATGCTGTTTCTCATTGCCAAACATGGCTCAACTAATTGGCAGGTATGTATCTGAAGCGATTTCAGTTCTCTTTACATAAGGCTAACTATAAACACCTAGGTTACGATGCTTATTTGCGAGGAGTTTGAAGACATTGTTAGGACATTACCAGACCCGGTATCATATCAAGCACTCTGCCAGAAGGTACTCCCTTCGCTCACTGGCGCATTCAACGTTGCCGATATAACTTCGGACAACCCGCTCATTACGGTAAGACTAGCTCGTTCTATAACCGAAGTAAGACTAATCACTTCATGATAGTTTGCCACCGAGCTGATGGCTTCGCTGACTCAATATGCCTCGGAACCTCTGCCCCCTGGCTTCGTAGCGGCCACTTTACCCAAACTAAGCCGTTTGCTCATGGAGAGCAACGAGGGAGATATTTTGCGACCTGGTGCTGAGTCGGTCAAGTATCTATTGGCTCATGATCACGAACAAGTTCTCAATTACCATGATGAGAACAACAGGAGCGGTCTAGAAGTTTGTCTTCACATCATTGACCGTCTCCTTGGCCCTTCCATCGAAGACAATGCCGCCTCTGAAGTTGGTGGACTCGCCGCCGAACTGGTCGAAAAGGCAGGACACGAACGACTTGGCCCATTCCTGCCACAACTCTTGCAGGCTGTAGCTAATCGGTTGGCAACCGCTGAGGCTGCTCCGTTTATCCAATCCCTTATTCTAGTCTTTGCGCGACTCTCCCTGGTTGGTGCTTCTGATGTGGTTGAGTTCCTCAGCACAATTCAGATCAATGGTGATAGTGGTTTGCGAGTTGTCTTAAGCAAGTGGCTCGAAAATTCAGTCAACTTTGCTGGGTATGATGAGATCAGACAGAAGTAAGTACCATCTCGCCACTAATTGAACCGACCTTACTAATGCGAACAGCGTAATCGCACTCTCGAAGCTATACAGCCTGAACGACGCTCGTGTTACTCAGACCTTGGTGCGAGGAGATCTCATCATGCCGACTAGTGATAGAATCATGACGCGCTCTCGTTCTAAGCAAAGTAAGCCGTGATCTCGCTCGCCACTTCTATTTTCAATGACTAATGAACAAAGCGCCAGCTCCGGACCAGTACACTATCGTTGCTGCCCCTCTCAAGATCCTGAAGGTTCTCATTGAAGAACTTCTTTCAGCTTCAGGAGTGGGTGGCGCTGCCAACGCAGCAGCTGCGGCCGCTGCTGAGTTTGCCGATGACAATGACGACGATGGCTGGGAGGACGACCCGGACACGATTGATCTTAACCTTGGCAGCGTTAAGAATGACCTGATGGGATTCTTGGAGGCGAGTAACATGCGCTCCCGAGATGATGAGACCCAGGCCTATCTCACAGAATTCTTCCTGCGAGCGGCGCACGAGAACATCGCCGGCTTCCAGGATTGGTACAACCAGCTTTCGGAGAACGAGAAAGCGAAGCTACAGGAGATATCCCCGGCGCAATAATTGCTTGGTTTCACAGCTGGGCAATGGCAATATGGGTGGACCACTGCCGGGGAAAGTGGGAAGCATTGCGAGTGATTTGAGCAACTACGTGGTGGACAGTTACAATATGTTCACCTGAAGGGATGGAGCTCTCACCGGGACTTTCATACCGGGAGTTGCGAGGAGTTAATGCCTTGATAATGATGGATAGTAGTTGCGCGGGAGGTGGGAGGTTGTCTGCGCGTTGATTCCGAGTGAGCAAGCACTGGATCATGCTATAGTAGTCGTCTGGCTTAGGCAATGTCGATAGTCAGGGGGCGAAGCGCCACCAATGAGATGGCTAATTAAAAAAAATCGATGATTTTCAATCATGGCCTTTTTCTAAAATGGCTTTTTGGCTAGATTGCTACTGATTCTGATGTGTGAACTAGATAATATATACCCACCTAGGTAAGTGCTTAAGCAAGTACTAAGGATATCGTTTACGATTTAGGGCACAATTTAGGGAGAGACAAGTATTAAGTAGGAATTACGATTCATCAGCGTAAAAGGTCTATTCGATTAATGATCATGCCAATGCAGCCAAGCCAACCCAAGCCCTTTACGAAAAACCCCCAGCCATGTTTCCCCCAAGTCTTATACGAGTCGTAAAAAAAAAAAAGGGTGGTGGGAGGTTTGGTCCTAAGGTCGCAAAAACAAAAAGGGTGAGTGATAGACAACAACCAAGAGCCATGTCGTGTAGAATTTCCTTCGCATCTCGTTTACAAGTACAGCCGTCCGCGCAGCCGTCGTGCCATAAGGAGGTCGTCGTTGTCGTCAGTATACAACACGGACAGCAACGCCCTCGTCACAAAGTCCGTAAATCTCATCAAGACCCTCCAGAACACCGTTCGTCCTAATAATGAAGCGTTTGTTTCCCGATCGTCGTCGTAGCCGTCGCTGCCTTTCGTTTCCCTTCTCTTCGTTCGCGTGTTCGTCTTCTCGTAGGTGACGTCCTTCTAGGCGTCGCCGGTATTAGTAGTGGTGTTGGTGGTGTTGTTGTTATTGTTGTTGCTGCTTTTTACTAGGGTTCGTAGGGACGCCATCTCGCGGCGCAATTTGGCGTTCTCTCTCTTGACACGCGCCGTCTCCTCGCTGTAGTCGCGCATGCGAGTCATGATTTCTTCTTTGTCGTCTCGCCCCTTCCCCTTGAGGGCTTTGACGATCTTGCCGAGCTCGCTGTTGAACTTTTCGTAGAGTATTTCGTTCTCCGCCGTGGCTTCTTTGAACAGCTGGTCGATGGTCTTGACCTTGGCCTCGGTCGCCTTGAGCGTGCCTTCCATCTCTTTCTGGAGTAGCTCGTGACGGTTATTTAGGTCGGAGATGACCTGCGGTATGCGATCTTCCAGAGCTTTTACGCTGGACGACAGCTTCTTGATGTCCACCGTTGCGCTGCGGGGCAGTGAGGAGTTGACCCTAGCCATGTCCGCGGTAATCTTGGAGAGTTCCGACTGTAAGTTGGCATCGACCTCTTCCACGGCCTTTTTCTCGGTCTGCAGACGCTCTCGCAGCTTCTGTGTCGACTGCAATCGAAGTTTCCCAGGAGACTTTGTTGGACTAGAAGTAGGTCTAGGGTTTTGTTCGGTTGCCGCATTTACAACATCGCGCGAAGCTTTCAGGGTCGGAATATTAGAAGTCGATAGCATCTTAGCGTGACCCTTTCTAGAGTCGCTTGGCGGGGCCGCAGGTTGGAATGGATCATCGGCATTTTCCTTTTGTCGAGATGACCGGAGAGTAAGATTGTTGGAGAGGTTTTGGGAAGCTGGACTAGTTGGGATTCTAGAGGGTGGTGGAACGCGCGGACCTGAGTTAAATTTCTCGGAAGTCTGCTTCATATGGGAGAGAGGCTGCAAGGGTTCGTCCTCTAACGTCGTTGCTGCCATTAGGCTCTTCAGATCTGACAATGAACTTCGACGCTTCTTCCTCGGTGCCTTCACAACGGCCTCCTCGATCTCTGGCTCCCCAATTGTTTCAAGTTTATGCGAGCTAGGGGGCCGCGAGAAGCTATCATCGAAAGCGCCGGCGATGGGGGGTCTTTCGCGCGATCCGGGCCGTCTTAATTTGTTCGGACTTGAAGGAACGCCGACGTCCACGGATCTCGTCCTGACCACGGTGGCTCTCACTGAACCTAGACTCTCACCCGTAGCCGGGTGTCTGTTATGCTTGCTCAAGCTACGCCACACTGAGGATCGATTGTCCACTTCATTCTTGCTATTCTGTCTTGATAAGAAGTCGCCAAACCCAAGCTTCCTTCTCAAGGAAGACGTGTTCGATGTCAACGATCCGGAATGCGACTTCGCACTACGAGTAGTCGAGTTGATGGACTCGAAGGCAGACACGATACTGTTCACCCCTGCGTTGAACCCGTTTAAGCCATCCTCGAATATGCGGTCGCAGTCTTCCACGAGCCTATCGAGGAGGTTGATATAATTATGCGCGGACCCATCGTCAACTAGAAGCTCAGAGAATGCTAGAGTAAGTGCTCCTCTATCGCTGTCATTCCCACAGCCATCGAGGAGGTCAGCTAAAAGCTTGATGAGAGCAGTGAATGCCCTTCGATTTTGGGGGGCCATATCTTGGAAGAGAAAATGGACAAAATCCGCAAAATCTCCAGGCAACCTTTTGGAGGCTCTTTCTTGGAGGGCGTCCAGGGCCTTAGATGTCATGATAGGTCCCATCTGTTCCTTCCAAGCTATACGCACAAATTTCTCAAAGGCGGCAAAGACGACATCGGGGGTCAAATCAGATGAAGCTTCAATATCGAACGGGCTTTCAATGAGTTTGTTGTAGAGGTCATTAACGGAAAGTTCGTCAGCATTAGACCTGTTAAGTAGGGTGCGACCGACAAAGCAACCTTTGCGTGCTTGGAGGCTAGCCATATAGCCCGTAAAGGTCTGCTCAAGTCGAACCAATGGATTTTCCGGCTTATCATCGTCCATACCACCAATTCGAATGCCATCCCTACTTTTGGCTGAGCCATACAATGAGACCGCGTCTCTTGAACTGTTCGAACGACTTAACTGGCCGGGAAGACCTTGAGATTCTCCTGTCAAGGTACGCTGGTGTTTAACAGTATTGGTTAAATCCGAAGTGCTGCCCCCGCCTAGGATACTGGAGAGGTACTTCACAGGCGATGTAGCTAAGAACGATTTCGTTTTCTCGGCTCTGTTGGAGACGCTAAGGCCGCGGAGTACCTTCGTATGAAACGACACCATCGCAGCGGTGAGCTTGGGATTGGCGACATTGAATTGCGTGCTGAGGAGCTGAATGACTATAGTTCAATTAGCGAAATTGTGGCGTTAATGTCATGGGGCAAGGACTTACTCCTCCTAGCAAGTGTTGGGAGGAAATCTTCCAACGCAATCTCATCAGCCGCTTTCTTCCCGTTAAGACCTACCGTGACGACGGTCACCCTTTTCCCAGACTTTACATCGGAACATATCTCTACACCATAATGACCCACAGGCGCACCTTTGGTGCCTCTTTCATTGTCTATAACGATACGGATAGGAGCCGGTTCCTTTCGACCTTCCACCAATTGGTCGAGGCCTTCCTGAAAGACAGCAGCATATAATCCCAAGCCAGTATCAGGCATCCTTGTAGATCTTAAAGTCCAGCAAGGGTCTTCGCGTTCCTTCTCTGCGAACCTGCCTTCAACTCTAGCTTTGACGACATCCTCACTCCACTTCGCAGCTTTGCCTTCGTACGATTCCTGCAGCACGAAACAGCGCGAAGTGGTTGCTGTGCTTGTGACGTATTCGCCTGCATGAGCACCCTTCATCTCATTCGACGAAGTCATCCAGATCATACGCCCGTCGGAAGACTCCGTAAAACGGACGTCAGCTAGAGCGTGCCAACCGGCAAAGGCAAGCTCGAAGGAGCCTTGACCACTCGCCATGTTCGTCATCGAAGCTAGAAGACCTGCAGGGGATGGCTTGTCAATTTCTCGCATTAGATCACGTGCTGTTGTCGTCGCGCCGTAGACTTTCCTCGCGATCACGATACAGTCTGAGAAAAGGAAAAAAATGCCTGCTTGATCGTCCGAAATTGGTTGCGCAGGCAGACCAACTTGATACGGAGCAGGTATCTCAGAGAAATCGGCAGCTACAACAAGCCGGCCGTGTGGTTCGAGGTCGTCGGGCCAGCTCTCAATCATATGCTTTAGGCGTAAGTTGACATGAGGCTTGTCGGTGAGAGGGTCATCCATGGAGCAAATGTTCGAGATGATGTCCCTGGCTTTTAACATGGGCTGAAGCGCAGGGTGAGTGATGGGCAAGCAGCTAACAATTTGGTCGATCACCAAGCTGTATCGTGGCAGGCGCTGCACAGGCTCGATGACGGTGGAGCGAAGGTGTTGCTCTCCAGTAAGGGCCAGTCTTTGCGAAAAGCTCGACTGTTGGCTAATCAAAGAGGTAATCAGCTGAGGAAAATTCTGGCTCGCTCGAATATAGTCCTGATAACAATCGGTGAATTTTGGGAACCACTCCAACATGATCTTTGCCATTGCTAAAGCTCCGCTTGCATCCTTTGTCTTCCCGATCAAACTTCCTGATACGCCCACCCTGGAAGACGCGGCACCGGATTCCATGTCCCTCAACGCATCACCTTCGGTATCATCCATCATTTGTTGCAGTGCGCGCATGAAAGCGGAATTTATTTCTAGAATTTCGCTTGCCGATCTAGGGAACAGTTTCTCGACGTCCTCCTCCGACGGACTAAAGCTGTCGGGTTGCCGGTCCTTCGCCTTTTGTCTATATTCAGGTGCAAGATGATTCACTAGTTCGTCCACCTTCATCACGTAGCGTTCCTCCGTCTCTACCAGCTCGTCCATCTTTCTCCGTAATTCGGCCTTCTGTTCCTTGGAAAATGACTTTGTTCTATTCAACGCACTTGGCTTAGAGGGGGCTCGTCGTAGTCTTGTAGTTGGTAGGAATACAGGCTCGCCAAAAAGCTTGACAAGAGGTGTATACATTCCATATTGTCGTAATGTCGGATCTAAGATATCATCCTCATCTTCCGGCACGTCTTCAAAGTCTGCGGGTTGCAATGGGATAATTGACCCAGGAGGAAGCACAAGGTCAATGTCGATATTACTAATATGTTGCGTCTGAAGGGCGATCTGGAGCCTTTGGATGGTATCGGGCGTATTATCGGCCTTGACCATCGACTTGGCGATATCGGCAGCGTGCTCTTCGCCAAAAAGTGTAGGTGCCGAGCCCGGTCGACGGCTTCTCATAGAGGGATATTGATTTCTGACATGGCTCTTCACGTGTTCTGGTAGCTCGCGGAAATATTTGAACAGACCGAACGCCAAAGCTCGATATACCTCGTCACCTTGAAACTCGCGAGGGAGATAATTAACAACATTATAGAAGGGCGAGTTCGGAGAGATAGTAAGTCGGGGGAATGATTGGAAGCCGGCCGGGGTATATACGTGGACCTGCACTCTCGAACTGTTTAACGTGTAATTCGCAGTAGTGGAGGGGCCGTGCAGTATTAACAGAGGGAGGTGGCCGAGCAAAGGGTCGGTAGCTTGGTAGAGAGTGAGATGGTCTGGCGACAGAGCCAGCTCCTCGGTGACGCGAACCATGGTCGCCTTAATAGGCCATTTGCCTCATACTTCGGATTGGGGGAAACGAGCGTGAGGAGGAGGTCAAGAAGAAGACCCGATGGCAAGACAGACGTCCTGGGACTCGTCGATCTTGGTAAATAAGCCTATGGTGTTCCTTGTGCGCGTCGAGCGAGACCTGCAGCCGATTGTTTACTTGGCCCAAAAAGGATTTGTACCACACCAAATCAGTAAAATGCAATACTGCGGTTACGAAGATAGTCCATGCGGCCTAGAAAACAAGAATATACTAAAAGCGCAAAGGCTCAATTCTGATTCTCGAAAACTGCATGTGAAGGAGAAGGAGAAGGGGAAAAAAAAAAGAGAAGAGCTTGAAGTTGTACGAAGAATGCCGTCTAGGTATGTATTAAGGTTATCTTTTGCGGTCAACGTTGAATAACAAGGCGGCCGGAGTTGACTAGGATAAGAACCGGGGTGGGTAGGGTTATTTTTTTCCATTTTAAAATGGGTCCTTCCGAGTCTGATTCTAATTCGGGGGATTTTTAGTAACACAACCCGCCCAACGCGACTTGAAACATTGGAACCGCGTCTTTTCTACCCCACCTATACATCGGTACCTAGGTAGGTTTCACGTTCAAAGTTAATCGCCTACCTACTACATCATCTACTATAGGTACCTACATACAGATAAGCAGCCAAAATCTACCTCATATGGATATATAACCACATTATTCAAGATCTCATCAATATCTACGTATATCCAGTGCCGTTCATTCAACCCTCATTTTCTAAACCCCGCTCTCTTCCAAATCAGAGTTATTTACTTAGATACTACGTGATGATGTCTAGTCAACAAGACACTGGCATCTTACTCAACCACGCCCACAATGGAATTGGTTATAAATTGTTAGAGCTACCGCCTGAGGTGGTTACACTTTTGGAGTCGGAGAATGCACCCGTGTTAGTATATCAAACGCCTGGACCATTATTTGACAACACCTAGTATATGACTAATGCGAATTTCAATCGCAGCCTAACTATAGAGTCCTCGACGAACTCGGCAATATTAAAGAGCGGTGCAGAGTCTTGGGGCCTTCGCCAGAAGAACACGTCAAACGCCTTGATCTTGCTTCAATCCTCTAACGAGACAAGCACTACGTCATCACAAATCCCAGAGACAAGTTTAAAGGCCATTGCAACGATTCATGATACGATTGAGCTTGTGTCGGAACCTACAGGGAAAACAGCTCCTGTCGCGAGAGGCAAATGGCACGAGAGGTTTGCTCGTGGAAGATAGGCTCGGCCAAATGAAGCCTTGTATACCGAACGAGCCCGATTACATGTCTAAAAAGAATTAAGAGCGAGAGTATCGTGTCAGCAACCCGCTTCAATATCCTACTACTTAGAACAAAATAGATGATCGGGACAATCGAAGCCATATCGTTTTGGTAATTTTGGTAATATGTGCTAATGACAAGGATTCGATGCGCCTTAGCTAATGAAGTATTTACCAGATATCCCCAAGGCTCGGGAGAAAAGGAAAGCCTAACGCAGTTGCAGGATAGGTCTTTTTTCGCTAGCAATCCAAACAAGTCGGAGTATTCTCAGCCAGGATAGCAGTTCCGCTAAGAGCATTATATTCTGCGTTGATGGTAAAGCTTTATGGAAATAACATTTATATCGGAATTCTAGGTTTAGGTCGAGGTTGTTTCGGCGGCTAGAGAGTAGTACGAAAATACCGGGAATTATTTTACTTCAACGGTTGTACCGGGGCAGCAGCTGTGAAGGCTGGAAGGTCGATTGTCCTTGGCTGAGAATTGCTGGATTACTGGAGATCTACAAATCTTGCAGATGAACCCTGTCGGCACGTGCTTAAGTTTCTCCGCCCTGTCCGCTACGCTAGTGCCAAGTAAGGTTAGCAGGGTTAGGTAGGTCCAGGAATTCGGAAAGAGAAAAGTACCTACGTACCTGGAAACCCCACAAGCACAAGCGCGGATGATATACCCAACTCCTACATACATAGTACTAAGGGGTAGCTATGTAATTAATACGTGCACTAAATCAACATCGTACGTTTGGATGTAAGTATGGAAATATCCGACTAGCAAACAGCACACAGCACTGATGGACAAAGGCGACTAGGCAGTAGGTGGTTAGAGCTCGGGTTCCAAGATTGGATTGACCAAGCACAGCGGGATGTAAAAAGCAATGTGCAGATACTGGGCTGAACTTACACCCGACTACACGGATAATTTACTTTGAGCCTCATTTCGTTCACTCTCCAGTACCACGTCCTTGCAACGGCCACCAAGGGTCCTTCCTCAGGACTCAGGAACCGCCTAGCCACTACCAAATCATGCGCCTCTTGCCTCAGTACCTAGGTAGGTATACATGTACATAGTAGACACTGTTAGATATTTGGTAAATTTGGTACATGTAGGGATAGTAGGCTACAGCTGCCGTGGTTCTAAAGATTAGGTAGGTATTTTCCTAACCAGCTACTTCGCACTTCATTCTACGATTAGCTAATGCAAAGCAGATTTGATCTAACCTTATCACCACTTCCACTGTCGTCGCCATGAGCGGGGTTTCATTCTAGGATCAATCTGATCTCATCCCACGTCCCTTAAACTTAAAACACACTCCACATGAATACCTTACATCTGTACTGTGAGTAAATCGTGCTTTCTCACGCAGCTGCCTTTTTTTTCTTCACTTCAAAAATATTCCGGCACGGAGGTGCTCAATGCACACCTGGTCATTTATCGAATCGACATTCGACAACGCTGCACTTTCTCATTCTTACTTGTTCAACTCCATTCATTCAACTTCTTTTTCTTCTGACCAACTCACTCACCACCTTAGGTGCGAACAACCTACAAACACCAAAATTAGGTCAAATCAACACTCGTGCTCGTGTGCCTCGTTGACTATTCCACCAATGCAGTTTTCCTATTGCATTTATTGGACGATAAGACACATCATCTACAGTTCCATCGACAACGTCGATTTCTTGTTCGTCGTGAACTTGCCGTTCATTTTGACATAGGTATGTACCCACCTACGCACCACTTCCTTCTTCCCTTTTCTCCCAGTATCATCGAGATGCATCATCCCAAAATCCCCCAGAAGTCTCACGGCCGAGTCATACTACTGCACATCGCAACGTTTTTTCGTACTTTCTACTTCATTGCTCGCTTCACTTCCCTTATATTTACTTATCTTCTTAACTCAAATATCCGACTCCATTCTTTTCCGCCTCGTTCAGGAGTTGACTTACACGGCACAGGTTCCGGTATCCAGTCAACTTTCTCGTCTTTTGAGACGTAGCCATAATCATCGCAAGCCAAGACAAGTTGTAGCATACACCAGTGCTGATACTCCTAAACCACATCTTTCTCCTAGTGCTAAAATGGCGCTTAATCAAAATCACGACTTCATCGTGATAGATGACGATGAAGATGTGAACGAGTTGAATATTGACAATACTGACAATATCAACAATTCCGGCGATGGTGCTGATTCCGCTGGAGACAGGACGGATCAGGCACTCGAGAAACCAATCCCCTCAGAATTCTCTCCAATTAACTGCAAAGATAGCGTCAGAGCCGTTTTCGCAGATATCTGCCCAGAGTACTTGGAGAGACTCGCTAATGAACATGATAATAACTCTGATGTCATTATTGACCAAATCCTCACTTCGCAAGAGAAGGGTGAGATGTACCCCAGAAAGCCGGCCAAGAATCCTCTGAAGCGCAAGAGAGCCCGCAGCGGGGGCGACGATGTGGACGAAGCAAAGACTGAGGCTGACGTAGCCAAGGACATTAGAGCTAAGATCGCTCAAGTCAATTATCATCAAAGTACAGGAGATATGTCTTATAAAAAGATTGCTCCAAAGCTTTTATCTACAGAGGTATGTGCTTGCGAAGAATCCATGGCTGCCATTTCTTATTCCAGCACCTTAGATCACTAGCCCATCTTTAACAGAAGCTAACAAGTGCATAGTATGTCGTTTTCGGTCTCCTATTTTAGTATTTGTATTTACCTTTTGGGTAAACAATATTTATCGCCTCTAGGTATGGCTTGGATCCCCCCCTACTAGATACTAACATTTTTTTTTCGTTTTAGCTTTCCCAAGGTTCACGTTCCTACGATCAAGAATTATCTCAAGAAAAACACAGGCTCTGTTTTTAAAACATACGCAGCCATGATAGATGCCGTGGGCAAGTGCAAAGCAGGTGAATTACCTTGGCCTGAAAAGAAAGTCTCTACACCAGTAATCCTCGAGTTTAAAAAAGACAGGATCAATCGCATCGATATGAATCAATATACTGAACACGAGCAAGACGCAATTGCCGAACTGCGTGCTGCTAGGAAATTGGCAGACTTCAAGCAAGCACAGGCCGAATTAGAAGCCGAAGAGAAGGCCAACTTCGACGATGCCAAGTCAGCAGGTCAAACTGAAGATTGTGGATGCTGCTTCGAAGAATGCGCGATCAATCGAAGTATGTAATATAAAGACGAACTCCCGGCCCCATCCCCCCTCTGGTCTCTTCACTTCCCCCTTTCCTTTTCTTTCGGTCTATCCCGAGAGTCCTACCTTCCCAGCCAGCTTATGAAGAAATAAATACTAACTCTCATTACTATAGTGATCTGCTGTGACGGAGAAAAAACTCACCGATTTTGTCGCGATTGTATGAAAGCTCAGGTGGAGACGAACATCGGCCTTTCTAAACACGAATTAAGTTGTATGTCCATGGATGGATGTTCTGCTGGCTTTGCACAGACGCAGAGAAAATTGTTTCTTGACGAAAAGACTATGATGGCATGGGATATGCTTGAATTCGGGGCTTCCTTGCGAATGGCAGGCATCGAAAACCTCGAAACCTGTCCTTTCTGTCCCTATGCGGCGGAGTACCCGCCTCCAGAACAGAACAAAGAATTTCGGTGCGAGAACCCGGACTGTGAGAAAACAAGTTGCCGCCTCTGCCGAAGAGAGAGTCATATTCCAATCACGTGTGAAGAATATGCTAATGAACACGGCCTTTCGGCTCGGCACGTCCTCGAGGAGGCCATGAGTGAAGCACTCATCCGGAAGTGCAACTCTTGTAAGTGGCCCCTATTTCCCAGAAGTATTTTTGTAGCTCAATATGGGATACATCTGTCTGACATCTTAGCCAGGCCAGCACCCTTATGTAAAAATTGATGGATGCAACAAGATCAAGTGTACTCGATGTGGTACTCTACAGTGCTACGTTTGTCGAGCGACCATCAAGACTTATAGTCATTTTAATGATGAAGCACGAGGCGGCGCGGAGGGCCGGTGTCCTTTGTTCGAAAGCACCGACGAACGTCACGAAGGAGATGTCCGACAGGCCGAGGAAATTGCGCGAAACATGATTGAGAAACAAAATCCGGGTTTGGTATGTCAACTCACCTACTCTAGAACTTGTTTATCGTTATGCTAATGTGTGTAGACTGCCGATGCTTTAAAATTTAAAGTATCTGACCAAGTTAAGAAAGACGAAGAAGCAGAGCAATTGAGGATTTCTCAACGACGACACAGACATGGGCCAGGACAACACCCGAGGTATGTCGGGGACCTTGAGGCTCAACCAAGATTCGTTCATCCTCCCCAACCCGGATTTGTCCCTCCCCAACCCGGATTCGTCCCTCCCCAACCCGGATTCGTCCCTCCCCAACCCGGATTCGTCCCTCCCCAACCCGGGTTCGTCCCTCCCCAACCCGGGTTCGTCCCTCCTCATGCCCGACTGGATCCTTTTGTGAGGCGTGCTCAAGCTGGTGTAATTGGGGCAGACGGGCAACCTCTAAATCCAGTTAATTTAGAAGAGAGGCCCCCACCACTTCCGGCAGACTATGCAGCATTGCAAGGGCGGAATCCTCAACAACTCCGAGATATAATGGATGCACAAATGCGGGAGATTCAACTCGTCTTAGATAGACGCTTCTCACGTCTTAGACGTGCTTTTAACCCTGTTGAAGGTGGCCCAGTTGGACCTATGCTAGGCGGTGGATACCCACCTTTACAAAGGCCTATGGTCCTCCATGATGCAAATCCTCACAGAGGTGATCCAGCCGCGGGCATACAGGACTATCCAAGAGCCCGTAACCATCTCGACCGCAACGCGAACCCCCAAGGGGTTCTTCGACACAACCCGCATGGTATGAACGAATGAACGAATCCAGCATCGCGGGTCTAGACAACGATGATTGGGTTATGATGATATATCCGCAGTACAATTGCTCGATATGGAACGGAGATTAGAGGCAGCTTGTTAAGGTTCTGGACCAATACATACGAAATTGTTGTTTCTAAGGACAAACCGCGAAAAAAATCCTTCAAAATTACTGAATTAGTAAGTAATGGAGAACCAGTCTTGGACTTTTCTCCTTACTGGCGGTGTAAGGTTGGTTTTTTTTTTTCATTCGTCCTCGGATACCCATATAATGAGAGGATGGAATTTGCTTTTCTACACCAGGATGATTTTTACGATATCAGAATTCGCAAGGTGCGACGGAGTTCTGGATGCTCCGATTCAGATGCTTTTGACTTGGGAGCTTAGATAGGAGACCGTAGATCTCGCTTGACAATAAACATCTACGTTTCCTTTCTAATGATCTGAGCTAATCGTCTTAATCCGACGAGGCTTCGTGTGTTGTGCAAAAAAGTGTAACATCGTAGAGAGAAAAGGGGCTCAGATGAAAATGCCGCAGATAACTGCTACGTGTCGCGTCTCTGTAGGTAGGTGCCTAGTGAAGGGGTTGAGGTCTCAGGACTACCTTTTTTATATTGTTCATCTGGAATCTGTATATATTACTAGTAACCCCTTCGGGGATGAACAGACCAAGGAGTATATTGTTCCTTTTCACACAATAGTCTTGTGGTCTTATACACAAATAACAGGTCGTTAAAAAGGGATACATGACCGTCAGAGAAATGTATATCTACCAGGTCCGTTGAGCCATTGGTGTTCCTCGTCACTCCAACCCTACATGTGAGTTTATCGAAGTGCGGAAAGATACCTACTAAGGATGTCCCCATTATAATATAGGTATGATTTGATGTCTGTACGTGTATTGTTAAGATGATGAATTATCCGAAGTCAAGGACTTAAGTGGTTACCACATATGTTAAGACGACGTATAGCTCCCGTATCATGAATGCTCATGAATACTTCGGCAACTCGTCAAGACATAGATCAGTTTAACCAGAATAGCAATGTGATTCCCTTTAAAAAGCGACGCTAATGCGCTATGATTCTTCCATCTTCCGTCAGAAGCCTGTATAAAGCCAGTCTAGATGCCCCATACATATAGTCAGCCGTGAAGGGACGATATATCCCTACACATCTTGAGCAAACATCGCTGTATGATTCCCTTCTACCTCCATCCCTGCCAATTTCTACATTTTGCGGTTTCCTTTTCCCTAAGGGGACCGCGCCTAGATCTAACACCAACAGTATTTCTCATTCGCAACCCACTCGATATTGTGGATGTCTTCGGCCCCGTACCACATCATGCTGGGTATACTTTCCGCATCTCTTTCCACTGGCCGGTGCTGCAACGCGCTGCGCTCAATCAACGCCTTCACTAGCGGGGAGGGGTTCCACAGGTCAACTTTGCCTAGGTTCCATGTAGCAGCCTCGCGTAGGGCAATTCTCATCACGGCAGTAAATGACTCCACTACGTCCTCGCTCGGATTCTCTCCCTCGGACGCTTCGGACTCGATGACTAGCCGAAGGATATATAGGGTGTTCTTCTCTACGTTGTCGGTAGGTTTACCACTGCCGCCATAGTAGTTGCGAGACCAGACTGCCCATACGCGACGTCCCTCTTGAGTCCCGGCAAGCGCACCCTTGATCGAAGACGACACATTTGTAGGACCAGGGGATGATTTGAACAGGATGGATGCGATGAAGTCGTCCCTATACAGATGCCATCGCATAGTATCATGATCAGGTGCGAAGGCCACGCACGTGCGGTTGGTCTCTTTTGCCTTGCGTAGCATTTGTTCACGCAAGAGTTTCTCGTCCACCTCGCACAGCTGCCCTAGATTCTCATATGTGATAGGGGTAACCTTTCCTTTCCCCTTCCCTTTTTCTTCGCTCCCTTGCATCTGGTTGGCAGAGACGGGGAACTCGACATGTAGACTCGGGAAAGCGGCCCACCCCTTTTGAGCATAGTACTTCTTGCCGATATCTGACCAGAGAGCCGAACACACAGCGTCTTGACTAACTTGCTTCTCGCATTGCCATTTCCGGAGAGCGACTCCCAACTCGTTTAGCATACGTCCCGCGTATCGATTCCCTCTGTGCTCCGGGTATGTGAAGACAGACCCGACGCCGTGTCCAACGCCATCGCGTATTGCGGTATCACTAGGGGCGGCGACCAATACGCGTTTGTTGATGGACTCGCAGGAAGCAAGAATTGGACGACTCCCCCCTTTTTCTGCCGACCAGGATGAGTCTGTAAGAATCCAATGCGTCATACCACCATCGCGGGTTAACGGAATGGTCGTTAGATACGGCTCTCGCTTTAGATATTCTTCTAAGGTCAAGGCGCCACCCCATTCCTTGTGGTTAAGGGTCCAAGTGCGGCGTTTCTCATCCTCGGTTGGGTGAGTGAGAACGAGCGAAGGAGCCTTGGAATCGGGGTACGCGTAGACATCTTCCTGAGAAGCAGAACCCATATTTACGACCGTTCCGTATGCGTATAGGTACAATTTAATACAGAAGCAGTCGCCTTAACACAGGTCCTATAATCTTCTAATCCTCCTTGACAAACTCGGGTGTTGGCAAAGGAAACACAGGTTGACAACAAATACGGTGGAAGCTGATCAGTTGGACTTCCTATAAAGCTTAGCAATACTAGACCGGTGCAAGCAAAATGTGAAAGGAAATTCGATGTCTCAGAGACATGCCAGTGTCAAAACGACCAAACAGGAACAAAGAGATATATAATAGAAAAGAGCAAATAGATCGCGACAAGCATCAGAAATAATAATAACCACGTCAGTGGTCGCTTTGACGTATTGGCCTTGCAATTAAGAGCACCAAAACGAAACCCGGTGACCAGTTGATATGCATGTATCCCCACGAAGAGCGAATAGTACGTTATCCTGATCCACGGGTTAATCGAGGAAAGGGGGGGCGAGAGGGCCTAGTACTACATAGGTCAAGTTTCATCAACTTTATGTAAGAGAATATAGGCGGACCAAGGAGCCGGTAGGTTGTCGGCTTGGTCTCACCTGCTTGAGCCGCTTCAGATGTTCGGCTCTCCTTATCTTGAACCGGCCTTGGTTGGACCACTTAGTCACAGAAACACACCGACCAGGCTAGGCATTAGTGGAGTATTTGTCTTTCGGGTAGCCTGATGTAGGGTATGGTATGGTATTCAGGTATTGTATAGTTGTATAGTTATATCCAATAGTTGCTGCTTTAGAAAAATGAGATAGGATATACATACCTAGATGAGAATGGGTTACATGTAGGCAACAAGTAGAAGTAGGATTAAGTTGATGGGTTTACAGGGTTATGTATGACAAAGACGGCTGTATAAAAGGTTAGGCTAGGGCTGGCTGGGGCTGGTAGGTACTTGGTATTCAACGGACCCACAGATATGGATCTACATGCCGATGGAACCCGCCTCGGAACCCGCCTCAAGTACAACTACCCGACTTCTGCTGACCAAAGCTGGAAGGTCACCAATATCATCTCACCGCACGTACTGGGTTTGTACCGGGTTGGCCCTGGACGCTAATGCCAACATGAGGGATGATCACTTCGGGAACCGGACTTTTTTTAATCGTTGAATTAGACTTGTGTCTTAAATGGCCTTCGTATTACGAATATCTCGCACCGACCATCGTGTTTTCCTTTTACTCTATCAGTGGCCGTGGCCATCGTCGGGTTCTCCCCTTTCTTCCGGATCCAGCTTAATCAGGGTATCGATTCGCATTATGCTGATACACGCCTCCACCGCACTCTTCAACTGCCGAACCTTGCTCATGCTGGGCTCTAACACACCGGCCTTAATCTCGTCCACCACTTTACCCTTCATCAGATCTAGGCCGTAGTTCTTGTAGTTCTTCTTCTTTGCAACCGTCTTCTCGTCTTCATTAGCCTCTCCTTCCTGCGTTCTTTGCGATAATGCGTGTCGAGATCGTAACTGAGCCACCAACTCGCTGGCATCCTTCGCGGCATTAACAGCCAGTGTCTTAGGGATGACGAGAAGTGACTGCGCAAATTCCGCAATTGCTAGTTGCTCTCGGGAGCCAACTGTGCCCGCGAACTCCTCTAAGTAGATGTGTAATGCCGTCTCCACTGCGCCACCGCCAGGCACGATGCTACCACTCTCCAAAGTTCGCTTAACCGCACATAGCGAGTCATGAACAGACCTCTCCATTTCATCCAGTTGGAAGTCATTCGGTCCTCGAAGGAGAATAGACGCAGATGAGTGCGACTTAGTTCCCTTGACTAAGATGCATTCGTCATCCGAGATTCGTTCTTGGACAACTTCTTCAGCATGGCCTAAGTATGAAGGCTCGAAACGCTCGTCGCCGTTTAAATCGGAGAGCGTGCTTAACAGGGTTGCGCCGGTAGCTTTCGCAATTCGTCGTAAGTCTTCCTTCTTGCATCGTCTGACGGCCATGGCGCCGCGCTCGATGAAGAGCTTCAGGCACATGTCGTCAATACCCTTGGTTGTCAGGATGACATTTGCTCCCGCCTTGAGTATCATCTCTACCCTCTCAATGACCATCCCCGACTCTCGTGCGCGGATCTGTTCGAGCTGTTGAGGGTCGTCGACCGTGATCTGTACACCCAACTTCATTCTCTCTTTTTGCAGGTTCATATCAAGTACCGCAATCTTAGCATCCTGTACCCGCGTAGTCATCGCCTGGGATGCGACGGTGCAGTTCAAAGCGTAGCCCTTGACTAAAACCGATTCTAGGGAGCCTTTTCCGTGTGCTTTGAGGATGTTGACGGCCTTAACGGGGTATTTGACTTCGCTGCGGTTATTTGTCGTCTTGACTGCTTGCATAGCATCGACGACCATGTTGGCGAAGAAGTCGGAGTCGGCGCCAATGATTTTGCTAGACATAGATGTCTTGGCAATGCTGAGCAGCGATTCGCGGCCAAGATTCTCCACTTTAGTGCTAACATTCTCGTTCATGTACTTGATAGCCTCTCTCAGAGCGAGTCTGTATCCTGTGATGATAGTTGTCGGGTGTATTCGGTTCTTCATGAGCTCGTTTGCCCGTCGTAGAAGCTCGGCAGCAATCAGCACAACCGAGGTAGTACCATCACCAACCTCCTTATCTTGCTGGTGCGCTAGGTCGACGAGGATCTTTCCAGCAGGGTGTTCGACGTCTAGGAGGCTAAGAATCGTCGCGCCGTCATTCGTTACTGTGACATCCTATATCAGTTAGCTATGAATCGTTTATATAGAACGTTACTCTACTTACTCCAATATCATCCACCATCATTTTGTCTAGACCACTTGGGCCGAAGGAGCTCTTCACGACATTCGCAATAGCTTGGGTGGCGAGAACTTTACAGGAGGTTAGCTGTATATCGTGGCATCGAAGAATAGAGAGCTACTTGCCATTTTGATCCCTGATATCGGCACCAGATATCTTCTGGCCACCAAGGAACAGAGTCCCATTTCCGGACTGTTCAAAAATAGAAGTCATCTTTCACAGGTCTATGTCTCCTTATGCTTGAGGGTTGATAGATGTTCTTCTGTCCTGCGTAGTCGAGAAAGAGGGGAAACCTGTTTAAACCGGAGCTACCAGGCTGCTGCTTCAATATTTTGTTTAGGTGAAGCTTCTAAACGGTTCCCACCGTAACTTTTTTGCGGAAGCAATGGTTATTCCCGGACCGGTAGTGGGTTGAACAGTTGGAGTGTCTGTGCACGGGCCCGTTTTAACGTTATCAGCCAGTCAGCCCCTCCTATCAAGAATTTGGACCCCTCGACTTCAACCTTGAACCCCACCATCCTGCCATTGGGAGATTGGGCAATCGCGGGGCAATCATTGAAATTTCCCAGGCCGCGTTATTGCTACTAAATACGGTTGTGTACCTTCCTCCTTATTTGACCCCCAAGCGGCACTTTCGTCGGAGTGACTCAGATTTATTCATTTATTCAAACCTTACCACACTTAATAAAATTTCTGGTAACAGCTTCCCTTGTTTTTGACATTATCCTTTCTCCATCCGAATCTTTTCTTTCTAACCCAATTTCAGAACGTCACGAAACAATCATGGAGGAGAACAAGCCGGTCGAGCAGTCGAAGAGTGCCTTGAAGAAGGCCGAAAAGGAGGCCAAGAAAGCCGCCGAGAAAGCTGCAAAGGCAGCAAAGCAAGCTGCTCTTCCTGTTGTCGGTGGAAAAAAGGCGGATGATATTATCGGAATCACCTATTCCAAAGCCGACGACTTTGCGCAATGGTATCAAGAAGTCGTGCTCAAGGCCGAGATGGTCGAGTACTACACCGAAATTTCGGGTTTCTACATCATGCGCCCTGCAACCATGCACATCTGGAATGTTATCCGGAAATGGTTCACGGAGCGTATTGAGGCTATGGGCGTTGACGAGACCAACTTTCCCATGTTCTTATCCCAGAAATCCCTAGAAAAGGAGAAGGACCATGTTGAAGGCTTTGCCCCTGAACTTGCATGGGTGACGAAGGCGTTAGTTATACTATCATTTACCACTTCATTAGACGGTTGCTAATGCTAGGTATTTTATCAGTGGTGACAAGAACCTCGAGGTTCCCGTCGCGGTTCGTCCCACATCCGAAGCCGTCATGTACCCCTACTATTCGAAGTGGATTCGAAGCCACAGAGATCTTCCTTTCAGACTGAACCAATGGAACTCTGTCGTCCGGTGGGAAGCAAAACAAACTACTCCTTTCCTGAGAGCAAGAGAGTTCTTGTGGCAAGAAGGTCACACCGCACATCTGACCGAGGAGCTTGCCGGAGAGGAAGTTTTACAGATTCTTGAGCTTTATGCTGGTGTTTACGAACAGCTACTAGCAGTTCCAGTTGTGCGCGGTACCAAGACCGAAAACGAGAAGTTCGCTGGTGGATATTACACTACTACAGTCGAGGGCTATATCCCTTCCAACGGACGAGGCATTCAGGGCGCTACTTCTCATTGCCTGGGTCAAAACTTCAGCAAGATGTTCGACATCACAGTCGAAGACCCGAATGAGAAGGGAAAGCACATCAACGTTTGGCAGAATTCCTGGGGTCTGTCAACTCGTGTTATTGGTGTGATGGTCATGATTCATGGTGACGACAAGGGATTGGTCCTTCCTCCAAGGATCGCTAAAATCCAGACGATCTTGATCCCCGTTGGCATCACCAAGAGTACTACTCCTGAAGACAAGACAAAACATTACCAGAAACTAGAGGAGATAAAGCAGACTCTGAAGAAGGCAGGCGTGCGCGTCGAGGATGATTTAAGAGATGGGTACACCCCAGCTTGGAAGTTCAACGACTGGGAGTTGAAGGGTGTCCCATTGCGTCTCGAGTTTGGACCGAAAGATGCCGCCAAGGAAGTCGTCAGCTTTGCGCGCCGGGATAATGGTGAGAAAAGCACAATTCCTCTAGCAGAACTGACTACGAAAGTGCCTGAGCTCCTCGAGACTATCCAGAGCGATATGTACAACAAGGCAGAGAGGGCGTATAGAGAGCACAGGGTCATCGTGAAGAAGTGGGATGAGGTGGTGCCCGCCTTAGATGCCAAGAACGTTGTAATTATCCCCTTCTGCCTCGATGGCAAGTGCGAGGACCAGATTAAGGAGTTGACAACGGGTCGCACGGACGAAGATCCCAACACGCCGGAGGCTCAGAAGGCCCCGTCGATGGGCATGAAGAGTTTGTGCATTCCCTTCGAGCAGCCGGAAGGCTTGGTTAAGGGAGAGACCAAGTGTCTGAACCCAGAATGCAAACGGCTAGCCGAGAAATTCGTCATGTTCGGACGAAGCTACTAAACCACCGTTTGCTATAGATCACAAGGATATCCCTTCTCGTTTGTAGCTATGAAGATCTTCGTTGGAGTCGGTCAGGCGGGCGTCTAAGATATCAAATGCGAGAGCGGCGCAGCACTCTCGAGTCGCAGATTATAGTGGACCTGCTTTCGAAATAAATAAAAAGCTACTGATGTGAAAATGGCAGTTTGTCATCACTTTCCATATATAAGAGAAGAACCGTACCTAGCAAAGTGGATTGGCTGAGTAAAGTAGGTAGGTAGTTGCGAGACTGGAGTTTCTTTCAGGACTATAATACGGCCTATCTTGGATTCTTGGCCTTTGGATCTCACTAATCAGGATGCCACTCTCCCCCTTTTTAACGCCTGAGATTAGGCTTGAGCTATAGTGTGTGAAATGGACGGAATGTAACGTCGGAAGCTCTGCAAGGAATTATTGGTTCGTCCCGCTTTGAATTACCTAGTCTTGAAGAGACCAGGTGATGATTCGTAAGAGAACCGCACCTCCGCGAAGCTTCGGCATTATCGCTTACTTGACTTTAGCGAAGTAATTCTAAGATATACTAAAAAGAGGCATCGTTTAAGCTATACCTAAAGTCTAATTGGTCATTTTGCGCGGAACTGTCATTCCATGTTGAAGAACTGAGTCAAAACCAACAGAGATGCCTGGACCGAGTAGCATCACATACGCAATTTAGTGGCACGGCCGGTATGCTCGGAGTTAAACAAGGCCTTGGTGACTATCGTGAATATGTTCTTTTTATGATATCAAAATCGTAGGTGGCGTATGTTCCAAGGGTGGAATACAGGTTCCGTCGTCAATGATAGGTGGGTTGTCCGAAAAATAGTAGCAACAACTGGTAACCAACCCACTATTACAATATGGCATCTATCTCCTTACCTCCAAGTCTCGTGACACGTCGGCATTAATAATCAGTGGACCCAGGGGGAATATAAGGCCTTGCATGATTTCGAAAAGCAGTACTATGCGAAAGAGGGGGGGAGCATTGGAAATGTACACGAAACAGTTGTTGAACAGGCATATTGGGTTACCCATCGTATGAACAGGGCTAAAGACTTCCACTTCGCATTCGATATAAAAGGTGTTTGAGGTCCTCTTGAAATTAGCATGCCAATTCATCTCGTACACCACAAGACCAGTAGCAGCAGTATACAGCTTATCCTTTCTCTGATCTGTTCAACATTACCCGTCTCAAATTACCAGAAGAATCTAAGTAAATAACCACTTGTTGTCTATCCCATATATACGACCTAGCCTCCCGCTTCAAGAAGATGCCAGCAGACACTTTCGGAGATCTTGCCGGGAAAGTTGCCATCGTCACTGGTAGCGGCCGGCCTAACGGGATAGGAGCCGCAATCGCCAAAACGTTGGCGCGTAATGGCGTTTCCGTGGCCATTAACTATGTCTCCGAGCGATCAGCCAAGCCGGCAGAAGAGGTAGCCAAATCCATCCGCGATGAGTACAAGGTCGGCGTAGCACTAGTCCGGCAAGACGTCTCTACTCCGGAAGGCGCCCAAAAGATTGTCGCTGAGACGATGAAGCAACTAGGAGTAGACCATATCGACATACTCGGTACGTGAAAGCTGTCTAGCTTTTATGAAGCATGAATATTACGCTATATTCACCGTATTAACATGAACCCCCATTTAGTCAACAACGCCGGGCTCTCATTGCCTGGTCCTCTCCTAGAGGCCAAACTCGAAAACATCGAGAAGACATTCTCGGTCATGGTGTACGGCCCGTTGTTCATGACCCAAGCGGTCGTCGGCCTAGGTAAGATGCCGAAAGGAGGCAGGATAATCAACATCGGCAGCGTAGGCTCGAGGACCTTTCCAACTGCTCTGCCCGTTTACTCATCGGCCAAATCGGCGTTGGACGTCATGACGGTGTTTTGGGCTGGCGAAGTAAGGAGAGACCAAGTTACACAAGCCCCTTAGATTTATGCTCACAATGCGTCTAGCTCGGCCGTAGTCATGGCATCACAGTGAATACGTTGGCACCGGGTCCAATCGCCACCGATATAGTCGATAAGACGCCGGAAGTTGCCGATGATCTGGTCGCCTTGCAACGAGGTTCTGATCGTATTGGTGTACCGCAAGATATGGCCGATATAGTGCTACTAATCGCATCGGAGAAGAGCCATTGGCTGACTGCTAAGTATATTGCTGTAGATGCTGGTATTCTCGGAAATGTTTGAGTCCTGACAAGCTGGAAGTGGGATGGTGGTTTTTGGGTATTCCATCTCCGCTCTATTAAGGCACGCCAGTGTATTCTAAATTAGATTAGTTACGAGTTGGTGTTCAATCACATAGATGGAAGCCATGTGTCTCTACATCAATTCTCGATATTTCCAGACAACATGCCCAAGTGTGGATCCACGGGGATATTTTCCAGTCGTTGAGATAAAGTCGCCTGTAAGTAGTTATCAATCTCGCGGCAGAGCAAGTCTGACTTCCCTGCGTCTATAGCATCTACCCAAATGATGCCACGGGCGAGAATCATAGCTTGATTGCCGGTTTGAAGTCCGAGGCTTTCCATAATCCCGACAATCGTAAGGACATGCCAAGCCCGATTTGGGCTCTCCTCTTGCATAGCACTTATTATATGAGCCCAGAGGTTCAACTCGGCCACCAAGCCCCAGTCCACTAGGGGTATCTGTGAAATTTGACGAAATGCCTCAAGATGTGTCTCCATTTCGAACGCCGCGGCGCCCATCCGGTCCTTAATAGCAGCTAAGAAAATGAGTGCAGCTCTCCGAAAGGCCTCCCTGGCTGCAATTCCAGAATAATGGGGGTGTGATGGATCGTCAGGAAGAGGTATTCCCTCGAGGGTCAAAATCTCATGAAAGGCTGGGCTCAGAACCCGTGCTATCGTTACATCATCCGTCCAAAAGTTGGGAGTACCTTGATGTTGGTTAATATAGCTAGCGGCGGCGGCAGTCGCTTTCATAGCGTTCATGATATCGCCTAACGTAGGGCAATCTGCGTCCCAGGATTGTAATAACTGCTGGAGATACAGGGAATCGTTGCCGGTGCTGATTTCTGTGATGGAGTCTCTTGGGATATGGAATCGTGGCTTAGAATTAGAGTACGTTGCCCCAGCTAGATCAAGCCTACGGTACCAAGTTTTAGAAATCGATATCCCTTACTATTTCATATGCGAATGATGAACTTACCAAGATATCATTAATCTTAGGAATGGACTGCTTAAGGCTTGCAAGCCACCCTTTTTACTAATTAGGCGCTGAAGTCCGTCCATATGGATGGCGAAGCGGTCAAAATTGCCTATTGAAGCCTTCATGGATTGTCAGTATCACCACCCATTGAGGTTAAAGTGCTGGGTTATAGAGGATACGTACATCATGACAGGCAAAGCCGGTAACAGCAATTATGAGACCCTCGCTATTGCTCTCAACGGGATCTGCAAGCCTCTTGGTAATAGAAGCTAGAGATAACGTATACCACTTCATAGCTTCAAGGCTGGTAATCTCGGTCTTCTTCTCTCCTGGCTTGAGGCCGCGGTAGATTACAGCATTCGCAAGGGTGATATGCCAAGCGGCAATATCCGACAGACCCATGGTTAGCCAGGGGAATCGAAATGGTCTATAAGTAGTACGGGCTTCATCGACAACTGGTATCACTATTAGATATTGAGACCATCATAGTCTTGTGGATATCCATTTACCTACTATATTGAATGAGGCTCATCCGTTTTTGGTCCATATCGATGGGAAATTCTATGGTATGCAAGCTACCGTCCATCTGCGGGCTGGGAAGCTTCAAGAATCGCGATGGACTATTTGCTTGCGCTTCATCTTTATCTTTAGTAGCAGCTGAACTACCCTCCCCTATGATGACCTCGCCCCGATTCTTCGTCCGCGGTTTTCTGCGCGCCTTGCCAATATCTTTCATGACATGGCGGCGGATTGTAGTCGAGTGCTGTTTTACATCACCGGGGGTCGCTACGTTCACGAATTCAAACTTCGCCATTGTTCTCCTGAAGGTACCTAGTTGTGAGTGAGTGGGTCTTCGGTATACCGGCTCAGTTTCTCAGCATATTTGAGAACGTCCAAGGTTGACGATGGTTTTCATTAAAACAATTGCGTCAATGCTAAGCATGTAATAGTATAAAATAACGAAGTTAACAAATATGAGGCTATTTAGGCCCGCTGTTGCCTGCGGTGAGGTGATGACAGGGAAACGTCTGGCTGACTAAGGTATTACATAGGTAGAACCTTGAATTCGGGCCCGATTTTGCGCCACCTTTAGGTCAGGGGTGATGACTAATCTGACTAATCACCACCCACCTCTGAATGGCGTGTAAGTGGCTGAACATCTCAAGTCTCAGCATGGTTTCACTCACGAACGCAACGAGGACGCATCAATTTGTGGACAACGGGTCCCAGGCAGGAAGAAACATATTCATCGAAGACCATCAACATCTCACATACACACGCCATTAAGCCGAGAAGATCATGAAGATTTCGTACAATCATTTATTCATTCCTCACTCGCTTAGGCCGTAAGAGAACGTTCCATCACGAAGCAGACGTTATATCTTGAACTAGTAAAATCCCTAAACTCTTAAAAAAAAAATTGTACAAAAACCGCACTTTCGTTCGTTCCTCATAACTCCCCGCCTAACCAGCCCCGCTCGCCCTCTAAAATCGGAACGAGCGAGGCAGGCAAGGCAAGCAGGCCTTTGCATCTTCCGCTCTCTCTCCCTCTCCCTCTATTCTTAAACGCCGAGCGCGGCGTTGAAAGCGTCAGCAGCAGCCTGGCCGGAAAGCGAGTTGGCCGCGTCGGCGCCCTCGTTGCAGGCCTGGACGGTGGCGTCGGACGCGCCGCACTTGGAGCCCAGCTGCTGGCAGATGAAGTCCGTGATGACGGCGGGCTTGAGCGCCGACCCGTGCTGGAAGTCCTGCGTGTCGACGGGCGCGAACGCGTCCTCGTCGGGGCGGTCCGCCTGCTTCCCGAACGAGATCGCGGGGGATCCGCAGTCGCCCGTGTCGGCGGCCGCCTGGCGACGCTTGGCCCCGTTTTGTTGGGCTACGCACTGTTGCTGCTGGGCGTCGCAGTCGGCGACCGTGATGGAGGCGTCGGCGCCGCTGTTGGCTGCGTTCGCGCATGCGTTCTTTTGTACATCGCACGCGCGTTGGATGGCGGCGCCCTGGTTCAGGAATTCGGCGCCGTTGACCGAGAAGGGCTTGGCGGCGTTGGAGCTGATCACGGGAACGGGGGCGGAACCGACGCTGCCGGTGAAGGTGTTGACGTTGTTGCCGGTAGTGGCGGTGGCTCCGCTGGCTGCGTCGGAGGCAGCGCCGGCGGTGCTGTTACTAGCGGCGTCGGCGCTGGCGGCAGCACCATCATCCTCGCAAGCTGTTGTTGTTAGTACAGGCGTTGACCTTAAGAAGAGAGTGAGTTGGCTCACAATCATCAGCAGCAGCGGCGCCGGTGGCAGCAGTGGAGTTTCCAACGTTAGCGTTAGCGCTGCCTGCACTTGCGCTGCCACCCGCGGCAGCAACGGCGGCATTAATCTCGTCGGCAGTGGCATCCTCAACAAGGAGGTTCTGGGTGAAAATGCAACCCTCCGTGTCGTCTTCAGTGTCGCAAGTGTTGCCAGCGCCGGTTGTGTCACCAATCTATAATTCAGTGTTAGTTACGGAGTAATTAAGTGGTTCTGGGGATGATCATACCTGGCCAGGTGCGAAGGTTCCGGATTGTAGGGCGAGTTGGGGATCGGCGCCGATCGACGAGAGCTGAGCAGCTAGGTCGAGGGTGATCTGCTTGTTTAGAGCAGCAGCACCGTTAGAGGCGGGGTCCTGGTGCTGTTGGATGGCAGCGATCTCAGGGTTCTTTGCAGTTTCGTTGCAGAGAACGGAGGCCAGGCCGACGGAACCGGTGTTCCTTTCCTAAACACGATGTTAGACTTTCGTGGACATGAGATCACCTAGAATGCGATACGTACAAGTGCACGGAAGATCAGCGCGTTGGTCATGCCCTCAACGTCGTTAGCTGCCTTAGCATTGGTAAAGGCCTGATCAGCAACACGCTGTTGCAAGCAGTCCAAGTTCGTGACTAGACCGGCGCCTTGAGCAGCGGCGGCGTTTCCTAGCAGAGCGAAGACGGGGTCTTGGACCTGGTCGACGTTGTTCAAGTTCAAGGCGGCACCAACGCCGGTGAGGAACTTGTTGTGGGAGTGCTCCTCTGTAAGTGTGTTAGTGATATCCCATTCCTCCATAGTCTCCTTCCCGGTATGACCTACGAGGAACCTCGCGCCTGAACTTGGCCGAGTCACCAACAGCATGGCGGTTCTTTCTGAACAACCGCACAGCATCAGGGCGGGCAGAAGCCACGCCCAACATAGCCAACAAAACAGCACTCGTTTCAACCTTCATATTGTCGGATTATCGAAGTTAACGATCGTTCGTAATAGGTAGAGATCGTGAAGTAAAAAACAGGCCCTGCCTAATGATAGAAATGCCGGAGCGCAAAAGAGCGTGAGAAGGTAACGAGAAAAAATATAGTTCCCAGAACTAGAAAGAAAGAACGTAACAAGGTGAGAAAGATGTGCTGTCGTCGGATAAGGAAGAAGAGAGTAGCAATATCGGTATCGCCTGGGGGCAGCCATCTCTATATATACAGCATTGAAACCTTGAGGATCGAACGAGCGCCAAGCGGAGGTCCCATGGTAGAGGGTACGCGTTGGCGAAGCTTCAGAGTAGTATGAGCCCGACAGACTAGCCTGGGGGCGGCAGGCTCCTACCGCCAAGATTCGTCCAAACTGTCTCATCAGAAGAAGTTATACCGGGCCCCGTTTTTTTCTTCTTCGAACCCCGGCCTCATAGATCTAGTCGTCCCAACATCTCATCTTGGCCTGGAGAAGAAACACCATCGTCCCAATCTAGAGTGGCCAGCTAGCTTGGTTAATATCGGCTCGAGTAGAAGCCGGAGGAAGATTGGGAGCCAAGGATTGAGATAAAATGCATTCCGGGCGTCTTTGGCGTAGAGATCAGACCCAGGATGTCACTCTCGCTGCTCGGCGCAAGGACCGATGAGCCGCGCATGGTTTTTAGGGCGGCTGTTGATGAAAGCAGATCAATGGCCTTGTCATCAGCTCATCAACTCCGGCTGAGGATCTCAATAGAATTTCCCATTTCGGGCAGTCAATTGACGGTGTCTGTGTCAAGCTGCCGTATTTCTTGGGAACGAAGTGGGCTTCGGCCCCCTTGAGAGTGTGTAATAACGCTCATTTTTCAGTTTTGAGACCGAGGAAGTTGGGATGAGACTGACTATCCTACCCGAAGTGTCTCATCGTGATCGAGCCGCGTCCGAGGGCAGCAGGGGTTGTGATAGGTCAACTTGACACGCGAGACACCCCTAGCGCTAACCTGGATCGCCTCAGGGTTTAACTCCACCACGGAAATGCGAGTGATTCAGCTGTTCTGTGCTAACAACCTGCCGAGTACCGACAATACAACAACATTTCTAATGCTGGTTTCTTCATTTTGGTACGTATTCTTACAATCCAGGCATCGCGTGGCCCTCAAGGACTTAAGACAAGGTTTATCTGTACGCTTTAATCGTTGCAGGATGCAGAGCACTTCCGTATTCATCATAGAAGTGATCCGAGGTGGTCTTCCTTCAAGTTGTGGAGTGCTAAACTCTAGAAATATGAAATGAAAAATTACTCTTTTCAAATCTCTCAATATGTCTGATTAGCGATCTATTCAATATTTGGACGAAGTTGAAGGCAAGGAAGTAGGTATTCTTTAATGTCTGCGTACACTCATGGTTACTACGGCAACATTCCATAGGCACTTAGTCGTCTAATAATAACTCCTGTGACGGCGCCAAGTTCAAGCCTGCTGGCAGACGATGTGTTCCCGTGCCCAGGAAATCTTATGATGTTGAATATGGTTCTATCCGTAGGACGACAGACTTGGCCCTGACAAGCTACAAAAGTCCTGCTCACCCCGTCCATTTTTGGGCGTGCCACATAATGAGACTCCGGCATGTTTGGATGTGTAGCATATAGACGGCACACCAAGCTCGTCCGACCATCCGTCAAGACTGATTGATCGTCTCTTGGGAGTCTCATCCGAACTTCTATCTTATACATTATGCCATGCATGATATATGTATCATTCGAAGCCATTCCTGTCAGTGATCATCGCTAGACGTTAGATAATCTGCCAGATTATACCCATAGCCAGAAAGGAGGATGTAACCCGAAGCTTTGTCTTTAACACTCATATAGCCTAACAGAGGTAATTATAAATGATCCATGTTCCATCGAGATCTTCGATGAACTAATTAAATCCAGGCGTTACTACACTGGGATAAGGAACAGTTCATCTTCTCCTTGCTTGTCTTTTGTATAACTCTTAGCCCAAGCTTGATAAGCCGCCTACCTCGAAACTACTAGGTACGCAATGAAGGTAGGAGATATAGGGGTTAGATAGGTTGACCGCTATTTCTGATATACGAGGCCATCGGCTTAACATGAATAATAAACAAGTCATAGTAAAGTCGGGCGGGGATTCTTTAAGCTTGACAAGTTTTGATTTGTTTTTGTACAGTATGGCAGCGCCAAGGGAAAACTTCTAAAGAATGCCACGCAACCTCATGATCTTTTGCCATTACGTCTATATCCAGCGCCCCAGCTCGGCGGTAAAAGGTAGGTGGGTAAGTAATGAGGCACGAAACCCGCCAGTCTAGTAGTGTACTGTGGTTGGATAATTGTACATACACAATCCCCCCTACCTCGCTTAACCGATGACCAGCTTGTCGTCCTCGGGGAACTCGTACGAGGGAATCTCGAGGTTGAGGGGAGCGGGTCCTTTCCTTATACGTCCAGAGATGTCGTAGTGCGAACCGTGGCACGGGCAGAACCATCCACCGAAATCTCCAGCCTCGCCGATGGGGACACAACCTAGATGTGTGCAGACACCTATAATATCAAATATTAGTATTATTCTGTTCATAACCACCACCACAACATATCCGCGGGGGGGATTCAGAATGTTGTTGATAGATATCTCGTGCAAAAGGAAAGATGGTCGTACCCAACATGACCAGCCACTCGGGCTTCTGAACACGGTCCTCGTCGGCCTGGGGATCTCTTAACGAGGTGACGTTGACCGAGTTCGCCTCGCTGATCTCCTCCTCGGTGCGGTGTCGGATGAACACCGGCTTTCCTCTCCACTTGATGATGACGTTCTTGCCCTCCGGGATCGCGTTGAGGTCGACCTCGACCTTGGCCATGGCCAGCACGTCGGCGGACGCGGACATGTTCTTTAGGAATTCTAGATAGCCGCGGAGCGTTAGATAAGATGCGCTTAAGTGAATCGACCAGCAGATACAATGGACAACTGGGCTGTCATATAGCTGGCTAATAGCTAGCTAATATGCCACACATCCCGCGTCCGGAGAGTACCTAATCTTAGATAACGATCGCGCAACGTACCTTGCACCGTCGACTTAGCGCCGGCGGCGGTGATGGCGCCCATGGTGCCAACCATGAAGTACTGGAAGAGCAGGTTGGTGTTGGAGCTGCCCTTGTTGAGGTAGTGGCCGAAGTCCGGGATCTTGGTCGAGCTAGACTCGCCCTTGAACGGGCTGGAGTAGGATCCGCCGCCGCCGTGTGCGGCGTCGTTTCGCTGTGCGGTCGTGCTGAGGGCGCGGGCGGCGGCGACGCGGGTGCAGGACTTCGACACTCCTCGCGCGAGGGCGCGGGAAGCGATCGTGAGGGGCGCCATGGCGTTGTGCGGGAATCAATTGGGCGGTTCTCGTCGTAGGGCAAGGTGTTGCGAGTTGTGAGGTACTTTTTTTCGGGAACGAATATCGAAAGACTTCGGGTAATGTTTCTGAGCTAACCTAAACTACGAACGCCAATGGGACGTTAGGTAATTGGTCTAAAAGCCCACCAAAAATTCCAAGAGCTCTGAAATTGGAGATAGATGATTGGTCAAAAGTCACTCGGGCTAGCCCAATCTTGATGAGTCAGTTAAGCTTCGGTGTCATGTGATCGATGATAGATCTACCTGTGACGTCGCATATGCTTACATAACTATATGCACAATTTGTGCTATGAATTGGACGACCTTGATCGGTTTCATTCAATGTTGAATGTTCTAGTATTTCCAATGCCTTTTCGGTTTCAACACTTTGATTATGCCCTAGATGCTAGCCTAACGCCTGGTTCGTAATATCTAATATCCCAGTAACGTAGTCTCATGTCATGCCCCTGAATAAGCCCAGATACGCCAACCTGTAATCTAGTGCATACGTTTTAACTCCTCCACCAAGTTTCTTAGAGCTTCAACATCGGGGCCCAACCCTGCGCAGATCTCTTCTTGTGTCTTCTCATCAATATCTAAAAACCGTTCAAGTAACTCCCCATCGATGAAGCGGAACGGTCCCTCCGATTCGCGCTCCTCATTCCTAAAAGAGCGGTACCTCGAGAAGAGTATGTTACCGGTAGTCTCCACGAACTCGGCGAGTTTGGTTTGGAATCGGATTAAGAGGTCCTGGTAGCTTGGTGCAATGAGTCCGAATAGATACACGCCTCCTTCGACCTGTCCTAGTCGTTAGTAACGATGTTTCATCTGTATTGATATGTTGGACCACTTACCGTGCCGAGAAACGCATGCGGAGTAATGATAGCATTCTCGCTTGCGTCGACGGTGACTTTTCGTATCTTATTTACCATTTCTCCCAAGTTGATCTCGCTAGTCACTTCCATGCGCCGCTTGTCCTCTAATGTGACACCATCCAAATTCCTCCGCAATACTAATAAGTTGCCCTGTGTGTCTGATTCTAACCATGAGTCCTGGTCTATGTGACATACGGCAGTAGCCCAGACGGATTGGTAATGTCTTGATACTTCGACAAGCTTCGCACCTTGACCATCCGCGGGTGGGACATACTCAATCAGAGTCATGGACTTCATAAGATCAGCGACTGCGATGATGTTATTCTTGACTGCTAGGTCAACGGGGTATGTAGCCGGCCGATAGGATGCAATCTTCTTCATCTCCGCGGTCGTCGATGACGTCTCATTGTATGAGTACATAACCACCGTTTTGGTCAAGGCCGCAACGATCTTGTCGTCTAAGACTGCAAGGCATCGACAAGCGCCTTTTAAGTTTCTGCTAGTGACGAGATATGGCGTTCTGTCGTTATTAACTCCAAGAACCAATATACGTCCCCGAATAGCATCATCTGGTGCGGAGCCGTCTGCGTAAGTTAGGTACGAAGTGCCAACTAGGAACCTCTCAACCACATCTCCATATGAATCTGGAAGCTCAGCTCGAATCACAGCCTCCACCATTTCTACCCGAGGTGAGCTCTCTAGAGCAAAGCTCCCGAGCTGCTTGAAAACCACTTCGTCGACCAGTTTGAAGGAATTAGTGAGAACCTCTTCGTTGTCCTTCACTTCTCGATGGAAACAGCCTAACCCAAAGGCCCGTTCATTACGAGAATACGCTATGCGACGGATAGTTTCTCCCATGGGTAGCGTTTGTACGTGTGTTCGACGCTCCGTGTCAATTGTCGCGATTTTTATTTCTTTCTCTGTTGCAACGACAATGGAGTCTGGAAAGGCTTCCGAATCAAAAAGACACACGCAGGTCGCATCATCAGCCGTAACTGCGGAGTAGACGATTCTACCTTCTGCTCCGTAGATTAAGCTAGGATGTTCACTAGTTGCGAACACATTGTAAATACCAGTTTCCCGTGGGAGCAGCTGTAATCTGGCTTGTCGTGTCCCCAGGACGACACTCTTTCGCCCAGACAGAGAGAAATCGGACTTAGAAACATTAAATGTAATGACATAACCATCTTCCATGGCTACAAATAATGTTGGTCCAGCTAGGTGTGGCGGAAGGACTTGTGCGAGCGCAATATCTCTGGGTATGGAAGCGTTGTTATCCTTTCGTCGTAAGCTTTCTCCATGAATGGAATCTAGGTTTTCTAAATCAAGAATGATGAAGATTGACCCTGACTTCCAAAGACCGACTACGCCGATACTAGGGTATTCCGGAGGCAAATGAATGCAGGCCACCTGATCTTCCTCCCCGAGATTTTTGCTTCCCAACCATACGAGATCTTCCCATATCCGTAACGACATAATGTTTCTCCCGTCGACAGAGAGAAGGACCCATTCATTATTTGCCGAGGCGTTGGTGATCTGATGCCCAGGTGGTGGTCCCCATGTCGATACAACGACACCGCGCTTCGGATCAACGATATAAGCATCCGTTGTTGTAATCTGAAGAAATCGACCGTCTGGCAGATTTTGAGCTAATAATGTCTGTTCGTTAAATATCATTCCTTTAAACTCTTCGACTTCTTCAACTTCGCCACTAGGACTGAATGTAAAAATTCGGGTTTCTGTGAGGAATGATACCACTAATATGTCAGTCTTTGACGTTCCGTCTGACTTAAGAGAGAATAGTGCTCGGACATTCTCCATGTCTGCAAGAACTCCAACGTCGTCTAAACCAACGCCACTTCGCACACTCCGCAAACTCCCGTCTTTATAGACGCCGCTACCAGTGACAATTCTCGCTTGGCCGGAAGAGTATTCGTTAGTAGTCTGTCCTTCTCCCTCGCGATTACCCATGTCCATAATATTGAGATCCAATATCGGAGCAATGCTATTTAAGGTCTGGATCGGTTGCAGGGATTTCGAGTCGCCGAGATCAACACGGAAAACTTGAGAGTCGCCATAGTGAGATCCCACGAACAAGATGTTGTTTCCCATGTAGACGAGGCTACTGGCTCTCGGGGTTACTCCGATCTTGGTCATCTGCAAATCTGTTACCACAGCTCCGTCAAGGAGGATTTCTAGTAGCCACAAGGCTCCATAGTCATCCCCAATGAAGTAATGCGAAACATCATATTCAGCCCAAGCGACGAAGATGGAAGACTCTGGCAGCGCAGATTCAACCTTCTTCTTGGCAGCATCGTCGTAGTAGAGTAACCTAGTCTCGCCGACGACAATAACGCCACCAAGTTGGGCTCGCGCGGTCGATGCGTTTCTTATGATGTACCGTTTCTGGTCCCCCTCGCCCCTACCAACTGGTATCAATATGGAAGCGCCTGGGTCCGGGGTCTCCATACGATCAACCTGATCGCGAACTTCAAATCGAGAAACCTCCGTGTTCTTGTCATCTGACGTTAAGCGATAGGTGACGAGTTGAGAATCTGGTATATCGGTTCGGGATTGGTACAAGAAAGCGATCTTCGGATGGCCGGTCTCGACGTGTAGGAAAGTTACACATTTGATGAAGAGTTCGGAAACTCGGATCTGATCCATCCAATGCAAATTCTGCCTCTTGCTCTTGACCGTATGCATACGTAAGACATTGATAACTCCTTCCCAGAGAAGGACGGCCATGAATCGCCCTGTCGGGTCGACCGCACACATGTCTTGACTTTGGGCATCTCGCAAATGCTTCTCGTGTATATCAAAAAACGAGTCAATGGTCTCTAGTTTCCCATCTGCGGCATTCCATCCGAATGTAAAGTAATGGAACCTGTCGGTTCCCACGAAGACCAGCTCGGTTTCGGCATCTCGAGGTCGGAGCTTCTGTAGAATAGAAATGGAGCCGTTAACTGCCTTTGTGTCAGTGTGCACCAGTGTGCCAGATTCTTCGAGCTTCCATATTTCTAGCCGGTTGGTTTTGCTGCAAGAAGTTAGCTCTCCTTCATCATTACGTCGTTTGTGCGATTAGGAGGACCCACGCAAGAATGAGGCACTCATCCTCTCCAGGGAACAGGTTGACGCGCAGCGCATGTCGGACGCTATTAGGCCGATGGATAGGCGCTACGTAAGCCATTTCGTGAGTTTCGCATGTTTTGAGCGCACTACGATGTGGCGGTTCGTGGTATAGCTGACAAGCGCATGGAAACGACGGAGCTTCAATGAAATGGAATTTCGTTGGTGGGAGGAATTGAAGATGATGCAAAGACCCGGCGATAAGTCTAAAACGCGGGGATTACAGGGCGGGTCGATAACTGATAAAGCTTAGACCCCCCTGCTCCCGCCCGGAACATCTGCCGAATTACAAACTTTGAAAAAGAGAATGTTGTCTAAGGCAAGCACGTCCACTGAAAATATGATAACTTCTCCCCTTTCAGAGAAGGAGCTAATGCTACCTCCTTCTTTGCTTGAGTAGCTGGCAATCACAAGGTAGCACAAGTCCGCGCCCAATCTTGGGCCGGCTTCCGCCTTAGTGTCTCTTGCAAGTATCCGAAGCTCCTATTCGTGGATGCACGTGGATGCAGTCATGATTCTTTTATGATCTTATCAACGTATATATATATACGGTTTCTATAATATCAGGAATTGAAATCCGGGTAGAAGTGCTATATACCGTCGTGCCGAGATATCCATTAGTGAGTGATAATACCATCATCATCGTCACTGATAGTTCTCTCTCATTATCTCATCATGATCCGTTAGCTCAACTCTAGCAACGCTTTGCAAGTGCTCTAGAATTTCAGAGACATGTTTTATAGCGGGAACCCACAATGCAGTATTACTAAAGTGCAGCTAAGACCCAGTCCCATGGATAACAAAGCCGGTATGGAGCATGTCTACTAGGAAGGACCATGAAACATTTGTTCGCCCTCATAAATCACCAACACCTAGCACACACATTGGGTGCGAACCAGAGAGGTGGGAAAGCTTGTTTTTACACACAAAAATCCAAACATGGACCATGATGAACACTGATGTAAGATCGACAAGCATACGAGTCAAGCCCTACAATATGGGCATCCTGTTCTTCAATATAAAATACTGCTATCCAGCCCCCAAAATCCCATGAAACCCTCACACGGTACTGGAATTTGAACAAACATAGCATCATATCTTACATCTCATACTCAAGATGAAGTTCCTCAACCTGCTACTGCTAGGCTTTGCGGCAGAGAGCAACCAAGCTGTGATCAACCCAGGTCATAGCCAGAAGCGAGACGTACAGCAATGGGGTTGGAACCGAAACCAAGCACATTGTGTAAGTTGCAGATACCCATCTCAAAGCAATCATCTTGCTAAAGCTCACACCTCTCAGATCATGTGTGTTGAATACGAAAGGACTCAAATTGGCAACTATAATGGGAGTATCGTGATTATCAAACAGTAATAGCCCCCCTTTCAGCTTATTTGAATACCACATGTAAAGACGGTGAACTGACATTATGGACTTTTCAGAGCGGTAACTGTTTGCACGGATCAGGGCCCGTGTCAGAGTTTTGACTACCTGAACACGTTCCATTATGGCTGGGCGCCGCCAGATGCAGTTCAGGCTGCTCGGAATGTTTGGGGGTCAGAGTCGGCATGATCTTGAGTGGTTGTCACCAAGTCAAATTACACATACTATTCGCTATGCCCCATCTAGGAAAAGTTAGCATTGATCATATATAAGTCTTGATAGCAGAAAAAGAATTTCTCATACATTTTAATCGAACTCGCCAAAGTCGTTGTTGAGCGCAAATGAAGATCTCCCCGGGTTGCCCGATACACAAGCCCGTGCAGCCGCCTAAACCAGTATTAGCAAAGCACTTAAGTGAAGCGTATGTTTTTTTTATCTTTGAGTAGACTATGACAGTGGGAGGAATCTTATGGAGACACAAAGGTGATCACTCGCCGGGTACTTCGATTAGTCCAAGGGCCGAACCCCCTGGGCTCCAAACCTCAACTCCATCTCCACATGCGGCGAACACATTGCCATTCGAATCACATACTACCGCTGTTGGTACGCCTTCTTTGACGTAGGCGAAAACTCGCTTGTTCATCGCGAATAGTGAACCGGATCTCCGCGTAACGTCGAAAGCGTAGATAGTCGCCTGCCTATAGATTCATTAATCATAACATGCCTCTTCATGTGCACGAAGGGGAGTATGCGTACCCTAGAGGATAATGAGTTCCATTGGGATGAACTGCTCCGGTATCGGTAACGTATAATATGGTTATTCCGTCACTCGGTCCGCTCAGCGCTATTCCCATAGGCCGTACAAAGCCATCCGCGACGGCACGCAAGTCTCCTGTTTTGGGGTCGTACCGGTACACCTGGTTCGGGAGCTGCGGCTTGGGCCTAATCTCTTGCTCATAGCCGACACACGCATCCGTAAACCATAAGCCACCCTCCGCATCCTCAACCACGTTTTGGATCGAGTTGAAAGGCTTGTGGAAGTAGCTGGTCAGAAGAGGTATAGGCGGTCTTCCGGAGGGCATATACCAGAGGCCTCCCGTATCGCTGGAGCCATTACCCTGGGAACAGTACAATACTCCGTTCTGGTAACGACACGCGCCGGCCGGCATGGGCATACTCGAGGGCGGCCGCAGCTTCACCCATTCGGCCTCACTGATAGCCTGATCAGGGCCACGGCGGAAAGATATCTTCGATATCAAAATTGCCGGCATTGCTGAGCTGCTAGTTGACTGCAGCAGATCCGACATGACATAGAGCTCATCTTTCTCTGGCAAGTATGCGCAGCCGCCGTGGAAGAACGGGTTTTTCGACGAGTCATCTGAAGAGAGTAGAAGTGACCACTCTGGCCTAGAGTCCGGCTCATGACCGGCGACTTTCTCGAAATCCGAATAGAATTGTTTAAATATGATGTTATTCGAATTTGGTAACAATTTCCTGTTTGGTAACTATATGAGCAAACAAGAAGGGTTTCGGAAATGAGAGCAAGCAGTAGCTAACATGTACGGTTTGGTTCCTGGGTCAAAATCCACGACCTATATGCGATACTTAGTGAGGCGGGGTTGTCATTTTTGGTCAGGGGTGACATACTTGGATCAGTGATTCCCATGATTTGATGTCTGACTTCTTTATAGACGTCATTTGGTTGGGGTCAGTGTGTTGGCTTTCTGAAATGGTACATTTGTGAAGCGAACTTGTGATGCCAATCTGGAGGTGGTAGACATAAACTGGGTAGAGTTACAGCGTTCAACTAACGCAACTCTGAAGTGCTCTTCGGGGCTGCACTAAATGGGATTGACGCCATGGGCAATTCAGCTCATTTTTAGTTTACAAAATAAAACAATCATCACCAATCCAGCTGTTTGTTCTTTTTAGGCAGATGGTTGTTTTGAATTGACTGAACCGTCACCATTTAGCGTGCCAAGACCTGAGATGTCCTCGCACAAGATGCGCTATTGGCTCTGATGACTGAAAAATGAAATCGACGGCATGCAGGTCGACCATAAGAGTATATGATATAAGCACCAGCGTCATAGTAATATTCAGCATTGATATTTAAATACGCATCAATGTCGGATTTTATAGGGACGAGTTGGGATATGGCCGAAGTCGTACAAAGTATCAAACGGAGCTAACACTATGTCCATCCTCTTCATCCGGCTCTCCAAGGCTATATTATTTGGCTGTGTCTTGGTGTGCTGTAGTTAACAAGATCGTTGGCAAATTCATTCGAGGATAATCAAATTTGAACCAATATTATGACTATTATTTTAGTGACAGGAGGCAACCGCGGCGTAGGAAATGCTATAGTTCAAGCGGCGGGAACCAGAGTTCGCGATGCAATTGTCTTAGTCGGCTGCCGGTCGATAGAAAATGCTGAAGAGTCCATAAAGAATCTCAAGGAACTCGGTGTTCCAGCAAAAATTGAGCCCTTGCAAATCACCATCACCGACGACATGAGTGTCACAGCTGCTGTACGAACGGTTGAGGAGAGATACGGAAAGCTTGATGGTGAGAGAGCTCACGATTGCCCCGTAGAGAATAAAGATAAAGCTGACTGAGCTAGTCCTGATTAATAATGCTGGCTCTTTTTCCATGCCAAAATCGGATGATCTAACAGAGCTCAGGGAGAACTGGGCGCAAGGCTTCGACTGCTTGGTGGCGTCTCAGTATCTCGTGACAAAAGCTTTTCTGCCACTACTCCGTAAGGCCGAATGGGGCAGAGTGATCATGATCTCCAGCGCTCGAGGAAGCTTGGCCAGAAACAAATCTATCGAGGTAAGAGACCTATTAACCAGATTGGAATCTGTGAACATTAGCTGACGAGATGTGAAGATGCCCCCTACACAGCATATGATGTACAACTGCTCCAAAGCGGCTTTGAATCTTATGACTATCGAATTTCGTAATGCCGAAATAAGGGAAGTAGTCAATGAGATGGACAGGATCACTTTCTGGGCGGCGAATCCAGGTTACTGCAAGACCGCGTTCAACAATTTCAGGGGTATCAAAGATGTGCTTGAAGGCGCCGAGGTCACTGCGAGACTGTTAGAGTCGAGGCGTAGCGAGATACCATCAGGAACTTTCTGGGAGTTTGAACAAGGGAATTTTCAGCAAGTCCCCTGGTGAATGGATGATATCGTTTATTCCAACTATGTCGTTTGGAGACATGAAGTCCTCAAGAATATCACAGAAAGACCTCTCATGGATCGGAATCTTGAGCAGGTATCAATGCTCTATCGCATGTTGGCTGCTCTCATTGTGACCATATCTATATGTACAGTCGACCAATATTCCAGGCCGATATGCTGCCTAACCAAGTCTAGTGCTTCGCCTTTTCGTCCGCATCAGCCTGCTTCAAGAAGTTCCTGCGACATGTCAGTATTTCATTGGCGCGGGATATTCGGATATGCGCACTGGATGAAGTCGGCCTCGTCGGGGGTCGATGCGTTGATGGGAGGTGTTGTGGCAGTCTTCTTGCTTCCACCACCCTTTACTCCAAGGTAGGTGCCGCCGAACAGGGCGGCGAGAACGCCCATTGCAAGCTGAAAAACAGAGAGAATTAGTATCTCGACGTCGGCCAGAATTAGGCCAGAGGTTTGGTGAGACTACTCACGTAGTGCGAGCCGACCTGGCGGCCGAAGACGGTGTACATAGCAACCATTTTGACGGTATTGGCGAATTGACGAACTGACTCCGAGCGAATGGATGTAGATGGGTACTGATAACGAACCCACGGTGGCGTAAGAGTCGGAAGGATATATGAAGCTGTCAAAATAATGCTCAAGATTCATAGAAAGCTCCGAATTGAAATCCCCAGTCTTCAATTTGATCTAACCTAAATAGGTTTAGTCGCAGTGGACTTTAGACAACTTGCTCTGATTCGTTCAGAGCATGGAAATTTGCCGGGGTTTATCCGTCGTAGTTTTTCGGCTTCTGGGGTTATTGATGAGTGATCGGACAAGGGGAATATCGTCCGAATGCCGATAGCGACGTCACCAAATTCTGCCGTCGCAATCTAGCTGGCAGGTACGCTAGCATTATCCTATGTATGTAGGCACCTACCTAACTTCTGACTCTGTACATATTTCTTACTTAAGCCCGCTATATCCCGTTTGCGCAAAATATCGAACCTTATTTTCATGCGTTCTTAACTTCTTACTTTCGCTCGTCATCTTTCCCCCTTCAATTAATTACAACGGTTGAACTGTATCACGATGTGGTGGGGGAAAGGATCAGACAAATCAGAAGCTTCGAAAGATAAGCAGTCGGAAGCCCCGCCAGCGAAGGTCGATCCTCGCAAAGATGCTACACTATTCGACCCCGACAAGCTTCCCGACAGACGGGAGCTACCGAAGAGTTTGCAGAAGATCGTGGATAAGTCAGACAGGGATGACAATTTCTTTGATGAACTTGTAGAGGGATAGTTAGTCTCTCCGTGAGGCCTGTCTCATCGTGCTGTAGCCAGCCGGACTAACATGCTACTATGCAGTGCGCCCGACTCCACCGAGTCCAACGTTCGATATGCCGCCTACGCGAACAGACTGCGAACCGTTATGCTTTCGGCCCACCGATACGTGGCGTATACATCAGACATAGGAGAATCTTTTCGTCCCGTCGCGCATCCGTGGCTAGTAAGAAGCGCCTATGGTATATCGTGGGCCTATATCTTAGGTGACGTTTCGTACGAAGGCTACAAGGCCTACTGGCAGAATCAACGGACATTGAACCCGCAAATAGTGCTCTCGGCAAAGGCGCAGAAAGCTACTGGTCTCTCCCTGCCGGCATCTGCGGACGCTCAGCCCGGCGTTGTATCACCCCTGGAGGATTACAGGACTGTCATGGTTCAGCGAGGCATATTCCAGAGTATCGCTTCCATGGGACTTCCCGCATTCACAATCCACAGTGTGGTCAAATACTCGAGCAAGGCCATGAAGGACACAAAAAACAAGACGCTCAGAGTATGGGGTCCCATAGGACTCGGTCTCTCCGTCGTGCCATTCTTGCCCACATTATTCGACAAGCCGGTTGAAAATGCGGTTGAGTGGATCTTCCATAAAGGTTTCGCCGCATATGGCGGAAAGGAGTATATTGGCGATTCCCCGGCAACAGGACGAGAAGCGGCTCTGACACACAGGCCAAAGGTGAGCACTAAGGAAAAGGAACTATAAGGTCATAGACGTTAGGATAAAGGGTAGGACTCTCATCGTTCCGGCGTATGGACATGGATTATCTCTACTTTTCGGCTGTGCTTATTCTATTTCACTGAAACCTGGATTAAGGGTGGAAGAGAAATATGCAGCATCGCGAAATTTGTGTGTTGAGCAGCAAGGCTCCATCTATATCAACTCCTCAAATGTAAATAAAACACCACTGTCTCCATTCATCGCCAAGGTATATCGCCTCATAAATGCAATGCTCATTAAAACGCCGTCCATGCCGTCCATGATGAAGTCCGTCATATCTCGTAAAAAGCACTCTTCACATCTCGATCAGATCAGGCGGCGGCCCTATACCTCGCAGCAACACTATCGTATTACCGCTAACCAGCGCCGAGCCGACCTTCTCATTGAACTCCAGCACCCGTCCGCCCTCGACGTGGAACACCCTCAGCTTATCCCTCTCGTCGGAAGACTGGTTATTTACGTTCTCGATCTGCAAGCTCTTAGCCGCCGCGTCGAGCACCCTGCCGATAACCCAGTCCTTGGAGTAGTAGAACTCGCCCTTGTAGTTCCGCGCCGTCGTCGTCTCCGCCTCCGCCTCCACGTACACGTACACCCGCTTCTCGGGCGCCAGCTTCGCGTCCCCCTTCGCCGTCTTCTTCAGCTTGTTCACGGCGACCAGGCGCGCCGACGCCGTCGTCGGCTTCGGTTTCGGCAACGCGCGGCTCGCCGTCTCCCGCTTCGCCGCGCCCCACGCCTTCAGCTTCGCGAACGCGGACCGCGTCTGCTCCGCCACCACGTCGAACTGTCCGCCGCCGCCGCCGGGCCGCGCGCCGATCGGGATCAGGTTCGCGCAGTCGTGTTCTTCGCGCAGCCGGTGCTTCAGGCAGTAGTCGCGGTTGCAGCCCGCGCAGTGCACGCCGGGGACCAGCGACGTGCCGACGGTGGTCCGGCAGTCGGGCGCCGCGCACGGTTTCTGGGTGACGAGGTCGCGCATGCGTTTCCCTTCGCCGGCGGACGGGCGCGCGAGCTGGGCTTGGCGCCGGCGCTCGGCCCAGGCGCCGGCGTGGGCGCACCGGTGCGCGGTCTCGGTGCGGTGGTCGAGGCAGAAGGTCTTCTTGCAGGACTGGCAGAAGAAGGGCAGGAAGTCGAGCTGGTTGCAGTACTCGAGCTGGCAGTGCTTGCCGATGAGGGTCGCGTCGGCGGTGCCGCTGTCTTTGTCCATCTTGACGTAGCTCGTGTCGTCGTGGGTGTCGGGTGTTGATGAGGACGCCATGGTTGCTGTGCTTGTTTCGTGGGGTTGGGATTGGTTTATTTATATATGTGAGGTACGTATGTATGGATGACGACTATACTTATGTGAGCGAGCGATTGAGGGAGCGAGATTGGAAATAGAAACAACGACGGCAGGCAGAGGTGGACTCGTAAGCCTGGCGGATGGCGACGCTGATGATTAAGTGAGGGCGGAATACAGAATAGTCTGGAAGGAGCTGGCGGAGCTTAGGGGTTGTTCAAGGCCGACGGTGGCGGGGCTACAGGTGGGTTGAGGCTGAATATGCGCTGAACCTAGCGGCTATCTTAGGCATGACGGACACTTCGACCCCACTAACTAGTCCAGATTAAGGCTTAATTGAAATTGAATGAGACTTGGAGTCACGGGTTTTCGCGTTTTCGATGACGACAATCAACTTCCATCTACGAATTGCTTATACAGCCTAACTAGGGACAGGAATCCTGGCGTTTTGTCGAGGCGTCCGGCTCTTATTAATCTTATAATTCCCTAATGTATTTGTCACCACAGTTAAGATGCCTCCCTACGTGCCGCGCAAACGAGTGCGTACTCCGTCACCAGATAATGATGGTCAGGCTACGAAGAAGCCCAATAAGGGCAAGGGGAAAGCCACCCCGGTAGCATCTACGCGGACTACACGGACTCGAAAGGCTACGCTGTTCGAAGATTTAGACTCCGGCTCTAATAGAGGTTCCGCTGAGAAAACTAAATCAGCAGTACAGCAGATGCATGATGACACTGACGATAGCTCTCTCAGTTCCCTCTCAGATGCCGATTTCGAGGACGTACCAACTGCCAAGCGACAGAAGGTAAACCATGATTCGGAAGAATCGGAGGACGAGGACATGGAATTCGAAGATGTTCCATCCCATGAACCCCAGCAACCCGAGCCTGAGCCCGAGATAGGTGATCTTGAGTTGACATTACATCAATCCGGTCATGTTCCTTTAGTCAGCGAACTAGGCAAAAAGGGTGCTTCGAAAAAAGAGAAGGCCCTCCGCATTTCAACTCACTGTATGCATGTTCAACTTCTGTTATGGCACAACGCGGTCCGCAATTCCTGGCTATGCGATAAGGAGGTTCAAGCTATAATGATTTCGCACTTGCCACCAAGACTTTGGGAAGAAGTTGATCGTTGGAGACGAAATAGTGGTTTAGACATCCCCGAGGAGGCTCCTAAGAAGAAATCCACGAGGAGCAGAACGAGTGCGAGGGGAAAAGGCAAACAGCGCGCCGCTTCGGGATCGGCAAGAGATTGGGGTGATGCGGCAGACCGACTCGAAAAGGGAGTTCCTGATATGAGCCATGGCGACCCTTTATTTAGGCTTATGAAGTGCCTCGTTTCGTGGTGGAAACAACGGTTTCGAATAACTGCTCCTGGCTTGCGGAAGTGGGGTTACATGAGTGCGAGAAGGCTGGGCAAGTTAAGATCTAGCTTCGAAACGGAAGACCATGATCCAGAACGCTTTGGTGAACGAATCAAGGATCTTGAAGAGTTCAGACAACGCGCTCAGGACTGCTTTGGTAGTCGCGATCTCGGATCTCAACTATTCACGGCACTATTACGTGGCCTTGGACTTGAAGCGCGGATGGTAGCAAATCTCCAGGCACTTGGATTTGGGTGGAGTAGGGTCGAGGAAGCAGACGACGAAAATGCTGCTTCAGGAGCGCAGACAGATCCTAAAAAGCCTACCGGATCGACTTCAAAGAAGCCAAATGGAAAGAAGAAAAGCCCTGTAAAGCCAACAACTCGTCGGGCCAAGAAAACCGACAAGAACGCCTTGAAAATGGAGCTAGATGATTCGGATGAGTATGGAGAGCCTCTTACAGACGAGAGCGACGACTCGTCAATAGTTGACGTTACGGGTACCATTCGTCCAAAACGAGCAGAATCAAAAGCCTATGACAAGGACCTTGAGTTTCCCCACTATTGGACTGAGGTCTTGTCGCCGGTGACGAAGAAATTTCTTCCGGTAGACCCAATTGTGAAGGCAATTGTAGCTACTAGTAGAGATCTCGTTGAATCTCTAGAGCCACGAGGAGGTAAGGCTGATAAAGCGAAACAAGTCATGGCTTACTGTATTGGATTCTCCGAAGATGGCACTGCCAAGGACGTGACGGTTCGCTACCTCAAGAAGAATATTTTCCCCGGTAAAACGAAGGGATTCAGAATGCCCGAAGAGAAGATACCCGTGTACAACAAGCATGGCAAGGTGAAGAGATATGATCTGTTTGATTGGTTCAGATCAGTCATGCGAGGGTACATCAGGGGCGACAAGAAACATCCGATAACAGAAGTAGATGAGGAAGAAGACTCGACCGATCTCAAGCCGGCAAAGCCAGAGAAGAAAGAGGTCAAGGAAGGAGAAGAGACGCTTCAATACTACAAGACTTCTAAAGAATACGTCCTAAAACGTCATCTCAAGCGAGAGGAGGCTCTACTTCCCGATGCAGTCCCCGTCAAAGTGTTTCAGGTTAAAGGAAAGGCATCTAAAGTTGAAGAGGAAGATGTATATCTTCGCAAAGACGTGGTAGCGGTAAAGAGCGCAGAGACATGGCATAAGCAAGGACGTGCTCCGATGGATGGGGTCGAACCCTTGAAACACGCACCATACCGAGCCGCGACAACTAATAGACGGAGGGAAATCGCCGAGGCTGAAGCTTTAACAGGCCGAAAGGTCATGCAGCCCTTATACAGTCTCGAGCAGACAGATTGGATAATACCTCCCCCTATCCAAAATGGCGTTATTCCAAAGAACGAATATGGGTATGTTCATATCCAATATACAGTATCTATTATTAAGGCTAATATGGACCCAGGAATATCGACATGTTCGTAGAACATATGTGCCCAGAGGGTAAGTTGCGCACTATTGTGTGTCGATCTCTCAACTAACTAGGGTATAGGTGCTGTCCACGTCCCGTATCGTGGTGTTGTCCGTGTCTGCAAACGACTCGAGATCGATTATGCGGAGGCTGTGGTCGGCTTCGAGTTCGGTCACCGGATGGCCGTTCCCGTCATACAAGGCGTAGTCATCGCCGAGGAGAACTATGAGCGTGTAATGGAGGAGCTCGAAAAAGACGAGGCAGAACGAGCGAGAAAGGAAGATGAAAAACGGCGCAAGGAGGTACTGGCGATGTGGCGAAAGTTCTTAATGGGATTGAGAATCGCCGACAGGTTTAAGCTAGATTACGGACACTTGGACGAGTCAGTGGAGGTATTTGGTCACGACACGGGAATCGACAAAGACTTTGAGGCTATGCGCCAGAAGGATGAGGATATGGCGGGTGGATTCTTACCCGAAGGGTACGAAGAAGAGGAAACGACAGAAGTGAAGGAGGATACCCGTCAAACCTCGGGATTCTTCCCGGTTGCCACTAACGACGAAGAGGACGCTTCCGATGACGGAAATGATCCCTTCGAAGTAGACTTTGGGAAAGAGGAAGCCGAAGTCCCTGCTGATCCGTCCCCTGAGCAGGAAATTCCAGCTAATGCAGCTCCTAAGAAAGCAGCTCCAAAGCCCAAAGCCAAACCGAGGCAATCCACGCGAAGACGGACTCGAAGAAAGCAAATCACTTCTTCGGAGGACGACGATGACGATGAAGATTTCATGAACTCAGATAGCGGTTAGTTTAAAATAGTCGCACTACAACGATTCGTCTTGAATGATGTTGTCTAGTGAGCGAATACTAGTGGTCTTGGCCATGGAAACTAACAGAGTTCCGCCCCTTGATCATGCTCCGTGCGCTTCAAACAATCGACCAGTGGATGCTGCCGCGATCCAGATTTAGAGTTGGGATAGGCCCTCCAAAGGCAATGACTCCCCCAAAGAGTCGAAGGCGGTGCCGAATGGAATAATTACCTTTTATCTCCATTGCTTCAAGTTTAAGTAGGTTGCGAATTCCATTCATATAAATCGAGCGGAGTTATAGCTCTTTCTACCTTGTTCTGGTTGCTTCAACTTCGTTTTCTCCACGTTCCACTGTTATTTGCCAGCCTCGGATACAGCAAACACAACCCACCATATTACAACAGATACGCAAACGCTTTTGGGATTACGCATATTGACCTACTGTTCTTTTGCTCAGACTGCCACTTCGCTATCAACTGACGTCTCCAATCATAAACACTTCCATCCCCCCTGAGAACAAACTAATCACCGGCACCTACGCCTCAATCATTGTCTTTGAATCTACTCAGCACACCCCCAGCTATTAAATATAGGCAAAATGGTCCAAACGGTGATCAAAGACGACCTTGAGCAGCTGAATTCTCTGCATATTTCTTACCTGGATCAATTAAGCCAGCATTTCGGTCGGCAGTTTCCCAATACCCCCGACCAAGGGCGCCAATATTGGGAAGAGTTCTTAGGGTTTGTCCGCCCGCATATACTACCGTTCTCTGGATGGAGGGACTCTGCTACATATAAGCCTCCTTTCGATTTGGTATCCGAATTCAAAGAATTGAAGATAGCAGAGTTGGAAAGAAAGATCGCTCGTATTGAATCAGCACATACCACACCTCGGGATACATCTCAGAGTGCCGAAGCTATTCCACCTAGCGAAGTTCCCCAAAACAATAATATCGACTGCATGGAAAATAGTAATAGCCCACGAGGAATCGATTCTGCCAAACCAGAACCACGCAACCCCCTCGAGGAAGAAGGGCCAGGTCCTCAAGCTTCATACAAGCTAGGAGATCTCAAAATCGATGAATCTGTGCTACAAGTGCCGACGTCATATTCCTTAGAAAGCTGGTATTGCGATGCCTATATCTTGGCACGCATTGCAGGATGGCCAACTTTGAACGGCTTCCAACGTCGATTCCGTGAAATTCTCATGCGTCAAACACACCGAGAATTATTGGTATCTGGAGTCAAAAGGGAAATAGGTCGTTTTCTCAACGACACTCATGAGACGCTCCCTGATAACAATTGTATGGGATTGAGTCACCTTGTAATTGACCATATCATACCGAGATTCTGTCAGCCGTGGCCTTTCCTAAGGGCGGCATCTTCTACGCGTCTTCAGGTACCTAACGAATGTGGCGACCCATTTATAATAAGTCCGGGCTAAGGCGATAGTTGCAAAAGAACGGAATTTTCTTGTTCAACCGTTTTTATGGCTTAGCCGTGAGGTGCCTATGAAGAGGTGTATACTTAGGGTATTAAACGAGCTCTACATGGGAAGTAGTTAAGGCATTTCTGCTTAGGTTTATCAGTCTTAAGCCTTAGATGGTGGTTAACTATGGTGCCATGCCCCTTCTAAATCACCTAGTACCATGAACAGAAGAAACTCTACAGGCCACTTCACGACCGTATAGACGCAGATTTATTACAAATAGGTGCTTAAGGGGGTGCCTACGTAGTAGAGGTAGATTTCTCTTTTGACGCATTCTGCATGACAGGTTCGCTTTGTTTATCAATCAATGAAATGCAATGATATCTCAGGAGTCACAACCTATAAATGTCGAACAATGATTAGTCGAGTTTACAGTTGGCAAGTAGAGATGTTAACTATCAGAACTCACATGACATAACGCGACGACAAGGTTGGCGATATTACAGTCCGTTCGGAGAGCGCCCACCGCCTGACGAACTTTATGGTTTGATAATTCCAACAACAGTTCTCGCTTGATTTACCTAAGAAGGTACCCCTTGGGCCGTAGACAATGGTAGATTCGTAGGGAAAGGACCGAGAAGCGAGTGGAAAAAACGAGACTCATTTTCACCAATGATTTTTCGATCGAATTATTGTCTTTTCTGCCTACCGATAATTTCCTGACAAAGCGAATTCTCAGAAGTGTAGGGTTGTTAGGCATCAGAGTTCCCAGTGTCTCAGGCACGTTACATGGCAATTAGATGCTCGGCTAGCTAAGAAATCCGCACCTATATAAGTAGGTAGGTAAGGATTATGACCTCTTAACCTTCAAACTTAATCAGTAGATTTATTCGTACCCACTAGCTCAATAGCTTTCGACTTAACATTGCAGTCGAAATATCCATCATGGCATCCCAGCTTAACTTCGGGTACGTTATTTAAACCGAGTACCCCTATATATATCGCTGTGACTGTAATACATAAATCACTAACTACAAGCCCACAGGGAAAAGACGAGGATGATCGCCATTGAGATTCCTAATGAAGATGTCTTCTTCTTCCATGAAAATCTTTTGAGATACCACTCGTCCTACATCGACGAGGTAGTCCGAAGCATGGATGAGTCGGAGAATCCATTGAGGGTGCGCTTAAATTGGGATTTCATCGAATATGCAAACCCCCTTATTTCTGGCCCAGAACCTCTGTCCCTATCCATGAAATTGTTTACGAAATGGATCTACGGTACCGGTATCAAAACTTCTCCCAAGGACGCTGCTGGCTGGTTAGAAGGAGAAGAGATAACAAATGTGGAAGTTCTCATAAACACCATTAGCTTGGGGGTGTAAGCTCGACACGAAGCAATTCCAGGACGATTTGCTCAGGGTCTTAATTCACACGCCCTTTTCCGTCCACGACAACATATTCAAGGGTATCCAGGCCATTAAATGTAGAGCCGATCTGTTTGATTTCATCATTGAAAAATATTCTCGTCAGCTAGAGGATATTGACGATGCAGAATCGCTACGAACGCGTCTCTTAAACATAATAACCGTGATACCAGAGAGTTTAGACGAACCCTTAGGTCCTTGCAGCTCGCGAAATGTAATAGCCGCCATCCTGAGCTGCTTTACAGCAAAGCTCGACAAAATCCGAAGTTGGATTAAAAAATTGCAAAACGACGCAGGAGATATCCATCTCGATGACATTCTAAGTATGGAAGAGTATCTGGCCGGAATATGACGAGCTTTTATGGAAGAATGATAATAATGAGAACTTGGGAGATACCGAAGTCTACTAAGTAGCAACACCTCTTATGAGCAACTGCTTTAATTCGTATCTTGGTGGCATCAACAGCATTTGTACCTACCTGGCAGAGAGTCATTGTGCCTCATACTTCACGAAATTAATAATGTAGCACTATGCTAAGTTGGTATTTCATCATATGTAACTAGTTGAGTACGAATATTAAGTGTGAATGTATGTCTTCGCAAATTTATGGATTGAATAACTTGTTATCGTAAGGATGTGGTATCAAGTTCCTCCCTCCATACTTGTCGCCCAAAGCATCATGTAGTAAGATGAACGAGCCTCTTGTGAAAAGGGGTTGCGATTAATTAGAAATTTGGTTTCGTCAATCTGCTAAAACTACATCTCGACGGTCATACATGGCAACTTCTAACCTACATGATACTTTAAAGTATATAACCAGAACATGTCACCACGAGTGTGAGTTGCGTCAACGCCAAGCAGACCTCTTGTCTAAACTTGTAGATGGCTACATGAACCTCCCTTTCGGAACCTTCCAGCAAAGTCTGCCATGCTTGTATTTTACTAATTAAGCTTGTTATGCCATCATGCCCAAAGCGCTAACTTCCTATATCGGGTGCATCGGTTCGAATCGGGAAGATGCAGCTCGGATCGTGCCTTCGCCCTATGGGGTGTGGCTTGGCCGGGAGTGTTGCAGGATCTCGAAGAAAACGGGCTGAGGTATCGTTCCAATAATATCTAGACCTCGGAGATGCGGAGGGGATGAAGGAATTCCCCAGATCTTGGTGCTGGTAGCACAGTGAAGGTAGGACGGTCCAAATTAATCTAGCATCGAAGGAGACCTGATCTCCCTTGGCGATATTATATGTACTCGAGACCTATCTGATCATAGAGTAGATAGTAATTTTTTATACTATATGAATTCAAATATGAAGTGTCGTTGAGGTGGAATTTTCTTGTAATGGTAAATGGTGTAATGCCAGCTGTTCGATAATTCAATAGATGTCGACGGAATTTTACCCCTGAAACGTTTTTCTTAGTAATTAGAGAAGACGGTTCAACTTACACGAGCTGCGTGAACATTATATGATAGTGACATAGTATTCTAGAAGACACTCTCACAATAAGAGACACATCAATCTATTTTATTTGCTCGCCTACATACGATACTTCGTCAGGCACCGTTAAAGTAGGCCAGATAGAAGCGGCCGCAATTGCATGCGCCCAAGACCGAATGAATTCGTACAGATAGCACAATCTCCATGTCACTAGACTGAGATATTATGCAGCAAATCCGGCTTGGCTACATGGAGCCTCGGATATGATACTATGGTAGAAAATCGGATGCCAGCATCTACGCAAAACCAATCATAATCATTGGGATGACGCAACCTCTTTACTCCCCGAACAGCATTTCGGAGACAAGCGAGGGCTTGGATTACTAGAAGCCTGATCCTTCAACTCTTACTTGAGTTTGATGCAACCTGATGTTCTGCTTGTCTTATACAACGACATACAAAGCGCATTTGGTCGAATTCCGACTGGTCTCCATCCGATCTCACAAGACGCGGTCTATTGTTACAACCCCAAAGGATGGGATATCGGAACGCAGCGGATGCTTTTTGAGTTAAACCGTTCTCTTGATGATCCATCCTAAATAGCTACACCTCGTGACACTGAACCACGAGGCGTCTGCGTGTTGAGGTATTATGGATGGGTCTCGTGTAGTGTAACGAATTACATCCGTAGATGGGAGAACCCATGCTTCCTTAAATACCCATGATCCTTGCCAGGTTATATGTTTTTGTGTTCGCCGCAACACAAACATGTACACTGCATGGCCATATCACACCTCTTTCCCTCAGGTTAGCAAATTTACGACTCCGGCAAAGGCAGTTCGTCTCTCATTTAGGAGAAGACCTTATGAATCGTATTCCTATCTTGGATAATACATACCAAGGAAGAAAGTATCCGATAAGTCCGCCGCCAATGAGAGCTCAGATACATCTAGGTACTCTACTAGAGAACACTTTGGCGCGAGGAATAAAAAATAAGGAAATTCATCATTGGTGGGATGATATAATTAGTATGAAAAACTGTAGATCCCAGCAATTATTGTAAGATCGACACTATATAAACACTCCTGTTGTAGCTGTCTTTTCTCCCAGGTACGGGGTGGGCGACAAAGAAATGCTTTGTGATGCTATAACAACATATACTCTTGTTGCACAAACCGAACAGTTCTCGACCACCCCTGATAGAAAAGACATCATGAGATAATATGTGATACGACGGTGAATCACGTCCTTTACTTGCTCGTTTGCCATCATATACTTGCTATATGGGCATATATTTCACTTTTTTGGCAGATTAGACGAGGTAGTAAGGGAACTAAAACGCACTTTACCTATAACTAGGATGAAGTGGTAGTAGAAATGGGATATTACGGCCGTTCCTATAGACACAGACCATCCCTACGAACGTACCCTACCAACTCGGTAACTCAGCCCTAACGAGGTGCAGACATGGGAACTATAGTGATGCCTAACGCGAACCTTCTCTTTGCTAGTTCCAAAATAACCAGAGTACCTAGGTAGGTAACCACCAGTCATAATAAATCTACGTACCAACATAACATCCTCGCTCGTTCACCTGACCGCCTAGATTACAGTCGTCCCTGGCGTTGCCGAGTCTACAGACGTCAAGCCCAAAATTCCTCTCTCCTCTAAGGCCCGTCTGTCCTTGTCAAATTTATTGTTCCCACAACAATATGCCTGAGACGCTTCCGCGAACCGCAACGTACTTCATCACGGTTCAACGATGCCTTTAACGGTATATTTGGCGGCCGTATGGCTCCTCGGAGCTTGGCTTCTTCAAATATTCCGCAACTGGTGTCGTCTCAAGCATATTCCGGGATCGTTCTGGATTTCCTGCACGAAGTTCTGGCAGATCGCGACGCAGATGAAAGGAGACTGGTACCTTGAAGTGAAGAAGCTTGGTGATCAACATGGTATGATATTTATCAGCTTCAGTGGCCTCTTTTAGCAGATTTATTAACGCGATACAGGCAAGTTGTTCCGCATCGGTCCCAATCAGCTCTTGACGACTGATGTCGATGTGATTCGACGAATGGCCCATTCTAAGTCTGCATACACCAGAGCACCCTTTTACCAGACTTTCAGATTCATCCCTACACAGGACAATTCTTTCTCACTCATTGATGATCATGAACACACTCGACGTCGAACTAACCTTGGACCTGGTTACATTGGCAACACGTTCGTAGAGTCATGTATTGATAGACAGTGCGCTCGTCTCGTGAACCTGATTGAGCGAAAGTTTATCTCTACCCCAGGCGAGTCCAGACCTATGGATCTAACACTGATGTCCTTTTTCTTCGCGATGGACTGTGTCGGTGATCTATCCTTTGGTCAAGAATTCGGATGTCTCGATGAGGGAAAAGACGTTCACAAGTTCATGAAGTGGAACGAGGACTTCTTCAACACTGCCATCGTGGTGTCGAACTTTCACTGGCTGACCAAGATCTTCTTCAAATACCCCTTCAACAAGATCTATCCTTCACCCCTCGACAAGGATGGCGTCGGCAAGTACATCGCGTATGTATTACCACTCTCTAATCCTATCCGGCACAAAAAGCTAACAAATAGATCAGACTTGCGCAAGCTGCGGTTAAGAAGAGTTACGAAGATGGCCAAGTTCGTGAGAAAGACACGCTCGCAGCATTCATCGACCAAGGTGTTACAAAGGATGAAGCAATTAACGAGTTGATGTTGCAAGTGTAGGCCTTCCCCTGAATTTTCTTCTAAAGTATGTTCATCGGACTAACAATGTAACAGAGTCGCCGGCACAGATTCGACAGCAACTGCTATTCGAATGACCATGTTGTTCCTCGTCACCAGCCCGACTACATATGGCAAGCTCAAGTCGGAGATTGCCGACGCCATCTCGGAAGGAAGAATTAGCTCACCCATCAAGGACAGCGAGTCTCGCCAATTGTCGTACCTTCAAGCCGTCATCAAGGAAGGGCTACGCGCGTTCCCTGTTGTTACCGCGACCTTCTTCAAGAAAGTACCCAAGGGAGGAGATGTCATCAGCGGCTATTTCGTCCCCGAGGGCACTGAGATCGGCCACAACGTCATGGGTATCATGCGAGCAGAGAAGTATTGGGGTGAAGATGCCGATGTCTTCCGCCCAGAACGCTGGCTTGAGGTCGATGATAAGACTCATGAGATGATGACAGGCGTACTCGAGACACTCTGGGGTTCTGGCCGATACAAATGCCTTGGCCGAGCCATTGCCCAGGTGGAGTTGAACAAGGTGTTTGTCGAGGTGAGTTTTGACAATGATAAGGGGCTAAAGTTTTCCATGCCCCCTCCTACCGATCGCCCCCTATCACCCGCTTCCCCCTTTCGTATTCAAGAATATTGAACTAACTAGACCTACCGTATAGCTACTTCGACGATTCGATTTCTCAGTCGTAACTCCCCAAGATCCGGTCAAGATCGTGAACTCCGGTTTCTTCCTAATGTCTGAGATAAAGATGCGAGTCACCAAGACAGAATCGGTCGAAGAGTAATCCGGTCTCGAGGTATGGGTTATGGTTTATGGGTTTAGGGAAAGTTGGGAGTTGTGGAGGTTGATTCAATTCTCAAATTTGCTCCAATGATCGTTTCCGAAGTCATTTCGAGCTGGTTCCTTGAAATGGGATACCCTGTTGCTACCACGAGATTATTCCCTTCATATACCCACAATGAAAAATGCGGCAAGACCGCAAATTACTGCCTATGATTATATTTCGCTCCTTTTTGATCATGGTACATCTTCATCGTGACTTGCTCTGGCTATTGTTTCGGAGTGGCCTCCAAGATAGGTGAACCAATACCATTGTCTTCGCTGATGAATGTAGTTAAGTGGACTATTCATGCCTACTACCCATAAACCCTAAACATAACTATTGAGCTAACCGCCTAAATGCGCTTGTCAAATATCAACCGTCAAATTCCCCTTCATAACCACGACCGCAGTACCACCAAGCCAGAGTTCCTCCAACGCCACAGAGCCATCTCCAGAATCCTTCGTCGTAGTCTCAACACCAATGTTGCTCGTCCGGCCCATCTCCACCCCCTGCGTGACCTTGAACTTCCTCCCCTTCTTCTCCTCATTCAGCGTGAGGTACGACCCCAGCGCCGTGGCCGCGCTCCCCGTCGCCGGATCCTCGAAGCCCAGCTCAACCATACGGGCACGAATACTCCTCTCGCCCTCTTCCTCGCCCATATCCACGTAGTAATACCTGCTGACAAAGCTGTCCCGCCAGTCCTCATCCAGCAGCGGCTTCGGCAACTTGGCGAAATCGATCCTGTGTCCGGTAGTGATCTGGGCCAGCAGCTCCAGCGAGGCCAGCTTCACGAGCACGAACGTCATGCCCTTAACCACGCTAAAAGCAGGGGCCTTGAGCTCGGCCTCGCGGATCTGCGGCACGGGCGACAAGCCAGGATGCTTGGTCGCGTCGTCAGAGCCGAGCACATCGACAAGCGTCTTGGCGTGCAGATGCACGTTATGCGGGATCCTCGCGCGGATCGCGTTGCCGGGCTGCGGGACGATGCCGATGGGCCCGGCCTTGGTGACGAGCGTGTCGACATGCGGGTACAGGGTGTACTTGACAAGGAAAGCGGAGCCTATGGTAGGGTGGCCGGCATAGGGCAGCTCGCTCTCGATGGTGAATATGTCGATGTCACGCTGTTTCTGCTGCTCTTGGTCCGATTCCGCCACCTCGTGTAGGAACACGGTCTCCGAGAGATTGAACTCTTTTGCAATCTTTTGCTTTGTTGCTTGGGTGAGCTTGTCCTTGAGCGTTGCTGGCACTGTGACTACGGCCAGGGGGTTGCCTTGTAGACGCTTGGAAGTGAAGACGTCGAGGGTCACGAATTGGAGATCCATATTGGTTGGCTCTTGTTGGGGCTTGAAACCTTCAGATTTGCAATGACAATTCTCTTTCTTTTAGATTAAATAAAAATAATTGGGGATGAATGGGAATGTTAACGGTTCGAGTCACATTTAAATTACCTAGGATGAATTCCTATTTTCGGATAGTTTATGAATCTTACGGGTGGAAGCGCTAGGTAAGGCGTGCGGAGATGACGACGATGGGCCAACGAAAACCGATCAAATCCATTAAGGGCGCGATAATCCACTAATTTCGGCGCCGGTAGCTTGAATAGGTATCTAATGGATGCACCTCGGAATAATGACATTCGTTCAAGTCGTCCATCATAGGTACATATAGAGCGGATATGTTGCTCTTAACGTCCTACAGAGAGAATTGTGCTTTTGATATAGTGTTCCTTAAAATTGCAAAGTAGGCGTTGTTAAATTAGTAGCGATATAAAAGGCCGATTTTGTAAGATAGGTGTATAGTGCATTGAATGCTGCTCATTAATACGAGGGATTAGGTTTGTCTAGGTTGAAGAACGTAGTGTTGCATGGATTCTTCTTATGTGCGAACAGTGTCGATACCAGCACCAGACTGAAGAGACACAACTAAGGCAGTGAGCCGATCAATCTTAGCCGATAATTCTGAAATTTGTACTTCCGTGTCAGTAGGTGCATCTCCGGCATACTCTTCTGCATCTTCTTGCCGAGGCTTTGGCTTGCTGATGACTTCAGCGCTCGTACGTCGTGATGTTGACATACGTGGCCGAAATCCTGACCGCGGCCTGTTATCAAAACGATCAAGGGGTGGGGCTGATTGTCTTTTATTGAATGAAGTCGTCCGTGGGCCACGGAAATTGTCGAAACCATCCGGATTGACTTTCTTGGTGAGCCATTCATAAGCCTGGATAACTCCGACAATTGGCGCGTGGGTTGCTCTGAGGAGTACAATACGGCCCTGTCGAAATTTATCGTCCGAGGGTAGGAATAAACGTAAGGGTCTGAAGATGCCTAGCGCGAGGAGATTGAACGGCGCTGATAACATAGATTAGTCCTAGACGAACAGACACAGAAAGTTGGAACTTACGGTAAAAGTGTGTGAGCCTATTACTAGTAGATGCTTCAAGCACGTATACGCTATACACGTACAGATACTCCTCACGGGCGTGAGTGATAACGCGAGAGAAACTGTTGCTCAGCATACCCGTCAAGGAACCCATAAGCAATATGGAACTTAGGGTGACGAATATAAGCATTAGAGGAGGTCCTGTGAGTGATCATTAGAAGGGCCACTTCATCCAGACCAAAGATGAAAACATACCAAATATTGGATCAATGTCCTCCATTATATCGAATCCAACGTAACTAGACCCAAAAAATATCTTCGTCACGATCATGGCCATGTGTGGGAATGTGAACATCTCTCTCCCAACAAGAGAGAATGTCGTCAAGAACCCGACATATACAATAATGACAAGGACCATGAATTTCAAAAAGTCCTTCGCCATCTCCTTGAGACAGGGAATTAAAGTACCCCAATATGGGGATAGACTGAGGATGGAGCAAACCCTAGGTACCATGAAAAGGGCCTCTAGCGACAAGACGTCAAAGGCAATATCAACAAGAGTATAGTTTTCCTGGTATAACCCAACAAATCCTGCGATTTAAGATTAGCTGGGCGCTGACTTACGCCAAACCGGGCTGGTAGAAGAGCTACTTACTCAGTACTGCGAAGATAATTCCTATAGCTATCATGATCATATCAAATAGGTTCCAGACGTCAGCAGCGTAGAAGATGGACCCAGCATCGATGTACTCGCTAACTTCATCGTAAAAGAAGGCAGCAAACCAGATGTAAAGCAGTATTTCCAAGGGAGTGATAGTGTATCGATTCTGCTCAATCAAGACACCGTAATATAACATTAAAAATCCGATGAAAAATGCAACCTCGTAAGCTTTCAGGTATTTCGGCACTCGAAGGCGTGAAAAGGGATCAGCTGTAACTGCATTGTAAAACCGAGGCTTTTTCTCCGAATGAACTGAAAGGCGGTCCCAGAAGATGATCTCGCCATTCCAAATGCCCGTGATAATCTTCTGCACAACGTGCTGGCTAAGAAATCTCTTCGCGTCTGCAATGGCCGCGATTTCTAGGGCATTTAGATGTATGAAAGGCGTAGTAGGGTCTTCTTCGAGTTCTTCGATATTACTAGCGTGTCGGCTTATGGTCAACTTAGAGAGTGACTTGATTAACATGTTTCGTCTCGAAGATCCCGAGCGGTTAAAATCAGAGTAATGGTCTGGCGAGGAGGACCCAGATGCGTGACGCAGCAGAGACGTCCTCTCGTTGCTTTCGCCGCCATCTGCGGGTTCATCGGCATGGGAGGAACTTTCTCCTTCTGATTCATCCGGAATCTCATGCAGACAAAATTCTACAGCTTCCCGCTCCGATAAACGGGTTAAAAATCGCCAGGCAACAATCTCGCAGGCGTTCGCACGGGCTTCACTGATTCCCCGGCCATCATTGGTCGCTCCATAATGCCACCGCAATGCCCTATTATAATGTTAGTAACGTATATGTGGCGTACGATTTGGATTATTTATTTCAATAGGCTGTGCTGAAGTCTCGACAAGAGTTGAACATAGAATGATAACGTAAATTTAAGAAAACACCACTAAATCATCTCACAGTAAAGCATTCACGATGGCGGGATTGGTGACCCGAGTACTAAGGTGTTCAACAAGGGTACGTAGATCCTCGCCAGCTGTGGTGGTCCGAAGCTGCTCAAAAGTGCTTGGCATATAAACAACATCGGCGATATATCTATAGATCTGATAAGTATAAATCCTAGGATCATCGAGTGTTCTAAACCTACAGAGACAACTTCTTGACGACATCACGGAAGGTATCATCATATTCGATTTCGGGAAGTTGAACATCTGGATGTGACGAGATGGGCGATAGACCACGGTCTGGCGTCGGTAGGCGACGCGATTTGACGCGAATCGGCATCCTAATTATAATGCTTCAGCCGACTTGGTGATACCTGCGAAAGTGAATTTCATTCCATCGGGACGTTGAGTTCACAATAGGTCCGGGGAAGATCAATGTTAAGGAAATCTGAAACGAGGAAAAGAATCAAATATAGAAGATTTGGGAATTTGTGGAACACCCTTGGTGGAATAGGTTCGTCCCGTAAATGCAAACGTTACACCCACTAATCTGGTTTGGAGAGGCCGCTAGATTCTAGCGGACCTGTGCCGCGACGTCATGCTCTAATCACCTGGGCACTTTCGCAATTGTGCTAACTCCGGCTAGCTCTAGCTGAACCACATGCTAAATTTTAGCTTCATCCAAACCCCTTTTCACAATAAGGTGACATTCTATTCCAAGGTTCTTAATTGAAATATCAAGATAAATATCAGAGTACATTGGTAGGTAGTAGTATAAAGTTAGGTATCAAGAAATTAGTGGACAATCTTGATTATTTACTTTCTGTCGCGGAAGTCATGATGATTGCATAGGCACCTCCTAAGTGATCACATACATAAGTCAAATACCCCATAAATGTATATCAGTGAGGGGCCTACTTCCCCTCAACTTCCTTCTTCTCCACCACCGAACTCCTATCGCCACGATCGTCGTCCGACCCAGTATCTCAAACATTGCTATGTTGACGCCAAACCCCTTGGCAATCCATTTACGCCGATCGATAATCATGAGATAGCCCGTCCTACCTATGCATTGTTTTAATGGCTTGATACCTACCGCGATTAATATAGCACGTGCTAGTTTGATTATGAGCTCCTCCACCACCACTTCAACGTACTCTTCAAACCTACCTACTGGAATAGGGATGCAAAGTTATCTCGTCAAACAGTTCCAGGCTCCGCTTCTGTGAGCGTTGCTTATCGCCAGCAACGAGACAACCGAGGACATGAGCTGCAGTGCATGCGTCAGCATACGTTACTAGAGGAACTAAATTTGGTGAGAAACAGCCGATTCCCTTGAAAATCTCCTTGACGAGCAGGCTTTTCGATATCTACCTCCTGGATGGCAGAAACATAGGACGGATATACCATCACCAACGCCAATGGTGATGATGTAGCTCCGAAATGACATTTTGACCGTTGTACCTGAGAGCTTGATTTAAACGCTTCCTAGATGGTTGTAAGTACATAGGCAATGACGAGTTAGCCACAATATTTACTTTACTGATTTCGATAAAGTAACCGCACGGAGCGACAAGTTCCTATGAGGCATTATAACAATTTCCGGATAGCGAGTTAAGCACCACGTCAAAGCCGGTTGTGGGAAAGGTCTCAGCCTCGATCATCGTGGTAATCTAGAGTGCAATCTAGTAAGTAGCTTCCTGCGATCGAACGTATCGGAAGTTTCTCCCCTTTGCATAAACGGACGACTTCGACTAAAGAGCGGTATGCCGTAATACCTAAATCGATCATTAACGCAGTCGCCTCGAATGAAAGCGAATTAGGAATATTCGTAAAACTCGTTGCAGAGGCACGTGGATACGTGTACATGTCATCTAAAGAGAAGCCGCATACCTGGTGTTCACGCTATATCGTAGTGTCACAGGAGGAACCAACGCATGCGGTAATGCCGGTAGAATCAAAGCCCGAGTCGACTAGTAGTGTATGCCATAGAGCCAGGAAGACACCATGGAAGTTCAACCCCATACCTTAGATTCGATTTCGGTCCTGTGCGAGCCTGCATCATTTTCGTGGGCCCTGCCCACGATAAACTCCAGATTATTGATGAATACAGGCGTACCAGTTATCAGCTTCATGGACGTTCCAAATTTCCAGGACATAAGTAGCCTAGGGACAAAATATTCGCTTCCCCACTTTGTACGTGATTAAGGGTCGAATCGGCTGTGCTAACCACTATTTGGTCTGACTGATCCTGAGTAAGCAGAAGAATAAGCTCGGGTCCTCATGTCCTATCCTCCCGTGTATGGAACGAGTGAATATCATGAGGTCAAAGGTATAATAGACTTCACTTTTATAATTCCTCAAGACAAGATTACCCGAGCATGAAAGATCAGTCACATTGATGCTCTGGGGTTTCCCTATAACTACTAACAAAATAAAAGAATAACCCACGCGTGGGTCAGCAAGTATCAAAGCCTCCATACATGTAGATCTTGAATACCCCACGCAAATATCCCTGCAAGCCACATGGCTTCTGGATCCTTGTCAGCTAGTGGGAGTTTGCAGAGAGTCAAGGATCAACCTTGCATGATAGGGGTACAAGTTAGATACCTACGTGTATGAAGAGCCAGATTTCTTCTTCTCACCAACTTAAACATCATAAATGACTTAAACCATCCATTCGCGAATGCCTCTCTCGTCACTTTATTATAGTATCTGTTATCTGTCACATCATTGCTAACCTTAATAGTCCTCAACCCTTCAACATGGAAGCTATTGATATTGCATTCCCTGTAGCGAAAAGCATGACTTTGATCATTCATCATATGTAAGGCTGAACGAAGAGGCCTCATAGATCGTACATGTTTCTATCTGCTCACGATGACTGCTGAGTAACCAAGTATCCAGTTTCAATACTATTAACGAACGCAATCATGTAATTCAGCGCAAGCTCATTGGGCAGGCCATACCGGAAAAGGGGACACGCGATCTTGAACCCACAATGATGGAGCAAATCGATATATTCATTGGGCAGCTATTAACATCGTCCTGAGTCGATAATCTTGTCGATATGGTCATTCACTTGAAAAGACTCGGTGTAGATTATGTTATCTTCGTAGCCTTTGGTCATGCCCTTAATATCTAGGCTGGCCCGGAAAACCGGGCGGTATTTCGTGGTCTCGGCATCTGTACCTCTTGGGACAACTGCTTCATGCAGTGGTTGTACCTCAAGAAGTTGTGGCTTCGCCATCTGCTACTTTTCCTCGGCACTGAACAGCGGACGAGACACCTCACACTATTGCATACTATGATCAGCGCCCATCTTTCTCAAGAGAAGCGCGCTCAAAATAACCTCTATCTCGTTGTCGATGATCACCTTGATATTGACACTGACAGATTTCCGAGAACAGAAGTTAGGTCCGAAACCATGTTTTCCTCCTAGCAAGTCTATGTTCCATAAATTTATTCTCTTAAAAAATCACGTTGGTTTAGGTATAACTGCGTACTAACACGGGAATATGGAGGGGTTGATACAACGTCCACGATAATCAGTGCACTATTATTCTACCTATCTTGAGGCCCAAATGTCTACTAGGAATCAGCCATTGGGACATGCGGCACGCTTATTGAACGTTCTGAAATTAAAGGCGGTCCACAGCTTGCAAGAACAAGCACTTGTGTGCATGTATGAACAATGCCCTGTGTATGTTCCCGCTAGGCACATCCATAGGTCGGGATGTGCACAGGGCTACGCGCTCCACTACAACGAGTGGTACCTAAGACGAGGCCGCACTTAGGAGGGTGAACTTCACGTTCGTCCTACTCTCCATCTGCGCGCGGGGGCAAGGCCATGGAGTGCCTGAATAGCAACCTTTTAGTCGCAAAGACTCTTTGGTACTTTGACTTCGAGAAGGCGCCTGGCAAAATAGGAGAAGTTGTTGCGGGCGCGCTGGGGAGGATGGACGGGGAATCGCTGCCCTAAGGAATTCAAACTAATGGATAGTTTTGGATCGAGCCATGAAGGACAGAATTTGATGCTAAAACCCTGCAGGGATTATCGAAGGGGGATTACAGAGTACCTAGTGTGAGAGCCCTGGATGATATCGAATACATGAAGTGCCCTTTCTAAGAATACGTTTTACATTAATATGTGCAACATGGATCGCTTAAACACTTACAAATAATAAAATCGTATGTCCGACTTAGTTTCCAGGTTACTCGGATTCCCTGTTCTAAAAATCTGACGGACGATGGGCGGACCTGATCATCCCTCGAAGCCCTGCGACTCCCTCGGGCCACAAGAATTGCAAATACTTGCACGACCGAGTAGATCGATCGCTATTGTAAATCTAGGTATTATAGAAAAACAAATAGTCGATGAGATGGAAAGAGAGACTCGGCAAAGGAGGGAACCGAAAATGCGTTGTTCCTCGCCACATCTGCCACGATTGATTTGCGCCACAACGGCATAACCTGACCCGGCTGTGGCAGTGCTAAACCTACTGAATAAACGGCCTCCCTCCGAACCTCACATCTCTTCCTTGCCTTTCTACATACCTTACATATCTTATATGCTCAGACTAACATTCGCCGCTCAACTGATAATTGTGTTGAATCGAAACTATAAGACAGCAGTTAAGTTACTAGCATTCATTATGGGACCTTGATTCGGCATTTCTCGTATCCATCATCAGTTCATCACCGCGCATTAGCGTTTACCCACGTTAGTCCCTCGCCAACCTCTCGGGGCTTTTGCCTGAGCGACTCGCTGGGCACTCGCGATTACGAGCACGGTCGATATTGTTCTTCTCCAATGGACATCCGCGAGGGCCCACAGGTGTATCAAAATTGCACCGGCATGCTCAAACTTTACGGTAGCGGTGTTTGGTTATGTGGACAGCCAGCGCATGAGACGACGTCAATGCTCCTCAGATTTCGGAAACGAAATGCAATTATTATCTGAGTATCAAAGGCTCCCGAAAGACGAAAGGAGCGGGTGATGTTGATTGAAGTTTCATCACTCGCAATTCCGCACCTGGAATGGTGGTTTTCTAGCTGCATTGCTTTTTGACCCGTACGACTAGATTAATGCAGGTACAAAATCATTTCACGATTCGCCTGCATAATGGCAGGTGGCTCAAGCTACCGTAATTCGATCCTTCAATGGCTGCCAACTTTTCGCCCGAACGACTGGCACCAGATAAAGTTGATTCAAGCATTCAACAGTTTTCTGGGCCTACGGTTATTAAGTTGGCTCAGATGGCCAAGTTAAAACCCAGATCTATCCCAGTGCTCAAAACCGGATCGAGTCCAACACGAGGTCGGGAAGTGTAAGTAGGTACATATCCGAGAGCTAACATTCGTACCATGCTGTCGGTGTCGTTGATCTCCTGGTGAGGAAGAATTACCACGATCTTCTCATTGCTGGAGTAAATGCAGATTTTTAGAACTCAATTAAACAAAGTACCACATTACAATCGCTATGTCATTATTTTAGCAATCTTACCAGCCTCCAGCCTGAAAAGCTGGAAAGTCTAGACCTGTACAACGATCTTTACCGAAGAGGTTGGAACTGTGGGAGCAGAACAGGGGGTTTAGCGACTAAATCCCTGACCATCTCCAGTCCCCAGAGCCTTCATCGACTTCCCGCGCGTGGCTGTGCATTTATTACCGAATCTACCTTAATTGGTCAGAAACGTCTATAAAAAGTAATTCCCAACGAATATACACTTTGTGATTCGTCATAACTTCTCCCTCCAACCATGCGCAACTGGGAACTTACCAGGCCCTGCAGCCTCTAGCGGGAAACTCTTGGACCGACTGCCTTTGCGTAGCATGTCGATCGCTGGGATATTTTTGCTGGCGAAAGGGAACTTGATTTCGTCGGTGGCAATGCTTCTGCCACGATGTTCGCGAATACGTTTCGCCTTCAAAGGTTTGAGAATATTCTCATCAAGATATGAGGTAGCCCGAGAAAAGACTAGGTCTCCTTCTCTCAAATCGCTTCAACGATACTCATAGTTTCTGCACTATGCTATGGATAGCGACAGATGTAAGACACACTTGCATCAGAGACCTATTTCTAGATTTTACAGCGACACTTGAGCAAGCCTCAGCCTTGTTGTGTAACACCCCGGTCGTGCATGTGCAGTAGTTTACTGCTACCTTACCCTCGCCTCTTTTTTTAAAAAGACCCTCCTGATCGGTTCCAATCTTCATTCTTGTTCCTTCTCGTTCTTGATGCCGATTTGGGTCCAAGTTTACTTTCCTTTTCTTATAATCCTACATACCAAATTCGGCTCGATGACCTCTGGTTGTGGTTTGAACCATGGCTTGTTCAGCAACATTCAGGAACTGCTTTCTACAACTTCCCCCCTCCACCGCTGTTCTCCTCATCAGCGTAGCATTTGGTTTGACAAATGGCCATGCGCTGCCTAGGCAAACGAAAACCATTGATTTACATGAGTTGAATGTTGTTCCTCTTCCGCAGCCTACGGAAGCCCCAGTCTTACTTTCAGACTTACTACGAAGACAAGCGCAGAACACAGTTTGTGGCTATATCGGAGGGGATCCAAACCTACCTGCAACATGCTTAGCAGGGTCCCATTGCGTGTTAGAACAGGATCACGGGGTGGTGGGCTGTTGTCCGGACGGAGGAACATGTTCGACAGGTATATTTACGGGATGCGTCGACTTGAATAGTTCACCGCAAACCGAAATCAACCCTTACGTATATACGTGTCAAGGGTCAGATTTGTGTTACAGGAATGAGTTTGCTGGCGGTTATTTTCAATTTGGCTGCGGAACCGCATCGTCACTTGGCACCACTGTCGAAACCTCCGCCGAGGGTATGTCAAGCTTAGTGTTTGAAGAGACATCGGTGCCGCTGACGGCATTGCCGGTTCCCCTTTCTAAGCCGACTTCTATTGGATCCCAGCCTGCTTCAAGCGCCACGCCTGATCCCGCCGGGAATCCTTCCTCCAGCGGACCCGACGCGGTACCACAAACATCCTCAGCTGCGACATTGCCTTCTGGTACATCCGCGCCAACATCCGCAGGCTCGCACTCTTCATCGTCATTACCTTCGACATTGTCATCATCCTTATCTTCTTCTACGTCTTCTTCATCGTCTTCGTCATCGTCCTCATCTTCATCCTCGTCTACCACCACCACAACATCATCATCCTCCACTGGATTACCGAATACTACAGCAACTTCAACGTCGTCAGATGGTTCTCCCGCAGAATCGTCAACTGACCCTAGCGCACCCTCGACGGGGACAGGAACTAGTACTACTAACAAAGGGGCCATAATCGGAGGATCTATTAGCGGGGCCGCTGTCCTCGTAGCGGTATTGGCAGCCATTATATTCTATTACTTGCGAAAGCGACGAGGCAATGATCGCGAAGGTCCTGGACCGTTACCAACGAATGCACCGCCAAGAACGTCGTATATTAGGTAAGTGATGGATAAAGACCCCCTTTTTACAAACCCCACTAATATATTACATAGCCCAATGCGATCTCACGGCGCTGCGTTTGCACCTCTCCCATCGTGGCAAGATGATGATGAGGACAGGCGACCATTAACTCAATACGCCAATAACAACGGGCAGCAACCTTACAATCCAGCATCTGAGCCGTGGCGGACGGCTCCAGCCCCCGCCCCCGCTGCCGCAAGGGCAAACGCTAATAACCGCGGGTTCTCACAGCCCCTGCGCTATCATCCCACGACGATCCGCATGGTGCCTCCTGCCGGTGTGGGAACGGGACTTGCGCCCGTCGCGGAGGAAGAGAACACGCAAGAATACGATCACGCTAATAATAACACTAACAACAATAACAGCGACTACGACCGCGGTGTAAGTTCCTCTGAGATCGACGACTTTTCGCGCGCCTACTCTAGCGCCGGGATCGGCACGCAGGAAATGGAGTACGATCGGCAGCCGCTCACCGTGATCAACCCGGACGACACTCCGCCCAGGTCGGGTGCGACATCCCCAGGTAGCAGTCCTCCGAGAAGCACAACGCCCGGAAACAGGCCTCTGTGGCAGCAAAATAGACAGCGGGGGAGGAATCTGATGTGGGTTGATCCGAACCCGAATAATAGGATCTAGGAAACCGGATCTGGGGTGCTTTTGTATAAACTAAAACGGCGACACGATATAATCTAATGCATAGGGAAAATACCTACTTTAAAAGACGGAATCATGGGCATAGTTGGCGTCGACTGGTTTAGAGAAATGAAATTTAGCGCATTGTGGACGGCTCTTTGGTTTGTTTAGGACGATCGGCGTCCATTTTTATCCCATTTCACGGCGTTCTTTTGAGACGGAGGAGACGGTGGTTGATGTTCATTATGGCAGCATTGGGTTAAGGGGCCGGGGCGATTACTTGCTACGAGCTATATATCATGATCATACTAAGGCTTAGGGGTGTCTTGGCTTGGTTTGTATTTTTTTTTATTTCTTAAAACGCATCCGCTTCGCTGTAATGAACGTTGATGCATATACCTTTCTTGAAGCTGCTATGAAGACTCTAGAGTAGATTAGAAACATAGAAGTTGAAGGTCGTCTGCCATAATGTATATAGAAAGAAATCATAAATAGAAGCAGCTAAATGGCAAATATTTGTCTCGCAATCATATGATAACTGTCTTGAAGCATCGGTGATAACATTGGCTACAAAAACTTCGAACAAACCTACTAGAAAGTGAGACAAGCTAATCACTTAATATTCACAAAGTCAAAACATGCAATCGCTAGTACTTAGAGCATGGTCAAATGGAGGAAAATGTAAAGCAAATAGAATTAGTGAATCTGCTACTATCGGCGACGATGCGCGCGAATGTCAAATTGCCTTTCTCACGACCTGCGCCATACATTCCCTCCTGCTGTCCGTGAATAAGAGGCGGCGTACCACCCCATTTGCGCCGGTGAATGTGGACGTGAAGGAAACAGCAGGATAAGAAAATAAGCCATGCCGTTACCGACTCCATTGATTTTGCACTGCTCTTGTCGCGTTCACCATGCGAAGAAGAGCATAAAAGGGCATTCCCATGTGATTAGCAAACTCCCAAACGCCTCGTAACCTCCCCTCCCGTAAACCTTGAAGCCATCGTACAAACACCAACTCCCCTAGAACGTGGTCATAAGTGGACGGACCATTGATATGAAATAGACAGTTTCTCCATGAAGGGAGGCATGGTGTATGTATGAAATGGAAATGCGCCCCTAGACGACGACGTGAGTGCTCATATGTTCCACAGCTTCCTTAACGCTGCGGAGCATTCGTTGGTTGACGCAGAAGGGGCAACGGATAGGTCGATCCGCGCCGCCGAGGGCGCCACCGCTCGAGATAGGCGTCAGGGTGAGGGAAGGATCTTCAGCGGCGGCGGGAGTGAATCTAGCACTCGTGCGCTGGCCTTGCTGAGGCTGAGGTGTCTGTAGGTTAGGCGCAATGGGCGGCAGGCCCTGCTCCTGTCTGTCGCGCTGCTCGCGAATGCTGGCGGCATGCGCCTCGGCGTCTTCTTCATCCTGCTGCATCTGTCGCAAAGCATTCTGAAGAACAACTTCGGGGTCGTCGGTACCTGCGAACGCATTGGCGGCGTCGGCGGGGTTGACGGTCGCGCCGGCAAGGGTGGGGAGGGGTGCAGGGCTAGGATTCTCTATTCGGCGAACAACCTCGTCGCGGACCTGGGCGCAGGTGGCAAGACTAGCTTCAACGCCGACGACGCGAAGAACAGCGTCGCGAATGGCGGCGGGACTTGTGTCGGCGCCAATATTCATGAAGCGAGGGACGGCATCAATGAGGTAAGGCATGTCATCAGCAGGGTTAGACGCATTGCCATGACGGCGTTGACGTCGGATCAATAAACCGTAACGTTTTTTAAAACGATGGATCCAGCCGGGGGAGAATTCGGGTGGTGACTCGTCCTTGTAGCGAGGCAGTTGCTGAAAGATGGACTTGGCCTTCTCAGCCAACTCCTCGTTAGAAGGGTTGCGACCGGACGCGACAACTTGGCCGTGCCAAAGCAGGACAAGCTTCTCTACATCGGGCCAGTTACCAAAGCGCAGACGCGAACCGCTGAATTGATTGTCATTGTCCAGGCGGGCGTACTTGGGAGAAAGGGAATGGCTAATTGTTGACTGGCTGATGTTCTGGCCATACTGGCTGTAGAACCATTCAATACATGCCTTGTGAGAGGGTCGGGTTGATTGAGAATGAGCCCAGCGACGAAGAGCGCGACGTTGGTCAAGGGTAAGGGAATGTCGCTCCTTGGGCGTGCCGATGACAGAGGGCGTGTCGGGCGCTGCGGGAACGTCCGACATTGTAATGGTTTAGGATGAATTACCCAGCTATAGCGATGCTATGCTACCGTTCGGGTAGTGAGGTAATCTTTTTCGGATTAGATAGAAAAAAAAGATGTGAATCCTCAATTGATTCAATGAAATTCACCGGTCTAATCGTGTAAACGATCTCGAATCCGGGTTTTGGTGGTAAAGGGGGCGAGGTTGTGCTTAATGAAAGGAGGAGAAATCGGGGTCGGCGGGTTTTGTGGCTTCAGAGGTTTTTTGTGCAAGCTAAAGTCGAGGTGGCAGGGGCCACTGTCCCTTCCCACCCAATCAATAACTGGGGCCCTCGCCCATTCCTGAAATTAACAGGCATAAGCTTTCAGTGGTCTGTGCCCCTCATTGCATTGAAGGGCTTTATGCGTTAAAGTTCCACACAGTCCACCGCTGTTTCATATGCAAATCACCATCAATGTTGGCCTAAGCAGCCTAAGGTAGCAATGCATATTGCTCTTTCCCACCTTATCTCTTTACACCATTCTAGATTTACGTGCTTATTCGGCTCTATACCTATTACGAAGGTACACCCAGTATGAAATATCCTTTTATGAACTAGAAGGCGCTCATCACTATGAAAAAGAAATACCGGTTGACAAGTGACGAGTAAATGTGACAAATAGATATATGCATCACAAGAAGGTTGGGTACTATGCAGTTATACTTATAATAGAGCCTGCGAGACGAGTGCATTCCCAAATATGCATGTCGCCGTGTCACTTATTGCTACGCTCTAACCCGTGTCCTAACATCGATGCAATTAAGCAAGGCTCAGGGATTCATCATTCATCCTCGTCTCACGGTATTCTTCCTATCTGGGTACACCGGCTAAAATAATTTATCGACTGCCTAATATTCGTAGGTTAAGCCTACATCTAGTAACTACATATACATACTAGCAATAATGCTGCTATGAGACATCAAGAAAACGAAGCACGGCCAAACGTAAGAAGCAGTATACTCAAATCGGTAGATACACATGGCTATTATCATATATACATACATATACAATTTGATATCACGAATCAAAACCTAAGAATAAATGTCATTCAGCATTCCCTTTCATCTCATTCCCTGGTTCTATGGAGTGGAAGGTATCTTGGAGCTAGAAAGCATGTGAATCATATGCATACTGCTGCCGGAGCATCCTTTATCGTTCTCCTGCGAGCTTGATTCGTGATCTTCCCCATCCACCTGACCGAAGGATGCCTGCTCGAGATTTCTTGCGCTCACAAATAGGATCGAAGCCTCGGAACAGCTTCCGCTGGGTCTCAGGATAACCCCCTCATTCTGAATTACACTGGACGCCCCTTGGCCAACCCGAAATCTGCTCCGTCGTATGTTCCGTCAAACCGCCCTATCATTCATTCGCCCGTACACTCGTCATCCAGTAGCTAGTAGATGATAACCTCGGAAATCCCTGACAAAGAAACCGGGAATTTGAATATGGAAGAGGAGTGTCCGAGTGGAACTTGTCCCGACAGAGGAAAGCAACCCCATGTTCACGCCGAACCGTAAGGTATACCGTATAAACGACTTGAAAAAGGCTGACCCATGAATGCCATTTTCAACCGGACCCAGAATGATGAAAAGATTTTGAAGATATCAAAGAAAACAATGCGAATAAGTGGCTATGGCAGAAGAAGAAGAAAAAAGAAGCATTCAAGTCGCAACAAAGTAAACTCATTCCGAATAGCCATTCGGTAATATCTACTACTTCAAGTATTACCCCAAGTGAATTGTATTCCACTAGACAACACTACACCAGCTACTACAGTGCACAAACATGCTGCATGCTGTCGAGTCGAGGAAAAGGTTGTATTCGTATTGTTGAGGATTAAGATAATCATGCCAAGGTGACATGACACAGGTTGTTGGAGCTTCGCCGAAAGGATCCATGCATCAAAAATTCGAGAAAGAGTTGTTGAACCTTCGGCGTAAATGCTAATAGGATGAAGCATATTGGGTATATTGAAGATGGAAATATTCTTGGGGGTATCAACCGTTCCGTAATGCCCTAGACCTGCTCAACAAAAACCACCAACTTTTCGTTATGCTCTAGAGCGTAGTTTAGATCGTTGTTGCTTAGGAGACTGAGCCTGTCGCCGCTTTGCTCGTCTCGGTAGAAGAGTTGGAGTTCTCCCTCGGAGACTTTAGTACGTTCCTTGACTCTCTCATACAGTTGTTGAAAGTTGGTATCAGAGGGTACGCGTATTAAAAATGTGTCGTCGCCAAAGTGCAGCTTAACCTTTAAGGACGCCTGACCCTGGCTAACCCCTGGAGATAACGATGTTTGCGACGGCTGCGAGAGCGACGACGCCTGCCGAGCCATCTGCGGCTGTCCATTCTGCATCTGCCTAGGCGCTGCTGATAATCCTGAATATCCATTTCCGTTCAGATTATTCCTAGATGACTGCCGAGAGTTACCCTCCCTTGGCGAATCGATTGATGAACGCGACCCACCAGACAGCCTATATTCGTCGCCGTTGGATGGGGGTTCGATCTCATAGTCGCCTTCTCTCGGCGCAAAGAATTGCTTTACTAAGTTGCACTTGGAAATATATGGTGGTTGCCCCAGTAAATGCTTCACATATGCGTCCAGATTGTGTAATCGTCCCGCCGTAATAGCGTCGGTCACGTAATTAACAGGACCAGGCATATATGGCAAGGTGCGTTTCTGCGTGCCAGTGTTTCCAGCTTCGGCGGGAAATTCGGTTAGGAGGGCGATTTGGAAGTCGTAGAAATCCTCATAGTAGCGCGAAAGCTCCCAGTGTCGCCCGTCCTCTAAAGTCGCTTCAATGACGAACCAATACTTCTCCTCGGCAAAACAGTACCGTGGTATCCGGGCTGATATAGGTGCATACAGTTGAGATGTAGATTTGGAAGCGAATTGGTTTTGTTGCATAGTGTTCCGTTGCTGTTGCTGTTGCTGAGCTGCTTGTTGATATTGCTGTTGCTGACACGGACTTATGTTAGTACGTCACCGGACCCAGAGGGAGTGATTCATTGTAGCTTACGAATGACGCATTCTGCTGTTGACTCTGGCGGTTCCCTCCTTGGCTTGGTTGTAGGCTCATCCGTTCCATGCCTTGCTCCAATCCTGGCGGACCACCAGCCTCGAATTTCCCTAACGTGATGCTACTATTCTTGTAATCGGCGGCCATCTTCTTCCATTCCTCAACCCGTGGGACTCCAGCTCGTCTCACGGCCTCCTGGGGATTAGCAACAGCAGTGTCCGTGGACATATCTCGAATTTCCACAAATGAAACAGGAATGAGGCCCGGACCTCCTAGCCGCCCGATCGGTTTAGCGACAAACCACTCCGGATTAGATTGCGCAATCACTATGATCGCCTCGCCCGCTTTCGCCTCTAATTCGTCCGCCCTTTCAGCTTGAAAGTCGTACATGACAATTCCGTATACCATAGCGCCATTCTTAACGACAGATTTGGAACTGCGCTGGCTAAGCGCCGGTGTTGGAGGCACGTTTGTATTAGTCTCGGAAAATCCGGAATCGTGGTCGTCCTTCTTCAAACCCAGCGGGTTACCTGGATTACCTGGGTCGGACTGACCACTATCCCTCTCGGTACGCCCGAGAGCCTGGAAGAATGCTACTGGGACGAGACCTCGTGCGTCGGGGAGAGCCGGGTTGCATGCTTCGTACCAGTCCGAATCATTTTCTCGGCCAATGACATGGAAGAAATCACCTCTCGAAAAGCTCAGCTCCTGGGCAGATGTTGCTTCATAATCGTAAAGAGCTCGAATGACCTATAATGTCTCGGACATCAGCATCTTGTCGAATGTGACAAAAAGCGGGTCAATTCCCGTCACGGTCAATGGGAAGAAAGGACACACGCAAGGACGAACAACACCAACCTTTTTCGGGGGGACAATAGCGACTGCAGATTTCGGGGCGATGGACAACTGAGGTTTGTCCTTGTCGCCTTTGATGGACCTCCTAAGAGCCTGGATAGAGCGCATGATGTTAGTTGCTGTATCAGCGAGAGCGACCGGATCGCGATGGGAATCGGGACGCGACATGAATGCGACCGGCAGACAAGTGCGTTTTTAGAGGCATGTCTGGCAGAAGGGGAGGGTAATTGTGGGATGACTCAAAAACAAACAGAGGAAGGGAGTCCTAGGTTTAATGGCGCACCTTCATCGTCGTACAAATTCGGAGGTTTGCGAATTGCGAATTGCTAACCGTCTAGTAATAGACAGAGGCGGAGGCGGCGCGAGAGAGGATTCTAAGGAGGAATGGGCGCAGACTCGCAGACTCGCAGGCCAGAAATGGTGGACTGACTATTCCCGAGGCTCGGGCACTTGTTACGCCAAGGCAGCGGAGTCTCGCGGCGCTGTTCGACAACAAGTCTGAATCAGTGCGACAACGTGTAATAGGAGCGAAGCGAATAGTCGTAGAAGGTCAGCCGGTGAGATCGATTTAGGTGAAGTGAGGTGCGTCAAGGTGAGACCTTTCGCAACGCGAAGAAAAAAAAAACGAAATTTCCCAAAAGCTTTGGCCTTATTCTGCTCCTCGACCCCGATCGATGTCGAATGATTTAATAATTGGCTAGATGGATAAAAATTCAAGAACCAGAACCAGAATTGGTAATGAAATTTCCGACTCCTTTTTTTCCCCAGTCGATAAGTTGTCAATACCAGAGATTTCCGAGCCGGTGTTGTCCCTTTCACCCAATCCTTTCTTTCTCGGGTTCGCTTCTGCTTCTTTATCTTAATCCCAACTCAGCCACGGTATACGGTATAGTCGGGTATCAATTGTCTCTCAAGTCAATATGCGTCACAGTACGTAGACATGCAACAACAGATTTGTTCCCGTCTTGGCAATCGTATCGTCTTTTTGTCGTTGGTCGTCGATAAAATCGTCGTCTTATATTTGCGATAGTCGAATGTAAAAAAAAGTGTCGACGGGGTCTGTTCAGAGATTGGGGAGGTCAGGAGGACAAAGAAGGAGGGAGAGAGGGACAGGACTGGCTAGATTTTGCAGTGACTACTTTGCGCTTAACCAGGATGGGGGTTGACTGACTGGCTGAGAGAAGAGGGTGGAAACGTCGAAAAAAGTGGGATAAATTTGAGTCGGGCGTTAGCATAATTGGGCAGGCTGAGTCGTGGGTATGTGCGCCTGCGGGTCGGTGGATACCTTCCTAGGTTATCGGTGGATATGCCTTCTTTAAAAAATGCCTGAGATGGGCGGATAGCATGCATGGATCACACAAGGTACGTACCTGCCAATGCTACCTAAACTTGAGTACAAGGTACGTACAAGAGTACGTACCGCAGACTCCATTGGAACTCTCAAGCCACGGGATAGTGGGGTGTTCTTCGAAAAGATCCGATTAGACCTAAACTGCCGGGGGCTTGCTTGAGGGCAGCATTAGCACATGTTAGCCCTGTAAGCCTGGAAATTTAGTGCATTTGACATGCCCCTAGAGCGCGGAAGTAATGTCCATCCTGATCCAGTTTCATCAAATGATAAAATGATTTGACTCTGTAAATTGGAAATTTAGAAATCAAAATAAGAAATAAGATAACATTGTTACCGATGTCTTAGCTAATATGATGTATAGAACAGTAGAGTCGGTATATGGTAGAGAATAAATAGCGACAATAGAAAAGAAGGGATATAATTATCAATTTGATTAGCCGGTAAACGAGGAGCCTCCATGTAAGGGTCGCACTCCAGTTAGTGGAATATTGAATAATAGGTACCTACTAGGTAGATAGTAGGTATTGAACTGACAACTTCCAAGGTTAATGGCATGACATTCCAATAGTTCAATAAGAGTTTAGCTACCCGTAGTTGAAGCACTAGTTCCCTTTTCCAGGAAGTTGTTTAGGTACCTCGGATTGTTTGCCCCTCTACCCCTCCAGCCCCTCCCTCGCCTATTACCGTCTATAGTTGCACTTTCTACCTTCTTTCACCCCGCCACCAGCCCTGACTAATTATGTAAATCCCGAGTCTCCAACTCGCCAACTTGGAACTGTCATGATCATTTGATTGACTGACACAAGAGCACAAGAGATCGCATTGACTATTCTGAAAATCGTGCATATATCGAACAGGATCTACGTGCCAAGTCGATGTATTTTGAGTCATTCTTTCATTCAATCATTCATCCCATGAATCCATCCCGTTCTGGTTGTTTGCTCGTCAAACACACAAGGATCGGAATTCGGTCCCCCTGAAATCAACTGACAGACGAAGACCTCATACAGCCACCCGATAATATTAAAAGCTGAAAGGAAATATATCCAATATTCTCCATCCAGCAATCCGATAGGCTTGAATAGAATATACGCTTTACGAAGTTTCCAATATGTCGGATGTGTGTTAAAGCATCGTATAGCTTCAAGGTCAGGATATCCCGGATAACATTACTCTACAACTGTCACGACAACGCATCCGCATATCGAAAACAAATAATAAGACCGAACAATATATTCCAAATACCAATAATTGACCCGGGAACTTTCTTCAAACTAAACCCTCGACGAACATATAAAAATTTTCTACTGGGAAATCAGACTTAAAAGCTAATAGGAACCGGGATGTCGTGCTTCATGTCGAACAAGAATACTGCGTACATGCTTTAACTTCGATACCTAAACCTCAAGCGCCTGGGGGGGCACCCCTTGCGCATACTCCACGCCCCGGGGAACTCGTTCACCAAATTTGAGAATTGTACCTTGCAGCATGCATGGCGACCTACATAATACATATGCATCGCTAAGTGGAAACTAAGTGTCGTTTGTGACTCGAGTTTTGATAGACAGGGAGCGCAACAAAAACTAAAAAGCTCCTAGATCGGGATTGATCGGGTTGAATCAGTCCAGTTTCGTCATGCCCTCCAATACCAGCAAACATACCGTTCATATATGACTCTGCAGAGTACGCGGTAACTGATCCAAACAAATGCGAACACATCTACAGCAGCAGTATTTCCTGTTAGGCCTGTCGACCTTTCTAGGAGACGGCAATCAGGTTTATCGAGAAAAGCAACGGTTTTTATGGGCTAGACCCAGACACACGCGGCACTAGAGCAAACGAATGCAACTAGAAAGCATGCAGGGCAAGTCTGAAACACCACTGATATTTATTACTTTTTAGCTTGAAGCATCTTCACGCAGTCCCCGTTAAGCTTTATAGGCGTTACTATAATTATAAGGCCCAGCTAATTGGATCCTCGATAAACGAAGCCCTACCACATAGATCCAACGACCGGCTTCCCGTCAATAACACCTACTTAAACAGGTAGTGGTATCTTTCCTACAGGAAGCATAATTCCGTTGTGACTTTTTGCTTTGACGATGTCTTACGTCTTGAAGAATCGCCTTGGCAAGTCGTCGCTGCTAGGTTCTATGGACGTTACCTACGTACTCTCAGACTCTATGTGTCCAGATGCTTCAGAAATTAACCTACTAGATGACGTACTGAGCCAACCATATTTCAATATATCGTCCCAACGTTGTATCGTTACGTATTGCAGCCACCGCCAGTAATGCATAACATCTAAGGAACAGCACAGCCCCTGTCCGGACTTGCTCCGGCCAGCCTGTAGAGCCCGGAATACCTCCCGGCGACTCTTCTAGAATGGACGCTAATATTGCTCTCTGCATGGCATGTCAGCCACATTAGACGACAAGCAGCAACATTGAATCAGTTATTACATATGCGCTGCTACCAAGATAATAGATCGGAACCCGGAGGAGAAGGATCCAGATCGCAAACTAGCTATATCCGGTGTGCTTAATGGTTCATGCGTAGGCGAACCGGATCGTCCCTTGCCGGCGGCGATTTCTAAGCAGCATGAAACTGGACGGAGCGATGAAACATAGTGACGACGTAAAGAACTCGACGGCCCGTCCTCTTAGCATCTTTGGGATTTGCGAAGATGTTCGTCGAGGGAACGGAAGCACATCGTCTATCACCGGCCCCGCAAACCGATCATTGTGAATCCGTGCCCTCTATCTGTGCTGAACACCTTGGATCATCTACTACGCTTTGACCTAGAGTTCTCGATTGCATCTCGCATGTGATGTAGATAATCAGGCCACACGATATCACAGATCTCTTCGGGAGACTCGCGCCAAGAGATTGATTTACTTCGCCATCGGAGCCGAATTACCAATTTCTCCATCTCTCCTCATCTCAGTGTTCACTCTGAGGACCTCAGTTCTTTGAATGTCAGATCTGATTCATCACGTAAGTCGGCTATGCGGACCCCGTGATAACGAAAGCCCCAGAATTAGGACAACCACCGTCATATGGATGTCTCGTCGCACACCAAATCAGGCCTCAATCTAACAGTCCAGCAACCTAGGCGGCCTCTTAGGACATTCCATTCCGCCTACCAAAAAAAAAAGGGTCGGGCCCGATCGAGACACATGAACAGGCCAAAAATGGAGGAAAAATCTTGTGCCTCACCCAACTACTTTTTGTGACCCAGGCAAGTCGAACCGGCACCGAAATCGACATGCTCTCATCACAAGGGAGAAAACGCTGCAGGACAGGACAGGGCTCCCTCCCCTCCCCTCAGTACCTAGGCAACCTAGGAAAAAAAAAAAAGCCTTAGCGCCACAAACCAACCAATTTCCCTTCTGTAGCGCTCTTTCTCATCTGTGCGACTTCCTGTCGCGCGGGTCTCGCGGCACGCAAAACGCATCTGACAGGATACGGCAAGAAATAATAGGGGCAAAAGAGAAAAAAAAAGAAAAAGAAATTTGATATAAGAAGGCGGGCCACCGGTCGGGTTCCCTTAGCCCGTATACCCGGCCCTCTCTGCTGTCTTCAGGCGGTGCGACGTATCCCGCGCGCGTGTAAGGGTTGCTCGCTCTCAGGTAAGCTACATAGTAGGTAGGTATCTAGAGTTGGCCGGCTCGCGTCGCGCGGGTTATTGAGAGAATACGGCGGAATGCATGTCTTAGGTTTGTAAAGTCTCCGTCAGCTTCCTCCCTCGGCGCTGATGCTGTCCCATTCCTTAATAGTATGTCAAATGCGAAGAAGTAAAAGGGAAAGTGAATGGGAAAAGGGGGTAAGAGAGAAAGAGTTGTAAGAGGGTTCAGTATATTCCTCGGTGATTATTTACACTGGTTCACCAATTTTGTATGCTTTAGTTTGCCAGCTCCTGAATACTGGATAATGTATTCACTCTTACACTTGAGTTGCGTTACGCTCTGAAAATAAATGAAGCCCACAGAACTAATTTCCATTCTAGCACGATCTTCGTAACAAGTGTTGAGGAATGGGGAATTTATGATTTTGAGAATTCGAGTTGGGCATGAAATATTCAAGCTCTGGTAAGTGAACCCCCTGGCTTGGAAGTTTTCAATCTGGGTCCCGCACCGCCTGTTGCTTGGCATTTCAAAGGCGTCTTACGAATATTGATTACTCAGAGTAAAACGATACAACTGTCTACGTTACAATATACTGGATGAGAGTATACTCGAATACGAATATGCAGATGAATTCTGTTCAGCATCAGCTATGCGCCCCGGATGCTGAGACTATGGAACTTTTATCTAGGCTTAACTAGTTCTGCCTGCCAATCCTTTTTGTCGAGTCCTTCCGCGAAACTCCCAGTCAACAGAATAGGTTGACGAACAATAGGGTATCGGTAAAGCAACTAGGCCACTCGGTCCAGAAACGCCGAACTCCAAATAATTCAACTGGGTAGGCACCGATACATGATGCCGAGGTTGACCAGTGGTCAGTAAAAGCTCATGCCCTCAACTTCGTTCCTGTGCTAAACGCCAGCCTTGAAATCAAACTAACCACCCCATCGGAAACTCCCCCAACCACCTATGCCAATGCATATCACGACCGTTTACTGTGATGTAAAGTCAATGTAAGGGCCTTTCGAAAGCCGATGTAGTAAGCCACGAGAGGTCGGTCTCGAAAGAGACATCAATAGTCGAGTCACGGATTCAAACTCAGGCAAAGCCAAGTTTCAATATCCAGAGTCGTCTACCTCTTATGACATATCGTCAACGTCAAGAAGTGGTATTGTTCGGAAATGCTGCAGAGGGTGTCTACGAGGGAATGATGTAAAGTGACTTGCTGCAGTCACAGGGGCCAGAGATGATGACTGTTAATGTCGAAGAGAGAAACGCAAGGGATATGAAAAAAGAAGAGAATGTGAGACGGATCAGATCTGGCCCCTAAGGTCGACCCTACGGAATGCTTCACTTCTAGCTGACTCGAAGAGCATTCCGGCCTTCCCGGTCAGAAACACAATGTACTCTGACCGTTCTTCAAGAAAGTCTCGGCCGTCGTGATCGATAATGAATTGGGCAGCTTCAGCGTCCGACTCAAACGCGAGCTCCTCAGTAATGTATCGTAACTTAAGATCTGGTTTAAATCTGTTGTCAAATTAGCGCCTGGCTCTCTAGGGTGGCTCGGGGGGGGGGTACTCACGCTTTGCACATGTTCGCAAGTGCAGCAAGTCGTTCACGTTTGATGAACATATCCATGAGATATGCACCCATATTGGGAACGTCAAGGTAAAGCTGGAAGAACTTGTGATAGTTGCCTAAAGCCAACGCCGAACGTACGTCAAGCGCGTGCTTGATGGGTCGCTCCTCTTTCTCTGCTGTGGTTAGATCTGCAATGGCATCATTCAACGCCGTTCGGTTCGCGGTGTGGATGAAATACAAAATACGATACGCCTTGAACTCGGTAGAATTGCCCTTCAGGCCAGCCTTGTAGAGAGCACGTAGCTGGGTCTGGCACTGATTATACTCACCAAGGTCCCCCTTCTCTAACGCGATTCTCGCATGGATTTCATAAACGGAGACGGTAAACTCGTTTCTGACACGCTGCACGGTCAGATCTTGGCGAAGTGACTTGAACTGGTCACAGATGTAGTTATAATTGCCATCCTTACGCCACTTCTTCTTCAGCAAGTCCAACGTTTGATGCAAAACGCGCTCAGGACGGACATCCTTCGCCTTAGGGGCGGCGGTCAGACGAAGATATCTCTTCTCTAAATTCTCGTTGAGACCAACGATGGGTCCTGCAGGGGGCGGCGGACTAGGAGATCGGTAGGAAGACTGGTAACCGCCATCACCGCGGCGTTGCCGCTTCTCAGCATTCTTCTGAAACTTACTTTTAGCCGATAGAGGGCCGTCCATGGCGGGTTTGGTAATTCGATCCTCGAGGGAAAGCGACTTGGCATCGCGCCACGGCACCGTAGGTTCAGGTCCGCTTAGATCCGAAGACTTCCTCTTCTTGGGGTTCGCAACAGCTGGGGTAGCTGCTGCTGCTGCTGTCGCCGGTGCCATAGCTGGTGCTCTCAACGCTTGTTGGCGTTCATACTTAATGATGTCTTGCGGTAGAGGCATGCTGTTCCAATCCGTGGTGTACATCGTTCCATGATCCTGAGTGAAGCTTATAGTCTGCTTAAGCTTGGCTTCCATCTCGGCACGGGTCACACCGGAGTCCAGGTTCCACGTCTGGAAGGAGCGCTGCACATAACTACGAACGGAATCGGGCCAGTCGAACTTCTGCTGCTGAGTTTGTTGCTGATGCGAGGAAGAGGCCATGGTAGTTGTTGATTGCGGGGGATTAGCAGGAGCGGAATAAGGATACTGTGGTTGAACTGGGTACGTTTGATGATCAAACCCGGAGCGAACCGGGACTGCGGTATACGCGGTATCTATTGAAAGTAATATGTTAGTATCAATAAAGAAAGCAATCTTGATCTGAAAAGTGAGCATACTGATTGATGATGAATAAGGGTAAGGCGTTGTTTGGACGCCAGGCGCCGCTGGTGATGCCCAAGACATTGTCGTCTAGATGATTGTGTTCGGTACGGAGCACGGCTTAGTGAGGTCAAAATGTTAGTACGAAAAACGACTGTTTAGAAAAGCGATATAGAAAAAACTGGAGTTATCGCCTTGTTATCTTGAGATTAAGTGAACAAAGACATTCACGTCAAGACGATTTCTGAGATGGGAAATGTGTGGCGAAGACGAAAGATGGATGAAAGATGGATGGTGGATGTGTGAATTAAGAAGAGGAAAGACGGGAGAAGCGCGGGAATTTTGGCGGTCAGGTGCAGTAATTAGAACCTAAGACAGTTGTGTGTTGGCTTCACTTACCTAAAAACGTTAAGTGGTCGCGTCAAGGCTATTGGGTTTAGTGTGCTGTGAGTGGTCTGTGCACTATATGTACCTAAAAATATTAGCAAAAGTCTGCTGATATGCATGTACAGGGCAAGGATAAGCCGTCTACGTACCTACAGCCCTGAGCTGGGATAGGGATGTTGATATGTGGACGATAAGCCTAGAGACTCAGGACGGTCCAAAAGGTATTCTGACCTACAAGCCTTTTCTATCGATGTGGACTTGTCGTCTCATGTATCTCGTGGGAGTGGAATTTGATTTTTGACTGTTAGGTGTGAGAATTCGTTAATGAAGATCCGTCCATACGAAAGGCGGGAAGTTGTCAGTGGAAAGTTAACGCACAGTTCAGTCTGTGGTAATAAACCTTGGTGTTATGCATGATAACAATGTGGGCCTTCTGTAGATTGATTTGATAAGAGTGGTACAAAGTACTTAGGTAAGTTAATGAGTTACGTACCTTCCATGGAAAGCAGGAACACATGGTTGGTGATCTCAACTTGCATCAATTCAACTCTTCCAAGATTCCTTTCCTATATACATACATACATACACCTATCAGATTCACAAGCAACACTTCGGCCTAGCCGGAATTCCTCCTATAATCCTGCCTCTCTTTTAGACTAAACGATATGACGAATGTTTTTAAAACAAATCGACCTCACTACTGCCCTCAGGCCGTCCTATCTACCCGACGAAGTACTACTCTTTGTCCAGGACAACGTGGGGCTCTATGAGGGGTGAGTCTGTTATTGATTTGTCTGCGATTGGCGACGACGTTGAATATTGCTCAAGTTGCTAACCGTTGCTATTATATTCACATCGGTAGAAAATACAAACTAGCCAATCAGCAAAATGGTCAAGTCTACCTGACTTCACATCGAATATGCTACGTCGATAAACAGGAGCCTAGAAAGCACTCCGTTGCTCTAGATCTGAAAGACGTAGAACGATACGAATTCTACGTACGACCCATATTCCCGAAAACAATAGCCTTGTACTAACTGAGATCTTAACAGGCGGGATTCCTTAAATCTTCCCCGAAGGTAACTCTCATCCCAAAACCAGCCAAGCGAGGTTCTCTCCAATCTAGAGCGGTGGCAGCGACATCTACAGCTTCTCGGAACGGTGGAGCATCGCCTTCGCCAGCATCCGATTCCGCATTCCGTTCCCCCTCTACCAGCACGCCTCAGACTGCCTCGGCGACATGGATATGTACGATATGCAGTTTCCCGAACCCGGTTCCGTCCAACTTCGACCCAACGACAGCAAATGCGCATACCCCACTACCACCGTGCCTGGCATGTGGCATCAAGCCGGCATTGACACACATCCTTAAAGCCTCTATATCCAATGCCACCAGTAGACAGGTGACCTCTTCTGCGCCTACACATCAGTCGCCGTTTGCGCTTCCGTCTCGACCACAGAGTACCGGCCTGGCAGCCAATGACGTCGGCGGCCCGGAAGGAGGCGTTTCTTCGCCAAATAGGAGGACTGGCTCAGCAACCTCGGATGGCTTTCAATGTCCTCGTTGCACTTTCCTCAACCACCCTTCTCTTCTGTCTTGCGAGATATGCGGCGCGCCCCTAATCTCCCACGATGTTCCCATAGCCGCTGTAGCTGGTCAACCAAGAACAGATTCGCCGGGGCCTACACTCAATGTGGCTAGTGTTGCTGGCTTAGAGAATCCAGAGAGTGTCAAGGTGTCTTTCCGAGGCGGAGGGGATAAGATATTCTACGAGCGATTGAAGAGCTCTATGACCCAGCGTAAATGGCTTTTGCAAGAAGCACCACCTGTCCCCAACGGAGGCTCCAATGATGTACGCTCCGATTCATTATCGGCGTCGGGATCAGGAACTAGTCGAAACAAGACTGCCGGCATCGCTGGATTAGAGAAGATGGGCCTAGACAGGCGCAAGAACAACGAATTGGTCATTGGAAGTGCCTTCGAGGACCTTGAAGCATTGATGGCTTCTGCCAAAGAGATTGTAGCGCTTGCAGAGTCATTCTCTCGACAGGTCAACGGCGGCACCGAAAAGGCAACATCCGAAGCAAACGCCTTGCTCGCCGAGTCCGCTAGCCAGTTGGGACTGGTGACTACCAAGGACATTGTTGGTGGCTCGGGTTCTGAATCGCTTTATTTATCCGAATTGGCTAGAAATCTTGCAGAGTTCCTAACAGACGACGCCAGAGGTGTACTCAAGAAAGCTGGCGGAATTATTAGCCTAGTCGATTTATGGGCTATGTTCAACCGTGCTCGCGGAGGCGTTGAGCTTGTAAGTCCCAACGACTTCGAAAAGGCTGCCCGTATGTGGGGTAAATTGAGATTGCCAGTTCGACTACGTACTTTCAAGAGTGGGGTGATGGTTGTCCAGAGTCGCGATCAGACGGACGGAACTACAATTAAGGCATTACTGGCGTGGCTCCGGGATCTACATGATATCCCGCCAGATAGAGATGTTACCTGGGATTGGCAGGAGTTCGGTCGCGGCGTTACTGCACAGGATGCCGCCGAACGATTCGGATGGAGTATTGGCGTTGCCGAAGAGGAGCTCGAGATGGCCGAAGAAAAAGGAGTTCTCTGTCGTGAGGAGGGCATCGAGGGTCTCAAGTTCTGGGAAAACTACATCGACACGGGAGAATATCGTAATAGGCCGCGGCAACGTAGTGACGGAGACAAGATCATCGAGGCCTTGAGTACAGCTGGTTTGCTTTAGATAAACACCTTAGATCATGACCAGAGATGCAAATTGAATGCCCAATGAAGCATTCCTGCTTAGTTAAATTTCTATTGAACAATGTGTCGTAGCCTTCGTTAAGTTGTGCCAACCTCCAAGTATACCATACTAGAGCTTATTGCTTTGCTCTTTACATCCCAACCCATCGATATATATTAATTTCTATCTTAGAACCGTCGTTTACCATACCCGTACCATACCTAGCCCGCACTATTTTGATATCCGCCCCCTGTAACCCATCGTCCGCGAAACGCCATCCCAAAACCCGTTGCGTACCAGGTGCCACTTCCCACCAAACAAAAAACCCACGGCTTTACTATTCTTTTCAAGCCAACCTCTCCATCAAATTCCTCCGTACCTTCGTATTCACCGTCCCACCCAACCCAAACGCCGGAACAATCCTACATATCCTCGCCGCCGTGCTAATCGCCCAATTCTTCCGAACCTGCGTCCAGCGGTCCGCCCACGACACCCCGCCTCCGCCCCCCATCGTCGTCGGTCGGTTAAACATATCCAAGCCTAACAAATGCACCGGCGTCGAGACGATCTGCACCGCGGCCGGCGCCACGAACTGCGCGACGGTGGTCCCGCTCACCGCCTCCCGCAGCGCGGGGCCCATGCGCTCCGTCAACAGCGGCCCCAGCAGAGGCGGCACGTTGAAGGACGCGAAGATGGTCAGGCAGTCGCGCATCGTGAAGAGCAGGTAACTCGGCAAGGGCACGGGGCGCGGCGGGCCACCGGGCCCGTACAATTTGACGAAGACTTGGTCCTTGTACACGCACAGCCCGACGTTGGCGGCGCTCGAGGCGGCGAACTTTGAAGTTCCTGTCGTGACGTGCGTGGCGGGTAGGTTGCGCGCTGTGGATGAGGCCGTGTCGAGCGTGTTGGCCGTTAGGTACGTGCCCCCGTATAGCATGAAGATCAGGGCCACCGGCTTCGAGAAGAGGAGGGTGTGCGGGCGCAGGAGTAGGGTTCGGAAGGAGGACTTTAGGCTGGCGGAGAGGGTGTTTCGGCCGGATGCGTTTTCCATTATCGATCTTTACATGTTGGGGGGAGGTGGTTAGCGGATATGTTTAGAAGGAGAGGCTTTATCGGATTGAACGCGGTCCGCTTTACCTGTCAATTATGGTTATCAGGGGCGCGACCATCGACGCGGCGCACGAGGCGCTCAGAAAGTCGGCACCTAGTCGAAGTCCGAGGTTCTTCGTGTTCCGTTGCTGCTGCTGCTGCTGCTGGAGCTTCGATGGTGGCATGTCGACGGCGCTTTTGGCAGGGGTCGGGATGAGGGACGTTGACGGTATTGGCATGGCTAGATGCTTCTCGACGGTAACACCGACTTTGTATCTATTTAAATACCGCGTCTACTCCAACTCTTCGAGCTCTGCCCACGAATCACTCGCTAAATCTACCCCGGCGAGAATTCACGAAAAGGAGAAATGAGAGGGATAAGTTGACGGAGACATCGGGACTTCGCATTTAAGTGTATGCACTGACAAATGATTGACTTATAAATTAGAGGACTTTGATGAAGTCCTTTAATTCGCTCCCCTTTACGCGTAAGGGATGTTACAAAGAGAGGGAGCTGGTATTATGGGCGTATTAACGCACATTGATAGATCAAAGTTCAGCTTATTGTCCGTTACGCAATATGCAGTCGTTGATGTTCATCCATTGAGAAGCGGCAGTTTTCTAAGCTTTGCCCCGAGACCGGACATGCTCTAAAAGAAACCCTGCCAAACTAAACTCGGGGAAGAGAGCGCCAAGGATGAGATCTGAGATCTGATATGGTAGACTTTCGGCTAAATGTGTTACATAAGCGATTACCCAACGCAATAGTATAACCCCCTATCGTCGCTGCCGAAGATTCATCTTGGACTAGATACCGTACAAGGATCCGCAGGAAACAATTAACCGTTAATTAACGGTTAATTTATGGTTCGAAAAAATAAACGTTTGGGAATAGAGAAACCACTGAGAAACCATCTTTTTAAATAAACGTTTATATGTGTTTTTATATTTGATCTAAACTTAAACGTTTGAAGATTCAATCGTTTATTTGAAGCTCTAGATGTACCTTAACGGGAAGGCTGGGAACTAACGGGAGTAGGTGTAACCTTGGAACCAACAGGGCAAACAGGGCAGGTCAGGGCAGGTCAGGTCAGGTCAGGTTAAATCTATTCAGGCCAAACAGGCCTTCTACGATATCTACAACTACAGGAATACAGACCTACCTATAAGCGTTGCAATCGCGATACCTACTTGTTAAGCCTCACCAATACGTAAGTAAGCACCGCTGGCAAATAAGAGTCCTAAAGGTCCTGGAGTTCCTGGAGATGATCCTGATAGGTCCTAGGTAGGTAGGTAGGTAGGTAGGTAGGTTTTTGAAGACTTCTTTAAAAACTGGACCTTGGAGCACTTGAAGTTTTGAAGAAGAAGAAGGCGTATAAGTAGGTAGGTGGGAGTAAAGTCTTATATATAAAACTTGAAGGCAAGTAACACAATGAGATCAAAACAGTTAGACTAGAACGATTGGAATGGCTACACACACCTTAGGATCAAAGGCTCAAAATATCAAAATAGCTACACACACTTAGATCAAGAGGTAGACCAGAATAGACCAGGATAGCTAGAATACCAGGACAATTACACACACCTATTGAAGCTATTCCCAACTAAAAACAGTTATTCAAAGTCAAACGTTTAAGGATATTTAACAATAGAATGCAAGTAATCGTTTAATTTTATAAACGCCCGGATAAATAAACGTCAAAGTAAAATAAACCATATATTTATGGTTTAAATAAATAAACCGTTAATTAACGGTTAATTGTTTCCTGCAGGTCCTTGCTAAGTATGGATATATCTTAGAGGTAGGTAGCCGAAATAGTGAGCAAGTAGGTATTTTTAGCATTTAGGTTGTTGGGTTATTGACTCCGTACCTTTCATAGAAGAATGTATTCAAGAAAGATTTGACTATCTTAAACTACAACATGGTATACTTCTCAGGTCAACAGAAGATCAACAGATAAATCGATTTGGAGGCGGTAGCGTTCAACTTGATAAAGACCACATGATTCTACTCATCTTCTATTCTATGGGAAGAACCTCATGGCTGGCAAATCAAGAAGCCTCTACATAACGCTTGTGCTAGTACTATTAACCTCAGGGCTCCATATTTACGATAATAACTATGAGTTTGATATATATCAAAGATTGGTCACATCTACTGATAGAAGCTGGGACAAGATATTTTTGGGGCTTATTCTTCGGACGTTTATTACGTTTTAAGTAAGCTCCTTCACCACAGTCATAGTACCGACGACTATCGGCGCCCATTCATGGTGGAATTGGGCGCCTTCCATACCCTCCAAGCACTGGGAGCACCATCTAAACTCCTGGTGTCTCAAGACTCATACCACAGAATCAGGAACATGTAGGTTAGACTCTGAAACCAACGTCATATCTTTGCCTGGTTTAACAGGTACACGGGTACCTTTGCAGACAAGACTGAGACAGAGGATTCTTATACATTTGAGGATCGTGATGCCGCCGAAAAGCAGGTAAATACCTGCTTAGACACTCCTTCACCAATTTCTGTACATTAACCAGATGGTATAGATAAAAATAGAAGCTGTGCTATTGAATTCTGTATGATACTGGACTGCGATTTTTTGGGTTGGCGTCATTTCGTTAAAATCGAGATTCCTTGGCAAATATTAGCGTCCCCAGCAGCTTGGGTCCCCCACTACATAACCCTGTGAACCGCATTAATACCCCTGTAGCGGTATCCATATGGTGGATCTTACGTAGATCTCAGATCTAGAAAATGAAGAGAGCTGCTGGGTATTATTCAATTGCGTATTAGCAAAATGAACTCCAGGACCACCGGGACGTTCGAAACGTTCAACTAACAACAGAGGTCTGCTTACTCAGAGGGTTGTCAATTTTCCTCTGGACACCTACTCTAGAATTCACTTCGCAACTATGTCATCAAGATCTATACTATGAATTCAGAGTCGTTTCGCTGAAAGGAAAAAAAAAAAAGTGTTTGGGATCATCCATGGGCCGTGTTCACAATCCCATTATTGACTCCCTAGACACAAGAACAGCGGTTGGATAAAGAAGTTCCCTCATAATTATCTATTAGCGGCACTACTTCCTAAAATGCTTGATAATGACCAAATCCCGAATATGACCCTACCGGGATACAAAGGAAACTGACATCTAAACTCAACCCCTATACCGAATCTACGCCAATACTACTGCTCACCCACCAACCCCGTTCTCTTCAACCTGTTACCCCGTTACCCTATGGCACCCCTTTCACCGTCCCGTCATCTCTCGCCATTCCTAAAACCCACCAGTTCCCTGAACCCTTTTAATCGCACCGAGGAAGCCTCTTGCCCAACCAAACCTACCCGCATCGACACCCGTCGCGCCATCGGACTCCTTCCCTTGTCCATCCCTCCACACTCCGTCCTCGTCTACTCTTCCGTATAGATGCGTGTTCTGGTTACGCCTCAGCGCTTCGATCCACCCGCGACAGATCAGGGAGCTGTCGATCATGACGTTGATCTCCTGGGAGTGGAACCAGCTCTGCGTGTCCTGGTTTCCGTTGCCGATAATACCGACATGCTCGTCCGCGATGAATAGCTTGATATGGCAGCTGCGGCGTTTCTTGGCCGCCGTGATGGGCGCGGTTTGGTCTTTCGCAACGTACCAGTACCAATGGAGGCGCGGCTTGGCGGTGGGCGAGAGGAGGTTGTTGTAAAGGTTATGCGCGATGGCTTCATTGTGGCCACCTTGCATGGGGAGCATTTCGCCCTGAAATGTGTGGGTTAGTTGATGTGTTTGCGACACGAACGGTTGTGCGAGGGCAATAAAGAATTATGAAGAGGTTGATGGGTAGGAAGATATTACTTACAGAATCATTATATCCAAGGCAGATATAACAATATACGTCAACACCGCGTTCACACGCCTCCACAATGGCGGGAACTAGGGGCTCGGCATTTAACGTTGGTGATTGGATAAAGACACTCTTCTGCGCGTTCCTTAGAGCTGACAGCCACGCCGCGTTCTGCGGGTTCGACACAGAGGCGTGGTTTGGCGGACCGTAGGGCGGTCGGCACACAAGAGCCATGGGGAAAGGTTCATGCGCCGGGTGAGGCACATAAGGAGTCATCTCGTCTCGCGGGTCGCAATCGGGCGCGTTTCCCTCAAACCCTTCGTTTACCGTGTGGTTGAGATGTCGCGTTACTGCCCGCATGTGCGCATCGCCTGGTTGCGAGCTTATGGAGGCTTGCACACGCTGAATCTCGTCTGCGAGATTGATGTCGTAATGAGGATCATCTGCAGTGTGTTCCGGGAGCATTTCCGGTGATATGGCAGAATTACTTGTCTCAGGATCGTGTTCTGCTCCAATAATCCTGTCTTGGGGGCCATTGGATCCTTCTATATCACCGTCCAAGGAAGATGAACCAGCCGTGCCGTTGATATTGTTTACCACTTCCCACGGCTGCTTCCGCTCAAGGACTTCTAAACCTTCACCATTTCTCTTGAGCAGCTTGTCTGGGTCAACAACCGCGGCGTGGCCTTTGATGGCGCCTTCCGCACTAAAAGTGGCTGCATGGCTAGCATCGAAGCTCCCACTTCCGCTCATAGCTGCGGGAGAATTGAGATTTGGTAGCGGCGGTTCGAGCTTCTTATGCCAACTCAGAAGCGCCATATCGTACATAGAGTCGACGATTGGGCCCTCGAGCTGCACCATCATCTCCACATTATCGTTGTCTTGAATATTGTTGCTTTGCAAGACAGCGACTTTACGATCTATGATCATATACTTGGCATGGAAAGTGCCTAGGAGTGGGCGGTGGTAGTTGATGACCTGTAGATCGATGTTGGGGATCTCATGCGGAGCTGGTAGTGCAACAGCTTTGCCGGTATACTCGCTCTCAGGGACCGTGTAATGTGGCTCCAAGAGTTGTTTTGGGCTTCCGCGGTCGTAGATGATCTTCATGACGATCTTGGCCCCCCGTTCGCCTGCGCGGTGCGACAATTCCTTAATCGCATTCGTGATGTATTTGGAGGCCACGCCATTCTGCCAAAAATTGGTTGCGAGAAACACTTCTTTTTCAGCGCGGACAATGAGGTTGGACATATGCCTTACGATATCAGGGACACTTCATTAAAGTCAGAATTCGTCCGCGAAAGATAAATTTGGCATTTCATATACTTACACAGAAGTGATAGTCAATGGCATGGTACCGCTGCTACCCATGAGTGATGGGCTTACCATACCATTTGCTAGGTCATCGTTAAGTGTGCAAAGAGCATCGTGGTACATCTTCAACGATATTAACTTGCTGCATTCTGGTATGATGGGACATTGTTAAACTGACTCTGATAAATAAATCACTAGGCTCTTGTGAGCCCCATTTCCCACAACTTCGAGTCCTCTCTATTTCTTGAAGGTCGAGAACACCTTTTCCAATATCATGGACGTCCCCTTTGGGACTCTTAGGGCTCTTAGGTCCATGGTCGTGATGTTCAGTCAACTTCTTCCACGCCTCGCCAGGGGATAAAGATGAATCCTGAGCTAGGATAGACGAGACGCTTTCTGATGAACGACATAATTCGTATACGTGCTCGCCGATCTTGTACGAAGATTCAGTCGGCACATTGGAATCTCGGAGCTCGGACATAATTGAACGTGCCAACCTGCTACCGGGAATAAGTTTGAGATGCGTAAATGTGACGAAAGACTAATAGAACAAAATCATCCGGGTTCGACGTATGTAACTTTCAAGCCAAAGTGATAATCTGGGAGAATTAGCATCTTCCAATGAATTTTCTGTGATTTAAGCCAGACAAGATGAGATATAAGTAGGTACGACAAATGCAAGTATGAGTGACATGATCCTTGGAGGTTAAAACAAGACTTTTACGACCTATGATGCCAAGACTTGGGAATAAGTCAGATAATTCAGATTTAGTGCGGCCAGAGCTGCCAGGGGTGATGTGGCTGTTGAAGAGGTGTAGCTAATAGCAGCTGCAGCCTGGGTAAGCTTTAGAAAAGAATGACGCAAGCTCGAGTCTCCCGAGTTATCCTTCCCGGATAATCGGCTTTGTGCTGAAAGCGGCTGAGATGAGGTAGGTGCCGATGCCCCCTTGCCTCGTGTAATTGTCCCATAGAAGTTCCCCCTGATGTATGTACGCAGTATAATAAGGAACAAGGAACAACCTCGGATCAAAGTGAATTCAATTCAATTCTACGTATTGATTCCGTAAATCGCTCTAAGCATCTGGTAGCCGTACACAAATAAGGCCTAATCTACTATTATCCCAATGCGCCCATCGAGTGTTCGAAAAATTCCAATAATTCCCATATGCTCCTGATAAGCAATACTAATTGTTGCATGGATATGTCTGAAGAAACAGGGTTGCTTTATAGCTCACCCATCTCGTTCTCGTTCTTCAGCCCCTCAAAATCAGTGAAGCCTAGCTCGTAGACGAGCGCAAGAGTCATGCGCGCATGCTGAAGCATGTGGTCGAATGAGAGGTATTTGATCAAATCGTCCGTGCTGTGAATGTGCTGGTCCGACTCGCCAAAGGTCGATTCTATCACGAAAGCGGAAGGGTAACCAGCCTTGGAGGCAGACGCATGATCGGAGCAAGCATAACCACACTTGGTCTCAACCCACGGGATTTCGCAGTACTCCTCGATGACCTTCTTAATGAAGGCCGTCAAGCTGGGGTCAACGAAGTCTGTGATCACACCAACACTCTCAGGCTTTCCTGCATCAAGCGTTCCTTGGACGTAGCCTGTCATGTCTTGCTGAAGCATGGCCTTGATATCACGGCCCTGCTTTTCGTATTCCGAAAAGATTGCCTGGCTACCAAGGAGGCCACCTTCCTCGGCGCTATACCAATGGAACTCGATTGTGTTCGACGCATTGCCCTTGATGACGCTCTCTGAGGATAGAAGGACGCGGAAGGCCTCGAGAATGGTGACAGTACCACTTCCATCATCGTCGGCACCGGGGGCCGGAAGAACCGACGGCAACCAAAGGTTGATGGAATCTTGGTGGGCACCGATGACGACAGTCGAGTTTGACTGACCAGGAATCGTTGCGATGACCGAGTTTTGACCCCACGAGTGCTTGAAGTGCTCAGCTTTAACTCCGTATTTATCAGAACCAGCCTCCTTAATTGTATCTTGTACCGTCTTCAGCAGCCACTCGGACGACTGGCGGCCGTAGTCCGATTTGTAGTATCGCGTGTGGAAGCTCGAAAACTTCTCGAGGTGTTCTTGTAACAGGTCCTTCGACAACGTCTTTAAGAGAGGATGGATTTCTGATTGGAGCTGGACTTTCTCGGGGAAAATCGGTGTCCATTTCGAAGTAGTACGTAGCGCACCAAGGTCGCCGTTTTCGGTGATGTCCATGAAGTTGAGCCCTCCCTGTGATGGTTGCATTAGTCATCGTGCTCGATGTGGGAGAGCGCATTAGAATCAGGTGTTGGGGTGATACATACACGGCGTAGCTCCCATTTCTCCTCTTCGGTTACCCATGCCGTCTTACCCGGAGACAGCTCGATGAGGTACCGTTCTGGAGCTTCTACTTTCTCTAGAAGCGCATCCGTGTAAGGGAGGATGCGGTTGACTACTTCGTTTGCCTCGATGAAGCGAGCGCTAGCTGCCGCCGGCAGGAGGAACGAGATAAGAGACGCCTTCATGATGGCGAATCAGCACTTTGACGATTAGAAGGGACACCAAGATTGATGGATGAATGCTGAGATAAAACAGTTATTAATAAAACTCGAGATGGAAAAGGGATTGATGAAAGCTCCAGGAGTTGTTCCTGAATGTCTTGCTGGTCATGCGGGAGTTGGACCAGCAACAATTGACAGGTGACCAATCTCCAATCTGGAAGCTGATGCACTTTAAGTAACACTCCTGGCTATCCTTGTCAGCACAGGCCATCGCTAGGCACCATTGTGCTTATCAGTGGCTGAAGTGACGTAATTTAATATTCGAGCTATACGTGTACCGAGGTACTTACAGCTTCTGTATTATATAAGCAGCTATGCTATTGACTTACATAATCATTCTCCTGTGCTACCTCTGCTATCTTGATAGCGCTGACTGTTAGGCAGCCAAATGTTTCGGCTACAAATTTAATCGAAATACTCACAAATCACGCAGCAAGACATCTTAACATCATTATTTGTGGTATTAAACGTTCGGTTGCCGAGGCCTGTTATGCTATACACATGAGTATGTAACTTGTCGTTGACTTATCGACCTGGCGTTTCATGTAAACCTCGTTTCTCCATCATCAGCATGCCCTCTCTAGGTTATCTCAGCAATCCTGGCGGCTGTGTTTATATCGATCTCATTAATAGGGCAAAAGAATAGAAAAAGGTGTCGTCCACAAATGGAAGGGTATCAAAAACCCGCAATACGATGCGAAGAGAAGACCGTAGTCTCAAATGCCGGATGATGCCATGGATAGGGGAAACGAAAACGCCATCTCTGCAAATGTCTAAATGCCTTCACGTAAACCAGACAACCTGTGCTCGGCATCCTTCCCCTCCTAAAACGCCATAATACGCCAAAATCAGACAACGACAATTATCAACGACACCTTACTCGACACTCTCGGACTTGATAGGATGAAATAGCATTCCCCTGAGACACATGCGGTCTGATTTGGACTGCTCGGTTTTCTTGCCGCCCTCGCCATTCTCCTTAGCTCCCAGCCACCGTCGCCAGAGTGCGCCGCTAAAACCTGCGTTGTAGTAGAAACTACCGCCTTGCATATTGTGTTCGCCCCAACCGAATGGGCTCTCGTGCGGTGCAGACGGGTAGTTGAAGGTCTTGTCCATGATGTCTAACGGCCATTTTCGGTCGAAGTAGACTGGATGTGGAGCATAGACGGCTTTGTATCCGTGGTGAAGCGCAACAGACGGCGGCCACATCTCTGGAAACATAGTGTGGTGCAGCCGATATGTTTCTTCATGCATGGTGTTGAGCAATTCTCTGGAGAGTCGCGCAACTGTGATGATTGCTACACGGCGAGGTGGCGTTTCAACAGACGTATTGTAACCGGATACATCGTTGCGGAACACCCAATTTGTCTTTGCCGGGTCAAACAGCGGATCGAACACAATCAGGTCCGCATCTTCACCAACACCCCATTTGTAATCATCTTCCTCGAACTTCGTCGGCGGCGTATTCTTTTCGGGAGACGGGAGTTTTTCATAACCACCAGTCGGGAATTCCACCGGTCCCCAAACTGGCTGCTCGTTTCTTTCCGCAGTCTCTCGTTCGACGAGCTCGGAGAACTTGGACCAAGGACCATGAGCACCGGGTATCCAGAATCGCGAGCTCCTCTCCCACAACAGCTTTCGCGGCTGCTCAGCCGCCCAGTTAGAAACACCATTGTGGAACTCGTAATAATGGCCGGTGTATCTTAAATCCATCTCCCAGTTCCAAAAGAAATCATATTCCTGGTGTTGCTGAGCGAACCACTGTAAGGCAAAGTGAGCACTTCTATATACGCCGTGGATGTCACCCTTCGAATGATTCTCGACATTGTCTTCCGGACGGAATGGACCAGGATAGTAAGTCCGCATCAACTGTTCCGACCACAATGTTGTAATATCCCAGAACTCCTCCGGTACATTTGCCCTAAGTGTCTGGTTATAAAGCTCCTCGGACGCCCAAATCGGCAACGAATCGTCCTTGACGTGAACTAGGAGATGCACGTCATACTCCCCACCAGATTTCAGAGACAATTCGTTAATCATGGCTCGCAGCGACAAAAGTTGGATGTCGGTGTACTGGTATCCCGTCCACGTGCGCAATACATAGGCTGATCTCTTGACCTTCTTTTTCAACAGCGTCCCATCAGCATTTACTGAGTCAGGGCTGAACCGTTCCTGATTCTTCTTGAAACACCTCTTTTGCGCCTCGCCCCAATTTACACCGCGGTAGTCGATCTTGGTGAACATCTCTTGGACCTTTTCGGCTCCTGCATGCGCTGATTTGTTTGCAAGTCCAAGTCCTCCTTCGGCAGGATTGTAACTGTAACCATATGGTCCAAACCGACCAAACCGCTCCCAACACCTGTCCGGCGCAATTTGAAGGCTCTCATACGATCCCCAGTATGGGGCTGTCATGCCGGCAGGGATTCCAGGATAGGCAAAAACATCGGGGGCCTCATACACTTCATTCTCATCTAAATAGCATCTTTTAGGAGATTGGTGAACATCGAGATACTCTTCAGACTCAAAAGGATAAGGGTTAACAACAACAGGGTCGAGAGGCGGAGTCTTGTTGATCTTGATCTTTGTCTTTGGTGCTGCTTGCTGCTCAGGAACCCAGTCTGTGTAATTCACAAGGGTGCGAACGCCATTGTAGAAACCATTCAACCTATACACCACATGTTAGACATTGCCGTCACAAGTTTTATTTCTTGAGGCATGATGTTATCTTACCGGTCATATGCTTCCCAATGATAAGGAATTCTCTCATCAGCCTTATCCTTCTCTGCATAGTAGCGACGCGCCCGAAAACTTCCTCCTGCGATTAAAACGAATGCGAGGAAAACAGTGAGTGTGATGATAACCAATCTCTTCGGTGATGTACGAAATATTAATCCGAATCGACGACGGGGTGCAGGTGTTCCTTTGCGTCGGGAATCTAATAATATAGGCGACTCGTCGAGAGGTGAACTGGCATGGCTCATGTCATGAGAAGGCAATTCCTCATACTTAACTTTGGATCCGGATCCTGGAAGACGAAAAGAAGGTAATAAAGACAAGGCATTTTTAATCGGACCCATCCCGACGGTAGGAAATGGGTGAGAAATGGGAGAAACGAGAGAAACGACCGAGACGCGTAGGTGAATTATCCTTCGCAAATTAATCCTGAAGCGATTCGCAAACCTAGTCTCCTCAGCATCCCGTTCGGTCCAACGGTAGGCAGAAAAAGAACCAGACGTCTTCTATGTAGGAGATAGTGAAAGATAATAAAAAGAATGAAAAGGAGTGATGAAAAGGAAGGCTAGGCCTGGAAAAAGCCAAGACAAACTTGAAGAAGTGGAGGGTCGTGATTTACCAGGACTCGAGATGAGTGCAAAACTGGATACTTGATAGGACTCCACCAAAAAGAATGACGGAATCTCCTATTTGGTGGGCTGGAACGAACTTCAAGGGAGGAACGGCCCTCTCGCAAATGATTGCACCCCACATGCCCACAACGCCGACATGGGAAGGTAGCCTTTACTACGTAGTGAGCTAGGGTCTTGGCCAATTCCTGCTACTTCCGTCCAATGCCCCGGTAAGGTACGCTGGTACATCATCCGTAATTACAGCATTTAAATCTTCGGAATATTTGACCTGATTCGTTCAAAGCATAACCGCTCTCTGGCCATTTAGTGTACATACAACCAAGATCCATAACTCTGAGAATTTTTGAGCGTTATTTGTGATCTGCTTCGCCTCCTTTTAGTACAGATTATCTACATATAGCTGTGTTGTCTACGATTGGTCCGACGTATAGAGATGTGGTTGGATACCCACGAGTTGGACGGCCATCAGGTGCACGATAGCTGCAGAATCCCTGCAGGTGTTCTGCTCTTACACTAGGGCGAATACATACATTACATATGCAGCCCCAGGAGATACTGTACTATGTAGTATGTAAGACGGGAGGAGCATACCAACCATAACGTATCGCGTCCCGCATATCCAACATTACATGAACTTTACGTACCTAACGGCAGGTGAGTTACATCAGGTTTGTAGGCTTCGTCATCCACGGTAAATCACTAACATGCAAGTATTCTTCGACGGCTCCCCCAAGCATAAATTGAACTATTACGTCTTTTGATGCATTGAAAACTTGATTCAAAAGTTTAGCGGTTCTTGGTCAGATGATAGATAAGCGAGACAATACCTGTATTATAGCTGCTGTCGCATGAGGCTCTGCAGCGGAAAAAGCCACCCCCACACGCGATGGTTGAAATAAGACAATCAGGCGTTGGGGAGCCCTTCCTGTTAGATTTCTATATACTATGTAGACAATTGCATAATTTACAGGTTAATTACACAGAGACATCTAGTGCACATGCTCTGATTCAGCTGACTTCGCAGACCAGCTGATGGAAATATAGTTATTATCGTCATCACGGCAAGTAAATGCAAGATGCAAGTCACGATAAGAGGTGAAAAAGTGATGAAGGATTAAGCAGGGATGGACAGTGAATTCGGTCCAATCGAATTAAGCCCGGTCAAGATCCTACGCTAGAAATTATCCCGCAAGAACTGAACTCCTTATAATATGTACCTATTTTCCGCCGACCGATATTCTGTGCATTGTGCAACCCAGAGTGCAGACAAATCTACATATAACAACAGGCACAAATATATGTCCATACTTCGATCACTGTACCTTTGAATGAATCCGACTTTCTGGTTCTGTTTAAATGAAGGGTCAAAGTCTAGATTGCCCGAGTTTCTATTCTTAGCATTAGTATAATTGCAGCTCAAGACTAAAAAGAGAATGACAGTCGAGGCGGTATTATTCCTAACTCTACTAAGCTTAGAACGGTTCCTATGGATGTCGTGTCACCGAGACTTCGACATGGTTCTTCGGTGCAGCTTTTAGTTTAGGCGGGGATTTCGCCCGATTTGGCCGATCTTACGGGCTGTGATACCGCCAAATTGGGACAATCGACAGGTCGTGATTGCACAGCGCAATCAATGAATCCCGTGTAACCAACCCAAACTTGCGTGAGGCGTGTACCCAGGTATCTAAGGTATTTCCTAAGGCACTAGGCATATCTATGTGAGACTCGAGATCGCTAAGAACTCCTATATTGCAAAACTTAGTCACGCAAAGAATTGAGAACGCATCTACCGATCTTGATAGTATTTCCTCGTGGCATCTTGTGCTACATACCATGCGCGCAATGTCAGGGTATACCGTGCTATGCAAACCGCAAGCTTTGATAGGACCAAGAACGTGATCTGACCTGTGCCAATAATGTTGTTGGTGACGTAGTGAAAGATACACACCTATGTAATCTCCGTCGTATCAAGCCAGCCAACTACAAAGTCGTAGCCTTCCCAACCGCTCTATACGTGTATTTGTTGAACTCGCTCATCAAACCAAGAAAGCAAAACGCCGGTCATGCCAAAAAGTAGAGTAAATAAATACTTCGCGCTGCTTCACATGCTATCCTCCATCTGTCGACTCCTAGCTTTCACCCAGTCGTCTCTCTCTTTCTTCCCTCCTGATTGTTCCAGCCCCATACCGCGTTCAACCCATTCTTGACTTGACATCTCCGTTAATCTCGAAAGCGCTCGAGCAAACGCGAAACGTTCCTCGTCGCCGGAGAAGAGACTTGAGTTTTTTAGCTGGTCAATGTTGCTATTCATGTCCTCCAGCATATGCTGCATAGCATGGCTAGTAGATTCGTCGTCTTCGTCATCTACGGGCTTCCCATCCCTTTTCAAAGATTCCCGTAACTCTGATGGGGAGATGAACAGCTCCGTTAGGGGAACGGCTGTTGTAAGAACGAGCTTGGCACGTGACTCATAGACAGCATCTATGAAGGTGATAAATCGTCTCGCAAGATCACGTTCTCGGAAGGTCATGCCAGGAACATCGGATATTATAAACGCATCGTAACAGCGCATCAGTTCGAGGTAGTCGGCAGCTCCCGTCGCCTGACCGATCAACTCCTGGAAAGTGAACCAGGCGCAGCGGCCACTGACTCTCGGCACGTGGATGTCGCGACCCCATACCTTCTGCGTTTCCGGCCGAGGCTCCGGGTTATCTGGGTCACCTAGAAAACGGAGCCACTTGTCTATGTGCGAGGCCGCATGGCTGTCAAGCGGTGTATGGTAGACCCCTGACGGCGGTCTCTGGATTTTGCGGTAATCAGTTGGTGAGTCAAGATTGATGACATGCAGCCGCGATTTGAGAAGATGGATGGCCGGGATGAAAGACTCGCGCTGTATTCCGTTCTTGTAGAGCTCGTCTGGGTGCCGGTTCGAGGTCGTGACGAGAACAACCCCGTGAGACATCAGAGATTCTAAAAGTCTTCGCAGAATCATCGCATCAGCTACGTCGGTGCACTGAAACTCGTCAAAACACAGTACATTTCCCTGCTCTGCGATATCCGCCGCTACGAATGGGACGGCATCTATATCGATTCCATGCTCCATCTTCATCCGATGCAGCCTCTTGTGCACATCCTGCATGAAATTGTGGAAATGTATCCTCGTCTTTGACCTGACGGAACTTGGCAACGTATCGTAGAACAGATCCATCAGCATGGTCTTCCCGCTCCCCACGTCACCATACAAATACAAGCCCCGTGGTAGGTTAGCTGGAATCTCCTGTAAAGCCCTATTGCCTGGTTTCGACCCAAACCAAGAGAACAGTGACTTGGTGGGCTTTAAGGTTTCGAGGCTCGGGTGAACGACCGGCGGTGCTCGATAGTGGACTAGGTCTTCGTGCAGATTTTGCAAGCTCTGTATTATCCCGCGCTGGTGCTGATCCTCTCGAAGGCGCCCTTCCCTGACTCGCCGGTCATATTCTTGTATCGGACCATGGTCGTTGTCTGCCTCGCAAGGTGATTAGAGAGGTTGCTACACAAGCGACATATCAGAACCCCTACCTTTCTTTACATCGCTTGTCGCGACAGTTGCTAGCTGTCTAAACCTGCCTGCTGAGAAGGTAGGTCGTCCTGGGACAACAGAAGGTCTACGATCTGCTATTGGGGATCTGGTAATATTCCGTTGCCTCTTAGCAGTCCTTTCCAATAGTAGACATTGTGTGCATATGTGGTGCCTCCTCTCAAGTCCCACGATAGTTCGGGCGGAGGTAGGTCGCACAGGAGGGGCGTGAGGAAAATAACGGCGCATTCTCGCTAATCTGTCCCTCTCATGACAATATATCAAGATATTCTTTATACATCATATGCCAACAATGTATATACAAGGGCTCTTAAAGATCAAGAGAGCATGAGTGACATGACCGCGCTCAGGATTATACGAATATCATCACAGAATAGTAGCAATTGCTTCTTGTTTCTATTTAGTAAGATGCAAAGAGTCCAATGACTTATTTGCACATGCGCCAATCGCCAATGGCGTCAGGGATTGGCGGCAATTACCGGAGTAATCTCGCCTTTAGGAGGACGGATTTATTCCTGTACCCAAGATATTATGTAGCTAAAGCGTATAGCTTTGATTTAATATGCAGTCGGATAGCGATTGACCGAGGCCAGTCTCTTACAAAAACGGGGCCGGTTAAGTGCGGTCTTTCTTCAATTCCCGTACAGCGCTACCAATATCTCTTCTTCCAAATGTCATAGTACATTAGGAAAAAATGCTTAAATTCTTCAAGTCATTCGAATAGCCGGTCATTATATACTACCTAGGTAGTTATTCAAAGTTTCCTACGATTAGTACGACATGGTTCTGCCATAGGATTTCATCTAAGAACCATTGTTATGTGCTAAGTGCGCTGCTTACCTACTTGATTACCTACATAACTGGCCTTAGTCGGAGCATATATTTATTTGTGCACCCAGTTCTCAAACTTACAACCCACTTATCAGGTCTATGACTACCTAAGTTCTCAATCAAATTATTGTGGTAATTTCTATGTGGATCACATGCTAGATTCTCCAGGTGAGTATGAAGATAATGGTCACGTTCATAGCAAGATAACTTGAGCACTGACATAATGAGGCGCTTAAAATTTGAAGGTGGGGTGAATACGCTTGGTTTGAAACTGCTACCAACACACGGATTCACCTAACCACGTGTTAACGGCTGCTAAAGAATACTACGTAAGGAACAAGATTCAATTATTATTAGTCAGGAACGCAACGTTCACTGCTGCAAAACTACCTAGATAACAAGCATTAGCTGACCACTTAGATTGGGGATAGTAAACATTACGCGGCTGTTGCTACAAATACTTCTATCCTCCTCGCATTGGTCATCAGCGCAAGCGTGAGCGTGAAGAGAGCCGAAAAGACGATGACAATACCCACATTCGATTCCGCAACATACAATATAACAATCAACAATAGAGGCAGTACAGCTAGAACAATAGTCGTAGTTCTGCTAATGACGAAACTGACTGATGACACTTAATAGATCAATTCCGTCTCCTACGTCAGTGATGTCGGTTGTCTTGTTTGTACGCCGACTATTACCAAGTCATAATGATCGGCGGATCGGGTGTTTGTCTTGCCCGAAACTGAACGCCTAAGACACGATGAAATATCAGAAAAGTTGTATCTGAAACCCTTTATATCGTCGTCCTTGGCTTTTTACTTCCACGCCTTGTAGTCTGGCCCCTTTATTGGAAACATCCCATAGACAATCTCTCAAACCAACTATGTAGAAACTCGAGGTCACATTAATTCGGACTATCACAGTAAAGCCTCATCTAGCTTATAATGCGACGGTATGACAGACCAGGCTAAGAGCAAGGTCAATGATCTCACACGTTATTAGTTTATTCACCTGTGAACATAAAATACTGCTCAGGTCCTGGTAGTTATATCAACCCCAAACCCGTAAAGGAGAACCCCCTCAAAATACCTAGAAGATGACGGTCAGTAATTGTCAAATGGAGACACTGGATACAGCAGCAAGTTGAGGACGAAACTAAAGTTCGCCATAGCCGCAAGATGTATAACGTTAGACGGAAGTGTTAAAACCGAGCGGGAAGAGTTGCTTGTGAGGTTCAGAATTTAAAGCTATCTCATCTTCTCTATGCTCTCGATTCCGTCAGGAGAGGCAGCATCTTAGAGGTGTGACCCGTTGTTGTTGACGACTGTGTCACAGAGCGAGTGGGAGTAGCAGGTAGCTCGCCGTAGGCTCGCCAGTATGGTAGTAATCGACCTTGATTAACGCCTGGCCCTTTCCTGGAACCTTTTGATGCCTCCAGCCCCTTATATACGTTCTCAACGTTCCACAGAATGTAGCTAGGGTGCAGCAATCCCGGTCCTTGATATCAGTCCCCGACTTAGCACAATCATAAGGATTGACAACAATAGTCACCCAATGCAATCCAGTCCGCAGCATCGTCTTCTGGGACTCTACGAAAGGAAAAGAATCCGTTCTCGACATATGAGTATTCCATAGGTATCGTGGATATCTACCTAGGGACCTAGAGTAAGAAGATATACCCAGCTTTTATCTCCGCTCCTTTCTTTTTAGGTTTAGATGGAGATTTTGGAAATATCCATTCGAAAATACACACTTAATGATTCCAACATTATAATGTAGGCAAATGAGTTTAGGTTAAACACCATGTATTCAGAAATAGATTATACATTTATGGTGAATGTCATAACATAGATGGAGTTATCAAGCATATTGAAGGTTTCTATTCAAGGGTTCCGCCACTATCGAATTTACTCTCAATCAAACCAAATCAAAGTACATATGTATGCTCAGAATGAATCTGTACGTGAGCCACGTTGGATTCATAAGTTTTATCTCTTGAATTATCTTTGAGTGAAAGTCTATACGTGTTTCCCGTACTGTTATTAATAGTGAGCTCTCAACACACCATGCCACAACGATGATTTGCTAGATTATTCGAGCTAACTAGAGATGAATTACTTACCTACATATGTTCGACCTTATCCAATATCTTTCCATGCATAGCCAACCTATTGTTGTCACCCCTACCTTCAGGCCTCATACCGTGGACTGGCTTTTGCATAGGTATCCTTTTACTTAACTCACCTACTATTGCAAATTCTTCTGAATACATCTCGTTTGAACTAATTGTCATTCTTATCCAGTAATTATCTAAAAATGTTTATTGTTACCTATATTTCAAGTAAAATGTATTGGTAGGGCTTCGTGGACTGAAGTTGGTTAGGGGATAGGAGCGGATGACATATTAATGACTAGGGCCGTTTATAGAGACAATATCTAGCCGTAATAGTGACCACAGTAGTTCACGGATTAAGTTGGTAATTGATATGTGAACAGAGGTACCTATCATACAAAGTTAGACAATCAAAGCCTTAGACACACTTGAAATTCACCTTCTTGGTGTATCTATTTCTCTGAACGATATTGCACATAATTTTCAGAGTAGTATCGAACCCCTTTTTATAACTTCCTTCCAGGTTTTATAGACTGGCATACGCCATGAGGAATGAAGAGGTACGTAGCCTTGTGATGCAATACCTCATCCGAAGTCACGATGAATCTTTGAAACCGTTAATCAACGAAACTATCCAGAAACATTCATATCATAACTAAATCAATATCTTCTAAGATTCATAGGTTTAATAGCTATGATTCACGGCATCGACTTCGTACATCTAATTGTCTTCTAATGTTGTGACCAAGTGAATCAAACAGCCGTGTAACTGTCCACAACACGTGGGTATAACTGTGTTTGCTTGCAAGTCAGAAACGAGCGTCGCAATGTCATAAAAGAGGAATAATTCTTAAATAACTCTTCTCGATGGAGTATTCTTGAACTTCCGGATTATCATCCAGCACCAGCGACTATTAGTATGCGCCTCCAGAGCAACTAGTAATAATTGTATCATCATCGCTCGCCATTCACGATGGATCCTCTACACCACCGAACATCAAATAAGGACCACCGGGGATGTTGTTATGACCTGAAGTCAAGGGACGGCTGGTTCAAAGGCCCTAGAAACACGGCATGGACCATCGACTCGACCGTCAATGGTAAAAGCAACCCATCAGGTTACGATAGCAATACTCTCATCACCATTCTCCGTTGGTCTCAATTTTTCACCAGCGGTATGACATTAATACTTTACGTATTCACATTGTCGGCCCCTAAGTTATGGCTTACACTTCTAGCGAGTGTCGTGGGCTTCCTCTCCTGCTTGTTCAGCATATTCGCACTCTATCTCAGACATCGCTGGGCCATATGGCTGGCTATCCCGGAGATCCTGATCACTATAGCTTGGATCGTATTACTCACCGCAAGCTCTCTCTCCTGGCCGCCAGATTCAAAGGCGAAGACTTTCCAATTGGGAATGATAGCGATCGAAGCCTCGATGGTCCTTTGGATACAGACATTCCTGCTGGCGATAACACCTGCCTTTCACAGGATGCTGCCCCGACTCTTCGGAGTAAAGAATAGCGGTGTCCTGGAATCGCACCGATCCATGAATGGATCTCAAGAGAGGGTAAGGTGGCCCATGACGCCAGAGAGCGGGAAGCTAACTGGCAACGAGCAGCCAGGTCTGGCCGCAGACGCGGCCCCAATGCCCGGGAATTACAACATGTATCCCCCTGCAACACCATCTATCGTATGTCCGCAGCCGACTCGTAGAGGGCCTGCACCATCCGACATTGAACTGCAGGACTACCTCGTAGCTCAGGGGGCGGGAACCCCAACACCCACATCTCGAACGCTTACGACTCCGCATAGGTCGGCTGCGCATTCAACGCCGTACGCCGGATCAATAGAGACGACGGGCGGACACCTTGGAAGAACTCGGTCAACCGCTGGTGGACTTCCGCCATTAGAAATTTCGAGAGGTGTTAGTCCTGCATCCGTGGACTATGTTGGCCCGATAGAGCCTGTCAGTCCTTTGTCGAATATTGACCCATGGTCAACATCGTCTGTCAGGGGAGGCGATGCCCGAAGGGGTTTCTAGAGATAATTAAGAAAAAAAACGATGCAGTGTATGCGCAACGAACATCATTTCTGCCCTTGTTTATCGAGACGACATATTAGGTTACTTAAAGGATTTATTGTCAGTTATCACTTTTCGTTTACCCACTCGAGGGCGGAGTTCTGTCCTATTCCGACGTCGCCAGTACGAGTGGGATCTGGGGTCATGTTTCTGGGGATTTTCTATGTCAGGCAGTCAGGTAATGGTCATTTTGGGTCTCGAGGAGCTGCGTTTCTTCGACTGGCCTTGGCAATTTCGTTCTGGTACTAAGGAAGTTGACGAGAACAGTAGCGTTACGCGATGTACATATAGTTCATGTAGGCTTAACTCACCTAGGCATAGATGGGGAGGATGGTGACAGGTTACTACATTGTCTCAGCGTATCATTATACCCCAATAGACAAACGAATAAATAGGAGTCAGGCCGTCGCGACGATCAGAAGGCAATTAATAGATATTTCTAATTGATTCTGCCACGGTCCCCTTTTGGCTAGGTTATCGTTAATAAGATAACGGGCGAGAATGAATTAGTGAATTAGTGAATTAGTAAATGAACGAGCGGTATGAAGGGGCATCAACGCCACAGCGGAAATCGTCGAGTCCCATGTCGCCGCGCTTACATTGATTTTTCGAATGGATTCTTTATATCCGCAAAACATACGAGAATGTCAGAAATGACGTGTTGTCGATTACCCAATAAGAGAGGATCGTGGCTTTTCTCGCAGGGGCAGTCCCATTCGAAAGGGGACGGCTCTCGGATGCGGAAGAGGACCGGAAATAGTATCTGCAACAGCTGCATCAAGTGAGCAATCGGGAAAGCTGGTCGGCGAAAGGGGTTTGCTGCAACGATACCACAGAGTACATATGATACATAGGTATGCTACATATGACATGCCTAAGCAACGATCAACATCGAAGAAATTGATTGCGTGGGCTGCGAATCAACTGAATCGACTCGATCGACTGGATTGACTCGATGCATTTGTTAGCAAGGGTTAGCGAACCGGTGTGATGGATCATAGAGACGCTAACGGATGGCATCTGCAGGTTCATATGGTTCTTATCTTGATCAACTTTGAGCTACTAAGGTACCTACTTACATAGCCATCTTAGCAATCTTAGAGAGCCACCAAGACGCGCCAAAGGGACACACCAAGGGGCCACACCAAGGGGCCGCCTGGGCACCGAAGAGCCACCACGGTGGCACTGCTACCTTGCCTGCCCTTCGTACCCTCCCTCTTTAAAAGATACATGCCGACGCAGTAAAAAAAAAAAAAGAGAAAAAAAGATGATAGATCTTATCGGAAACTGGCTCATGCCGCCACTACGCCCATGCAAATGTCTCATGATAAACCATGATACCCCAGCGGACTGGTTGAGTTGTCTGCCAACCAATTCGACGCCCTGGACGCCCTCCTTCATAAACCCCCCGTCGGAACCGCAAAGCGCATCCACACCCAAAACTAGAAGTTTTCCCTTTTCTCCTCGTCGCCTAGAATTGATGAAATACATACATACATGTGGCTCTTCGAGTAGACTTGTCATTACCCCGCTCTCCCAGCTGAATTAAGAAGGGATAGGTAGTCGAGTCCGCATGATCCGGTCAATCGGATGTGCTCACTCCCTCCCTTGACAATCTCCACTGCCCATCCACTGCCATCCGCTGCCATCCATTGCCAATCCGCTGCCAACTCTTTACCAAAAAGGCCACACGCGGCTTTACTATACCCTATTTCAACCTTGACTCAAAGATTCAATTACCTAACCACCTAACGGGCCCTTTTATTATAGAGATCAACTTGGGTTAGGTCCAAATTCGCCATGACGATGTCTGAGGGAGACGGCCACAATGGGCTAAATGGGCTAAATGGGCTGAATGGGCTGAATGGGTCCCAGAGATTGTCCACTCAGCCGTCCGCGCCTAGGAAGAAATTTGCGATTCCTCCCGTCAAAAACGCCTGTCTATCTTGGTACGTCGCAACGCCAAAGATTGCGTGCGCCTTTTTGCGCCTTTTTGCGCCTCCACCCCCTAGACTACCCAGACTACCAACCTACCCTATCGAGATGGCATCCGCTAACTCCTTATTGAAGCCGCGCATCGAGGACGAGATGTAATGGCGAGAACCCATGCGCAAGTGTACGCAAAAACTCTGATGCTATTTCCTAGTTCGTATCTCCTTAGCGTCTAAAAAGAAAAGAACTAAGAAGGGGAAAAGTAAAAAAAAAATAAAGGAGAGACATGGAAGAATGGAGTGAGACTTTCTAACTAGTGCCATCTTTCTAGTGCCTGACAAAGGATCGCGAATGCGTGTATAAACCCAGTAGACGAGGAGGGCCTCGCATTCGCAAGAAGGCCCGGCCGATGTCAGATTATCAAGACCTGGCCATATCGCTTCCTACTCAACAAGAAGAAATCCCACAGGACAGTAAGTTGCCGATAAGTCACCGTCCGAAGAAGAGGCCTGCTCGATGCTAATTCAGGGGTAGCGCTTCTTATCGAAAACTACATAGAGCCCGGCGCAGGTCTTAAGCCCCTGGCTGATATCTGGAGGGACAGCGATGCTATTTATGACAATTTATTTCAAGATATTTTGGCAGATGCCACCACCCCCAATGTCCATGTCCCGATGGTCAGGACCTACGGAGGGAATGACCGGGCTATGTAAGATGTTTTGGTAACTTTTCTATGTCCCAACTGACCAGTCCTTATTAGATTGAATGCGTATTATATATGGATCCATCCTTACTTCCCTATTCTACCGCCGCCAGAAACGCCGCCGGTACTTGATGAAGTCTTGCCTCTCTACGAAAATGAGAGAGCCAAGTTTGAAGAGCCGACTTCAGCTATCGCTCTGGCCATCTCCGCCATCCTGGCCCTCATACCATGTCCCCAGGATCCCAACCCAATGGACCCAGAGTCAATCCGCTGGAGACGGGCGTACTCGCAATTCTTCGCTAAGGCAGCACTAGAGAGCATCGAAGCTGAGACGGAAAGACCTGAATCGTCCATTGAACCGCCAAAAGCTCTAGATGACTCCGATGATGAGATTTTCCGGGAGAAGTTCCACTCACAAGTCCCTTTAGAGCTAGAAAGCGTTATCGCCCTCGATCTTCTCAGCGTCTACGAATATGCGCAGCGTGGGAACTTGAAGAAGATGCGGGCCAGGGTTGGAGCTGCTTTGATGTCCGCTATGTCCTTAAACCTCCACACTCGTAGTGACGTTGAAGATGAATATTCCGAAGCGCGACGTCGGACGTGGTGGATGACATATATCTGCGTCTGTCAGGGGTCAATTGTTAGCAATACAGTACGTCCCATTATCGAAAGGAGTGATCCGAACCTTCGCTAATATTGGCTAGCCCCCGACGCTTGATGTCTTCTCATCTACCTTTAATGCTAAGTATCCGACCATCGCGGCCGACCCAGAGGTATTACTCCTGACTTTCATGTTCTACTTCTCATCTAATCATAGATAGGCATGGCCCTTATTTGTTCAAGCTCAGCAAGCCATTCTTGCGGCGACCCAATTCGTCATCGACTTCAACAAAGCTAGAAAGGAGCAAGCGGATATGACTCGTATATATAATAGAATGCGAGAACTAGAACGCGTGTTGGAACCTTTGATCACCAAATCCGAAACATGGCTATTAAATTGCCCACTAACGCAGCCAGTCGACAGGACGGAGTTAGTGCTATCTCAGTCGTTGCGGTGTATTTCGCGCATCAAGCTGAACAGGTATTGTCTCCAGTTGAGATTTTGACTTATCATAAGCTAATGTCCGCACGCAGTGCTCGAATCAAAGTCCACCGGTATTGCGCTTTCTTCGATCTCGCCGTGTTTTCAGGGAAACATTGTGATTTAAAGAGCACAAAAGAGAAGAATGGAGGCGACAGCCCGGAAAGCGTAACCCAACTCCAATCATGCTGCACTTCTAACATGGGAAATACGCCATCCATGGGCAGTACGCCGTCTTCACACTCGAGTCCGTCTGGAGGATCGGTGTCACCCACGCTCTCCAACCGATCTACACCTAACGTAGATTCCTGTGGCTTTGCGTATCAGCCGATGGCACCTGTTCAACCATTCCCATTCACCACCCATCACTCCTCGAAGATATGTCTGAAGTCCGCTTTAAATATAGCTCAGGCATTCGATTCCATGCCCTACCCGAATCCTACTGGCTTGCTTTGCGACGCGCCATGCTACCTAGGGCCATCTTCGACATTGATCACACCACGGACGATGCCGTCTTTCGCCTGTTGTGCGATGCAGTGCAGTTATGCGTTGCTTATGGTCAAGGATAGAACAGAGACGATGTACCCCAACGCTAATGGCGAAGCTGGGGCTCTCGTTGATAATCTCCGCGACCGTCTGCAACAAGGATTAGTATCCATTTTAGTAACACTTGAGAACTATGCGACGGCTTTCGAAGCCTTGGGTGGGATGAGAGGTAAATCAATACTCTACCCCTTTTGTTTGGAGATATAAATGAATAGTAGCTGACCCCTGATATAGACCAGATTCGAGATAAGGTTGATTTATCGCTAGGGTTCTGACATGGGCTGGATGATCTTTCGTTATGATGGAAAATACGGGTGTTCTGTGGGCTATGGAGGCATTCTAGGGCGCAATCGTTATATGTAGCTTCAGTGGCTTCTCCTCTCCTTGGACTAATGCGACGGGACTTCTCGATGATCGAGAGCGGACAGATTCAGTCATTATGTTTTGGAACATATGGCTAGGTATGATAACGTAAAGTAAATAATCTATTGAAGCTATGCCAATTAAGAACTGTTGAATAGCTCGGAGCCATGTATCGTGTTAAGGTGACATTGATTGTCATAGCTGGGCACTCACCTAGGCAGAATCAAACCAATCCATTATCTCCAATTCGTTACCAACAGGATCATGGGTATTTATGCATGCATAGTGGAAGGACCATTAGTGATTAGTCCACATGACTTGGTGATACTGCATTAACTTTACGGACTCTAGCCCACGACTACCGACTTGACTGGCCGAACCGATAGACCCACTTCTTCCGGGTCCGCTCCGGTGGTGGGTCCGGGCACTCGGCGGTCCTAAATTGGAAACTGGAAATACATAACAAGTCCTAGGATAAACCATTCTGTATGTACCTACCTAGATAAACACAACATCATACACAATTGGATTCGCCAAATTCACCTGGGCTGAGTTCGTACCAGGAATTAACAATGGCTAATCCTGGGTAAGTTGAAGATTACGCTGATAATATGATTACCCCTGAAAAGCTTTACAGACTCCCAACTACTATCCAGGATATATCAGTTGGGAATTCGCTCCTGCTTTATCCATCAGTGTTAAGAGGCTCACCATCGAAGTCTTAGTGTATAAGGGCGGAGATCACATAAGTTATCAATTATCGTCTCAATAGAAATAGGGGCAAAGATGGACAAAAGATCTAGAAACAAGGAATATAAGAAATTAAGTAGATAATATACCTTTCATGAAAGGGTGTTGGGAGAAACTTGGCCCATATCTCTTAGATTTACTGGCCTTCACGCATTGTGAAGGGGAGGAGGAAGAACTGAGGCCATACTTCACCGGCGGAGGGGAGGCCCCCCTATACAACGTACATGGCATCCTTATATTCTGAGACGCCGGCATAGTCGACAACTATAGTCTCTCGGCGACGACATCATCAGCGTAACGACCTGCTCCGCAATTCTGCCCTAATGACTGTGTTTACCACACTTCTACCACAATCAAAAATTCCTATTCTCTTTTCCTTTCCTTCTTCCTTTCACCTTCCACTTCACCTCTCTCACTTCACATCATCTTCCTCCCAACCATCCTCTTCTCTTACCAAAACACTCCGCACACACTTCCTTGAACACAAGCTCGCCTTTGGCACAAGCTTGTTTTCTTTCTTCTCAAGTTGCAACGCTTTTCTCGAACACTTTATTCAATCATGCCAATCTACGCTGAAAACATGGGTTCCTCTCCCAAGAGTACCAGCTCTGCCGAGACTGGCTCCGGCATCCGTGACTCGGCCACCGCAACTTCTGGCGGTGCCAACACCAACGCTCAGCGCAATGTCACCTCGGGTGGACGCACTAACCGCCAGCCTATCATCACCTCGATCAATGACAACGCCGACATCGAGACATCTGCTGCTTTGCTCGAAGCCGACGAGAATGCCGAGTCGTTTGATACTCCTGGCTCGAACTACGCCGACGCTCAAAGCGTCGTGACGCCCATTCGTCGCATCAGCAGTATCATCCACTCCGAGCCCATTGACATCCCGGCTCGTCGCAACGGTAACGGCCACGCCGCTACCTCGCCCCTCCGCGGCGCCCCCCGCGACGTATTCACTCCGGGCCGCCCTCCCAACACGGGTCCTCGCCACGTCGGTCCCGACCCTGCTCTCTTGACTACTCCCGTTGGAGCTGGTCGAGTGGTTAGCCCTACCTTCCGCCGCCTCATGTCGCCTCCCAACGTCATGGGCCGTAACCTGACCCCTCCCGCGGTCCGTCCTAGCGTCTCTTCACCCGCTGCTGCTGCAGCTCCCGTGGTGACTGCCGACCTGGCTATCCAGACCGATGAAGGCGAGGGTATCTTCACTATGGACGACGTCCCTGGTAGCCATGACCGCTCGAGCGTCTTATCCAACGGCGATCGCGTTCTACAGATCACTAGTCCCACTGATGGCGTCTTCTTTCCGGTCACTTTCCCCGATGGTACGCCTAGCTCTTCGCGCGCCCGTGGAAGTGGAAGCGGCACTGTCTGCGGACCTCGCGGTCCTCGTGGCACTCAGGACAATCGCAGCGGTCGTGACAACGGAACCGGCACCGTCTGCGGCCCTCGCGGCCCTCGCGGCCATCCTGACATGGGAACTGACACCACCCGCCGCGCCCGCAACACCCGCGACACCAACCTTCTGAGCAGCTCTGTGACCTCTCTGATGCCTGTCTCTTCTCACGGCGGCAGTCAGTCTTCGCACGACGGCGAGGACGTCGACCGAACCATCCGCGTTCGCGGCCCGCGCATCGTCAGCTGCGGACCTCCTGCCCACGTCGTTACGGCTATTCCGGTAAGTTGTTGAAGCCTTTTTTTATTTGAACGGGAGCTAATGTGAATATAAAAACAGTCCAGCTCGTCGCTGTCTACGGAGGCATCCGCGGACCTCGAGCACCAGCCGCTCCTCACCACGTCTTCGCGACGCCGCCGCTCCTACGGCGCTATTCCTGGTCGCGACAACGAGGGCGATGGCATGGGCCAGGACCAAGGTCAGCGAGATGGCGGTTTCTGGAGCCGCTTCACTCGTTCGGAGGTTGTCTTGTCCGCCATGTTCCTCTGCTCAGTCGCCTTCGGCTTCAGCTTCATGGTTCTGGTCATGGTTCATCTCTGGCGCTCCTCTTAAGGCAGACTACCTAGGCACGTGGAAAGGTAGTCGCATGTGAATTCATGCGCACGGAATGGAGATGAGACGAAGCAAGAGTGCGGTATGGCTATGGCTTTTAGGTAGTACCCACTGACGATATGTCACTCGGACCAAGTACGCATATATGGATGCGAATGCACTGTGGTCCCAATGAATAAATGCACCCCTTTCCCCCAACTTTGGCGAGGTAGTTCGTGACTTTCGTGTTCGTGACTGGCTTTACGTTAGGGTTGGCATTTTTACTATACGTATAGTAACTATACGTATAGTTGTATTGTACTATACCGTATTTTAACTTCATTATACGTATAGCGGAACAGATAAACGCATCGGCCCCGCTTATATAGGGGTTATCCGCTTATTACATACATTAAGATCCACTTGAAAGTACCTAGGTATCTCCCATTGCACTTATTTTCAATTGAACTGCTCCCGATCGCATTCAATCAATTCATTTTATTTACTCGAACAAGACTAACAATAAGCCTTATATAATAAGACTAATCATTTTCGCTTTTAAATCATTAGTCAAACTGTACAAAATGGGTTGTTTTGGTAGTAAAGCCCACTATACAACACTATACTGGTTACTATACGTGATTTATATGGTATAATTAGGTATAGTGTTGTATTGTGCAACTATACGGTATAGTAGTGCTACTATACCAAATATACCCATCACTACTTTACGTGACATTTGCATGATGCTATAAGACTACCATGGATATTTGTGGCTTACGAGTGTGTACCTAATTTTGTCCCGGTTCGGGCTGGCTGTATCGCTATATCCCGCCAAGCCGCTAGATATTACAGTGTCTCCGTTCACTGTATTTTGATTAATTATCCCGTGTTACATGCTGTATTCTCTTAAATTCATTAAAACAGTACATCATAATCCCCATCGGAGCCCCGAATGATAGGGTACCTTGTACCTAGCTAAACCCGCTAGCTGGGTACATCTCCTTAGGGGAATTAGGTCATCCATAAGCCACTGGCGTACATTTAATCATGTTTCCGACTTTAAAGAATTTCAGATACTGATACACTTTATTCTAACCATCCATTCACCTGGACCGAGACGTCCGCGAATCTACGCGTGAGACTTCGAATTGTAACCTAACCAATACTCCAGATTATCCTGTTACGCTAGAACCACCCCTTTCATTACTGACTTCCTCAAATAAAAGTTGGAGGCTTGTGCGGATCATAGGCTGTGTCCACTTGCGAACCGTACGCAGTATTGGCGTGGGGATCGTAAGCGGCGCTCGGGTTTCTACTATGACTGTCGTACTTCCTCTGCATAGACCCCATAGCGAAATCACTAGGGCGCTCATGTGAGAAATCATCTTCCACGGTTGCGATGAGGCCTCGTCTGTCATCCTCGGGGGAAGGGCCGCGGTGATGGATGATGGGCTTTTGTTTCTCGACCTCCATATACTTGTGCCGATTCCACGTTTTGACCCGTCTCAGGAGACCATGCTGTGGTTCCAGGCCGTCTAGAGCTCCGTCTTTGCTTTCGAAACCGCCTTGGCTTCGTTTATTGCGGGAATCTCGCAACTGAAAGTACATCAGGACAAGCGCAATCACGATTGCGAAGGCAGCTCCAAACCCGAGTCCAATCATTTTGGGACTGGTATCGGTATGGACTCCTGAGTCTGCGAATGCATCATTAAATGTGGCTTTCAGCTTGTTTGAACTTGTGGCCGAAACAATGGACGATGCAAGGAGGAAGATGAACGCCAAACCCGAGGTTAATAGGCCGAATATGACTGCCATAGGGGAGAAACATGATACAATGATAAAGAGGCACGTCAAGACCGTAAAGATAATGCCAATGATGTATCCAGCACCGAGGAAGGTCGACGTTTTCCCATATGACTGAAGTTCGTCAGCATACGCTGAGGAAGACGTCCCTTGGACTGAAACGCCGTCTAGATGGAGATCCGAGCTAGGATCGAATCTAAACCCGATCTTCGGTGTCTCGCAAGTAGTCGCGCCATCATCTTCAGAACAGGCCGTCAAGAGGTTAAGGCTATAGCTAGGCGCGAGACCTAACGATTTGGCGTCTCTATCCGAGCCAACCCAGTCTAGACCTCCTATTGCCGACAAGTCTTTCAAGAGCGCCGAGGCTCTCAGTTTTGACGGGACACTAAGGTCCTCGGTACTGATCTGGGCTAGTCAGCGTGAGCGCAAGTCCCATAGATAACGGACATACCGTCAAGTATTCTGCCAATACATGTCCACCTACCCCGGAAAGGACGACTACGAGGGTAAGGAGAAGAGATATAAGTGAAAATAAGAACGCAATGACTCCATAAGCCTTGGAAGGGTTTCTTTTCGACATCGTGCCGAGTCTTGACTTGCGAGTATAGTATGAGAAAATTAGGGAGTAGCTTTATGCTCTGAGGACGAGAGGATGAATTTATCATGTAAGTCACCTTAAACTTTTTATTTACTAACATCGCCGATATAATAAAGGGTTACCAGCTAGTTGGTCGGGCCCTACAAGACTTTCATACCATCCAACGCTTATAGATACAATCAGGGATTACTATTGGTCGCTTCGCTACAATGTCATGCACAGATCTATTTTATAATCGGATAGGTTGCATCCAGGCGGGTTGAGCTAGCCGGACCAATACCTTGAACAGCTAAGCGCTTATAGTGCGCTGCGCCGCGACCTTCTAGAATTCCGGAGGCCCTGAAGCAACCCCTGCCATCAACATCTTGATGAGATTTTATCACAACATTAACATGGTCATCTCAGATCGGGATTTGCTGGCTATTCTAACATCATCCCTCACTTGATATCGTTGGTGAGAACTTGCTGGCGCCACCATGGAAACTATCAGTTCCGTGCTGAATGACTTGGCCAAAAGAGTGGCGCAGCCAACCGGAAGCAGTGTAGCCGTTTACAATGCGCCTCGCTCCCCGCGCTTCGATAATACAATCGCAAAATATAGGGCATTCTCTGGATACCTCGTGCCGGCGCCGAGTGACAGTTCCACGGTCCAATGCTATCCGACGGATGGGCCCCGGCCATGTGCTGGTGTTCAACGGTCGGGCAGAACCTGGAGCAACCCAAGACCCTGTAGGGCTGATCTCATTTTAGAGATTGGACTATCCAGAAATAGATTGCAGTAGCTTCATCCAATCAACTTACACCATTTACGAGCCGGCTATACATTTCTTGTTTCTTGATATGTTGACGAACATAGTATAATCACTAGGCTTAGATTGCTATAACATGTAGCAGCTTCATTTTACCATCATGTCGGGATTGTATAAGACAGCATGCCCGCGCCATTGTTGAGCTCTCCTTTACACTACCAACCCAGTACCTTTAATCCTAACCTATTCTATCCTACTACTAATAAGATGTTGTCGTGGTTCGAGTCTTCGAGTATAGCCTTTGGGCTAGCAGCCTTTGCTACTCTTGCCAATGCTGCGAATTACGATGTCACAGTTGGTAAAGGGGGCCAACTGAAATTCGACCCAGAGACGTTAACAGCACAACCCGGCGATACAGTTACCTACAAGTTCTTCGCGAAGGTAAGGCTCACCACCTAATAAACCTCCAGGGTCATTCAGTTAACAGATACCGTTAGAACCATGCCGTTGCGCAATCTGCCTTTGCGACCCCATGCCAATTACAAGATAAGGGCATCTTCTCGGGCTTCACTCCCAACACCTCCCCTGACGTAGAGGCTCCGACGACCTTCACTATCACCGTCAACGATACAAAACCGTTATGGTTCTATTGGTGAGCTCAGTGTTCGTCCGACTACATAAGACCGATTACTAACCAAATTCTCTAGCCCTCAGACAAATGGGAACCACTGTCAAAGTGGAATGGTACACGCTATCAATGCGTAAGTCATACTTATATGGCTACGTCTTATGATTCTCATACTGACATTCTATCAGACCGGCTTCAGGAAACACATTCGACGCATACAAGGCCAACGCTCAAAAGGCTGCTACTCCGAGTACCCCCCCAGCAGGAACTCTACCCTCCGGTGGCCTTCGGAAATTGCATATTGATGTTGGCTTCGACGGAAACTTAGTGTTCAACCCCAACAATGTGACCGAATTAGTCGGAACGGTTCTCGAATTCGGGTACAACCCGCAAGTAAGTCATACCTAACACCAGCTCTTGCGACCAACCCACTGACTCGCGTCAGAATCACTCCATCGTGCAATCCTCCTTCGACAAACCTTGCCAGCCTCTCGACGGAGGCTTCGCAGCTCCGTTCGTCCCTACTATGCAGACCCCTTCGGGCGTGACCTTCGAAGTCATGGTCGAGAACACCAACCCGATCTGGTTCTACTGCGCGCAGACCACAAAGACCCACTGTCAAGCGGGCATGGTCGGGTCCATCAATGCCGCGGCGACTGGTAACAAGACCTTCGATGCCTTCGCAGCGCTGGCAGCCAAAGCGCCACCGAGCACGATCCCGCCGAACACGCCACTTGCCGGAACGCTGAAGGTAAACGGCACAATCATCTCTAACGTGGGCGGCAACGTGCTTAACACCACTGGCCTGGACCCCTCGCTAGTCGGCAACGTGCCACCGCCAGGAAGCAGCTACTCGCCGTACATTGGGGGCATGGCCGGCGGCGACCAGCCCGCCGATTACCAATGGGCGCCGTCCATCAGCGACGAAGCCGTCGAGTTCCTGCAAGCACTGCAGTACATCAGCAACGCGCTCGTCGCCTTCCTCTTCGACGGCTACGTCCGCCTAGCCGAAGGCGCGTGGACGGGCGTGTATCCGCAATCCATCGCGCAAACCCTCGGATCTCTCACGGCGCAAGCGCTGATCCACCGCAAGACGTACTCGGACTCGCTGCAGCACTACTCCAAGCCGACCGTCGGCGTGTGCCAGTATAACGTATCCGCCTCCGACGACGTGGACGCCTGGCTGCAGGACATCCAGACGATCATAACGCTCTCGATAAGCGCGAAAGTCGACGCCATGGCCCTGGCCGCGACGACGGACGATAGCTGGGTCGTCCCGGCGCTGGCGACGGAGCTCGGCGCCCAGGCGCGCATGTCCGCCGTGCTGAACATGATGCAGAGCCGCTACGCGGCCGCAGCGCCGCGCGAGGCGCTAATGCCGTACCAGTTGGCTTACTCCTACATCGCGAATAAGTACGTGACGAGTTGCGGCGACAACAGCATGTCCTTCGGGGGCAAAGTGTTTCCCTCGCTAGAAGTGGCGAATAAGACCGTCGAGCCAAGCAGCGGGCGCTTGCTCGCGATCAAGGTCGAGGTACCGAGCGGCAGTACTGGCGACCACTGGGTGGCGTGGATCGGGCCCTGGGGCGGCTTGCAGTACACGGCCGTCGCGGCGGACGGGACGGTCGCGGTCCCGGCGAGTTTGTCGGGGTACGTGTGGGCGGTGCTGACGACGGCGAAGGATCTCAAGGCTCGCGATATCGAGAGCAAGGCCGTTGCTGGGCCGGAGATGATATGGACTACGCAGCAGTGGGGCTCTTGATCGTGTTTTAATGATTGTTCTTGGTGATGTATAGCGGGGTTGTAGATATGAGATGGATTTGGTTACTTACTTGTACATGTTGCATTTTGCGGCGCGTCTGGATAGCATTAGAGGAGCATGGGTAGCGTTTATTGCGTTCTGATAATTTAGACGAATTTGTTATTTACTGCTTTAACTATATAAATTTGAACTTTAGTATATCATTGAAATTGATGTTAATCACCTTGAAACAATACCGACCAGAAAGCATAAGTTAACTCCCAGGAAACATCCACGCCTAAAGCCCTAGGACCGACCAGTCCCCTACCCCCTAGGACTCGGCGGCCGCGAGCCACCCGCGGGATCAGGCGCATACAAGTAATGCAGTCCATCATACGCATCCCTCCACGCCTCATCAACCCCTGTATTGCCCTCCGCCGTCGCGCCCACGTCCCTCGCGCCATACTCAAGCATGGGATAACACCAAACCAATCTAACCCCCTCAGCCTCCCCCGTAAACAGCACCGCGACGCCGGCAAACACGCCACGCTCGTCGAAAACGACCCTATGCTGGCCAGGGGGCCCGGTCACAGGCGAACCAGGCAGACCGGGCCACTCGCCCAGGGGCCCCGGGTCCAAGGGAAACAGGTATATCTCGCCGTCGACGCGGCCGAGGTCCACGCGCTGTGCGCGGTACTGTTCAAGCAGGATGGTGTGTGGGAATTCTACGCCGCTCCAGCGCGGACGGGCTTCGTTTGTGTGTTGCGAGAACCATACCCCGCGGTTGAAGGCCTGCCATATCGACGCGGCGTTGAAGACTGTGTAGAGGACGCGCGGGTCCGGACATATGTACCACTGCGATGGGGTGTTGGAGTTAGTAGGTGTAATTCTTAAGTAGCTATTAGATAGATAGGTAGGCAGATATAGGAATTTTCGGATAAGGGGCTTGAGTTGGAGAAGACGCGTACGGCCGCGATGCGGTTTTCGGGGTGGTTGTTATTCCAGTCGTCGATCTCGTCTCGCTTCTCCAGGAGCAGGGAGGAGATGTTGGTAGCTGGGCCAAGAGCTTCAGCGTGGGCGTTTTGCGGAATGACGTGTGCGTTGGTGATAGGTGAGGCTAGTAATATATGGGAGAAGAGCAAGGCGAAGATAGTGTAAGGCCTCATCTTGCTGGTTTCCTACAGGCTAGACTCCGAAGCTTGCGAATGTGCAGCTATGTACGCGTGTGATGTCCAGAGGAATTGTACTAGCCTAGACGTAGCTGTTTAACAAGAAATAGGATAGAAATAATTCTAACGTATCAAAGTATTATGGAACACCAGTGCTGGAAGGCGGAAGGTGCAAACAGTTTGCTGGCGCAAATTGTATCGTACCTCGTTACATAAGGCACATAAAGGGGAAGAACTATCGGATTGCTGTACCACCTTACCCTAGAATCCATGGTTATTTTATTAATATATCACGGCGGTGTAAGAACCCTAACTGTGATAGCTCTTGCTTGAGCTCAGTAAAGGTATAAAACTGTATGGGTATCAAGGTTAAAGGGGCCACGCCCCCCTAGGAATTAATCATCAACTCAATCGACGACAATAACATCGCGATCCTCCCCCTCTTCCTCGTCTTCCACTTTGATTACATCTCCAGCTCTGTTCCCCCGTGAGGGTACCGGTTTCGCCAAGACCACCGTCTCAATGAGAGCCGGGCTCATATCCTCTGGTCCCATAGGGAGGGCGTCGACATCAATTTCCATATTCAGCAGAGCTTTGATAATGACTTCACTTCCGGCCTTACTCATAACCTCGTTAGCCTCCTTGCAGAATTCCGAACAGACACACTCCGGACAGCCCGTCTGACAATGGCAGTGCTGGACTCTCTCCAGCGCTTGGACGAGGAGCAAGTCAATAAATTCGAACGCCTTGGTGCTGATACCGGTTCCATTCGCTCCCCCCTTCGCATCATAGAACGTCAGTCTAGCAGGTCTCTTCCTCGAGGTTTCCTTTCGTGCGAATTCCTTCAACCCAGACTTACATTCTGTCCGGACGTCGTCGGGCAGACTTATGACAAAATTAGGCATCATACTGATGATGGCGTGTTCTGCGGCGTGTATGGCGCCGGCCACGTGAAGACGGCGGTCGACGAGGATCTCGAGGGCCAGCTTCGGAACATCGAGCCACATGCCTTTGCTATGGCGGATAATTGGAGGGTTATCGACCTGAACGGCGTCGAGAATGCGACGTTTCTTGTCGACTTTAAAATAGCCGAACACGTTCTGGGTGATGCGTATCGAGCCGTGGAAGGCGCGTGAGAGGGAGCCTGGAATTTTACGGATGGCTTCCGTTTCCACCGGATCTACGTCGGTGAAGTCCCGTTGTTGCGTTGTCCATTCCACCATCACCTTCTCTACCTTCGCGATCTTCCTTTCGGGTTGGAAGTCGCGCACTAAATATGAGTTGCCCTGATGTAGAAAGATGGCACCATCATAGATGGTGAAGAAAGCCCTTGATGCTTCTAATTCTTCAAGAACGATGTTTTTCCCGTGGGATATGTCAACAATTGCGAAGTGATCGTCTTCTGTATCTCTAATCGCCACGAACTTGGACGGCATGGGTCTAAATCTGTCATGGCAATGGTAGTACCCCAGGTCATCCCTGATCAGACGCTCTTCTGCAATCTTTGAGAGGTCTTTGCCGAAATAAACAGCATCTTCAACAGGCTTGATGGGCATTTCGTATGCTGCACATTGAATATGACCTTCTAATACCAGCATGTTATTCAAGTCGACTTGAAGCTCGCAGTTAGGTTTGGTGAAAAGTTCGTCCGGGTTTTGCATATAATGCTGGTCGGTCGGAAAGCAATCTCCAACAAGCACAGATAGCGAGTCTTTATTCCTCCTGCCAGCTCTCCCGCTCTGCTGTCTCAAATTCGCAATGGTATACGGGAATCCCAGTGTGATGACACAATCCAGAGTACCAATATCAACACCCAGTTCCAAAGCAGTAGTCGCAATGATGCCCATTAGTTTGCCCTCGAACATTTCACTCTCGATTCTTCGACGGTCTTGCGCCGTATACCCCCCTCGGTACCCCATTACACGTGCCATGCATTCTGGACGACCTAACGACTCCAATTCGGATCTGGCTGCCGTAACAAGCTCCTCACACTGTTTCCTTACGCGACAGAACGCTATTACACGAACGCCACGGAGAATCAATTGACAGAATAATCGAGCGCATTCGGCTATAGCATTGCCGCGGCCGCTTGTCGGATCACTAGGATCTTTATACGGTGTATTCCAACACAAGAACTCCTTTCGACCGGACGGGGATCCATCAAAATCAACCAAATGCACATCGTCGATACCAAAAATTGTCTTGAAATGTTCTTGTGGGTTTGCCACGGTGGCAGAGCATGATATGAACCTGACCTTTCGGTTTCCCACTGCAGCACATATCCGTCGAAGCCGTCTCATGATAAATGCAACATGTGATCCCATCAAACCGTTATAATAGTGTAGTTCGTCAACTAGTCAAATATTAGTGAGCAAATGGGTATTTCTAAATAGAAGTCTACATACCGACAACATAGCGTAAGTTCTGGAGAAAACTCCGCCATCTATCCTCCTGGGGTAGTATCGTGAGGTGAAGCATATCAGGGTTTGTAAATATGACACGAGCCTCGTCGCGGATTTGGTTTCTTTCGTTCATAGGTGTATCACCATCAAACGTCTCGACGAGAACGTTTTCTAGCCCTGTAAAATACGCCAGCATATCCCTCAAGCTCTTCTTCTGATCTTGCGCTAGGGCCTTGGTTGGGAAAATATATATCGCTCGAGTATTAGGATTTTGCTCCAATGCATGTAAAACAGGTAGCTGATAAATCAGAGATTTGCCAGAGCTTGTGGAGGTCGAAACCACAACATGGTGACCGGCCTGGAGATTATTGATTGCTTCAGCCTGGTGGGCGTAGAATTGCGTAATTCCTTTCGCATTATACAGAGCATTTACCATGTCCTGGCTTAGGAGAAAATCGAGCTCGCCAAAAACAGGTTCTTGCGCTTCGAATACGCGATGACCATCTGGTACTATCTGATCCGTATACCATGGGTTACCTTTAAGTTCTTGGATGATTTCAGGGATGCTCTTCCTCTCCTCGGGTATTGACTTGGGTATAGTACTCGGCTCAGGCTTGGGAGTAGTAGTTGCTGATTCAGAAGGAATGGGAATGTATGGTGTAGCTTCTTGGCGAAGTATTATTTCCGGGTCTAGGTTTTCATCTACGCAGCGGTTTATAAAGGAGCTCACTGCATTCGTGAACTTCTGGTTACGCTTTTCAATCAACGTTGTCAATTGCTTCTGACTGTAAACAGGCATTTTCAAATCTTCGTCTCGAAGTCTCCTGTTGGGATTGCTAGGCTCGCCAGTTTTCTTGTTCTGAACTTGTCTTTTAAGGTCGCCGTCGACAAACTCGAAGTATAAAACCTCACTACCACCAAGAGGCAAGTCATCGGGATGGTGGCTACCGAGTTCATCCAAACCAGTGAAACCGCCAACAGAGGCGTCAGGAGCGGGACCCTGGACAGTAATATCTTTCGATCTACCAGACTTGAAAGTCGAGTCTCTTTCTGCTCCCTTGATGTCCGTCTGCAACATCAGCTCATCCACGTAACTGAAGTTGATGCCATCTGGTCGCAACGCCACGATAGCTGCGACATCTTCAATCGTTAGCTTGCGCTTCGTATTTGATTCGACGGCAGATCGGATAGTCTCAAATGTCGTGGCCAAATGCTTGCGCGTAGAGCAGAAAGTAAAGACTAAATTCAGAGCCCGATGAGTCTTGTCTAGATCCTTGAAGACTTGTGGCCATTCGATCTTACACTCAATTTCTGGATTCTTTCTTTTCTGGCGCTGGGTTGCCAAATGACTCCCCGATTTTGCAACTTTCAATCGGTCTGAGCTGTCCCCTAAATCTTCCGAGGGACCGTCCTCTTCAACGTCTTCAGCGTCTCCGACATTATGCCTCTTTCTTTTCCTATTGATGATTTTGTTCGAAACTGTAGCAGCCTTCATGGAGGACATCTTATTTATAATCAAGATACATTAGTACGAGGGTGCTGAACGGAAAGCACCATCATTATTAATAAAAGATCATGGATTTGCATTGACGTCGTAGACTCAAGCCACGCGATTTTGTTCGCGCTGGTGGCGCGAAATCTAGACGAAAACACGTGATTAGCCAATCTGTGGCTCCCCTGATTACATAACAATAAGTACCGTGGATACGTGATAATCTGCTACAGTTAAGTCACTAGGTATTTCGCTAGTTCATTCACAAATTACATCGCAATATCAAGATAATTTGGGGGGGATGTAGATATGAATTAGGTGTCTGGTAAGTAACAGAAGCACCCTGGTAGCTATGAGCCAGTCCTCGCAAGACTGAGAGGTACCGACCGAAGGCCGAGAGCTATGAGCAATGAATCATGGCAATTTATGCTCATGATATGAATCGGGCAACTAAGGCCACAATTCAGTTCAGGCATTTTATGCCATAAACTAGGCTCAGAGTAGTGTGTAAAGAAAGATAGCTTTTGATGTCTGGAACATGATGTTCTTCCCGCGACATTCCCTCCAACGAGTATGCATTGTTGTCATCATGCTCCCCCCACAAATGACCACTGCGGTCCATAGAAAAATCTTCCCAATGCCTTCCCTGAAAATGCTCAATGCCAGAACTCCCCTCCCATTCATTCATCATACGAAACGCTGCCAAACACAAACATCTTCCATCTAGGCTTGCTCCCCCAATGAAGACAAGAACGCCCTCTTCCTAGCACGAGTCATGGGTCCCTCCATTTCCAACGCCTTGCGCTTAAGCGAAGACTCCACCGAAACCCTGCTCTCTGGGCTTGGACCACGAGGAGCCTCCTTCACAATCTCAACCTCAGAGTCGAGAATGGAGTGGTAGCCGGAATCAGGATGAGCAGACTCTTGTCGCTCAGATCCAGAGGTCACCTTGACCTCACAATCAGACTCGTAGTCGGGTAAATCATCAGATACCCCACGATCCTCAGTATTGTTTGTTCCAGCGCAAGACGCTACCTCGAGTGCCTCGTAGTATTCATAATCGGGTAAGTCGTCATTGATACTAGCCGTCTCCTTGGTGGCAGATGTGTTGGATTCATCACCAGACCCATCGTGAGATGTGCCTTTAGGAGTGCTATCGGAGATGCCATCAGATGCGTTCTCAGGTGCATTGACAGGGTCGATTGAAGTCTCGGGCAGTGCGCTATTTGCCGCGTCGACTTTCGTGACGATAGCAACGGACTCAGTAGCATTCTAGACTGACTGGAGTTCGCGTCGTATCTTCCCGATTTCATTGAGGAAGCTCTTGGCATTGACCGCATTCATCTGAAACATAGTTAGCATCATGTAACATTTGATCAGGCGGGTGAACGAACCTTGAGCTGGATGCTTACGGCGCCACCATCTTCAAGGGCGGTGAACAGCACACCGGTCGCCTTCAGCCCAGACTTTTCCTGGAACTCCATACCCGGGATGATAGCCGTGTTGAGAATCAACCGGTGGGTCGAGTCCTGTCGCATAACCAGACGAACGACATTGGACTTGCCATCCTTAAGAGCAGAGGCCTTGAAGCTGCCGGGGACAGGTAGACCTGTATCTTTGGCGTATGTGACAGAATCATCGGGTACGTTGATTTTCAAGTTACCCGCGCCTCGCTCTTTCCAAACAGAGTTGGCCTTATCCAGGTGGAAAATCTTCGCGCGGACTTGCAAGATAGTAACTTCGCCAGTCTCGCCGTCGTCGATAGCCACTAGAAGATCAATTAGCATAAATCTCAGTAATAATAGACACTTCGCAACTCACCACGCTGGAGCTTAGGCTTCTTCTTATCATCAACAGCCACGGCCTTCTCTTCTACGGCTTCGTGGTCTTCGTTATCGGCAGCCTCTTCGTCGCCAGAGCTGCTTTCCTCCTCGTCATTATCCTCCTCCTCGCTAACAGGCGCTCCGAATGGCTTGGCTGGCTTGTTGCTCTTAAACGACTCGCCTGGCTTGCCAAAGCTAGCGAAGGTAGGGCCCCCAAGTTTGCTGGCGAAAGATCCGCCAAAGGGAGTGCTCCCAAATGTTGTTGTTACTTCTCCTACTCGGCCGAAGGGAGAAGTTGCTCCGTTGGACGCGCTGCTGCCAAATACTGATGTAGTAGGCTTCGTAGTAGCGGCGGTACCAAAGGGCGACGGAGAAGAGGAGGGGCTGGCGAAGGAGGATAGAGGTGTCGAGCCAGCTTGTAGAAAGGGCGAGGCTTGGGAAGCGAACCCGGCGATTCCAGAAGAGCTAAAGGCAGAAGCGGATGTCGTGACGACCTTCTCTTTCTCGGGATTGGTACGTCCCGTAGATACTGCCTGCTTCTCGCCTTCTTTATCGTTCTTCGGAATTTGTTCAGACTCGGATGGTACCTAGAAATAGTTAGTAAGTACGATGATTTAGATAAAGCAGAGGGTAGGTAAGTTCTTACAGCAATTGCATCCGAGTTCACCTTGGACTCGCTCGAGACATCTCGAGGACGCTTTTTCTCTGGCTCCGACCGTTCGGTGCGGCTTAGAGAAGCGCCAGCGTGAGAACCGATAGGAGAGACATCGCCATTTGCGTCAGAAGTTGCGTCTCTGGGCTCATCGACCTCATCGTGAGCACGCTTCTTCTTCGGCGACGAAACTTGTTCTTTGAGATCGCTGCTTTGGCGTTCAACTGACTCGCGATCGGGGGTTGACGCCTTGGTGGGTGCCTTATCAACGCTTGCCGCGGCGTTGGGCGCGGGGTCTGACGGTGCGGCGGACATTGTAGATTGATCAGATTTCTCCGAAATGACAGTTTGTCCTAATTCTTTGCGAGCAGCTGCGGTATCTGGATCTTCAGGTGTGTAGTTTTCTGGTGTAGGACTACGTTTGCTGGTCTCCATTTGGTTAAGAGACGCGAAAAGTGAAGAAAGCAGCGTTGATGGTTGAGGTTGATAACAAGAAAGTTGGTTGTGCAGTTGTTGGTTTGAAAGAAAGAAAGGTTTGCGTAAAGATTTGGGTTGACCTTTTTGTAGAATGTAAAAAAAGGTTCGGCAGAAAATTGCGGGGCGTTGGTAGTTAAAACGGTTGACGGTTGCTGGGTTGAAGAAAAAGAAACTCGACAGTGCAAGTGGTGAAATATTTAGCTGGGGCGGTTGCGAGTGCAAAGCTGAGGCTGCGCGCAGTGAACTGGAGATACTAGTAGATTGAACCACAGACCTTATTGTGGCCCATTGTACCTAAGTACCGTGTAGATACAAGGGTACCTTGATGTTTAAAATGTGGGGCCGGATAAACATTGGTCAAACATTTGATTTACAGACGTATTATATAAGCGGGGTTACCGTGAAAGTCAGATTGAAACTTGGGCGGGTACCTCAGGTACATATTATCTGATTGGGTTCCCAATGTCCGGTTTCATTTTGCTGTAATGCAAGATGTGAATATGGGCATCTAAGCTGGCTAATATTAGGACCACCCGTCCGTGCGGCACATTTTGTGCAGTTGATTGCCAATGATTATAAGATGGACATAGCTACATAATCGCCACCCAGCAAACTTAAACCCATCCTGAAAGATCGTTGCCCCCCTACTGCGCGCAAGTCCGCGTTTCTAAAGAGACACGTACCTCGACGTGAGTTGACGCGCCACAAACATAAGGTAAAAACTAAGGCCATGAGGATACCTACCGGCGTATTCCTGTGTGCTCTCAAATTATCAGGATACACGTAAATATCTCACTCATCCAACCTTGCTGAGGTCGGCGATCAGCTTGGCGAGAATCGGCCTAATATACCTCAAAACCCTCCTGTACGAATCAACATCCATATAACCATTGCAGCGAAGGTAAATACCTAAACATCAAACTGCCTAAGTGTACCTGATGTATCGACTGTGTAGCGTTCACAATCGCTCGAGTTATTCTATCCTACACTCTAAGCGTGTCTACTAAGCACATCCATGACAATTAGGTACCCAGGTGGTTACCTTTCTAAGAATACACTGTCTAAGTCATGAGTTCTATACATGCTCCGAAGATACGGTTCTTATATAGGTACTTAAATATAGTTGAATAGCAGCTTTTCCTGATACACCCGCCCATCCTCTAAGAGTGCCGAACAGGAATAGTCGCTAGCCTCCAGGTAACCTGTTCAAAAGGTATACGGACATTTGTGTCACGGATACCTAGAAGAAGAGCAGATCGTCGTCCTTCCAGCCCAAAGCCTTCAATAGAGACTGAACACTCTTCTCAAGCGGTTCAGGCCCGCAAATAAGGACTAAATTCTCACCATCGATATTCTTACAAGGTCCGATTTCCTTTTCAAGCAACTCTTCGTCTATCCGGCCTCTCAATCCAGTCCACGATGGCTCGGGCTGGCTTAACGTATACAACAAGCGGCATTTATGGCCATTACCAATAGCCATCCTGTCAAGATCTTCCTTACAAAGAATATCCCGTTCAACACGATTGCCGTCAATAACTAGGCACGAAGTAGGGTCCTGACTATTCGTCAACACGGCTCGGAGAACCTGGAATATCGGTGTGATTCCGGATCCGCCACAGATCATGATGAAGCGCTCGACCTTTCGTCGTTGACCGGAGATTGAACATAAGCCCCGGCCCAAGTACTCGAACTTGCCCACTGGACCTTTGAACTCGACAAAATGACCGAGAGGGATTGCGTCCAATGCTTGAGTCATCTTACCACCCTTCCTTTGAGGTGTATCGTAATATATCTTAATGAGAATATCTAATTTCCCTTCATTCGTAACCTCTGAGAGAGGCGTGTACGACCGTATGATGGCTTCGCGAGTGACAGGATCGCGCAGCCGCATCATCAAGTGTTGGCCAATAGGAAGCCCAGAGGTCTGTTTGGGATGCTCGAGGTCGAAGGTGAAGATCTTGGTGTCGTCTGAGATTTTCTTCCTGGCTGATAGAATAGCTTTTCTCCACACTTTTGACTGCAGAAATGTTTCACGCGGCGTCGATGCTTCCGGGTCTTCGGGTTCTCCATTGGCTAAGATGGTTCGGGAGGACTCGTCGAGGGATCCGATATGATAATCGACTAACATCGCCTTTGCATTCTCGCTGTCTGCGACATGGGTTAGTATTAGTCCAGAGTGATCATCGAATTGTTAAGGCTTACGAATAGTGAGGAATTCTTCACTAGCATCCTGTCCAGCAGCACCAAAGATCGAGGCCGCTCCACCAGGATGGCCTTCCAAGAATTTTGTCCCATCGTAAACCTGGCCATTAACTACAAACCACGGCTCGATTTCACCGGCGTGTTTCTTCAATTCGTCAAGGGTGATTGTAAGATTAACCTCATTGTTAATCATGCAAATCTCCTTTATTGGTTCCTCTTTGATAGCATCCCCTTCTTCTCCGGATAGCCTCTCACCCCAATATCCATTAGAGAGATTCCCACCTGCCTTCTTGACTCGTTCCATCCATCCGCCAGGTATCAAAGCTGCCTGTGTTGGGTGCTCAAATCGCAATGTATGGCCCTCCTTGTGGATAACAACTCGAAACCAAGGATTGTTCATCATACCCAAAACACTCCAGTACATATCTCGCGGCTGTACCATTAAGGACTCATCCATAGCTCGTACCATGATGTCATCCGCTGCTTTCAATTCCGACAAAACAATATCCGAGTCCCAAAAACACCAGCAAAAGCAGCTCTCCCTCCAGGACAGGTCTAGTCGCCCACCATACAATTCTTCTCCATCGGGGGCGACTCGATATTCGTCCTCAGGATACGAAATATTGGCGAGCTTCCAAGATTTTCCTTTATCAAGGGTCACTTCGACCCTGGTCACTCTCTTGCCTCCACCGGCATAAGCATATCCGCGAACTCGGTAGCTCTGGATGCTTTGATTTAACGACAGCGTTTCGTTATGGGCTGGATAGCAAGTAGCACTATTCGTGTTAAGGTCATAGATGGCGTAACGTTCGTCTCTCCAGACGTCTGGCAAGTCGCCACTCATCTCAGGAGTTATCATCGTCGGCAACACTCTGTTATCGTAAATATGATACCAGTTATCACTCGGTGCGGCTGTGACAATCAGCTTCTTCAACCACTTCACACTTCGACCGCCAATTTGACCCGGTACAATGACTCTAAGAGGCTTTCCATGGTCAGGAGGGAGTATCTCGCCGTTCATCCTATGGGCAACCATGATTCCGCGGTTGGGGTCCATAGCCCAGTTCAACTTAACGCATGTTCCGTAGTAACCGTTAGGCAACTTGTCAGCGCCTTCGAAGCATACGTATTTTGCACCTCGCTTCGGCCTTGCTGCTCTCAGCAGGTCACCCATTACGACCCCGGTCCATAGCGCTGTCGACAAGCCTGCTGCTCCCCAAGAGAACCCCTTGGTTTTTCTTACGATATTTTGTTCTTTCCTGCGATTTCCCGCACATACAAGAGTAACAGGGTATGTTACTTGCTCGAACCCGCCGAGAAGTTGCGCCAGACTCATTTTGATGGGGTTTTCTACCATGCCTTCTATTGTAAACTCCCAATCCATAATCTCTTGATCTTCGACTTTAGGCACTGCTCCGTGGTTTCGGACGTAGTGGAGATCCTTTGTCGTTAGGAAACCCTCGTTGTAAAGGTCACTCAACGGCGCCTCGACATTAAAAGGATGAACGCCTGTAAGGCGTATCAACCGAGGGTCCCTTACAACATGGTTGTCCGGGGTCTTTAGATCTTCCGCCAGCACCTTATTGTCAGGCTTACTTCTTGGTGGAAGCGGATATTTCCAAGAATCTCCAGGTTTCGTTTCATCGTTGTCGAATGGTGGCGTCTGGGCGTCGAAACGAATACTCGTACTTGATTCCCTTCTCGAGCCACTCTCTGTTCCGGGAGGTGTGGGGGGATAATAACTCAGTTGTGCAGTAGATGACTGCTGAAGACTGATAACTTTGCTGGAAACCTCCATAATACGTGATACAAAGACGGTTGGAGTTAGGACGGATGTACGGATAAGCTGACGTCGACTATGAAGTATGTATATGTAACCATGTATGCCAAGCATTCATATATGATAAAATCCATGCCGTCAATATCAAGGACCTGAGAAGGGGGTAATAAGTAAGATATAAAGTAGAAGAGATAAGCAGGGAGACAAAGTGGTGTTAGATGACGCATACGAAACATGACGTGGGACACCTAGCCAAGCAATAACGCCTGATCAAAACGCTATGCGTCCCCATTTCAAGATCTATCTAATGTCTAAAGGAGCGGATGAAGGTACCTGGCGATAGGTCCACCGGAGACCTGTATTAGTCTCCCAAGCATTCTCGTTTCCAATCCACAAGTTAGCTGCAAGAGAGAAATCCCGACCTATTGTTACAATGCATTCATATGCAAAGATCCGCCTCATGCTCCAACCGGGTAGAAACCTTGACATCAAATGTATAGTAATAATATCTTCCTAGGATTTATATGGAACCTAGGAATTGCGTGGCATTGTAAATAGGAAAGCCTCAGGCACTCTATTCGCAAGCCACGTGCCGGCTACGGCATCGTCTGCCGTCCCGGAGATGCAACAGTCAGTTGAAGAAGTCCCCGCGGATGTGTTCAGCCAAAGATTTCTAACAGGGTATAGGGCTTATCAGAAGCAATTGGCTTTTCTTTGCAATATTGAAGACGACAACGAATCATGATTGGTGGCATGATTGGTGGTAAGATTCTTCAGTGTTGGCGGAGATACGAAAATCGCCCACGGCCCGATAGACTAGGTAGTTTAGTCGTTAGCTTTTCATTTTGGGCCCCATTAAACCCATCCGATGGCCTATATGAAATAGGAGGCTTCAAAAATATAGCACTAGATCCGATATCCGCTATATTTCAGATACCAGGTTACCTAAGTCAAGACATGAAACCGACGAGGTGCTCGGTAACGTTGACGCCATAGTGTTAATAAGAGCCAATGGGATCAATGAGATGGGTAGCATCGAGGCAGGATCGAGAATCGAAGACCCGCGTTTCCTGAGATCCAACAAGGAGTCTGAGAAGCTCGGCTGTTACTTACGTTCGCACATAAGAAAACGGAATAATGGAAGCTCCTTAGTCTCCGCGGAATTATGATTGTGCAACCTTTAACTCGCGTATCGTGAATAGCCTCAGATGAACCATCCATAGCAGAAGGAAGAGCGAGCAAGCCAGCTATTATATTAATGATCCCTCAAAGAACCTGTATGTCAGTACCCCTGTTGTAGGATTAGCAATTATGACGCGTGCAGCCCAAGTTATTCTAAAACACCTGGGTGCCTGAGCGACAGATCCATGATGGTTGAAAAGTGATATTATATGTTGTCATCTTTATAAAAGCCAATATAATGACTATTATAGATTAATAAGTTGACAAAGTTGTTGAAGTATGATGGGTTCCTGAAAAATCTCACATTATTATTTGAAAAGGGGTAGTTAAATTGATGTTGTCCTTACTAAGTTACAAAGATTCACAGTTGACTTTTCCGAGCTTAAACATTGATGACATAATCAGTCACATCGGACCTGTTTCAAGTCAGAGTGTGTTTATAAGGATATGATCGAGTTTTCAATTAATGTGAAACTTTATGACCAAATAGGGGGTTGGTTATTATTATTCGAGGAGTTGTATTTGAAGATGTAAGTGGTAGGTATTTACCTGATCTTAGATAGTACTATGGATGTACTTAACGATTGACGTGCAGATGCATGTACGAATAAGTATCCACCATAGTTGGACATATCAAAATGATAGGCATTAATTCAGGGATCTTTAGGGGATCCTTTTAGAGTATCGAACAGCCCTAAATGTGCAACAACGTCACTGTCTAGGTGTTCCTGCGTCCCTGCCTGTCTTACACTTGTGCACCAAACCAGCTAAGATTAGGAAGTGGCCTTAGCGCATGGCCAAGCTTAGGTACTGAATAAACTTTGGAAGTCTGTAAGGTTCCATACTATTAGCACTGGGTAGCTGCAAGGCTGAACTCGGATGGCCCACCCCGCTAAATAGTGCCCCGCCAAATCGTCTTGGTCAACTCTAAAGAGGCCAAAAACAGCCTATGATTCCCCGAGATTTTCGCGGAACATAAGGAAAGCACTGCTTGCCGGTTCTTTCATTGGATGATACAAAACGACATCATTCACAGATGCGCCTTCATTTAACACTACAGTTTGACTTTTCTTTTTCATTTCTTCAAATCTTCCAATCTATCGGCGGTTCTTATATCAATAACACCACCTACGTATCTCGCACATCAAAATTCCTCGTTCGCCATACTCAACCACCCTCTCTCTCGCACCTGCTCTCGATTACCCGTTGATCTACTACTTTACAATCTTATTGGTCCTTACATTGCTCCTCTGGCGCAGGGCAGAGTCGCTCGAATTACCTCTACCGATGCCCACCGAGCCCGATACGCCGTGTCGCGCCCGCCACTGGGGCCGATTTCTCCCTTAGCAGGGCTATCACAGTTGCGAATGTAGCAATTGAGCTAGGAAGTAATCTCTATATCGCAAGGGGCTGCCCGTCATGGACCGCCCACGAAAGCGTGAGTTGAGATACGTCGAGCTGATTACTCAAACCTGTGCTAATGCTTAAACTCCAGGCGAGCTATTGTCGCTCAATCAACGCGCATGGAATGGCGAGCTAGGTATACGATTTCCCCTTATACCATTTATTCTAGACTGCTAATGACCAGCCAGACATTTTCCCTGTTAGCTCGTCCCTCGACTCTTCTCTAAAGAAGAATACCGCCTTCATTAAGCGATTGCGAACCACTATCAATTCCGCAACCTTAAACACTTTTCTACAAGACATACGAGCCCTAAGTCTATCCAAATACCTCTCCGAAATCATCTCAGCATGTTACGAAGGATTGAGCAAGCTCAAGACCGCCGGAGAAATCGATGCAGCCATTGAAATTGTTAGCGCGCTACATCAGCGATTCGGGCCCGGAGACTTTACGGAGTATTTAGGATGGCTTCTCGGCAAGGGGATGGCCACGCCAGACAAGACTCTGCTCAAGACCTTGCCCCCCGAGGTTCGCGAGAAAGAAGAGAAGGAACGTCTCGTTCGACAACGAGCCCTTTTAAGAGTCATAACCGAACTTTGGCTTGTGGGTGTCCTCCGGACCCTCGACGACGTTAAGGCAGATGACGCGACACGTGGGGTCAACGGGAAAAATGCCGAATTAAAGATCAAGTCGATCAACTCTACGAAAGGCGGCGGAGCCGAGCCGTTTCCTCTCGAAGTACTTAAGGATCTCTTGGGTCATGATCGGGAGCATGTGAACCTACCCCTCCTGGTCATTTTTGTGAAATCGTTCGGTTGGGATATCCTAGGAGTCAAGTCTATTGGATCCGAAGGCCGAAAGACTGTCGAAGAAGACGGTGCTACGAAAGCTTCGGGAGAGACTTCTGGGCGGATCGATGGGCAAGAAGAGACTAGTGATTCCGATTCTGACGATCCTCCATTCGCCAGTGCCGAGCTCCGCGAGCGATTCAGAAATATCCTTAAACGATATTTTGAAGATGTCAAAGCGCACCTTGAACGAGACCAAAAGAATATCGTCACGCAACGCGGTAGGAACTCCGAGGCATACGTGAAGTCCGGAGAAGTTTTTGAAGATAGGCAGGCCAATTTTGAACGGCAGCTAAAAGCTCAGGAACGTCTCGTCGGGAATGCGCAGGTCATAGCGGATGCGATTGGTGCTGAGATGCCAGACCTCAAGGAAACCGAGGACGGATTCTCAACCACTAACGGTGCTATTGGTCTAGTCAAGACTGGCGAGTACCTTCGTGGACAAAGCGAAGGTGCAGGGATCTGGGAAGATGAAGAGGAACGTCGGTTTTACGAGAATTTAGTAGATCTGAAGGGGAAAGTCCCTGGCATGTTGCTCGAAGACGGCAAGAAGAAGAAAACCGACACAGACGAGCAGGTCGGTAGAAGAGCCGACTCTATCGAGGCCGCAGACGGACCTAAAGCTTCGGAAGGAAATGACGACCAATCTACCGCCATTGCTAACAAGACGATTGGCGCACAAGTAGATGTGCTCTTGACTCGACTTCCTGAACTTACGCACAAAGATGCGGTTGACCAAGCCGCCATCGACTTCTGCTATCTGAACTCTAAGGCCTCCAGAAACCGACTTATCAAGGCGCTTACCGAAGTACCAAAAGGTCGCACTGATCTCTTACCATTCTGGTCTCGCCTGGTAGCTACTCTCGGACGTTATATGCCAGACATCCCCAAAAGCGTGGTGGATTATCTTGATGCGGAATTCCGCAGTCTCCAGCGACGCAAGGAGAAGGATTTCCTCGGTCAAGTACGATTAAGCAATATCAGATACCTTGCAGAACTCACCAAGTTCGGCATGGTCCCAGAACACGTGCTTTTCCATTCCTTGAAGATCAGTGCCGACGATTTCTCTCGGATGAACATCGAAATTATCTGCAATTTACTTGAGAACTGTGGAAGGTATCTACTCCGTAATGCTGATACGTCACGCCGCATGGCAACATTCCTAGAAACAATCCAGCGCAAGAAATCCGTACACCACATTGGTCAGCCAGAGCGTATGCTCATCGAGAATGCGGTATACTACGTAGACCCACCGGAAAGGGCATCGATCCAGCAGAAGGAACGCACACCTATCGAGATGTTCATTCGTAGGCTCATCTATATCGACCTGACGAAACGCAACTATACAAAGGTTCTTAAGCAGATCCGCCGACTTCACTGGGAGGAACAAGAGGTAAACGAAGCGTCATTACGTCGCATTAGAATCCAGGTGCTAATCTATATAATAGGTGGTAGACATCCTTATCAAGGTGTTTTCAAGGCCTGCAAAGGTTAAGTACGGCAGTATTCATATCTTGGCTATATTACTTAGTGCAATCTACCGTTACCACCCAGACTTCACCGTTACGGTGATCGACAACGTCATTGAATCCGTAGTTTTTGGGCTGGAGCAAAACGACTTCAAGTTCAACCAAAGGCGTATTGCGGAAGTCAAGTATTTAGGCGAGCTCTACAATTACCGGATGCTAGAGCACCCCGTGATCTTCGATACCATGTACAAGATCATGACATTTGGTTACGGTGAGTGCTCCAAGGTGTGCGAATATAGCTCATCTAGGTGTAAACTAATCGTTTTAGGTGGCGCGCCTATTCCCGGCCGAGTGAATCCTTTCGATCTACCAGACGACTATTTCAGAATTCGCCTCGTGGCCACGATGCTCGAGACCTGTGGCATGTTCTTCAACCGAGGCGCTGCAGGGAAGAAGCTCGACTACTTCCTTTCGTTTCTCCAGGTCAGTCCAGTTTTAAACAGATGGGATTAGGACCATATTGACAATTTTGTAGTATTACATTTACACAAAGCAGCCGCTACCGATGGACATCGAGTTCATTGTCCAGGACACCTTTTCCCTTACGAGGCCGCAGTGGAAATTAGCGACGACTCTAGAGGAAGCCACAAAGGCCTTCCAACTTGCGGTTGCTCAGGACCAGAAAAATGCTGGCCTAGACAAAACTGCCGATCCAGATGATGGTTCTAGTGGTGCCTCTTCTGATGACGATGGTGGCGATGGCGACGGAGACATTGTGCTCCCCGAAGCAGATGGAGACGACGATTCGGAATCTGGGGAAGAGGAGGATATTGAGGTATACAGCACCAACTTTCCCCCATATTTATATGCAGGGGCAATGATTAACCAGCTCTGGATCGGACAGGACGTTGAGAATCAGCCACAGTCCCCTCGAGATATCGAGTCAGAGGAAGAAGCGATAGTAGTTACTAGAAAGGCTGAAGAGATCGATCCTGAAGATGAAGCGGATTTCGAACGTGAGTATGCGAAAATGATGGCTGAGAGTCTAGAATCCCGAAAATTCGATCGCAAACCACTTTTCGACGTCCCATTGCCCGTCCGACCCAAGACTCGCGATCTCTCTTCAACGGCGGATAGCGACAATGTGAATGGCGAGAGTGCACCTAGCACAATGGCCTTCTCATTGCTGACGAAGAAAGGCAACCGCCAGCAGGTAAGATTACCCAGTGAATAGTCGATCCAAGCATGGTACTAATGTCGGTAGACTCGAACGGTCGCACTTCCATCAGACTCGACCTTCGCGGTTGCTATGAAGACTCAACAGCAAGCAGAACGAGAAGAGCAACAGCGTATCAAAAACCTGGTGCTCAACTATGACCTTCGCGAGAACGAAGATACAGATGGTGATACTCATTTGACCCCAATCATACCAAACACAAATATTCACAGCTCTGCTCACCCAGGTCACGATAAATCTTCGTATCACCCTAATCGCCCTGATAAATCCACTAAGGAACGTGGCGGACAACGTGTCCGTAGATTACAACTCAGTGACGTTGATTGGTATGAAAGATCCCAGCAGAATGAGAATAGGGCCAAACAGGAAGCCTCCAATCCCGAGGATCCGCCTGTCAATCGTGCGTGTAATGAGGGTGACGCTACTTCAAACCGAGTGGATAGAAACAAGCGTCATGTTCCCCCCTCAGATTCTCGATCTCGTCATCCAACTCGACGAGGCCGTGGAAAACGCTAAAGCCCAAGATACTTAAGAACAGACGCTAACATATGCGGCCATCCTTACGAGTTTAGGACCTGACATTCACTTCTAATCGACCGGAATGCACCATACGCTACCTAACTCATTTGAGCATTACAACAGGGAGTTTCGATATCTCCTGACTGCGCACCATGCCACACATAGAAGCTACGGTCTTCAACCTTCGGCGCGAGCTTAACACATCTCTCGATACAAGGAGAACCAAGACGGAGGTTCCATAATCCTGGACTATGTTAACCCCATAGACGCGGTGCCGACCTGACGACTCCGTCGATGTTGGTGAAGTTGATACACCTAAGCTCCCGGGGGTGGAAGACGGGCGAAGGTGGAGACAAGTCAAGGATCCGGGGCCGAGACAGTAGAGAAGTGGTAGTTGCTTTGCTGGTTGCCTGGCGGTTCCTGCATGACCCCTTTCAGTATAGGATTCTATACCTGAATTCGTCCAACAGGTGACTACGGCAAGACGATCTTACAAGCCTGTGGACAGACTGACGATCCCTCATTTGCAGACTGTATTTAGGGCACCTTGTGCCTCATTTAATTCTAATTCGCTCGTTACATTCTGAATTATATGCTGATCAATACAAGTGATTGAATGTTTTATCTCGAGAACGCAACATATCGTATGAAGCTGCCTCGTCTCAATATGAGATGTCTTTACATTTCTTTTCTACTAACATGAAATTACCGAGTAGGAAATATCTTGAGGCTACTCTAAAACATGAGTGGTTCAGCTCCATCGTATAAATGGAGTTGTACAACATGAAGCCTTTCCCATCTAGTCATCGTGGCGGTTCGTATTGAAGGCTTGGCGACGCAGCTTTTGCATACGGGATCAATGGTCTAGAAACAAGAACCACTAAACGACAAAGATGCACCATAGCACGTCATCAGAAGCTGCTTTTCGATTGCAGTTATTCTGCCTTTATCCGAGAGATTCAGGATCGGTTTGCTGTTGAGTAATCAACTCCTACAGTACCTTCTGTATAATGTTACATATCTCCTTGGCAGAGAGCCTTGTTCTCTTCCCTTGCCCTCTATCCGGGTACCAGCCTACTCATCCAACTCTTCGTTTTACCATTTTAAAATCAGGCATCAAGGTCCTAGGCGTGGGCGGCTGAAGCTGAGACGCCCAGAATCTCCCGGTCGGAAGGGGGCCTACGCACTCGGAATACCGCGATGACGAACTTTCTTAGGTGGAATTGCTAATAGCTGTACTACGTATGCTCTATTTAATAGCGCTCGCTTGTAAAGATTATAGATGGTATAGATAGTAGTTCCATATTGCGCTGTGAAAGTAGGTAGTTTCCGTTAGTCACTTATTTGATACTTGACAGGACCGTGCCTTGCGGTTGATCCAGCGGAATAGCGGGTAAACCGGTTGATGTCAGCTCATGGGAAGCTATACTAAATATGTAGGATCTAACGACGGTGGTTGCAATTAACCATTAAGATTCCGTGCTTTGCGCCCCGGGAAATTTTATATTAACAGGTCTTTTTTTTCTCTTCTTCGCGAGTACTACCTCCTGCAAATTAATATATGGTTCGCTCGTGGAAGAAACATGATGCAGCCCTTGGAGCTTACGTGTGTGTCCATGGATCTTGATGATACCCTATAAGAGAGATCCGGGAAACGGAATGCGAAGATTTCGGGAGTGAAGAAAAGGTCCGTCGCATATTGCTCTATCGGAAATCTCGCCGGGACCCAGAATTCCAGAGTGCCGAAAGCGAAGTTACGAACACTACCTACCTTAGTAGATTCTTCTTACCATCTGCCACTAAGGCGCTTAATAAGGTTTCCAGGCAAGTTGTTTGTGCTTTCGACTTGAACATGGCGGGTGGTGTAGGCAAGGTAACGTGGCAAGCGCAACCTTAGAACCCACCTACGGACTACCCTTGCAGCAAGATATTGAAATCTTTTGGATCTCTCGCTTAGATCCCCCTTTTTAGCGCGCCTCTTTTTCGCCTAGGCTGCTGAACTGAGTTAAAGTCTCTTTTTGAGCCGCCTGTGACGTTTTCACCATCTCTCTTTAGCGCCATGATCGCCACCTACCTATCTCCAAATCGGTCAAGTCAATGAGAGCCTGTGAGAGTAATTTTACGTTTCCTCCAAAGTCTTTGGTCCAAATCTAAGCTTAATATCTTTAGCCAAGTTTCAACTATTGGCTCCTGAGTCCTCATTCAGCTCAACTGTCTAACAACTATCGATCATATATGCAAATGCAAGTTACTTACATAGGTACACATAGGTAGGTAGGTACCTACCTAAGTAGGTAGGTATACAACGCACTCTGTGGCTTGATATTTCGGGATTTAGACTACCCGCAGTATCTGTCCCTGCCTGTCTGTACAACGCTCGTATTTAATAAGATCCAATGGTTTTCCGATTTTCCATCTTGTCACTAACATACGACGATATGTACATGTGTATGTACTTCTGCTACTGATTCACCCTAACCCATCAATCGGATAATCTAAATGCAAATAACAAGTCAGCTCGCCTTATAGTCTATTGACGGCATCATAAGAAGAAAAAGAGAGGGAACACCAGATCATTAATTGTTTGCCAAACGGCCCGGTACCAAGCCATATCGACGGATCGGGGGAGTATTGGCTAAAGTAACTAATGTATGTATCTGTGTTTTCAACCCACTTATTTGCAGACAGGCCACGCAGCCAAACTCATCCAACTGATTGGGTACCTACATTGAACAGCTACAGCTGAGTCTAGATGTTTGTACATCCATGTTTTTTTATAGGTTCCAAACTCAATGTTTCTGGAGTTCCATTTAGCCTTCCCCGCCTGAACGTAAGGTTGTGGCGGCTTTGACTGGCGTGTAGCTTCGTAACTTAAAGGCCGTTCCCGTCCAGCATCCATTTACCTTGTGGATGGGATAGGCACAGATGAGAATTTACATGCTCTAGTTTCCAGTACAGATAGATACCTAGGTAATTACATGATTGGTGGACACATGCGCAAAGTTTGTTTGAATCAGGCCGTGCTTTCCATTAAACTGACAGAACCCTATTCAACAAGATATACCTAGTACCGAGGTTGAGACTTCTTCCCTGTACTACCAATTTGATATTCATTTTCTTCTTTCCGTGTTTAACTTTTATGTAAACAATAATGGTCGATCATCGCGGCTCGAAATAAACCAAGCCCAGACTCAACTTCATCTGCCGTGCAAGGGAATTTCGGTACCCTCCTATATCCCTGTACCTAACTCGGCTTTCTAGGCGCGTTCCATCATCGATTCCGTTCTCCCCTGATCGCGGCCGACGTGGCCTGGCGATGGTTGTATCCGATCTGGTTAGCTCCAAGAGCCCAAGCATCAGATAGTTATCGTCACAAGTCCGTACACAAGTCCGTACACTGGCCCCGTCTGTGCTTATTAGTCGTCGTACGCAGTGAACCATCTGGCCAAATTCAGTACGGCTGGGATCTGTCACCATCTTCCATCTTATACCTGGTAAGTCCAAGCCCTACAGATGCGATTCACCTGCAGATCCCGCCCGTCAGCAGGTATATGTATTTACCTGGATACTCGCCAAGAGAAGAGTCTAGATTCCAAACATCGCCTGATTGATATAGAAACAGCTCGTTAACCTCGAAATCCAGCTGCTTGCCTCTTGCCTCCCTTACTTATCCTTAGGTGCTCGCAGTCTTTTCAAGACAGTCTAAACGCCTAGAGGCCTGTGATCGTCCAACTCGGTGCCGCTACCGAAAAGTGAGACTACTTTCGACTACATTCATTCATTCAGCCACCTTGTTTACTACCAGTCCGTCATAGATTCAGGTACGTAAGCACACCCTTGTTCTGTATTTCCAATCTCACTTGCAACAATACACATGGACGCTCTCCCATATATGATAAACCCTCTCTTAGCATCACAATCTCCTTGCTACACTTAACTTACCAAAGCATATCCAGGGTCAGAAGAGCAAGCTCTAAATCCATTAAGACGTCATATGTGACGACTAGACGAGGTACCAACCTGTTCAAATCGTTCACATATAGAGGCGTTTTTATTTTTATCCTATACGGATATTCGTGGCACTTCGTCTTGCCCTTCGAGGTCAACACGGCAGTACTCTACGCCACCTCCACGCCCAGAGATTCGGGACACCACTGCCACAAACCAACCATTACCAAACACATACTTTTTTGTGTGGGAAGGCTTCAACGTGGACCGACTTCCTTTCTTTTCCGAACTCACGAGGTCCGAGACGAGGGTCCCTTGCATCTAAGCTGCACGTAGCCGCAAATAAACATCATTGTGTAACGCGATAGCCTGTCACCGCCTGGGCCTTAACTAAGAGTTATAACGATGATTATATGAGAAACGAGCCATCCAACAGCCCTTATCCGAGCCGGAGATAAAAGAACTCGAAGATATTTATTTATCTCAGGAGAATCCCACAACTTTGTTCACCCATCGGCCAAACCCACACAACCATTCAACTCGCCCACCCAAAGATGGCGCAGGATATCACGAAAACATGGCCGGTCCACGAGGTATGGAAATTCTGATACATACAAATGTAACCCCATCTTTCAAACCCTTTTACTAACACACCCTCGCAGATCATCTACACTGCCATCGTAGGCGTCGTCATGCTGGCAGCCCTTCTTGAATGGTTCTTATGGCTGTCTGCATTCTTGTACTGCCTGGTCAAAGTCTTCCAGAAAGCAGAACACTGGACAATCAGGGTGTTAGCAGTTATCATTGCTATCCTTTTCACTGGGTTTCGGTATGTTTCTAAATTGTGTCTTACTACTTGAGTATTGCTAACATTAAAATAGATTTATCTTCTTACCTATCATGGTGGTTACCCTGCCTCTTCCTGGCGAAATCACGCAATATTGGCCAGCTAACATGGTCGATGTTCTTCAATGGTTTGCCTTTTGGAGCTTTGCGGGACTTTTGACTATCCCGTGGCTTTTTTGCGTTTATCAGCTTGTCACCCATCAACTCGGTAGGACAAAACGTGTTAAGGAGGTATTGGATGAAGTTTCTGCGCCGAAAGTCGTTATCGTCATGCCCTGTTACAAGGAGGACCCGGATGTCCTCGTCACCGCTATCAACTCGGTCGTGGACTGCGATTACCCACCTTCATGCATTCACGTATTTCTCTCATTCGACGGAGACCAAGAAGATGAACTCTACCTCAACACGATTGAGAAACTTGGTGTCCCTCTGACGTTGGAATCGTATCCTAAGAGTATCGATGTCACATACCGATCAGCTCGCATTACGGTCTCTCGGTTTCCTCACGGAGGGAAACGCCATTGCCAAAAAGCGACCTTCAAACTCATCGACAAAGTCTATAAGGAGTACCTCAAGCGGAACGACAATCTCTTTATCCTCTTCATCGACTCCGATTGCATCTTGGATAGAGTCTGTTTGCAAAATTTCGTCTATGATATGGAGCTAAGCCCCGGTAACAGCAGAGACATGTTGGCCATGACGGGCGTCATCACTTCAACAACCAGGAAGCACAGTATCATTACTCTACTCCAAGATATGGAGTATATTCACGGTCAATTATTCGAGAGAACGGTGGAGTCCGGATGTGGTGCCGTCACTTGTTTGCCGGGCGCTCTGACTATGCTTCGGTTCTCCGCATTCCGAAGGATGGCCAAATATTACTTTGCCGATAAGGCTGAGCAGTGCGAAGACCTATTTGATTTCGCCAAGAGCCATTTAGGCGAAGATCGATGGCTTACGCATCTTTTCATGATTGGCGCGAAGAAGCGCTACCAGATCCAGATGTGTACTTCGGCATTTTGCAAGACGGAAGCGGTGCAGACTGTCCAGTCGCTGATTAAGCAACGGCGAAGATGGTTTCTTGGGTTTATCACAAACGAAGTCTGCATGTTAACTGACTGGCGACTTTGGAAACGGTACCCTATCTTACTCGTGGTGCGGTTTATGCAAAATACGATACGAACGACAGCTTTGCTTTTCTTCATCATGATGCTCTCGATAATGACGACAACCATGAGGGTCGATCAGCTACCCGTCGGATTCATCGCCATCTCGCTTGGCCTGAATTGGCTGATGATGATATACTTTGGTTTCAAGTTAAAGCGGTACAAGGTCTGGCTCTACCCGATGATGTTCATCCTTAACCCTTTCTTCAACTGGTACTACATGGTATACGGAATCTTCACTGCTGGCCAACGAACCTGGGGTGGACCGCGTGCCGATGCTGCTACAGCGGATGCGCATACGACCCCTCAACAGGCTGTCGAGCAAGCCGAAAAGGCGGGAGACGATCTCAATGTTGTGCCGGAGACCTTCATCCCAGCTGCCGAAGTACTCAGACAGAAGAGCAAAGGGAAGGAGACTAGCGGGGTTCAGAGGACGAAGAGCAAGGTCCTACCTCCGGAGAAGATCGAGGGCAAATTTGCCGCCCCAGAGAAAAAAGCAAATGGATTTTACGCGTATCCAGGAGAGTCGACTTACAGCTTCTATACGCCTGATGCCGATTCCTCCCTATTCGGCGGCCCTAGTTCGCATCATGCTCTCCACAGTCGCGATTCGGTAGAGAGTTTCCTGACTACTGGAAATAATTCGGTATATTTTCCCCGACGAGTAGAGAGCATCATGGGAGATGAAGATCGGAAGAAATATGAGATGGCGCAAGCCAACCAGTATAACCAATTTGTTGAGAAGTCTAAGAAGTATGCAATCCCTCCACGAGGCCAAGTATACGAATTCACAGACATGGAACTCGCGAAAGGAGGTTGGGAAGGAAGTGAAGGACGACCCGAACGTAACTACAGAGACGACGCTAACGAAAGCGGTCCCGACTCGCTATCTTCTCGCGCGCCCTCTCCTGGGCCTCGATCATCTTTACTGGGCCACCAGGACACCTCACAGGCTCAAAGGCAGAGCCTGGGTGTACCGAGGGGGCATCATCACCAGCGGAATAGAACAGGGAGGAGTCCACTCGGCCGGAATAGCCCGATTCACGCATCCTCACCCGAAATCGATGAGGTGGAGATAGACAGGTCTAACTCGGGTCGGAATAGGTCGCATAGACCGAATACACCCAAATGAAGGAAACTGATTGGATGACGAATCATTACATTTAGAAGCCCGACTCTGTGGGCGTATTGCATAATAGGTGGTAACTTTGGAAGTTGCATTATAGAGGGCGTCTATTGGGCAAGGGAAAGCAATGCATTTATGACGCTGTACAGGACAGCAGTTTACATACACGTTGGCTTTTTTGGGGACATATTCCTTAATTACATACCGCACAGTTTATCGTTTATAGAACGTTGCTGTATCATGGGTGGTCTACTCTTGGGAGACAAGATTATACTCACATACGAATCTAAGTTATTTCCCAAGTCTCATAGGTACTGAATATCTCACTTCTGCCAATGCTGTGAATGGATATGATGTTGAGTTAAGAATATCTATACTACGCAGCCCCGACATCGTGCCTCTAAGTTCACAGACTCAACTGTCTTTAGGTAGGTATCTACCTGGTGTAGGTAACGAACATTGAGTTATTTCTATGCCAGTTTAGGATTATGCTAGGACCAAATAACCATAAGTAAACATCTTAAAAGTAACAACGGCAATAAAAATTAAACTTGATATTAGAATACTGCAGTTATTAAGCACTTGTAAGTCTGTTACGGAGTAAGTACCTATGCCTAGGAGTTTCTTAATTCTGGGTAGCCGGAACTTTATTTGACAGTAATCTGCTATGAAATGAAGACAGCCGATCGCACCTGGTGATTATCCTAACGGTCGCACTTTACGTAAATTGGGGGTGAATGCAACAAACTCACGTGTCAGCAAGACCTAGGGCTAGTAAAGTGCGATTGCTAGCAGCTAGCAATTACGCTAGGTGGCTGTTGCACTGTGTTACCCCCCCTGACAAAGCCAGAGCCAGGCAGTCGACAACGCCAAAACTCTATTGTCTCTAGGAATTGGACTTGTAACCTTGGAACCTTGATCACTCGAAACGGTTATCTGTCTATTTCATACTAAAGCAGCACACCAACGATCCCCGAGCGATTCCATCCACATCCGAGCTTTAAATCCAAGCCTTTCGCGTTCCCGATTCTCCATCATGGACAACTTTAAGGCATTCGGCAGTAGTCTGAGGTATGCTGACCATTGAAAGCTGTTATTGGAAGTACCTGCATTTGCGAGCCAGACGCTGATATCATGCTAGCAATATCGGCTCGCAGATTACGCCTTTCGCTTCGCGTACTTTTCAGTACACAAAGGAGCAGCTGGGCCAGGCCGAGGACAAGGTAGGAGTTGGAGTTTGATGGTAGAAATATTGGTAATCTAGCTAACGATGAAATATCCAGACTCAGCTTCCACCCGATTATATCGACCTCGAGAAACGTGTTGATGCTCTCAAGCAGGTCCATCAAAAGATGCTTGCAGTGACGTGAGTCTATCTACTGTGATGTGTAACTGCTTCAAGCTAACATTGTTTGGGTTTCTCATAGCTCACAATACTCCCACGAAGCGTACGATTACCCTGCCAACATCAAGGAGAGCTTTTCGGACCTAGGCCGTACTGTTAGCGAGAAGGTTCAGCTTCTCTCCTCCGCCACTACCCCCGCCGAAGCCCAAGCTGCCTTAACCGCCCCCCCTACCGCGAAGCCGCAGCCAAAGACTTTCTCCCACGCCATCGCTCGCGCCAGCTTAACGAGCTCCCAGCTTCTGCACCAGCAACACACCGGCGCCGGCGAGGATCCCCTTGCGGCCGCGCTCGAGAAGTATGCGTTGGCTAGCGAGCGACTAGGCGAGGCTCGCCTCGCGCAGGACGCTCAGATCCAGAGCCATTATCTGGCTGGATGGAACACCACATTGAACACCAACTTGATGTTCGCGACGCGCGCGCGCAAGAACGTCGAGAAGGCGCGTCTGACGCTCGACTCTGTCAAAGCTCGCGCCAAGGGAACCACTTGGAAGATCGGTCCCACGTCTCCGCGCGAAGATCACCCCACGGACGAACTGAGCCCCGAGGCTCAGGAGGAGATCGAAAAGGCCGAGGATGATTTCGTCACTCAGACTGAAGAGGCCGTCAGTGTTATGAAGAATGTAAGTTATATTCCATTCTTCTATCCGCATGCTCGGTCGACTAATATCGTATAATAGGTCCTCGACACCCCTGAACCCCTTCGCAATCTTGCAGAGCTTGTCGCTGCTCAGCTCGAGTACCACAAGAAGTCTGCTGAGATCCTGAGCGAGCTTGCTCCCGTCATTGAGGGCCTTCAGGTTGAGCAGGAGGTAAGTTAAATAAAAATTCTATCCCATGTATCGTAGACGTTATATCTGACAAATCATTATAGGCCAACTACCGCAAGAGCCGCGAGAGCGCTTCTTAGATGATTACTGTCCACGATACCCACGAATGCAACAAGCGCCCCTATCGTAATGTTTTACGATGAGGCGGGACCACGGAGAATCGTTAGGACCTGTTGGGACAGTAGCAGATTTGTCAAAGATTCCCCTTCTCTTTTCCTTTTCCTGCCACCTGATCTGGCATCCTGCGTGTTTGAACGAGTGTGATATAGACGGGAAATACGTCCTTGAAGGATTTCCCTAGTGGATTTTGTTACTTTCAATGCTTCATTTCCACTTCCGTTTGGGGATCGATCGGTTGGCGCTATTCTATAACTCCAGCTTCTTACGTATCCGTGAATGTAAAGCGATGCAGTGAGAATGAATCTATCTTATTACATATCCATAGATCGTTTAAAAGGTCGTATACTTTGTTGTCGGTACCGTGTTATTGTAGAATAAAAGATCATCGTAGTTCGTAGCTCGCAAGGTGGATGAACTGAAAGGTATTGATAGGCATTATTAGTATGGGACCCCTTCTGAAAAAGCTGCTATTTTTCAAGCTATCATAGCGGGCGAACGCGTGGATAGTCGGCTACAAATTCATTCCAGAGGCAACAAATGGATCACAGTGGATTACAGATCAAATATAGGTGTATGGTTTTTGAAAACCGAAACAGTGGCATCAGAGCATGGGAGAGCTTGCAGCGCGTGTTAGCATTCAAAGGCTACTTATTTAGTAGGTAGTTCATAACTATTAGTTCTCGTTGCGCGAAACGATACTATCAAATGCAATATTCAAGTAATACTGGCACGGTGGATTACTAGAAACCCGGTGCAATCATTTCGTCTTCCTCATGCCGATGCTCAAGGCATCGATCACAACGAAAAAGAGGTGATATCAAAAATTGCGCTCACTACGATCCACGAGGGATAATAGAAGAGGGTCGACTCCGCGCTGTGCAATGCAGGTCTCTCCCCTTGGCAGCCCTCATGCTTGAGCGAGGGCTGCCTGAACAAGGTAAGTATGAAGAAGAAAGGAAAGAAAAGATTAAAAGCCGGGAGGAAAGCCAGGTATTTATACCTTTTCCCAGAGGCGCGCTAGGGCGGTGAATCAGTAGAATACCTCCAAGGCAACTGCTGCCTGCACTGTGCAATTTCCTGTGACGAGGTTGGGGGGTTTCGGATTAGTCATGTGACAAGAGGCAGATCATCCAATCAAACGATTCCGGTGTGGATACAACATTTGCATGATGCAGGAGCGATTTAGGAACGTCTGATAATTGAGTGCAAGAGCACCTACTACGTCGTATGTCGCTATTACTCAGTACCAGGTAGGTAAACGAAGAGAGAAGGATCAATGTTGTATAACTAAATCTATTTCACTCTTTTCATGTGAAAAAGAACTTGTCAAAAAGTTCATTGCTAAACCTTTGCCGAGCTTCTTCCAAATTCCATCCTTGCTTTTGTGCAATTTGACCAAGCGTTTCTCGGAACTCAACGATGGCATCGCGGTACGATTCCTTCATGTACTCAACCATGGGCTGCCCACGAACAGTCATAGTGGCCCATTCCTTAGCCCAATGCGGCCGTGTCTCTAGATACTTTCCCTGGTTGTCTTTCAGTTCCATCCATTGATCGATGACGTATTGCGCATATGGAGTCCATTCCGCCTCCATATTCTGCAGTGTTAGAACCTCGATCGAACAAGTGCCCAACTTATGTCCACGGAACGGCGCCATAGTCACATTGGAGGGGCCAGTAATGCGCATCTCGAGGGGCATACGTTGGGGGCATGTGTCGCTATGCTTGTACGCGGCTAGTATCGCATCCCACCACGCCTTCTGCACAAGAGACCAGTTAATTTCCGCATCCGGCTTCGCGTCCTTCAAACTGCCAACCTTAGGCTGCAATGGGATCTCGAGCTCTGTGTCTCTGACTCTGACATTCTGAATGGCTCTCCGGAAGTGTAGCGCATCTGGTAGCTGCGTTCTAATTGTATCCTTCGGGTCGGTGATATTCGGCATGGCATATAGACCTAGTTTCGACAGCAACGTAGTTTGCGCCCAGGGGAATATGTTCTGCAACTTGAGGAAAGCTTCGGAGTCTTGGATGACTTGGATAGCCACGGTCTCGACCCACTGGAGAAGAACGCCGGCCTTGCTCGGGTAGTCCTTCGCTCCTTGGCCGTCTTCCGTGTTGTTCCAGCAGTTCACCCAGACCTTGCTCGTGTACGGGAACCAGAACCATTCTGCATAAAAGTCGTCTGCCGCACGCTTCTCAAAGTCCGCTTGAGCCTGGACACGTTGCTCTGGCGACATCTTGATCCGCAGGGGTTCGGGAATGTCCTCATCCGCCAGTTCGGGAGGAGGCGGGATGGCCTGCATAACGGGAATTTGTACAGGGGTCATAACTGCGTATGTCATGGGGTCAAGCTCAAGAGTAATGTGGGTGGCGATTCCCAAGAGTCCAAAACAACCACTAGCTACGGACATGAAGCTAGGGTCCTTGTCTTTGCTGATGGTTTGCAGGTTGCCGTTGACATCTACGTACTCGATGGCGTATACCAGATCGCTAAGAGTTGGATGTCTTCGGCCAGCACCATGACAGATTGGGGCGTTGGACCCTCCCATGGTGATCTCTACCATGATGACATTCAACGGGAGAGTTGAAGCGGCGTCTAGCTTCTGTTTGTTGCACCACCTCCTGAACATTTGATTAGTCACCGCGGTACCAACCCGAACGAGTCGCTTCTGCCCTCTTTGAGGCGTTCCCACAAAGTCGATGCTATTGAGCTCTGTGCCACGGACGAAGAATTGGGACCCGGGTAACGATACGATATTCGGAAGCTTTGTAGCTTCAAATAAGCCTAGAGTCGAGATGATGATCTGACCGTTATCGCTGAAGACTGGAGACCATGAATGGCGATATCCAGATGCTCTAACCCTCAAGCCACGAGCCTTTGCGTGCTTGACAATCTGTTGAATGCCATAAGATGTGCTCGGGATATAGGTAAGACTCGGGGTGTTCTTGACAGTAAGGCCCCAATTCTGAAACTTCTCTTCGACGTGAACAGCGATCTTCACCTTTTTGCTTTCGTCGTTGTAAAGGGTTACATGCTCATGCATGCCATGAATTACATCGGAGAAGGCAGAGCGTAATTCTTCGCCAATTGAGAGGTGATCCCCTTCATTAGATAAGGCCGGTAATTCATCACGAGCACCGACAGATAGGCCCACGTCGAAATCGTCAGGGAGGTCGTCGGCTGCCTTCTCATCTTCAACAAATTTTCGTATCAAGCTCTTTTCCTGGGCGGAATATCGCTTGAGGATGTCGCTATATGTACCATCGGACTGAGATTTCCAAAAGACACGCAATAGTCTGCGAACAGATTCTTCTCGAGGCACATTTATGTCTGGGGAGACAATGTCGTCGAGAAGCTCCGCTAGCCCCGGCAACTGGCTACCAAGCTCATCGTCATTGTCGTGTAGCTTCTCCGAGAGCCTCGCGAGTCTGCTTTTCGACCTCTCAAAGATGGGTTCTGTGTGGGACATGGTGAAGACAAGATTGCTATACTCAAATATGACAGTCTAATGACTTGAATATTTGTCTAAATGATTTGGAGTAACGAAAGCTACGGGGACGAAGATCAGGTATTTGTATTCACGTCCCTGAAAGAGATCCAGCTTCCATCATATAGGTACACTGTGTGTATTAAAGCATCCTGATCCACGCTCTGATCCGCAGCGCCAACAGCCGCATTATGCGGTCTGTAATACGTCAGGGGGAACAATAGGCTTTTCTCATTACTTTTTCGTTCTAGACAACGCCATGCTCTGAGTTCGTATACCATCGTATCAAGAATACTCAGCTCATGTCAACAATGATTGTTAGCTGTGACTAACCGCTTCATCTTATAAGCTTACACCTACCTCACCGATCAGCAGGCCTACTATGGTAAGCATCTTTGCACCACATTATAGCAGTAAATAAGTCCTAGACTGTCTGGGACATCATCACACCGACTTGGCACGACAATTCTAATCACACGATACTTCCAACCCCTATCCGCCCCCAAGGAGTGGCGTCTGTCGGTCAGATGGCCAAGACTACGAGGCTGGGACTTGTGCTCGGAAAATATGTAGCAATTGGATAGTACAAAAGTTATACACCTATATGTAGACCTTGGAGGAATGAAATGTACGTAAGCACTGCCTATCATACTTTAGTACGTATATTGCGAGCTGAATGCTAGAATATCCCTTACAGAATGTATTGGCTTCTTGATATCAGACCATCATTGCAGGATGGCCGGCCTGTTAAAGAGCGAATTCGACTTGTAATATGTCATTGTCTTGTATACTAAGACATGGCAATCTTTATAGTCTAGATTTGTGAGTTCGTGAAATATCCTTCGTTTTGAATGAAAGGGGTTAGAAATTGACATAGATCCGGATAACTTCATATCTAATCTATCATAATGCAATAACCCCCACCAACGTGAACTCTCACGTGATCCCAGCTCTGACGTTCGTTTTCGAGCTTTAAACACTCACAGAGCTAAAGCTCACTTAGAAATCCGAATCCCTCAATTGGACCGAAGAAATCGACCGACCTTCTCCAATCCCACCACCTTATTCGAAGCAACGCTTCCGAACCCAGTATCGCGCAGCACAGGCAACTACGTACAAAAGCCCACGCACACACCGACAGACAGACCGATAGACACAGCAGAAAGAAAAAAACGCCATGCGGTCGTCGTTACGACTCCTCGCGGCCGTCAAGCCGGGCGCGCGGTACCTCGAGCCGGGCGTACCGACGGGGCTGACCGGAATATGGACGCACGTGGCGCCGCGGTCGGCGCTACTGTTCTGGTACGCGCGGACGCTGGAGAAACTCCAACAGTTCCCCGAGGCGTCGCTGTACCGGCAGTCGGTGGAGGCGCTGACGCGGCACCGGCAGGCCGTCGTCGCCGCCGTCGAGCCCCCCGGCCACGCCGAGTGGGAGGCCAAGGTGCGGCAGATCGTCGAGTCGCAGCCCGACGAGTCCTTCCCCGTCCGCAGCACGGGCCCGCCGCAGGGCGGCCCCGCGGCGGGGCCCGCGACGATCCTGAAGCATAGGGTTAATGACGATTTGTTCCTGCATGAGGTTAGTCGGAAGAGGGTCGATAAGCGGTATGAGGAGTGGGATGGCGAGGCGGATGAGGGGCCGGGCTCGGAGGGGCTGAAGGGCCCGGAGGATAGGCAGGATTTTGAGAAGATTTTCCGTGAGCCGCGCGAGAGGCCTGGTGAGGGCGTGCCGTGGGAGTCGGAGCCCCAGTTGACTGCTGATCAGTTAGTTGCCCCCACGATGATTTGTCTAGTGGTTTACTAGATTTTGTATGGTATTTATGGTGATTCTGATTGCTAACGGTGGTGGTGATAGGATTGAGGAGATCGAGAACAAGCTAGGGAGTGGCTTGATTGAGGAAGTAATAAAGCTGGCCGAGAACGAGTGCAAGCTCGTGGATATCATGTACGAGAACAAGGTGTAAGTACTATACATTCCACTGGTCACTCACAAATAAGGGGTTTTGAGGATGACTGACAGATAATACAGATGGGAGGACCTAGAGGAGAAGCCGGCCGAGGGTCAATGGACGTACTTCGAACGACACAACACCGAATAAGGGGCTTCACATCTCTCGGCGTGAGATGCCGTTCCAAAATTCCGCGAATTTGCCTCCATGTGCCGTTACAGAGCACATGTACAGTATAGAGGGAAACCCTTGTACATATGAAGTATGAATTAGATTATGAAACGTCTTTAAAGATACCTAAATATGCATCTTAGAGTGTTCGGACCTCATACCTGTCATCTCAGACATGGACGAGTCGTTTTGTTTTTCGGGCAGTCCTACCTCTCAAGTAATTGGGGGTACCGAATCCTTCATCCTCAGGCTTTCTTAGCCAAGTTCCACATAAAGATTTAAGGGTAAGGTCACCACCATCTTCATCGTCCCTTGGAAGATAGGGGTAAGAACTTATCCCTTTATTGCTTGCTCAAAACTCTACGAACGAGTCAATTCAGCATGGTCTAGTAGCAAATTGTAATAGCAGACTTGAGAAAGAATCACAGATCTGAGCCATACAACATATCCAATGTAGTGGATTGCGTTTATATGCCTCTTGTTAAGAGATAATGGAAGGTAAGAACTACCCATGATCTTGGTTAAAAATAAGCCAAACAAAAGAGGAGCTATTACTGCAAATATTCTGTAAGACTCATTAGCTTGCAAGCCATTCTATATAAATATACCAAATCCTTATGTCTTTATTGTGTACTATAGTAGGAAGCAAATAGTGATGCAGATGAAGCGTTGGGTCGCTGGAATCAGCCACTAATGCAAGCACGGTTCGGCCCGCAAACGCTATTACCATCATTTTCAACGAAACTTGAAAACTTAAGAATAAACCAGACATTCAATTGTATCAAATCTTTACTTCTTGATAACTTTACAGTAATCCTGTTGTAAATCTACTGTTTAGTAATGGGGTTCTAATACAAGATTAGATTTGAAAGTGCGCATCTGCTTGGTTAAAATAAGAAACCATGGGGCCGTTTGCGCTCCCGGTACCTAGTTATCGTCTCGGGGTACACTTGCGCACTGGGAAGAAGAAAGCGGCCGACGATGAAGAAAACGTCTTGTCCGAGACAGAGCGGGATATTCCATCACGTCTCCCCTCAGACTCCATCAATCCTCTCAGCCACCCGCCCGACACTCTCCGGCAGTTTGCCGTCGCCGGCTTGTTACCTGAAGAGGAGGTGCCATCAAAACTGCACCCCTTATTTCCGCACAAACCACTCCCATCTATAGGGAAGGGAAGGAGACAGGGAGCACGTCATGATAGCGTGATATCCACAGCCAGCGGAGTCGAGAGCGAGGATGACAGAGGAGCTGCGAAACCCCAAGATAAGGGTACTTCAGTGAGACAGCTCACGGAACGACTAAGACATGTGAGTACTATGACGGCTATTTTGCACCGGTGTCTCAGCGACGGCGACATCGCCCGGGCGAAACGGGCCTTCGGTCTGCTGATTCAGAGTAAATTCGTCGATATTCGACTCGGCGGGCTTTGGGCGGTGGGCTCGGAAATACTCATGCGGGACGGCGAAGCAGATGAGCAACAGAGTAGACAACCCCCACCACCATCATCACCCCAAGAGCAGCAACAAGCCGTAAACGAAGAAGAACAGGATGTAACACGCCGCTGGGGCTCGGCCGCCAACATAGACAAGGTGCGGACCTACTTCGAGAACCTAATCCAGCAGCACCCGCACGACCAGCACCGGCCTCACCTGACCAGCGCGCTAGACTTCTGGCCCGCGCTCTTCGGCGCCGAGATCTACAACCTAGACGCCGAGTTCCGGCGCGCTCGGCGACGTCTCGAAGACTCCTTCTCTTCCTCCTTCTCCGAGGATAGTTTTATGGAGGAAGACGGTTTTGACGCCGATGTAAGTATGGATGTGGATATGGATACGGACGAAGCCTCCGAGACTCACAGACGCCACCGCCACGACGACGACGGCGGCGGTGCGGGAAGGGACCGCGTGCGCTGGGCGGCGCGCGACGAGCTGCGCTCCGAGACGCAGGGCGCGGCCGAGCGCATCGCGCGGCAGATGGACGCGACGATGGAGAACGCGCCGTACGCGTCGCACCGGGGCCTGCTGTGGCTGCGTGCCAACCTGGCTCTGTTCGTCGGGGACCTGCACATCCCGTCGCGGCTGCTCGACGACGGGGGTCGCGCGGAAGAGGGCGAGGGCGAGGAGGCGCTGCGCGCCCGTGCTGAGACTATCGAGGAGCGCGGGGCGCTGGATAGACGCCGGGAGGAGCAGGAGCGGGCTAGGACGATGTTTCGCAAGATTTTGGATGGGGGAGGTGAGTTAGATAGATGGGCGTTGAAGTTTGTGAACGCGGGTGAGGAGGAGGAACATGATGTGAGTGTGGAGGATGAGTGGTAGGTGGTTATATACCCCGGGTAACGATGGATACCCCTATTGCATTGATATATCTATACAACGCCTCTGGAGCTCTTGTACTATGTCTCCTACCTAATAGTGCCTAGGTACTAAATCCTTTAAAGATTCGCAAAGGAAATTTGAGATCGTAAGATCCATGAACTCGAACACTGTACGATACTCGTAGCAACGCAGAATATACCCAAGTAGGGGCGTAGTGGAAGTTAAACGGCAATACACGTGCCATATTTCGAATATCTTGACCATACAGTGACATCTAGAGTACAAGCAAGCGTAGAATATAAACACGCAATTATAACATGCCGCACGCCGGTCCAATGCAAATTACCCTCGCGTCAAAGGTCGACCCGTCTGACTTTTGACTTCGTTCTCACTCATCCGCCTCCATGATCCGGTGTTCTTCGTGAAAAGTCTAGCTGATGAAACATAGACATCCCAGCCCGAGGTAGAAGACGAATAGGGGGTACACGGCGATGCCAACTCGGTTCTTGACGACGCCGCTGCCGCCCAGTATACTAACGCCCGCGGCTAGCGACCAGCCCACCAATACGAGGTATACAGGAATTCGGGCGATCGTGGGTAATCCGAAGGCCGACATCACGGACGCGATGACCAGCGGGAACAGGGTATATCCGATGATACACACGCTCTGCGCGAACGAGCTGTCATCTATTAGCACACATTATACCACACCATACCTCCACACGAAGGTCAAGAATAAACTCACATATTCCCACCGAGCAGCTTAATCTGCAGCGTAACCACGGCCTCACCAATCCACACAATAGCAAAAACGCCACTGAACACAATATCCTTCTGCTCCTCCTTGCCGCGCAAGCTCAGAAACAGAGCAAGCAACAAACAAAAGATCAGAGGCCCCCACATATCCCAGTCGCGCAGCCCGGGGCTCATGTTATTCTGGTTGAGCAAGCTTTCGGGATCGAGTACGCGGCCGGCGAGGCCGGCGAGCTCGTCGCGGGCGGCGCCGAGCCCGGCGCCGCGCAGGTTCGCGTACGCGCCGCGCAAGCCCTCGGCGCTCTCGAACATGGTGCCGCCGAACAGGTACCGCGGGTACAGCACCTCGCGCATCTTCGACCACACCGCCAGCAGGTCCCGGCGCACCGTCTCCCACACGCTCTCGTCGATCGTGTTCTGCGGCGCCCGCCGGTCCTCGCCGCCGATGCGCGAGCTCAGGTAGTTCCCGTCCACGGGCCGCGAACCGCTACCACCACCTGCTGCCGCTGCTGAGGAGGAGGTCCCGATGTTCCCGGTTAGCGGCGCGCGCTGCGATTCCGCTTGCGAGAGGGGGTCGTCGAAGTCGTTGAGGTCCGCTGTGGGGGGTGGGTTTGCGTGTAAGTAGGTTATGACATGGTATGGTCTAATGCTACACACGAGACGAAGAAAAGCATAGCAAATCAGGGGATACACCAATGCCTCAAGCAAGGCTAGCTGCCTTCAGGTGGGTATGTATAACTCACCATCGTCAGGATCGATCAGGTCGTCGTCCTCGATCTGCGGACTCTCGTAGTGGTGGCTAGCAGATGAAGCCATTTCGGGGCAAAAGTGGCTTTGGCTTTGCTTTGCTTGGCAGGTCGTGCGGCAAAAGCGACCAAGTATCTCCTTCGATAATTTCTTCGATCAAGTCCTAGCGGATAAAAGCCGTCATCTATCAGGGCCGAGAGGGAGCAGGCCTCCTAGTCGTGCATATGCCGTAGTTACGATGTTGTTTGATTTCCTAAAAGCTTTGGGCGAATTACGGAGTACCACCGTGTCAATTCAAAAGACGTAAGCTTCACATGGTCCAAGCTCCAGGTTAATGTGGGTCTTAGTAAAGCTTTTTGATTGGCTACTTCTAACGAGCCTTCATCCATCGCTGCACTAATTATGTATGTACTACATATACTCCACACATCCATATTCTGTAGGTACGTCACACGTAAATCCATTCATGGCTACATTATGGATGTATTATACATATGTACACACTCGTCACGCCATCCATTTCACGAGTAACCAATTTGTCACTGCCGTGTGCTGCCCGCCATTGCCGCTACGAAGAAACAACAAAAGTAAAGAAAAAAAGAGAATGGATGGATGGGGGGAGGTATCACAATAACGGATTCCGACCCGTTCGACCGATTTTATCCCCCCCTTTAAAGAATCTCTTCTCCATGTGCAGCCATTTGACAGCGCGGCTGCTAGATCAGGAAAGTCACATACGGCAATCCGGCTTGGGAAGGCAGATCCGTCAATATTGCATTATTCTTTCCAGCTATACTTGACAACAAATATTCTGACAATATTCTGTACTTCCATCTAGTCTGGGTATCTCGATTTATGAAGCGTCTGTTGTCCGCTTCGAAGAGCCTATATCTCCCTACCTCCTATTATGCCATATCCTATCAGTCAAAGCCAAGCATAACCATCATATATCACCTCCTATATTACTCCGTGTTGATTTCCCTTAAATGCAGATATCGTCTTTCGGCTTCATTGCCCGGCTTTCCCACGATGCGACAACCTGATAGGCAAATATGCGTCGCAGTAGTGATGCTTCTCCATGATTCCCTCAAAACGCCCCGGCCAAAAAAGAATCCGGGCCTCGCTCATTATAACCATATCATTAGTACAGAGGTATGATGCAGGCGTGATGAAACTAAACTTCTGGTTCCGACGCCCTACGGCCACACATTTCTGTAGCTTCGAGGGCCGTCCCTAAATCCGTGTGCCTGTGTCGTAGGAATCGCGTAGTTATTTGCGTTCTGTTGGGTATATGAAGCCGAAGCTTCTACCCATGGTTCTGTCAATTGCTGGTTAAACCCAGAGGGTTGAAACGATGGCGGCACCTGGGTATATGGACGCCAGGGTTCGAACGTAGGCGCGGGCGGCCTCGAGCGCGTCCATTGGGGCGGGTTTGGATAGCCAGGATTCCCGCCGCCAAGCTCTGTTGTAGTAGAACCGTAACACCTCTGTGGACTCTCGGTATTAAGGTTAGATACATATCGCGGATCGGCTGGCACTATTGCTTCAGTAGAATGGCTCTCCGACGAAGAGGTTGCACATTGTTGAGGAGGCTGTGGTTCAAGACTGCGATACGAAGACTTTGATGTCACTGGATCCCAGGCTAGCAGTCCATCCTGAGGCTGTGAACTCTCTCTTGGCACTCCGCGGCCATACGCGGCAAGATTGCCGTTAATGCCTACTAGTGCCCATGCAAACACAGCCACATCTCGGATGGACCTCATAAGCTGATCAATCGGCGGTCCTCCTGCAGTCTTGACATGCTCCCGTAAAGGCATATACTGTGGGAGGAGAGGCGGCCGAAATGTATAGAAATGTTCCGGAGGATAATAAGGCCGAATGGGTTGCTCGCTCCACGGAGCAGCGAAAAGCCCATTCTCAAAGTCGACTGGAAGTAAAGGTGGATGGAGAGAGGGGATCGGCGGTCTGGCTTTTCTCAACACCACAACCAGCCCGTCCGAAGTACAGGAAACGACGGCTTCTAACTCAAACGTGGGGATAGGATTCCGACGGCGACTCCGTCGCCCGTTCATGCGTCTCGCCGAACCTGAATTTTGGTGACAAGCATCTTCCGACGTTTGGTGTCTCCTGTTTTCAGGTAAAGATGTAAAGAGCTCATTCGGAGAATCCTCATCGATGATGATTTTCTTCGACAGCTCTGGGCTGACACTAGTCCCGGTCTTCGTCTTGAGATCGCAAACTCCGTCAATGTCAACATCCATGGCATTTTCGGCGTAAACATGGATATCCGGGGTAATTACATCGCTGTCGGCCAGTTTCCCATTTTGTTCTTGCTCGGCTTCCTCGTCGTCTTCATCGTTTTCGCCATCGTCTTCGTCTTCGTCCTCATCTTCGAAATCCTCTTCCCTTCGGGGGTCTCGGTACCAGAAACGAAGATACGCGATCGAATCATTAGCTTTGGCGCTCTCTAAGCATTTGATGGCATCTGCTAGACAGTTCTCGGCAATGCATTCGTAGAAACTTTTGTCTTGGACCTGATCAGGTCTCACACCAAGTATCGAAGCAACAGCATTAGTAGCAAACATGACCGTCAAAGTACGTGTAAATCTGTTAAGAATAAGAGCTGCTCGCGGTTCCCGTTCCATTGGCTGCATCTTGAATTTAGGTGAAAGGTGCTCAAGCATATGATACCGTGGGTCCCTTGGCGAAGACGAGAATATTCGCCGGATCTGGGGTGCTTCTATTGCCCGTCCTGCCTAATCATTAGCGGCGAGAACGACCTAAAGTAGGAAGTGTCAAGATATCTGGAACGCACTCTCACTCCTTTCGCCACGCCTGTATATGCTCGTACAAGCTACCAGGACATCGTGAACTATCGTGAAACAGCATTCGCAGCTTATCCACTGTCCATCTCTCGACATGATCCGGGCATAGTGCAGGACTGCCGCTTTATCGAGGAGGACGCCCCTACTATGCACGGAGCGCGCAAACGGCACCTCTTCGGGATGAAAGAATTCGAAGCATGATTTGCCTTGCACGTCTTGCGGTTGGTATCCTAAAATATCCGCAATCGACTCAGATGCGAAGAGGATGTTGGCGTCGGGCGACAGGTCTGTGAAGTATCAACTATTAGTCGCCGTTTGACTGGTTGGGCACAAAAGGTAGAGCGCGCTGCCCTTGGCCACCGTGCTTCCATCGTGCTTGAGCATCAAGGGTACTAACTATGAATGGTCATGAAAGTCTGCTCCATTTGATTCGATATCCAGGCTCCTGGAAGATGCTACTGCTGTTCAACGAAAATCGAACTTCACCCCATAAGCCAAGACTTTTTAACAGTCAACCAGCACCAGCTAAATGCTTGTTTCGGAGGGCGCCAACAAAAACCCGAGGACGAACAAAATGTAGTGCCCCAAGGTGGCTCCTCAGAAGCGAGTCTGATGGGATGGCAAGTTCCGAAATTCGTGTTTCGTGAGACTGAATTAAGAGTCGGCTGTTCAGGACAGTTAGGGAAAGGCCCAGGCGGACGAGCCAACGAGATGTCTCTGGATAACCGAGTAGTGTATGACACAGATCCCGCCGTCACCGTCGGGTAGGTGAGAAAGTCATACAGGCTGAACCCAGAACAAGTTTGGTGTAATGTCCAGGAAGAGATGGCGAGATTGGGGTGGCAGTCTCGCGCGAGAGAAGCTGGTTTGAGAATCTGTTCAGGCGTTTCCCTACACACGTTGTCGTAGCAGCCAGCTAGCCAGGAGGGTCGCGGCTGGTGGTGTCACAAAGGCGTATAGTCACTCGGCTCGGTGCAGTGATGAACATGGATCAGCATACGCAATGCAAGAGAGCAATGGTAGCCACTGGATAGGTGTACCGGTTACGGGGAAAGAAGTGGGCGACGGTAACCAAGCAGAATAAATATCCAGGGCAACCAGCCTGTCATATATGGTAGGGCTGGCCTACTAGCAAGCAGGTCCGGGTGTATTCGAGGATTGAGTTGCACGTCCGGCGGAGTTTGGTGCGGGTGGCGGGGATAAGCAGTTGAGGCCTAATGGTTGGTCTCGTTTCTCCTCGGACGAAATTGATTAATGAAAGAAAACATTCGAGTTGGTCCAAGGGATACGTTTGTAATCCGCCCTTCCTAGTGGTGGTAGTGGTAGAGGTGGAGGGGGAAAAAGATGAGTGAGTATATGGGATAATGGGTTACGGAATATGGAATATAGAATATGGAATATGGGAAGATGTAAAAACGAGTGAAGGTTGAACGCCAGTGACAAGAGTACAAATTGCATTGGACGGGAACTTTCCAGGAAGTCGAGGGTCAGGGTCACTGTGTTGTCTTTAAGGCTCTTACGCCAAATATGCAGCACGCCTTCCCATTTGTCAATGCCACCGGCAGAGTATATATGTAGCAAATTATGTGGGAAGGTCGTAACAAGGTAGCTACCACTTTCAAAATATAGTTCTGCTAATGTACAGTTTGGTACATGGAATAACAGCTCGAGTGCTTCGGTAATGCAGGTAGCGTAACGGCAATGGATATTTACTAACTGCCTTGAAATACAACCCTTGGATAGTCGCTTCCATCCCGTTTATGGATGACACTGTACCTCCCTTTTACCTGCCCTAATGCCATAGGTTAGTACCTGGATACGTCTAATTCCGTAGGTGTACGTACCCAATTCCCAATCTGCCATGTCTGCCAATGCCCAACTTCTCTACCTAGTGCTAGCCTCCTTCCAATCGCAGGGGTCCATTTATGGATGAACCCCTCAGTCCCTGGGGAATCGCTTCTCTAGAATACTTCCGCACCTACATACCGTCGTCTTGTTTAGAGTCTGCTAAAGCCTGGGCTCCAGGTCTTACGGGGGTGGATAAACCCTACCTAGGTCGCTCTTGCATACTGTATATAGCTGTAGCCCTGGAGTATGTACATCCATATTACTATGCAGCTTAGCATGATGGGAGCAAGGATAGTAAACTAGCCGCTTTAGGCAGTATGATGTCTTGGGAAACCCCACATGTAGATACATGGAAGTTTAGCTTCATACTTAGTAGCGTGTCCGTCTATCAGCTAGCACTATTTTTCCAGCGTACCTAGGACTCCGTAATATCATGTACTAAATAGTTAAAGTGAGTATTCCAGTTTCCTTTATCAACTCTTCAAGATTCGCACGGTGATTTACCTAGGTATGTATAATAATAATAAATATTGGGAAGACTTCACGTGCATGTGGCCTTGAAAGTTTGGACCCATCGTGTGCTTACGTTTGTTTTCTCGGATATGTATAATACGTATTAATGTGCATTAAATTCAGCTTTAGTAAGCTTTCTTTCGGAACGCGTTCCCATAAGCAAACGTTCAGCTGTGCAATTTCCTCCTAACCTTGAAGTTCAGCCCACACAATTTTAGATAGTAGAAAACATTGCTGTACTATTATAATGTGTTTCATTTCTACGATACAGATATAACATTAAACATTAACTTTACAAGTTTTTCTTTCCTCAATACTTTGTACTTCCGGAAATGTTTTTGAGTTACATACCTATAATGTCACTTATTCTTGCACATCACGCGTGGATCGGCAATGAATGAACAATCGCGAAATCCGGCCTAGAATAGATATCAGATCGGACAGGGATACTGTACAAGTTGGGAATTGTTTGCGAAGCAAAAACCAACCTCAAGGGTCAAGCGGTGCTAATAACCCTTTCAATTTTCGGGTATGTGCGTATAACATGGGCTGAGCCAATGTCGTGGGTTAGATCATGAACCCGTTCCAAAGTTGAGAGTCCTTTTACTTCTTGCAGGTCTTGGTGTTTGCAGCTTAGGACGGATAGGAGTTGCATGGATGGTTGTGTCTGGAAACGCTGCAAAGTCCAAACCCAATTCAGACGAAAATCCCAGTCCTGGGAAGTCCTTGGGTCCCTAGGATCTACTGCCGGGATTCGTCTTAACCTAGCACTAGCGTAGCCACGCTTCCCGGACTCTCATGGCCACGATGTCAAGAGTTGAGATTCTCTTGTTATATTTCTAGCAGCTCATTCAGTTCATACGTAAGCTCATAAATGTAAGATCTATGATATATGGCATGTTATTTAGTTTTTATCTTTATGTACGTACCTAGGTAGGGAGATACATATCATAAGTTGCTTCCGTTCTTGATAGTACCTATGGCGAGTTCTTACAAGCATTGAAATCCGGGGAAGGACTCGGACTTTACGGCCTCCTCACGTGGCACTTTTCACGCCTACCGTGACCATATCCACCGTGTTTAGTCCCTGTACATGTTACTACCTGGGGGCATGATAGGATTGCTTACTATAGAAGCTAGCGGTCCCAGGAGTAAAAACTTGGCTAATTCCATGATAACTAGGTGGGTAGATATACTCCTATATAAATTACATGATGAGGTCGATTTTTTTCGTGTATAACTGACCTATTGCATGTCAATGCTTGAGCCAAGTAACTGCCTGAGCAGCTTGAGCATATAGGTAAAAGAGATCGAAGCTAAGGAGCTGGGCACATCAGGGATAGACTCGGTGTGACAGTTATGCCGACTTGTAATAGCGATATAGCGATGATATCTCAACTATCTTTTGCTTAATAAGACCTAGGAAGATGTTAATAATACTATATTTACCCATTTGGTAAGACTAAATTATTTCTACGTGTGGTAAAATAACCTGTTAGGGTCGTTTAGAAAATAGAAAAGATTAGCCAGTTCAACAAGGTCATAATCTTTAGCAAGGTAAGCAAGGTCAAAGCTCACACTAATTGTATCCCACGATTTTGAGCTCCCTTGTATAGCCGCAGTCATCGGTGAGCTCTGATTGGACCAGACTACCTTGACGATTCCACCGGCAGCCTAGGGCGAGCAGCATGCATCATCAAGCAGGTATTGAAACGGCTTCACAGTAGGTATGTACGCAGTACATAGGGGAGAACGAATTTATCGGCGGAAGCTTGATTACCCACATGGAGCAAACTTAGTGTAAGGGCACGCGAATTCAAAAGCCATTCTCACAATAACGACATTGGAATCAGCTTAGATCTACGGCTACCAGGATATGAGCTACCCCGGTAGTCGTGGGTACCTATCATACATACATACCTAGGTAGTAATGCTCAAACATAGCCGTGCCAAAGCAGAAAACATTAAGAAACAAATCCACATCCCTAAAGCTCACGATACAGGCAAAACCTAAAATGAAGCTAAATATCATTTTTCTTATATTTCTTCTATCCCGTAAAGTCTAACCACTTCCATGTCCACGTATCAGATGGCTCATAACAAGTGAAAAGTATGGAATCACGTCGTCATAGCCCTCAGCCAAACGGAATGGCTGCATTCAAGTCAACCGATTCCTATGCACTCCATACATCATCCTAAGCCTTACGGGTGTGCGCCATGAAGACTAGTTGCATGTGAATACGGAATACGGTCGAACACCCATGTATCAAGCTAAACTATATGGGAGCCCCTTGGGGAAGGGGGAAGGGGGTAAGGGGGTTAAAGAGCGATGCGTCCGCGGCGTCTCGCTAACACGGCATCGTCCAGTCACATCAAGTCGTGCATGCAGTATCGCACATGTCAAAATTGCAGTGTGCTATACTTGTCGTGTTTTAATTCATGGGTGTGTCAATGGACTTGACCTTCTTGCTAGGGTCCATCCCAATACTACGGACAAATAAGTTGGGCAAATTCTAGGGTGTTCAGTCCAAATCTTCCTCTCGGGCGTCATATCGAAGCTAGACATAGCAGCTGAAGGGTTTGGAGAGCTACAACCAGGTACATCAAATTGGAGATGGATACATGATGATACCCATTACTCGAGCATGTACAGAATATGCGTACGAAAAACTGGCAAAACTGGCAAAACTAGCGAATTGAGGTCTACTACTAGTAAACAGGTACTAGTAATACTAGGTACCTAGGTAAGTTTGAACGGCCGTAAGGATGGATTTTTCAGCAATTTCTTGAAGGCCTTCTAAACCTACCTGGGTACCTTTCTAGTTACTTTTTAGCGTTTACTGGGCGCTGGATGTCTGTGCACGGCCGCGTACCATTTGAATTGCCCATCCATGTAAATAACCATGTAAATAAAACCCGTTATCCATATCAGTGTAACCGTCATGCCCTGTAACTTACAACATTACTTGGGAACGATAGCGAGTATCTACAATTATCTAGTCGTCTTTATTTTCATACTTATGTAGGTACCTATCCAGGTCGAAGAAACTGTAGTATTAGGATATCTATCCGATATTCATTCCAGGTATTTACGACACACATGCACTTACAGAATACTTACCAGTAATGCCATGTTAATCAGACTATTTGATCATGAAAGCTTCATGTATGTGGTTTCAAAAGAGTCCTGGAGAATGAGATGATAGCTCCAGCCACAACCTTGTACGTACCTGATTAGCGTGCGGCTTGATCGCGGCGCAAAGGCCGCTGAAACCCCTGAAGCAGCGGAATTATTTGATTTAATATTTGATTACTGAACATCGACGGTCGGTACCCGAATAGTCTCATAGTCCAATCAATCGATCAAGTTTCCGACACTACTCAGAATTGGCCGTTAGGCTCATCGCATCCATGGATCTGAGCTAGTACAATTGCAGCCTCACAGAACTCCCATACGCACACACCACTACCTAATTGCGCTTAGGGAGCCCAGGAGCCAGCCCCTGAATGCCCTAGAATAAGTAGAATACCTACCTAACAGGTTCCAGCAGACCCAGCTGGTTTGTTCGTCGCAACTTCGCGTTATCGCTAGTGACCCTTGTACCCGATTTCTCGACACGCTCTCCTTACTTTTGCCCCGCCATAGAGACCGAGCCTGTCGACTTAAACGGGGCTTTTACATAGTAGGGGGGCTTAACGGGAATTATGCAACACACCCACACTCAAGATGCCATCCGCGATCAGCACTGATGAGTGGGATCTCCCGCGCTTGAAAGCCTCAATTGTCTTTGAGGTGAGGCTATCTCAACGGATGCCGTTCCCAGTGGCTTATAATGTGTGTGTTGACCGATCATTGTTTCCCAGGACGATTACCAAAATCTAGCCTCCGATGATCAAGATACCGGTAAGGCGTCTCCCGATGCATTGCCAAGTGAGATTTTCTCTAACCTTTGCCGCTAGAATTCTTTGATGTGAAATTCTACCCCTACTCGGACGTCACACACGATCCGGTCTTTGCCGCAGTGAGCAAGAAACATGTTGTCATATATCGCCTTTCCAATAAGGCCAATCCCCCTTACGAGCTTGTCCAGCTTTTCAGGGATGACGACGTGAGTTCGCCACTATCTGTCATAGAGACGCCTTCACTTACAATGATGTAGAAGGAAGCCTTGAATTGCAGCTGCACTTGGACCAAAGATCCTGAGACCGAAGTCCCCTATCTTTGCGTAGCCGGTAGGGATGCCAAAATCAAAGTATACGACGTTGTCCAGGGGAAGTTAGTAAAGGTCGGTCAGTTTGTGGCATCTAATTATGAGTATTGCGGCTAACAGTTTATATAGGTCCTTGTGGGTCATGGAGGAGTGAGTTTTTGACAGGATAGACTGTTCAAGATACTAAGCTAACGGTGTTTGGAGGAAATCAATGATCTTGCTACCTGCCCAACCAACTTCCTTTTGATCGCATCTGCATCAGAAGATACCACTGTTCGAATATGGAGTCTTGATCCTGCACACTCTCAGCAGCCATGTGTTTGCCTTCTTGCTGGAGAAGGTCATTCGTCAGGATTATTAACAGTCGTACGTATCATCGATTAATCTTATGAACCCATTGATTTAAACTCACGGCCCGAAGGCATACCACAATAGTGGCCGATATATTCTCTCCGCTGGTCACGACAATGTTATCTGCTTGGTAAGAAACCAACCCCCGACATAGACAGCTCATTAACATTTGACAGTGGACACTCCCGGACTTACCTCCTCAGTCCAACGGAAAAACACCCTCAAAACCTATCGTAATCCATTATCCTCATTTCTTCACATCAGAGGTGCATAGTGGTATAGTAGATTGGTAAGTCAACAATAATTCCGTTCAATAGAATCGTAGGATACTTTGCTAACAACGGCTTATAGCGTGGCTTTCTTTGGCGATCTCGTTCTTTCAAGAGCTTGCCATGAAGACATAATAGTTCTGTGGCGGATCGAGGGATTTTCGTCACGCGACCCCCCGCCCGAGATTTCTGAGGCACCTACGACGAGTGATACGGAACGCTTAACCCGTTCTGCATTCGCCCCTGCGACGGCATCAGCATGCCCACCTCAATATACTCGTCTACTGGAGTTCTGGACGCCGCATTGTGGCCACCAGTTCTATCTTCGTTTTAAGCTGTTTCATGACAAGGATAAGCACCCGGTGCTAGCATTCGGTAACGCGAAAGCCATGATCTTCTTCTGGGATCTCGCACGCCTAGGGAGTTATCACCAATTCATCAGCGAAGTTCGAGATCCAGACCGCGATAAGTCCCAGCCAGTTCATCGTCCGGGTTGGCTTGTTCCGATTCAGCATAGACATAAGGGTGATGCTGTCAGCAAGCTCAAGGATGCCGCTAGCGATAGGGAGTCAGTCGCATCGGGGCGCACTGGCAGCGTCGATATCGAGACGCACTTGGATCTTAACACAAACTACTCCCAGGAGACGATAGAATCCTGGGAATTGAAATATGACATGACACGCGTGGAGGAACCTATACGAGCACATTCGCAGAGTAGTATCTCCGCTAAGGACTTCGTCGGACGGCAAGTAGCTTGGAGCGCTAGTGGTGAATGGTGCGTCGTGGTAGGTAGCAAGAATCTCGCTGGCATCTTGCAGCGGTGGCATAAGAAGGATCGCACAGATGACAAGGAGAAGAAGCCGGCTAAGACTACTAGGGCTGAAGGGAGTAGCGAGTCTACATAAACCCTGCGACGCTATAGGTGTGCTGTTTATCCTTTCTGGATCCCACACAACCATTATTTCATCTAGGCCGGTACATTGTATACCAGTATAATAGTAGGGAATGGGTTTTAAATAAACAGGCTGTCAACTTCCAAGTTCCGAATCATCACGCGTTAGTAGGCCTGAGAATGTTGAGAAGGGCATGTGCGACGTTCTTACTAACTCCTACTTCTAAACTAATCTAAAGGAACGACGACGTTGGTAACTCATTAATTTTTCTTATTAGACTCTCCCCCGTCCACATCTCTCACCACGAAAATTCCAAAGCATAAATAACCCCTTTCAACCACAAATAAAGGCCAGGCTTTGTCTTATACCCTTTCAAGTTGCCCAATCACAGGCTCGTCTCTTACAACACCTAACTGATGCAGTAAGGTAGGTCGTTGATGTACTCGCACCAAGCGTCCGGACCGCAATCTCCGCCATCCTGTAAATAATTAGCAACCAAAAAGAAAACGACGACGGAGCCAGAGTTACTTACAACATACCAGCCATCAACATTGCAAACGAGCCAGCCCGAGAAGTCTGACTTGCAGGCGTATGCTGGGGGCGTACACTCCAATTCTTCTATGGCAGTTCCATTGCTGGCCTCGGTCTCGTTGTAATTACCGGTGTAGTTGCCGGAGTAGTCACCGGTGTAGTTTCCGGCCAAAGCCGCCGTGATAAAGGCCGTGAGCGCGAGGAACTTCATCTTCGAGTTGAAAATAGCGGTGCTAGGTAGATAGATAGGTTGTTGGATACTTCGCTGCTGATCTAAAGATGCTCTTGTCAATAGGAGATATTCTTCGCAGATATACCCCTTTTTATAGAACGAGAACCGCACTCATGGTTGTCGTGGCGATCCATCATGAAGCAGCTATTTTAGCACCGTTGAACGTTCATTCTCTTCAAGGTTTTCGACAACGTATGATGCCGTAGTCTGTCGAGAAATTATGACCTGCTCCGGAGCTAATCGACGTTCAAGAATTCAAACCAGTGATATCCAACGTTTCTATCATAACTTTCGATATCTATCTTAGAGTCTCGTTTTCTGGAGAATCCGACCCAGACTATACGATTAGACCAGTTGCATCTTGGACTACTCACGCCAAATTCAGCGTGAAACTCGAGAGATGGTTTCCAGTCCGATAGGAATCATCAAGGTATTCGGACATATCACCGGGGCATACCGGCGCGATCCAAGCAGCGTACTATCTGCCTCGTGCTCTAGATACGTAGCCAAGTAAACGATCTCCACGCGACAAGTTTGCACTGACGTACAGTCCAGTCTGTCTGAAGAGACTAAATTAACGAAGTAATTTCCGCTAGATATCCATGAATAGTGTGCTAGAGCTTTACTTCAAGGTCATAGCCTCGAGAAGCTCTCGAACTAGTAACCTGTTACGGCGTTTGAGCACAGATCGGAATCACCGTTGACTTATGCCATGCGGTCCCGAATTGACCATGCCGTGAGCACGGAGGCTGCTATGACCTCTTCACTCACTAGTATATTTGTTAGTGGATAGTAAGATAATCTCTAGTATCAGTAGGACGCACTTCTGCTTTGACGTTAGACTATTGCTCGACTAGCTTAACTTTCGGGTTGGGGATGTGCAATGACACTCCCGTCTACCTATTTTCTAAACGGCTCTAGTAACGATATGAGATTCCTGGCTTGTAACGTTTATGACTAGGTAGAGTCACCTTCATCATTGGGTCTTTCAGCTTCTTTCCTTTTGTGGTCCTCAGTAATATGATGATTCATGAAATGGTATCTGATACATTCAGTGTGAGAATCGAGCAAACTCGATCCATATGGCTATTCGAAGCAATGATGGACCTATTCACCCCCTTAGCAACGTGTCGAGTTTTGGACACCGGACACGGAGTAATGCTTCACTCAGTCGTAAATACTTAGGTAAGCATATATGATGACATCAAGTATCTTGACTTGATGCTAGGCTAGCAGGTATTTATCTAATTCGAATCATCTAAGCCAGTGTTTCCGTAAGTTATTTCGTTCCTAACGAGTCCACGTAGACTAGGTTGAAACCTGATAGCTATCTAGAAGCGGGATGTTTATGACATGCTTAGTAGTTGACGCAAACCTACTCTAGACTGGAACTTAAGAATCAAACAGTCGATTGGTTTCGAGGCGTTGGAAGACATGGCCACGATGATCTACAACGTATCATAATATATCTCCTTATTGGAGATGTAACAGTTTAGGAGAAGCCCTTATTCGGACAAGGTACAAGGTACCTTAACCGTGATGTAGCGAGACAAACCGAAGGAAAGAGTCTCTCGAGGGCCTCGATTTCTGTCGTGAGTGTAAGTCCATGTTTCACTTAGCAACTTGCACCTACTCAGAAAACAAAAGTTGTAAAATTAAAGTCCTGCTGGGGAAAGAGCAATCAGTTAATGACCTAATTGCCCCAAGGGGCAATCTCTTCCTGTACGTGTCTTCTTTTCTAGAATTTCTCTTCTTCTATGTATTTTCCACCTAGAATCATCTTCAAACCCAGATCCATCTATTTGCGAACATAGGTATCCAGAGAGCATGTATTTCTCTGATTCAGATAATATGCGCTTCCCTAAGCCTACCTAGCCTCCCACTTTAAGAATGACAACGCATACTTTTTAGATTGTTTCTCGCGATTTCCTCGTCCGACTGACCTTCAGTCTTAGCCGTTTATACCCTTAATTAGACCTCTATTGTCTTGCCAGTTCTTTCACATTGGGTAGATGAATCTACCACACGAGGCTTCATCGCTGATCCTAACATCCAATAGGCTTGCACTAGACTAGAGCGATTAACTCATCTTCCGCGCCTTAGTTCCTCTTCTCAGTCCCCGCCAATGGTGCTCGCACGCGGTTTGTTTCGCTGGTCGTTTGTGATTTCTTGGATATTGGGTAGTTCTTGTGGACCCAGACGGGATCTTGCTGCCACTTTGGCGCGGGGCTCGAATACAGTGCAGAGATCTCACCAGCATCAACTCTTACTGTCTAGTTGGCTTAAACTTTATAGGTTGCAAAAATTCGCGCATCGTCACGAACCAACCATGATTTCGGGCAATCGAAAGTGGTCTGGCGCTGCCGTAAGCAGTATGGGGCTTGTGGTTTAGTGGTATAATACTCCCTTAGCACTTGTTAGAATGCAACCCTGCCTGGGAGTGGTCCGGGGTTCGATTCCCCGCGAGTCCATCGCTGGAGGTTAAAATCCTCCTGTACCATGACTTTTTGTCGGTTTTATTGAATTTTCGGTGGCTGGAGTCGTTATAAGGATATATTTGGTCAATTTTTGTAGGTATATCGCATTTTCCATTTGTATGAATTTATTTGTAGCGCTCTTTCCCCGAAGGCTCTAATCTAATGCCTTACCATGTAGGTATTGCATTAATGTTGTCACCCCGGACAAGAGAAACTCAACTCGTGCATCAGTCGAAGTACCTATGGTCACATTAGATTATCGCATGTAGCACGCGGTTGCACTTGAAGCTGTCGTCAATGGTAATGGCGATACCGTGCAACAGTATCCTAATATTACATAGTATTGTTATTGAATATTTGGAAGTACCCTTCATTCGTAGGTACGTTGCAATCCGGGCGATGACTGCTCTTGTCTGCTACAACATCCATCCGCCAGATTCAGAGAAACCATAGAATAGCATGCATCTAGCAAACCTACAGTCTTTAGCAACGTTGTGTCACTTGCTATACCTGGTTCTATGGCGGATACGCTAAACACTGCATAAATACAATTTATAAATGGTTTGATTGTGGCATTGTACCTTTTATGGGCGAATCTTGGTCTTTGAAAGGGATGTCACGAGAGAGCAAATAAGAGGTGTAGGTAGTGGGCGTTCATGACTAATGGCACACCATACTAACTGAAGACGCCATAGTCAAGTACTTTATGAATGGCTTCAATCCTAATCTGGTAGCATGGCAGTGGAAATAGAAATATCATTCGGATAGACCGCCACTTCTAATCGCAGACGTCAATATTCAACTAGGTAATACCCATCGACCTAGATGAAAGTAACTCTAGGCATAGGCTAGCATGAGGCATAGTAAGCGAAGATGTGAAACACCTGTTCATCTAGGATGTTGGCCAACAACGAAGGGCTGAAATAGCTTGCCCTCCTATCTATTTTAGTGGCTAAAGGTATGTGTCCATGACTCCATAGAGACCTAGGCTCGATAGCTATATGGAAATTAGCGAACCTCATCGTAGCTCTTACAATGTCAATTCATCCAAACTGATAATTTAATAAATAAATGTGCGAATAGCTCAGCCTCGAAATCTACCAATTATTTACAAATGACATTGTGAAAGATTAGACGTGACAAGCTAAGGAGATTTGAATGGGATTCGGCTGTGGTGATCGATACATACCTAGTAAGTCATGAGTTTCAATGCGAGTGACGAGGTAATAAAACCCAAGAGGCAGCTTCTAATCGATATATCGCTTAGGGAGGGATAAAAATAGAGTGTTTAAAAAACAAGCGAAACCCAGGGCAGTCGCGCGGCAAAGACATATCGAAGCGTCTATCGACGGAATTAGGAAGTTGTTTGTGTTGCTGTTTCAAGTTTCAGAAGCGCAAGCCCCGCTAGGAAGGGAGTTGAGTTAATGACCAATCAGACCCCGCCATACCCTTATTACGTAGAAGCTAAAGATCAGCGGCATGGGTCCTTGGATGCTCCTGAAAATCCATTCGCCCATCTGGGCCATCGCGGGGCTTTCTTCAACTACATGTCCTTCCCAAAAGACACCGCAATTCTCCAGCATTATGGTCCGAGGAGTCGTTGTACAAGTCATCAATGCTCCTTGACCAGCTTGACCTGGATTGATGGACTCGGACTATGGCTGTACTATTGCCAAGCCAACTCAGACCCTTGCTCATTTCCCCCATGGAATCCGTCATTCTCTCTGCGCCTCTCGGCCGATCTTGTTAGCATATATCGCCATGTGGTACTTGCGGCTGCTGGTTATGACAGGGAACATCAAGTTTCCTATCTCGAGCACCAATAAACTCGATACGCTATGTATGTAGGTAGGAATCTAGCCATTCTCCGTGCGCCCCGATGGCAGTTTAAAGATCTGAATATAATGCCATTGTTTCCCGCTTACACCTTACACCTTGCACCTTACAACAGACTCACGCGGATGAGCGAACCCACGTCATAAGTCCTACTTTCTTTGCTGTCTCTTTCTGTTCATCAGCGTTGATTGCTCTTTCTTTTATTCACCTCCTACTCGTTCTTTTCCTGGCTTATCGTGAATTTATGTGAATCTGAACAACCGTCACTCTCGTCCGTTGTTCGACTCGAAACACATCACTTGTAGAATTTTGTCCTTCATTACCTATAACCTAGAAAACGTCATCTCTTTTACGGGACCCTACAATTTGTACATTTCATTCGCTTCTTTGACCCCCTAAGAGTGTTCACTACAAGGTACATAACATCTAGTGTTCTCCTTGACTCGAAGCACAAGAAACAACTCGAGAACACAGAATAAAACCTGCAATTTCCGAACATTTATACAAATTTGAGATCGCTGCGCGATACCTTTCCTTTCGCCAATCAAAACAGATATGCATATGAAATCTGTTCGTGCTGCTGCGCTGGCGGCGGCAGCGACAGTTACGCTGCCAAAAGACATCAACATCAATGACACTTCATCTATACGGAGCGTCGCTAGTACACTTGCCTGGGAACTGATGGCATGGTATTCCGGAAATGTGACAAACACTCCAACAGTATGAAATACCCTACATTCTGATGTTTTCTTGTCTAAGCTAAAGCTAATTCGGTTGTTCCGTAGACTATTGCTGTTTTCCCCGAACCATACTGTAAGACTTGATAGCTCAGATACTATTACGGTGTGGAACATTGCTGATCTTAGACACAGACTGGTGGGAAGCCGGCGCTGCTTGGGGCGCTATGTTGGATTACTCACATTACACGGGCGATTCAAGTTACGATGACGTTATCTCGCAGGCATTGTTGTCCCAGGTTGGCCCCAAGTTTGATTTTATGGTACCGGAACACTATGGATCGGAAGGAAACGACGATCAAGCCTTCTGGTCTTTTGCCATCCTCAATGCTGCCGAGCGGAACTTTCCACAACCCGAAGACAGCATTCCGCCTTGGCTAGATATCGCTGTGAATATCTGGAACACCATGGTTGCAAGGTGGAATACAACGACATGTGGAGGTGGACTCCCGTGGCAGATTTTCGAGTCCAATCCCAACGGCATGAGCTACAAGAACAGCGTGTCCAACGGTGGCTTCTTCCAGATGTCGGCCCGACTAGCCCGGGCCACAGGAAACAACACGTATCTGGAGTGGGCGCAAAAGGTGTGGGACTGGTCCGAAGCCGTCGGATTTGTGGACAGCAACTTCAACGTGTATGACGGGGCTGACGGTAAGAACAACTGCGCCGTCGTCAACAAACTGTCATTCTCGTATGCTCAGGGCATCTACCTGTACGGTGCTGCTGTGCTGTACAATTACACAGATGGTAACCAGACATGGGGTGACCGCACGATGAGCCTGTTGAAGGCTGCGGACTCATACTTTAGCCCGTACCCGAATTCCACGAACGTCATGTTTGAGCACGCCTGCGAACCTTACGGATTATGTAACAACGACATGAAGTCCTTCAAAGGCTACCTGTCCCGCTTCATGTGGGCGGCGACTCGCATGATGCCCTCGACCCTTCCCCGCGTCCAGACCCTACTGAACGCGTCGGCTGTAGCAGCCGCGAACGCGTGTTCCGGGGGAGAGAATGGCACGGTGTGCGGACAGAAGTGGTACGTCGGCGGTTTCGATGGCGTGACGGGTTTGGGTCAGCAGATGACGGCACTGGAGACCGTTCAAGGCCTGCTCGCGCAGGAAGTGGCCGCGCCGTTTAAGGCTGGCCAGATCAAGCACGTCAAGGGTGTGGAGAACCCGTCGTCATCATCAACGGTGCCGATTGTGTCCATGACATCGACCGTTTTGGCACCAGCTTCTACGTCGACGGCGGCACCTTCGGTTACTGCTACGCCTAGTTCTTCGATAAAGCTAAGCGCTGCGGGCGGCTCATTTGTCGACTGGAAACTGACGGCGCTGCTCTTTTTGGGTTCGGGTTCGGTTCTGGGATTTGCATGATTGGATGATTTGATTTTGTATGAGGCGAGGGCGTGGAAAATGGGTTGGGGCATCGACATAGCAATTGGCGTTTGGATTCCCCTTCTGGCTACCTACTGGACTGGAACTCGGGAGCTTGGATAGTAGTTAAGCTGCTTAACTTGACTTCATAGGATACCATATTTAGAATTAAGATTAGATATAACAATATATCTTTAGATATCTTTACCATGAAGTGTTAGGGTGATTTCACGACAATAATCATGCTCAGATCTTGGTTATAAAAGTGTAGGCATAGCTTAAGCATACCGTCATCCTAATTCTGATCTAAGTCATTTGGATTATGAACTCGGTCGCTGTTTATTCATGGATGTACCTAACTAGCCTTTTAAATTCCAAACTCCAAACATAGATCCAGCCTTACATAAGGCAATCATGTAGAGTAGAGTTGCACAACTCCTTCACCTGGAAAAAGATCTGCTATCTCCTCCAAGGATATTCCATGGGACACCTCTGGTCGTTTCGCGTCCTTCAAGCGTCGAAAGTACACCCTAAGTACCAAAAATAAACAATAATAATAACATAGAAAACACAACGCTACTTCTAAGAGTAATAAGAGGTCGTACATCCTTCTCATGAGGTATCCCGGCCCGGTGTTCGCGCGCGGAGGCCTGTCTCGGTCCATCTTAGCGCCGAAGCTTAGCACCGAAGAACGAAAGTAAGAGTAGCGAATGACTACTTACAATCGTTTGAAGTCGCAGTAGGTGTACGGCTTCTTGTAGTAGTTCATGCATTTCTCGTCCTTGCATAGAGGCAGCGCGTGGGGGTTATTCGGGTGGGGGTATGTGTCGGGGTCCATGGCGTGGAACCACTCGTGAGTGGGAGGGATGATGCCGCTTCTGCTGTCGGTCGTGAGGCAAACCGTGATGTCTCGCTGGTATCTGGTAACCAGACAGGTCGGTTTACCGAATCCCATAGGAAAGTGTTTTGTATGGTCTACCCGTTGGCCGTTGTGTCCCAACCCGTAGTTTCTTTCCAAGGAATGGGAACTTGCGTTGCAATGATACCAGAGATTTCTTCCGAAGCTGTACTGCTCTGGGTCCTCAGTGGTCGATTGTTCATCCTGCTGTCCTGTCGCATAGTGGACGCAATTACAACGTCCAGGGTCAAAGCAGACCATCTCGGGTAAGGGGTTCGAAGGGTAAGCAGGCAAGAAAAGGCGGGCTGCCCCTTGTCGATAAGTCTTGAACCGCTCCCTCAACTCTGAGGCAGGTGCCTTTCCATCTGCGATGTTGAAAGAATCGAAGCCGCTATGGGGTTCCCATTCCAAGATAAGAACCACTCGTGATGGATCAAGCTGGGATCTCCCGAGACGGGCTCGGGGCCAGGTGGGAGCTCCGTCAAGTGTGCAGCGAGTATCGTGACTCGCATGGTGGCATTCGACGTTGAAGGCCTTAAAACAGTTTTCCCACTCTTTCCTAGTGGTGGACGACGAACACCATTTCTTCAGGTGTTTCTCGATCTGGGACCAGGAGATATGAACGTGCTCGCACAGCTTTACAGACCCTTCCCGGCCAAGGCACTTCCGCGCTTCGACTTTAGATACTTCGACCTTTTGAAACGATACCATTTCATGATCTTGGCCGCAGCATGGGCATTGTTTATGTTGCCCTCCACCCTCCTGAAATTTGCAATGAGGCTGGAATACCCGAGTAGGACCATATTCAGAGCACCAGTAATGCAATATCCGCTTGGAGATCCCCTTTACGGGGCCATCGCAATAAATAGAGCATTTGTCGCACATTCCATCCATTTGTAGGAGTTGTTTAAGTTTATTCGCCTGTGTCATGGAGAATTCCAGATGATTCTCGGAGAAGGAGTACATTCCGGTTCTGGTGCGCTTGGGCGATATGACTCTCCAGAAGTGCCGCTCGTAGATAATGCGTCGGAACGTCCTACAGGTACGTCGAAGACAGCATAGACTGACAACATCGTGGCTATCTAAGGAGCCGAAGATTCGAAGCAGGATTTCCTCCGGTAACCGAGCGAGGGGACTATGCTTGTTGTTCCAGACTTGCGCGGCTATGAGGGGATCCATGGTCTGCTCCAAGTTTTTCAGAACGACAGCCATTTTGGTCTGTTCCTCTTGCTTGTTGTTCCGTGTCGTCATTATTTCCTTTCTAAAACAGTCGAAGACACTTCGTGTCTGGCGTACGAGAGAACACATGCTGGCGGATCAACACTGGAAACGATATTGGGAAGCTTGGGTATGTTAGAAGTGAAGTCCCACTATTTAACTATTAGAATATTCTAATGAAAATTCCAGTGAAGGTCATGGGCTTGGATATTATAAATAATTTCTTGGTGCCGGAGATATATTGGGAACTCTAACACTGTGGCTTGGTGTCATGGAGGTAGCTATCAAGCTATAGAACGCCATTGCTCGTAGGGCGAGAACGCCTTTGATATACAAACTCTGATGAATGTGTTTTAGACGTAGTCGGTTTTACTCTGCCTGCGTATAAGGAAGAAGCTAGGGCAGATTGTGTGGCATACTTCCACCCTCTTCACTACCTAGGCAGGCTTCTAGACAACTTAACCTTTTTGCAATATGCTCACGCCCTAAGTAGGCCATGTTGATTGATGTATCCATTTCAAATTATTCGGATATGATGCCCTCATTGTTTATTCCTCGAGTGCTGAACAGCCTCGTAGAAGTCTCGTAAGGTTAGGAGGCAGAGTGAGTTAACTTGGATTTAAGTTGAGTACAATAATAAAGTACGAAATTATACATTGTATTAAAAACTTGTTGCCCCTGAATGAGTTAAGGTTAAGATTAAATAAGAATATTGGATATTTCGTTATAGCGTAAATAAGTCTAAATAAAGTAGGATTTAAGCGAGTGAATATGTGCATCTAAACGGTATCATAACCCCACCTGATGTGCCAATTGAAGTTTTACTTCAAACTTCTCCGATCGGACATTGGATTATGTATGTCATGACGATGCTGGTAAAATAACCCTTGCGATTTGATCAGTGACTCACTACAGTCCTCGAAATAAACTTATAGATATTTATATTCAGACGAGAGAGTATCTTGGTGTAACCGGTTCCTGGAGGATCGCATCGTGAGTGTTGCTATTGTTGGTTATTATTTGGCTGAACCATGTCGCCTTTTAACATCGAGACATGTGCAAGGCCTAACATATTGGCCCTGGAGCCATACCGTTGCGCGCGAGAGTAAGGCTCGGCCATATCAAGCCACCCGATGTTAATTGAATCTTATACTTACACTTATCATAGCGACTACAAGGACGATGGCACAAATATTCTCCTTGACGCCAACGAAAATGCGTGTGGACCGTCGCTAACTCCAGCCGCCGTGTCAGCGGCGTCAAACAACTCCGGCGTGGAGATTGACTTTCTGGGCTTGCACAGGTATCCGGATCCCCACCAGCGGGATCTGAAGCAGTTGCTATGCAACCTGCGTAATACCCACCACCACACCGATAAGGCCATCACCCCGGACAACCTATTCGTCGGCGTGGGAAGCGACGAGATCATTGATGCACTGCTAAGATGCTTCTGTGTCCCAGGTCGGGACCGTATCGTGGTAAATCCCCCGACGTACGGCATGTACTCTGTGTCCGCACAGGTAAATGATGTCGGACTGGTCAAAGTCCCTCTGCTACCAGCGCCGACCTTCGGACTCGACGTCGCTAAGGTGCTCGAGGCGCTATCTACGGAGGAAAACATTAAGATGGTCTATATATGTTCTCCTGGGAACCCCACCGGCTCTATAATAGCCAAGGAGGACATAAGGCAGATCTTGGAGCACCCGACGTGGAACGGTGTGGTGGTCTTAGATGAGGCTTACATTGACTTCGCGCCGGAGGGCTCGTCGCTAGCGGAGTGGGCCGCCGAGTGGCCTAACCTGGTCGTCATGCAGACGCTTTCCAAAGCCTTTGGTATGGCGGGTATCCGGCTTGGCGCAGCCTTCACGTCGCCGCCTATCGCACGTCTTCTCAACAACCTCAAGGCGCCCTACAATATTTCCAGCCCGACCAGCGCACTCGCATCTTATGTTGTCGGCGGAGACGGGCTGGCGGTCATGCGCGCGAACAGGGAGAAGCTGGTGCAACAACGAGATAGGATGGTCGCGGAGCTACCCAAGATCAAAGGAGTAGGACGCTTGCGCGGCGGAGTCGCGAGTAACTTTTTGCTGTACGAGATGCTGAATGCGCGCGGTGAACCGGATAATACAGTCGCGCTGGCCGTGTACGAGACCCTAGCCGAGAATAAGGGCGTGGTAGTTAGGTTTAGGGGTAAGGAGCATGGATGCCTTGGGTGCTTGCGAATCACGGTTGGGACGGAAGAAGAAGTCACGAGATTTCTAAAGGCTATAGAACAGGCACTTGTTGAGGTCAATGGGGGCAAGACGGCAGTGCCGGCAGATGAAGCGAAGAGGGAAGCCGAGGCGAATGGCGTTGTCGCGTAAATCAAACTGGGGACTAGGTAAACAAAATATCTGGATAGAAAGGAGGCTTTATAGACTTATGAGAAAAACATTACACGCGAGAGTTACATGTATTGAATCTATAAAAGAAGGGTCAAAATGTTCTATTAGAAACGGAAATATGATTGCTCAAACATAATCGAGGGGATAGTAAGCGGTACATTTATGCTATTTACTTGCATATATGCAGCTATATACCTGCTTATGTGAATTCTGAAATGGGCCTAAGTTACATTAATTGCATATATCGACGTAATTTTGCATCGTGAAATTTCTAAGTCAGGCTCTTCTCCAATTTATTAGGTAAATACATAATTTCGGGACGTTAGCAGGGCAAAACTAAGTGAACTTCTACTACACTCGATCATAAAATATTTGAGGAGGAAGAAGATTATTATGAATAGGAGTTGAGAAAAGGTGACTTATAATGAACGTTGAGGAGATCTCAGACGAGGTCGCAGATCGCCTCAATATCTCTCAAGGGGAAGATGGTAAATCCCTGTCGCAAGAACCAGCACAGTCTTCATCACAGAATGCTCCAAGCCCAGCATCAGCAGCCATGCTACCGGAGCTCTCGCCCGGCCGGGCCATGACCGAAAAGAAAACGGTGGACGAAGTAGTTGCGGAACTAAAGAAGACACCATTCTTCATGACGGAGCTCGAGGAAAACGACGACACCGAAGCCCTCAAGGCACTCGCTTACGAGGGGACGCCCCTCGAAGTCGGCTCCGAATTCAAGGATCGCGGCAACGAGTGCTTCCGCGCGAAGCGCTGGGCCGACGCCAAGGAGTTCTACACCAAGGGCATCCTAGTCCTCGCGGCCGAGGAGCGCAAGCGCGTGAAAGGGGAACGCCCGGACCCCACAATCACAGAAGACGAGGTCGAGGCGCAGAGGAGCGCGCTCGTGGCGCTGTACGTGAACCGCGCGGCGTGCCACCTCGAGCTGCGCAACTACCGCAGCTGCTGGCTGGACTGCGCGGCGGCGCTGCGGCTCGACGACACGAACGTCAAGGCGTACTACCGCTCGGCGCGCGCGTTCCTGGCCGTGGGCCGGATCGCGGAGGCGGACGACGCGTGCGCGCGCGGCCTCGCGCTCGACGAGGCGAACAAGCCGCTGCGCGGCGTGGCGCAGGACATCGTCAAGCGACACGAGGAAGTCACCGCGAAGCAGCGGGCGGAGAGCGAGAGGGTCGCGCGCGAGAAGAGGCGGCAGACGCTCGTGAAGGTGTCGCTGAAGGCGCGGAACATAAGAACGCGGACGACGGCGCAGCCGCCCGAGATGGAGGACGCGGGCATGAAGCTGGTGCCGGACCCGGACGACCCGCGCAGCTCGCTCAGCTTCCCGGCCGTGCTGCTGTACCCGGCGCACCTGCAGTCCGACTTCGTCAAGGCGTTCGCCGAGATGGAGACCCTGGCCGACCACCTCGCGTACGTGTTCCCGCTGCCGTGGGACGCGGCGCGGGAGTACACGCTCGGTGGGGTGGAGTGCTACATGGAGACGCTGACCGGCGGGCTGGTCAAGGTCGGCAAGAAAGTGCCCCTGCTGAAGGTGCTGTCCGGGAACGTCGAGGTCGTCGACGAGGTCGTTAGGATTTTCGTGCTGCCGAAGGCGAAGGCGGCGGCTTGGGTGGAGGAGTTCAAGATGAAGAAGGCGGCGGAGAAGGGGGCTGGTTAGGGGATAGGTACTAATGTAGACAAAAAGAAAATGCAATAAGAGACGACTGTTCTACACTTAATATTATCTACCTACCTTAGGTACCTACTTAGGAAGTATGTACCGAGTGATGGCATCGATTTAAGTTGACAAGCTTTCTTTTCAATTCATACGATGACGGCTAACAGGAGGGCAGAGAATAACCGTAGCCCGCCTATCTAGATACTTGTAGATTGCCGCCCTGCCCAATTTTGATACCGAGACATCCAAACTCCAGCTCTCCGTATCATAAACAGAACCCTCCCGTCCCGGTGTAGGTTTGACCGCCCCGTCTATCCGTTGCGAAACGAAGTTACCTATCTATCCGTACACCACTAACATGAAAAGACATCGCAAGTAGGTAGGTATCATTTATCCCCTTTTTAATCGCGGCTTCTGATCAATAGACACACCTACAACGAATTAGCCCTAATTCTTTTGATCCTCGGAAATTCCCCGTCGCGCGGCGAGTTCGTCTCAGACGTCACGCCCGCGCCGCTGCCCTTAATTCCTCGCGAGTCCCTAACACTGAGATTCATCAGGAGCAACGCCGCGTTCTTGTCCGCTCCGAGAACTGCTGTCGGATCTGTCGTTAGCTTGTTCTTGTTCTTGTCATTGCTATCTTCGTCGCGGCTCGCCGGGTCTGCTACCTTAGGCGGACTCGTCGCCGTCGTCGCCGTCGGCCTCCGGCTACTTTCGCCGCCTATTCCTCGTTCGCGGTTGTTTTCGTATTCATAATCCGTCTCGACGTGGTCGGCTGATCTTTTGCTCCCCCCTCGCCATGGCTGGGGTTGGGTTTGTGGGTGAGGATGCGGGGACGGATAAGGGGGTAGGTGGGCCGTTGTTGTGAAGCGCGGGACGGCGCTTAGCCAGGGGCTTGGTCCGGGTGCTTCGTAATGGTGTGGCAGCACTACGTTTGCTGGTGTCCAACCGCTGCTTGTTGGACGGAGGGAGGGAGTTATTGGAGCTGCTGGCGGCGGCGGCGGCGGCGGTGGTGCCATCGGCGAGAACGGGAAGCGGTCACGATGAACCATGCTGCCTCGCTCCGGGCCTATAGGGGACATGTCACTGTCTGTATCTGTCGCATACGGACTGTCGCAACCGGTGGGTACTGCGAAAGGTTTCCGTATCGGATGACGGCGATAGTGATGATGACTTTGTCTCGGGTCGTCATAGGGGCTCCGGAATAAGGGCCGTCGATCTCTTATCGGGCTGACTCTACCTCCACCGCTGGCAGAGGAAGTAATCGAATTGGTATACAACCGACGAAAGTGTTCCGCCTCCCTGGTTGCTTGGACCACGATCGCATGATCGATGATCATGCGACTGTATTCCGGCGCCTCTGAGGGTGTGCAGAGTGAAGGGAAGTCGGGGCCGAATATAGGAATTAAGGCCCCTGCTATATTGTGACAGAAGGTTGCGCAGACAGCCTTAGCACAGGAATATGGCATCCAATAGCCTTTTAACCAAAGCCCGTTAGCCTCCGTAGATGAGCAATATCATGTATATAGGGTGCGCACCTTGAGCCATGATAGAACCTCCGGTAATACTATGCGTGATTTCCTTCAGCCCGGGATTTAGGTTTAACATCTTAGCTGGGGTCGTCTAAAAGGGATAGTTAGCTCCCATATCGAAAGAACTTCCTCTTGATTTTCTAAAAATGAGATAGGCTAACCTTGGGATATTTACAGCATTTGAAAAAGGGGGTCATGCGGACGAGACCGACGTTGTAGTCCCACATCACGGTATACTCGGCCTCGTCTCCGGGGACTTTGAAATCATACTGGAAGACTGCTTTCGGGTCAACAAACCGACTATACTATCTCAAGGGGGTTTTGTTTTTTGTTCTGGTTTTCTCTTTTTTTACCTTCGAAGCTCTCTCGACTAGTCTTCTCGAAGAAATCCTTCTTCGTGCTGTTATATGGAATGTGACGAGAGTGATCCTGTATGTTCCCGAAGGGATGGACTTGGAATTTGCGAACTTGGCGGAGCGAGGTCTCGTCAAGCCTCTGATACGGAGGGAAGTTTATGATCCCCTTGGGCCTGCACGTAGGTAGAGTCGCTGTGCCCTTCGGTATCCTCTGCTTAGCCATGATGGGCTCATCTAGAAGGCCCGACTCATCTGGTAGAGAAGCCGTTGGAGACGACGACGAGGCTGGGCTTGGAGGAAATCGGTTGATTGGTGGCCCCGGAGGGGCAGGATTAAGAAGAGACGCCAGTGACAGCATGGCGGTGAGAGGTAGTGGAGACAAGATGTCTCGAATATGGATGGAGCACTGATGCAAGCAAAGTTGTGGATGGGCTATCTACGAAAGGTCCGGAGGAGAATTGAGCAAGGAGACTCAAGACAGGCAGTGCTTGCATCGGCACGTCAGAAAGGGGAGAGGAAACCAAGTCCTTTTGAACTTGGCAAACAGTCGAACTATTGAGGCACGCCCTCGCGAGACGGCGAGCCCATGCTGGTACAAGGGGACCGAGATTGCTTCCTTTCTTGACTGCACCCAGTCATGCAGCTATCTGCAGAACACTTGAAGCGGTGTCCGGTGCAGCCTTGTTGATCGTGGTATTCGGTGCAGCTTTCTTTGTTAAAGTTGTCTTGGAATCGACCTGTGAGGGTAGAGCAGCCCGTTTGTGTACGTCCACCGCTTTTTAGGAGATCGAGTTTAAAGCCACCAGAGCGATAAGTGACGGGGGAAGGCTCAGAGAGGGAGACAGAGAAGTGGTCGAAGCAGCCCTGGGTTATCTATCCCAGATGAGAGAAGACGACGCCGAAAAGGCTAGAATAGTAATGAAAGGGGGTCGCTGGCTGGTAGAGCAAGGACGTGACGGAGAAGTTTCGGAAACAGAATACTCCAAGATCGCCAAACGATACGCTCGATTCCGGAGCCTTGCCGACGAGATGGTCCCAAGCACTGCTAAATGTATCACGTCGATCCGTGGATTCTAGGACAGCATCGAGGTAAGGTCGGTTTCATTACATTTCACCAGTTCAGGCTCTGGCCCGAAAGGGGCGATCACAGGCGACCGCATGACGCAGCAGATCTGTAGCTGGACAACAAATGAGTTTGGCACAGCAAATACTTTACTACGGGCAGCCCAAACAGGGACTAGGATTGTTTGGAAATGGAAAGGGGAGTTTTGACAGAAAGCAACCTCACGGGAAGCTGCATATAGTGCCGTCCAAGTTACTAGGTTAGTTGGTTTCTCAAGAAGGTAGAACAAAGAAACGACTGTGATAAGCATATTGAATCCTAGACACCGATTGCTAGACTCGACACACGTGTACCCAGTGCCTACCATCTTGTAAGGGGGTGAGTCCAGAAGGTTTCTCCAGGACCCTTCACTCACACAGTTCTTCGTTGTTCTCTCATTTAAGACAGTGAGCGAGCAATCGTCTTGGGCTTGACCGCCGTAAAGGCGACTCACTTAGTGGAGAGCTCTGTGCCTATCCGGGGACCACGTAGGAACTCTTTCTCTGGGTTGAAAGAATCCGCTGAGCATTTCGAGAAGCATTGGAAGCACCTTAAGGGGCTTCCCGTCGGCAAAGAATGTCGTGACTGTGGAGATTGCAGCTGTCACAACATCCAATCCATGTTTTCCCTAGGAGTCAAGCGGCGTACGAGCAAATGATGGATGCTTCCCCGGAAAACACAGAAGCGGAGCCATATCTAACTTTGAAATATTACTCATGAGGGTACAACTGGGAAGTGGGCCATGCTAGTGATGGGTCATCGTTGAGTAGGTAGGTAGCTAGAGAGATCAATCCATTTCTGTGGGGGTTTTCTGCGTAACTGTACTGCACGTCACGAGCCTTACCAGTGTAATGGTCGGCACGGTAGGTAGATAGAGTTGGAAAACAATAGATGGAATGGATATCACGACGTACCTAGATGATTTGAGCAGACCTCGTAGTCATCGTCTTCTTCCCCCTCGACTATAGATGAATTGTCTCTCGCCTCATATTCTCTTCTCGGTGGTCCCATAGAAGTTGAGCGGCTGGCAGGCTGCTTTCGTGGGACACTAATGCTCGAGTCATCGGCACCCCTAGGATATGTCTCAACAAGCTGTGGTTCTAATTACATTAAGGTCTGCGGCCTTCCGACATGCTACCAGACTCTACAGCACCAAGCAGATTGCATTATCGCAAATGGGTGCCTGACAAACAGAGATGGGAAGCAGATAATGCATTAGGCTCGGTAAAGTGACGGACTCAAGCACGAAGGTGATACCTCATTTACTCGTAAAGTGCTGAAATGACTCGAAACTGGACCCAGCATCTTTCATATTCACTTTCATAAACTTCTCACGCCGTTAGAAGAGCAGGCTAGGGGTGGATTGCCCCACCCGTTCCGGCAGACGGGAAAGTGGATAGAGTATCCTGGATATATCACAAGTACATACATACCTCAAGATAGGCGCGGGAGATGGAACCGGCGGCAAAGGAAGGCAGATGGCATAGACCTAACGATCCGGCCTCGTCGGCTCTCTCGCCTCTCCCGTTTCCTAAACGAGCTTGGCTTGAGGCTCAGCAAGGCTACTTCGGGTAAGATAGAAAGTTCCAAGGTTTCAGGTGATTGATTGTCACGCTGTCTGTTGTCGCACAGCGTAGGATGACAGGAGACGGCTTTGAGGAATTTCCATATTTCCATGTGTGGTGCGACTTTACGGCTTTGCAACAAAAGCCACGGGGACTTACAGTCGACTTCGGGAAATTTCTTGTCTCTGCATTTTTTTAGGAAACGTTGCCAAATAGGGTCACACGACACATGCGGAGAATTACGCACCAATTGCTTGCGAAAGACTCCCATAGAGACCATGTGTTTTTGGTAGGACGAAGTGTCGTAGGCTTCAAGTGTCTAGGTAAGAAAAGAATCCTCCGGTGCCGAGATGGTCAGCTTAAGGTTGTATACCGCCGTGATTGTAGGTATAATCAACACTACTCCGTCCCCCAAATGCTAGATCTTAGCAGGCTTGAATTGACAGGCGCCGTAACAGAACTCTAACTGATATCAGAGGTAGATACTAGTGGTATATTTTCTATTGAACAAAAGGTTGTGTATGTACTTGGCATGATTAAATGAGAATTATATGAGAATAGGTAGGTAGGTAAATTATCGTTCCCGGGAAATTAGATAGGGAGGATGCTCACTCTCATACTTAATAGGTGCGTGGTAGTTGATTTGTTCGAAGGCACCTTCTATATATTGCTACAACTCCAATGAAAAGAGGCAACCACTCAGGTCAGTAACCTGTAACGATCATGACAATGACTGGTGGATCATTGCATGTGGCTGATTCGATGTGGCTTGCTCCTCCCCACCACGAATATTCAAACACGTCGTTCGCTCCGATATTTAACCGCACCATACGCGCTTACCCCTATTAGCAATAGCTCGCCTAATTTGGGCAGGAAGCCCACATTAGTCCACGTCTCCACAGGACGCGACTCCCTGTTGCAGTACAGGTAAAATTGTTTACGTGCAACAACACAACAACGAGGCTGCTATTACCCTATTGACCCATTGACCCTCGCCCTGTAACAATCCCCCGCTCCCTTGATACCAGATAACAGAATCAAAACATCGATTTTATATCTAATTTCCCAACCGTGAATTCAACCCCTAAACCTCTACCTTTCATGAAAATTACGTGGGGTTCTTCCCAATTGCGAGTGTCTTCTTCTCTCACAACTGGTACATTGCGAACAACCTATCCGAATAGGTTCTATTTTTCTAAGTCGTGTGTGAACGCGCCACACGACTTCCAACGTCCATCATGGACTCTGACATCATGGACGACTCGGTCTTTGGCGACGACGTCGATAATGACTCAGACGGCTACTCGCCCGAGGTGGTATGCAACAGCCCTCGTTTGTGTCTTTTTCATTGTCTAGATAACAATTACTCACATTTATCATCGGATAACTGCAGTGCCAAAGCTAACCTTGCGCCCTCACAGAAGCCTAAGGCCAAGGCCGCTCCCAAGAAATCTGCAGCAAAACCCGCAGCTAAGACTGCGTCAAAGAAAATGGTTCAGACTACCCTCAAATCGACTAAGGCTGCTCCTAAGAAACGCTCAAAGCCTGATAGCGACGACGATGACGGTGACGATGTCTCGGGCTTTTCCAACACGCCCCCGAGTGCAAAGAAGCAGAGGAAGGCTCCCGCCACTAAGAAGTCAGCCGGCGAACCCTTGGTCGAGATCGAGAATGATAGCATGATGCCAGACAGCCCCAAGGCAAGCAAGAAGAAGACTGCTACGGAGACGTATCAGAAGTTGACACAGCTGGAACATATCATCAAGCGACCTGATACTTACATCGGCTCTGTCGAGCGCACTGAGCAGCAGATGTGGGTTTTCAACAAGGAAACTAATCAGATGGAACTACGACCCAAGGTCGGATATGTGCCCGGTCTCTACAAGATTTTTGACGAAATTCTTGTCAACGCTGCAGACAACAAACAGCGCGACTCGGGTATGACCTATATGAAGGTGTCTATTAACCGCCAAGAAGGTCAAATCACTGTCGAGAATAACGGAAAAGGTATTCCGGTAGAGATCCACGATAAGGAGAAAGTTTATATTCCAGAGCTGGTTTTCGGCCATCTCCTTGCTGGTTCCAACTTTGACGACGACGAGAAGAAAACCGTGGGTGGTCGAAACGGTTACGGTGCCAAGCTCTGTAACGTCTTCAGTACGGAATTCACTTTAGAGTGCCAGGACTCCAAGAATGGCAAGAGGTATAAGCAGACGTGGAGAGATAACATGGGCAAGATGGACAAGGCAAAGATCTCGAGTAGCAAGTCTAGCGACTTCGTCCGTGTCTCTTTCAAACCGGATTGGAACAGGTTTGGCATGCCGAACGGTATCGACGATGATCTTGAGTCCTTACTCTATCGTCGTGTCTACGACATGGCTGGCACAGTTCGTGGCGTCAAAGTCTACCTAAACGACACCCACATCAAGCTAGATTTCAAGAAATATTGCGAGATGTATGCCAAGGCTATCGCTCGTGAGCGAGGAGACGAAGAGGGCACTGAAGCACCTAGTTCCACAGTTATTCTCGAAGATAACAAGGTTCACGGCGGCCGATGGGAGATTGGTTTTGCTGTCTCGGATGGCTCTTTCCAACAAGTCTCCTTCGTGAACTCTATCGCTACGACTACGGGTGGCACTCATGTCAATTACATCTCTGACCAGATTTGCGAGTCTCTTCTCAAGACGCTAAACAAGAAGAAGAAAGGCCACTCGCTGAAGGCCAATCATATCCGCAACCACATCTTCATCTTCATCAACTGTTTAATCAACAATCCGGCGTTCAATTCGCAAACCAAGGAGCAGATGACTACCAAAGTTAGTCAGTTTGGCAGCAAGTGTGTCTTAACCGATGGATTCCTGAAGAAGATTGGTCAAACAGATGCGATCAACAACATCATTCAATTTGCAGAAGCAAAGGCCGACAAGATGCTCGCCAAGAGCGATGGTAACAAACGATCAAGAATTAGCAACGCCAAACTCGTCGATGCTAACTTGGCGGGTACCAAGAAAGGTCATGAATGTACTTTGATCTTGACTGAAGGTGACTCCGCCAAAAGTTTGGCCGTCGCTGGTCGTGCCATCCTAGATCCCGATCGTATTGGTGTTTTCCCTCTTCGTGGAAAGATGCTGAACGTCCGCGACGCTTCGATTGATCAGATTACCAAGAATCAGGAAATTCAGAACATCAAGCAATTCCTCGGACTGAAGCATAAGCAGGTTTATACGGATAACAAGTCCCTTCGGTATGGACATCTGATGATCATGGCCGATCAAGATCACGACGGTAGCCATATCAAAGGTCTCCTCATCAATTTCCTTCAAGTCCAGTATCCTTCGCTTCTCAAGATCCCAGATTTCTTCCAGGAATTCATCACGCCCATTGTGAAAGTTTGGCAAGGACCAAATCCCAAGAAGCCACTAAGGTTGAAGTCATTCTTCACTCAGCCTCAGTATGAGGAATGGAAGGAGTCACATAAGGCAGAATTGAAAAAATGGGAATCGAAGTACTACAAGGGTCTGGGTACCAGTTCAAACGAGGACGCACAAGTTTACTTCAATGATCTCGATAACCACCTGAAGCAATTCAGCACCATGCAACCAGCAGAAGCTGAGCTATTCGAACTCGCTTTCTCCAAAAAGAAGGCGGATGCTCGTAAAGAATGGCTTGGCAACTTTGTGCCTGGAACGTACTTGGATCATTCAACTAAGCAGGTCTCATACAACGACTTTGTCAACAAGGAGTTGATTCTGTTTAGTATGGCTGACAATATGCGGTCTATTCCCTCGGTGGTTGATGGCCTAAAACCTGGTCAACGAAAGGTCATTTACGCTTGCCTGAAGCGAAACCTGACCAAGGACAAGAAGGTCATTGAACTGGCTGGTTACGTGTCTGAACAGACGGCCTACCATCACGGTGAAGTGTCTTTGCAGCAGACTATTATTGGCCTGGCCCAGAATTTCGTTGGTTCTAACAATGTCAATTGTCTCGAGCCCAGTGGTAATTTCGGTTCCCGACTTGCAGGTGGTTCGGATGCTGCCAGCGCTCGATACATCCACACTCGTCTCTCCCCATTCGCCCGACGCGTCTTCTCCCCTCTAGATGAACCCATCTTAGAGCACCTAGTTGAAGACGGAAAGCAAATCGAGCCGAAAGTCTACGTACCTGTCATCCCCATGGTTTTAGTGAACGGTGCGGATGGTATCGGCACAGGTTGGAGCACATCAATTCCGAATTACCACCCCATGGACATCATCAGGAATCTGAAACGACGCATGGGGCGTTTAGACGGTCCAGAGGAAAAGCCTTTTGAGACAATGACCCCTTGGTTCCGAGGCTGGAAGGGTACCGCGCAAGTCGCTGAGAATAATCGTTACCAGTTCAATGGTATTGCGTATCAGGACGAGAAGCACCCCAATGAGGTAATCGTTACCGAGTTGCCTATCCGCATGTGGACCGATGATTTCAAAGCGAAACTGGAAGATATTATTCGAGGCGAAAAGGCTCCCTCTTTCATCAAAGACTACAAGGAATTCAACGACCACAGGAACGTCCATTTCGAGATTCAAATGGACGAGAAACACATGAATCAAGCGTTAGCGGAAGGTCTACTGGAGAAATTCAAGTTGGTCAAGCAAGTTGCAACGTCTAATTTAGTCGCATTCGACACTCGTGGCATGATCCGCAAATATGAGAAGGTAGAGGATATTCTCGAGGAGTTTTACGTGTACCGACTGCAAATCTACGCTGATCGCAAAGTATGTTAACACTGTCAGCACTGTTATATTCAGGCATCATGCTAATTCTTTTAGGCTCATTGGCTCGGTGTTTACGACGCGGACTTCCGCAAATTAAAGAACCAGTACAGATTTATCAAGGAGATTATGGATGGCGAGTTAGTGGTGTCCCGCAAGAAGAAGGCTGTCATTGTCGAAGAGCTTCGCCAGCGAAAGTACGAGGGATTTCCAAGAGGCCAAGAAAAGAAGACTAAATCAGAGCTTGAAGAGGAAGGTAACAACGACAACGTAGATGAAGCAGATGAGGGAGAGCTGGATGGCCCCGCGAACGCCTACGACTATCTTCTTTCCGTAAGTTACCATGCGGACGCCCGTCAAAAGTGTATTGCTTACAATGAATAGATGGCCATCTGGTCGTTCACCCAAGAACGCCTTGATCGTCTTAAGGATCAAATCGCCAAGAAGAAGGGCGAATATGATCATCTTAAGGCATTAAGCGAGTTAGATCTTTGGTGCCAGGATCTTGATGAATTTGAGGCCGAGTGGGAAAATCAAATACGACTAGATGCCGAGATAACATCTGGCATCCGTAGAATGGGCCGTCGCGCATCAAAGAAAATTGGCGCTGGTGGTGGTGGTGGTGGGCGTGGTCGCAAGCCCAGAGGCGACGATGACTATGCTCCAACGACTAAGTCAAAGCCGGGGCCCAAAGCAGCAGCTAAACCGAAAGAACCGCCCAAGGAGAAATCCGTTCAACGTTTCGCTGCTATGTTCAACAGCAACTCTAAAGTAAAGAAAGAGAGCAACGATGCAGCGGACTCAGACTCGGACCCGTTCTCGGATGATGATTTCGCCAAGTTGAAGAATCCAGCCAAGAAGGAGAAACCTGTTGACGAGGAGGAGGAGGAATCAGTCCTACCCAATCCTCGAAGCAAACGTGCCGCAGCTACAAAAGCTAAAACGTGGATCGTGGACGATGACTCGGAAAGCGATGACGACAAGATGCTCGGTGATGTTGGTGACTTAGTCAAGGGCATTACCAACGGCAACGGCAGCGCCTCTGAGAATAAGACTGGTAGGCTTAGTCTGTTTTCCATGTCGCGACCGGAGAGCAGCAGTGGCAACAGCACTGGTTTGCAAACTAAGAGCAAGCCCTCGAAACCCTCAGACCTAGACGATCACGATGATACGAACTATGAGATGTTAGCTAAGTCCTCGCCTCATAAAAATGCTCGTGGGGATGAGTTGGACAGCTTCCTCTCGGATGACGATGATCTGCCCCCCGTTTCTAAAGTTGTGAGAAGGTCTAAGCCTCAAGCTACCGTGTCCGAAGATCCTAAGCCAGCCGCTACCGCCACCGCCAGCAGCGCAAGTGGAGCTGCAGTCAAGAAAGCTCGTGGCCGACCTGCCGGATCAAAGAAGAAGGACAAGGAGGACGCTCCTGCAAAGAAGGCAGCAGCTCCCAAAGCTAAGCCTAAGGCTAAAGCCAAAGCTGTACAACTGTCGCCTGCTGCCAAAGCTTATGCTGCCAAGAAGGCGAAGTCAAAGGATGTCTTCGACATGGATGATGATGAAGACGATGATGTCGAAATGGCTGAACCTGATTCCCCGCCGCCGAGACCTGCGGCTCGTGGCAGACCTGGCCGCGCTGCAGCAGCGAAGTCTAAGCCAGTATATGTCATTGATGACGATGACGACGACGATGACGAGCTCGAGGATGCTCCGCAAGCCGCCAACGACGACTCCGACGACCAGGGCGATGACTTTGCTATGGACGACAGCGAGTAATCTTAGACGCGCACACGTCATTCAGCTGAGTGGCATGGCCGAGAAGAATTCTTTATTCTTTTCGTAAGTAACGATTCAAATGCCTTTGCTTAGATCTTGATGAGAGACGAAGGCAGCACGGTTGCTACATTCTGTGCTGTCATAGGAATAAAAGGGGTTTGGGGAGGGTGAGATCGTTGAGTCTTACGGTCAATCACGAGGCGTTTGCGTTTATTCAGGATTGCTCGCTAATCGATGCTATGCTTCTTGGTTCGCTTCTCCTACTACTTCATATGGTATATGTACACTAAATAGGAAAATGACCACTTTTGGTGAAAAATCTTCCAGTTGTATGTATCATGGTGTTGTGTTCGCCTAGGAAGCCTGTAGGTGACTTGTCTCATTTCACGTAAGCGATAACGCGTATTCTCCATATGGCCAACTCACTCTCTTCTTTTGATGCTATATGCTACTATTAGTCAAACATCTCGATCCTATGTCGTATCATAGTTTAGGGAGTCATATTTCATAATTCAATTCATGAGCTGTAGTTTACTTAGAGGCATCTCGACGTAATCCAGATGGGCTGTCATTAAAAGGGGCCATCTCAAAATCAAAGTGTCAGCCCCTTTGAGGAAGAAGTGCCTCTTGCCAAACATATTCCGAATCCCTTCCATATTTCTCGGCACACGCCGAAAGAATGGCTTAGAAATTGAACGAACCCCCAGCAGCTTGGATTCATAGCGTGCCATCTCAGCATTAATTTCCTGCGTAAATAGTTAGAAACCGGGGCTTGATTTACTGTTAGTCGTATATGATAGAACTCGTTCAGGGGTAAGAAGTCCAGCACTCTTCAGCCAATTACCTAAGGAACCGATAGTAAAACTATCTTAATTTCAGATCACTCAGTTATCAGACATGACAAAACCTCCACTGATGAAGCCTGTGAAACTCGTTCCATCATATAGAATGGAGCGCCAGTAGCACGCATAATCACAACGAATATAACATAATTAGAATGGAAAGCATCAAAATTACTATCTTACTAAGCGCAATCGTCCTCCCCTTGACATCATCACATCACGACCCTAACATCGTGCTACTGCTACTGCAAAAGCCATTCTCATTCACTAATAAACCTGCGACTCCCCCAAAGCCCCCCTCTTGTCGGTAGTCTTAAACCCGTCAAACATTTCATTCCAACGCCGTCAGAGACAATTTAATTCCTCCCCGGGTCGATGCAGAATTGCCACCACCTTGAGCTCGCGTGATTACTAACTACAAAGTGTGTTTGTTATTCGTCGCCAAAAGTCGAAGACGTCTCCTTTAGGTAGTGAAACCGTTACTCCCACGCCAGAACCAAGTTCCAATTCCGCCTAGTGGCTCATGCTCATAGTTAAGGAAAGTCGTAGACGATAAAAAAAAATATTTAGCCCCCGTCGAGGAAGCTTCGAAATTTCGCAATGTCTCGTATCTTTCTATGCCATGAGTCATAATAAATTGTCGTGCCATACCAGTCGGGTCTCGCGAATTGGGATAGGTATACATTATGTACTGAGGAGGGAATTGTTGTCGGACATGTTGCCTCGTACTCGTCTAGGCGGAGATCAGAGGCTCCTCCTCGGATTCTTCCTCGGAAGATTCCTCCTCCTGGTGACCCTTTAGGTCCTCCTTAGGAGCCTTAGGAAAGTCAGACTCCTTGAGGTTGGACTGGGCCGGCTTCGACGCGGCCTCGGGGGAGGCAGATCGACCACGAAGCATCTGTTGGGCCTTGGCAGTGTAGTCACCCATGTATTGCTTGGTGATTTCCGTCGCCTGGGATGTGTGTTTGCTGGCAACCTGGCGGAGTTGTACGGTTTGGCTCTCCACAACATCGGAGGCCTGCTTAAGGTAGTGGTCGATGAGCTCCTGGTTCGTGGTGTAAATCAGGGGTACGAAAAATAGGAGGGTGGTGGAGATTAAGGCAAGACCCCAGTAAGGGACGATCTTAACAAGGTAGTATGACAAGAATGCTCCGAGGGCAGCCTATGACTCTAATGTTAGCAAGGCTTCCTAAGATATAGCGGTCCTCTTATCTCTGGGGCTACCAGGATACTCACAACAGCGGATACGGAGACATTCTCGGCGAAGAAGACTCGTTGCGACTCGATAACAAAGAAGTTGATGAGCTCGTGGAAATCGCCAATCAAAGAGTCGAGCGTTTCCCTTGGGACGGTGTAGTACTTGCGAGGTCGTAGCTGAGTAGCAAGACCAGTACCAATGGTGGCCTTTCCGGCAGCTTCGGCAAGGACGGTGACGCCCAAAGCCAGATAAGTGAGCTTGAAGGTGTATCGGATGAGGTCGAGGTATCTAGCCACGAAGATCAACGAGACAACGGAAGCATAGGCGATGGCGGATGCTCCTGGAATAGCTTATCAGTACCGGATTTCAAATTCTATAGTGGGGAAGTAATATGGACTTACGGGGATTGTTCCACGACAGCAGCTCCGAGAAGAACGAATGATAATGAGTCAGTGGCTGACCAGTGGCAGCAGGTTGCGTAGGTGTTTGCCGGGCGTTGGCTAGGTTGGAGAACTCGGCAGTTGTCTTCGCACCCTGATCTTTGACATTTTGGGCAACAGGGCCTATAGAGGGATAGAGGTTAGCTATGATATAGTCCGAGATCAAAGATGATAACAAACCAGATGAGAGTTGATTGAAAGCAGCTTGGGCATCTAAGTTGAAAACGTTAGTTGCCACGATGGTGACGGTAGAGGGGTGTAATCATATCAATCTATTAAACACTATATTCAAGTTAGCTACCTGTTTTCCCTTCTTTTTTTTCTGTAGCGGCGCGGTGATAGGATCGCCTTGGATCGAATAGACTTACCTTACTGCCTTTCAGAGAGTTAACAGAATTGCCATTGGCAGCTGGGTCAGTTGCAGAGTCTGCCATCGCGAATGATTGTTGTTGTTGCAGGTAGGTTTGGTAGCGAAAGAGATCGGGCGTGTTAGGTGTTCTGTTCGGAGTGTCGGGAGCTTATGGTATCCCTTCTAGAAAATTGTGGGTGAGCTCCAATATTCTCTTTGTTGTATCAACAAGAACGACAGGATCAAGAAGAAACAGGACAGCGATGGGCTTACTCGTAAGATATACTTGTTATTATAGGGATTCTTATCACAGTAGCAGGAAAGAGGTCAAAGCAACAGAAACGAAGTCGTCGGATTTTCTGTCGCTTGTTTGTACTTTGTGCGGGAGGGAAGAATTTCAGGTTAATTGGTAGGGGGGAAGGTTAGCGGATTGACCGATCTGAAGCCAAGGCAATAAAAAGGAGAGTGACAAGTAGTGACAAGTGATTTCATCAAGCTTTACTTCTTTACGTACTGGTAAATGTGGCTAGTGCTATCCATGCTATGGTGTTATGACGCTGCGCCGGGGCCAGCATGATGCACCTGCCTGACTGACCACCTGCAGCCAACCACTTAATCGGTACAAAGCAGGCGCAGCTGCTACAGTAACAGCCACACCTCAAGCACCCTCAAGCACTCTCAGCAACCCTAAGGTCCTGGTACCGAGGTACCTACATACTTCGAAACGTTTCCAACCCAAAGGAATATGGATCATAGCGTCCAGCATCGCAAACTAAAAAAAATCACCAGTTCTTGGATCCTTAACTGGATCAAACGTCACATGTTGTCATCTTATCAAGTCACGATTCTACGATTCTAGCATCTACGTATCACTTGAGGCTTCGGAATATTCGAACTACATATGTATATATATATTAGACAATATCACGTCTTTGATGAGTGTGCTTTATTGTTGCTGCCATGGTTTCTACCGTATCTTGTGCGACTCATCTCTGATCCGAATCCGAAACATCCCTCCTCTCAAATCTAAACCACTAGCTGGATGTACATTGTAAACCACAAACAGCCCCCCATGTCGTCACTTAGGGATAGCTAATTGTCCATTACATGTGATTACCCGCTATGAGCACACGACACCTCCATTTCGATAAATTCTAGTCGACCTTAAAAAGCTGCTAGTGAACACCCCCTCAGATGTGACGGAGTCCGAATGACGCTATCTTCTTGCCCTCGTCATCACTACAGTAGTACATGAACAGAGAGACGCTTATTGGCTCGAACCCCAAATACTTCAGCTACTTACTGCCCATATGCGTACTTCATGAACTCTCAGGTACCTACATCTCTTTCTGCGCAACGGACATAACTGGAGAATTGCTACATAAGCTACACCTAGTAGTGCCAATAGTACCTAAGTAATGTAGTATGAGACACATGCATATGTACATAATAATACAGAACTCATGCGAGCAGTTCGGGAACGGTTGACTGGAAGGTTCGGAAGCAATGTTGTATTGGGGATATCATAATAACATTTCTTTGCTATGAGCCATGAAGCAAAATCAGTCCGCACCTTGCCTTTCCAAAGCTGCCACTCCTCTCTGTTCTCTGTCTGCGCGTGCTCTTAAGTATTTGAGTCTCATGTCTACCCCTTTTAGCTAGATGAATATCGAATGCGAAAAGAAGCACCCAGCCAATAACCCCTGTCTAAATATACGGGGCCAGGGTAAGTGATTACGATAAAGTAAGATGAAGCTTTTAATGCGCAGCGTAACAGATGAAGTCTGTCCTGACAACGTCCCGACAGTGACAAGTCATCATAAGTCGCCGTAGAAATGCTCTAATTTCTGCCTCCTCGAGAATTGACCATTCCAAAAAATAAAAAAATCTGGCCATGCGTTGCTGCTCTTTCGCAACGCCGTGTATTATACTTGTGCCATCCAAGCTATTGAGTGGCGGCGCGGCTGCTATCGTCGCCAACCCCAGAAACCACCAGCACTAGTAGGAGTAGTAGACGTTGGTGCACTTGCAGGAGCGGCATTCTTAGTACCACCGCCGGCTTCTGATATCGTGGATGCAAACCGTCCAATCATCCCCATTGCAGAAGTCGATGTGGCGTTAGATGTCTCTGCAGGAATGCCGTGTGCTCTCCGTAGAGTCTCGAGCTTTTGCTTGTATTCGTCAGCTTCCTGACGAGCCACCGCCTCGGCTGTCTTAGCCTGTACAAGTTCTAAGACGAGGTTATCGTGCTCGCTCGAGGTGACCGGCTCTGTTTGCGTCCTGACTAGCGATCCGGAACGAGAGGTGAAGGCCGAGGTGTTGGGTGTCGACTTGCTACGTCCAAGCTTGAACTCCCGAAGACCGTTATTGGCTCTGCCACCGTTGGCAGTGCCGCTGTCGGCAGTCAGACTACTCCCCGACGAGAACCAGCCTCCGGATTCCGACGATCCAGGGGGTTCAGCCGAAGCTCGCACACGCATAGTGTGGACCTGCCTCTCGAGACGCTGTTTGTCCTGGTGGAGGTTGCGAACATGGGCGTGACTCTCGCGAATTTGTTCTCGTAACGTGTTGGCCTCTTGTCCAAGTTCCTCGATGCGACGATTGAAGCCGAGTGTCTTGGACATCTCGATTCTGAGATGATCCTTCGTCCTAGCCAATTCATCGCGTAGCTGCGCTTTTGTCAGCAACGAGGACGACCTGCGTTTCTGCCCCTCATCAACACAGAAACGACCCTCGACTGCCTCCAGCAGCACTGATAACCGATCTTCATCCGGCTTCTTTCCTTCCTCTTCTTTATCACCAGTCTTATCATCGGTCGTATCGTCGGTGTTCTTTTCGTCATCTGCTGTGCCAGTCTGCTCATTCGTACTTTGCTTCTTCAACCCGGCGAGCAATGACTTGACCGCCTTTCTGTCTTCGTCTCTTTCCTCCCTCTCCTGTTGGAGCTGTGTGGCTAACAGCGCATGATTTCGCTGTAATTCACTGAGTGCGGTGAGGAGATCCTCGATTTGAGTATGGAGGTTCTTATCGGCAGCAATGCGACTCGAGTGTTGCTTCGTCACGATTGGCGTAGACTCGCGAATGGACGCATCATCAGCATTGGACGAGTCGCGCGATAGCGTGGTCGCGTCGGTGGATACGGTGCTAAGGACGCTAGCGGAACTGGCTTCCATAGAATTGAGCGTGGACGCCAGACTCTGCTTCGAAGCACTTCGGCGCAGCATACTTAACGGTCTCAGCGGTGCGGTGAGTCCGGGTGAGAGAGTTCCTGATCTCGGGGAGGAGGTGCTCGTAGTCCAAAGACGGCCCAGAAATCGGGAGGCGGCTGTGGTAACATCGGCCGTTCGCGCGGCATTGGCACTGGCGATCTTTTCCTCGCGATACCCCTGTTCAAGTTGGGCTAATTTCTCTCGCGATACGACGCTAGACAGGCTAACGAAATCATCGACAAATTCATCTGCGTTGTAGTGATAACAATCCCAGAGGCCGCGAGATAAAAGGAGTTGCATAACATCTTCGAGCTCGGTGCAGGCCAAGATGCGGCTCTCATTTTTGCGCATAAGCGACAGGGCCACCCGCATAATAGTCTCCGACGCACCTTCGGCAAAAATGACATCGTAGATGCGAAACAGCATCGGCAGGGGGCATGTAACGGCAAAGAATGAGAGGAACCATTGCGAAACATAGGCCGGATCGACCTGTAGTTCGTCGAGATGGTTCGATAAGGTGGGCAGATTTTGCCGAAGCAACTCACGGAATTGATAGATGCGAACGTGCAAACCTGACAGGTCGGGCAAGAAGCATGATCGTAGATCGTAATACTCCATCAACCTGTTTATCGAGCATACGCAATACAGTTAGCTAGCTGTACCCTGCAAGACGTGTCATATGACCATAGTAATCAAAATTACCAGGGACTTACCGCACTAGAACGCAGAATGCTTGACTATCTGGCATATGCATTAGCAGAGGGCCAACCAAGAAAGCGAGTCCTTGACAGTATCCAATCTTCTGATCGTAGAGACTGAAGCACTTTAGCACTCTTCCGAGCATTCGCTGCCCGTCGCCGTCCGGGTCTCGGAACATATCCACGCCGGGAAAACTTCGACCTAGATCCTTGCCGATGATTCCCTCGTAAGGACTCGATTCGCCGCAGAGTCTATCGAACTGCTCGAGAAGAAAGCTATCGCGGGCACCGGCCATGCTCTGCCAAACGACGCCTCGCAGGGGTGGCGGCACTCCCTTTCGAATCTTCTTGGATAACAAGGTAGGCAGACGAGCAGCGGTCTGCTGATAATCCTTGACGAGGGCCATGTAGAATTCGAGATCGGTCATAGGCGGGGGAGGGAGGACAGAGTATCGGAGGGCCATGGGCGTCGGCCCGTTGACCATGTCTCGCATCTGTGCCATGGATGGCGGTCGAGGTCGGCGGGTTGGTGTTTGTTCGACGACCTTGACTTTGACGCTCTTCGGATTTGTGGCTATTTTATTGTTCTCTTGTTCGAGTCGTGCCAGTAGCAAGGCGGTAGACTAAATTGTGGGGAGATAATTCCGTCAGCATCATCATCGTAGATCTGGCCTGAGTCAATTCAGTCCAGCCAGCGCAGCAAAGTGCTGACTAGCTGACTTTACACTATGTATAGTAATGTATAGTATAGTAGGCACTTCGCCTCAGTGCTGATTAGAGGATAAAAATAGAAAGCGTGGAGCCTACGTTGTCGTCTTGATCTTTAACTTGCTCGTCTTCCGTCTTTTGTAATTGGTCCCAATCGACCTCTTCCGTATCTGACTCGTCCATTGGGTCGACGTCGTCCGATTGCTTTTCTTCCCCTGAGCTTCCTGGACTGCCTGGGCTTGTCGAGGTTGTATCTCCAAGTTCTTGTAGCAAAATTTTAGTTTGAGGAGTGTCGGACGGCGTTTTCAATTCAATTTCAGTTTCAACAATCTTTTCCTCCATTGTCACTTCCTCCTCTATCGTGGGTGTCGCACTTGGCGCAGTTGCACTCGTAGGTGTACATTCGTGTCCCCATATGCTCTTTCTAAAAGGCAAAGTGTTCGGCGGAAGGTCCGTATTCACCGACAAGGAAGGCGGTTCTGATAACCGAACCGTCACCATCGAATCGTGTTCCGGTATTCTTCGCTCGTCTTTGTCGTCTTTCTCGACTGGCGATTTCATTGCGTTCGATTCCGCCCACGTCGGGTCCGTACTGACCGGGGAGCCTTCATTTTTCTTCTGAATCTCGGGGTCCCGCTCCATCACGCGGCGCAGGTCCTCAAGTCGAGACCAAGGTGGTCGGTAGAGACTGGAATGTCCGATCTCTTCTTGAGCCTTGTGCCTTAAGCCTTACCCGCCTAACCTCAATTGGTCTCGAGTGACGTCGGACAAGTGGTGCATCGACAGCGGAAGAGTTCACGAGAATGGCTTCGAGAATCGATGACTGCGTGTAATGTTGTAGTACTAGTACTAGTAATTAGTTGTACCTATTTACTCGACACGAAGGCAGAGACCAGGACGGATTCGTCCATTCAACCACGGTCTACGCAGTCCCTAGATGTCGCCTGCCAAGGTACAAAAGTAACAGGGGAGCTGGATAGAAGTGGGTTCCGCCAGGGATTGGCGAGACAATCGGCCTGTATGTTTCCCTATTTTGTTTCGTCGAGGGGTCGAAGTCGATGCTTAACGCTTAACAATGGCTGCAATGGGTTGGGTCTAGAAGAAAATACGTAGTACTCCAAGGTTATGGATTATGCAATGCTAATTGCTAGTATATAGGTAAGGGCACGTCGACTAAGCAGTGGATGCTGCATCAAGGAAACAATTGGTGTGACACTAAGGAGTGAACGACTTATACGGAATAACCACTATTAAAAGAACGACTACGAATGCTTTCTCGCTTGTCGAAGGTAGGGATAAAGAACGGACGAGAAACAATTCTCGCGCATACAAAACGATCGGAAGTCATTAACCTTTTACGATTAAAGGAGGGCATTCGCAGGAATAAGGAAGAGGGGAGGACTTGCTAGACGGGATGAACTCCCCTATCACGTAAGGTTGCATGGGTCCGAGCAGATGAGTTACACCTACTATTCCAACCTATCCAATCCGCTTCCCCAATTGGATCGATGAATGGCCGCTTAAGGCCCCGTCCCTGCATTAGCGGTTACCTAACATTACCGACATAACATTCTATCTGGCCCTGAATACAAACCAACCGTATCCTTACTTTCCCCTAGGGAGGTTCATATAAATCAACCGCGAGCACATACAAGTTACAACATTGGAATATTCATAAATAGTAGCATAGGTGCATTCCAGTCTGCCAGTCTGACCTCATAGCCCTCCGTGAAAAGAGGCAATTCGCATACCATGCCTCCATGGCAAGATCGCACGATCACTAGCTGTGATTCGTAAGGCGATAAATGTCTTAGACACCGGACGAGACCTACCTAGCAGCCTAGACGCGCGCGATAGCGGTGTGAAGCAGTACGTACCTATATACATGAGTTTATGGAGGGTAGTCCCTGTATTGCGCTCGCCTGCAAGATTGAATTGGGAAAGAGCCGCTTTCTCGCATAGTCCCGCGACATCTAACGCATAAATTTCCCCACTGAATTTTCAATCGAGCGAATCGAACTATCTCCATCTACCTTACCGAACCTCAATATTTTATAGTATATAGAACTAAAGCACTTCGCAGGAACTCCGTACCTAGATGCTTATTTCTAATAGACATATCTTAGCCAACGTCGTCCATATAGCCATACCCGATACGGACTCACCGCCAACTTACCGGCATGTCACTAAAAAAACATGAGGGGCAGTGAGTCTCCATGATATAGCAGATCTGACGAATATCACACACCTACATAGGTATATAATCGTAAGATATCTACATACTATTCCATAATTGTTCAATCCATTAATCTATCTCATTGAACATCCTTAGCCGCAGTATTTGTCGTGTCGAAACTCCATCTTCCGTTCCGCTCGATTTAGCCAGTGTCCGATCTGGATGTTCTAACAGTTCCAAGTGCTCGGCATAATGTGGTATGATACGTGTAGCAACCCTAAAAAGGAAAGACAATCATATATCTAAACATAAAAAACATGTATATTGGACTTCAACTTTTCTGTGCTTTTCGCGCGCAAACTATACAATGTCTTCACGATGGTATATACGTGACCTAACGAAAGGAAAGCAGTTACCCACCCAGAGTTTGAACGCGGACGCCAAATTATCTCTCTCCGAGATCTTAATGTCACCACCAAATATCCTTGACCTCGACGGGGTATTTTTCTATACAAGGCGTGAAGGAACACAAGGTGCCCCAGGTGCCTCTCTCATAATAGGAAGCCAGCCCTTCAAACCAGAACCCTCAAGAATGTATTATATGTCCACCAACACAAACCTATACCCCAATTCGTTAGAAGCCTAAGATCGGAAGCAACAAGTGGTTCCGGGTCCATTTACAACCCTGTCACCATATTTCCTATTGATGATGGAGGTGCTGAAGTCACCATTTTGGGAGTCATTTGTTTCCCGGGAACCGGACTGGGCTGACCAGGTGTTCGTGACCCTGGCTTTGTCACGTTCGCCGTTTGGTTGCCTTGCCGTCCAGGAGGAACAGGGAATACTGGTTCCTTATTAGGGTCAATACCTGGATAAAGACCTTGAAGTTTTTTGTATAATTCTTGGATATATTTGGCCGTCTCATCTCGATCCGGAGCTTCTTGACTTTCCGATCCATCTGGCCCTACCATCATCTTTAGTTTAACACCTGTGTTTAGCGGTGGCGCCTTCAGATAAGTAGGAGATGGCGCAGCCGGGACGTTGCCTTTCTTATCTGCCAATGCTGCCAAATATGACAAGTTTGACTGGAGTCTACGCATACAACTATCAGGATAATTAGTAAATGTCATTTGATAACACACGACCAAACTTACTGAAGGTAGTCTTGAGATAGTATCTCTTCGTCCTCTGTCGGCCTATCGGGTTCATTTGCATTAAGCTCAGTGCCATTGGAGGCAGTCCTCTCCTTTTTTAGCGTGTCCCGCGTATAATGGATCTGCATAGCCTCTAGTAACAATTCGTTGTTGATCTCCAAAATCACGCCGACCCTTTCCTTATCCCTAGAGTCTGAGCCTGGACTTAAAGGCGTCGACCCAGACGACGCATTATTAGGACCGCTATTCTGGGTTGAAGCGGGAAAAGTCGGCGTTTGAGGAGTTGGGATATTGTTGGGGGGCGGCTGATTCTGAGGTTGCTGTTGCGCGTTGTTCGGCGTTTTGCTTTGAGGCGTAACGTGGGCATTTTGTGGTGTCGACAATGGATGTTGATGCTGCTGCTGCGGTGTATTCGACGTGTTGTTAGGGGTCGGCGTGCCTTGAGGAGGTTGACCTTGAAAGGATCGTTGAGGTGTAGGAGTAGACATCCCCGGCGCGTTTGGATTTGGCTGCGGCGGCTGCATACGTTGCATCATTTGCTGCTGCTGCTGCGGATTCATCCCAGGATGCATCGGATAGCTGGCCATAGGCATACCACCTGCCATCGCATAGCTGGTAGGACCGTTCATTTGCGGCGCGACAGAACTAGGAACACCAGCACCATAGGGCGAGTTCGTATACGGTGGTTGATAATTAGGCACTAAAGTAGCGAATCACTCCATTAGTATATTGCATTATCATCGGTAGGACAAATCGGCATCGATGGTCGTGCCTGTGGCTACTGGACTAGTATCTCCTATGCCGTAGATAGTATATGAATCCTGTACGGGCATGCAAACAGCCGTCCTAAGCGGCAGCATGGGGAAGATCACGGGTATGTAGTGTGGCGAAAGAGACAAAGAAGCCTGACGGGAAGGAAAGGTGCTTACTCGGGCCATTGGCGGCGGCCATGTGCGGCATACCGGTATTTTGCATCATTCCTGCAGGACTAGGACCCGGCATCATGTTTGGAGCACCAGGGAAACCAACTCCGGGTTGCGCGCCCATAGGAAACTGCTGAGGATTGTACATCGAAGCCTGGTTGGGAGGACCTTGACCGGGCTGCAAATGAGGGTTCTGCGAAGCTGAGTGTGGGGCGCCACCATTGTATTGTGATCCGGCAGGAGGAACAGCATTGGGAAAGCCATAGTTTCCTGCGTACATGGCTCACGATAGGCTGGAACCACGCTGGCACAGCTGGCAGGGCTGGGCGGCGTGGGCGTGAGCAGATCTGGGACGGGACTCGTTGGGGCTCAGATTTGTTCACCACACAAGCGAATGTGGTGTGTCGCGCGTTCGTGTGGGGTGCGTCCGAAAATAGCAAGGGGGTACGGCGATCAGGTGCCAACTATGCGCCCCCGAGAACCTCTCCCGAGCCAAACAGCGAGACCTCGGTGTCACTTTATTAAACGTTAAACGTTAAACCTTGGATATAAAATCTGATCCTTTCTCTCCCAATCGATCAGTATGGCCAAATGCTAGTCGACCTAGTACCGAAGTAGGTATATTACCCAGTCCAAAAAATCGCTAGACAGGATATGCCACGATTTCATGTACGTATCTGTGTATGTGTCTATGTACCGTACCTTAATCAGGGGGAGACCGGCACAACACATACACGGTACATTAGAAGGTGCCCGAGTAAAATATAGACGTACGTAGGCCCGAATAGTCTGATGTACTTGTTGCACCGTACCAAAGCAAACCGTACCAGTACCTCGAGACGTAGGCGGTAAGGTGGTAGGAGGAGCTAACGCCAGGTAGGCACCAAGGTTTCTCCCTTCTCGAACAGACACACCTTCGGTGTCGTCCGTCGTACGTAGTATTTGTCTAAGACGAGAGCCAAGGATTTGTTATAAGGATGAGTCAAGTAGTAAGGAAGCTAATATAAAGAGTATGTGCGTGTGTGCGTGCTAGTCCAATGGGTATAGAACGTCCACGGTATGGGATGATAGCAATTCGCCAATCTGCAAATCTCATCAGTTCCCGCCGTGGGTCAACATAAACCTTGAAAGTAGGCAACAGGAGTGTGTAGGTGTACGTATGTACACTAAACGTATAGGTGTATTGAAGTATCGAAACGCCAGGTCTTGATGATACCGGCCAACCGCGACTAGAGAGGAACTACTAAGGTCGGTTAGGGGGGATTGGAAAACTGTGACAGGACGGCCCTATGCAGTTGTAGCAAGGATTCGCCCTGTGGGACGGTAGGCCACCGTGGTCCGTGGATGGAGGATGCGTCAAATGATGGATGCTTGTGTTCCCGTCAGAAAGACGAGGTTCGCTCAGGGAAAGTAAGCTGGAAAGTAGGTAATCTGTAGGTAGCAATCAATTACCACCTGGGGCATCGGGGATACGGGGGGGTTGGTGGGTGCGTCTAAAAGGCTGGAAGTATGTGACTGGAAGACTTGGAAATATGCGAGAAATCAGGGAAAAATTAAGAGCAAATGGGCAAAGCTTCTAGAAAGGTTGCAGGTGGCGCTCTCCTAAGATTGGAAAGACTGGAAAGAGAATTAACACTAGTGGCAGGCAGCATGGGTGTGGGGCTTAATTCTGCTTATCCATATATATCCTAGCTCCCTCCACTTTTATCGTCGATTTTCGCAATTTTGATACTCAAGTACAGGTTCCATATAGACATCCTAAAGTATATGAGATATGTACTCGCATACTACCACCTCGCAGCTTAACCGACTCTCTTGCATGAGCTGATGACAATGAGTTAATTCGAGGGAATTTGTTTTCTCAGCGACTGATCGGTGAAGTTATACATATCCGTGTTGCCCGGGTCAGCTAAGGAAATATAATCAGACGATTATAACTTAGGTATCTTGTATGGAACAGCTAAGCAGTAAACTCTCGCGAATAGAAGTTGTCGTTTGTCCATATCGCTAACATCGCGGATTCGGTAATGTTCCCCTATGATAAACGCATGGGACTCTTTCCTAAGACGTAGACGCTAGCCAAATATAAAAGCCCTCCAATTCCTACCCAGCTGTTCAACGCCCTCGCGCAAATTCCATCCTTTGACCTCGCAAATCTTCCTGCATACCTCTTCGAGGTATTGATCCATCTGCTCACCCGCAACATGCAGGTCACTCTCCGCCAATATGCGATCATCAGGGATGGCTCGGATTGCCTCCTCTGCTTTGTCCCCACCCCCAGTTGCCCAATTTATTACAATTGAGAAGGAGAAGAATATCTCCGCCGGCACCGAGGGGTGAAGATACTGCTTAACCACCTCAGCTGGTCCGCTAAAGGAATGTACACAGATACGTGGGGGGTATGGCTTTGGTCCCTGCTTGGGCTTCTCTTTCTTCGTGCTGGACTTGACATGGCTCTCATTGATCTCGTCTTCGGATGAGCTAGAGAAGTCCTCTGCCCCTTCGGCGATTCTTCTCTTGTCTCTTCTTGACATTACCGGTTTCTCGTGTCCCTTCCATAGCTGGGAGATGGTATCATAAAGGACGCCATGTGCCTGGACTCCGTGAACACTGACCGGACGACCCATCTCGCCCGCTAACCGCAGTTGGGCTTGGAGGATCACAGCCTGGTGTGCCATCTGTACTCGGTGAGGGCTCAAAAGTCTCCCTTCCCGGCCTCCAGGTGTAAGTCCTTCATCACGCTGGGCCTTATTGGTCGAAGTCCAAGCTTGAGGAAGCCGAAACGCTTTGTCTAACCCAATTTCACCAACGAGAGCTATAGGATGCTTCTCTAACCGAGACTTAGTTTCACGTAGGAACTCAGACAGTGGTTGCGGATCCGGAAGTCCTTCGCTGAAGGACACGTCTTTTGACGAAGGCGGCGGAACTAATGTTTTGTCATAGTGTGATATCTTGCCAGATGGAGTTCCATCATATGTTAAGTCGGAAGAAAGGTCATCATAAAACTGGTAGGAGAACCAAGGATGCCAGCCAAAGCAAGGTATTAAACGGCCTTCTCCAGAAGAGCGTGAAGAGACCGCTATGCCACTGTCTTCGACACCATAGCGAGAAGCTACGTCAGAGACGAGGTCCTGGTCTTGGGACCTTGTAGACATCACGGTTAAAGCACGTGCTTTCATGTGTGGTATAATTTTTATTGACGCCATTGTATCGGTAGGGTGGCAATGAGCATCGAAGACACCAGCATCCCAGGGAAAAGGCTCGAGGGAACTCCCCTGGTTGCTATGAGATAGCGGGGTTCCCAAAGCAGAGGACTCTAGCTCCCCTAGATGATTTTGACACATTACGTCCAACCAATGCGTGAAGAACAGCTTAGATGTTTGAGATATTTAATGGGCGTTCTGCAGCAAGGGGGCGAAATACCCGCGTAAAGATGCCCTACCTAATTAATAGGTTGGCGAATTCTGACGGCCTCGGCCTCGGAGCACGCAATTATGGGAAGCGATGTTCGCCAATCTTGGAGTCAGTTATGAAGACTTTTCTAAATCTTTGCTATGTGAAGGTTAATACTTTAGAAGTATCATACCCATAAAGGAATACAATCGAACTAGGATTTATGACTCACATGAGGAAGCTGCATAACTCTAGTCATTGGATGTATGATCTTTGGGGCATTCAATTGGGCACGGGATGTTGGTATAATTGATTGGTGGTCTCCAGGGCTCGAGTTGCCTAGACAAAACCCTACTTCAATTTCGTGACGTCAGAGGCTACTGCCGCCTTACCGTCCCTTCCCCGTAAGTGCCCTGAATAATTCCATTGATCCATGCGATACTCCACAGCTCCGTAGAGCCGGGGCACAACGGCTCCGACGGGAAGGTAGGACGGGCTAGCACCGATCCATTGCCTAGGTAATTGCTAGGAACTGTAAATTGAGGAGCTATCAGCTTTCATTCTTCGCCTTATCAGAATGTCTGTTTTTTTACAATGAATTCCTTCATATTAGGTAAAATGAACTTACATATTTGTGACATGCTTAGCTGATAACAAAGATCGCGCCACCCGGTAGCCCCTCAATCCCTCAGAAATATCCGATGCTAACACTGGCTGCCGAAAATACTACGGCACCTTTACATCTATCCTGCCAACATCTCGACATGTGAAAGTCGTTTGGTGCTATTGGAACCTTCGAAATTGAAGACGTCGAGACAGAGTTTGCTACATCACACCCTCCCAATGTCGAGGCCATAGATAAGATGCTTTAGCTTCGGGTTTCTTCATGCCTTATTACATCTTTCGCGTCGTCTTCAACAACTCCTCTCCTTGTGCTACCATCTGCCGGCACTTAAAAACATCTTTTTCTTCCCATCCTATACCAATAAGCAATCCTATTAGAACAACCAGGCTAGCCCTGCGTCTCTAATGACAATGTGAATCGATAATTTTGTCGATTCGTTGATTAACTTTCAAGTGTTGCAAATAGTATTGTCTTAGACGGACAACTCGGGGATTTCCGATGGCACTCTTTAACCCCTTTCAGGTCGTTATATTTCCGTTCCTCTTCCTCATCGCTCTCCCGCTCGCCCTCTGCGCCGGATTCACGACCATCTTGGCTTTTATGGTTTTGTTCCTGCGTCTATTCCTCGTCTACTTCGATGTCGGATTAGAGACTGTGCGTTATATATTGGTTGGTCATGCCGCGCATACCCGCTCCGTGGCAGCAAGACGGGCTCCTTCGATTCCCCCACTACCCTCGCCGGAACGCTCTCTGTCGTCCTCGCCAGAGCCACGACATCGCCATCGACGTAAAACGCAAGGCAGCGCAAGCAGTGGTTCTATCACGCCCGCAAATAGCCTTGATGGATTTGCCCTAACACCTACCATCGGGGTCGAGAGGGATTTTGAGGGCGTAGGCGGATGGAGATTGGATAGCGTGGACGTGGATGCTGATGCCGCTGACGACCATCAATGGTACAACCTGAATTCGCGGCTTGATCTCCCGGGCCGTCGTCATCATTTCAGATCACAAAGTGGAAGCGCGGCGTCGGGAACGAATGGATTAGGACTTTATATGAAAGGCGCCAACACGACCGCAGCTTACAATCCGGAGGGATCAAGAATATATACGTCGCCTAACAGTTCGAAGTCGAGGACACCAACGAGTAGTAGGCCATATGGTTTTACGAAACTTGACGGGGATGAGTATTTCCCAATGATGGAAGGGAAGTATGTGAAGAATGGTCGGTTGTAAGAGAAACTGAAAAATTGAGGGATGCTCTTTTTTTCCTTTGCGAAGTTCGACTTGTCTGAGTAGAAGGGATTGGCGTTTGATAAGACCATATATCATTGGTTAACGGCAAGGTTTTTTAGGTATGTGGGATTCGGGAGTTTGGTCAAAGCCGAAAATTATGAACAACGATTAGGTCTATTGAAAGGGATTTAAATGCTGGCATCACATCTCAAATGTGTTTCATAATCAAGTGGATTCTGAAGTTATCCCGGAATCAGAACAATGGTATCCTAGCCACGAAGAACGCCTAACACCGTACAGCAACCTCCATAGCGTTGATATCGTACTACTCTTTAGGTGAGCTTCGGTATAGCTCTAGCTTTAGAGTGTCTGCCAGAAGTAGTTGGCATAGAAGTAACGTGAGAACTTCTTGTCCATGTTTATAACATGGACATCGCCCTTGCGATCGTTACGCACAATGGCTCTCGAGAACTCCCCGTCCTTCTCATCTCTTTCTAGGTCGATGCCTAGGCTCCGATACACCTTTAGGCGCAACAACACCTCATCATCGACAGGATCTCTTCGGTTTGCTGCGTCATCTGGTGATCCTTCCAGGCCTTGCAGTTCTAGTTCCTGCAATCGCGCGGCTAGATCGGCCTGTTGTGAAGACAGACGTTCTGCTTCCATCTCTAAGTCGGACACTGCTTTGGCGATACGGAACTTCTGCGTGTCGAGGCGCGAAATCTCGGATGAATGAGCGGACGACGAGTGCGCTGATGTAAGCTCTTCATGTTGTGTGTGAAGGGTGTTAAGGGAACGGCCAAGCTCTAGATTGCCATGTGTTAGTGAGGACTTGATAACTGGACTAGGTACTGTTTGGTGCCATACTTTTTAAGGATGATTCAGCTTCTCTAATCCGTAGCTCTCGTGCTTGCTTCAAGGTAGAAAGCGAGTCGCCGATACGCGAAACGGCAAGCTTATCTGGAGCAATGTTGAAATTGTTGATTGTGTGGTGGATGAGCTACATGTTGTTAGCAATCGAATCAAGGGATTGAAAATGACTACCGTACAGAAGCGGGATCCTCGTCGAGCAGCATCTTGATAAGAAGAGGTCGATTTTTTTCAATCAATTTAATATCCTGCTGCTATTGTATCTATCTCGATGTCAAAACCCGGGTCATTCGAAATACTTTGTCTTGGTGGAGGACGTAATTGTCGATTGAATCGCACTATGTAAATGGAATAATAATGAACAAAACAAACCGGGGTATCACCAGGACGACTGATAAGGTATCTTGGAGATGTACAATGTACCTAAGTACATAATATTATTTGCGACTGCCCTAAAATGACCCTGCACACGCGATGTATCCACTGACCCACACTCAACCAAGGTTAGACTTTTGAAGCGCTCTGCGTCATCCGGCGCCACATTTGCAGAACTGACTAACAGGTGACGACTTGAGAGCTCCCGCCACAATTCGGATCCCGCACCAACTCAACCTATCGTCGCTGGAAGGTTCCGAGCTTCTCGAAGTCATCTTTATCTTCTACTTAAGCGCTGCCCGTCTACACAACGTACAGCGTGGCAAGCAACTTATAGTCGAGTTACCTATTACCTACTAGTAGTATATAATCTGTTTACTCGACGCTTTTTCACCAATAGCGAATAGCACGAACCTAAGTCTGAGTAATTTAAAATCAGTCAATATTAACAAGATGACGGCGCTACCTTGTATGTATACTCGGCCTTAGGTCTCACATTAAGTGGCGCGGGCAAAGATAAACAAAGACATACTCACTAACATTATTTCTTTATCTTAGATGCCGTCGACGCGGAAACGTATGCCTTATTTCCTCATAAACCCTTTGCTCCGTTATGCCAACTAACCATCGCTCGAGTAGTTCGCTAAGAGAAGCGGAGTTGGAAACTTTGCGCACGCAATATGAAAAGGAGGGCGAGATGGCCGGTATCCAAACAAAATTCAACTACGCATGGGTGAGTTTGCTTCGCAATATTCGTCAGGAGACATATACTATAATAACCACAATAATTTGCTTATTGTCTATCATAGGGCCTAATCAAATCCAACAAACGAAGCGACCAACAACTGGGGGTACGTCTACTTTCGGAAATATTTCGAGTGTCGCCCGACCGTCGCCGCGAATGTCTCTATTATTTGGCATTAGCCAACTACAAGCTCGGGAACTACGGAGAGGCGAGGCGCTACAATGACTTGTTACTGGATAAGGAACCAGCCAATCACCAGGCAACGGACCTGCGCAGATTGATTGATGACAAAGTAACGAAAGAGGGTCTGATGGGCGTTGCAATCATAAGTGGTGTCGCCATTGCCGCCGGTGTGGTTGGTGGGATTCTGTTCCGAGGCAAGAGACGGTAGAAAGGAGAACGCGAGTTTTCGGAAAGAAAGCCCCGCGCTCGACAAGGACTGTAGGAGGTTTATAACAACCTCAGGTCGAATGCAAACGATGGCCTTGCACCGGTTGACGTCGGAGGAACATTTATCATTTGTCTAGGAGGTAGATGATGCGTTTTCGGACGGTTGACACAACGGAACGGTTCTACAGAAGCACGGGCTTAGGATCATGAGTGACAGCGTTAGGTCTCGGCACGAATACCATGTAATCATAGAAGCCACTCAGTTGTACGCCAGGTAGGAATACAGAATATATCAACTGAGGTAAGAGTGATTTGGTGACTTATATCATGATATTCGTAGTGGCACGGTCGTATTCTATATGATGGAACATGCTGGAATACGAAGTACAGCATTCATAAATTGAATGTGTAGATATCGATACAGGTAGCGTTTCAACTCAATATAGTGGCTACCAGTAAATCGAAATCTAGAAACGCAAAACATGGTGGCTGATGTACTTTGTTAGATGTCAGACATGGGTGAATCATTCAAAGTCGTGCCTAGGTACATAAGGAGCCTAGGAGGTTAACTACTAGGTAGCTGATGCGCCACGATCATTATGTAATAATTAGAGTCCATTCAAGGTTGCCCCGCGGTGGGCCAAACTGTACTTGCTCTAAGTACCTCCAGCTTACAACTTGGAAATGACGAAAGCAACTGGGGCAACTCACCAGTAGTAACTTTAACATCTCTGCCTCTACACGTAGAAGCTTAGATGCGCATACAAACGCAAACGCGATCAAACTACAAAGATCCTTTCGAACCTTCCTACGCCGATATTCTTATTTAATAATTCCCAATATTTCAACCCAACTCGAAAATCAGAAAGGACGTAGAAGATTGACAATAAAGCTGGGTACCTTACATATGCCGTATGGACGTATGGACTCCGGATCTCAGGACTTCCATTGGATTCCGACCTCAGCCATCATTCGCCCAGTTCGCCGAGCTTTCCTTTTGGCGAACATATCCTACCGACCTATCAATACGGATTCCACCGTCGTACTAGTGCCGTATTGCAAGGCGCGCACATAGTCTGTTCCGTATGATTAATCCCACCACCGTAACAGCTGTTCCTGCTGACTGATACCTTGATACCTGATCCCAGTTGTCGCCAGCCTACCTCCGCCTCGCCGGATATTTGGACAACCCTACATTAAGGCTGCATGCATTCCAACCTCACTTATATCACACTCCCGCGTCAGCCTCATCAACTTCACCACCTTCACTATTTTGGTTGCCATTCACGTAACCGCCGAACCGTCTTAATCCGGCTTCTTTAATACGATCACCTTACGAAACCCGATTCGCCCAACGGTCGTTTCCCTAGCCTCGTAATTGAATTCACACTCTGGCTTTCCGCGCACTTCGAGCAACCGGCCTAGCTATTGGCCTAGGACTCACTGCTCTTGCCGCTTATCGACAGTCTAGGCAAGTCCAGATGGCGTCAAGAAACACCCATCTCGACGCGACTGCCGGTCGAGAAGTAGTCTTTTGCCATCGCTGCGAAAACGAGTGGTACCGGGATGAGCGCCCGAACACTTTAGATTGTCCTAGGTGTCAAAGCGATATCACAGAGATAGTACGTTGCTCATTCCAACCCATTTTAATCCTAGCATCATACTTACTACTAATCAGGTTGAAGTCGATCATGATCCCCGAATTATAGACGATGACCAGTCGTTGCCAGACTTGGATCATTTTCGACGCCACCACCATCACCACAACCTCGACTCCGACGATGAAGACGAAGACTTCGAGGAAAATCTATTACATGGCCCTGGAGGTTTCTTTAGCCATCGATCTATCTTGCGATCACCTGAGCGCCAAGGTGCTGGAAACGGACCGCGTGCGGCTCCCGAGAATGCCGACCAGATAATTCGCAGATTCACTGAGTTATTAGGAGATATAGGAGGACCTAGCATGCGATCTGGCCCAGATACCTTATTCTCTAGCCCTCCTCAACGAGTCACCTTTCAAAGGTTCTCCGGTCCTGGATTTCAAGGCGGCATGAGCAGCATTACCATCAGTAGTACTTCTGGACGAACTCGCGCTGATCCTAGCCAGGGGCCTGCCATGGGCCGTGATGACCCATTTCGAAGGTATGATTCTCCCTTTTTCTTATCTACCTAGATCTCAGGATAGGTATTCTGAGATCTTTTCGCCTTCGTACGGCTTTTTGCTGGCTATAGCTAACATAATACAGGGTTTTTGGAGATATTATGGGAGACATGGGCCCTCCTTCCGTAGACCGTGATGGTCCCAACTCTGCGAATCAGAATGGGGGTGATGGTAGTGGCAATGGCCGTCCACAGGCGGATTTCTCTTTAGCCTTGAGCCAACTAATAGCAAGCCTCATAAACCCTCACATGGTCCATGGTGATGCTGTTTACTCGCAAGAGGCGCTGGACCGTATTATTACAAACTTAATGGACTCGAATCCCCAGTCAAATGCTCCAGCGCCTGCCTCGGATGAATCTATTGCCGGGCTACCAAGAAAAAAGTTGGATGAGGCAATGCTAGGACCTGAGTTAAAGGGTGAATGTACGATCTGTATCGACGAGATGAAGGCGGGTGACGAAGCAGTTGTGTTGCCATGTAGGCACTGGTTTCACGAACAATGCGTCACCTTATGGCTGAAACAACACAATACCTGTCCTATCTGTCGAGCAGCTATCGATGGCGAGGCTGCTGGCCGTCCGAACGACGCAGTCCCGCCTACGCAGCCTGGCCCATCTAGCATCCCCTCTCATTACAGAAGATCCGCGCCAACACCCCCGGGTCGCGTGCGATCTGACCTGAGTGGGTTTTCTAGCCGACAACAGTCGACTCGACGAGACTCGAACTCTCCTCCGACGTACTCTGGATCATCGCTCCCCACTAGGGCTAGAAGCCCTTCTCCTAGTCGTTCGGCACAAAGTGAGAGAGCTCGGGATGGTCGCAGCTCTTCTGGTGGTGGTCCATTTACCTGGATAAGAGATCAATTCCGAGGAGACAGGCGATAATGAGCGTGATTTTCGCTCTGATTCACTCAGTCCAGTCAACCTACAACGGGCTTACATAATCATGCCAAAAGTCGGCGGCATATGAAGTGACAGAACACATATTTGACGAAGACCATTGGGTCGATAGATACCATAATACTATGGTATTATAAATCACGCGTTCACCCTCTTTACCCCCAAGATTGGCATGTCCAATGGATTGATTCAGAGTTTATGGTGTGTCATTGCCCTAATGTTATGACACTGCCACAATCCAACCTATGAATTTAAACTAGGCGTACACCACCGCCTGGCGTCGAACGGATAGTGAAGTGTATTTGAGGACTACAAGACGGATACAACTGGTGGGAGCGGAAAACGACATGAGCTTGTTCCCATAGCTCAGGGTGTTGCAAATGGGGTGAAAGAAATTCGTAACCTAGTGGTTGATAGATCTCCGTGCCTTGATGAATATGAATTCTTACGATGGATTGACAAAGGCTTGCATAAGGTGCTTGGTAGTATACCGTGAATTGATCTTGCAGCTTCGCAATCCCCAATAACCACCCGCCTAGGTACGTCACTATCATTTCCAGTGCCGAAGACAATTGGCTAATTGTATCGTCTACTGAACTTACTAGCTAGAAACCCGCTGATATCTGCACTATAAGACACGTTGGGAAGTGTATCGTTCCTGAGCCATGTAATAACAGAGCCTTAGTATTTTCACGCCCTTTACATCATACGAGCGACTTCTTGCTTCTGCCGTAGGTAGTATCAATCCCTTTATTTTGCTCACAGCGTAGATGTTATATTAACAATCCCTCCTTGACGAGTCGAAATTTACAAAGATCCTATTTCAGCAGGCAATAGGGGGTGGGTGAATTATCACTTAATTTATCCTTGACTCTTCTTTTCACTCTCTTACTTGCATAATTTAATTTCTCACTCTCTCATACGAGATAAACATTTGACGGACCATACAATAAGTTTTACATTCATCTCCTACTCAAGACTAAACTTAGGGGCTAATAGCGATAGACAGATAAACAGAACAAAACATCAAACATTAAACATTAAACAAAAACAAGAGCAAAACAAAAGATGAGCTAAAGGTCACTCACCTTCAACTAACATCCCAAAGCGAACTCACCTAGACACACACCTACCTTCCTACAAAGGCACTTAGCGCCGACACATCTGCCGGTACGGCTGCGCGAACATGCGCACCGTCAGCGGGACCCAAGTGTCGACCACAAAGTCCAGGTCCGCGCCCTGGCCGTACTTGTGCGCGCTCTTGTAGTAGTACCCCGAGTTCGCGAGGAAGTAGTACGCGTCGCCGTACTTGACAAGCCTCACGGCGAGGCCGTGCGCCAGCCGGCGGCGGTGGCCCGGCCGGTCGATGTGCGCGCCCTCGATCGCCGCCAGCAGGTAGATCTGGCTGTCGGGCAGCCGCTCGCGCCGCTCGAAGGCTTCGCGCGAGGCGCGCCGGATCGCTTCGGCCTGGCCCGAGGCCCGCCCCTCGGCCACGCGGTGCCGGAACTCGCGCTCGGAGCGCTCCCGCTGCCGCGCTAGGTGGCGGGCCGCGCGCGCGGCTTCGCGCTCGCGCTCGGCGCGCCGGGATGAGCCCGTGCGCAGCCCGAAGAAGCGGGATAGCGTGCGCACGGCGCGGGCGGCGGCGCCGCGGCGGGAGCGCGAGGAGGAGTGCTCTGTCGAGTGCCGGGATCGAGCCATGTTGGCGGTTAGGTTAACTGACGGTTGACGAGTTGGGAAAAGGGGATACGTACGAGTTGGTCTGGATGGGAATGATGGGGCTGTAAAGGTGGGCTGAGAGAAGGGATAGTTGAGAACTATGGTACGGAAAAGAGAGAGGAGAGCAAAAAGGGGGAATGCGCCGCGCGCTTTTATAGGCTCGGGGAGGAGGCTATGATGGCGCTGTGTTGGGGAATCACGATGGTGTTTTTGGAGGGGACTTGTTGTGCTTGAACGGAGTGGCCTTGGGATGAGGGTTGTTCGGGAACGGCGATGATAGGGGTTGGTGCTGCTAGAGGAGAAACTGAAGGTCTGTATAGAGACAGACCACATTGTTACCAAATAGAGCGTCTGAGTAGTATATCATGATTTCAACTCCTCTGTGCGAACACCACCCGCTATTAGTTGATCAGAACGAGATAACTCGAAGTTGGTGACCATGAAGTTATTTTCGCCATTGAAAAGGGGCTTTCTGCCTTGCCTACATTTACGTCTCCAATCGTCAGACTGGTTGATCAAGGAGGCCGCAAATATTTCTACATATGATTCAAAAACGTAGTAGCCCCCATTCCTTAAGTATGCTTCAGCCTCCACATAACTACTATTATATTTCCAAAATTCACATTATATGGCAATAGGCACACGGACTTTTCAGTCAATATCGAGCTGAGGATAGCAATGTTTACATTGAGGCTTATTCTATCTACGATATTAATTCTAAGCGCCCATAGGCAACTCTATGGAGTCCATATGAGAACTACCAAGCGACCTGCGCCGTACTAGTCTCAAAGCAATGACTGGGCACTTCACTTTCTAGGCTTCACAGGAATGTTGATCGGAGCACTCCGTTCAACTTTCGTACTTCCTCCGTATCCACCGTCCTTTTCCTTGACAGGAGGAGGAGGAGGCTGAGGGTTTCTGTGGGCTTCTACGTAGCCAGACTCGCTACCGACAACAGGGGCCCACCCCTCATACTTGTTTGGAACAGAAGGCATTTTGCTGTAAATTATGGTGTGATAAGTGATTTGACTTTTGTGGTCGCTTAGAGAGTTCGATTCTCAATGGAAATGGTTTGTTAACTGGGATCTATGGAGTTGGGTATCCAAATCTCGACGATAGCCTGCCCGAGGCATCGTATAAATATCTACACGTTGTTAAACAATTTAATTGTTTCTTCATTCCAATGTTACAATCAATGGTTTTGATCTGTATGTGTTGAAAGACTACCGTATGAATTCCTTCACAAAGGGAGGCGGTTGAGTGTTCTCCGCTGCGGGAAACAATAGGCATTATAATAAATGTAGGTATCGATTAACTAATTCCCTTAGTACCCTCGAGACTGTCATTACGAGAAATAATAGCTATGGAGGACCACAAATAATCAATTTTCACTCTGATATAGATATTCAAAACTAAGTTGGATTCATGTAGAGCAGACAGTCTGCGACTCGAACATTGGAGAGTAAGTATATGGCTCGACTCTAATTCACATTACTTGGCTATGAGGACCTCTTAGGATTATCCGAGGTTCCTTTCCAAGCCTTTCTTCGCAACATAGAGCGGGATAATATTATTGGAATAGCATTGTTGGGAGGATAAATGAACAGGAAAAGGGGAAAGGTGTGTAGTACATGTGGCTTTGGGGAAAAGGGGATCACAGAACACTTACCCCTATTTTGCTTGATATTGGAGATATGTTTCATTGAGCTATCTTACTGACTTGGCACACATATATCTCTCATGTCCTATATCTGGTACAAGGAATATGACTTATCTTGCATTTTAAATGTACTTACCCCTTATTCCGCGTAACTTTAAGCAATCTTAACTTGAATATTGACGAGCTAAGTGCTGACAGCATCGCGCCATAATGTAATGCATCAACATATGGTGAAGATATGATATCTCATTTTCTAATAATATGAATCGTGGTCTTCTAAACTTACCCAAGCCTTCACTAGATGTGTCATCGGACGACATCTCGGGAACTCGGCGAATCCACTACGTTAACGGTATAGGTAAAGGACGAGATCTAGTAAGCTCACGCCGGTGAGAAGTCCCCGGTGAGAGATGTCACTATCTTTGCTCGATTCAGAGGGGCCTGTAAAGTATCTGAGATATATCTGGTCGAAGATGACTGCCTCAGAAGTCTTTAGGAATTAGACATCCACGGTAAATTTCAACTCCGGGCTGTTGCTTCGTGACGCCGCCATGCAGATATCGATTACTGATCCGCGGCTCGTCGGTCGAGTGTGAGCAGGTAAGAAAATGATGCATGAAATTATGAAATACTAGGCTTGCGCCAAGCTTATGTCGGCGGACATCAACACACATTTTTGATACTGCTTGCGTAATTGTATAGCTGAAATCAAGTGGTGGAGGCTGAGATGGATAGGTAGTTTCACATTCCCCCACTCAGAGATCTGACGAAACCGCCCATACCTGGCGTCAGCATGGGTGGTAAGATGTATGAAAAATAACCTTTAGATCACCTAGCTCTTATAGTATCTTCCGATGTTGATCGATCGTGTGTAAGCTTCGCCATCGTCGGATATCGGCGGTGGTGTTTACGGGCTGACTACCCCGGACGCGGATGAAACAACGGTTGCAGCCTAACGAGGCATTTCACACCCATCTGTTGACCTATTACCTCGGCAATTTGCACTTAAACCAATATAGACCCTAGATCGTTCAGATATGATTGACTTCTACCCGTTCACAGGTTCTCCGTCTTACTTGCATATCCTCGAGCATGGATCGCGACTTAGCTTCCGATAAAAGAGAGCTTTATGCAATGTACGTGTCATATTTTAGTCGGGAACTAAGGGCAAGGATCCGACACGCTGGGCTTTGGCGTTTCTATCCTCATAATTTCTCCTATACCGAAAACCGATGGAACCGTAGACCGGAGTCTTGTTTCCTTAGAAACAAGGGTTGGGGATGTGAGATTGCGCTATCGTCATTCGGTACTAGGGCCCAGCCCGGTGCTCTGGGCCAGGACTGCACAGATCTCTCTCAAGCTCGTCTACAGGGTTGTGATTGAGGTTCTCGTAAGCTACATAGGTGCCGTGGGGGGTTCTAGACTTGTAGTCAAAGTCAGTGCGTTGAATCTGATATATGTGATATCTTCTAGACTACACTTCTCACGATGTCGACCGGGCTTGAACCATGGTCTTGCCAGGTTCTGCTTGTTGGAGGTCAAACGGCAATTCAGGGGCAGATGACCTACATCACAATCTGGCCTAGATTATCGTGGCAAATTTACAGAACTCTGGACATATATCAAATATTGGTAGAAACTCCATGTGAATTGTAACCGGTACTGCATGTCAAGTTTACCAAATAAACTTGGGAAATCTTGAGGCATGGTTCCGCTTGACTGGATACCTAGTACCTAGGTAGGTCAATTCAAATGCTGAAGAATAACGCGAGGAATAATGAGATTGCTGAGTTGGGCAGTACTCTATCCTACTAGGGCTTAATTCAAATCGCCGAAGTCGCTGGGCTCATCTAGAATATGCAAATTCCACATGTCTTCTGAAGACCTTAATAATTCCAGCTGCCACTCCGGTTGTTCACCGCTAGCGTGGCAAATACTATTGAGTTCCAAGTTGTTTCTCGAATACCTCTTCTATGTATATGTGTTCTGAACTAGGAATAAAACTGACAGCTTACGAAAGAGACAGTGTCAATGAAAGGAGAGATAGACTGCTGGGGGCGCGGGCTGAACTGCGGTCGTGGCATCACGGGAAGCATAGCGTGGTAACACAACGGCGTAATTTCGCATTTGCAGGTAGTCATTCGCAAGGCGTAACTGGCTGCTAGGATGCACAATCTGACATCGAAACACCGAGCGCGACCATCCGTTAAGACGAGTTCGCGAGGCGGCGGCCCAGCTCCGGGAAATTAGTTAAAATTGATGCCCTTCAGAATGGCAAGTAGCCCATTGCGATGGCCGGGCTGGGCAAGTAGTTGTATGCAACTTCTTCCAGGACCCGATGGCAAATACTGAATCTTGGAAACTCCGCTTTATATTGAAGGTGACGTTAAAGTTTGCTTGGTGGTAACATAATGCGATCAATTAAAGGGCGTCGAGGCTTTTTAGAGTCAATGGGTAACCTGTTCAGCACCTAACATTGGTGTTTTGTTTTTAGAATGCTGAATAATGAGGAGGTCCCCTTTGATTCGTCGAGGTGACCCTGTTGACTAAACATGAGAATGCATAGCTCGGTGCCGTGACAGGCCAGCCTGTCTGCGACATGCTTATGCCGGCCTGCCATTTGTATGTGCGCCTTACCATGGGGACATCTTACCACCCCTATACCAGATCCTCGGGACAAAGTCTTTTGTTCCTTTAGCGCTTAGTACCTGCCAAGCCAAGCCATCGAAGATCATCACAATCAAGCAGCTGGACGGGGTTTGACTTAGCTTGCAATGAATAGCGAAGCCCGTCTGCTAAGAGAGACGCAAGAAAATTCTGGAAAGGAATGAACCAGGCTGTGCCTGTCAGATCTAGTAGTTCCCGCATAAGTGCCCGTCTGGGCGTATTCATGACATGCATATATCTTCAAGGTCGCAACCAAGACTCCCTCGTGGCTCATCCCAACGGCAGACGGGCCCGAAGGAGTCAGATGAGCATGGTGGTGGGATGCCTTCATGCTGTGCTATAGAAGTCTTACTAACCATCTTAATGAATGGTCAGAACTCAAGTCACAGATTTGAATAGCTACCCAGCCAACCAAGGCTCATCTCACATTACATACGACGCCGCAAAAACGGTTGACGTAACTTAAGTGTTCTAGACAAGGTCAGCATGGATGACGGCGATCGACCCCCAGGATTGGGTCGTCAGATTCTGGGGGTCGGAGGAAAGTTGGGGGACCGCCTAGAGTTACCTAACTTGATAAGGGGGTCGTAGATGAATTAAATGAACCATGTCCCTATTCGCGGTGTTGGGTATTCCAAGCGATTCCACGACTTGGAGAAGATATTTCGACAAGACAACAACGACGATGTCTTCCAGTAAGAACATAGACGGCGAATGGTAATCGATCTCCTGACTTGGTCCGGGATACCTAATGTAATCTGATCAGTCATGCATCTGCGGTGTATGTGTATGTAGGTGTAGGTGTAGGTATGTACGTACAATAGGAAAAAACTTGGGGCGAAGCTGTGCACCTTCATCAGTCAGCGCGCGTTTTCGGCATTTATAATCACAGGCGCGTGCTTGCATGGTTCATGGTTCATGGTTCATGCCGTAGGCCGATTGCCAATCCATTAAAGCAACTACGCACCTGGGCGCTTTCCTTACCCTCAGGTTCCCTGCCTTTCCCACTTCCCTACTCCGCGGGCGACCCCTGCCAACGCTACGGCACTTAAAGAGCTTAGTTGGACCGCTTTGCGGGGGTTGACTGCATATCTCAATTGCTGGATCGTACAGTACAATAGCTAGCGCTGAAAGTTACTTTCACTAGTCCAGTACTATGTAGATGCAATACATTGACCGACATGGTGGACGCGGTGCGGAACTCTCGAAATGAACTTACCTCAATGATACTTGGACATGTAGCTTATCACTCGACGCGAAATATTGGCTTCCACGCACGCCCAGGTGGATACATACACGAATTGGCAACTTTCCCATGTCATGCATACACCGGTTAATCGTGACGTGATGCTGAAGAGTTGCAGCGAGCGAGTGAGTCAGTACTTTGAAAGTAACTAGGTAGTAGGCAGGTAAGTGAGCGAACGCACGCAAGGCACGCAGCCACGATAGCTGTAGGTAGGCTGATTAAGGGGGGCTGTCTGGATGCATTGTCGGTGTTGTAACTTGTGAGGTTGTAACTTCGATGTTGTAAGGCCATGTAGGGCCGTCTATGGCTGTGTATTGATGTATTATATGTACAATACAACAGCATTACGATACCATATGTACTAGCCGTTAAGGATTTGTAACTAGGGGTGTCAACTGATCTTTCCGATATCCATTGACCATTGAAATACCTTGCCTTCCTTATTATTCTTGTTCAAGTGCTTCCTCCAAGGCTACTACATACGTAACTCGTAACTTCCAAGCTTCCCAGGTTCGTAACTAATCCCTTCCCGTTTGACATTGGACATTTGCCATCATTCAATTCTTCTTGATTCCCATTCCCCATATTAATTTTCCCTTTTTTCCCTCGAAAGAGATAAGAGAGAAAAAAAAAGTCTTGGCTTCTCCCCTCCAAACCGTCACTTTATGTTTCTTTATATCCATCCATTCCCATTTTCCACATCCGACCTTGTTCCAATTGAATAGGACTAGAAGGACGATCGGCCCTTATTCCCGGATGCGCCAACCTGCAGTTCTACCTTCAGCCTCAATTGAATCCTTCCGGCCGGGTTTGCATACGGTATAAGTAGAGAGACACGAGCAACGCGCATGTCGTCATCGCAGCGCCCGACCGATTTGTCGTATGGCAGCGGAGGACATTCTGGGCATTCTGTCATTTCAAACAATTCCAATTCAACCAATCCCGCTTTGTCGCCAATAGCCATCTTAACCCCGACTTCCGCGAGCACTCTTTACGCCTCCCCCGATTCGGCAAACGGCCAGCATTTCTTTGGCGCCAAGTCCGAACCCGAGGATGGCGACGGCGCGGGTAGCGGAGAAAGCGTCACCGCTATCCCTTCCTTCGGCGAACCCCTCAAGAAGAAGCAGAAACGCAACAAGCCAACGCTGTCGTGCTATGAATGCGTCGAGCGAAAGACGAAGGCAAGTGCGCGCGCAACCCTAACAATGCTTAATGATTCCGAAACCTCTTCACTTTCACCTGTGCCCGCGAAATTCCCCAATGCGGAAACATCGAGAGTACTACGTCTAGCTAGCGCTAGATCTGTTAATCGTTAGCAGTTGCGTCAGTATCACGTAGCACAACGGGAGGAAAACGTGGTGGTCCTTTTTTTAGATTGACTTAACCATGTCTCGGAAGAGAGGAGCGGGAAATGATGGGCAAATTGGGCGCAGTGTTTGTTCCAAGTCTTTGGTCCGTGTGCAACGGCAACAGCGCCGTCGGGTAACGCTTTGCGCTACGGGGTTTTCAACAACATCATGCACCGAATTGGAATCAACGCGACACGTTCAGTATGCTTTCCTATGTATATCAGCTACTACTAACACATATACGGGCGAATTTAGTGCGATAGAGGTAGACCTCACTGTTTAGCATGTAAGTTTAAACAACCATTTCAAGCTTCTCAAAACGTCAAATATTTATATACCCTTTCCAGGTATAAAACGACAGACGGAATGCAAATATGCACACGTCGCAAATCTCCTCGAGTGAGTCGCCATAGCCTAAAGTGAATTTCCTTGAGGCGTGGCTAAACAGCACTAGGGAGACATCACGATCGGCCACCAATGGCCGCAGGATGACGAAACCGCCGAAGAAGAAGGTGACGATGAGTGGAATGAAGCCTACGATTCCAAATATCGCAGAAAGAGGTATTCTCACCGGCCGGATCGCTTCTCGTGGGTCCGTAGCACTATCCACAGGACTCCTCTCTAACGTTTCTTTATCCCGCCCAACAGCATCCAATGTCTTTGGGATAGGCTCAGAACACCCCTTTGCCAACTACTGGACTTGCGAAGGTGGGCTTCCGGAGGTTATCGGGGTACTCCCTGAGAAGCTGCAAGCCGACATCTTGTTAAGTCAATATTATGAATGCGTGGACCCGGTCTATCCAATAATCGATCGTCGCACATTCTATCTCGAGTACGAGCATTTTTGGTCGCTTAGGGATACAGAAAAGACCGACGCCGCTTTCGTTGGTCTGCTTTTCACCATGATGGCCCTAGGTACCCAGTTCGTTTCAACCACCAACCCCAAAGACCGTAAACAAACCTCCGAATTTTACGCTTCAGCAGGCAATCAAGCCTTACGCATGTTTTCTTATCTCAACACTGCATCTTTACACTCCGTCCAAGCTATGGTATTGGTAGGCTACTTCCTAATAAACGACAATCACGCCTCAGATGGCTGGGCTTTTTCCGGCTTACTATGTACGTGTATTTCAGACTTGACTATTGTCCATTCATGCGCCTATTTGGTAGCGCAATGCTCCTCTTAATATTTCGTCTGCGAAGCCACATGCTCATTTAGCAGTGCTAGCGCTCCACGAAGATTTATACAGGAGCCCTCCACAAATGGGGAATCGCTGACCCGTTGATGTTGTAGTGAGACAAGCGTACGCAATGGGTTTACACAGAGACCCAAACATAGGTACGACCAAAGTATTCAATCCGAAGCAGAAAATTAAGAAGCTGATGAAATATATCTGTCAGTAACTCCGAATGCTAGCGAATTTGAAAAACAGCAACGACGCAAACTTTGGCAAGCCGTCCTTGTTCAGGATACATTCCTGACAGTTCTGCTATCTTTGCCTCCAAATGCCACGCATACCGATGTTAAAGTCGAGGATTTCCATGATGACCCAGCTGGTTTCGGCGATTCAAGTCCTACTGATATAGCGTATATCCGAGGTTCCTGGATGCTGGCAAATTTGGTTCAAGAGACCATCTCTAGTCCCCGGTCGCTCGACGTGCCCATCTGCTCGACGCAAAGGCAGAAATCAAAACTTGTTGCCGACTTTCGCGCGGTATATCGCTCATTTCCCGACGTTTTTCGATCGTGGGATCAAGAAAGTATTGCACAGCTCGCATGTAGCAATAAACGCGTCGTTAGACAAACACTATTTCTAAGCAGTAACTACTATCATAATCTCATGCTAGTACATGCTTCCGAAAGCCCAGACGTACCCGTTAACGTTAGAGCGACATTGGAAGCCGCGCACGAGGCAATCACTTCATTTTTCGTGCTTTTTACGCTTTTCGATACAGAAGCACGGGTGTGGTGGGTCTTCCATCATAGGGCGTTTTTGGAGGCGCTATGCATAGGGGGCGTTCTACGGGAGGCCGGAAGAGATCCCGCTACCGCGGATCAGTTTTTGAGAGATCCGTTATTCGCAAGGGCAAAGGCGGATATAAGTACGTCTTCCACTCTCGACTTTCCATATATATTTCTTGGATACTGACAGTTCTCTAGCTCGCATGGTTCAGATTATGAAAATAATGGCCGACGGCGAATATGGCTCGGATGATGCCAGGACAAGAGTAGCCGTCTTGAGCGAATTTCTATAGATTACGACAACATACGAGACCTTGTTAGATAATGGGCTTGTACATAACCTCATATGTACACTGATGATCATTTACATATGCGTTGGAGTTAGCCGAGATGTGTTTGTAATTAGTAGTTACAATATCAAAATACTGGTTGTCATGATATCCACGGATGAATTGGATTATATCAAGCCAGTCCCCTCTAAAGCGAATAGTGCGACAAGTCTGTATGAAGCCCACACTTCATTGCCATGAACATTACTAATGTTAAAGCTCGTCCTCAGTTAAGCAATTGACCTAATAATTGGATCCGAGGAATTACAGTCACTGCAGTCATGTTTTTCTGATGCATGAGCGAACGCAAAAGGGGGGCATAGCGGCAAAAAGGAAAACGTACAACACTAGGGATTCGCTGGTCGTCACCGACCCAACTACTAATCTAGCGATATCTGGCTTGTCTAATGGGAGAGCGAACGGGATCCCGAACTTTCCAGATCCTATGGTCGTACATGAAAGAATTGTCTGTTAATGCTCTATATTAGGTGGAAACTTTGTAGCTAACACTGACGTACGAATACGAGTGGCAAAGATGAAAAGGCGATCTTTCAGGTGTTAGAGATGCCCTACTTGTTGTATAAAGCGTCGCATCTCAAAGCGCGTGCGATTACATCTTGAAGTACATAGGGGGACTTGGAAGGGTGTTGGCAACATGTTAATTCGAATGAAGTGAAGCTTGAGATCTCCGCTGTAGAGAAAAGGGGCTAAGGTGGGCGATACGTTAACTATAGTAAACTTAGGCCCGACAGATGGAAGAGATTTATTCCTTGAAAAGGGCTGAAGCCGCGGTGGTGGTGGTGGTAAGATGGACATATACATGCAAAGATATAGGTTCCACGACGTCAAATTGTTAATTGACTTGAGAACCAAAAAGATATAGGAGCTTTGAACCGAGAGCTGCATTTCTTGTCCGTAGAACTGGTACGGGCTCCCATATCAATGCACAAAGAAGTATTGGAACTCCATCTTAGCAACTATCGTGGCTTAACATTACTCTAGTATCTTGGCATAGTGCCTACGGCCTTGATATATAAGCCTAGATGATTCAAAGATGTAATACTACCTACCTAGATACCTACTAGGGATCATTGCAAGCTTGCAACCAGCGTTCTAATTTATAAACATTAACCATTCAAATAATAGGGGCTGAGAGTGGCCTAACAGTATCGGACTAGATACATATATACTATGCGAAGGGGATTACCCACCCATCCATCCAAACCCAAGCTTTAAGCCTGCCAAGCCAACATCTTGGTTGACAGTAAACACATGTGTGCGCACACCCAAACACGTATATACGGCCTTCGCCGAGTCGACCTCGGCCCGCCTACAACAACGATGTCGTCGTATCATTAACTAACTGCATAACTCGTATTTCCCGTCACGAGTACCTACATAGAACTGATGTGTGCGATCAAGATGATCTGTATGCCTGTCTCTCTGATTCAACCTCGATGAAAGGTGCGATTCGGACCCGAATGACCGTCGGCTGCGCCTCCCCCAAACCCATCACGCCACCCGGGCCGGCCGGACGCGCTGAGGCATTAACAAGCAGTTGCACTTTCCTCCGGGAGTCCCGCCCCAACTAACTCCCCACCCCCCTTTCTCGACGGCGGCCTAAAACCCGCGGATGTTGCGAAATGCCGACCCGTAGAGAGAGGAGGGATATGGAAGGGAGGAAGAAACGGAGAGAGGAGGAAAGGAAGAGGAGAGGAGAGGAGAGGAGGGAAACCTGTCGACGGATCCGTAACTCCGTGCTACTAGGTTGCACTGGCGTGCTACCAACTGAGCCGAGTTGTTGCTCCTCTCACATGGAACTTGAGTGAGTATTTTCTCATGCAGCCTGAGTTAAAATCTCGTGTTGTGCAAAGTGATAGTTACCTGTGTTTCCCGGTGGGGAGCCGCGGGATTGATTTCCAACCGCAGGGAATCGCTCCCGCTGGGGTGAGATGAGACAAGACGGGACAGAGGTACAGTCCTCGGCGGATCGATGGGAAAGCTGTTTCATCGGACGAGACTCGAGATGGCCTGTGAAAGCAGATATACACCTAGGTATATATGGGTATGTCACCGTTGTAATGTTGGTATGCGCGGTTTTCAATCTGTCAAATTCGATTTATCCATATTCGCATCCTCCTTCCTCCCTCTAATCCCCCTTTCCATTTGCGTTTCTTCTCCTCAATAGGTACTCACGAGTGAGTCCATAACTCTCTCAATATACCTAGACGATCAATAGTTCCTACCACGTGAACGTTACCCCGGATTGAGGGTTCGCAGAAATGGGAAGTGAGGCGAGTTGGCAGAGGCCGGATACGACGCTGGGGCGACATCGACCCAGATATAACACACAGACGTCCAATATTTTTACGCGCACATACATTTCACTCACACATACGTACATACGTATATACGCACATGAGAAATGTTCGACCTACCCCGGTTGCGTGAAGTTGCCAAGTTTCATCGCAATAATCACACATTCGCCAACCATGGCCTCACTATCAGAAGTTTGAAGTCAGAAAATGAAAAGTGGTGACGCGGTTACGTTGTCACCCCCATCACCCCCTTGCTCAGAAACACAAAAACAGGCCTTACTTACCTACCAATCTTACCAGCTTAACTTACCTTCCCCCTTGTACGTAATCAATGGATTTGCGCCTCCAATGCCGAAGATCTGCCACCGACCGGGCGGGCCGAACGTCGGCCTCGTACGTGACTGGGCCGTTCATTGCCCCATCTCCCCCTTTCTCTTCTCGGACAAGCGTGTGACGGGGAATCTTGCCGTTCGCCATGTTCATGTTGGTTCTCTTTCGATATTTCACCACTTCAATCTCTTGCATATTCTAGCCCTACCTACTACTGTATGTAGCTGCCTAGCTGCCCTACCTAGCATGTAGGTATACTATGTATGTACCTCGGTTGAAATAGTGCATACGACGTGCACATACATGGATACCTATCGGTACTGTGCTTCCAGCGCGGAAGCAGTTTGCGATGAAACGGCTCCTCCATTCCGCCCTTCTACCCCTCTGCCTCCCGATTTGGAGTTCCGCACACGGAGTAAAAGGGCGTAGGGCTTCGTCCAGCCCTACGTTATGGCCTATCGCCGACTGTCAATGAGCGATATAATATGATGAAATCGTATCAATTGGATTAGAACGGCTCTCTAGCGTCTTGCAAAAACTATTATAACTAATATATCGATAAACGTTGAAGTAGAAGGTAGGTATACTATACCACTATATCATACCGCTTCTCGTATCCGCCCAGAAGGATATCCAAACCTTTCGCGAGGGTGAGTATTGGCAAGTCGATTACAAAATCGCCTCTCCTCCCCCTAGAATGACAGTGGCTTAATTGTAAGTAGCTAGATCTAGCAAAAAATCGAACCGTTAACGTCGGATGAACTTGAAGAGCGCATTGATATATAGTTATTATGTATGTACACGCAATATCCTCTCGGCCGTAAGTCCCGTAAAGTCGTAAACGGGTGCAAGCACCACATAGTTGTTTGATTCCAACACTGTATCCAGGTCCCAATGGGCCGTCACTGTCAATGCCAATAGCTTTCCCCTTAACGCCAAGCACGTGCAAAAAATCGTTAAATGTGCTGATGCGTGCTTTTTTATCTGCCTAGACTCCAAAATCGAGCATGGATCAAAATGAGTATGGGTTTAGAGATGCCATCTTCGAGTTCGGACCTAAGCACTACCCTTTCGCGATGGCACCCTATAGATTCGACATTCTTTGTGTAAACCAACTCCATCGCGATGTAGTATGCGAGCAAATATGATCGTTCGGGTAACATGTGGTAGTTATATATGCGTAAAAATGATGCTGGTAGGTATCGGTAGGTAGATAAACTTAACGAACGAACGAGACATATGGCAAGGCAATGGTTACTCGTTGACCTAAGACGTGGATCCATTAACCTATTCCGTCGACTTTGAGATGGGTTTGATACCATCCATATCTTGGACCCCTTCATCCTCGATCTCTATAACGTCCTGTCTAGAAGGGCCCTTAGAGTCCTGCTTGGAAGGGCTCTTAGAAGTTGACGCACCCCTTCGCATCGTCATTGGACGGAAACTCCGCGACTTGGTAGCTTCGGGCGAGTCATCCGGGCCTTCGGCGAGAACGCGTGCCATCTCTTTGTCGGCCATCTCCTTCGTCTGTGCAAGTCGCGTTTTGATCTTCTCGACTTCATCGCTGCAGTCTCCGTCCCGAAGGAATTGATGTGCCCCTTGCTCACACATGCCCTGGACGAACTCGAGGCCTTTATCCAAATCTTCCCAGATATCACCCTTATCCTGGAACGACCCTAATCCACCATTAAGCCTAGACATTCGCATATTCATTCTACCGGGTGCTAAGTTTCGTGATCCCATCTGCCGAGTGCTCACGAAGCGTAGTCTGGGCTCTAACGAGTCGTCTTGAGCTTTTGGAGACGCAGCCTTGGTATCGGCGAGCAGGCTATTCCTAGGCTTCACCTCGTTGTTACCTCCGCCATTGCCTTCATCTTCGTCCTCCTCTTCATCAGGCATTTCCAGTTCAGCCATACGCCTGATACGAGCAACCTTAGCGGCCATCTTAGCCTTTCGCATGGCATTCCGTTGCATCGATACGAACTTAACCAACTCTTCAAAGAACGACTGTACATAACTGTCGTAATAGACGATTATCATATTTCGTGACCTGTATTTCTGGACAGAGTTCTCATTGCTGATCATGGAGTCTGTCTTCTGCTTTCTGCGGACCGTTGCGCGTGCTCGACGTTGTGCAGTTGCCATCACCTCTTGACGCTGCAGCGATGTCTTGGATCTGGGCTCGCTGACGGGACTTGAAGGTACCTCAGCGCCAGCAGCGTCCGGCTTTTGAGCATTGGGTCGCGTCAGCGGAGGCGGCGTCGAAGCTCGTGCGATATCCGGTGGATCAATGGGGACGTTTTCATCTCGCGGTTTTAGAGATTCGGTGGATCCTCGATTCCTCACCGATTTCGCGGAAGATCGTGGCCTGTTCTCGGGCAATATGGCCAGATCCTGCTGGCGTTGGTCGATTTGTCCATTAAGCTCCTCTAGGCGCTTGAGCCAGTCGGGGACATTGGTGATTAACGATTTTAATGAGTCTACCGACATTTTGGGTATAAAAAGATGATTGTTTGCCCGCGATTGATACTAAAAAAGGAGTAGTCGGCCGTATCCCGGCATCTGATGGTTATTTTGAGGCGGAGGAAGCCGGCGAGAAGGTGAGCAAAGCAAACAGCTCGGTGACGGTTAATTTATATGCTCCAAAAAAAAAAAAAAATCAAGTCATCAATTAAGAAGTAGTTGACGTTTGGCCGAACCAAGTATGCAGCGGGGACGCGGACGCGGGCAGCTACTCGGTAAACTCGACGATGCAATACAATTTGGGGGCCCTTCGAGGCCTATTTCACTCGTAGGGGGTATCCAAAATATTAGCCAATTGTGATATCGGGTCGTCGGCACAATGTAAATTATAGAAGAGCCTGATCAATTGCTCTTCAAATTCAGGCGGATATGGCGGGGAGAAAGGGTGGTTGTGATGGCAGTAAGACGGGAAGGAATCAAGATCGAGCGGAAACAGAGATGATATCGAGAGAGGGAAAGATTATGAGGATTGAGAATTGCCCAAACCTAAGGTTGTGGGGTATTGTTGGCTCTGCTACGGTACACTGTTACATTCGTAGCCCATGCAGACCATGTAACTTCGTACATTTATGATTTTGAGTAGGTACGTACTACGTAGTGGGCGTTAGCTGGCTCTGCTGGTCGCGGCAGGCATGGTCACAACAGAAGAGGACGGAAGTCTCCAGGTACTCTCGTAGACATATGGGCAGGACCAGGGATGGCGGTAAGGAATACCCTTGTAGCTTAGCGGCGTCGCGTGAAGGTCTACAGTGGTACAAGCCTTTTCTTTCGACGGCTTTTGATCGGCGACTAATAAACAAGCTCCCGTACTGGTTTATTAAAAAAGCGACCTTGCAACTTACTCACCTGGGCAAGACCGGCAGGACTGGCAAGGACTGGGCAAGAATGGAAGCTCAACTTATTTTAGAGATCTGGTTCCAGGGTGGATAATCAGATTGACACAGATTGATTCGCATGGAAGAAAACACATCTACTCGGGTGGCACAAAACTCAACGAAGGAGCCGAGCTGCGGTGTTCTTTTGTCACCTTGTTCGGTCTTCGGTCTGAAAAGGGAAGATTTAGATGATTTATCTTCTGTCTTGTAAATTTGTAGGAGGAAAGCTTAATGAGGGGGTGGTTAACACGGCCCGAAAAGTTACCTTCGAAGGTTATCGAGTAATGCGATTCCCATTCTGGTTAATGCTGGATGGTAGATAGCACCTGAAGGAAACACTGGCCATCTCTAAACATATTTCTATTGGCATTTGGAAAGTTCGTTAGTCTGCAGGAGTCAGGCTCATTTCCAAAGAATCTTACGACAATAAGGCTTCGGATCTCGTCGGATCATCGATACTACGACAGAGAATCCAAATGACCAATATCATGAAGATTTAATGCATACCGGTCGCATTTGCCTTCACGGCTAACGGGACAAACGAAAGTTGGATATCCAATGTCCATTGGCAGCAATCGACGAAGGACGAACAGAGTTTTAGCTAAGATGCATGTCACTTCGCGTAGGTCCGCATTTAGCGGTTGTAGCCATAGCGGGAGTGGCTGGAAGTAAGCTAAAAGCTGGGGGCGCGATGGGGTCTATGCGAAGCGGGCAATACCTAGGCAGCGGGCAAAGCGGGATTAGCCTTGCGTAGCAGTGTAGCAGAGCAGCAGGTGTACAATGTAGAGTGGTACAGCGCATGTAGGTATAAACTTTGGAGGAAGATGGAGGGTGACCGGAGATACAGTTCCTGATTGGGACGTGAATGGAATGCGCTGGCTTGCATCGACAATATGTGTTTCCAGATCAGCAATTATGGTTACCCTGTATACTTTTCTCGGCAAGTGAAGTGTAGAGTTGGAAGCTGACGATGACTTCAACTTTGCTCAACGTTGAAGGTTGGGTGTTGGAGAAAATCGAAACATCTACAGATCTGTGCTACTTAGCTTGGAAGTACTATAGTACATCAGGTAATACAAACCTTACTTATAAGGTTCTACTAGGGATATGGATGTTGAGATCCGCTTATATACAGTATTTATAGGTCTATACTCCATTCGAACTCACACTATGTTAGCCACCCCCAATTGTCCAATGGATTCTACAAACTGACAGAGAACTTTGGAAGGTGCATAGTCGACATTGCATATGCCTACATGAATAAAGCGGTGAATATATGCAGCATATATCATACTTATCCAATCCTTTCCATTTGCTTTCATATTCTCATCAGATTGGCTTAGGCCTGAAACGCCGCCTCGCAGTAGAAGAAGACCCCGCTCGCAAATCCGAAGAATCCCAAAGTGTTATCGTGATTCTTCAACGTTTGCTTACGACGCTCGACTGCTATACATATCTTGTCGGGAGGAAAGACTACATACCTAGGGACCTTGGGACCTAGTCGATTCCTCATTCCTCATCAACCAAATATAGGTTATGGCAGTTGTGGAGCTTCGACAATGCAAACCCTACCCACAAAAGACGAAATACGTATTATCACCGATCGTATGTAAGCTAGTATGTACTCGAGCGACCTGAGAGAATACGATTTATCATACACAGGGGCTGGCGTCCCACAAATGCAGAAATGCAGAATGCAGACGAAACCCTAATAGTCTTCGCACAGCATCTGTGCAGTAAGCTTTTCGTGCTAGTGTCGTCAACATCAGGTTATGATCGTTGAGAACTCCTGCCTGCTGACATCACCCGAATCGAGTCTAGCCAGCACGTTCTGCCCGTTTTGATGCTGTACCACGCACGAAAGGAGTTCATCTGAGCCCCGTGGTAGCGTGGGCGCTTTTCGACAACGGATCGCGGATCACGATTGCTGGAGAAGAGTCTCGGACGTTTGATCGCGCGGAGATGAGCGACCATTTTTGAAGGCCTAGCAGGCCCAGCAGGCCCAGCAGGCCCAGCAGGTCCAGCCTCGTCAGGACAGTGCCCAGACAGCCAGACAAACAAGAGCGGTCAGAACTGAACTGAACTTGCCCCCTCTTCTCCACCACCCACCCCTTCCGGACGGACCCCGGCTTCGAACACGTGGAAAAGTCGTGATGGTGCCCCCTTGACCCCTAGTCTGAACAACTTCCATTCCCAGTCCCCTTCGAAATAGAAGCATCTTCTTTCTTCTTTGACCCCACTTTTAGCGTCTGGCACTAAAACATCATCAGATGGATTAGATCCGAATCTCGTCATTCAAGGGTCCAACTCGTAAATAGGATCATGCATCAGGTCACGGAGGTAAGGGCTTTCTTCCATATTTTACCACATCCGATAGCATTGTAACAGCACCTCCGAGACATGAGATTTTACCCACACGGGCATTGAATCGTGCTATGTGCATAAGCGTAGCGAAAAACAAGCCGTGGCGCTCTCTCGCCCCCAACATCCCCCACGCGTAGTGATTAATCCCAGGGGGCTTCGGCCGTTGAGTTTCAATAGGTAGCACTATAGGTAATTGACGACCGGAGCTCAGTAATTTTAAGAGAAACTCTTTTACCCCTTTTGAATCTTGCACCGCAATGTCACAAGTCTAAATGCGGAATACGCAAGGAACGTAGTAAGGTGGGAAAGAAAACAGGCCGAAAACAAGAAAGATCAGTCAGTTTGAGATCTGCTTACTGCCTGTCAAAAAACCTCGTGTGCTATGTACATACCTCCCTAAGCCATACACGGTCACTATTTTCGAACGTGTCCCGGCAGCAAGATCGGCAGAGAAGGCTTCTTTTAAAATTCGAGCCGCGGCATTCGGTCCGCAGACAGGTAGGATTGCCATGTGCGTTCGGCTCGGGTACCTAGTAAAGGGACGTTCCCTTTCTATCACATCACACACAGATCCTATCGTATCACACACAAAGCACGCACATATACGCGCCGGGCCCTTGATGCGCTCAGATGAGCCTCATTGAAGGAATTGCCGGGCTAAGTTTAAGATTTCGCGCGGCAATCTTGCAATGCCAAGACCTCATCTAAGAATTCCCGTTCCTGTATGTATGTACGTATGTATGTGTGGAGGTTGGGGGTTAGCACATCAACGCACCGCAAACCATCGTCATGGTCATCGTCAAGTGTAACTACTACATGTAGGGTCGTGAACCATTTCCTAAGCTATCAGCGTAAAAAGAGACAGGGTGGCCATCGCGGTAGGAAGGTAGGTAAGTAGGTAAGTAGGTATTTATATTAGGTAGGTAGGTTGTATCGCGACAGCTAGATCTCCTACCTATTTGAGCTTGGTAAAAAAAAAAAAAAAGTTCCTCCCCTTTTCTCGCCTTTCCCTTGCTGCCTAGGTAGCTACGGCCAAACCTCGACCTTCTCCCACCCATCTTCTATACTCCCACCAGGCGTCGTAGACTCCGTCTTCCCACCGCCGACAAACGTATACAACCACCTCCTCGCGCGCTCGGGATCGCTCAAGTCAGCGCGGTCCAATTCATCCGGCACCAAGACCACAACACGAAAATTACTCCTCGCGACCTCGTCGCGCAAATCCACCACCTTCTGTCCCAAGCCCAATCTACCGTCGCGCACCGGCAGCGCGACCGGAGTCCCCGGCGCCGGGTTCCGGAACGTGCCTCGCATCTGCGGGCTCAGGTTGCCGAAGTGCGCCGTGATCTCGCGCCCGAAGCTCCACTGCTTGCTGCTGCCGCCGCTGCCGCTGCTACTGCCCTCAGAGGAAGAACCCGCGGCGCCGCTGTTACTATTACTGTTACTGTTCTTCTTCCTCCGCATGCGCGCCCTTAGCTTCGAGATGACCTGCCGCCCCTCGGGCGAGCCTTCGATATCCGGCGCGAGCACGTACGCGCGTCCTCGCACGCGCCACTGCGTGCTCGTCTCTTTAACCCAGAACACGGCCTCAACGGGCGCGCCTCCGCCCGATCCCGCGAGCTTTTTCGCCTCTTCTTCTTCGTCACCACCATCATTACCATCGTTACCGGTTTCAACACCAAAAAGCTCGGCCATCTTGTCCATGCGGCGGTCCGTCGTGAGCGCGAGGAAGTCGCTCTCGTAGAGGTCTGGGTTCAGCTCCGCCTCGTTCTTCGGGTTCGCCGGCAGGTCCGCGAACAGGCCGCGGAAGACGCAGGTGCGGGTCCGCGGCGCGCAAGCGACGCCGCCCGTCGGCGTCGACGTTTTCCGAACCGTGCCCAGGCTGAATTCCGGCGACGGCATCGTCTGTACGTGCTCCAGAAAGACCTTTCGCCACGGCGCCGGGCCCAACGTAGATACCGTTGCCATTGTACGGCGGGTGAGATGTTCGTAAGCTACTACTACTAGATGAGTGGTGACCTGTGCTAGCCGCGATGATGATGCGATACTTGGGCGGCACACGAAGCGCTGCATAAGTTTCGATGGAACGAGTGGTTGCCCCCTTTGGGCGGTGGTGCGATTGGAGAAGTGGGTTTGGTCAGGTAGGAGGGTGGCTATCCCTAAGAGTGATGATTAAACACTTCTATTGGAGCGTCTCTAGACGGGCTCCAGTTTCTATTTCGACAGTTTATGAGTGAGCTGGAAAGAAACCTATGCCGTCATTATCCGAACATATAAACGCCTCCCAAGCTAGTGATTGTAGCGCCCTAATCACCAGTAACTAGTAGAATTAAACCACTAAACGCTGGTTTACAACAAAGATAGATCACACGTCACAGAAAGACAGAACAGAACAGAACAAAATATTAATTCAAATAATTCTATATACAAAACGTATATACCTACGCATACGCATATACACACACATATATATATATATATACATATAATACTATACATATACCCAAAACATATATAATATACATACCTATACGCCATTCCATATGCCTCATACTTAAATCATTCACTCATAGAAGGCGTGAGCCTAATCAATGTCTAATGCAGTGTTCTTACATATCTATACGTCGTGTACTTTTTGATAAACCCTTACGAAAGAAGGAGACGATATGGCTATCTAACTTTTATGCTCCTTGAAACAAACCCTAGTATCATAATCTTATAAAAAAGATTGTTTACGAATGTAAAGGCGGTCCGGGCAGTACCATGGAAATATGCCTAACTTTCAACCGGACATGACCAAAGCGAGCAAGGCCATGCGGCAGTAAAGACCATACCTCATCTGTAAGTCTGTCAGTACATCTTCCATAATCATGAAGGACCTTCGGTAAGCACTCACCTGTCTGAAATAAGCCGCGCGTTGATCGTAATCAACCTCCTCCGCAACCTCCTCGTTTCTAGGAAGGGGATGAAGTACGCGCGTTGTCTGCTTCGCATATTTAAGAGTTGCGTTGTCGATGCGGTACGAATTCTTGACTTTCTCATAAGCCTCGACGCTTGGGAAGCGCTCTTTCTGCACTCTGGTGCAATATAACACGTCGCTCCTGGATAGTATTTCGGGCGTGAGCTCTTCGGATTCGCAAAGCAGCTGCCCAGATTCCTTGAGTAGACTGCGAACTTCAGCGGGAAGGGCTAGCGACTTCGGCGCAACAAGCTGAACCTGAACTTGATAGTGTCGCAATAGGTACACCAGTGAATGCACTGGCCGCCCGTAAAGAAGATCACCTACGAAGGTGATCGTCAAGCCCTGTACAGTACCAAGCTCTTCACGAATTGTGAAAAGGTCGAGGAATGCTTGCGTGGGGTGCTCCTTGCTCCCATTGCCACCATTGATGATAGGGACCTTGCTATACTTCCTCGCCACGTCCACCGACGACTCTTCGGGATGGCGCAGTACGATGGCATCACCGTAGCACTCAAGCGTCCTAAGCGTATCTTGAAGAGTCTCTCCTTTCTGGACCGACGAATGCGTTGTCGTGATGGGAATGGTCCTACCACCTAGACGTTGCATAGCGGCGTCGAAAGATGCCGAGGTGCGTGTCGACGGTTCATAAAACATAGTGCAGAGGACCCGACCACGCAGGACATTGAGAACGCCCTCCCTATCAACGCCGAGACGCATCTCTTGGGCCACCGTAAACAGTAGGTGAAGATCAGACCGTGTGTATTGCTTAACTGAGAGAACATGCGCACTTTTAAAGGCAGAAGGTTGCATGAGAAGATCATGCAGGGAATCAACAAAAGGCGCTCGTGCAGGACCTGGCAAACCAAACTCATCCACAGTGGGTGCACTTCGCGAAGTAGGACGTACTGTATCTACCTCACTATCTGCCAGCCGTGGTACACCCGCTGGTCTACCAAAGCTTGAAAGGCGTCGAGCACGGAGAGCGTCGAGCGGATGCGATGGTTGGGGGATCGACTTCATGGGCGGCGACATAGGTGTAGGCAGGCTGCCATGAGTAGACATATCATTTCCAAGCGGAGCGATTGAAAGAATTTCTCCGTCGAGGCAAACCGTCTTGCTGTTGAAAGTAACTCTTTGCACTGCCCCGCGCATGGTCTTGCCGGCGAATGGTGACCAGGACGATGTTCTCGGTACAGTGTACGGGCGGTCAACCTCAACTTCAACAGAGGTTCCAACTTGCTCGTGAAGTTCGAATATCTCTTTCGGGTTGTCGTAGAGACGCGTTTTCACGTCTTCAATTGTCAACTTGCCTTCTGTAACGGAGGTTAACAGGAGGGGCAAGGCATCAGCAATACCAACCGTAGGGTCCGCGATGTCTACCGAGTTTGCGTCGGATTGTGCGTGGCGTGCAAGCTGGTATGGAAGACTGCCAATAGAGAATACATCTATCGTGCTAAGATGGTTCCAAAGCGCCTTTTGGTCTTCAGGCTCGGGAAGACATTGGCACTCGGGGAAGTCCTTCCGCGATAGGTACAACGAATAAATTGACACATCGCAAGTGACGTTTAGGCCTTTCTGCTTGCTTAGGGCAATAAGACGGATATCTTCCTTAGTCGTGACACTTGTAACGTGAATGCGTCTGTTGTGAAGGCTCGCAAGCAATAAAATAGAAGCGAGATCCGTTGTTTTCGCGTCAGTTAGGATGGGCTTATGGGTGGGCCATGAGTCGAAGTGCGCGGTGACCGCAGCAACCTTGCTGATATTATCCGACAAATGATTAAACGGGATGAAGAGTGATCCAACCTCGCCTGTCACCTGGCTGATCTGATCGGCGTTATTGGAGGTCGCTGAGACGGAAAAGTTGTAATCGCAATAACCACCTCGTTTGCTACTTTGCTGAGCAATCTTCAGCGTTCTAGCATCGGTAATAGCGCCTTCAACGCCCATGGGCATGACTCTTATCATGCTGAAGCCGGAGGCAATTGAAGCCCTAGTAACGGCCTGGAGGTCATGGCTGCCCTGAGTGCCAATTCCAGGCACAAAAGCAGCAATATTGATCAATCCCGGAAGAACGATGGTACGATGACTTGTTTGATAATCACGGTTGCCAATTTCCAGCTCGAAATGCCTTGCAATCGCCTCGATGAGGATTTTGGCATTCTTGACATTCGTGACCAACGGAATCTGGTAATCCACAGCCATTCGTCGAGTCTGGTATCCCTTGCTCATATAATTGGCAGGTCGACGATACTTGTTGTTAGATGGCAGGTTGATATACAGATTGATCATGTTCTTTGCCAAATGTTGCGTGAGAGAGAACTCTGATCTTTGGTCATCTTCCTCGTTGCTGAGGACTTCTAGGAATTGAACAGGAATACCATGCTCTTGAAGGAAGTCGGCGGTGCCTGCAGTAGCGAATAGCTTATATCCCATCTTTTGCAATTTCTCGACCGACGGAAGCATCTCCTTCTTGTCTTTGTAAGATCCAATTGATAGCAGGATATTGCTCTTTGGGATCTTGAAGCCCGTTGACATCAATGCTTTGAGATACGCCTCATACTTGTCCATCCCGAAACAAGCGACTTCTCCCGTCGAAGCCATCTCCACGCCCAACACTGGATCGGCTCCGGAAAGCCTCGAAAAACTGAATTGCGGAACTTTCACTCCGACACAATCCTGTTGTAAAGTGGTTGGGGGGTATTCAGTGAAGGGAATTCCCATGATGGCCTTGGTAGCCATTTCGATCAGATCAACCCCCATGACCTTCGATACAAAGGGGAATGAGCGTGAGGCTCGAACATTACATTCAATGACTTTGATGTCGTTATCCTTCGCGATGAATTGAATATTGAAAGGACCAGTGACGTTGAGTTTAGCGCCAATCTTCCGTGTAGCCTCTTCGATACGTTGGATCGTGGTCGGTTCAAGGTCCTGAGGTGGTAGTATAAGGGTTGCATCTCCAGAATGAACACCAGCATTCTCGACATGTTCAGAAATGAAATGTCCAACCACAGTTCCGTTCTTAGCGATGGCATCCATTTCAATTTCCTTGGCATTCTCGATGTACTTCGTGATAACCACAGGGTGTTCACGTGAAACTTCAGCAGCTTGCTCAAGGTATAGCTGGAGATCTGCCTCCGAATACACAGTATTCATCGCAGCACCCGACAAGACGTATGAAGGTCGAACCAATACGGGATACGAAACCTTTCTGCAAAAACTCCTAGCATCCTCAAAGCTAGTGAGTTCCTTCCATGTGGGTTGATCGACAGCAATCTCATCGAGCATACGTGAGAATTTATAACGATTCTCGGCCCTATCAATCATTTCAGGAGATGTTCCGAGAACTTTAACACCTGAACGAAGAAGTGGTAAGGCAATGTTGTTGGGCGTTTGACCACCCATAGCGCCCAAAACTCCACTGGCCGATTCCATCTGATAAATATCGAGAACCGTCTCCAAATTTATATTCTCAAAATATAATCTATCAGCTTCGTCGTAATCGGTCGATACCGTCTCTGGATTAAAGTTGACCATAATCGTCTTGAACCCGGACTCTCTGAGGGTGCGGATAGCTCTGACAGAGCACCAGTCGAACTCGACGGACGATCCTATGCGATATACACCTGATCCGAGTACCATCACACCGTGATCATTGAACGTGAGGTCATGTGCGGAAGAGTTGTATGTGAGGTAGAGGTAGTTGGTATAGGCAGGGAATTCAGCAGCGACGGTATCGATTTGCTTGACGTATGGGGTGATTCCAGCTTCGAGTCTCATACGTCTTACTGCTAGTTCGTTGGAGTCCCAGAATTTTGCTAGTTGACGATCACTAAATCCAAGTCGTTTTGCCTGAAGAAGCAGATCAATACGTCGGGAGATTTGGCTTGTGTTGTAATTGGTCATTTCTTTACTGAATTGGCTTAGACCCATGAGCTTGTGCAGAAACCATTTATCAATCTTAGTGAGTTCCCAGATTCTGTCGACCGAATATCCAGCATGCATCGCATTTGCAATAGCGAAAAGACGTTGATCGGATGGAGTTTGCAGCTCGTCGTCAATTGACATGAGAGCCTTGGTTTCGCCGAAGCCAAGGTTATGGAAATCGATAGCTCGGATTGCCTTTTGGATGGCTTCCTCGAACGTTCTTCCGATGCTCATAACTTCACCAACACTCTTCATCGATGATCCAAGTTGTGTAGATACTCTTGTGAACTTCTTCAAGTCCCATCGGGGCATCTTGACAACGACATAATCAAGTGACGGTTCGAAACAGGCACATGTTACTTTTGTAACCGTGTTCTTGATTTCCTTCAATGGAATGCCCAGTCCTAGCTTGGCAGCGATGAAGGCAAGTGGATACCCGGTTGCTTTGGATGCTAGAGCGGACGATCTTGATAGTCTTGCATTGACTTCAATGATGCAATACTCCTTTGAAAATGGATTCAAGGCATATTGAATATTACACTCCCCGACTACGCCTAGATGACGGATGACGTTGACTGCTGTCGTCCGTAGCATGTTGTAGTCCTCGTCTGATAATGTCTGCGATGGCGCGACGACGATAGAGTCTCCCGTGTGAATACCGAGGGGGTCGAAGTTCTCCATGTTACAGACCGTGATGCAATTATCTTGAGCATCGCGTACGACTTCGTATTCAATTTCCTTCCAGCCTTTCATGCTTCGTTCGATAAGTACCTGCGGGCTTGCCGCTAGAGCCTTGTTGCAGAGGTCTAGGAGCTCAGTTTCATTGTTGGCGAAGCCGCTGCCCAGCCCACCCAGAGCATAAGCGGCCCTGACGATAACAGGGAAGCCAATGTCCTGCACAACGCGCATTGCTTCGTCTACACTACTCGCAGAAGCAGACTTAGCGCATTTCTCGCCGATGGAGTCCATGCTACGAGCAAACAGTTCGCGATCTTCCGTAGTAATGATCGTGTCAATTGGGGTACCTAGCACCTTGACACCGAGCTCCTCAAATTCATCCTTAAGTTGAATGCCGACTTGCAGAGCGGTTTGGCCACCGAATGTAACGTATATTGCGTCCGGTCGTTCATGAACGATCACTTTGCGGACGAACTCGGCGGTAACAGGAAGGAAATAGACTTTATCAGCGAGACCCTTCGAAGTTTGGATCGTCGCAATGTTAGGATTGATGAGGACAGTGTAAATGCCTTCTTCCTTCAAAGCCTTGATGGCCTGGCTTCCCGAATAGTCAAATTCGCCTGCCTGTCCAATGCTGAGGCCACCACTTCCAAGAACCAGGATTTTCTTGACGTTGACACGAGGATGTAGCCTCTCATTTTCTTCGGTGGTGCCTCCAGGGAACTTGACTGGAGAATCGAGAAGTTCTGGGTTCTTGGCGCAACTGACAATAGTATTGATGAAAACATCGAACAGGAACTCTGTATCGCGAGGACCCGGTGTACTCTCCGGATGAAATTGTACGCTGAAGTGTGGTTTGCTGACATGCATGATACCTTCATTGCTACCATCGTTGGCATTTACAAACAGCTCCTTCCATTCCTCTGGAAGGCTTCCGGCATCGACTGCGAAACCATGATTCTGTGAAGTAATGTGACACTTCCCTGTTACCATGCTCGTGCAAGGTATGTTGTGACCTCGATTACCGAACTTCATCTTCGCAGTCTTTGCGCCGGCCGCTTGGGCGAGTAGCTGGTGACCAAGACAAATGCCAAAGACCGGTGTACGGTTGGCCTTCATCGCCTTGGCAATTTGCTCTACGGGTTCGCGCATGACGGCCGGGTCACCAGGACCGTTTGATATAAAGAGTCCATCATACTCTTCTCCGGCACCACTAGCAATGTCATGATTCCAAGGACACACGAGCACTTCGATGCCTCTGTTTAAGAAGCACCTAAGTTGATTGTTTTTCATGCCAACATCCAGGCAAAGTACACGGAGAGGGCGTCCCGAAGGATGTTTAAGTGCCGAAGATGGGGCTGGCTTATAGAGTTGAGGCTGTTTGATAGAGACTGAAGATCCATCAGCATACCAGGACCGATACTTCGTCTATAGGGGCACTCACCCTCAGCCACAAGGTTCTTAGTGTTGGGATTAACCCAATCGATCATATCAAAGTGTGGCTTCCAGTCCTGCGTGATATGATGGCTTGTAGTGCCATTAACGCCGTTGGTTGTTCCATTCGTCAAGCCTTGCTTTTGCAACAACATCCGGCCTAGCATACTACCTTCTTGTCTAATGCGTTCTGTCAGAACCCTCGTATCGACACCATACATAGCAGGGACCCCCTGCTCTTTTAACCATGTTCCTAAGGAGGAGGTTGCGAGGAAGTGGGAGAACTCTTCGCCGGCGTAGGAAGATACGACGAGACCGGCGATGTGAATCTGAGAAGACTCGAAATGTGCGGGACGGTCACGAAGTAGTTCGTCCATCGTCTCTCTAGAGGGCACACCATAGTTTCCCACGAGGGGGAATGTGATTACAAGAATCTGTCCACGATACGAAGGGTCTGTCACCGACTCTGGGTATCCAACCATACCTGTCTGGAAAACCAACTCTCCAGCGATGCTCTTCTTGGCACCAAAGCTGTACCCCTGGTAGGAAGAGTGATCCTCGAGGTCAAGGCACATAAGACCTTCGTCCTCGGAGCCCACAATCCGCGCAGAGGCGGGCTGATAGTGTACGGAATCCTCCATTTCGACTCGTACTGGCTGCTAGCCGGTGGGGGATGTTGGTGTTTGAGCAGAATGGTGATGTTTGGAATAAGGCGATGAGAGGGGTTAATTGGAAGCAGCACAAGCTCATAAGCAGAGCTTTCTAAGGCCGCAAAAAGTAGTCAACTCAGAATATCATGTCGTCGTAAACCTCAATTGACAATTGTAAGAGCAATTGTAAGAGAATGGCTCCTACAAGTTTCGACTCTGAAGCTGAAGAAAAAAAAAAGTTTTAGCTCCGACCAAGAAAATTTCATATTTTTTTTCTTCCAGTTTTCCCCTTCTATTTCGTACTACGTACAAACTCCAGTTCTGAATGGCCTGCGGGGCTACCAATTACAATGCAATACGACGTAAGAGGTCCGCTCGCAGAGTCCAATCAGTGGCAAGCATCTTGAATTAAGCATTAGTCTACCAGGGTCCTTCCCTTTTACAGTGGTTATATAACCTAAACTCGATCTCTGAAGTACTAACCTACTTGGCACATAGAAGTCTCAAGTACATTAGCGAGACTCACCTTTTTCTTATTTGCTAAATCACGTCATAAGAATGCATCCCACCAAGCTGCAAAAGCCCCTCTCTTTTATAAGATCAAAGTTCTAGCCTAAAAGAAAAGAAGTTCAAACTAATCTAGGTACATAATCAAATGAAGAAAGAAAGATGAAAGCACAAGTCTTGTGTTATAAGCTATTTACATGTCAAATATTTACCTAACCCCGTCGAGGTAGAAACTAAAGTTGTTTCTGAGGAGCCTTGAAATAGGTGCGTGATCAACTGCTAAAATCGTCGAAGGAGCCTCAATTACTAGACCAATGAGCGCTATATTATTTCAGATACCAAAAAGGAAATATTCTTATCAATTGCCAACGTTAAGATTCGAAAATTGTGCCAATCAGCAATTCCACTTCAGTATGCTCTAACAGGAGGCATCTTTGCATCTACGGGTTATCCATTTGCTAAAGGTCTATTTCTACCGAGTGATGAAGACGTCAGGCAATAAAGTCATCTTCATTTATAATCAGATAGACGTTACGTTCAAGATGTCATTTATAGCATCGATTCAACAGATAGAAAGTAGACTACAAGGCATATTATTATAAATCTTGCAACTGTCGGTCTCACGAAAGGAGAACTGATTGCTGTGGCTACAGTGCTTCATACGAAGAAGAATCTGTTGAACTTAAGCCTTAGGTCTCTTTTTGGTAGTGTATCCGCCAATGTTGGGTCTTGGAAAATAGGTACCTGGTGATAGCGATGCTCTCCATTCACTCAACATCATGCTCAACGAGCCGGGAGCGTCAATGAAACCCCCTGACTTATAATCCAACAATTATGTTTTCTATTTTCTTTCTAGCCGTAGTGAACCATAAAGAGACATAACTAAGTAGGCGACTATCGTCGGTCTATTCGTTGGTCCAATAGGTACCTAACATTGCTATTAATCTTTGAAGTATATCCTGAGGTATATCCATATATTCCCCGAACCCTCGGGAGGTCTGCGAGGGAAGATCATTCCCCCTTGCCCCGGCGTTAAATATACCAACCAACCATATATTCTCCCAGTAAAGCTTGCTAGGAGCACTCTATGATCATTTCTCTGGATTAACCATTTCTCCAACATGGCTTCTTGTCAGGGGTTACGGCACATAATGACCTAGGAGCTCTCCACGATGGCACTACTTGGTTAATACCTATATAGTGGGGCGATGAAGCTCCCTAAGAATTAAAAGGGTCCAGGAATTAATGCAGTCAATACATAATACCTGTCAGGCATAGAGCCCTTAGGTAGTTCTTAGCTTAGTACCGAGTGGAGGGTGGTCGATTGTATTAACGTCCGAGCCTCTTCAGAACGAAAGGGGGGAACACCTCCTATATATATAATGTCTCCCCCACTGTCGCCCTTTGGCACTACCTACCTAGGAATGCAGGTAGGTACCAGCGAGCCTCTTGTTGAGAATCTCTCACTACATATGTAACATAACTGACAACCACTCCTCAAGAACAGGTAGGTTCTCCGAGATAAAACTTGGAACACTTGATAGGATAAGTACTTTTCCGCACCATCTTGCCCTGCCCTACAGTCCAATATGATTCGTAATGGTTTTTTGAAACCTCCTAACCCGATAACAAATAAATTCATCTCTATCCTTCACTAATGTCAATATATGGTATGAGGAACTGTATTTCGGGTTTGGCTAGGAATCTACCGGGAAACTACCGCTCTCGTATTGTGGCTCGATGGTATTCAAATGAGCATCCATGTGAATATAAGTTACGAAGTGATTTCTGGCTCTCCTATAGAACCCGAGGGGTTGAGCTTACATGTAAAATCCCTCTTTTGATCGGAGCGCAGGCCACCCCGCATTACCTAGGTACCTAGGCCACCATAAAAGCCAGCTATATCCTAGCAGCGTGACCTGCTTTAGTGTGTAGAGTGACCTGAGCCCGAAGATCCAGATGTGTTATCAGCTGTTCCGAGTTATAGTCTTACGGCTGGATCCTAGTGTCGTTTCATTGTTCATAGTCGACATAACTTTTTTGCCTTCCCCCCTTTTCATTCTGGAGATAGGAGGATGACATGGTACGTAGTAAGGTAGGTAGCATATGGTATGACTAAGCTTATCTCTCCCGTAAAAAAGTACAAAGGCATTAGGCTTTTGAAATATGGTAATTTTAGGAAACATTCTTGCTATAGCTATTGGCACGAGTAGAAATGATTCTAACTTGTGATGTTCTCTTTCCGAAAGGCCTGATCTCGTATAATGATATCCACATGTGTGCATTGCTCTCCGGCACCAATGCTTGAAAAACGTGGGGTAGAAGATTAGAGTTAAATATTTAAGTATGTCGTCAGGGTCCAGATGCAAGGGAGCATGCTCATCATGTGCCGTCGTCGGTTATCCCAGACCAGATGGATGTAACCTTAGAATCGTACCAATCAGAAAGCCGGTACTCGAAGATCTTTGAAGGAGCGGTGAAAACCTCGACCTGAAGAAAGAAAAGAAACTTGGAAGTTTCGTCTTCGTGATAGGAGATAATTAAATGCATAGGCCTACATTTGTAGAATGTGGCGCGTCTAGGGAGTTATTCTCCTGGCCAATTGAAATAGTTAGGTACTCAAAGAAGAAATTGATGGTTCTCAAAGGGGTTTCTCGACAGTAGCACAACTTGGTCGGGATGGATTGATAGGCCGTTATTGTGTAAGTGAAAAGTGACTAGTACTCCCTACAACTCCGAGTGGCACAATTTTTAGACCGAGAGACGCAGGCTGTTGTAGCGCCGAGTTGGTGGGCGATGATAATAGCGCTGTCGATCAACGTGGTGAAGCTCCCTCACCTACAAAGTCTTGGATTGTCTGGCTGTCTGGGGGCAGTTGAAGCCAATAAGTGGGCCTTTCCGGCTGTGGGAGAGGTTACGTGCAGAATACATCTTTGGTTTTTCTTACATAGATGCATATGTATCTGCAGATGGATCATGCGTGCAAGTTGCAAGTAAGCAAGATGTTCCTTAGTTTGCTTACCTAGGTACCTACATCGTATATATATAGTGGTAGGTAAATAGCGAAAACCAAAGGAGATGGTTTATATCAATGTTATTTGTATAGTATAAAGATTATCAAAGTGGAGAGGTATGGGGAGATTCGTTGAAGTCGACGACGGCGGAGTTTGGTGGGAGTTGTAGGAGGCAACCCTCTGCGATAGCTGCATCTGGTGACCAATTGTGGGTGAATATGGTGGTGTAGAATGCTTAATGCGGAAATTTCCTAGGCGAGATTCAAGGATGGTGAAGACATTGTAGTACGTACACCATCCCATCATCCCATCAATGATGTAACATCGAACCTACTGCAAGCTGCAAGCTTCAATGCATGCTGCAGCTTCCATGTAAAAAGCAGAGGCGAGAAGGAAGGTAAGAACGTGCATTGAAGGTTCTTGTCAGTATCCGGGCATGTGGTGCGTCCGAAGATATGTATTACTTGCATTAACATTGAACTCTCATTTTTTCATCTCTTCCGTTCTTGTCAATTGCTAAAAATGCGAAGAATTCCTTCTCCTTTTTGAAGCTGGAGCCTTTCGAGTCTCCACACAACCCTGCAGACCAAGTTCGTCATGGAGATCCTACCGCTTTACAGCGCAAATGAAGAACCCTCACAGATATGCCAGATACACGACATTGAACCAACTGCTACTAGGTACTGCTGCTAGTCACACCTGACTCAGTATGCAGATGTAGTAGTTGAGGGTGGGTGTGCCATTTTATGATCGTGATAGGCGATGGTGTGCACTAGTAGACCAGCTATCAGTGAGCGTAGGAGGCGCAAAATAGTGGACTGTTCCACCTGAGCTACTACATCTAATTACCTAGTAGCTCTACCTAGGTAAGCCCTTGTATCCCTGCTTCTTCTTGTATCTCGACCCCCGGTACTTGTTGGATGGCTTGGGAGCTGGTAGCTGCTTTCCTTGTCAAATATCAATGCTAATGCTAGCAAGGCTAGTCAAGATCTTCACAACGCCCTTATCGTCGTTTTTTCCCTCTCACTTCCTCGTTCTTGTGTTCCCGCGCTTCGCGGCCAACCTATTCTGTGTAGCGTCACGCGCACACACGAACGAACGAGCTAGAGCTCTCGGCGACTCTGCTGTACTTGGCCTTTTCTCGGACCTTTCAATGCTTCTATATCTCCCATAACCGCTGCCGTGGAGGTAGGGGGAACAGGAGTTGACAATGGTTCCTCCTGCGAAGGAGATGCTTTCCTCGCTGTTGCGACCAAGACAGCCCGCTCGGCGCGTCGACCCGGCGCATCTCTTCGAATCAAACCCCAACACGCCTTCTCCTGGTCAGGCGAGTCGCGATTATGGCGAACGGCGACAGCGACACGCCACTGCCGATTTCACCGAGGGCGACGATGACGACGATGACGATGAAGACGACTTCGACCTTGACGATAGACCGTCTGGGCGCCGCGTGACTTGGCCTTATCAAGAAACCAATGCTACACGCAGAAATTCGGCTTCCCTTATACCTCTATTTTCCGCCAGCCACCTCGGTAAGTTTACGGTTGCTTTATAATGAGTACACATTTACCAAGGATATGCGCTCACACTCAAACCAGATTCAATACCAGTTTATAGTGTCGTCCATGCCATCAGAATAATCGTCCAAACCCGAACCGAGACCACCTTAACATGGGATCAAATCCGGTCGCCGCAGGTTTCTCAGTTCCTTGTCAAGCCCATGCAACAGCAGATTCGGACGCAGCACTTCAGTCGCGTAACGTTGTACGCCCTCATGGCAAATTGTCTGCAATTTGCGAAGGAGGGGCAGCTGTATCCGGGTAACGCAGGTACCAGTGTCACGCGAGCCAGAGTCTGTGAGCTTCTGGCCCTGAAATTGCTGAAGGAGTATACCACAAGGGAACTTATCGACGCCTTGTCCTATGACTTCTACCCGCTCCAGGGAGCTCCCGAGACATCGAATGCTCCCAATGCGAAAGTATCCGATAGCAAAGCTCGCCCAGCTGCGGCTCGATCTTCGACGCTCGAGGTAGCTATCCGTGCTTCAGCCAAGCACTTTTTAGCGCACCCGCTTGTAGTCCAACAGCTCGAGGCTATATGGAATGGCGCAATAAGTTTCTATTCAACTCAGGATAATATTCATCGAATGCCCTCTACACCCGCAAACTCGGGTGGGAATACTCGCAACGGCCCATCTAATGCTAGGACACCTCTTCTCAGCCACCAACCTGCTAAGGAACAGTCTCAGCTGCCATTGCATGCGGTACCTCTTCGACGGGCTGTCACCTTATATGACCCGCGCCAAGCTTCCCCTCTAAAGCTATCTCGTCTCCGTGTTCCGCGGTATAGGCAATTCCTATCAACATGCTCTCTGTTTATATTGATATGCCTCTTTCTTGCTGTCTTGATACGGCGGTCCAACCGCATCACTGAACTAGAATTAGTTTTCTGGTTTTGGAGCGCCGGTTTCATGCTCGACGAGGTCGTTGGCTTCAACGAGCAGGGGTTTTCTCTTTATATCATGAGCTTCTGGAACATATTCGACCTTGGTATCTTGTTACTGCTCATCATTTATTACTGCATGAGGGTTTATGGTGTCTTCCTCATCGACCCCTTTCATTGGAATGAGATGGCATATGATGTCCTAGCAGCAAATGCAATTCTCTTGTTGCCACGCATCTTCAGCGTTTTAGATCACTATGAATATTTTTCCCAGCTCCTGATTGGCTTTCGGTACATGTCGTCTGAAATGGCGTCTTGCTTCTTTCTTATACTAATTTGTTGTTCCGGATTCTTCGTGTTCTTCACACTCTCCGGGGCCCACAACGACGCTTCCGACGTGGCTTATAAGATCTTTCAGATCTTGATGGGATTCACGCCCGCTGCGTGGGACGCGTATGTCTAATATACCCTTAGTTCCCTAACAGGACTAGCTAATTGTGATTCTCAGATGGCCAGGATATTCTTATCTAGGCAGAGCAGTGCTAGGGTTCTTCCTTTTCATTACTCACTATGTTGTCGTGTAAGTTCGTCTCGAGTTATAAATTCGCTATTCTAACAAGAAATAGGACAATACTTATTACCGTTCTGACAAACTCGTTCATGCGAATTGCATCGAATGCCAATGAAGAGCATCAGTGGGTGGCCTTTTCTTACTCCATCTCTACAGTCATATGCTAACACTAGGCTAGGTTCTTATTCGCAATCAACACCATCTCTATGGTTAAGAATGATGCACTTTTTTCTTACGTTGCGCCCGGGAATATCTTCGCCTGGATCTTGATGCCGTTGCGATACGTCATGCCTATAAGACAATTTGTGATCCTGAATCGTACAATCATCAAACTCACCCATTTCCCTTTGCTGTTCTGTATATTCTTGTACGAGAAATACTTTCTCGCTTCATCCATATACGAACCTACAGATCTGGTCGAGAACCCAGGACGCCATACGGGCAGAGGAATATCTTTCGTCGATCCTAGTAGCAGGGGGGCCCTGTTTAGCCCAACTTTGCGAACACGCGAAGAATCGATTGCTGGTTTCCAAAAAGACCGTGCTCTGGAAGAGGTCTTCCGTCGTCCTCCTGATGCCGGAACAATACGGAGTCAGAGGAGACAGGAAAGAAGGAAGACGCAGACAGCCATACGAAATTGGATGGATAACAATGATGAGATTGGGGAACGCCTATCACATTGGCCTACGATCGATAGTCGTCCGAGTTTGTCGCAGCGAAGAATGAGCATGAGTCGTGATTTTCCTAAGAGGTCCAGGCACGTCTCTGACATTCGTTCGGCTGCGAGTGACCCCGCGGACCTTATATCGAATAACGCCTTCCCCGTCTCTAATATTAGAGAATTGAATGGTCAAATCGTTGAACAACAAGAACGATACAAGGACCAGACGGAAGCAGATGGCGACGACGAATTTGTAACGAACGACGAGGACGAAGAGGATGAAGCGGCAGCCGTTGCAAGTCGCCGTGATAGCCAAACTGATAGAGATGAACAAGGAGATTACTTTACGACCCCTACAGCGGTACGGCGTAGGTCCACGGTACCCTCATCTCAAAGCTCTTCCTCGCGCTATCAAAGCCCGCCTGTTGCATCACCGAGGACTAGCAATCAACTTATTCGACAAGGTCTACATAGCCGTACACTTTCTACCAATACGATTCTTTATGCCCCACAAGGACCTACTCGTCATGGACTCAGCCCGTCCTCAATATCCGAGGAGCCATCCGGGACCCGTTCCCGACCGCGAACGAGCCGGCTAACCAAAACAGCAGAATCGGTCGACCCGAGTGGGACGCGCTCACCACGAAAGATACCAAATGAGCCTAGACCCACGATTCGGCCAAGGCCAATACCCATAAGATCAGCGCCTAACCGCTCTGCCCTTCTCAATGCTGACCCGAGAATTCGACAAGTCTCTTCCGTCGACGTCGATATCAACTCCGACATGGGCCTTGATGCACACAATGAATTTGGGGCGGTACCATCGTCCTTTGCAACGCAAATGGCCATGGCAACTGGTCAATTGAAAGCGCTAAATCGAGGCAACCAAGATCGCGAGGATGCCGATAGGATGAGTCGCTTGGTTCTGGCGCGGATGAAGACTTTGGAGGAGGGTCTCGCGGACGTTGCCAAAGAGATGAGAGTCTTGAGAAGCGCAGTACCAACAGCACAGAATTCAGGCGACGACAATAGCTGGAAGACCAGTGCAAGCAGCGAGGTTCTATCCAGCAACAAAACCAAATCTGGTAAGGCGATTAAGAGCGAAAAGAGCCAAAGTGGAAATTCTAAAGAACAAAACGTTGGTTTGAAACCGACTATTCCAAGGAGTCGAGAGTCTAAGGGAAAGGGGAAGGAGGTTGCGAGACCTGAGACTGAGCCAGTCCAAAGTGGCTTTAGAGGGAGAGGGAGTTCGTTTTAATTGATTTGGGTGTATGTCTAAGGGGTGCATTGGAAGTCGGTGACTGCAAAAGTGATGCATTTTGGCGTTTTGGTTCACTTCAAGGTTCGGATGGTAGGGGTAAATGAGCCTAGGTTCCGTTACGGTATCCATGTATCATGAAGGGGTTTGAGAGCAGACTCGTCATCTGTGCATCTGATATGGTCATGATATGCTGTTTGGTCGCTTGTACTATTAGCCGTAACCGGGTTTTATGAGACGGTTGCCGAGGTTGATGATTATTCGCAATAAGGAACACGATTAACAAGCTATGAGAGTTGCTTTTCTTTATGGTTGTTTTTGTCTTTCACCATTCTAACCACACAGCATCTAACATGATATGAAGTATCAGAAACATCAACCAATATCACTCAACACGCACCTAGACACAATTATGAGTCCAACTTTGAAGCCAACTGAACTCCCTAATCTATCATAAGACATAAAGTTCCAACTCATCAGACATCTGACCAAACCTGGATATATCCACTCCTCAGGCTTCCCATGCTCGTTCCTTCATGTCTCTCCAACGTGTCTTCCTTGATTCGTACCATACTGTATTCTACTCCCGACTTTCCCTCAATTATCTAGATCCCGCCGCCACTTCGATCGACACTAACGTAGAAATTCTCAGCAGAGCTCTTCTGTGCTTTCTCGTTACGGGTGATAGCGGATTGCTGGTATCTAACAGCAGCTATGATGCCTGTGGCGGCGACGGCTGCGAGAGCAAGACCCGGGTGGCGAGTACTTATAAAGTTGGAAATTAGTTTGGTAAGTTTTTGTACGTATGCGGATGTGTATAGCAGTGTGGTATAAGTGATTGGTCTATATGCAGACGGAGAAGGTGATCCTGTCTGCTCATTCTTTGACTCTGGAGAGGGGATCCGGAGCTGGGGCGAAAACGAAAGCTGGGTAGCAGACTTACATGCCGAGACGCCCTGTGTTGGCAATTCGTGATGCTCCAGTTCGGTCCATGATTGTATCAGCTGTGAGCTTGTTTGTGCAGCAGCAGCAATGATTGCGCCTGTTTGCGTGCGGTTTAGGGACAAGTTGTCCTGGGAAGTCTGGCAGTGTCAGACGTTCGGCTGATATAGTGATGATGGTTGTACTATGTGCTTCTTTGTGTGTAATATACAATAAGTAGGTGTGTACCCAACTCTAGGGTTCAGGGTCTGCAGGGTCTAAATTCCCGGGATGTAACAGGCCGAGTCTAATTCCTGGTATATACAACAAGGAAACTAATGTACTGTTTTATGTAATATATCGTTTAGATAAAGAGAAAACTCGAGCACCTCAACAGACCAGCAGACACAGGCTTTATGTACTTAGATGCTGGAGCGTTGACCGCTACACACCGATGTGTGTGTACCACGATGGCCGCCCAAAACTGACAAGATATTCTCCATATTTATGTCATACAAGGGGTATCTCGATAATTGAGTCGGTCTAGATTCCCCAGATTCTCGGTTGAGTGGGCAGATACTGGCGAGGTTCTAGTGGTGCGATCGGATGCGGAACGAAAAAAATAAGGGAAGTTAGGGGAAGCTGGCTGCAGGCTGTCCTAAGCTTTGGCCGGAAAAGGATAAGGAGCACGCGAGCGAATGGGGTAACATCCTGGGAAGAAGTCCCGGAAACTTACTAAACCTTATAAATTTGCATTAGAGGGGCCGGTATTGGATTATCGGGTAAGGGGGCGGGTTGCAACATTCGTGCTTGGATCCATTCAAGATGCGGGGAAGGAACAAAAGCAAAATCGTAATCTTTGCTATCCAAAGAACCCCATTCTTGCAATCATATAGAAAACTCTTATGACTCGACTCAATGCAAGTTATCCAGCTGCCTAGATTAAACGACATGTCAAATTCATATAGACATATGCCTACCAATAGATCTACCTCCGACCAATCATTACTTACATACATGTGTAGGTAAGCAATTTATGGAGCAAAGTACAGATGTATGATTCACGCCTCAACGTACATGCTTGGGTAGGACAAGACACATACTTAAGAATATGACTAACACGTGTTTTCTACATACCAAACAACAATGCTGAACTCAGCCTCTGATTAACACAGCATACTACATTAGACAAATGCTGAGCCGTCGTTGAAGTGTACAGTCCATCTGAAGTGCATCTGCACGGTGCCATAGGGCTCACTAGCTAGCTCGTTAAGGAGATAATACGGGCCAATCACGGTACGAGAGAGGTACATTATAGGCATCTCAGGGTCGTACCGTGGCTGAAGCGGCGCGGATTCATAGCGGTACATGGACATGGGTCCCAAGGTTTGCCACTTAGCGCAGGTACATGATACTCAAACGTCAAGCCGGGAGCTCTGTGTGAGCTTACAGGCAAGGCAGTCGTGAGGCATCAGCCAGAGGCAGCTACCACCGCAGCCTTACCATTTATTGTTATTTTTTAAACTTCCACTTAACCTCTCTCCCATCCCTTTACTTTCGCATTTTTGAAGTTCCCATTTCACAGCTTCATTTTCCAATGTCCCTCCTGTGGTAATATCATTAGGTGCAACTCGTTATCCGTCCCCGTATAAAATAAAGAGTACCATCTTCCTTTTAATCAATCTAGACAATCTTTCTACCCATCATGGCCGAGCAAGATATGAATCAGGAGCAAGATGGGTCAAACAGATCGGATTCTTCCATGCCATCTTTCTCGTCTATTCCACAGACTCAACCTCCGTCGGGCTCCCTACTTGATGCGGCCATCAACCAATTGCTCAGAGAGCGGCCAAGTCAAGTAGACAGTAATTACACCTTCGAGTATCGAGAACTTCGAGATATCAATTTGGTGCAACACGCTCCGACTGAATGCAAATCTGGTGATACACTAATCATAGTCAACTTCCCCCAAGGCTATAAGAACTGTAAATGGAAAGCGGTAGGTACATTTTCAGCAACGTTCAATGTTTATACCTACCTACTCTTCGCATTTCACCAATCTCTCATAGAAGCTGTCAACCCCTAAAATAGATAGGGAAGCGTCTATACTGAACTGGGCGTCTCGAAGTATAGCTGATTCAAAGTGCGTCGTAGTGGTCCTCGAAACGATTCCATGCTCATTCGAAGAATCTCCTTGCTACTGGTTCGAAAGTCTTCGCACACTTATTCTCACCCGAAGAACAAGCCCGTATTCGGAAGAGGGTCGGCGATTCTCTCCCACAGAAGTATGTTCTTGATCTTACACCTTCAGTCGAAGGGGATGAGCTGGCCGCTCAGCTTATAGAACTGTCTCTTCCTCCCGGTGTGAGAGACTGGTGGACATCCAAAGAGAGGCTTGGCATACCGCAATATCTTGTTTCGGGACATGATGACCATTGCCCCCTTCATACCCAAGTCCTCATCGGCTGTCAGAAAACTGACAAATACGTCGAACATCAGATGGGACGGGAGGAAGAACTCCCAAAGATCGACCTAGCTCATATTACGATCCCAGAATCCAGAATCATCCTCGATTATTGTCCTATACGACATCGCGCCAACATCATTCGCCTCATCCTAGCTATCCAGGGTCACGACCTAGTTTTGAACTCTGCACCACGAGTCTACACCCTCACCGGCATCGCTCACATACTAGATTGTACCAGTATTATTGTAAGCGAGACTCCAAACTAATTTCCTCCCATTATAAAAGTGCTAACTTGGCCTTTCAGCGGGATTCGGTGTATACTTGGCTGATGACAGAGTCTAACACTGAATTTATTGACATCAATGCCGAGGCTGCTTTCAAGATGGCATGGACATTGGAGTTAGCCAATGTCACTCGAGCCGCCTTCCGTATCCTCGTAGTCGAGAGGGCCTTTGATACACTATCTATTGAACCTCGTGCGGAAGAAGCTCGGTATACAATATTCGGTCGCCCTCGTGTAGATCTTCCTGATGATCTGCAGACAGTTGTTCAATATGCAGCACTCAAGCTTGTTGAACGTGTCCAGCAGACGCTCGGAAAGCTGAAATCTGATCAATTTTACGATCTGCTGGAAATCTCAGAATACCAGAAACTAGTACGGACCGGCGAGCTTATCCTCAACGCTTGTCAAAAAACCGACCAACCAGGTCACACTGAGATAAAAGAACTGTCAGGTCTATGCATGGCCCTTCTCAATAAGTTACTAGAATATAAGACTCGGATTGTGCACGAAGCAATGGCGACCCCGCTTTGTAATAACCTGCAAAGAGACTACGATCGCGACCGCCGTTGCTATATCCCCGAAACGAGCTGGAATCCTACTAGTCATATCTACAGCAAGTTCTCTGATGCTCAGCGTCTGCTGACCCCAAACTTCTGGGAGGAGCTCGCCTCATACCCCTACACATATACTCGAGCTTGCTACCCGGACCAGTTTCTCGGCGATGCTATAGACAGGTTCAACACCCAGATGGATAAGGCTTTGCATTATCTTCCCGCCACCGGACGGCATTTTAACTTGGCTGAGTTCCGCAAGCAACTTAATATCGCCCTAGAAGATCTATGGGTGATTTGGACGAAACCAAATTTAGAAACCCCTCTTACCCGAACGAGACACATGCTTCTTGCACTATCAGAAGACGAGTTTCAATACCTTCCACTTTGGGCTGGCGGACTCGATGATGGAACGGGTGGTGTCTTTGAGCCTACCGTACCCGATGCAGACCTTGGGCCGATCGGACCCGGCCCGGCATATCGTACCGGCGAGACAGTAGCGACGGATTGCTCGAGTATCTGCCAATCGGACAAGACGCCGAGCGACGTTAGCACCGTGACTTTGACGGCCGGACGGTCGCTAGCAGCTGTGCATTCTAACGCGGTGCCTACTACTGTGAACGACGGCGTATCCACTAATACCATGTCTACGTCTTCTATCGTCATGGTGGATGAGGTGAACGAGCTGGATGATGAGTCCGACGATGCGTTCGAATTTGACGATAGCGACGAGATTAGCGAAGAGGCCTGGTCTCAGGTCGAAGAACCTTGAATTTTAATTATCTCGTGCAAGTTTTAGGCACTTGTCACGTTAGTGAGCATGGCGGCTTTGATTTATTTGGCGTTTTCGTGTTGCGGGAAATATGAGTCACGACGAGACGAAAATAAAGCGAACCATCTTTTGTACCAAGGGATAAGGGGTAAGGATATTGGGATACATATTTAGCCGAAGGTTAGGTACCTAGTCGGTCGTACTTTGCAATAATCTTCCCGATCTGGATGAGAGGCTTAGAGGATAGATTCGCGCTAGCGATATATCATCGACTTGTTTACATACCATTCCGCGGTATAATAATACCATTTTAGTCGGATTGTTGTGAAGTCCTAAAACATGATGTTGGATAAGATGCTATCTGAGATGACCAGGTCGATCGAGCTAAGCGAGGATCGCGTCTAATGTTAGTATGTGTTTCTTTTATCACATACGTTTATACCGCTTACTCTCATACATTCAAAGACTTAAATAAACGACAATACGGATCACAGTCTGCAAAGTGTAGGTAGGAGAAGGCAAGTTCATCTTAATCTGAGATGGCCAGAATCTTTAATTCTACCTCGGATCGTACATGTATCCGTAGGTACCAGAAGCTAGCTAGCTAGCGTGTAGACACACCAATAGGTAACCACTCTCCGCCCATCTTAGGTATTGTACAAAGCAACCATAGTACATTGAGGTATCATTGCAACAAAGAAAAAGGAGAAAAAAAAACAGCAATTCTGAATAGCCATCATCCATCCCCTCTTAGATGCTAAGCGGCAGCAGCATGCATTCAAACACCTCATGCGAATTCCATGTAATTGATCGACTCCTTTCCCCTTTTTCCTTTTCTAAACGCCGATTTCCATGTTTATGAATGCTATTGTGCCATACAGTTCGTGCAAAAAACCCCCCTCTTTCTTGCGTCGTGTGTATGATGAGACGATCTCGCCCAATCTCTGCGTGGCAATGAAACGTGGAAATGCTCCAGATCTTGGTAATGATCTTGATCAAATCCATTCCATATCGCCACCGAGGTCAGCTTCCATCGGATCCATGCTCTGCTTTCTAGGCCGGCCTCGGGGCCTCGGCTTCGAGTTGGATCGTGCCCGTTTCTTTCGTCCTCCAGGTGCATTTCCTGCCTTCCTCTTGCGACCGCGGGGGTCATGCTCGGCTGCGTCTTCGTCATCTTCGGGATCAGGAGACGCTGCCTCTCCATCGAGATCAAACTCTTCCTCTTCGTCTGGAACCTTGACTTCGTTGTCGACAGTTAAGAGCTCCACAAATGCCCGGCATTGTTCTATCATATGCTCCGGTGAGTCGAATGCAGACATAATTCTGGATACGTCATCCCAGAACTTGTCTCCGGTAACACCCTGAACCTTGACTGGGGACCTGGCGAGATCCTTCGGGGCGGCCTTGCCCTTGCTCTCGCGCCGGCTGGAGCTAAGCCCATACAAACGACGTAGGTATGTGCGTACCTCCCAAAGAGCGAGGAGGATCACCGAGCCAGCTGCTAGCTGGCGAAGTCGTTGGGAATCAATAGTAGGCGGCACCGGAACACTGGGCTGTTCTTCACCGCTGGCGTTTTGCTGGGAAGTAGACACCGGATCCATCCGTACATGGAAGATTTCGGACTCGATAGCTTGGGCTATACCAGATCCAGTTCCAGTTACGATCTTCTCCATGGCAATGATTGTGGTCTGCAACTCTCCAATCGTGACGAACTCAAAGAATGCAATATTTTCGATTATAAACCGAGAAAACTCGACATGTGAAGATAATGCCTGGCCTGCGGAAAGCTTCGAAAGGTCGAAGTCAATTTGCCCAACAAGTTTTTCGAGAAATCGAACGCGATTTTTAGACTTGCTGATCTTTAACACTTCGGTGAGAAGATGAAGCTTTGACATGAACGGATGCTCAGTTGCACCTCGCGGGTCTTTGATAACGTCGCGTTGATACTGAAAAGCTGATTGTATGGCTTTTGCATACTCCCTCTCAAGTACGCTCTCGTACTTCTCATGAAGTGCCCTATGCTCATGATATGCCAGTTCCGAGATCTTGGGTACTGGGCAGGTCTCAAGCGTAATAAGTGTCACACCCGTCTCTTTCGGATGTACAAGACCTTGTCTGTTAATGCTCGCCAATACTTCCGTGGCTAGAAAGGCGTGGTCGTCATAAGTCGCTAAGGTGATACGAGTAATATCTTTCAGGAACCGCTGAGTAGTCGCACTAGCAACATCGTCAAAACTAGTGCCGCCCATTACTTTCAAATCTCTCTTAGCAGATTCTTTGCCGGCAGCCGATTGTTCAGACCGCTGTTCTTCTATCAACAGGAATTCCTTGAAAGACCGGAGGATCATTGACTCCAGAATCGGCATGCGCTCGTCAAATGCTTGTTGGAATGTCGTATAGACATTAGCAGATACGTAATTCCTAGGATTGGATTGACAGACGAGCCCAATGGCATCCAGTGCTGGACGTCTCACGTCTGCTGGTTGAGAGGGGCTCGCGAAAGGGACGAGAAAGTCTACCATGAGCTTTGATACAGAACCCTTCCACTTTGGTAACTTGAGGTCGGACTTGAAGCGGTCTAGGTGGCTGTCTAGATTGCAATGCTTACCAATCATTCCAACGATGAGGGAATATCGATCAAACTGTCTGATTTTAGTTCGGTCAAGCGGACCCTTGCCACTCATCAACTGGATATTTCTGAGGCATGATATAGGTAGGCGCGCGAGAGGCTCGAATGAGTCGAGAAGCCCGCTGACGATCCAGAGGCATGCCACGACGTCGTCAAGGAGTGCCCTCGTGACTTTAGATGTTGCAGGCATGAGAGACTTCCGAACTTCAGAAAGGAAACTTGAATGTACACTTGACACCTGGGGCAGCACACGGCGATATATGACGACCACAGCTCTTGAGACCGTCAAGTCCTCACTTGTACTGACGCTGGAAATATGAGGCTGCAATTGCCGAATCTGTTCGAAAGTAAATAACTTGGGATCGGCTTTTGCAAAGATCATCAGGACTTGGAAAGCATCCCTGCTGGAAGGAATTGACGGGTCGTCTGACTCAGGATTGCCGATAAGATCGACTAAGTCGGCGACAAGTCTCGTACAGACTCGAGAATTAGCTTCCGCAAGTTTAGAGTCAGGCGAAAGAATTGTCTGGAAGACTTTGTCTAGGACGAGCGCGGTGTTTCCCTGCTTAACAGTCTGAACCATTAAAGCTACATGGTCGGTAATAGCCTGCTTGAAAGCGACTGAGTCATCCTCCTTATAAAAAGGGGAAATCCAAACTTCTTCTATCATTTGCCTTGCAAGCTCCCGTACGCCCTCATCCGGATCTTGTGTACGATGTAGCAATCCATTTGCAATGGTGCTTCGAACTGATTTACTCTCGTTACCAAGGTAAATATCTTTAGCCAATTTCATCGCTCTTTTTCGTACACCTATGCCGGAATCGATGAACCTTTGGATGACCGTTGGCGTCATCTTCTCCTCTAGTCTGGGGCGCATGGCCATACACTTCCCGATAAGGCCCAGGGCCGAATCACGTACTTGGGGCGAGGAATCATTAGAGCACTGAAGAATGAGCTGGATGAACACACTATCGCCATCGAGAATGGTCGGGTCTGTTTCGAGTACGAGGTTTATACTCTTGAGACTACGGCTGCGCACAGTTGCCTGATCTGTCGTCATGGATCCCATGAGTATGTTTAGAATGTTTTTGAACGAAGCGCAAAAACTTGATCGGAGCAAGATCGTTGAGTGAGAAAGCTTCGCGTGGTTAGGAACCACCGACTTGAAACTGTATTCCCGCGAGAGCCATTTTGGGTCATCGATCATGTTGCGAAGACGAAATGCAATTCTTCCGAGCTCGGAATCTCTTTCCTCTGATTCCTCATTTGCAACGGAATCGTATCCAAGGCTAACCTGCGTTCCCCAGTCTGTGATAAGATAGGAGATGGCACCCTTAAGATAGGGGTCGTCACCCAAACGATCTTGCAAGTGTTCTAAAACGACGCGATACGGCCCTAGCCAGCTAACAGTCTTTTCCATCGACATGTTGCCCTCGAGAACGTTAAGAGTCAGGTCAGCTAACCACTGACCAAGTTCATCCGAGTCGCTTCCCTCAAAATTAGTAGCGGTCTTCCGGACGTGAGATCGCAACTTCGAGATAGCCGCGGCCATAACACCGAGGAGTTCTAATGCCATGTTTCTTGCGGGCGCTGCATTTTTATCACCATCTACCTGTTGGAACATCATGTACATTGTAAGCCGAAGTAATAGTTCAGCCGCGGGCCAATCTGGGGAGTCCAAGCAGGTAGTGAAGTCTTCGATGAATAAGTCTAATAAATTTCGATATGGAGTATCCCCAGACTTGGTAGACTTTAATGCTCGCTTCACTATGAAGTTGACAACGTACGTGGCGTTGCGGTAAGCGCCATCCGCAAGTGTCTTCGCGAGGGCCTGTAGCTCTTGGATGGCTGTTGAGTGCTGAACTGCGGCGCTTTCCTCCGTTCGGACCGTGTAGGTGTTTTCCGGTTTCCCATTGACGCCGTCGGAGGATGATGTAGGACCACCGTTTCCGTCATTTTCTGCTAGACTCTGCATCATCCGGCCGCGAAGCTTTTCTTTGCGGTCATCTACCTTCCCGGCACTTGCCTGGATTAGCCGCATGATCAGAGCCGAGACAGGCTGGATGCTTTTTCCTTCGGAAAGTTTAAACTGCCTCGCACTCTGCTTCCCGATAGGCAATTTCTCAAGGGAAGTCAAGATCTCGTTGAAGATTCCTTCTCTCTGTGCAGGGTTCATCAGGAATATCTGCGACAATACGTTCATGGCGACTAGGCGAAGGGCATCAAACTTTTGAACACCTACGACCGAATCCTTCTCCGTGTGAGCATTCTCCACGAATATTAGACGCGATGCCACGAACTCTAGAGTGTGTACGACGGTCTCTGAGAGGTCAATGCTGACTATCAAGTCAGACATAAGAGAGAAGACCTTCTGGCAAGTAGTGAAAAGGGTGCTAATGGCCTTTTTGTGCGTTGCGAGCAGGCGGAACAAGTTACTAGTAGGGCCAGTGCTCCGCAATTCAGCCGTTGGGATGATAATGTCACTTATGACATTTCTGAAGAGATTTAACCCTTGTTGAATTAGGTCTTCGGAATACAGCTGCCTCTCCTCCCGACCGCCACACATGATGCGGAACGATGTACGCGCGGCTTTGAGTCCCATTTCGATGTCATGGAGCTGCTGTACCCAAAATCCGACTTCTGTTTCTCCCCATGTCTCATCCAGCTTGAAGTCGAGCACGTCCGCGTGCTTCAAAGAGCCTTCACTCAAACTTTGGACTCGGAGTAGATCATCTACAGGCGCTTGGCGGAAACAGCCGAGACTAATGGCCCTATTTATTTGCTTATGAGCTTTGTCATGTGCAGCTATTGACATGGTAGGTTCTTGATCATTCGTCAACGTAATTAGATGTGATGCGGTGCCTCGCTCGCTTGATAGGTAATCCTCGGCAGAAAATATCTCCTGGAAACATCTGCGCAGATCCTCAAAAGCGGCATTGGCAAGCTCGCGCTGGTTGAGCTCTCCCCCGAGGGGGTCTTCAAAGTCATCTTGTGCGGCGCGTTTTCTCTTCGCAGATAAGTGTGTCGGAGCATCAGGTGCATCGGGGACTACAGCGAATTCGTTTCTATCAAAACTAGCCGCTGGCAGTTCAATTTGAATGGCAGCGCCATGCTTGGTGGAGGATAGCGACGATGTAGGCCGACCTTGGTCTGGTATGTGAGATAACTGCTCAGGAGCTTCTGATACTTCGGTCTTTGGTATAATAGGCTGCGGTGTTGGTGTTTCCGGTTCCACCTTCGAGGCTGATGAAGGTGGTACTTGTGAGGTTTGTGAGACCGGAAGGGGTGGCTTTGGTGTCACCATCAGGTCCGCGAGTGAAACTGTCTGAGCTTGAATTTGTGCTGCTAGAGGTGATGATGGAGGGGGAGGCTTGGGGGAGGTGTAAATGGAAGCGGCAGTATCCAGTTCTTTTCTTGTGGGCAGATGAATTTCGATGCGAGACTTGTTTTGCGCAACTGCTTGCGCATTTGAAGTAGCGGGATTATGCTTGACTACCTTGGGCGGTTCTTGTCTGCGTGCCTTGGGTGACGACTTCTTTGAGAACCGGGGAGACATGCCGTGACCGTGACCGTGACCAAGGCCGTGGCCGAGGCCGTTCGGGGTTGAAGCGTTCGAGGTCTCAGTATTGGAATAACGGAAAGAGATGGAGGTATTGTCATAAACCAACTTGGCAAAGGGCGTAATTCCATCGGCGATACTGGTAGTTGGCGGGTTTAGTGACAATGAAGCCTTCGGCGCGGTCTTGAATTGGCTGTCACGATCTCTGTCAGCATATGGAATATGAGCTCCATGGATATGCTCACAAGTGTGTGATCTTGTCCGTCTTGAGAAGATGTTGTACGAATTCAAGACTTCCCTCAACACGCTTCGAGTGGCTAGAAGTCTCGGCTTCTTTATTCAAGGCATCGTAGTCTTCTCTAGAGACTAGACCGGCGAGAGATGGAGCGAGAGGACCGGAGCCGATTGTAGGATTACGGATGATATCTTTTGGTATTTTAGGTTCTCATTAGGTTCAAGTCACGCGGGAAAAAGTGCTCGACGTCTGATGTCTGGTGTCCGATCGCGCAAAGTGCAACAACTACGGAAAGGAAGGAGCGGCCAGGGGACTTCAAACTTACCTGGTTCAAAGGGAAAGACCGATGTAAAGGGAGTATAAGGTAGGGCCTCGTTCAATGTGAACGGTTTCGACGCATGCTGCCGTTGGTACATACTAGGACCTGGACTTGGACCTGGACCTGGACCTGGACCTGGGCTGGGCTGCGGATAGGGCTGCGGATAGCCCTGCTGATGGAAATGAGGCGCGATGCCATTCTGATTGCTAGAATGAGGGTTTGCCATCGTAATCCAACCCTTTCATACACTGCAATCAAGCTATTTGGTTTCCAGCTGCGCTGAGGTCGGTATGTTTTCTACCTCATCGCAATCACCTTTTCGGTAAGAAATATAGCGGGAACGTGGATTGTGCCATACGTCGTGTTTGTGGCCAGATTTGGTGACGGCGTTTGACGACGTTGAAGGTTGACGTGATATGGTGAATCGTCTCTGGAAAGGAGAGATGGGAATGGGAAGTTCAAATGCTGAACGCGAACAGCCTGATAGTCCAGCCTTGCGCAACTCAGGAAACTTTAGGTAATTTCATTGAGGCGCATGTGGATTGCGACCTATTGGCGCGTACCTAGGTACCATGCCTGCACATGTGCACATTCCATTGAATGCACAGAAGTGCTTTCATTATGTATGCACATATGTACATACACATATATGTACGAAACCAGGTACCTAGCAATTACAGAGGGTCACCGTCCGAGGTTCCAGGTCCATATGCAAGTTATCGATAAAGATCCATCGATGTGAATTTATCGATAATTAATGTGAATGTCTTACCAATTTTTCTTTCGTCTCAGAAAACTATATCACGAAGAGCAAACTCCGTTCCGACAATGGCTGCTATAGGCTCCTTAGTTTTCTGTACCGATTGCGGGAATCTACTCCCAGTGTCCAAGGGAAACGAAAAGAATATTCTCCATTGCGAATGCTGTGGTGCCGACAACCAAGGTTAGCCATGGCAACACATACAACACCGTAGCTTTTTATTTTCTTTCTTGCTAATATTGCGAACCGGCAGACACTGCAGCGAAGACGACTGTCACAGAGAGTAAACCCTCCGACTTTCCCTCCTTGCTTCGACAAAAACTCTCAATCGTACAATCAGTGAAGCGACACGATGTCCAGACAGAAGCTGTCATAAACGAGACGTGCGAGAAGTGCGGGCGCACGGAAGTTAGATACACGGCAGTGCAGCTACGCAGTGCTGATGAAGGCAGCACGATCTTCTTCACTTGCGAATGCGGTCACAAGTACGTTGTTTTCTCTATTCTCTATTACCAATTGAGCGCAGCTAACCCAGAGTCTCGAAATAGATGGAACACAAACAATTGAGATTTTTCTAATAGAGACTGCCCTGTAATTTCTCAAGTAGTTGCCATAAACCCAAACTCGAGTCGTATAAATGAAGCCATGCGCATACGAGTTCTTTTTTTGGTATCCTCCAGCCAGCCCCGCCATATAACGCCAATTCTACTTATCCATGGATATCTATGCCGTTACCTTCGGAGCCTCCGGGATAAGCGCATACTCAGCCTGGTTCGATTGCTCGTAATCGGCCATGTCTAGAGCAACAATGACGCTCTCACGCACAACTTTCTCTTCGTCATGAAGGAATTTCTTCAAAACTTCCTCGACGCCCTCCTCTTCGCCAAGGCTTCCGAGTGCCTCCGCCGCTTCATGTCGAACCATGCTAGCCTCCTCAAGATTACTCAATGCGGAAGTGAGAGCTGGGATTGAGGCCGGATGGGAGAGTTGGCCAAAAACAAAAGCAATCTCGTGACGAAATAGGGCCGAGGGGTCAGCGAAACCCTTGGCTAAGGCTTGAACGGCGGGTACTGCGGTTGGGAGGTCCGGCGGCGATGCAAGGTCGCGGAGTGCGAACATAGCGCGGTATCTAAGGAAGAGAGGTAGGTTCGTGTCCATCAAAGTCTTTTCCAGATCTTGGACAGTCTGCTCGGAGTTAGGCATCGGAGGAGCGGGGTCGACCGAAGCAAAATCACTGTTGTTCCCTCGTAGTTAGACCTGGTGAACTTCGCGAGGATAGTCAATGCGCAAGCAAGCAAGCGGGATATTATACATGCCTTTGACGTAGCTTCTCTGCTTTCCGTTGTTCTGAGTTTTCCCATTCGATTCTATCAATAGCAATCTCACAAGTCTCCTTGATAACCACCTCTTCTCCCTCTCGATCGCGGAACTTGCGCAAGATTTCAAGATTTCCAGCATCGCCCAAAGCGCCCAAAGCCTCTGCCGCTTCGTGTCGGCACATAGGGTCTTCTTGTAAATCTGCTAAGACTTTCTGAAGGTAGGGGACGGCGGCTAGGTTAGCCGATTGGCCCAAGCAGTAAGCCAGCTCATGTTTAAGAAGCGCGGATGGAGAAGCGAAACCGGCAGCGATGGCGTCTATGGCGGCGAGGGCTTGGTCGCCTGTTTCGTGTCGTGCTAGGTGTCTGAGGGAGAAGAGGGCGCGGAATCGTACGGGTAGTGGGGTAGCTTCGGAGCAGAGAGATTCGCGAAGGCTCGCGATAGTTGCTGAATTATCTGTTTCGGACGCCATGATGCGTAGATAGGTTGGGATGTAGGTGGAGCAAATGAACCAGTGAAATCGATGGTCACCTTAAAGTTTGCGAAATTGAGAAGAAAAATGCGATGAAGGCACTAAGCATTTAAAAATGCCAATTCCTAGCTTTGCGAAATTTTGGACGATGACTTCTACGTCTGTTTTTTAGAGTCTAGTCGGACGATAACGCAGACAACCCCTCTATCAAGATCCTTGAGAAAATTCTCCGCAGTACAGGTACCGATGTACATAACAGACCCTAACCCCTGGATTCCCAGGCTCTCAGCCCCTATGGAGATTTTTATAATTCATTGGCTGTGACGGCCAATTTTGGCAAAGTTTTATAGTTCTCAAAATTGCGCAAATTGGCACCTATCAACACGAAGCACTATAATATCCTGGTGTTTACCAGGTTTCCTGGTGTAATGGCTAGCACTGCGGATTCTGATTCCGCCAATCTGGGTTCGATTCCCAGGGAGACCTTTCCTTTTGTCTATTCTTTCCCCACCTTTAGTTATATTTTTTGGAAAGTTTCCAGCTCAAATTAAGGCAGTACGTGGTTGCCAAAATTTTAGGAAAGGCAATACAAATACCTCGGTACAGGTCACCTTTGTGCATATTTCTGTTGTACAAATTGATTTATACAATCTTCATCTTTGAATCATACGATTTAACTTAGATGTAAAAGTTAAATCCAAATACGCTAAATGCTAGGTATGCAATGGTGTGAGAACAACGTGACTCCCAGTGCCCTTTAATATTCTCATACTTGACATCACCACTTTACACATTGCAATTTCTTATTATCTTACCATCTTACCATCTTACCATCTTTGCATTTACGGTTCATGCCCTCAATTTTCCCGCGGTTCTCAATAAGTACTGGCAGGATGGCTTTACATTCTGCAAGTGTAAACAGCAAGCTCATCTGTGTGTAGTGCCGCTTCACCCGAACACATAGCAAGTTTGAGTACTCACTACTAGATCAGTTGCTCCAGCTGGCAAAGAAAGTCATGGACAGGCAGAACAGTTCACCAGAGGTATATTGACTCGCTCGGATCTGGATCAGACCTCGCCTATCTGGCAGTTCCATAAATGGTTCGCAGCGGCCCAACGATCAGAACTCGTCGCCCATCCTGAAACCTGCTGCTTGTCCACTGCATCGCTACCCTCTGGTCGTGTGTCGTCCCGTATGGTCTATCTGAAGGAGCTTGATGCTGAGGGCTTTGTGATCTATAGCAACTTTGGGACAAGCAAGAAAGCCCAGGACCTCAGCACAAATCCTTGGGCTAGTCTTACCTTCTGGTGGGAAGAACTTGAACGCCAGATAAGAGTGGAGGGCCGAGCAAGCAGGCTTACACGTGAAGAGAGCCAAAAGTATTTCGACACGAGGGTTCGTGGCAGCCGGATCGGTGCTTGGTCAAGCCGCCAGAGCCAGGTGTTAAAGCCAATTCAGGGAGACGCCGGCGACGAGGAAGATGATGGACGAAGGGTGCTTGATGGCTGGGTCAAGGAGACCGAAAAACGATTCGAGGGAGAGGAAAACATTCCAGTTCCCGACTTCTGGGGCGGTTTAAGGATCATACCCGAATCCGTTGAATTCTGGCAAGGCCGACAAAGTCGACTACACGACCGTTTTATCTACGAGAAGAAAGCACCAACAGAAGAATCTGTGCAGGAATGGACCTTGGAAAGGCTTAGCCCATAGAAAGCCGTCGTCTTGTCCTAGCTGCGTCTGGCATTAACGTTCTCAATTCTAAACGCAGGTGACGAGTGTCTTAAAATCGGGAAGAGTGTTAAAATCCACGGATCGAATTGCCATCTCTTTGCCGTCCCTTATTCCCGTTTCTCCCTCCCACAAAGCCTCATTTGGCTACCCACCTTCACCGATCCCCTCGCTTCAGGTGGCCAGCTAATCAGAAGCGCAGCCAGACGGTTAAGCAATTAAAGCATGCATATTATCACCAAGCCTCTCAGCCTCGTAGTATCGTCGAAGCCCGCAGTGGCTTTACCAAATGACCCCTGTTAACCCCGATCCTACTTTATTTGTCGCAGATGTCGTCGCGAAATTTACCTGAATATATCTATATATTCAACTTAACCATCTGATAGATATGCTGATATATATTTCTATACCTCGCATCCAAGTCTTACTAATCGTCATATTAAGCGCTGGTAGCTCACCCTTGGACGCTCGGGCATGAAGAGGATCTTAACCGTTGGCTTCATACGACTCAGTTACAACCGCTTCCGCGAGGGATAGCCTTAGATAAAAGCATTGTCATTAGCCAGCTGTGTAGTGATATCGATGCAGACTTGACTCTTTGATTAAGGTCATCGACCGATCTGAGATGGGAAAACCTCAACTCGCTTGCAGGCGCCAACAGAAGACTGCAGTTCTTATAGGTGTATTTACCTGAGACTTCGTGTCTATGGCTACAGAAATCTATGTATAGAAATCTTGAGGCGCATATCTAAGGTTGCAATTAGCAGAGACGGGATATGAGGTCAATTGTACATGACGTTGATGCGAGACATTTCATACCGCGCTTTCTCCTCGGATCCTTTCACTTGGGTTGCGACTTGCAGAGTTCCTGGAGTATCTCTGATGCACTCACTTTCTCAGACATATACCTTGGAAACGATTAACTGTAAGTTCTTGGGTGAAACAAGACGTGGCAGTGTTCCGCAACTTGCCCTCTCTTAGATCATATATACATACGTAATCTTGATCCAAAATGGGACTCAAGACGATGTACCATCTGTTCCTGTACTAATCTCATCTTGTTCGTTACTAAGTATGTGAGATGACCGGCATGTATTGTCGAATCACGACATAAGATCCCGTCTGCATCTCCCGATTATGCACTCAACCGTCCAGCCGTTTACCAGCGAGGTACATAAGAATTAGCCCTAATGGCTCATGCTGCTTACATGGTTTTCTTCTGTGGAAAATAACATGGCAGATGCTATATTCCTAGTAAATTCAAAGTCGATTTGGATTAGAGATTGATTAACAAGAAACGCGGATGACACGGTAAGTTCTACATGGCCACGAGAGTCCGTTCAAAGTACATACAGACAATAGGCATTGGTACCTAGAGTAGAGACGCAACAATTTGATGCTAAATAAGACCTTTTGGCGCCACCGGCGTCTTATCTGCATTCTTCTCCAAGTATCCAACTCGACTTTACTTTACAAGCCTTCTGTATGTCTTAGACGCATCTTGTCGCAAACATATGCCGATATCAACTGCCCTCCGACTGAGACTGATGCAATATCGCCGTACAGATACATCTATCAAGTGGTAGTTGCAGGTAACTACACAACAAGAAATATATATTACATACGAGTGCCGAATACCTCTACTGTATCTACAGCGAAGCCGCATGAAAAGAATACATCGAGCCGTGTATCACCACCATTATATCAACCCGTTATTATAGATTGCGAGTCCATCCAATGCCGCAGCCTCCATACTCTTCTGTATTATGGGATATTTCCCGTTTCGGCTCTTAGCAGATTTAACAAGCAGCTGACACTATTCAGAAGCCTGACATCATCTTGCAGAGTCACTTTACTTTAGGCTCTGCCACACTCTTTCAAACACACCGATATATACCGGGAATTTCATGGGAAGTTAAGTTCTTCAAGTCAGTTGGTTCGAATTATATAGAGAATGTCTCGTTGCCCATCAGTTGGGGAATATCGGTGTCTCTTTTCACATCTATGAACTTGGCACCTAACATGGGAAAACTAGACGAGCCAAACCTTGTTAGGATCCGGAATAACCAAAGGAGGTCGCGAGCTCGACACAAGGAATATGTGGCAGGCCTTGAAGAGCGAGTAAGGCACTGCGAACTCAAGCGTATCGAGGCCAACTTCGAAATACAACAAGCAGCTCGGAAAGTGGCAGACGAAAACAAGAAGATACGAAAGCTTCTTAATACGCTGGGATTCGATGATGAAAAGATTACCTGCTTTCTTAAAACAGGCAACCTGGATGCCAATGATGCTACACCCCCAAAGTCTCTTCACGACCAGGAGAACATGAATCAGACAATGGACCTTCTATTACAACAATCTCATCTGTCTATGTCCGATTATAATACCTTTACAAACAACTCATATCCCTCCTCCGAGCTAAACAGCATTCATGGTAGCCAAGAGCAATCTAGTGCTCATGCTACGGGGGCTGATAAGCATATTCAACTACATAACTCGGACGCCATGAATGATATATCTCTTGCACTCGAGACCCAAGGACACCCGCTATACTCGGTATCCCCCAGCTACCCCCCAGCTGGACCTCTGCAGCATCCGATTGGATCGATTGATCCACCTGGCTGTTCCCAATCGTTAGAGTCCGCTCAACACATCATGGACATAGGTCGTCAGGATTCTGTGTACAGCCGACAAGAAGCGGGATGCGAGCCTACGATAAATTCATATTCAAGTCTGCCCTCTATCCTGAGAGACAGCAGCTATCCTATGTCGCTTGAGAACATGTTTCAGAACTCTCAAGGCCAGAACTACACGTATTCTGATTACTATTCCACTAGGAATTGCATAAACGACATGGCTGACGCGGCGAGTAACCTCTTATTTTCTTTGGATATGACCGATTATCTCACCTAAAGTAAATATTTTATCCAATGAAGTATGGGAGGAGGGATAGGGAGGATAATGTAAGCGATATCTTCAACAACCGAGACACTGGACTGAGATTTCTATGTAAACAGTGAATTTTGAACAATCTAATTGCGGGCTATCGCCATAGATCCAAAACTCCATTCCAGAGTCGTTGTCTTCTACCGCCGACCGGATTTGGCAATTTACCTCTTGAGAGAACCATGCGTCTTTGTCTTAGACTTTCTGTGACAACACCCTGCAAGCGACCGTAGTGCGAAAGCAAACATCACCGCTGACTGTTTTCAGCATGGGGAGAAGGACTGAATAATACAAAGCTGGCCGGCGGCTCTTTGTCCGATGTCTTATTATTAACACGATTAGCAAATTTACAATGAGATATCAGACTTAATACTTCTGGAAGCTAAAAGCATGTCCTAATGAATTTTTATTTAGTCGTGAAGCTGTACCAGTTTACCATTTATTGCTATCCAGCCGCCTAGTTTGCGAATAAGCACCAACGGATAGCTTGCACAGCATCATAACCGCATCTACAACCACTAGAAGAAGTCATAGACCTTTCTACGTTTACGACAGATAAATCTACTTGTACCACGTCGATATTTGCCATTGTGTGCTCTTTGCTGAAGAAGCCTTGAATCTATATCATCACCATCCATCGTCGGGCTAACGCCTAGAACAGGCGCGCTCGACCCCTACTGCGAGAAGCAACATGGTTGAATATCATGGCTCCTCGAGCTTACCTAGAGAAACTCAACTCTTCGGTAGACCCTCGCACGGATATCCGATAGACTACTACCCATTTGCCTCTGGTCGGGTGATCTCGAGGTCCAATGTACCCGGACCGATCAGAACCTCGACGCGGGCATCTACTACGTCCAGGCCGGCCCGGAAAACTCCTTATCCTGGATATGATCAATACCCCACGGCCGCCAGTGCCCAAGTACGTCGCGCAGGCGGAAAAAAGTCACCAAGGAGATCTAAGATGGTCCCAGGCCCTGGTGTAGGAGAGTTCTATGGCATGGCCACGGGGAAGAAACCAAATACGCGGTTGCGTGTCAACCAGCTGTTTCTGAACATCGTCCAGGAGTGTCAGGATCACTACGATAATAAAATTCCGGCAGGGTTCGATGGAACGCAACAACAGACGCAAGAATTACGTGAGTACCTCAGGAGGGGCCTTGAGGCATTAGGATTAGAGGATAGACTGAGCGCCCTGGAAACCAACAACACGATCCATGGTAACCCTCAATTCCTTAGCTCTCCGGTTTTTCTATTGCCGGGATGGGAGGATTACTGGGCCACTGTGGAGGACAACGAAGGCTGGGAGGCCTTCAGAGATAAGTTAATGGGCTCCAACGAAAGGGCTTTTGGGTCAATTCGAGGCGGCGCCGATCCGGAGAGGATGGATCTAAGAGAAACAATCGATGCTCCATTCACAAACCCGGAGAGAGAATGGGCTCAACTCAAGAGGGATGCACGAGTTCAAGTGGGAAGACTCCCCGAGAAATTGGACGAGCTCGCAAAGATCGGACCTTTTATGTATCCTGGCGCGGACATGGACGACGACCTGCGCGCGAAGTTCTCGCAGGAATTCCAAGACGTGATTAAGACCCAGACCCCAAGGTATGATGCCATGACAACGGCATCAGCAGCATATATAAAGGCCCAGCGGGATTATGTCGCAGATGAGATCGACAAAGAGAGGTTGAAAATGACAAAATTCCTGACAAGCACGATAGACAGAAACGGGCAGGGTAAAGGCCGGTTCTTATTGAAAAGTAGAAGTGCCGACAATGAAGAATTCCGAGACTCACTGACGGCTGGCTTCCTCACGAGAGCATACCGTATTATTCACGTCGCAGCTGTAAACAGGTTGTATGAGCTGGGCGAAGCACCGATCCACGAACTGTTACATGCAGAGGTAAATTACTTGAAAAGTTTGAGGTCTCAGGAGGAAATCTGGAAAGAGTATGACAACTTTCGCCTCACAGACTGGATCAAAAACCAGGAGGCGGCGAGAGTTACGAGCAAGCGCATCGAATTACGCAATGCATTGGATGCGTACTGGGCGGAACGCATTCAACAATTTGAGAAAGCCATCGTGAGTCATGATCCAGACGCGGATGAGGAGCCCTTGCTCGCGGATGTGGACTTAATGGATCCTGAAAACTCCGATCCTCCTAGCAACCCTAAAACGCAGCAAACGAAGCGAGTACCTGAGTTTCTTGAGGCTCTCGAAAGAATACGTGACGCGAACATCAAAGCACGCGAGCAGACAATTGCGGAAAACGACCAGCTCTCTGACGGAGACGTGGGTAACCACCAGCTTATACAAGTCAACAACCTCGACATCATGGCCAAGAACAACGTCATATTTGGTCTTGACGTAGAGATTGAGAACGCAAAGAGCTTCGATCCGCTTGCCGAGGGAAATTTGGGCTTCGGAGCGCACCACCGGATGACCATAGCGCCCCCTGACGAGTATTGGAGAGACACGAAAAGGATCCGAGGGAATAAGGACCTGCCCACTAGTATCCGAACGCTGAGCGGTAGAGGTCCCTTGCCTGGCCAGCACCCGGTACCAGGTATACCCAAGGTAGTCATCGGTGGCCCGGATGATCTGGGTGAGCCTTTGAATACGGATATGCTTAGGCTTCCTAGGCCGCCGATCGACTTGGCGCCTGGCTTTAACACGACTGACATACCCGCGCCGAAGCAATCTCAATCTACCGGAGCTCAAGGATCGAAAACGCCAGCTAAGAACCCACCTCCAGCTGGGCCCGCCAAACAGCCAACTCTTTTTGGCGGGAATTTCCAACCACCAAAGCTGGGTGTACAGGAAACCCCACAGCCCGTAGAAGGAAACTTTTGGACACTAGGTCAGGTACTGAGGGATCTCCAAGGTTATGACAGTTTAATGCCGCAAGCAACGCGGAACAACGAGAGTTGCTCTTTACAGGTGTGGTCAGACGTATTCAGCACCGCATGGAACTACCGCGGCTACAGACGGGGGATGGAAATACCCTTAACGTCCAATTGGACTTTAGACGAGTTCAGCGTCCGACGATTCGACGAGTTCTCTCGCGGCCTGAAGCAGAATACGCAGTCGCAATCGCCGGAGTCACAGAAGAGGCGTGAAACAGAGTATTATCAGGGTCTTGTGAGTGCTCAAGCGAGATATCTCTGCGATAACACGATGAGTTGGAGCGTGGCTGTCTTGCTGTCTGGATTTGCTATCGTGCGTGGCTTGGGTCCTCAACCTGATAATAGGGACAGCCAGGGACCGCCCGTGGCCAGGTACCTCCTGACCATAGCGCAATTCCTCAGAAATGGTACTGAGCTCTCACAACGATATCGCGACCCGCGTTCCGAGGTGAGGGAAGCAAAAGCAAGAGATCCCGTCCAATGGAGTATGCGGGAAATTGGGTCGATGACCTTTGACGAATATGTCCGTACGCTGCCCCCTAGACTTCAGCGAAACCTAAGTGAAGCAAGGCGGAAGTTCGCTATTATTAAGCATAGTGCGGGAGGGATCAAGAGAAGCTTGATTAAGACCCAGGGACCACCGAAAACATCGAAAACACCTCAGGCACCTATACAGCCGGCCTACGTTCCCCCATCGCAGCCCAAGCAGCCAGCGCAGCCATCGCAGCCAAGGCCGCTATATCAGCCAAAGGAGTCGCCGCCATTCCAGCCATTCCAGCCATACCAGCCGAAGCAGCCGTCGCAACCAAAGCGAGAGAGGCCAGCACCACCACCGAAGTCAAATCGGCCAACTCAGCCGGGTTGGACGACAGCGTCCAATACCCACGGACCGCGCCAGTGGACCATGCGCGACATCGAAAACTCGACCTTCGAAGACTATTGGAACACGCTGCCGGCGAGGGCGCAGCGAGACAGGCAAGCCGCTCGTAATGACTGGATGCTTATCAAAGACAGCTGGTCCCAGATCAAGAACGCCTTCCCGGCCGCGGCTCAGGCTGCTCCTCAAGCCCAGGCACCTCAAGCCCAGGCACCTCAAGCCCAGGCACCTCAAGCCCAGGCACCTCAAGCCCAGGCACCTCCCGCGCAGGCACCTCCTGCACAAGGCCCTCCCAAGACGAGCCCTCCTCGGCCGGCTGATTTCTTTTTCCCCCCTGCGTCATTCCTGTTCCCCGCTGCGTCACTCCAGCCCCCGGTTGCGTCAACCCCGTCACAGCCACAGCCAACCCCTAAGTCGACCCAGTCAACTTCTAAGTCCACCTTCCCGGCACCAGCTGCCCCCGCGCCGACTCAACCCGCGCCGACTCAACCCGCGCCGGCTCACCCCGAGCCAGCTGTTTCTCAGGAGGACGTTACTATGTCCGGCGGCTTAGGAGAAGGCCGGCGTCACCCCAGCCAGTGGACCTGGCCCGAGTGGGAACGCCTAGGGAGCGCGTGGGACCACTACTACCAGGAATTATACCAGTGGGAACAGGAGAGGCACGGCTATCCCGAGATGATGTACTATGTCTGGAGGCAGGCGGCGATTCGGCGATGGGCGCTCAAGACAGGCCCGCCCTCTGGCGTCTCCAAGGGCCCAGCAACTCCCGGTCCCAAGAACGGTGGTAAGGTTCCCCCGAAAAGTTCCACGGGCCCCAAACGACCATCTGAAAATGGGGGTCGCGGGCTGGGACATCCCAGCACGTGGTCATGGCCTGAATGGCGGGACTACGGCCGCGATTGGGACACGTACACGGGAGCCCTGACCGAAGAGGAGCGGCGGAGAAACGGCTACCCCGAGAGGTATTTCTACGTCTGGAGAACGGCGGCACTTCGAAACTGGTCGAAGCGGAATCGCAGAGGCCCTGGAAAATACATTCCCATTCCCTCTCCTCGTGAAGGTCCTGCACCAGCCCCGGGCCCTGCACCCGCACCTGCACCCGCTCCCGCTCCCGCGGGCGCCGCTCCCAAGACGCCTGGTCCAAAGGCAAGCACACTTTTCGGCGGCCCATTCGTGCCTCCAAAGAAATCCGAAGAAGATGCGGGTGATATATCCTCGATACATTCCTCGAGTGACAGCGATGACGATGCACCTGCCCCTTCAAAGCAGACTCCAGCAGTCCAAGCACCTCCAGTGCCCCCGCCACAGGGGATCAGTTGGGACAACATGTTTTCTTCAGGTCCTGTACAAAGCAATACTCCAAAGTCTTCAAGTTGGTTTGAAAACTTACCGAAGACCTCGAGTTTATTTACTAATGTACCAAAGACCTCGACATCCGAAGGTCTGTTTCAACCTGTCTCTTTCACTGACCAGACAAGCGGTCCAGGGCCTCAACAGACCTCAAATTTTGTGTCCTCGGATTTTGTAGATCGAATAAGGAGGGAGAACGAGCAGTGGCGTGAACGGGCTCGGGCATTGGGCATAGAAACAGATGATTCAGAGGAGCCTGACCCCACGCCAGAACAGCCTAGCAAAAACCCAAGTAAAATTCTCAGTCGCGTGGATGGGAATGAGGAAGAGCTCCTACGGACGATATCTAGAACCCAACCGTCGGCTAGCTGGGTTAAGAGGATAGCATCGACGCAGCCTCTTTCTTCCGCGTCTTTTCCTTCCGCGCCCCCTGTTTCCGCGCCTCCTGTTTCCGCGCCTCCTGTTTCTGCGCCTTCTTCTTCCGCGCCTCCTTCTTTCGTGCCGCCTGGCCCCTTTAGTAACTTGTTCGGGGAACCAGCTCCCCAAAAGAGCGCCCCTCAGCCGCCGAAACGCAGCAAAACCACCGAATTACTCCAGGGAAGCAACACCAACCTCTTGGCTGCCTCGAACGAAGTCGTAGATGACCCCCTCGACAGAAGGATCAACCTTGCATTCGGAGGCTCCAGCGACGCGAAGAACCCAGAGTATTGGCCCGTTGGCCCCTCTAAAATTTCAGACTTCGGTATTGCCCCCGGCAACACGGCAGTCCAAATCGGCGGCGTCAAGACCCCTTCTACCCCAGCGCCCAAACCTGGACGTGGCAGCAGCAACGTCTCCGGCCCTAGAGATCCTTGGAAATCGGTGAGTGGGTTCTGGAGCATGTCGGGAAATATACCCGGACTCAGTAACAACCCCAAAACGCCCGCCAGGCCTCCTCCTACTAGAGCACAGAACCCACCTGCTACACCCACTCGACCCGGCCGTGGCACCAAGCAACCCGTCACCGCACCCGTCAGCGCCGGCCCCACCACAATCAGGCTCGGCAGCAACACCAAGACGCCAAGCAAGCCGCCCACCAGCGCCGGCCGACCAAGCGGCTTCGGGCCCGGAATCAGCACCCCGCGGGCCCCCCAGCCAAAGGCCCAGGTCCAGCAGCCACCACCATTATATCCAACCCTGCCCACAGCAACCCCACAAGCCCCGCGGGTCCCGCAGCCAAAGGTCCAGCAGCAGCCACAGCAGCCATTATACCCAGTTCTGCCCACAGCAACCACCTGGCAAGCCCCGCAAGCCCCGCAACCCCCAAAGGCAACCACGCCGAGCAGCAGCGGTAGGGGCACAAAGCGGCCGGCGCCAGTCGACGACGACGAGGAGGACGTCGACGCGGGAGAAGATGAGGAGCAGCGCCAGTACGACGAGGCCATCAACGCGTCGCTCATGCAGGCGATCCCGAACCGCGACGGCTTCCCGGAGCTGCAGTACCTGATCCGCGCGTACCGGCGCGCGGGCGTGGCCGAGCAGGTCCTGAACCAGCGCCCGGACGAGGGCGCCGGGTACGCGGTCCCCGTGAGTGAGGGCCAGCCGCAGTACCCCGTGCCGATCTGGAAGGGGCAGGTTGCTGATTTGTGAGTTGAGTTGAGTGAGCGGGATGGACGAGGGAGAGGTGTGTGAGGTGTGCAGTTTGAGAGGGGTTATGGGATAGGGGAGATGTGGTGGGGAGAAAAGGGGGGAAAGGAGTAAGAGTCACGGTGAAAGAAATTGGAAGATTTTGTACGATGAGAGATGGATCGGTGTAAAATAGTAACCGATAAAGCTGGGAGGAGTGAAACATATTGCGAGACTTTGTGCAGAGGGTACTTACATCTATTTTGTAGAATCTTTCGTTATTCCATTTGTCTAGTTCATGAATACAGATTTTCGGCGTTTCTAATCATTCATCGCTCGGTCAATGTCCGACTTCCCTCGCCCACCGTAGTGAACTATAGTGGGAAGGGGTGCAGGAACAACATCCTCATTCAACTATGATGATCTGTCCTCGCAGCTGTGCCCTCTCGTAACAAACGTAGCTACCTAAGTAGGCAGGTAATCGTGCATGTAGTTCAGAATACAACATAGACAAAATTCCATTTCTCTTTCCCCCTATTCCCGGAACTCCATCAGGTATCATTACCATAGAAGGCAGTAAAAAGCACTGTTGACGACCGCCTAAGTTTACTCATTTTATACAATGCCACCCTCATGCTAGTGGAAATATCTCCCTTAGAGGAAGTAATCTGCTACAGGCTTCTTAGCAGGCATACCCCTGGAGTCCTGCGGCGCCGCTTGGAAAACGCGGTATCTCCTGGCCGGGCCGCTCTTGAGTCTCTTCTCGCCCTCCATCATGACGCCCTCTACCCCGCCACCGTCGCTCCGGCCTACGTCGCCGTTGCTGCGCGCGAAGAAGCTCTCCCCAGTAGGATCTTCGGACAGCTCTAGAACGGCCGCCACGTTGCCGCATCGGTAGCAGTAGTTGGGCGCGGACCAGACGGTGACGATACTTGCGTCGAACATTTCCTTAAAACCTTCCATCACAAGTTGGTGTGCGCGCGCGATGAGTGAGAGGTCGTTCTTGTGGTTGAATACCTTGACGATATCCGCACCGAAGAGGAAACCCGCACCGCGCGGCGATAGGCCCCAGCCGTCGATCTCGTCTGGATCAGACCAGAGTAGGTCACACATGGCGCCTTCGTGGGGGACTTCTTGTTTGCGGTCTAATAGACGAATTTTGTCCACTGTATCGATAAGCGGCGACAACCCACCATGCACACACAATACCGCCCCCGTCGGATTTCCGATGGTGCCTCCACTGGAACCCGACGCGCCCGACCCGGGCGGCCCCGTCTTCGGTTGAGTTCCGTTGGGGCTCTTTCGCTCCCGGTCCGTCGACTGATCACTGTTTCGTCTCATAAACCGACTCATGATGTCCCCATCCGCATTACAGACTTCGATCTCGATATCTTGCTCGGTGTACTCTATGCTTGGTGTCATATCATTGGGAGGCGACAAGGTATTCGATGCGTTGAGGACTATGGCTCCGAGGGCAAGGTAATCGAAAACGTCGCAACAATATCGCCACACGTTTGCGCTCCCGTATTTCCGCAAACATTCGTCGTAGAAACCATATACTGTTGTTATTTGACGTGATTCGTGATTGCCTCTGATAAGGGTCATGCGATCAGGATAGCGGACTTTGAGGCATAGGAGTAAGAGGAAGGATTCTAGCGAGTAGAATCCGCGGTCGACGAAGTCGCCTAGATGAACAGGCCTAATCAGTTATGCACTACGATAGAGAATGGATGATGCGCGCGAGGTTCGTACCCATGAAAAGGTAGTTGGTATCCGGCGGATCCCCACCAACCCGGAAGAGTTCCATCAAGTCGTGGAACTGACCATGTATATCGCCACATATCTGCGCGCACCTGTCAGAACACCTCCTTATCCACATCGCCATCGCACTATATTGACATACCGTTACTGGAGCTGTGACTGTGACGACGTTGCCCTCTTCGATTAACAGCTCTCTCGCTTTGTGACAGAGCTCCCTCACTTGCGGCTCAGGTATTGGACGACACGCTCGGAGTTGAGCAATCGCCCTGTTCAGGCCACATCAGCAAAGTCTAACGCGCATAGATATTCTTGGAGAAAACGTACTTATCCAGGTCGCTCATATCTAAGATTTGAAACTGCTATGAGAGTGCTGAGAGGCAGCTAGGGCACGTTACTAGGTAAGAATCAGAGGTGGTTGTTGAGACTTATTGCCGAGCCTGTGATTGATGTTGGGACTCGGATAATAGCTTTCAAAACATATCAAGTGCATTAACGAGCTCCAATTCAATATAATGGAAGTTGCCGAACAGTTTCCGTCGTCTAATGGATGAATCGTCGTGATAAATACTAGCTTATGCTGCCGCGGTCGTGGCGCGTGGGATGTGATAACTGATGTCCAAAATTAGAAGTTCCAACGTTGAACCAGGCGCGAGTTGGTCGATTGGGACTAAATTTCTGAAGTCATTTCAGTGGGCCCTGGCAGTTACTAGCTGCAGCAGCAGCTTCCTCCCTTGCTAGAATTGTCGCAGTCTCCCCTGTAGATAAACACATGGCCCGAGCTTTGCGGCTTAAACTGACAGGACTGACTAAGGTTATGAGGTAACCTGAGAAGCCGGGCAGTTCCATCGTTCCACATATCTGGTAGATCCTCGGTTGATAACAAGCGTCAAATCAGGTTGATTGGATTTGGTATTTGGTACCCAGCCGACAAGCCCGAAGTAAAAGCTCCAAAGTATCGTTGGTGTTGTTATGCGCTATCTTGGACATCAACGACGCCGCCGCAATATCGTACCTTCACGAGCCTCACAATCCTCCAATCGACATGCGGTGGATACATAGGGGTCTATTATAAGTACGTATCTCGTGTAATTATGCCAATTGATCATCCCCAAAGAAGATTGCGTTAACATCTCAATCGCAGCTATCCGACGACCCCCGCTATCCGCCATGCCGCCGCACCTACACCCGCGGTCGCGGATGACATCTTCTCTCTTTGCCACGACCGTAGCGGCAAGCTTCTTCGTCGTAGGCCTCCCGCACATTCTGCCGTGTCCCGCGCCCCGTGTAAAATACGCCGACTCGGAAGTGGCCCCGGACGGTACGAGGCGGCGTCGGCGGAGGAAACCCGAGCCGGCCGAAGCGAAGGACGGTATAGTCCAATTTGAGAGTCCTAGCGAGGACTTCGAAAAAATTGCTGCCGAGACAGGCGGCGCTGCCACTAGGGCGAGGAAGGAAAGAGAGTGCCCTGTTCCGAAACCGGGAGGTGTCATTGGCAACCTGATGGGATTTAACAAGTCGAAAATAGAAGAGGATAAAAAGGGGACGAGCGACAATACATAGGGCGGCATTAGACTGGAAAGTTCACTAAGACTTGGGCCCCAGAAACTGTATATACAACAAAACGGCACAATGAATGTCTACGGCATCAGAATCATCACTCCACCAAGGTTTTGTCATGAATATATTAATTGTTTTGCAAGTGCCTCGAATGTTCCTAGTACAGTTTATAATGTCGAGGTAGCAACTGGATGATTAAACATCGCAAATTGTCTTATGGAAACACGTTGCTTCAACCCCAGTTTTCTAGTTTATCTATGCCACGATGTTATCCGCGTAATTAGAACTTTAGGAATTATAGACTGGTGAGGTCTCTAGTTTCATTATTAGGAATGCAAATCAACTTTTATTGACCATTAGCCGGTGGGTGAGTGGTATCCCGGCAGGTTTGGTGACTCCGTAAAACTCCTTTCATGTTCCCCGTTTCCTCCCAGCAAGCTATCGCAGGGTCGATAGCCATGAAGACCAAAGCCATTCCGTCATAATGGAATTTATCCACCTCGCGAAGCTGCTCAAGATTTTGACCCTGCCAATCCATAGGCCGCCGCAACAAGTTATCATCCCGCGTCAACTAACGATTAAAGAAGCCATGGATTTGTCCGAGGTCGGGAATGCCTCTGATTTCTTCCCCCTCTGAGGCTTCCGAACAAAGAAAGGACCAACTGGGCATAAGGGAAATCGTGACTAAATAGTGTTACAGGCAAGGAAAGGATGAAGAGCTGAAAGGTATCGTCGAATACGGTTTAAAAGAAAGCCATGGCTGTCAACACTGTTCCTTGTCGTTGTTCAAGACGCAGACTGTGGTGTTGGTACCTCAGTCTCCTCAACTTTCGTGTCGTCGAGCTTTGGCTTCTTAGCGGCACGTTCCGATTCCGACTCATCTATCTTGCTCTTCAGATCCTGGTTCTCCTGTTCCATCTCATCAAGTCGTCTCTTGAGGATGTTCTCTCGTCTGTGGCTTTCCTCCAGATGTCGCTGAATCTCTTCGCGTTGCAATCGCTCCGTTACGGCTTCCTTTGCCGAATTCTCTGCCGAATGTCGGTAGTTGTCAGCGTTCTGCATATCCTGTTCCAACTGCTGCAATCGACCTCGGTATAATTCGTTGACGAGCTCGAGTTCGCTAACGCGTGTCTTCAAGCTAGAGTTGGCTGCGATAAGCTGCTCGTGGGTTTGCGGAACATCCATCTGTTGTTGGTCGCCATTCATAGGAGACTGATGACCAGGAGAGCCGCCGGGGATTGGGTATTGTGGCATACCGTCCGATTGGAAATGATCCATAGCTTGGAAGGCAGTCAGATGTGGATCATACAAAGACGGAGTCGCAGTGCGCGACACGGGCGAGTCTGTACCATGACCGTGGCCGTTTGTCGCCTTCTGTTGACTCGCGCGAACGGCAGCAAGGGCGGCAGCCGTTGCATTCTCGTGGTTCTGGAAGCCATTTCCGTTGGTAGCAGGGAGACTCTGCTGCAAAGAATTGTAAGCATTGTGGCATTGTAGATGGCGAGGGGTTGATTGAAAGGGGGTGGGCTTCTTTTACCTTTTTCTTCACCTGCATGTCGGGGCGCATCGTCTTAACGCGATTTCGGCTTTTGATAACGTCGGTCTTCAATGAAATCGGGCGTGGACGACCGTGCAGCTTCAAGAATAGGCCGCAGGCATTGCACAGGACGGATCCGGTCTCGTCGCGACGCCATAGCGGAGTGGTTGAAGTGCCGCAATTCTGGCAAGTTGGCTGCGTAGATGGTGAATCATTGTTAGCGGAAGCCGCTGCGGTGGGGTGCGATGCCATCATCTTGATTTCGAATTTGGGGGATTTCCAGACGGCGATAGGTGTATCAATGGATAGAATGCGGCGATGGGAGACGGGAGAGAGATGGATATCGATAGGGAAAGGATAAGTTGATAGATAGAGATTGATAGAATTGATAGACGGGAAGATTGAAGAAATTCCAGAAAGTGGGTGCTGATAAGGAAGTAGCCAATCAAAGTTTCGCACGGGCCTTGTTCGTGCCAGGGTGCCAGCAATTTCTTAAAGCCAATGCACGAATTGAAAGAGGAGAAAAAAAATCCACCTTCCCTGTCCACCGCTAGCTTTTCGGTACTGTGGCTTCCAAGTTCCAAGGTTTCTATTACCCACGATAAACTATCAAGTCTACCAAGGTACCTCAGTAGATCAACAGGTCCACTGATAATGAGATACTCACCACTCTTTTTATTTGGTAAGAGGAAAGTATTCGTGAACGTGCAGATGGTTTATATGCTGCCTTGAGAAACTGAAATTGGAAATAGGAAATAGGAAATAGGACAGAAACAATTAAATAGACAAAGACTGGTGACTTACCAAGTTACCTGAGGCTGTCGGCGCATGCGCTGCAGGCGATGAATTCATCATGGGTACCGGCGTGCTTGTTGCTCTAAAGTTGTTATTCATAAACGTTAGTCGAGTTCTGATACAATACAACGTATCTTGGTCGAGGATTGAATTTTGTGAGTCTGGAATTGGTGAAGAGCACCGATGTATTTGTGATAAGGTTGTTGAAATGGGTACTTTTAATGTTCAAGTGTGAGGTGGAATTCCAGGTTTGTACGGTTGGCAGGCGCGACCTCATCCTCCTTTTTTTTTCAGTGCTCTACAGTGAATGGTGCCTGGTAGCTCTGTCGCCCAGTGTGCGCCCCAACGCCCCAACTTTAATATCTTTAGTTCGTCGTTTCCTGAACAATATACCGTAGACGGAGAAGTCGCGATTTATTCCACGGCATCGCACCTCATCATCACGTGAATTGGTTTTATCCCTCTCATATAAAGTTGGTGCATTGTAATTGTATGTGCTTTCTTAAGTATAAACTCACCTCAATTGCGGCGAACTGGTTGCTGAACTCGCAGCTGCCAGCGCCGAAACCCCAGGGAGCTGCGCTGTCGACGCTGTGGCCGAAGATGTCGAACTCGGACGTGATATCGGTTCAAGGGTTGCCGGTAACGGCGCCACCGTACCCTCCTCCATCACTGATCGAATTGGCGGTAGTGCCGGTGATGCTGTACGTGTCGGAAGAGGTGAGGTGATTGGTGGCAGATTGCTCTCTACCTGCAACGATGCTACTGTGGAAGACGCCGTGGTGAATAAATTTCAAGGTCCCGAGAAAACTCGGAACTAACGGTCGTTGTGGGGGGAGGTCGAGGGCGGGTATTAGACGATATCAGTAACGAAAAGAGTTACACCCTGATCGCCAATGATTTCACAGTATAGTATGTACGAAGAAATATGTTGCGATGGCGATTTCGAAGGAAAATAATGTACATGTACGATATGTACCTAGGTAGACTCGTTTTTTAAGAACCCGCCGTAAATAGAACCGTGAACCATAAAATCAAAATAAGCCGATTGGTAACTAGGCCGTGGAGCAAGTAATAGAATGAACGACAGACGATTGAAGATTGTAAGAAGGAAGTCGTGGTGTTCGTCCCGTAGGTAAAAATTATCCAGACGATAGGTAGAGGAAGGAATGTAGGTATGCAGGAAGAGCACGCGGCGCGAGAGAATTAGATCCCCCTGAGCATCAGATGTAGGACAGACACGTAGAAATTGCAGAAAAAATATTATTGTTATCGATCTTACCAAGAAAGGTACGAGGTACATATTCCTCCCTGTATGCTTTTTTTCCTTAGGTAGGTTTACACAGGTACATCTTGGCCACGGTACAAAGTGTACCTAATCTGGAGGCTAAGAATCTTAAGATCATCTAAACTTCAATTGGCTAATGCCCCTTGTTCGCGCAGTATGATGGGAGATTATCAATGGCACAGCCCTACGCCAGAACGGGGGATCCGATAATATTCGTGTTGAATTGTTGATCTTTTGTAGTTGAAATACCTACTTGGCTAGCCTAACTAGGTATGCAAGTAATTCCTAAATCAATAAAGATTCGGAATCTGGATATGATTGGCGTTATATCCTACATCCCTTCAGCAGTGTCATACAAACAGTCAAGTACTGGGTAATGCGTAGTCCATGATCCGTGACTTTACATAGAGCCACTGGGTTTCCAATTGGCACATGGCCGATAAGGCAGGCTAATCGCCTATAAAGTAAGCTGAGTGAGGCAATCTGACCTGATGCTGAATGCTGAACGAGCTGATAAGCAAAAGGGAGACCTCACATTTACCCCTGAGAATTCGATGTCTTAATAGCGCATTGTCCTTGCGATTTACCGAAATGCCATATTATTAACAACCCGCCGTTCCGGGCCGCCGGGGTAGCCTATCGCACATCATTCATACCTTTTTCTCAAGTATATTTAACTTACAAGAATTTTCCACTACCCTTCCTTACATTTGTTTCATCCAAAGCGAACCCCTTCCCATATTCTCATAATTACGGACCATTACGGGTTCCATTGAAATACCTTTCCTACGAAATTTTACTGTTACTTGACTATGTATTCAAACTAACAACGATGCATAGTAGTGATAATAATGGTCTCTAGCAAGATATAGATTGCTATAGAGTGCAATTCAACATATCATAATATTCCTCTCAATATAATATTCTGATGCCGAAATTTACGAATTCCAGATTGTTGCTAGTGTCCATGTGGCCTAACGACTTACCGGTAACATAGAATTTGGAGTCTTGAATCATGGTTACTAATAACATTTGTATATAGACAAAACCTACAATGCTTTCCTTACGTTCAACATATATATCTAGCAAGCTACCATTGGCTCATCTTCGCGTATAAGCCATCGCCATAATATTAACATTACTTGCGTATTAAAGTGTTACGGGGTTATTAGAAGCTAGCGTTGTTTCCAATGGATACTAAAACTCTTCATTTCTTAATAAATAATGCATTGCAGATAACATGGAAATAGCACCTATTAAAGGTGAAAAGTCTTGATTTGAAGTTCCGTGTTCAAGCGATTGAAACTGAAATGCTCTATTAATTGGTTTAGATATTAAAGTTAAGCCGCAGGTTATGTTATGTAATCAGGTATTCATTGGAGGGGTCTGTGTGACTTAGTGGTGGCTAGTTGGACCCACATAAAAGTTCTGGCTAATGACATCTTCAAGAAAAAAAGTTGCAGGAGGTCGGTCGTCAATTCACATTCACAATTCAAACACCACCACTTTATCCATCACCGCCAAGATGCCGTCCACACACAAGAGAGATAAACCATGGGATACGGACGATATAGGTAATTAGCAGAATTCCAAGGATAGTTTTTCGCAGAAACTAATCAGCTTCACGTTGCAGACAAGTGGAAAGTTGAGCCTTTCAAACCCTCGGACAATGCAGGTGGAACGTTTGCCGAAGAATCGTCATTCGCCGTGTAAGTGGATTTCAACCAAGATGCAATGCCTAGGAATAAATCGCTAATATATATCCAGTCTGTTCCCTAAATACCGCGAAGTCTACCTTAAAGAGGCCTGGCCCCTAGTCACGAAGGCGCTTCAGCAACATGGTATCGCATGTACTCTAGATCTAGTCGAAGGTGAGAGTTAGCCACATATGTTTCCTACCACCACAAAACTAATGCATATTGTTACAGGATGCATGACGGTTAAGACGACAAGAAAAACGTTCGACCCCGCTGCCATTCTCAAGGCTCGCGACCTCGTCAAATTACTAGCGCGTAGCGTCCCTGCTCCGCAAGCATTAAAGATCCTCCAGGACGATATGGCTTGTGACATAATCAAGATAAGAAACCTAGTGCGCAACAAGGACAAGTTCGTAAAGCGACGGCAAAGAATCCTCGGACCCGAGGGTCAGACCCTGAAGGCGCTAGAGCTCCTCACGCAGACATATATACTCGTCCAAGGAAACACCGTCAGCGTTCTCGGTCCGTACAAGGGGCTCAAGGAGGTTCGAAGAATCGTCCAAGACACCATGGCGAACATCCACCCGATATATCAGATCAAGGAGCTTATGATCAAGCGAGAATTAGCAAAGGACCCCGAGCTCGCAAACGAGAACTGGGAACGATTCCTTCCGAACTACAAGAAGAGGAGTCTCAGCAAGAGGATGGTGCCCCACAAGGTCACAGACAAGAGCAAGAAGGTCTACACCCCCTTCCCCCCACCACAAGAGAAGAGCAAGGTGGATCTACAAATCGAGGCGGGCGAGTATCACATCGGCAAAGAAGCCAAGAAGCGCATTGCGCACGAGGAAAGGATGGAGCAGCAGAAGGTCAAGCAAGAGGAGAAGAAGCGCCAACGAGAGCAAGATTTTGTAGCGCCAGAAGAAAACGTGGCCGAGAGGAAAAAGAAGAAGCGGAAGACCAAGGGCGAAGAATAGTAGTCTATACAACCCAAGCCAATGTACTATACCAGCCGTCGTCTTCGGAAACCTTTACGATACCCACGAATGTTCGAAAGCGCATTAGGAGTCATAGGACTTCATGTCAAATTTAATGCTGTCCCAATGACTTATCATTCACTGCAGAACTAACAAGAACGTTATGTTACTAGATTTTTATCGCAATTTAAGCCCCAGGTTAACTTCACGAGGCGTGCTGTTTTTAACTGGAAAAGAACTGCGAAGAGTAGCAGGTTAAGGTGGTGGTTCTTCCACTCAATTATAGTGTATTGACTTTGGACCTGTGTCTAGGAGGCAAAATAGTAATGTCCGAATCACATTCTTTCTGAGGTGAACATACGAAACAGGAATAGAACGCCTAAAACACCAATATGCCCGTTCATGTCTTCATTGGTATCACGCCTGATATGGTCTCTCATCCATCGATTACCATAGTGTCGTCCCCGTCAAACGCCGGCCCAGTTGGCTCAATTGCAACTCCTCGTCCACGTCCAGCTAACAATTCCCTTCGGATCTCGGGGCCGATCTTATGATGGCCGTGCGTTAGCAAGAGGTCCAGCAGGGCCTCTCTCTGGTCCTCTGTGATCTCGTTTCTATACCTCTGCGCGAACGCCAACAGGCACTGGTGCCAGATCACTGGGAGTTTGGCCTGCGTAGCCGCACGCTCTGCGCTTACGTCCATGGCGTCGCCTTCCTTGATAGACGCGGGGTCTACACTTCGGAAGCGCAGGAAGTGGAAGACGAGAGAATCGATGACCTGATACGGGAGCGCGTATTTCTTCTCTAGAAGGGTCTTGATGAATACGTTCGTGGCGCCTCCGCCCTCGGTTCCCGCCGACGCTTCTCGTGCTGCGATTTCGCACAATCCTTTGATAGCCGCTCCGGAATGGAGGACTGGTACGGAGACTCTGGCCAGGACAGCGGAGATGATTACCGCTTCTCTTAGGGTGCAAGTGCCGCTCTCGACGAGCGGGAAGAGGAAACCCTTAAACCACGCCGCGGGCTTGTATAGTGCTTTCTTAAGCGCGTTGAACAGATGTACATTTAACTTCTTCGTCTCGTAGATATCTTCTCGCACACGCTCAAGGAGGATCATCTCCATAAATCTCCGAACGACGATCGGCTTGCTCGACACGAAGATTCTCGTAGCCTCGTAAACAGCGTTGGGCGTCCATTGATCGGGTTTTGTGAGCTCGATGATGTCTTCCCAGTGCGGTACAGTTGGGAGTATCTTGAACGGTTTTGGTAGTTTGCCTGATTTGTATCTCGAGAGTATCAAGCCAATCCTGTACACTGTTAGCACGAATTCCATAGCGCGTCGCAAGGTTGCGCAACATACTTAGTATAAACTTCAACGATCTTCGGTGATAGCTCATAGTCGTCGTCCGCGGGTCCCATTTCCTGTGCTCTGTCCTGGCCGGCTTCATGTTGCGCGATCCTCGCCAGAATTAGGTCAGCAAGGTTAGTCCCCGAACCCTGCTCTTCCGCGGGAGCTTTGCCTCCCCAGCCCTGTGTCAATAACGGGTCGTCGTCGGTAGGTAGGAATTTGTTGAATGTGTCTAAATCCTCGGGTTCGATTTCAATCTCCTCCACGATCTCATCCTCGTCGCCCCATACTTCCTCGTCCTCAAAAGCTTCGTTGTCTTCGCCATCCTCTTCGAATCGCGATTCAAATCCGAACGCATTGGACTCTTTCGGCGGTCGAGGCGGGGCGACATTGACTTCTTCGGCTAATTCGCGACCAATTCGCAAAATCTTCCTGGACGCCTTAGAGTCTATGTAATTCTCTTGCTCTTCCTCATCATCTCCTGTGGACTTCCTTTTAAGGGCCTTTGTGCGGAGAGGCCCCGTAGCTACAAGGTCATCTTCTAGAGGATTGTGTCGACGGGGGTGGCGAGCAGAAGTCGGTGTCGTCGCTTTCGGCATGATGGCTGTTTGACACGAGTTGGTTGAAATTTCGCGATAACCACGACGTGGGGCGCACGAGAAATTGTGAATGAATTTCCAAAGAAAATTAAAAATTCTGAGGGGTGGAGCGGAACTATTCCGTTAAGTGATTAGCTCCGTGAGGCTTGGGCTGAATTTAGAATTTCAGTATTGCATAAAGCCATATTCGACTGCCTTTTTAAGAAAATATGCATTGAACAAGCCAATGCACGTCATTGCCCCTCGACGAAAAGCTTCCAGAAGTTTATAGCCCCTCCATCCAACTCTATAACTCTATCGCATCGCAAAATTTCTTAATTCGATAGTAAACAGTCTATCGTCAAGTTATACCTACTAGCCAACCTTGAAAATTGTAGCTAGGTGTTTTTTTTTTTTTTTCAAGAAGAAAAATGCCTACAGAGCTTGAGGAAGTATGACTGATAAAGTTATTGTCAATGATTATTTTCTCTTGCTAATCTTTAACTAGTTGGTCGGCTTCATTGTCGATCCAAAACCAGAGATTCGAGCTCTTGCAACGGAACACCTCGTTCCGTATTCGACATCCCAACCCAGTATCTTCAAAGCAGAAAACTTCAAGCCTGTCAAGAACTTGAAACTTTTAATAAAAGACCACCCAGTACATCATCTCTTCCGGCCGTGATTCTTGACCGAAACTAATTATAGCGTAGAAAATTGCCGAGCATGTTATAACCATACTCATCAATCTCGCGGCTGATCGCGAAATCTTAGAAATATTAGCTACAGATGATAAGTTCTTAGACGAAGTCCTTAGGCAGATCATAGTAAATTCAAATCTAGACTCTGGCTGATCGGTTGGCACTCAACTAATTTATGTATTAGGTCGCCAACGAGCCCAATGCAAACCTCTTATCTATGCTGCTAGCGAATCTTTCCAAGTGGGATTCTCTGAAGAGGATTCTGGACAAAAAGCAGCCATCTCCAGAAGAACTTGGGTCATCTGATTTGGTCTTGAGCCAGTTGGTTGATCTATTTGTCAAGGGTGCCGATGGGACGTACAACAAAAACGCTGATTTCGACCATTTGGCTTATCTCTTTGCTGATCTAACAAAACACCCCGAGATCCGGCATTACTTCGTGCGGAAGCAAGAGTATGACGGTGTAATACCTATCACGAAGTTGAAGGTTTTCACCGAGTATAAGTCGGACGTCAGGCGAAAGGGAGTCGCATCCACCATCAAAAACGTCGCCTTTGATGTACCTTCACATCCATTATTTCTGTCAGAGGATGACATCAACATATTGCCATATATCTTGTTGCCAATTATGGGGAACGAGGAGTACGATGAGGACGAGATGATGTCGATGCTTCCTGATCTTCAACTTCTTCCCCCCGACAAGCAACGAGATGCTGACCCGAACATCATTCAAACGCACGTCGAGACACTGTTGCTTTTCTCGAGTACCAAGGAAGGTAGAGACCAGATGCGCGAAGTTAAGGTCTACCCAATCATTCGAGAAACGCACTTACGCGTCAATAACGAAGGCGTCCGTGATGCCTGCGAAAGATTAGTCCAAGTTCTAATGAGGGACGAGGCAGATCCAGATAAGGTGGGGGATAATGCCGACCAAGACGGCAACGAAGACGACGATGACCAAATTGTCGAGGTATAAACCACATGTACTGGTTTCCTCGCATATTACTGGTGTAACTGTCACAGCTCGCTTAAAGCCGGTAGAGCTTAGAAGATTTCTTCAGCCGCTCCGGCAAGACAAGGCGAAAGGGGATACCGCGGGCTTTTTTAACAGCAAGTTGCCACAATTGGACTTTTCTCGATGGCCACGTTGCTGAAGGATTATAATAGTCACGATGCCAAGGCTATTTTCCTGGCACGATATTCCTGAAAATGGAACTGATGGCTGACAGGTTGGAGGGTACAGCAACTCTACCCGCACGTATAGAGTCTGTAGCATCAGCCAAGGCGGACCATGCGGGACCAGTGGTCGTTTCCGAATCCCTGGAGAACGCCAACATCTGAAGCGAATATACTATCCGACTAGGTGCAGTAGCTTGCATCAAATCTTCAGCATGAATACAATACCAAAAACGATACCGAGTGCGTTCCGATGAAAGTGATCTACGCGTAACAAGATCTTGTCATCTAGCGAAAATCATGACTATGAGCCAGCATCTAGACCCAAGTCAAGTATGCTTCTTTAATCAGAGTTTTCCGTAACCAGTCCGGTATTTTATAGAAGCGGATCTATGGTTGACTTTACGAAGACAGACCAACTGGTCTCGTTAAAACCTAGAGTCTGGGTTCGACGAATCTCAACTAGTATGTAAATGTTAATTTGTGATTGGTCGAAATGACTCGGTTAGCTTGGAAGAATATTTCAATGCCAAATGTCAAATCCGCCGCCTACCTGCCGAAGAAGAACCAGGTGAATCAAGTTATTGATGTTTGTACGGGCAAACATCAGAACTCGGAACACGCGCAGCTCAGGAGCGTGGATGAATTCTGACATCTGATTGGCTGACTAGGAACTTGGACATTAGACTCACGAAACAGTTTTCATTACTGATTTGACTGAGAGATGCTATTTTAGCCAACGGCTACTTATACGATCCACCTGCGGTTTGGAGCAAACTCGGTCGTCTGCCCATTTGCGGATTCTGGTCTGATGCGAATTGAGATTCGAGGATCTGTAAATGGAATTGTTTTACGTATGCCCTTCAAATAGGGCGACTTTTGAAATAAGACTACAGAGCCAAGAGTTTCATCGTATGCATTTTTGGGAGCGGCGTTACTTATTGCTATCCGTGGGAAGCGTTGGAAGTATTGAGGGCCAAGTCAAGTCTGCGATGGCAATCGAAATAAGCTTATTCCATAGGGAACAAGCATTTTCTTATCTCATCTGCCGTCTCGTCGTCGAATCTAAGGCTCTTGGTGAAGCCTTATTTGAACCCCGAGAGATCTTGGCGATGTCGAGATTGGTGTTGGTGGTTAAGAGGTTGTTAGGTTCATTCAATAATTCTACCAACTAGAAGCTAGAACGTCGATCCATCCTGCCATCTTCCACGCATGTTAGGGACCCCATATTAACAAGGGTTAAATGTGGGTAGCAGCTTCTAGCACGAAAACGGTCGGGGATCCTTGCTAGGTCCCCTGCTGTAACCCCACTGATTTACGAATTGCGGCGCTGTCTAGGCCGCTCTTGCTCCCGGACGAATCAGAAGTCGAGAGCCGCAACATGTGCTCTGAACTACAACTCTAATTCGTCTTCAATAACCTTCAACTTCTTCCTCACTTTCTCACATTTTCTCTCCAAGCCACCAATTAGTCTATTAGCGAACCCGCGACATCTAAATATTTTCATCAGCCTAGCCTCGTTCCGCGCAGCAGCTAATGAAAATTTGGCGACGTCGTCGGCTTCCGTTCCCCTTCCATTTAGCTTCTACGCATTCTTGGTCGACATGTTCAAGCGATTCATAGTCAAATCCACACGAGGGTTCTTTTGGATCCCAGAGATCCAAGATGGATCATGCTTTTGAAGTTAAAGGCATGTGCCCATCTGAATCCCCATCTCGATCTAGAAGTACCTATTTTCACTGGAGCCAACCTTGCTAGGTGCTCCGTAGCTGACCATAGTCTATGCTGGATCTCGCCAGTCTCGTCTGATATCTCGAGACAAGCGAACGCATATTATCGTCGTAGTATATTTCCGTGTGATGAGAAGAAGACGTTCGCCAGCTAAAGGTGTCTGTCTGCACCATTTCAAGCTGAAAAAAGAGTTGTATCGAGGTTTATTACAGACGCATCCGAGTCTACCACTCCATCAACATTGCATGAAATCTTACGAAATTCAGTCAATCTGTGGTCTTGTTAGGCTCTCCTGCGCCCTGTCCGTATATTAACATGCGTGATGCGTCGTAGCTGAATCTGGTTGTGGACACCGACGTGATAGTTCGGCCCAGTCCATGTGTCCGGCCGACTGGTTTAGACACTGTTCCATGCAGGCCGCGTTTATCTCATGTTAAACAGACTGCCAATAAGCATGCCAACCCGGAGGTACCGCCCAGAGTGGTGGGATCGCAATGCCTGGGTCCCGTCCTAGGCGTTGCGATCCACATCTTTTTGCCCTCTGGCGTCTGGACGCCGTTGGTTGGAGCGCTCGGGATCCCCTGCGACAAAGAGACCTCCCTTAATCGTAGCCCGCCTATACCACATGGCTAGGACTAGCTGGAGATCAGTAGGGGTCCTATGTACATAAGGATCGCACGTCCCATCGGCTTCAATTCTGTCCCCCCCTCTGGCTTTTATCGACATCAAGTCCTTCCAAGGGTTACAGGCCTCCCTTGCTTCCAATCTATTGCTTGCAGTTTTCCTCGCGCATAGACAGCGGATCGCCAATACGTTCCCTTCCGACATTCGCTTTACTTAGGTACAATTCCAACTACAAGTCGATCGTCAAAGCTCCCGGACAACCATACCCTCTCGTTCTCTAATCATGGCCGACGACGCTGCCACCGCCGCGCCTGCTGCGGCGTTCGCCCAGAAGACTTCGGGCGGTAATAACGCATACCACAACTTCCACAATGACTTCGTACACATTCAAGATCCTAACGAGCGCCGTCGACTTGCGCTCGCCGAGATTGACAAGGCTCCCTTCGGATGGTACCACGTTAGGTAAGACATTTCTCCGCAAAGTCGCGATGGGACCGTGTGAAGCTGACTCGCGAAAAATAGAGCTTGTATTGTTGCTGGTATTGGTTTCTTCACGGATTCGTACGATATCTTCGCCGTCAGTTTGTTGAACACCATGTTGGGAATTGTCTACTACCCGGGCAAGGGTTCATTGCCCACCTCTTCCGACAACGCCATCAAGTTGTCGACTTCCGCCGGTACAGTCATTGGACAGTTGGTTTTCGGTTACCTTGCAGATCACGTTGGACGAAAGCGTATGTACGGTCTTGAGTTGATTATTATCATCTTCGCAACCCTTGGTCAGGCTCTTAGCTCCGGTTCTCCCTCCGTCAACATCATCGGTCTCATCATCTTCTGGCGTGTCCTTCTCGGTGTCGGTATTGGTGGAGACTACCCTCTATCCAGTATCATCACTTCCGAGTTCGCGACTACCAAGTGGAGAGGAGCCATGATGGGTGCCGTCTTTGCCATGCAGGGTATCGGTCAGTTGGTTTGCGCCTTCGTCATGCTGTTCGTTACTCTCGGCTTTAAGGAGGCTCTTGAGGCATCGCCCAAGACTTCTGACTGCACAGGCTACTGCACAGTTGCGGTCGACAAGATGTGGAGGACTTTGATTGGTTTCGGCGCTGTTCCGGCTTGCATCGCCCTCTACTACCGATTGACTATTCCTGAGACTCCTGTAAGTCACAAATTTCTTGTCCATACGGAGAATAGCAACAACTAACATCAACCCTAGCGTTACACCTTCGATATCGGCCGCGATGTTGAGAAGGCCGCCGACGATGTCAAGGCCTACATGTCTGGAAAGGCCGAGGGTCAGCCTGACGATGTTGCCCGCATCCAGGCCCGCGAGGCTGCTCAAACCCAGATGACTGTTCCCAAGGCCAGCTGGAGCGATTTCATCCGCCATTACTCCATCCCCAAGAACGGCCTGCTCCTATTCGGCACTGCTGGCTCATGGTTCTGCCTTGACGTTGCCTGTAAGTTATACTTAAAGCCGGCTAGTCTCACAAAGCTAATATTGAATCTTAGTTTACGGTCTGTCCCTTAACAACGCTACCATCCTGAACGTCATTGGCTACTCTACCAGTGGTGCCAAGAGCACCTACGAGGTCCTCTACAACACTGCTATTGGTAACCTTATTATCGTCTTGGCTGGTGCCGTGCCCGGATACTGGGTATCGGTTGCCACTCTCGACACCCTAGGCCGGAAGACCATCCAGATGGGTGGCTTTATCATCCTAACCATTCTTTTCATCGTCATGGGTTTTGCGTACAACCATATTTCCAGCAACGGATTATTGGCTATCTACGTGATTGCTCAATTCTTCTTCAACTTCGGTCCTAACATGACCACTTTCATTGTTCCCGGCGAGGTATTCCCGACCCGTTACCGATCGACCTCACACGGTATCTCCGCCGCCTCCGGCAAGATCGGCTCCATCATCGGCCAGGGTGCCATCTCCACCCTACGAACGCGGGGTGCCACCCCGAATAATCCCAGCCCCTGGATGGACCACGTGCTCGAAATCTACGCTCTGTTCATGTTGCTCGGCTGCTTCACCACCCTCTGCATCCCCGAGACCAAGCGCAAGACCCTCGAAGAGCTTTCCGGCGAGGACCAGCCCGCCCCTCTTCCGGCACCGTCCGATAGCAGCAACGGCAAGAACACGGCCGAGTCTCTATGAATTTTTTGCGTCTACCCTCTTCTTGGATAATAATTTTACAATCTTGTTTGGAAAAAAAGTTTGGTGTATGCGAGGAACGTGTGACGAAGGTCCAAGAACTTTTGCCCGGTGGTCTTTTACTAAAGAGTTATGTGGTTACCTACTAGCGCGGCGGCCTTGATTCGGTATGCGACTCGACACTGACTGATACGAACATCCGGTTCTTGTGTTTTTTTTTGTATCATATAGAGATAATATATACCCTGTTCAATCGTTGGACATTTTCATCACTTTCGCGTCGCTCTCTTATGGAGATTTCGGCTGGCCGCATATTTTGAATAAAAAGTTTTTGAATAAAATTGCTTACTAGTGCATCTTTCTGTCTTGATATGTTTACCTCGATGCCTAGTTGAAGCCTTTAGGCTATGAATGGATTCTCCCGGCACATTCAGATAGGAAGTTAACAATATCCTTTCTGAAATCGTCAATTCATAGCTAAATGTGACCTGCTCTCATCCTCTATATCATGAGAGTTTTAGGTGGTTCTGAAACTGCCTACAGCCACAGCCAGATTTATGTGGTCATCACATTCACCTTAGTTTTGTCTAGCATCGAATTAGATCTGTTGCCAAGTCAAACACCTCGGGGAGATAGCCGTTGGCGAAAAGAGAAATACTCACAGAACGCGACGTAGTCTTTGATATGTTTCGCCTTGTCAAACGGCTCGGGATAATACCACGCAGCATTGGTCAACTCCTTGTCTACGCAGGCATACTCTTGTTAGCTTCTAACTCCATTAATATCGAACCTCGTATTTCGTTTGCCCCTTATCGTCACTGTGTACTACATCATCAGGCAACATACCTCCAACTTTGACCGTGTAGTAACTGGCATCCCCCTTCCACCCGCAGTGCGTGTGCAGGTCCGTCTTGCTGAAGTATTCGGACTTTACGGACGATGGCGGGAAGTACACGTTACCTTCGACCAGCTCGTAGGTGTCGGTTTCGGCTACTACAGTGCCGTCTATGATTGCTTCGGCGTGGCCAGACAGCATCGTATTGTTTATTTAGGTAAGCAGGGGGTTTCAGTTTGAATTGAATGGTATTCCTATTTTTGGAAGCGTGTTGTCTTTCCAGGTTGAGTGAAGATGATGCGATCACCGTTGTCGTTGTACCCGGATGGCATTAGACAAACAACGCTAAGGACGTATCATATTACGCGGGGTTTTAGCGTGGAATTGTTCTAGAAGGATTCTAGAAGCCAGCCAATCATTAGGGGAAAGACAGGAAGTCGAAGTTGCCCACGGGGTAGATGTGGAGGCCGGTCGGTTGCATCTTGTGCGTTATTCGGCTTATTTTCCCCGCTACCCTCGGCCGTAATGATGCTCTTATCATCACTGTTAGTTAACACCTCCGTTTCAGTGGTGGAACCAGATTTTCATAGCATCCATGGATGGTACTACGGGGTGTTGGAGTATACAGGTTGAGAGACGCATACTGGTTGTAATAGTAGGAATCAAGGCAAACTAAATGAGTGTGATTGTCATTCTGTCCTCATCCATAACTGAGCGCGCGTGTTGGGCTAACCTGCCCCCACAAGCGCCAGCAAATCCAGGACTAGCCCTAAAAGCAATATCAGACCATGAAGCAATACGTCTATAGAACCCCGGTCTTCCCTGACAAGGTCTCACGACTATACCAACTAAATAGTTTGAATAGTCGCACGTAATAGGCAGCATATATGCCTGCTCCCAAAAATCGCGGCTTTCTGTGCTGTCCATTTCTATTTTATCCACGTTGAGCTCGAGCTTTGGGTCTTCCAATGTTATAGACTTCACATCGTCTTGCTTATAGTTGTTTGGTAAGATATAGTCGGGTCCTTCACATGTATGGATCTTGTAAAGGAGACACCGTAGTGTCAAGGGTGATTCCGGAACGCTATCAACAGTACCTCGCACAGCGCTTTTATGCCCGTCGTGAACGTTGAGGATTTCTATCAAAGCAATGGTTTCGAGTCCGAGGAAATTGGGGAAGTATATCTTCGTGTTAAGGCAAGCCCAGCTCCATGAAGGAGCGATGTCGTATGACGGGGCCATGAGATGAGTTCCGCCATGATCATTGCGATATGAAGGGCTTGCCCCTGTAGAAGGCTTCCAATTTAGCACTGACCCCCAGGCAAGCTGCCAAGGTAGCTGCGAACGCCAAAGACCCGCGACATAATCGTCTATGTCTTCTAACACGTCTTGGATTCGAGAAGCAATCCCCAATACTGCCACCAACTTATCATTTCTATATGATAATTCGCATGATGAATACCACTCGACGATGCTTGACCAATATTGGTAAATATTATGTCTCATATTCGCAAATCTCTCTTCGGGACTGGCTCCTTCGAGCCGTCTTAATGATTCCTCGAACCTGGATGCATGGGAAAACTGACAGACTTTGTCTATTTCGGCGTAGGTAGTATGGCTGTCTGTTGGAAACCAATCGTATCTTGCTCCGGAAAACCTCAATTTGCTCATTTCTAACATCGTAAGACCCAGGCCTGTCAGCTCCACATTTAATGAGTTCGTGGTAGCCATGCTAAGCTCCTCGTGGAAGTCGAACATGAAAGGGAATGTCTCGCATGCTGTGGTTTGATAACATTCCCAAAAGAGCTGCTCTCGGCCGCAGTGGATTTGTCGTGGTGCCAATACACGCTCCTGCAAAACCCAGGACCGCCGGTTTAACGGCGCTTGCTCGACGTTGTTATACCATAAGTCCTTGTTGAAGAAAAGATATCTCTTTTTGGATAACATAACTTCTAGAGGAGGGAGCCTAGTGGGATCTCGAGGGTAAAAGCAACCTTCGCTTGGCGCTTGAGATGCAGTTGCCGCGATATTGCATTTTGAATGTTGATATACGTCGGCCATTGTCTGACTCTCTCGTATCCAGTCATCCGTGGAATCTTGGATTATACATAATGAATCGATCCATATGAAGTCATTGCGAAGAAACCGAGATAGACGGACAAAGTCCTGGAAAGTTTTGGGCAATTCCGCGTATGAGAAGCCATGCTTCGTTCGGTGCTCGTAGGTATCTTTTGTGAGTTTTATCATATTCTTAGAATCTCCCCAACAGTGGCTGAGTGTCATGTAAGACCCATGAGGCTGCTTATCCTGGGTTGGATGAAGTGGGATTTTCAGGCCGCTGAGATCGCCATCGTTAGGGCTACCAATGTATAGAAGTCTCGTTGGCCACCACGCACCGGCGCGGTCTGAGGGGCTTTTACACCTGTCATGATTGTTGATACAATTGTCTATCCACGACCGACATAATTGCCATGCTGGTAGATTCTCTGTTGAGACAGGGGGCACATAATTTAGGTCATGATATGCTTTCATGGATGCCAATTCATTACGCACCTTCTCTCGGCCTATGGCAACAAGGTAGCACATATAAGGTTAGTCTTGTCTATCGTATATTCAGAGTCGTTTGATATAGCTCACATGAAGTGCCTGGATAAGCAAAAACGTCAGCGGGTGCCCCCGTCATGCTCACGTATTGAGTGGTGTGAAGAGCTGATCTCAAATCAAATGAAATATAGTCGAAACAATTGTTATAATTTATGCTTGCCACAAGTTTTAGCGTATCCCGGCGAACCTTCGAGCCAACGGCTTGAATGTCAGGCTCGAGCATAATGCAAAATTGACAACTGGGTCGGACTGCATTGCGCAAAGTAGACAGTGTTGGACAATTAACTCCCACCCATCCCGTCTGACCTTGTTCTAGCTTTGATTCTATAACAGAGAAAAGTTCGTTACAGGAGTCACAGAGTCTTGGCCCAAACCGGCTTGTAGAGGCGATTACTTCTCGACCCTCTACGAGCGGCCCAGACATCGTGGTGACTAAAATATACTGATAATGTAAGTCAATTTGCGATACCAGAGACCTAAGAGAGTAATGGCCGTTATAATGAGGATGAAATCATCTCAAGAAGTATGAAGTTAATCTAGTCGTACAGTAGTAGACAGGGGAGGAAAAGAGGAAGCGTAGAGCTGGAAGACATACCTCTTTAACAAACAGAAAGTAATCAATCCATCTCCAATAAAAATAGGTACCTATTCTAATCAGTCCGTAAGATAGTGTTCGGCCAATTAGAGTAAGCTTTTATTGATGTTAGTTGTCTGGTTGTCTCAGGAGTTGTTGGTGGTTTTGCTACAAGAAAAGTGGGTTTACTGCCCTTTATTAGGCACCGTCTCGAAAGTCGCGCCTTGCACTTTCAATGTTACATTGAGCGTCTAATATAGCTAGATGATAGGTAGTCAGACAGCTCCGGTTCCTTCTCAACGCTTTAGTTATGCTAGAAAATCCCGGGGAAGTTTTCGACTTCATTCCGTGCTGTGAAGTGGCGCCTAAAAGGATGGGAGGTGGCTTTTACACCATTGAACGACAAACGCATCATTTTTAGCTGGAGAGTTAAGTTTCAGGTGATAGGTAGCGTTGACTCGGGGAAATAGAGGTTTCTACTGCTCAAGTGAGTTGAATAAGGGGCTGCGTCGACGGTTTGGGTATCTCTTTTCAATGGCCATGGATTGGATTTACGCCAGTTCCCAGTAGAGAAACCTCCCCATACCTGGGAACACGGTGCGTACGGTCCTCGCTTAAGCTAATAATAATGCTTTCGTGCCTTGCGGGACCGTCCTTCATCAGCAGAGCACCGCGATATAGGCTGTAACTCTTTCTCCGAGACCATCAGTCTTTCTCTTTCCCTCGCAGTGGCATCCTCTTCAGCTATCTCTCGCTCGATGCACATCATCGTGGCTCGCGATATCTTGACCCCTTTGATGCTGAAGAAGAGTAGGACACCAGCGAAGACTATTCTGGCGATAGGAAAACCCACGTTGATCCCCGGTTCCTTGGCCCCCTCTTCTATTTCCGGTTGGGCATTCAGCTGCGCTGTCGATCAGGACGTTGGTTTTTGGATCCCATCTTCTGATAAATATCCTAACTTTGGTCCTGTGTACTTATCTTCATATATTATGCAGCGCCTGGCGGCCCCGACGAGGGAGGATATCAACAAGGCGCATCATGTTCGAGAAGAGTTGAAAATAGGCTCACTAGCCCTAAAATGGCTTCTTGAGCTATGGTGATGCTGAGAACCCGTCTTTTACATACACCGGCGGCGCCATGTCGGCCAATCTACCTCAGGCTGCTCTAAGCGGTTTTGACATCACCAGACTTTTCGTGGCTTTCAAATTCCGAAGCTTTTCAACTCGTCGGGGTCTTCGCAGTGTATGCGATATACTCGCAGCCCTTCGACCTTCGACGACTTGAATGTCATCGGTAGAAAACTTCTTCCTATGATTGGCTACTCGCCTGTGTCCTGCTTCGCCTTCGCTATCTCATTGACAGCCCCAGTCGTTTCGAGTATTATCATAGGCTTGATATTCGTTGATTGGACATTCCCGGATACAAGTGGCAGTTCTCTCGCTATTAGTGGAGCTTGCCATCCTCCCGAAGGAACTGATAATTCACATCAGCGCGAAAGTGAGGTGGGAGTGGCCAACAAGAATATTGACGGCACTGTCAAATGTTCATCCAGCTTGTTACCAGTTCGACTGCCAAACGATGGAGAACGCATCGTTTATTTGAACACAGCGAGCAGCTGGAATCAAAATAGAGGTAGAGCAGGTAGAGTTAGTGTTTTTCGGTAGAAAGAGTTTCGAGTTCAATTTGCGGAGTAATACTCGCACGGTATAATCGATCTAACCTTAACCAGCCTAATAAGCTTCTGGGGGGAGGCTTACACGTGGAGATAAGACAAATAGCACAGTATGCTATGTACAAATGTACCAAGAATTCGGTTAACAGGATCCACCATGCAGCGAATAACGGTGAAGACATTTCCAAAAGCAGGTCCAGCTTCCCCGCTATATTTTCTCCCGACGGCCGAGTTAGCTCCACCATCTCCAGTCTTTTCTCCAACCTCTAGCTCTCTAGTGCTAGCTCCTCGTTACAACGCTAAACTCAGTCGCCCATTTCCAACCATGAGACCGAATGTCGGCATTATTTAATCCTAGGAGAGCCTCAGTGGCCAATTCAACTTTATATGTAAACATTCATCTTGCTACTTTCTCTGTTACCTAGTATCGTTTGCATTTGGGTGTACCAAGTATTTGTTGATAGCGCCCCATTACCTGAGCTGCTATTCTCCCGATTCGAATACGTCATTGTATTATTATTTAGAGAGTGACGTGATGGCGCTGTCTGGAGTAGAGGTTTCCAAGCATGATAGCAAGGAGTCTTGCTGGGTGGTAATTCATGTAAGAAGCCTAATTTTTCAAAAACAATCACTCAATTAGTAAATTCTTACTAACCTAATTCCTCAGGGGAAAGCGTACGATGTCACGGAATTCTTACCTGGTTAGTAACCTATAAATCTCCATATCCAGAATCTAGAGCTTAACCAATTTATAGAGCATCCGGGTGGGATGGGTATTATCTTAAAGTATGCCGGGAAAGATGCAACTGAAGAATTCGAGCCTATACATCCTCCGGATACTCTAGACAAGTATCTGGACAAATCGAAGCACTTAGGGCCCGTCGATCTAAGCACCGTTGCTAAGGTGGCGGAAGAAGAGGATCCCGAGGAGGCTGAGCGGCAACAGCGCATTTCGAACAAGCCGTTATTATCACAATGCTATAACCTGATGGATTTCGAGTCGGTTGCCAAAAGCACCATGAAGAAGGGTGCTTGGGGTTACTACTCCAGTGCCGCAGATGATGAGATAGTATGTTTTGCTAAACAAAAAGTCTTGGGACTTATACTAACCGAATCAAAAGACTTTACGAGAAAACCATGAAGCTTTTCATAGGATATGGTTCAGGCCGAGAATTTTGGTTGACGTAAAGAAAATAGACTTTTCAACCACGATGCTGGGAACTAAGGTCGACATGCCTTTCTATGTTACCGCGACGGCGCTTGGAAAATTGGGACACCCCGAGGGTGAAGTTGTATTGACCAAAGCCGCCAAGAAGCACAATGTCGTGCAGATGATTCCCACATTAGCGTCATGCTCATTTGACGAGATTATGGATGCAGCGGAAGGCGACCAGGTGCAATGGCTACAGCTCTACGTCAACTCGGATCGAGCGATTACCGAGCGCATTGTTAAACACGCTGAAAAGCGAGGATGCAAGGGGCTGTTTATTACGGTCGATGCTCCTCAATTGGGGCGAAGAGAGAAGGACATGCGAACCAAATTCACGGATAAGGGCTCCAACGTCCAATCGGGTCAAGAAACGGATAACTCTCAGGGAGCCGCGCGAGCTATCTCATCCTTCATCGACCCAGCATTGACTTGGAAAGACATCCCGTGGTTCCAATCCATCACCAAGATGCCCATCATCCTCAAGGGCGTGCAGCGGGTCGAGGACGTGATCAAGGCGATCGAGCACGGCGTCCAGGGCGTCGTGCTCTCGAACCACGGCGGCCGGCAGCTCGACTTCGCGCGGTCCGGCGTCGAGGTCCTGGCCGAGACGATGCCGGTCCTGCGCGACATGGGGCTCGAGGACAAGATCGAGATCTTCGTGGACGGCGGCGTGCGCCGCGCCACCGACATCATCAAGGCGCTGTGCCTGGGCGCCAAGGGCGTCGGCATCGGCCGCCCCTTCCTCTACGCCATGTCCGCCTACGGCCTCGACGGCGTCGACCGCGCCATGCAGCTCCTGCGCGACGAGATGGAGATGGGCATGCGCCTCATCGGCGCCACCAGCGTCGACCAGCTCAACCCCTCGCTCGTCGACGTGCGGAACCTGGGCGCCCACGTCACGGGCGTGCCGAGGGACAGTCTTGGGCACAAGGTCTACGACCCCCTCGCTACGCCGGCGTTTAAGGCTCCTAAGTCGAAGCTGTGAAAAGTAGAGGACTGGAGAGGAGAAGGGGATAGAGAAATTTTCCTTGCTATATGTGTGAGATACCGATGTGGCATACCTTGTTCAGTATGGATTTTGGATTTACTACCTGCTTGGATTACGTGTATTCAGATATATATACCTACCTATCACGTTCCTGTTACTTCAACTATTCTCTTTTAGTTACTACCTAACTCTATCTAACATACATACATGGCCTAGGGGTAGATAAAGCTTAAAATCGATCTATCCCGTGCTAGTAGTGGTGTGGTGTGAATGCTGAGGAACACATGTGAATAGGTACCCAGCGGGTATTACGATTGACCCCGAGAATTACGCAAGGTCTCGCGTGTATACCTTAGTGCTAGTCTTGCGCTTCTACCACCGAGCTTCTAGTCACTGAATCCAGTGGTCTTACTGCATACGATGATGCATGGTAGTATCCGTGATTACTACGTGGAAAATCTTTGTGGGGTGCATTGAACGGATCTTTCAGTAACTCTAGCAGAATAATGATTGGTTCCATACCTGTGTCCACGCCATGTAACGATATCTTCATTGAGCTAGGTAGTTTAGGTTATTCTGATCTGTAGCGCCCACCTACTATGGTTGACATCAAAATTGGCTAACCGTAGTATCGGCACAAGGCTTTCACATGTCAGAATCCAATCTCTAAATTTCACTCAAACGCAAAATATCTATAAGACTGAATGAATCTTTCAAAAGCAGATAGTCAAGTACCTTACTCTACGAATATCTGGTATATCACTGAGGTCTACATCCTTGATGTCAAAGTCTATCGTAAGTTATTGAACAATTATTATATTTTCTTCTCGGACTAAGCCTGTCCAAGATGATACTTGCTAGTCATCCGATATCTCTTCCATTCGTACCATCCTCATTGACTGCGTTTCTAATAAATGCAATGGCTCTCTTACATTCTCTAGTTGTCTACAGAGGGATATACAGTGAAGCCAAGAACCCAAAACGACGAAAACGCACCACACCAGTTGTACAGAAATAAATCGAAAAACCTAAGCTGGTTTAAAAGGTCGCGACGGCAATGGCGATGGATTGTGTCTCCGAATGTGAGATAGAGACGCTAATCTCCTTCACACCTGCTTTCTTTGCGGCTTCTTGAGCATCGCCATGAAGCTACGGTTGGTTAGTAAATCTGTGCCTATAGAGTTCGGTGGGGGTTCACTTACCGAGACGACAGGAGCACCGTTCTCACTCGGAAGAATCTCGATGTCCTTTAAGGGCGCACCAGCGCCTCTACTTTGGACACCTAGACTTTTGAAGACAGCCTCCTTCGCACTCCACCTTCCGGCGAAGGAGCTTTGTGGGCTTGGCATCTTCTTGCAGTACGCAATCTCCTTGTCTGTGAAGTTGCGCTCGATGAATGTAGGGTTTTCGATATTGATGGCTGCGATGTCTTCTACATCAACACCGACCTTGTTATTCTTCCCTGTCTGGAGACTTCGAGCTAGGCTCTCTACCACCTCCTTGGTGTTTTTCGCCTTTATAGTGTGGGGACGAGCAGCCTGTTGGGCGAAATCGGTAGGGTAGGCGAGTTCAGCCGTCTTCACATTCTCCGTGACCCTGGCGTCGGGGTTGAGAAGGACAGCGGTGAGCTGGTCGTCACTGTATGGCGCGTGGTTCTTGGCTTGGAAGATTGCGTTATTGACTATACCGTTATGCATGTAGCGGTACGCTTTCTTCTGACGAGCCATGACCTTGGTAGAATACTCCACATACGTCTCTTTGTCGAGAGTGGCAAATAAGTACCTGGGGTGTACGCCGACTGCTTGGGCGCCCTTTTGGCCGAAACCGAAGGAAGTAAGCGAGAAGGCCTTTACACCATCGGTTTGGATGCTTCGACTGGGATACACAATCAGGTCAAACTTTTCCATGTCTTTGTCAACGTTATCAGCGTTGCGGTTGCCGGGAACCAAGCCGCTGTTTAGAACTTGCAAGCAGCCGTTGAACATCCAAGCTCCCGCAGCACCCTTCGGATGACCGGTGAGATACTTCTGGAAGACACCCAAAACAGCGTTGCCCCTCTTGCGGCCGAGATGACGCAATTGTTGGCAGATGACTGATGACTCGTTCTTGTCATTGGCCTTGGTCGATGTACCATGGAAAGATGCAACGTCCAAGTCGTCAATCGTAAGACCCCAAGTAGCAAGAGCGCCCCGAAGAGGAGCAATGGTGTTATCTTGCTTCCAGAAGTTGTTTCCAAGGCTTCGTAAGGCTTCCTTCTCCTGTCGTGCAGCTTCCTTCTCGATATGGACGGCTCGGGCTTGGGTGTATTCCTTCTCGTCAAATTTGTGACCTTGGGCTTGCATGGCAGCTGCTTCCTCGTAAAGATATTCCAATTCGGATTCTTTCCAGTTGCGAATCTGTCTCTTGCGAAGCTCGATCTGTCGCCGGCGGTACTTAAGATCCAATAGAGGGGACGGGAACTTGCTGGGAGCCTCCCGAGCTGTGGTCAACAAACCTTGTCCGGGAGCTGGCACGGAACGACCGATCTTGTCGCTTGCAGTGGTGGTAAGGGCAAGAACACCGTAAATTGGCACGCCCATATCAAGCGCTAACTTCGCTGTCATGATAACTTGGATACCACAACCCTGGGATTCCATGAACCCACCTCTTGTCGTGGTAGTCGGGCGCGACATTTCCTGAGGCGTACGCCCGTGGGCGAACTCGTCAAGACTGTTGCTTGTTGCTTTCATGTTGGCGAATTCGTAGGAACCCTCTTCACCGAAGTCATCAAAACCACCAACTAAGCAAATACGTGCTTTACCCTCCATGATGGCTTCGTAACCGATATCAACGGACTCCACAGCCGTAGCACAAGCTCCGACAGGGGTTTTGATAGGACCGGAGGAAGACAGCAGGAGCATGTTGACCCAGGCGGCCATGGTATTGATGAATGACTCCTGTAAGATATCCTTTTGGATGTCGTGGTCCATCTTCCGCTTGGTATACATCCCATTAAGAGCATTCATACCGCCTTGGCCAGAACCAATACAGTTGCCAACTTCAGACACATGCACGTACTTATAGAACTCGTACGGGTCCGTGATACCAGAAGCCAGGAGAGCTTCGGCAACGGAGATAAGCACATACAATGTGACACGGTCGACTTGAGAAATAATGTCATCGGGAACACCATATTTCTTAGCATCCCAGCCCGTAGGGATTTGGCCGGCAACGAGACGGTCAAACTTGAGGGCCTTCGGAATCCAAAGCGTAGCGCCCTTCCTTAAGCGAATGGTGTACTCGCCGGTTTCTGTAATCTCGAAAATTTCGCACTTATCACCATGCTGCCTCTTGAATTCCTCGGCTGTCTCCTTAGATCCCTCAAAAGGTTCTAGGTCCTCTTCTAATTGGATCTCGTGCAACATCATCTTCTTGTTGGGATCATACCCATCGAAGAGCTCCGGCTCAATGAGGCGGATACCAGAATGCTCAAGAATATATTTCTCGTACTTTTGTTTGATGTCCTTATCTTCGACTGGGTCATTGGTTTTGGCGTCAACCCAACCTGAGTAGGGCTGCCCTTTAATGGGACCGTTGAAGTTCTTGATGAGACCCATGATCCATGCCATCTCGACGCAACCTTCAAGAGAAAATTCGCCGTACGCCTCCATTTCCCAACGGGTTCGCGAGTTACCCCAGGGCCCAATTTCAGCAAAACCAGTGACAACGACGATCTTTTCCAAGTCCACCATGCCTTTTAGGCTATCGTTGAGAGGCTCGATTTCTTTCTCCCAGTTGGGAAGGGGTGGGAAGTCGAATTTGATGTTGGCACGCGGCTCAATAACTTTCTTCTTGTATAGTGCTTCCGAGTTTTCGCCATTTACGACCTTATTCTCAATAGCGGTCTCTTTGGTTACAGCTCGGCGAACCTCGCTAGTTTCCATGATGTCCTTACGCAGGCGAGTCATGGTGTCATTTAAGTTGGGAATGAATTGGAGACCACCGTTGAGATCCGCAAACACAGGCTCATTTTGGCAGAGGTCTACGATAGCAGGAGACATGAGTCCAAGAAGATTGAAAGCCATCTCCTGCTGGGAGAAAGTGCGGACGCCGAACTGTTCAACGCCTTCGGCTACAATGTTGTTGCCGGACATAAGGCCAGTACCACGAGTCCAACCAATGACGGCCCCGCAAATGGTGAGATAGTTGGCCCAGTCCTCAGAGTGCCAGCGGTTGAAGAGCGTTTCTAGACCGAGCTTTGATTCTGAGTAGAGGCCGTCATTGCCGAATGTGCCGTGGTTGGGAGACAGCGGAAGTACGACTTGGGCAGGCCGTGTTTCGAAGCCGCGCTCCGATTTCTGTGTCTTCACGCAGCCCAGGAGGCGGATCAGGTTCGTCAACATGATGCGATGAGCTAGCTCAGATTTCGAGTCAACACCGTCGATCTGGCGGCCATTCTCGGATATGGCAGCGAATGGAACAATGTAATCGAGGTCCCATCCTAACCCGGTCTTAGGGTCGTAAATGTAGTTGACAAGTGCTTCAACGTCTTGCTTGCTGCCCTGGTTGAACGGAACAACGACGAGCTGGGATCCACGTGCACCAAATCTAGCATACATAGCCTGGTAATACTCAGTTACCTGTCGCGAAAAACGACTGGTTGTTACGATGACTCTGGCACCTCCGCTGATCAAACCCTGCAGAACTTCGGCGCCGATCGAGCCAGCACCAGCACCAGTCATGAGAACATATTTATCCTGGTAAGTGACGCCGGCCTTAGCAGCCTCCTCCAAGCAGTCCAGATAAATGCCTGTTAGTCGTTTGCTGTATTCCCAACCGTGCAAGTTGTGGCGCTTAAGGTGTAGGAAAGGAATAGTTTCCATCTTGCCCTTTCCATTTTGACCATTGGGCTTCAACGTGGGTTTTTTGAGGGGACCATTGGCCTTTCCAGAATCCTTAGGTAAAATCTGGCTCTCATTCATGGCAAGCGAACGAAGAACATTCCCATAGAGGTTCTTGAATTCTAGCTTCGCGGTCTTGGACATCTTATGTTGCTCTTTAATGAGTTTGACAAGGCGCCCGAGATCGTTCTGCACCTTGGTCCGATTGCCGTACTCGGAGATCTTCCCGCCTTCCGCCATTTGCCGGACGTAATGCTCGAGTTTGCGGCAGCTCTGTCTAGGGATTTCTTCATAGTTGAGATTGCCACGAGCATCTATGGAGGTGTGCGGACCCGTCGGGATAGCTACATCCTTATAAGCTGGCGCGACATCTAGGACGTCTTTGCAATTTTCAATTAACTGCTGTCCAAGCTCCTTAGCCAGTTTATAAGTCTCTCCACGGTCCGTGGGGCAATTATCAATATGATACTGCATGAATTCGAGTAGCAAGGGATTTGATTTACTCATGATGCGAATGCATTGACTGACGATTTCTCTGTCGACAGCCTGCAACCGGCCAAAGATAACGTCGTAATACATGCTGAGAGCATCTTGTCGCGCCCAATTCCAAGAAGAATCGTAGGTACGTGCTTTCAAGGGACTAAATACGGGTTCGATACCTGCTGCATAAAAGTCGCCATGCTCAGCACTCCAAAGATCTAGCTGCGCCTGGAGCACTTGTTGCGACTCTTGTGATGTCTGTGCGGCTTTGTCGCCTGCTCGAAGATCCATTTTCAGGTACCTTGCCAGCAGCTCAAGCTGTTGCTTGAACAGGGCACGCTGATCCTTGGTCAGGGCATCGATAGCAGCGGGGTCCATCATCATGCCTCCTGACCCACCAGCGGCTGGACCGGCGGATGACGCTGTAGACAAGCTGACACCGGCGTTGGTAGCATATTTTTGTGCAACATCATCGAGGTAACCTTTCGCATCGTTCTCAGAACCGAGGCGAGATGCCGGCTCCATAGTAATAGCCAATACAAGAGCACCGTCCTGCCTCCCAGGGCCGAGACCCCATCTCGTTTCTAGATACTTGCGCGCCGATGTCATGTTGAAGCCACCCGGCATCTTCGAGGAAATTAGGCGGGCAATCAGCGATTGCGACTGCTTTCCGAGCTGGCCGTTGAATGTTGCCTGCATTAATCCTGATAACTCGTCGATAGGAGTATCTTCTGGCTTTTCCGGAGTTGACCCAAACTCCTTCCCTAGATCTCCTAGGATTTCGTTCTGGAGAGTGGATTTACCTATGCCTCGATTAGTTCTGGACCATAGAGTTTTCGGAATGAGCGTTCTAACCTCCGACTAAATCCTTGATCGCCTTGCTTAGAGGTACCTCTAAGAATGGCTTCTTTAACTTCTGCGCGATCAATGCCCTGACAATTTCGAGTGCAGACACCGGCACGTCGTCAACGGCTGCAGCGGGACCTGCGCTCGGCGCCGGAGCAGCCGCAACAGGTGTAGCGGCTGCTATAGGTGCTGACGCTGAACTTGAAGAGCCCTCCGCAGGAGCCGCAGTGGGTTCTGGTTCCTCCTCAATCGGATCCACATCATAGTAAATCTCTTTTGCATCTTTATTGTAGCACAAGATCTGACGTTGAATGGATTTAGCGGCATCGAAAGCTTCATATTTAGATGCGATCGTTCTCTTCGCCATTACACCTAGAGTATCCGCCGGGCCGACTTCAACGATACGCTCAGCCGTCTTCTCACCAAGGAAGACATCTTGTGTTTCGATCCATCTCACGGGAGAGGCAAATTGGTAGGCAAGAAGCTCAACGAGCAACGTGTGAGCAAGCTCCTGCTCAACCTCGGGACGCATGTCGGCGGGATAATCGAGATAGGTACGTAAAGGGGGTTAGAAGGGTATAAACAGGAATAGAGTGTCGACAACTCTAGAGGGCACCTCCACTTGTTTGATATTACGTCGACTGAGAGGCGAGACACACAATGAGGGGATTGTCTCGTTCGTGTTCGATTACTCCTCTTTTCGTTGTAATTTCTAATCCCTAGACTACGTAATAGAAGCCAAAGATAGTATAGCACAAGCAGGCTTGAAGGAATAAGAAAGGAGCGAATAGCAAGGACGACGGGAAGGAGGTGGTCGGTGGAAACAGTGAAGCACAGGATGAGAAATGGGGGAGGAATTACTGATCGGAGCAATTCACATGAATAGATTAGTAGTTGTGTAAGTATGAAAATTATGAAGCGTCGCCGTTGTAGGCTGGCGATCACTTTGACGAAAGTTGTTTTTGCCCGGGCCTGAGAAAAACAAGCATGGGAGGTACTAAATTACAAAGACTAAACGCGGATAGGTAGGCACGTGTACAGAGGTACCTAGGTAACTGTCGTACAGGTAGGAGCAAAGGCGGGAATGAAACGAGCTTTCCCAAATGTTGAACTGCATTAATGGAAAATTTTGGCGGGATCCTAGAGGGTCGTCGTTCCCCAATGCCGGGCCAATGGCTAGACTACAAGTACCTACCTAGACTACTAGTCGCCAGCAGCCTAGAGCATTCCCCATGCTGCAGCAATCATGCATCGAGCCTGTCGTGCCACCGCAGCTGCTGGTGCGATACTTTAGGCGCGTTTGGAGAGCAAGAGCGCTCTGGCAGGCATTAAATTTTCTCTCTCGTGATTTGTTCCGAAAAACATTCCTTCTCCACTATCCCTCAACCACCCCCTAGGCGCTATGCCTATCAAGGTCTAGTCATCCTGGAGACCCTTTTCTCCACAAGGACCTAGCCTTTGGTAGCCCACAAAAGTTGGGTTGAAAAGTATTGAGTAGATGGACATTTTCTTTTCCTCCCTCGTTAACAATATCTATCGTCTCATTCCTCTGTTTTTCTGATCTCGCCACCCGAGATCGTTCGGACGAAAGAACCAAGCTTTCTTTTACTATTAACTTCCCGAGTACAGGTCGTGTTCAGCTTCGAAGGCTAAAGACGTGTCTGAAGACCTTATCCACGATTTTTATCTGCAAGGTAGTCGATAGTCGATCGTCATCCGGCTCTAGTCTCATGCAGACTCTCACAGCCAGGACGAGTAGTATTGCAGGGGATCCTCTTCCGTAATACCAGGCACCACGCGAAGCCGCGTCTGACTGGCCTTGGCTGTCGTTTGCCTGCCGTGCCATTTCAGTGGGCCACCTGGTACGGGCCAGGGGTTGGTCCTTGACAGGAGTATAGATACTTCCTTATCCATTATCAATGCCATCCTTCACATCAAGATCATTTTAAGGTTGATTTTCAATCCCACCCTTTCGTGTGTTCCTCCAAAGAGATGCAAGAAACGAGTAGCAAATGCGACCAACCAAATTGCGCATAGTTTCGTATTTCACATCCTGAAATCCTAAGACACCGCATGTTTGTGTGAGATCGTGGGTTACCATTGGTCGTCTTATTATCTTGATAATCCAGAAGAAGCACATACACTGATACAGCAACCCAGGCGCCCAGGCGCCATAGCGTTGCGTCATCTCACCCTCTCCGCAATTCAAACTGCAGCCAGCATCTGAATGACACGCATCGAGGATGACCTCGGTTCACAGACGCACGGATCTAATGATTAGAAAATAGATCGCTACGTATCTTTAGTATCTACAGACAGCCAGAGAGTCTAAAGCTTTAATAACACCCATGGCAGCTATAAGTAACCCATCAGATTAAAAAGGGAATCCGTTGAGCCGAAGAAGATCCCGTTGACTTAGTTTATTCATTTTGATAATCCTTCGTAGGTCTACACAGGAGTTTGTTCTCCTCGCTTTCCTACTTCGTCACCGCTCACTTGAGTTGCCAGACCGACCAATCGTCACATATCTACTATGTAGGTATGTATTGGAGCCAGTCAAACAGTAAAGTCCCCACGCCCCTACTGACTCGAGGGCCCAATAAAAACGATGCTAAATTATGCTTTCGTCCGATATGGCCGTGACAATGTTCTTGATGTCTGTAGAACGAAACTAAGTTATAATGTGACGGCTAGATATAGAATTTTGGTGAGGGCTGAACATGGACATGATACAAAATTGTCTATGACATCTCTTTGTCAGATCAAGTTCCAAGGTTGTCTTAAAGATACTAATATTTGAAGGTTTAATGTAGTTGAAATAAGTATAGATACTTCGAAGTTGTGGTGACAATGATAGTGGATCAGGGCTGCAGGTGCACCCATGGATGCTAGGCTGGCTAGTTGCTAGGGACTAAAAAGGTGTGGCACCTAAACATATGGATCCCCAACAAGAACTTAAATTTTTTTTCTGTCGAGGGAGCTGTCCCTGCAACGGAAACGTTAAACTCATTTGCGTACGCTCTAGACGTTTTATCGGGTAAATTTACTTGCTAGGTACGTTGAGGCCCATTGGACAAGGGACCTTCCGCCGCACTGCAGGTGTTTAGTACCACAACCATCTGGCTTCCCGATTTCCGACTTGATAGGAAGTTCCTACCTGATGTATCTATCACGATCCTTTTCTTTCACATCGAAGTTGCTAAATCACATATTTCCCAACTTTAATCCAGTTTCCTCCGTAACACTCTTGTTAACTTCCTCATCGTGACAGACAAGTAGTCTTCGCCTAGTCAATCCCTCACCAGCGAAGTTCTTGTTTGCCTATTAACGATCATTGGCGCAGTAGAGTTCTTCCAATTGTTTACTTTTTTTGTCCCCTCAAATTCCCAAGAGCGCCGCATCTCCTGCTCTTTACTGAGTTTACGGAGGTAATCTTAATAGTAAGAGATATACTCTTTGTAACGTAGACACCATCTATTCTAGATGCTAACATAGACTTAAAAGCACCGATTTAGACATCTGCCTCGCCAGCAACTTCACGATACCCCTAATCATGTACGGAACTGGTTCGGGCACTGGCCCACAAACGGGCGTTTCTACTCCCAGATCGTCCTCCTCCCTTCGACCCCTCACCCTTGCCCACGGATCTCTTGAAGCTTCGTTTCTCGTGCCTACCAACCTCCATTTCCATGCGTCACAGCTCAAGGACCGGTTCACAGCCGGCCTTCCCGCGCCAACGGACGAATTGGCCTTAGACGATGAACCTTCGTCTGTAGCTGAGCTTGTCGCAAGATACATGGGATTTGTTGCGCATGAAGTTGAAGAAGGGGAAGACGATGCTCAGGGTTCGTACGAAGAAGTCTTAAGGCTCGTTCTTAATGAGTTCGAGCGCATGTTCCTTCGAGGGAATGACGTCCATACGCTGGCAAAGAACCTGCCAGGTATTCTCGCCAAGCAGATTACCGTAGTGCGGTGCTACTACGTAGCCCGTTCAGTAGCAAATCGAGCAATCAGACCGCATGAATCGGCACTCTTGAGAGCTGCCGACGAAGGAACCGCCGGCATCTACAGCATCTTTGGTGGGCAGGGAAATATTATCGAGTACTTCGATGAACTACGTGAGGTATACGAGACATATCCCTCATTCGTGGGCGAACTAGTTGCCACGTCCGCCGACCTTCTGCACAACCTTGCTCTTGACCCTAGAACAGACAAGTTGTACGCAAAAGGACTTGACGTGATGGAATGGCTTCGCTCCCCAGACACGACTCCTGATCCCCAATACCTGATATCCGCCCCCGTGAGCTTGCCATTGATCGGATTGGTACAACTATGTCATTACCAGGTCCTCGGAAAAGGCCTGGGTGTACACCCTGGAATACTACGAGATCGTATTCGTGGCGCAACTGGTCACTCTCAGGGTGTCATTGTCGCCGCTGCTACTGCTGCCGCAGATTCATGGGAGTCGTATGAAAAGTTAGCTAAGGACGCCTTGACAATACTATTCTGGATCGGCGCCCGTAGTCAACAGGTGTTCCCTAGAACCTCGTTAACTCCTGCTATGCTCCAAGATTCTATTGATAATGGTGAAGGAGATCCGACGCCTATGTTGAGCATTCGGGACCTCCCCCAGAGCGAGGTGCAGAAGCACATTGACGCCACAAACCAGTACCTCCCAGAGGATCGACACATCGCCATATCTCTTATCAATAGCCCCAGAAATATGGTCGTTACTGGCCCGCCGATTTCTTTGTATGGGTTGAATCTTCAGTTACGCAAAGTGAAGGCGCCCACAGGCCTTGATCAGACTCGAATCCCTCACACGCAGCGCAAAGTTCGGTTTGTTAACCGTTTCTTGCCCATCACTGCACCCTTCCACAGCAAGTATCTTTCTGATGCTACAAAGCTGATTGATGAGGACCTTAAAGATGTCACCATCGATTCATCCTCGCTCGGAATCGCCGTCTACAATACATGCACTGGTGCTGATCTAAGAGACGAAGTCGAGGGTGATATTGTGCCTTCTTTGATCCGCATGATCACGCGAGACCCCGTAAACTGGGAGAAGGCAACGGTCTTCCCGGAGGCAACGCACGTGTTAGATTTCGGGCCTGGTGGTATTTCTGGTCTTGGTATATTGACAAGCCGTAACAAGGAAGGTACAGGAGTACGTGTCATCCTCGCTGGTACTATCGACGGTGCTGCACAAGAGGTGGGTTACAAGTCCGAACTCTTCGACCGCGATGAGGAGCATGCCGTGGTATATGCCAATGACTGGGTGAAAGAGTACGGTCCTCGGCTAGTCAAAACATCGAGTGGCCACACTTACGTGGATACAAAAATGAGCCGATTACTCGGTGTCCCTCCGATTATGGTTGCTGGTATGACGCCTGCTACAGTTCCGTGGGATTTCGTTGCGGCGACAATGAATGCCGGATACCATATTGAATTAGCCGGTGGAGGCTATTATAATGGTAAGACGATGACTGAAGCCCTGTCCAAAATCGAAAAAGCCATCCCAGCTGGACGAGGAGTCACAATCAACTTGATCTACGTCAATCCCCGAGCTATGGGCTGGCAAATCCCCCTCATTGGCCGACTCAGAGCTGAAGGCGTCCCCATTGAGGGCTTGACCATCGGTGCGGGTGTGCCGTCTATCGAAGTTGCTCAAGAGTACATAGAGACCCTTGGATTAAAGCACATCGCTTTTAAGCCAGGCTCTATGGAGGCGATTCAAGCAGTGATCAATATTGCCAGAGCAAACCCAACCTTCCCTGTCATCTTGCAGTGGACTGGTGGACGTGGAGGTGGCCACCATTCGTATGAGGATTTCCATCAACCAATTCTGCAGATGTATGCCCGTATTCGGCGTTCAGATAACATTATCCTTGTTGCCGGCAGTGGTTTCGGCGGTGCTGAGGATACGTATCCCTACCTTACTGGTGAATGGTCTAAGAAGTATGGCTACCCGTCTATGCCTTTCGACGGCTGCCTCTTTGGTAGCCGTATGATGGTTGCAAAGGAAGCCCATACGAGCAAGGCCGCCAAACAAGCCATAATAGACGCCCCAGGTCTCGACGACGATGAATGGGAGCAGACGTACAAGGGCGCAGCCGGCGGTGTCATTACCGTTCGATCAGAGATGGGTGAGCCTATCCACAAGCTCGCTACCCGTGGTGTTAGGTTTTGGGCTGAGATGGACAACAAAATTTTCAGCTTGCCAAAGGAAAAGCGTGTTGCTGAGCTTAAAAAACATCGTGATTATATTATCAAGAAGTTGAATGATGACTTCCAGAAAGTTTGGTTTGGACGGAACAAGGCTGGCCAGACTGTTGATCTTGAGGATATGACTTACGGTGAGGTCGTGCGCCGAATGGTGGACCTCCTCTATGTCAAGCACGAGTCACGATGGATTGACCCATCCTTCGCTAAGCTCACAGGCGACTTCATTCATCGTGTCGAGGAACGATTTACTCAGAACGCTGGCCACCCATCATACCTACAGAATTACTCCGAACTGAACGAGCCGTTTTCTGCTGTTGAGAAAATACTCGCCTACTATCCTGAAGCTGAATCCCAGATCATAAATGCTCAAGATGTGCAGCACTTCTTACTTCTGTGCTCGCGCCGTGGCCAGAAGCCCGTGACTTTTGTCCCATCTCTCGACGAAAATTTCGAGTTTTTCTTCAAGAAGGATTCGCTCTGGCAATCTGAGGATCTTGAGGCCGTCATCGATCAAGACGTTGGACGTACTTGTATTCTGCAGGGTCCCACTGCAGTCAGGTATTCGACCGTGCTAGACGAGCCCATTAAGGACATCCTAGACAACATTCACAACGCTCACATCGCCAATTTAACCAGAGACGTATATGCAAACAAACCAGAGTCTATCCCTACCATTGAGTATTTCGGCGGCAAGCTCATTGACACTGAGATGCCCCTAGACATTGAAGGCCTTACAGTAGCTTACGATCAACACAAAAACACGTATCGCCTATCATCATCCCCCGGTGCTGCTCTTCCTCCCCTTGATAGTTGGCTTTCCCTTCTAGCAGGTCCGAATCGCAACTGGCGCCATGCCTTGTTTACCTCAGAGGTCCTGGTACAAGGCCATAAATATCAGACAAATCCCATGAAGCGGATATTCGCGCCAGTCCGTGGTCTTTTCGTCGAGATTCTATATCCCAACGACCCGGCCAAAACATCAATCATCGTACGCGAACAACCGCGGCATAACCATTATATCGATGTCATTGAAATCAAGTTGAACGGCAAACGCGAGATTACGGTTAATATGATTAAAGACACCAGTGCTCTTGGCCGACCGGTGTCGTTACCCCTCAGGTTCACATACCAGCCTGAAGCGGGATATGCGCCAATCCATGAGGTCATGGAAGGGCGAAATGACCGTATCAAAGAATTCTACTGGCGTGCATGGTTCGGAGACGAAACATTTGATCTTGACACTCCCGTTACCAGCAAGTTTGACGGAGGACGGACCATCATCACCAAGGAAGACATCAAGGACTTCGTGCACGCTGTTGGCAATACCGGCGAAGCTTTTGTTGACCGTCCTGGCAAGGAAGTGTTTGCTCCCATGGACTTTGCAATTGTTGTCGGATGGAAGGCCATCACAAAGCCTATCTTCCCTCGAAAGATCGATGGTGACCTTCTCAAACTTGTACATCTTTCCAACGGCTTCCGAATGATGCCCGGCGCGGACCCTCTGAAGAAGGATGATGAAGTAAAGACAACTGCTCAGATCAACGCCGTGATTAATCAGGAGTCTGGCAAGATGGTTGAGGTCTGCGGTACAATCTACAGGGATGGCAAGGCTGTGATGGAAGTTACATCACAATTCTTGTATCGTGGTGTTTACACCGATTACGAGAACACTTTCCAACGCAAGATGGAAACGCCGATGCAAGTTCATCTCGGCACCTCGAAAGATGTTGCGGTCCTGAAGTCAAAAGACTGGATTCAGTTCGACAATAACGATATCGAACTCCTTGGTCAGACGCTGACGTTCCGCCTCCAGAGCTTCTACAAATTCAAGAACAAGACGGTTTATAGCAGTGTTGAGACCAGCGGTCAAGTTTTACTCGAGCTCCCTACTAAGGAGATTATCCAAGTTGCGAGTGTCGACTACGAAGCTGGTGCGTCTCATGGCAACCCGATTGTAGACTACCTCGAACGCCACGGCTCTTCCATTGAGCAGCCGATCAACTTTGAAAACCCCATCCCTCTTAGTGGCAAGTCACCCTTGCAGCTGAAAGCACCTGCTTCCAACGAGACGTATGCGAAGGTGTCCGGTGACTATAACCCTATTCACGTGTCTCGTGTTTTCTCTAGCTATGCCAATCTACCCGGCACTATCACACATGGGATGTACTCGAGTGCAGCCGTGCGAAGTCTAGTAGAGACTTGGGCAGCAGAAAATAACGTAGGCCGCGTTCGCAGCTTCCACGCTTCCCTTGTCGGTATGGTGCTGCCGAATGATGATATTCAAGTCAAGCTTCAGCACGTTGGGATGATTGGTGGTCGCAAGATTATCAAAGTTGAAGCAAGCAACGAAATAACCGAAGAAAAGGTACTGCTTGGAGAAGCTGAGGTCGAACAGCCCGTCACAGCATATGTCTTTACCGGACAAGGATCTCAGGAGCAAGGTATGGGTATGGATTTGTACAACACCAGTCCTGTTGCCAAGGAGGTCTGGGATAGGGCCGACAAGTATCTCCTGGACACATACGGTAAGTTAATTATTCTATGTAAGGCAACATTCGCTAACTATTCCAGGCTTCTCGATCTTGAACATCGTAAAGAACAACCCGAAGGAGCTAACTATTCACTTTGGTGGTCCCCGAGGCAAGGCAATCCGCGAAAACTACATGCAAATGAACTTCGAAACTATCGCTGCAGATGGCTCTGTCAAATCCGAGCGCATTTTCAAGGAGATCAATGAAAAGACAACATCCTACACGTACCGCTCTCCAACCGGCCTTCTATCAGCAACCCAGTTCACACAACCTGCTCTTACTCTTATGGAGAAAGCCAGTTTTGAAGACATGAACGCCAAGGGTCTCGTTCCGCGAGACAGCACATTTGCCGGCCATTCTCTAGGCGAATATTCTGCTCTTGCTGCGTTAGCAGACGTGCTACCTATTGAGTCGTTGGTCTCTGTAGTCTTCTACCGTGGATTGACTATGCAAGTTGCCGTGGAGCGAGATGCTCAAGGTCGTTCCAACTACTCCATGTGTGCCGTCAATCCTAGCCGGATCTCGAAGACGTTTAGTGAAAGCGCCCTCCGATATGTGGTCAGTAATATTGCTGAGGAGACTGGTTGGCTCTTGGAAATTGTCAACTACAACATTGCCAACATGCAGTATGTCTGTGCTGGTGACCTGCGCGCCCTGGACACCCTCACTGGTGTCTTGAACTTCTTAAAGTCGCAGAAGGTGGACATCAACCAACTTCGCCAGGACCTGAGTATTGAAGAGGTGAAGGCGCACCTTGTCGACATTATCAAGGGCTCTGCTCAGCAGACTCTAGCCAAGCCTCAGCCAATAGAGTTAGAGAGAGGATTTGCTACCATCCCTCTCAAGGGTATCGACGTGCCATTCCACTCGACATTCTTGCGGTCGGGTGTTAAGCCTTTCAGAAATATCCTGCTCAAGAAGATCAACAAGACTTCTATCGATCCCGCCAAATTAGTTGGAAAGTATATTCCTAACGTAACGGCGCGCCCGTTCGAGCTCACGAAAGAATATTTCCAAAATGTGTACGACCTGACAGGGTCGCCAAAGATCGCGCAGATATTGCAGGACTGGGATAGTTATCAAGACGAAGTAAATGGTGTCAATGGCGTGAGCGCACCTGTGGAAGTGAATGGCCACTAAGGGCTTCGTACCTGTGTGGTAAATGTGGATGCGCCCTGGAGCTATTCCGGGAAAGCGCGATGAGGTTGGTGGGATAGCATTATGCGGGTTATGTTTTATACTCGCTGTATTCTCTAGTTGTGTGCTATTACGTCGATAATGTCCGGATGGAAACTGGTGTTGGTTTAATGTCCTCATAGATACACTTGGAAGTTTAGATAGATTCTTCCAACCCAATGAACATTCAATGCTTGTATTTCATTGCTTTGTGTCGTGATTACTCGATCATTTTCCTTGAAAATAAGTACTAATTAAGTTGATGATTAAAAAAAACAAACCACCCCTATTCCTATATAAAGAGTTAATTGCTAGAGCATGTACGATCTGAGCTAAATCATCAATGATAGTCCATACACCTAATGATTGATTCTATAGGTAATGAAAAGACTTGTCTAATAGAAGAGTATGAATAGCCCGGTCATTTTAAACGGTTTGGGAATATGTAGATTTTCATCAATATACTTCAGTAGTGAGCTCTCGCATACCCACGCAACCACAACTATTTCGAGTGTTTGTACATTCTATGCTTCATACCTATGCACCTAGCTATGTCATTCTTCCGACCCTATGATCTCTACCATATCCAAGATTCAATATAAACCACTCATGATTTACATGCAGGTACTATCCCGTTTCATCTTCATGCAATATTCTACCCCACGGCATTCTCCAAGCCGGAGTCTTTAACGTCATATCACTCAAATTCGGCTCAAGTCCTCACGGTGTAGATACCTCGACACCTAAACTTGCCTATACCTAACGAAGTCACGCCTAAGCCCCACCTCGCCAACCATCACAGCTCACCATCGTCCACAATCTTCAGCTCGACGAGCTTCTTGTAGATCAGGTCGGCGACGGCCTTCATGCCCTCGGCGCGGGGGTGGTACGCGCCGCCGGAGTAGAACAGCTTCCACGAGAAGCCGGAGACCCAGGGCTCGGGGGCGCCGATGGCGTGGTCCTCGCTCGGCGCGCCCACGGATACGACGTGGCACCAGTCGCCGCGGCCCTCGACCGCCTTCGCCGTGGCTTCTAGAAGCCGCGCGCCGACCGCCCGGTGGTGCGCGACGCGGTCCTCGCCAAACGGCACGTCCTTGCCGGCCCGCACGTGCGAGCCCAGCAGCGTCAGGTACTCGACGACGAGGACCTGGGCCCGGGGCGCCTTGGCGTGGATCGCGTCGAGCACGCCGGCGTACCTATCCGCGAGCCCGTCGACGTCGAGGTCCGCAGTCGACACGGGGGCGCCGCCGGTGCCGCGGATCTTCAGGGCGACGGCGCCGAGCCAGGACGCGTTGAGCGTGTCCTCGAAGATGCCGCCGACGTAGCCGATGTCGTTGCCGCCGCCGAGCACGAACACGAGGTCCGCGTCCGCGGGCAGGCCCTCGATCTGCGGGGGGAAAACGCGGCTGCCCCGCTCCTGCGGCTCCGTCGTCAGGTTCGGCAGCACGGCGCCCGAGACGGTGAGGTCGGTCAGCGAGGACCCCGGCACGCGCTGCTGGATCAGGCACGCGAAGTTGGCGCCCGAGCGGCCCGCGTCCTCGTCCACGCACGGCGGGATGCTGGGCCCGGCCGCGAAGGAGGAGCCCAGGCTGGCTATGCGGAGGGGCATGCTGGTCCGGCGGGAGGGGGAGGAGCTAATGGGTTTTGGGGGGGAGGGGGGCGGCTGGGGTTGGCCGCCGAGGAATTCTGGTGCGGGAGATTAGAGACGATAGGCAATTGCGCACGAAATTAAGTAAGTATCTAATCCGAACTAGTTGGGATGTGTTGTTGTGTTTCGGGATTTAGGTTCCGTTGGTGATTGCGTAGGTGAGACAAGTTGACAAAAGGCAACAAACGGACTTGCGATGACGAGTTATATTTTGGGGTTGGGGTTCGGGTGATTTTTGGGGTAGTGTAAGACAGCGTCGATGCTAGATCTGGGGAGTTTCTTTTCTGCCCCTCCCCCCTTTTTTCTAATAATATGCCTGGTCTAGGCGTTTATTTTGCCGGGACCCCTCGGTTTGCAGAGTTCGGTAGTATGGTATTTCGTAATATGGGCCAATGAGGAGATGTGAGCATTGTCGCGAGTCACACCGCCTATAGCATTTGTTGCGAATATGTGAAATTGTGTATGACAGCTTCTCGAAACTCATAACTAGGTAAAAGTTGAGAGAAGAGTGGTAAAATAGTATTTACGAATGGAAATACGCACATGTCTCAGTGCTCACATCTAGTTCAACCAAATAGGCAATGCTCGATTTCGAGGCTTAGGAAGGTACATTAGGTATTCATGGATTATTTAATACAGCTAAGTTGACTAATACTTCATGAAGGTTTAATAAAGGATATTCGGAAAACATAACCATATTCTGAAACATTGGAGCTGACACAACGTCATTATTGCAAGGGAATATTCAACATATATCTTTATATCTTCATATCATCAAGGGGTGACAAGGAATAAGAGAAGGGGAAAAGAGAAAGGCATAAGCAGTGAACTGCGATAACCGGCTTCATCGATGAGTAAGCGTTGCTGAGTATGTTTGATGCATGACTCGAGGTCTCGAATATACTCCTCTTTTTGAAACGAGGGACTCCAGATTTAAAGCAAACAAGACAATATAGTAAATGAATAAAGCATAATGTAAATCATGCCAAATATATGTTCCGTGGTGTTTGCTAGGTCTCTTGGTTCGTCCCCGAAAATGAGAACTCAATGGTTGTGTAATGACTAAAGAGACCGATAACTCAAAGTCTTAGTGGGGGTTAGGAAAGCGGATTACTGTATGTAGCTGGCACCAATGGGAAAGCTAGCTCGGGTGCCGGCGTCAACCGGCTTTTATCGGACGTCACCACAAATGCTGTACGCCGGTGGACACTTCCGTCACAAATGCCCATACACGTTGTCAGAACGGGCCACCACGTCGGGTCCTGGGTAAGGTTCGGCAAGGCTTTAGTAGATGCAGGAACGCCCTTAGGTGCTGCCATATTCGTCTAATCTAGAATATTGCCTTATCTAGCTGGGGCCGTCTAAAACGTCGCTTAGTCTCCTTAGTCTTCCCTTACTCCCGCTGAGTCCATAAGATCCAGAATCTCCCCTTTCATTCTTTTTTTCCTCGTCCTTGAAATAGTTTTCTTAATCTGGATTCTTGAATTTCTGTTACATGTTACGTCATTCCAACGCATATAACCTGAATTTGGACATTCGTTCGCTCATGTTGAGATTTGTCACTTATGAGTAAAAGGTCACCGCGTGGCCGGGTCAAGAAATAGGTTGGATCCGGTGTGATTGAGGAAGGATAACGTGAATTCGGATTGGGTAGTTTCCGTCTCACAGGACCTGTGACATCCCACCACATTACCTACTCCTGACCACAGCGCGCAACCGGCATCATAGCAGGTGGTCTGCTTGCAAGCGTTTTGGTAAGAGGTCCAGATTTCGGATCTCGGATCTATATTGGATATATATCAGGGTCTAAAGAGGTACTCTAGGGACGTCGTACAGACGTGGGCAGTCAAGTCAGAGAGAAAGTGGTCATGGCCCCCTTAAGCAATGAGAAGAACCATTTGTTCCTAGGCTTGTTCATACATAGCATCAAGCTCGGAGAACTCCAATATCTTCACGATGCTGCAGTCTGTGTCGACAAGTCCGGCAAGATCGTTGCTGTTGAGCCGCAATACGATCAGAAGAAGGCCGAAGAGATACTATACCCCAAGCTTGGTTGGGAAGCTAGTGATGTCGACGTCACGAAAGCAAAGGATGGCCAATTCTTCTTTCCTGGCTTCATTGGTACGTTTACATGAGTCCCCCTTTTCTCTTTGTAATGCAAGTCTGCTCCTTACTCCTTTGCTTACCAGAGACAACAGATACGCACATCCACGCGCCGCAGTATCCCAACGCGGGAATATTTGGCAAGTCGACGTTACTAGACTGGTTGAATACCTACACATTTCCAATGGAAGCGTCTCTCTCTTCGCTCCCAAAGGCCCGTAGGGTTTACACGCGGTGCATTCGTCAGACGCTGGCTCACGGCACTACGACCGCTGTCTACTACGCCACGATCCACGTGCCGTCCACGAACCTCCTCGCAGATCTATGTCTCTCAATGGGTCAGCGAGCCTTTGTCGGCCGCGTGTGTATGGACCATATTGGCCCGTCCTACTACCTCGACGAATCGCCCGCGCAGTCGCTCGCCGCGACGCGCGAGACGATCGACCATATTCGGGGCATCGACGCCTCCTTCGAACTCGTGTCCCCGATCCTGACGCCCCGCTTCGCGCCCGCTTGCACGCGGGAGGCGATGAAGGCACTCGGACAATTGCACCGCGAGACGGGGATCCCGATCCAGACGCACATCTCGGAGAACGCGGACGAGATCCAGATGGTGCGGGACATGTTCCCCGAAGCCGCGAACTACGCCGCCGTGTACGATGCCCACGGCCTGCTGGGCGCGCGCACGATCCTCGCCCACGCCGTCCACTTCTCAGGCGAGGAGGCGGACCTCGTCGCGCGCCGCGGGTCCAAGGTCTCGCACTGCCCGACCAGCAACTCGGCGCTGACGAGCGGCGAGGCCCGCGTCCGCTGGCTGCTCGAGAAGGGCATCGCCGTCGGCCTCGGCACCGACGTGAGCGGCGGGTACAGCCCGAGCATGCTCCTGGCCGCGCGCCACGCTGCCCTCGTCTCGAACCACCTCGCCATGCCCATGGGAAAATGGGCCCACGTCCCGGCTGCCGAGCGCGAGCGCGCGAGGCTCAGCGTCGAGGAGGTGCTGCACCTGGCTACGCGGGGCGGCGCCGAGGTCGTCGGGTTGAGCGGGAAGATCGGCGGGTTCGAGGTCGGCATGGAGTGGGACGCGCAACTTATCGGGCTGGGCCTCGTCGACGAGATGCCTGCCGAAGACGACATGGCGGATCGCGGAAACGTGGATATCTTCGGCTGGGAGCGGGTGGAGGATCGCGTTGCTAAGTGGGTGTATAATGGCGATGATAGGAATGTGAAGAAAGTCTGGGTTAGAGGTCGACTTGTGCATGAGCGCGCGTAGATGTGTAGATGAATGGTCAAATGCGATGTTGTAGATAACCGACCTACATAGATATTAGACCGGAGATTTGGACGTATGGTCTGTTTATGATGTACAGCGCATGGTAGATAGAAAAGGTGTATATATCCTTTACCCCCTTACCCCTGACACCTGTTGCGAGTCAGTTGGTTCGGTTTAGATGCGGCATACATATGGTACTGGCAAGAGATCGAAGAATTCGCCTAACCGGCGACTGTTCTTAAATGACTTATATTATCCCGTCTAGAGCGCGTATCGGGTATCACTCAAGCTATTCACATCTGTATCCGCGGACTTCTTAATCCTTTTACGCCGCTGCCGAGTCTCGGCCCGTTGCCGTAGCCGTGTATACCATGCCATCTCCACCCCGTCCAAAGCAAATACGTAAGCCCCTTAGTTTATACACATCTAGGTGCATTGTATGTGAATTCGAAGTCGTATGTAGTTCATTATCACCACTAATCCCGCTCCAAGCTCCTAGAACCCCGAAATGGTCTCGGTAACCCCGAATTATCAAACAAAAGCGTAATTCACTGTCCTCGTATAGGCACAATAATAGGATCAGTGTGCGGAGTTGCTCGCCCTCAATAGATCATACAATGCCTGATCATCTGCACCAGCGCTATAGCCGTGTCCCGAATAGTTGGCAGGGTTAGTTCTATGGCTGTTGTATGTAGCCTGGCTTGAGCCGGCGGCACCACCATAACCACTGCTCCGGTTACTACTGTAACTGTGCTGATTTGCACCACTATTGCCATTGTTAGGGGTTATGCCGTACCAACTCTGCTGGGTTTGTTGGTTCGTATTGGGTTGTTGTGTCGAATAAGATCCATAGGACTGAGGCTGGGGCTGCGGTTGACTATATGGGACATTCTGGCGGGAGGTTTGTCTATCGACAGACCTTGTCCCGTAATTGTGGGATGTAGATGCGGTAGTCGGCGCCATGGCATAGGTAGTATTTGTGTGTGACTGGGTGTGCGGTTGACTACCTCGAGTTTGCGAAGTTGTCCATTGATTGGTTGTGGGGCTGCTGGTGCTGCTATATCCAGCGGATGAATCCAGTGCACGAGAAAGAGGATTAGTCGATCCAGTGCTTCGAGAATAATCATATGCAGGCGCCGACGGGTATGATGTCGACGTGGTAGTTGTATTAGGGTGGTATGAGCCAGGCGTATAAGCAATGCGAGACGAGCCCTCATCGTTGCTTGCATTGTTGTACTGGGCATTAGTTGAGCTATTATAACGTCCATAAGAGTCATAATTCGGTATCGAATTTGACGATGCTGTGGTATAGGCTGTGTTCATGGTGGCCTGGGGAGCCTGAGGAGGAGGGCGGGACGTGGATGTGACAGGTGTATTTGTTCGCGATCTTTGGCCTTGTTGGGGCTTTGCTTGAGTTACAGCTTGGGCCTCAGTTTGGTATGGTGAACCCCTCATTGGTGATGGCTGGTTCGGCTTTTGCACCGCAGCCTGCGGTAACGCTGTTACCTGTATGTTATTATCGTAGGCTTGTTGGTTTGCTTCTACATTGGAATTGCGCTGTCTTGACCGCCTGGATGCTTGTTGCTTGGTCAGCTTTGGTGATGAGGAGGTGGCTTGTTCCGGCGTGAGTGAGGCATTCCAACCAGGTGTGTGCTGCGGAATGGTCGGTACTGGGACCGGTGTTTGTTTATTCTGACTTGACGGAAGGCTACGGCGACTGGCAGCTGGCTTATCTTGCCTCTTCTGTTTAGTCGCTTGAGCTAATTGTGAATGAGTCGGCGCTGGTGAATGGTCGTTCTGGTGAGAGGCGGATGAGAATGTCAAATTGGGAGAGGACTCGAATTGAGTCCCGCGAGTCTGAGATTCCGGGAATGTCAATGTAGACATTGTCATATGTCCAGATGGAGGTTGATGATCTTGTGGGAATGTGAGTCCAGAACTAGAACCAGGGTAGTAATAGTTTGTAGTAGGTTGTACTGGAGGTGGTTGTGCAGCTGGTTGGTGCTCAATAGGGGCCGATAAGATGTCTGGGTCTGGTATAAACTCTTCATTGTCGGGATCAGGGAGTGGTGACACAACTTCATGCACGGAGTGCTGCGCTGAGTGTCCTGAGTATTGTGAATGCTGTTCTTGGTCCTGTTCTAGGTGCTGTTCTGAATGCGGGTCTGGGGCTGGAGCTGTTGATATTGACATTACGGCTTGCCCGTCATCAGGTTCTTGGAATTGCTCATCTTCCCCGGGCATATCGGAATCTTCGTTGTCGACCACCTCGCCAGACTTCCCCGACCTTCTTCGGCGTGGTTTAGGAGGTAAGTAAACACATTCCACGCCGGATTTAAGGCAGACAGAACAACTAGGATGTTCTTTCGAACACTAAACGCTGTTAGTATCGAGATAGCATTTAATAAACAGGACATATAAAGTCACCTTTCTTTTCCGACTTTTACAAGTCTGACAATTGCCACGCGTCTTCCTCAGAGTTAGCTTTAAAGTAGAAGCTGTCGTCCCGACTGCACCATTTTGTTCGACCGAGACCACTGCGCCAACTGCAGCTGCTGCTACATCCGACTTTTTCTTCCGATTACGCCTCTTAGTAGGCGTCTCAGTTGTTGTAGGAGTAGATTGTGACCCCGACCTAGTTGCGGGATTTACAGTAGAGGACTGTTCTCCAGCCGGCGTGGAAGCAGAGGGTGTGTGTTGATCCACATCAGTCGGGTGAACAATCTTCAACTTCTCTGCACCATGCACCGCCAGCATCTTCAATGAATCTGCCTGCAACTCAGGTGACTGATTTGAGAATATTTCGAACTGTTCCGGAGAAAGTGTCTCTGGATCGATGTCATTGGCTGTAAGGAGTTGTATCGCTGTCTGTTGGCGTCGAGCAGCTTCGTCTGGGGGGACATTTAGAACAGACGTATAATGTACATCATTCAGAACCGCATCTTGCGATTCGGCTCCTTTCTGGCTAACCTGACCGGCCTGATCACTTTCATCAGCTAGATCTCCCATCGGCGCTTCCGGTGCCTTGCCCTTCTTCCTCGCGCGCTTCCTGCGGCTTCCTTCCTCGCCTTCGGTTGGCGGGGGTCGCTTAACCTTTGGCGTTCGCTGATTGCTTGCGTTGCCTTTATTCACCGGCGGAGGTGGTAGATCTGGCGCCAAAAGCTCGAATAGCTGTTGGACGGTTTTGTGGATAGGTGTATGGTTGTACTTGACGATGACGCTTCTGGCGGATTTCGAGAAAGCGATCGTCAGGGTGCCACGACAGTCGAAGGCAGGGCGAGCTACAGTGAAGTTAGAATTTTCATTCGTATTACAGTTCAACGTTTATCCTTACAGGAATTTATGGGATCCAGACTACCTGGGCCACTATAACTAGCAATTATAGGTTGCTCGGCATTCTTCCCGTTTGCGCGATTCCACGCCTGCAGCGAGTCTTTGCAGATGTACGTAAAGTTCCAACCTTGCGCGCTTCTAGAAACCTGCCGAACTACCCATGAGCTACTGTCGATCACTCCCATCGCACCAACTATATGCTTTGCGACAGTGCGTTGAAGCACAGGGTCGTCGGCCGGTTGGTTTTGCACCGTTTCGGAAACATTTACAGATCTAGCAACAGCTTGTTGCTGCGATTGGCTTGTAGGATTGATGGAGCCATCGGGGTTGCTATTCTCTGTGTCTGCATTTAGGTGAAAGACCGTATTATGTCGGAATTCGAAGGTAATGGAGGTATGTTCTGCGCGCGTATCGGACGACTTCGAAATGAGGCTATGATGCAGCTTGTCTTGTATTTCTCGGATAGAACTACACACATAGTTGCCTCGTGGAGAATCTAGATTCAAGAGAGCATCCATTTCGGCGACGGCATGAAGAATGTCGGGATAGTATCATCCCGCTCTCCTCCACGGCTGCCGCTTAGATCGCTCGCTAGGAATAGTTTTAAGATGTAATAAGTTAAACGCGTAGGTTATGACAAGCCGTGGCTCTGGGGTAATTGTGGCTAAACACAAAATCGAGTGGCTAGTAGGGACATGGCGTACCCAAGTGGTTGGTACACTTGGCTCCACAAAAGGGTACCGGGATACAAGACGGAGTATGCAACCAACCGTAATAGAATTTGTCAAGCGCAGAGGTACACAGGAAGCCAGTATCATTTTACAATACTAAGTGTCTAGTAGGTAAGTAATCCGAAAGAATAGCCACTCCCAACGCCAAAGATTAGACTACATCTGGATTCCTTTTGTCTTAGCCGGTACATGCCCCTAGTCCTCTACCTATTTACACGTTCTCCTCAATCCACTCCTCAAGTCTCTCGATGAGAGTTTTCTTCAGCCCCTTTGCGTCAATTCCACGATCGCTAAGTATTGGCTTCAATTCAGGTATCGTCAATTTTGACAAGGTGCCATCATTATATCTCTTCTTCAGCTCAGTGTTGTTCATACCTGTGCTACCAGACCCGGGTTTTGCTGCTGTTGTTTTCGCCTTCTTCGCTGGCTTAGGCCCATTGTCATCGTCATCGTTCTCCATTTCCCGCTTGATGGATTGGGCATCTTTGACCATGCTTAAAACATTGTCCGCAGTCCGCGACCAGTCCTGAATGTACTCGCCACACCTGTTGTGGATAGCCTTGTACTTAGGGACGGTAGCGTCATTTGGCGTCTCGGGAACCTCCTCCTCCAGCGCGAGAGCTTGAAGGATCTTGTAGTGCCATTGGAGTGCGGGATTTGGATACTTTGATGGATTGTATGTAGCCGTTGGCAATTGTAGGTTACCAATGACCTTGTTCATACAATCAGTCAGTTGGTCTGTGGTTCGGATAAGCTTGACCTGGTCGGGAGCTTCGCGTAAATCGTCGGCAAAGGGAATTGGATAAAGCCATAAGCCAGCAGGTATGTAGTCGACTCCCGTCCTACGGTCCGACTGCGACCTGGAGGGAATAATCGCAACCAACTGAGGGTTGCCATTTGTCCGAGCAATGTGCCATGCGATGCCAACCTTTCTGGATTTCAATAGCTTTTGCCACAACGCGGTGAAAACACGCGAGGATCCAACATAGCCTTCTTCGCTTGGGAAGATAAAGATCGATTTCTTGATCGATGCCCAAAATCCTAATTGCGATCTGTCCTTGAAGCCGATAATACGTATTATCGGGCCTCCAAATTGCTTGATGGACTTCTGCTCGTCTTCGCTAAAATAAACGTATTCGCCTCCAAACTTATAGGCCTTTTTCACTTCACCGGTTTGAACCGTTCTGGCGCTATCCTCGGCAATGTGAGCGGTTTCACCTACGGCAATCTGCGCTTTCTGGCCATCCAACCAAACGTAACAGCTACGCGCCGGGGTCTGCGGCTGAATGATGTTATACCCCTTCACTGAGATTTGAAGTCCAGGGCCAAGCTCAAGTGGCATATTGCTGAAATATGCCCGCTTTGGCGTTTGCCTAGAGTTGACATTGGAGACTAACGAATTCAAGAGTGTTAGACCGCTGCCGGATTTTGACGTTGAAATCTTTCCTGGATGCGCTTCCTCGACAGTTGGGTCACGATAGATAATATCCTGAATTATGTCAGTGAATAGAACAACCAAGCTAGCATGAGCATGAAAATTACATCATAGAACTTGCTGAAGTCGAATTTTTCGTCTCCACGGGTGATTGCAAAGAGCTCGATAGTGACTCCAAGATCGTATAAATCCTTAGCACGATATGCCGCATTTTCCTTAAGTTTCTTGTCATCTTTATGGGGGTCATCGTTATCCGTAATAATAAACAATCTCCGAGATCCAAAATTTGGGGCTTTGGTAGTGAGGAGATTGTTTGCTAGGAAAAGCAAGTTCGATATCTGAGTACCCTCACTAGATGGAACTAAAATCTCATCGGCACCCTCGCCTTCTTCGACAAGACCTTTTAGGTTTTTCACATCTTCGGCTGCGGGAATATCAAGGTCGGTGTAGACGTAACAGTGAGGGTAAGGGAGATTCTGATCATCTCGATACTTTGTCTTTTCAGTACCAAAGAGTATTATGCCCATCATATCCTTCGGATTAGATATAATTCGTTGCTGCATCACCTGGTAGGCACACTTCAAAGCAGCATACACAGGAGGGTCTTTGTCCGCCTTCTTGTCAGTTGACTCGGGAGGCGGCTGAAGCATCGACTCGCTAACATCGATAGCGAAGATAAGAGCATCCTTCTGAGCTTTATAATCCTAATCAACGTTTAGTCCGGAGAAATCTCATAAAAATAGACATAATGACACACCTGTTCACCAATCTCATCTTCCTCCTCTTCCTCATCCCTCTTCTCATGGCGATCTGCCATGGTGGGCCTTATGTCTCTACTCCAATGAGCTTGGAACACTAAGTGAGAGAGGTGTTAAGATGTTGTAAAAAGTAAGGAAATATGTTGTCTTTACGACAGCGTGCACGAGATGGTGAAGTTATTTCATTTTCATTTTTTGGCAAATAATCTCAATTATGAAGCTTAATTGTTTAGGCAGATGCCGCGATCAGGCGCGTATGATGTAAGTGGTTTCTATGAAGTAATCGCGGAGTCAGGTGACTTCCACTGAGTTCCTGCCTAAGCGGATTTTCATTACGTAATATGTGGAGTTCCGTTAGAACGGTATAGCACCTCGTTATGCCCATAGCGAGTTTGAATGGTCTATTACCTATGCCATTTTCAACCACAAGCTTGTTACATCGTTTCATTCGAGTGGGATAAATTATAATTTATACAAACTTGAGAAAGGAAAGGGAAAGGAAGAAAGAAAGAAAAAGGATGGATGCAATGTGGTGGATATTTATATAACTAGTATATATGGATGATAGTATCATGCTGGTAAGGAGTCTAACCTCTTAAATGGTAGATTACGTCACAGAATTGCTAGGCAATTAAGCATGCTTCATTGGCCCCTTGAAGGACGAGGAACGGGCGCCGCGGATAGCTGAACGCAAGCTTCCCAATGTCGATGACTTGGCGATATTCCAGAAATGCAAATCGCCACTAATCTCTCCACCGAACTATTCAATTGTCTAGAAATTTCGTATTTAATGTTTTAAGGTGTCGCCATTTCAAATTATCCTAGACTGAGAATACAGAGAAACAAATTCGTGCAATATGGCTTCTCGCCGTTCCGTCGCACAGCTCTCGCGCAGAGCAGCTGGTACTGCTAGTTCGTTGAGCCTACGATTATCGAATAGCGCGCTGCAAACGAGATCATTCGCAACGCCCGTGCCACCTGTTACACAAAATGCGACTGGCTCAAAGGGCCCAACGGCCATGGTATTCTTGAATATGGGTGGTCCCTCGACTCTAAATGAAGTTGGCGACTTTCTAAGCCGATTGTTCGTATGTTATCTGTATGCGCCGCCACGCATCTCTGCGCAATCCTAATATGTGAGCAGGCAGATGGTGACTTGATACCATTGGGAAGACTGCAAAACTACATCGGTCCTCTCATCTCGAAACGAAGAACACCGAAGATCCAAAAACAATACGCAGAGATTGGAGGTGGTTCGCCCATTCGAAAGTGGTCGGAATATCAAAACGAAGAAATGTGCAAGATTCTCGACCGGATATCGCCCCAGACAGCGCCGCACAAACCCTACGTCGCATTTCGCTACGCAGATCCTTTGACCGAGGAGATGTACAATCAATTGCTGGCAGATGGCTTCGGGAACGGTAAGGGAGGAAGAGCTGTGGCGTTTACACAGTATCCCCAATATTCTTGCTCCACGACAGGAAGCAGTCTTAACGAGCTGTGGAAATGGCGGCAACGGCTAGAAGGCAAAGCTGGACCTGGTACCATTCAATGGAGCGTCATCGACAGGTGGCCGGTACATCCGGGCCTGGTTGAAGCTTTCGCCCATAATATTGAGAAAACGCTGGCGTCATATCCAGAAGACCGCCGAAGCCAAGTCGTCTTATTATTCTCCGCCCACAGTTTGCCAATGACGGTAGTAAATCGAGGTAAGGACTTGAATGAATAAATCCGGACAAACACAACTGACATGTAATGGGTTTAGGTGATCCGTATCCTGCCGAAGTTGCTGCAACAGTGTATGCTGTAATGCAGCGCCTGAAGTTTTCTAACCCTTATAGACTATGCTGGCAGTCACAGGTTGGTCCTCAGCCATGGCTAGGCCCTCAAACTCAAATGTCGGTCGAGGAATACGTCGCGAAGGGACAGAAAGATCTCGTCCTTATCCCTATTGCATTTACCTCAGATCACATCGAAACACTCTTCGAGCTCGACAAGGAGGTCATCGGGGAGTCCGGCCACGCGGACACCGTTAAGCGGATAGAAAGTCTCAATGGCAGTCCCATCTTCATCGATGCTCTCGCAGACCTCGCAAAGACTCACCTAGACAGTGGCATCTCATGCTCTTACCAGATGGGTCTAAGGTGTCCTGGCTGTAAGAGTGAACGGTGCGCCGAGTCGAAGAAGTTTTTCGCTGCACAGGAGAACACTTCTACAGCGTCAGTATAGAGCGCATATTTCTAGGATTTCGCAGGTTCTAAAAATACTGCTATTTGGTAGTTGGGAGCAGTTCAAAACACTACTCCAGTATTACTTGTCTCACTGTTTGCGTATATCTATATATTTTACTCTACCAGCTCTACCAGCTCTACCAGCTCTACCTAGCTATTTTCTGTTTTAGCAGAAGAGTTATCTTGTACCAGTTAAACGATCGGATGGGAAAAATAGGTATGAATTAGACAGGCACGATATATTATTGAATTGATGACTATATTCTACTATGCACATATCAACTATGTAATCCTATGCCGGAGTTAAGAACTTGCCGATGGCCGGAGGGGAACTCTAGATGCCCGATTATATCAATGCGAATACCTTGGAACCTTGAGGGTCGCAGGTTGCACCGCAGGATCGCACGGGACGCTGCGTCATCGATGTGCTGGCGACAATTACAACAGGCTGTGCCTTATCTTACTGTTTTGACAAGTCGACGCAATGCATTCGTGTTCCACTCCGGTGCTGGCTCGGTATGGTATTTCTACACTTAAGTTTTTGATATAAAGTGAAGTTCATACATACCCTACTAACGTTGAGAGTTATTTGTGGTCCGCAGAAACCACATGTTCATATGTACTTGGAGGGTCCAACGTTGAAACCTTCAATGCTCCGACGAAAAGATCGGATTGGTAAGCACCGAGTCGTTTATCAGGAACGAGATTAACCTGATTAGATCGACCGGGGTAGGTGGGTAGGAGGACCCCAGATACGATCGTTTGACGGAGAACATCCAATTCCGATTTAAATGTACATAATACATACCGCGGCTGTATTTGTGAAGTACCAGCATTAAGCTTCTATTCACGTAAAGCAACCGGTTAATAGGGGTGTCGGAAACTAGGAGACTTCAAAGATACGAGTATCCATGTAGTCGTTCAGTAGCACCACGTTGGTAACATGGAACTTGGAAGGCACTAGCCGCTAGGTACTTGGTAGGTAGGACAAATCAAACCCAGCCAATTCCAAAGAGACGGAATTCGACTGATATGGGTACCCTCGCGCTTCTTCACATCATTTTCTCCAAATCCCCTAGCGCCGTACACTTTGGACGCTGGTAGTTCAAATTCCAGCAATTCAAGCTTTAATTGGCATCCTCCGTACACATCATCGACTTAGATAGACCAATGGTATCCTGTATCATTTAATCAGGGTTTCGGGTATGGGACATATCTTTACGTTCTTTCCCAACTCTCCTCCGACTTGTTGAGGTCGACCATTGACCTTCTTCGAGTCCCGAGTAAAGGCGTCGCTTTGAGTTCTATTGATTCTCTAGTGGGTCGGTCATAAGATAAGCATTCCGGGATCCTTCGTTTGAGACCAAGTCATTTCATATTCCATATCATAACGAAACATCCGCGATTCCCGGTATACATAGATAGCTTAAAACATACGTACGTGGAAAGCGGACACCGCACCCGGCTGTCCATAACGTCCGGCAACGTCGAGAACCGGTCATAGTGGCGCAACGATTGAATAGTCAAGATGGCAAGCGATGCGCAACCCGTCCAGAGGAGTAGCAGGCAGATCGTACTCATAGACGACGAAGAAGAACGACGGGAGGGAGCAACGGAAACAAGTCCGCTGGTCGGCGCAAACACTAGGAATAATGCGACAGAAGACGACGGGGGCCGAAAGAGACAGGAGAGCTGGATAGGTTATGAAGACTTTATCGGCCTCCCATGGTATCGGAGACCATCGGTAGGTTATATACATACCTATAAAGCTTTGGAGGACGCGAGGACTAACCTCGAAGTCAGGTTTATTGGCTTCTTGGGCCATATTTTTTATTCACACTTGCATTCGGTGGCGTCATTGTACCGAAGGTGAACCTGTAAGTCATGCAGCACCACCACCCTTGCATGAGCAGTATAGATGTCACTAACAAAACGACAACCGTTAGAATTGTCGATTTAATATGTCGCAACTATTTTAGCGAGCGCCAATTGATTGACCCGGATTTTATATTCTTGCCGGTCGTCCTGGGCGGCGACAATCCGCAATGCAATGATCCGCGGGTTCAGAAGAACGTTGCTACTTTCACGCTTGTGATAAGCGCTCTCACAGGTGCCCTTAGCGCTCTTACAGCGCCGAAGCTGGGTTCGCTGTCTGACCGATATGGTCGAAAACGCCTTATGGTGATGGCGTCCTGTGGCGGTCTAGTAAACGAGGTCGTCACCATCTTAGCTGCGAAATTCCCTGAGACGGTTAGCTACCACTGGTTAATCCTGGGCGCATTCTTTGATGGTATCGCCGGTTCTTTCACAGCGGGCAGCATATTAGGCCATTCGTATACGAGCGACTGCGCTCCACCTTCAAAACGCGGAGTGTATATCGGCTATCTCCACGCATGTCTATTCACCGGTTTGGCATTCGGTCCTCTCATTGCTGGCTACTTCGTCGAATGGACTGGCTCATTGGTGTCAATATTTTACGTTGTCCTTGGCTGCCACACCTTCGTCATCTTATTCTTCTGGTTCTTTATGCCTGAGTCGATATCTAAAAAACGGCAGATGGCCGCAAGGGAGAAGCATCGAGCCCAGAGCGAAGCGACAGCTATGCAGCTAAGATCAGGAATTCCGAGTTCAGTAGGAAATTTCGTTGGGCCCCGAGTTGCTTCGTACCTAGATGACCACATGGGAACTTGGCTACCGGCGGTTCTAAGCGCTAACCCATTCGCACCCCTTAAGATGCTTGTTCCGAGTGGGCGAGACAATGGCGGCTTACGGCGGAATCTCGTTCTCCTCGCTCTTATCGACACAGTGACTTTATCCTCCGCAATGGGCGCGAATATTGTCATCGTGCTCTACTCCGAGTATATGTTTAATTGGGGAACCTTGCAAGCTTCACAATTTGTATCGGCTGTGAGCTTGGTACGCGTTGTGATCCTTCTCTGCATCTTTCCGATTATCAACTACGTATTCCGTGTCCTACCATTACGTCGCCGAAGACGCGAGAGCGGGGACGCGAGCGTAGTTGAGACGAACTCTGGCGCCGACAACCTAGACGTCTGGATTATAAGAATTGCTCTTTTCAGTGATGCCATAGGCACTTTTGGCTACATTTTTGTCCGCCGAGAGGAACTATTCATACTGTGCGGTCTAGCGACGGCGTTTGGTGGCCTAGCAAGTGCTACCATCCAAAGCTCGATCACGAAGCACGTCCCAGCCGAGCGTGTAGGCTCCTTATTAGGAGCAATCGGGTTACTGCACGCGCTCGGGCGGGTCTTTGCTCCTGCGCTTTTCAATGGCTTATACGCTGGGACAGTTGAGACATTCCCACAAGCATTCTTCGTCCTATTGGCGTCTCTTTTCGGGTTGGTGGTCTTTGCGAGTTTCTTCGTGAGACCTCATTGTAAGTCTACCCTCACCCTAAACGCACGAGGCAGTCAACTAATTCCTGCATAGTATACCTGAAAGAAGACTACGTTGCAGTCCCGTCACAAGCTTCAAGTGACGCTCCAGCTCCAGATACCACATCCGATGAAGAAGTTTTGGGCATATAAAGAAATATTAAGAGGTTGGAATGCGATATGAGTCAGTCATTCTTGACACCTTGCTTTATGCAATCTTTTCTTTTCAAACGTATAGAATTTAAATCGTATATATGTACCATTTTGCTAAATTTTTGGTAAACTGGTGTGGGCGGCGATGAGTCAAATTCTGAGTTATATGGGCGTACTTAGATATTGGTGTAGTGTTGACTAGGTATCTTGGTATTATTGGATCGCATAGGCGTTTATTAGATGGTGTCAATTATATAAGCTCAGCGAGCTTCTGGCTAAGAATGACCTTATGTTCCAATCATCAACAGCACAGAGATGGACAATTCATATGAACAGGTATATATATAGGTTAGATCTAATACGTGTACGGCATCACGACCTCAGCATGAGAGCTCTCCGTCTCATGTTATCTTGTCATACATATACGATTTTAATCACCGCCGTCCCCAATCACTATTTACTACATCTTAACCACCAATACCCCTTAAAAATCGACCAACCCCTTTACACTACACCTTTACTTACTACCCCTTCTCATCAACATTTTCTCCTACCCCACCCGCGTAAGACAACAATACACGCCCCCTTCCCTTAAACGACGCCAATATTTAGACGTAGTTACTCAATACACCTTTGTCACTCCCCAGCTAACCGCCAACACCCTGGCCCCAAGGAAGCAGCTCATGGCAATAGCGTACGACAGTGCCGTGAAGAGGATCACCGCTAGCCAGCCCTGCTCCTCGTTACTCCCAAGGCCCAGCAGTGCGCCAGCGATGGGCAGACTAGACAGGGTGCCGAAACTGCCGACCATCATGGCGGTCGAGAAGAAGCGACCATACTCCCTAGCCTCGCATAACTGGCCGATGCACACGGGGTACAGGCCTAGGTTGCTGCCGGAAGCGAAGCCGAAGGTCAACGCGAACGTAATCAGCAAGGGTCGCGAGTCGCCGGCCGGCAGCCAGAAGGCGAGCACGGTGACGACGCACAGCGCATTCGTCAGCGTGATGACGTTGAAGCGGCCGAAGCGGTCGGCCCAGAAGCCGGGCAAGAAGCGGCCGAAGAAGGATCCGGCGCTGAGGAGGGCGAGCAGGGTGTACGCGTCGCGCGAGTCCTGGCCGTGGGCGCTCGCGTAGGAGACGATGTAGGTGAGCGGGGTGAAGATGCCCCACTCCATGAACCAGACGCCGGCGCAGCAGAGGGCGAACTTGAGGTCGCGGAAGAGGGACCAGTCGGGGCTCACGCGCAGCGGGCGCGGGCTGGGCGGCAGGCGCGAGCGCACGAGCAGGTTGGAGACCAGCGCGAGGAAGAGCAGCATGAAGCCGATGAGGCGCGTCGCCCAGGCGAAGCCGAGGCGCGGGATCACGGCCTGCAGGAACAGCGGGAAGGCGACGCCGCCGACGGACCCCGAGGTCGCGGCGATGCCGGTCGCGAGGCCGCGCCGCGCCTTGAAGAAGTGCGCGATCACGCCGTAGGCGGGCACGTTGAGGAGCGCGCCGCCGAGGCCGCCGAGGACGGAGTAGGTTAGGAGGATTTGGTAGTACTCTATTTTCCGGATTTATTAGTTCGTGTATAGCCGAGGGGAAAGAATCATGGGCGATTAGTTTGCTAACCCTCGCATAGCCCTAGCAGCATTTGGCTCGCAACGCACATCACGCTGCCAACGGCGATCAAATACCTAGGCCCGTAGCGGTCGAAGATGGGGCCGACCTGGATTCCGAAAAAGAAGACGATGAATAGGTACACGCTGAAGATCCAGCCAATGGTCGAGGAGCTGTAGCCGACGAGCTGGTGTGTGGAGAAGTACGACTCGAAGACGGCGGCGACGTTGATGATGCCGTACACCGAGACCATGGAGCAGAAGGAGCCGAGGACGACGAGCCAGGCCCTCAGCCCGCCTTCCGGGAAGTCGGACTCCTCATCGTCGTCGTCGCTTTCGCACGATGGTTGCAAGACGGGATTCGCGACGGGAGGGGGATGCTCCATCTGGTTCGCGCGTTCTTCACCAGACCTAGGAATGGTTTGGGTTTGGGTTTCTGAGTTGAGTTGACTCTTTTCGTCAAGTTGCTCCGGCAGAGGCACCAGGACCCCCTGGGCCGCTGCCGGGACAGTTTGATTTATGAGGCAGCTGTCATCTGCATTTTGTTGTGGCGCGAGGGTCATAGAAGACCTTCGCTGCTAACTAATTAGGTCGTCAAAGACGGAGTGACTTGAGAGTTTCAGTCACTCCTGACGTAAGGAATATTTTGGGAATGTTCTTAATCTGGTGTTATTATTTATACTTATATAGTAGGCAAGTATGTACGAAGGCTTCTTACATCAGAAAACTGCTTAAAATTTAGGGTGGTTGAAGGGTTTTAATAGTTTCTATCCCATGGCAAAAAATCCGGGGAAAATTAGGATGCTACACTATAACTTAGCATCAATACGCTTTGAAGATAATAGGGGGCGGACCAACAAGATGTGTTACTTTTACATAATAGTTTCTATGGCTTTCGTGAAGGTTGATACTAACACCGCCATTTTTTCTTCCTTCGCATGTCTCCGATGTCGTTATAAGGCCTAGTGTCTTGTTATTGTAGGGCGTCATTCCGCGGTTCAAAATGTGACCCTAATTTTTCGTCCTACGGCCGACGGAGATCTACGCTGCTACGTTAGCTCGCAAGATAGTGTAGGCACAGGTACCGAGATATCTCTCCATTCTTGACTGTTATTCGTTAATCGAACCTACGCAAACAATCCCATATATTATCCCATACATTCTGTAAGAAAGCAATATATTATTGAGCGTTGAAAGGTTTCGCAAACTTCTGTCTTGTCAACCCCTTGCTGTCTAGACCGCAATGTCTGGGCCGGCGGTGAGGCTTTGCAACGGACCCCTTCCAACATACGACGTCGTAGTAAAACTTCCAAGGTTGTCAAAGAATATCTTATAAATCGGATGAAATCACAACTTTGCACCCATGGGTCTCCTTAGCCAAGTGGTCCCAGGGATTTCGACTGCCGAATGACCCCTACTTAAAGTGGGGGTAATCAGCAAATGCATCTCCATCTTGAAGTTGTCGAATCGTCTTAAAGCAGACAACTTAAGATGGCAAAATTACTAAGATGCAAAGTTAATTTAAAGACTGCGACGAATGGAAAAGAATATGGAAAGAAATAGTGTCAAAATGAGGAAGGCACAAAAACTCCGGGCTCTAGTTGACTACGTCATAACTGTCATCTGTGTCCAACCTCGATATAGCAATTTCGAATTTGTCAAACTCGCTTTAGTTGCATATATTGGGTTTTGAATTACCTCAATGCTGCATGTAACTACCTGCTTGTATGTCCTGTTTATAAATGACAATACTTCATCTAGATAATTACTCAAGAATATGATACGCAAAGGCGGCTCGTCAATATTCAATCTCATTTTCACAAGTACTGTCCAGCAACGAAAGATGAGTTCGCGGCCTGCGGGACCCATCTTCTTCGGGTCATTCGAGGTCACACCTCAGGTGAGCTAAGCCCACTTACCCAGGTCACCAGTGACCATTACGATATACAAGAAGCTGTATAAGGGCCTCCTTCACATGGATTAAAAAGATGTGCATAATTCATAATAAAATGAGAGTTATATATATCAGTCTAATCATACCACCACTCCCCGACACTATAAGCAATCATAGATGATGAACACCACCACCACCATCAGAACTAACCGCCCCAAACCCCCAGGTCTTCCTCACAACGCAACACTCCTTCGCCCTCGTGAACCTCAAACCGCTACTGCCGGGCCACGTCCTGATCTGCCCGCGGCAGCCGCACAAACGGCTCACGGACCTCGCGGCCGCGGAGCTGACGGACCTCTTCCAGGCGGTGCAGCGCGTGCAGCGGATGCTCGCGCGGCACTACTTCTACCAGGAATCCGCCGCCGCCGCCGCCGCCGCAGCGCAAGCGTCCGACAGCAGTAGCAGTAGCAGTGTTGATGGCGGCGGCGTGCCCGAGGCCGGCTCCTTCAACATCGCGATCCAGGACGGCGTCGAGGCCGGCCAGACCGTCCCGCACCTGCACGTGCACGTCATCCCGCGGATCCGCGGCGCCACCGCGAAGGAAGGGTCCGGGCCCGGCGACCGCATATACCAGCTTATGGCCGCGGAGGAGGGTAACGTCGGCGGGGCCTTGTAAGATTTTCCTCTTTTTCCCCCTTCCCCTACCCCCCTTTCTCCCCTCCTACCTTTGCAAATTTGGGCTTCCTACCCGATTAGTTAGTGTTGGGATCTGCCCATACGTGGTTGTTTACGTAGGGGAAAAGAAAAGTTTAGTGCTAATGGTAGAAGATGGGATCGAGAGCTAAAGAAACTTCGAACAAAATTCGGGGATAGGCCGGAGGCGGGAGGCGAGTTCGAGAGTATTGAGGACTCGGAGCGGCACGCGCGGTCCGCCGAGGAGATGGCAGCCGAGGCGAATATGTTTCGCGGCGTTTTAGAGCAGATGGGAGAGGCGGAAGGGAAGTCTGGCTAATGACCTTGGTAAAGGTATCTGCCCCTTTTTCTAGTGTACTAAATGTACGATCATGAATTATGTACGAGCATTGATACAACAAGGTCCCCGTAGAATAGAGAAGTAGACTCGGAGTATGGAGGATGTCATGATACATGCTACCTAGGTAGATCTCCTTTGATAAACGCAATGCTATTACCTTATATTCCGAACGCCTAGAGCCATGCTCCAACCCCTATTCTCCAACCCCTATTGTGCATTTAAACCCAAGTAACCTGTACATTAGCCATCGTCACAACCCCCTGAGCAGCTCATCTAGAGAAATTGGTTTCCGTACGGCATTGTTCAGGCCTTCATGGAACGTAACCCAGATCTTCGTCTCGCCCTTCGCGAGGGATTCATCCCCAGCCTTGCTCCTAGGTCTACCGTTGCCATCCGTTTCCTTCAGCGCGCGAGCTTCCGTGTTCTGGATGACGCGTCCGAAGAAGTCTTTCTTCACCCCTAGAATGGGTAGCTCGGCTGCTTTCGAAGCCTTATTCTCCTTGTCGTTAAAGACTAAAGGCATGTCCTCGAACGCCGCGGCGTGAGGATTACGACCCGTGAATCGTGCTTGTCGTGCTAGCTTCTCGCGCTCCAACTTCGCTTTCTGCAGCTCCTGATCTAGCACCTGTCGTACGGCATAACGTGTCGGGACATGCGTGCCGTGGATGACAGCAGCTGAAGTTTCGAACGTAGCCAAGCTGTCGAGATCGCTACAAATTATTAGCTGCTGGGCTCTAGACTTTGTATCTCTAAGAATGAGGTACTTACGGCTCCATACGGTACACCCACTGCGGCCCCCTACTGAATGGGGACTCGCTCTCGATCTTTCCTCTCTCAAGTTCAATGCCAACTTCCGCTAGTGTTTCTGCGGCTCGTTTCACCATAGCCTTCTCGGTATCCTTTCGGACACTCGCTGTACCTTTTTGGTCTCCGCTTCCTCCAACGACAACTGGTTTCACGTCCGGGGATACTAAGCGGATAAGGTACGGAAGAAAATCTGTCGCGATATCCTCGGGGCTGCGGAAAGAGCGCATGAGGCTGGGTGGTAACTGAGCTTGCATCGCCTGGAGCATGGCGCGGTTCTCTTTTTCGGCTTCGCGTGCAAGAAAGTCGGCTCTCGCACCCGAGAAGGGGAGCGGCGGGGCGTCGTCAGCATCACCGCCGCCCCACTTTCGTTCATAACCTAGGTTGCTACGCCGGATAGGCCCCGAGAATAAGTGATGGCACGCAAGGATAGGCTGGCAGAGGTACGGGGCTAATTCCCAGTCTTGGCTTCCAAAGAGCCTGGACGAGCAGGTATCGTGAAAGTGCATCCACTCGTAAGCACAATCCGGCTTACTCAAGAACGAATCGTCGTTGAATTCGTGGTTAGGGTAGTCCAGAAACACATCCGTCATGACCCTGTCCACATCACCACTGGTCTCGATCATTTCTCTCAGGCGCTCCATGCCATATTTCTTTTGCTGCTCCGAGAATCCGAGCTGTGCTATTGGCTGCTCATTGCGGTATTTCGATGAAGGGGCCGTGATTAGTACGTTACTCTTAGGAAATCCAGCTCCATCTTGGAAGACACGGGTAACAATATCCTTGACACTACCCCGTCCTACGCCTCTTGCTCCACCACCGCCATGAGATAGGTCATGGATGATATTCCGCTCAACCCATTGTCGCGTTAAACATGGTGGGCCTTTGAGACACGCAGACCTAACACGGCCTGCAACCCATTCGCCAACAACCATAACGCCTCGTAGATCTCCTTCAGCTGTACTCTCAGCGCCCTTTTTGGCGTCAATACCGCTGCTCATACCCCAAGCCGCTTCACATAACTTTCGCGCAGCATCTTTCTCACATGGAATCCCTTCCTTCTCAAAAACGGTCTTGAGGCGAGTTACAACAGCGTCAATAGTAGGCTTGCCAACGTGGATAACTTCGGCTAGGTTCGATTGACGTAAAGGCCTCAGAGACGGATGGTAGACATCATTGCATATAAGAATGAGCGGACGCATCTGACGAAAATCGTCGCCTTTCTTTTTTCGACGCCCCGAATTCTGAGCGGCTGTCTCTTGCCCGGAGGCATTTTTCTCCCCAGTTGTAATTAGATCTATCAGGGCTTTTATGAAACCACCTTCTCCTGAGGCGCCGGAGCCTGTCACGACGCCATCAACTTCGTCGACCACTACGCATACGGGGCGTGCGACCTTCTGCTGCTTTCCATCCTGAGGTTTATTTTGTTGCACCGTCTTGACGTTTTCCGTGCCAAGACTCGTACGAATCCGGTTCTTTACGACGTCCCGGCTACGGTCATCGCTGGCATTGATCTCCATTACTTCATAACCTGCTTGCTTCGCGCAGACATGGGCGAGCGTAGTCTTCCCCAGTCCAGGAGGCCCCGTGAGCATCAATATCTTGCGGTGCGGCTTTTCCTCCTCGGCCTCCACCTTCGCGCCGGGCCGCCTTATAACATGTCTCGATTTTGCCGCCCCCGGGAAGACGATAGGGTCCCATCTCTTCAACCATCGTAGAACTTGTCGATTCGTCAGATCGTCGCCAACTAAATCCATAAAATTCCTAGCACGGTATTTCTCAGTCCACAATAAGGACTTCTTCGGCTTCTTGGCGGGTTCCACAGAAGGCATCGGCTCATCAGGGACGGGCGTCGAGGTCGAAGGCTTATTGGCCAGTTCCTTAGAAGTAGCCTCTATTAATTCATGAATATCAATGCCATAATAACTCTTCCTTGCTCGGCCTTCCTTCGTTTTTGATCGAGAGGCAACCATCTGTTCATAGGACACGCCAGCACCCGGCTTTCGTTGTTTGATATTAATCGTCTTCCCCGAACATGTTGTGATCTTCAAGTTGCTTTGCGCTTGGCGAGAAGCGAACCGATCGAAAATAGATGATACGTTGCTAGAGTTAAATAAAGACTTCATCGTAGCGAATTGACTTTCATTCTCATTGGCCTTTGGTTGTGAAGTAGATTCGAGTGAAAACGATTTAACCTCCTTAAGTCCAGGATTTGAAAGTGTGAGTGGAGGCGAAGATGGTTCGGTGTACTCGGCGGCTGCATGCTCGCTGGGACTGCTAAGCATCCGCCTCTTGGATGCAGGTTCTTGTAAAACGTCGTCCTCGTCGGAGTCATCATCGATAAGAAAACCACCTTTCGCACGAGGCCGTGGATGAGGATCGGGATGCGGTTTTGCCCGTTTGGCTGCTCCCACGGGAGAGGAGCTGGCCGGATAGACGACCGGAGACGAAGGTAAAATCATCCTTAGGTCAATTGAAGAGGTTAGGATTGGGATACCTCAAAGACGAGAGACTGTACGGGATTGCTGTTGAAAGTACTGAAATGGCTGTTGTACAGGGTTGAAGGCTAATATGAATTAATGTAAATGACAAACGCGAAGACGCGTTTGAATACGCGTTTGGTGGGGCACTCGAAGGTATCGAGTACCGACCCACAATTACAAGGATAGTGTGGGCGATCGTCGGATGCATCCCGCCAAATCATTTGAGCTTAAAGAATAAGCTACTGACTTATCGAGGGTTCTCTATCCACTAATCTTGCTGTAATTAAATATCTACTAATGCAGTATCTAGATACTTGTTACTTGCATACGCTGAATTGATTTGGCGAATGGCGGATATCACAGCTGTCGTCTAGGGGCAGGAGGCAAGTACATTACTTTCCATGTTCATCTTTCTCATTTGTCTGTTTACAACTTCGACAAGTATCTCATATATCAAACACAACAAGCCTTTTCTTGACTGCTCATTATAAGCACATACCTTTTATGATACACTCAGAGCCTATTGGTACACTTAAATGGAAATCATCCATTGATGAATTGAATCCGGGCCTTGGCCACACCTGAGCTCATACTCTCTTAACCTTGAATATTCCAACGATCTCTTGCAAAGCGTTTGCAACAAATTCCTGTGGTTGAGGTTAGTAAATCGCTAGGTAGATTTAGATTCGAGAATCTTACGGCTTTATTCAGCATCACCGCCTGAAACCACTCCCAGTTGAGCTCTCCTTCGTTTCCCAGTTGTTCCGCTGAAGTGATCAAACCCTGTACTGTACCCTGCTCTCCAGGTTTCACCGCTTTCATCAAATTCAGGAGAGTTACTAGCTTTGTAGTCGGGACATGAAGGTCAGTGAGATCAAAGGGATGGCGTGGAAGAGTCGGCAAGGCAGGGCTATAGCTTTCTCGAAGTGGATTCGCCGTCTTGGGAATTTCATCGGGCGGATTTTCCGCGATGATATCCTGTATATCGACTGTTCGCTCACTCTCAATTTCCATGACGACGACCTGCTGCCCTACATCGTCTTCGGAGTCGGAGTCCTTGGGTTTCTGTCCCTTCCGCCGAGGCTGGCGGTATATGAATCGAGGAACTTGGATCGTCGTCTCATTGCCCACGACGGTGCTGTTGGGGACAGCAATGCTCCGAAAAATGCGTCTAAGGAAATCGCTGCCGTCTTTGCCACGTTTACTGATGAGCCAGCCGCTATGTGGCCCCCAGGTTCCCGATGTTGCACTATGAAGAGCACCTGAGAACCTAGGTTCGTATAGCGGTGCGGGGTCCCATGTTAACAAGCATATTGCGCGGAGAAAGGCATCTTCATCTATGCAAGGCGTTCCCGATTCAGTAAGTGATGCTGGAAAAGGAAAAAACGCATGCCAGCTAAAGATGTCGAATAGTAGTGTTAACCCTTCCGAAGATTCGGCAAGCCCAAATCTAGGCCACTTCTCGTTCATGAAGTTTTTGAACCTATCTTGAGAAAGGTCTGCAACCACACCATCAGTCTTATAGACCAAGTCGCAAGATAAGAGTGTAACCTACAACCCGTTTCGGCATCGCGTAGTTTGCGAAATGCTTGTCTGAGCGTTTCCACTCCGCTGGTTCCCCTATCCTTGATAATCCATCTCTTCAAGAGTTTCTCCGTAAATCTTTCATACACGGCATCTGAGGCGAGTTAAGAGAGATTCATTCCAGTCTTTGGGATTACCACATCATACCTTTGTTCATAAGGTCGCGATCTAAGAAGTCCAAGACTTCTTCATTAGATGATTTGCGTCTGCTAGAGAGTTCAAACTTGTCGTAACTCTCGGGGTTTATGATACAGTTCTTTTCGATCTCCATAATGGCAGCCAATACTGTGTTTTGGATGATCAGGAACGCGTATAGTATGTCAAGAACGAGAAATATAGAAGACAATTAAGGGAGGACGACTAAATGTAGTGGTTTGTCGAAAGTGATGATTAGTCACAGGTAACACGTGATGTCATATTAAATTACTAAGGTAGGCACTGCCGTAAGGAAGTAAGCCTGTCATCCGATCTACAGGACTTCTTGCTACTATATATGTCTTGTGTATTTCTCACTCAGATTCAGGGGTAAATAGTCTCACCAATCGCCTGAAAATGTCGTCACATCTAGCTTATAGCTGACTAACAACTTATCGGCACCAACAATATCCTTATTGGCGTTCACACTATCGAGGAGATCTACATAATCTCACCATCGAATCGAGATCTCTTATTGCTACACAGCCCAAAACAGTCGGTTACTAGTAAGCCTGATTCATAACATAAATCAAGTACGACGGATTCATATGGTCAACACGGCTTAATAAAGGACATCAGGGGAAGCCATCCTATGCATATGGTGCTTACACTGTGGATTTCCATGCAGCCAACGTTCTAACAACTGTGTACCTAGATTGGTATATACCTAGGTACCTAAATAGCGATATTCATATCAGCTACAAGCGCATTCAAATAACTAGAATCAAGTAACTCAAAGTAGACCGCTTCTCTTCTCAATGAATTGACTGTCTAATCCCCTTTCCCCTACTTCAGGTTGAACCAGCCATTAGCCGAGGCCCTAACAGGCCAGAACATTTCAATATTTCCAGAAGGAATTTGAAAAGAATACGTATTTATTAAGCCAGCTACCTTGTTTTGTTCAATAAAGAGCAAGATACGGAAGTGGAAATTATTCAAGACAATGGAATCCATCGAAATAGGGGCAATTTCCCAGCTCGTCCCGGTGAAGATGAAGTCAGTTCGTCCCATTTCAGTAATTACTCGTTTAGTCAATTGGACTCGCTGATGTCAGCTGAGTTCAGCGGACAGAGAAGCTGAGATGGTGCATCACGAACTGAAGTTTGAATTATGTCATTGGAAACACTATCGTTGGGTTGGAGTACGAAACGATGTTGGATTTACAGACTGAGGGGCAGTGAAGGCGATCATGTTCACTAAAGGGACGAGTAGAGATTTGCTTCCACTCCAATGGCTATAAGAATCTCAATATCCCACTTCAATTCTCTAGATATTGTTTATATTATCACCAACATTCGAAATCAACCCTTTACACTCTCATAGAGTATCGAACAGTTTCTAGCTCTCGGCGTCTTCAACTTGAAATTTTACGAAAATGAGATTCCAGACCCCTCTCGTGCTCATCGCGAGCCTTATCACCTTTGTATCTGGTGAGGCCGCAGGTGTTCGCTCTCACGCCCGAGACCTCAGCATAGAAAGAGATACTCCTGACCTTTCTATCGAGGAAGAATCTCACTTGCTCAAGCGTAACCCAGTCCTCCCGAAGGGCAAGGATGATACCAAACTCCACGCCTGGATTCGAACCGACAAAGAAACTGTGGAATATGATAACCGTCATGGAATAAGCCACGAGGGTCTGAACCAGATGATGAAGGACATCGGTGGTAATCACGTGGACGTCGTCGTCGGTAACAGCAAAGGATACTACCAGGCTGGCCTCGAGTTTTCCAGCAAAGACTGGATTAAGCAACACCCGAATGGGGACGGTGCCGCAATCTCTGAGTATTGGGAGCCATATGTTACGATGCCTCAGGAGAGCTTTCAATACCAGGGACAGATCGACGGACGAAAGACTCTTAACTCCGTCCATGATGCTGGTGAGTACCTACCTCCCAAAGGGATATTCATGATATTTATGATATTAACAATATTACCTACTTAGCCACGCAAGAGATTAAAGACCACACATACAATCACCAAACGTACAACTGCAAGACCTATGCCCAGAACCTCGTCAAGAGATTGAATGTGAAGGCTTAAATTAATTTGGGTCTGGATACGGATATGAGGAGGCTCAAGTGGCTTTTTGGAAGTAAAAAGAACTTATAGTCCTATTTTACCGTTGTAAGAGATATCTAGTCACTGTAAATATGGGAGATGTAGAGGGATGGGGGAGAATTGAGACTGGGTGTTTGGACGTATTTTTGTATTAGTATGTAAGAAGTCGCTCGTTAAATTCAATAAAGCTAACTCTAGCACAAATACATGGTAATATTGGTGATTCCATTAAAAAGATCATAATAGGGTCCGGAGTCCGGACGAGAAAACAATATGAGCCTTGGTTTCAACTATCTCCTACCGTAAGTGTACTACTTAGGTAGGAAAAGGGGCTGGGTGTAAATACGATGCGGTTGGTTAAGCTGCTCATACCTACCTACTTAATAATAAGATTATCCTCCGCTTACCTACTACCCAAGTAATTTATTCACGGGACCTTCAATAGGTAAGCACGTATGATATATCTACTTAGGAGGTACCTATGCTTGCCTTACGAATAATTTAAATATCCTGACTAGCATAACAAATAGGAGAGAACTAATCTAAATCCCGTTCACCTAAAGATAACCCCATATGTCAGCAAGGAAAGTCGTAAAGTCGTTGTTACGACACGCCTACGCTGTGGCAGTTACCAAGCTCCATTCCCGACTCCTAAACCATCCTAAACACCTCGCAGACCGGGCTTAGCATATCGCAAACAAGTTGCAGAATAAAAGATATTCCCTGCACACACTTCTACCATACCACGTGCGAAGCGCCTTTGATCGGGAGTGAGATCAGTTTTCAAGAGCCGAGAGAGCTCGTCGTTGATTTGTAGTTCGAGATCCCACAGGTATGCCCGGAGAATGACCTTCGCCGATCGAGGCGTAGTATTGAGGAGTAGTTCTATAACTCTGACACAGTTTACGAGCGCAGCTCCACTCTCGTTGAAGGCGTAGAGCTCTTTATTATAAGAGTATAAATCGTTTGTCAACGAGAAATGGGTCATGTAGAGTCGGTGTAGAGTATTGAGAGGTTCCATATCAGCCTCGGTCAAAACGGAGGTCCCGCACGTCAACATTATAGCTGCATCGCAGAATCTACTCGTGGTTAGCCATCGTACCAAACTATGTCCGGGTGAGAACATACTCAACGGCGAAGTCGCCGATACGGTAATCAATGTACTCTTCGAGTGAATTGAAGGTCATAGAACTAGGTAGTCGTTTGCGAGTGTGTTCCACCCAAAGTAGTATACTTTTCACGAACGTCGGTCCCACAACTGGATCTTCTTTGACACATTCATCTGCGAAGTCCTTGAAAATTTTGTTTTTCCACAATATGTCCGCACCCGTTCCATTTGAACCAACAGTATCGGCAAAAGCAGAATCAATTATAGTCGGAACCTAGTATTGCAGTTAGCAATTACCGATATATGAAGAGTTACGGGATTGTCACATACCTCAACCGTAGCGGATTCAATGACATCTTAGGCAATTTGTTAGCATATTAGACAAGATATTATGAATTAAACTTGTACAATTGGCCGCCACGTGGCCGTACACACTCATTTATAAAGAAACGAGCGAAACGATATCAAAGTGTAGTCATTACGAGGTTGAGAGATAATGAGGTATATGTATCTTACCGTCGTGTGTGAAGATGAGTAAGTTTGCCTTGGCCATTATCCTTGCTCGTGCGGCATTCGCTGCCGGGAACATGTTCATCGGAGCGGATACAGACGTGTCGAGAAGTTCCCTCCTCTTAGCTGCTTTCTTGCTTGCATTAGCCATCTCTGACGGCAATGATCCCTGCTGTTCCGGCGAGGAGGCTACGATCTCATCCATCATCTCTGCTGCTGCAGCTTCTGCGTCCTTCCAATACTTGCACTGGGCTGCGGCAGGGAAGGACGTTGGCCACGGCACCCCCACGGAAAGCGGCTGGATAACATTGCAGTTCTCGAGGCCTGGTACGGGATGAGAGAGAGCTTCCCGTAGAAATTCAAAGCTTTCCTGTTTACCCTCTGAGGCAAACGAGATCCCAACGGGATCAAAAGCACAAGGGATTGGTCGCATCCTGTAAACGTGTTCGAGAAGTTGATGTCTAATCAGGAGGGACAAGAAACCCACGGGATATGGAGGGTAGTTCTTATACCTGGTGCGGCATCGCAACCCGTGGCAAGACTCGTTATACCCATTTGCTCAGGGGAATCATGATCGAGAGTTAACTAGGTACGTTTGATGATTAGTGACATGAGGTAAGACATGGTGACGTATAGATTGATATCGGCATGGCTTAGATGCATATACCCTGGCCGGTGATAGGCAAAAACTTCAATAATATTGAGTATAGTACCTATGAGTAGTATATGATGGATACTCTGCGTGATCGGATGACCTATAGACCATTAGGTCGGTAAAGGATCTCTGATAATTGCACCTATCGAAGGGCTGATTATCAGGGATTCTTACAGGCATCTGGCTAGATCGTGAACGAGCGACATGGTCCGTATCCATTCAACCAAAGGCCGGAGATCATCGGTTTCTGTGAGTCAGGGGATTGTCTCCTCCACTGGAAAGCCGCTACCCGGCCCTTGTAGGTTCCAAGGTTGTTAGAATGCTCAAGAAATAACTGAATTACTTGCATAGCCGGGTGGACCTCGCAAGGCCAGGCCCGTTGCTGTACACTATTTCTATCGTCGAGGAGGACGATTGTGGATCTTAATTTTCACACTAAGCAAGCAAAAGCGATCCTCTCGTCACCTTAGTAAACCCGAATTTTACTCCGGAGCATCTGCTTGTGGGGAGCGTATCGGTATTCCCTTGCTTTGGACCTTGCTCGTGAATAGGCCGCTATGGCACCCAATCAAGGAGTCGACGGATGATAGAGGGGTCTGCGATTATAATAAATGTCAGGCTTGAAACCAGATATAGTGTCTTATTTACGAAGATATTTTCCAGATAGAACTCAAAGGTCGATTATGTACCACGCAGCTAAAACTAAGTAAGTTAAACAGCTTACTCATACGAGGTATGGATGAAATAAAGGAAAATATGTATGATGGGTATGATAGCTGCAGCAATCATCGGCCATCACCCTATTGTTACATTACCTCTACAGGCATCGCCGCGTATCTAGAGAAACAGGTGATTCTCGACTTATTCGCTAAATGTACCTATATGACGATCATTTAGTAGCCAATAGATAAGCCTAGTTGATATCGCTACCGGTAATGGTAAGAGTCGAGGTTCTTTCAAGAACCTGGGAGGTTTTAGTATGGGGCATTTCCCCTAGCTCCCGCTGTGGAACACCCGCATGTGGAAACACCCGTAACCTTAACAGGGATCAGATAGGGCAGCAGAGAGAAAGGATAACCCGGAGGAATTTGCAACCTGAACAGTCTTGGAACCTTGGCACCTATCAGAATAAAGCAGTCGCAGTTTGACAGTTAGTGTCCGCATACTTGCGAAGTGTTCTAGATGGCTTCTACGTGTATCGCTTTAATTAATTAAATGCACTTGAGGTACCTACCTATCTCAGCTGAGGTTGCAAAGTTGAAATAAACTTAAGCTTTCGTCAACGTCACTATTGAGGCTGAAGATGTGCAGCTTATAGGTCAGCATCTGTTTCCGGTACCACCTACCTACCTAGGTAGTGAGTAAACGCCTCAGTTGCCCTTCTAGGTGCCATGTAAATAATCTGATGGCTCGAGGAATTACTGTACCTAACTTTGATCAGATAGTGACAGGATACCTAATTTAAACTTCCGAGTGCCCCACATCATGTTACCCCTATTTTCCCCCTCTCTTTACTTTACCTAGCACTCGACATACAGATAATGTACGTTGGTAGATACAATTGACCTTTTTGGACCGGATCTCGCAATTGGAACAATTTGATTCGTCTCATAAATATTTCAAAAAGTAAGTAAACATAAATATCCTGACATGTCTAAGTACACGTAATACCTTCAAAGAAACTAACTAGATGTGCAATTTGACTTAGGCTAAGGTTTCGAACCATACCTTTAGAGCATACTAAGGTTACTGGGTACCTAGGTGTGTAGCTTGTGTCTTTATTTACTAGATATGCAATTATACGCAAGATGAAGAGAAAGGTCCTTCGCATAGCGCGCCTTCTTCTCGGGTTCCCGTCAAAGAAACATAGCATTCCTTGGCGCTCCGGCCCGGGACCCCCTAGTCCTCGTGGACCGAACCGGCCGATGTCTCCTATAACTGCACCCCTGGACCGACCTTCGGGATGAGAGGATCTGACGACTGTGGATGCAATTGTCCTTCAAGGCCCAAAGGATCCCTCATACTGGGCCCTTCGCCTCTTCCCTGCCTACATATGTATGCCGAGGAGACGGATGTGCTGCAACCGTAAAACATGACCAGTGCGATGGTGAGTGCGAGGATAGTGGTGAATAACGCTTTCGGTGAGTTGGCTGCAATTGGCCTCGCCGCAAGACCCTTCGACGACCCCGGACGGTCCCGCGGGCCACATCATGCTGAATAGCGGGGCCCTGTCACATATTCCCTAGTTGGCAAGTCTTGACTCTAGCATATGACCGATCCGAACTAGACTACGATGATTTCCTCCGCGGGAAATGCATTTTCACATCAGTTAATAGCAGGCATCCCATTCCCCTGGGTCCCACTGCTGTGAATTCTTCGTAGATTGTTTCATTGCACAATCCTTCACTCGGCGGCAACCGAAAATAGTGCTTATTCCCTAGCCATGTCGTTCCCGAAGGTAGGCCAAGGTCATTCCTCTACCGACATCGATTAGACCTCCACGCGGGGGTAAATTACGGCTGGCACGCTCTTGAGTTAGATCACTACCAGAAGTAGTTGTTTGTAATCCTTTGCTGATTGCGGATCCCTCTGGTGGTAGAGTCTAGACCATGGACTATGCTTCTCGGAACAGTACGACTCTCCGCATATGACTGGACCTGGGTGTCTTGTCTCATTACAGGATTCTTGATCGACCCTGCGGGCGCTTGCAACATACATATCACTTACAGATTTATCGGTCGTTTTCCCTGATTATCATTGTACACTCCACCCCCCGGAGCTCCGATGCCGATTCCAGGTATTTACTAATGTTATTCGCGGCTACACCTATTACTTTACTGCGACTTGATTCGTGCAGTCGCTTCACGTGGTTCTCGCTAGCTTGTAACCAAAGTCATTCATGGTGAATTATCCTGGTCATCGAGTGGGAGTGCAGACATCAGTGGACTTAAACCAACGTTAGCAATATCGATGCCCTATCCCTCGCCTGAGCATCTATGGCACTTATCTAGAATCAACTGTTTGTTAAAATTGTTAAAGCTTAACGAGATAACTACATACTACTTGTAGGATAAGCTTGTAGTGGCTGATATAAATTGTAAGATAATTTTCCTCAATTATTCGTCTGGTTTTATATAAACCTGAATATTGAAAACCCTTCATTGCGTATAAAAAATTCTTATACTGCTAGAGCGCTTTGGGTGTGGTTTACTTTTTACTGTTAGTTTGGCTTGCTCCGATGGCGGCTGAGGTAATTACCTCGGTACTATAGGGAGGTGTGAAGTTCCAGGGTGCATCGCGTACGCAGCTTTTACTTATTTCGGAGGTTAGTCTATGAAACACCTAGCCTTTACGTTGCAACAGGACATTAATCGTCAAGCTCCCTGTTGCAAATCAAATTTCGTAAATAAGTGTTCCGTCTGTTGTGGCAATATATTAAAGATTTCCAGCCGTATACAATTCCTTGGTCACCTCCTGTAAGGCACACGTACTTGGGGTGGACGTGGGTGGCGTTCGAGGCCTATGGTAGATCATAGGTATCCGGCTGCCCGGTAGGTACCCTTAGAAAGATAGAAAACTCAACATACATAGCTATACCTTTAACTACATATGTAAACATTGAATAGGTACATACCTACTTAGGTATGTATCAGAAACAGCAAACCTACATCGTCCATTGCTTAGGCGAGTACGTGTAGCAAGAAGACCAGGTGCTATGAGTGGTAGATTGATGTTGTATTCTTCTAAGTTCTAAGGTAATTAACTTAAGGTTCAACAAGGTGTTCTCTAATACTAAGGATGTCACATGACAGTATGTGTCGAAAATATTTCAGGTATCGTACTAGGTAGGACTGTGGACCCACTACTTACGTAAGGCTTTTCCGCCAAGAAATTTCTTTTCGTCACTTCCCAATTACCTAAGCAATTAAGGTGTTCACCTCACAAACTTTGCTTCAGCGCGCATCCTTGCAACCACCTAGTACTAAACGGTATAGTAAATTTCAAGATAGTCAATTTTGCGATGAAGTTTGTTCTTCCGCATCATTCACCATCTTAATTTACTTGATTTTCCAGCTCCTTTCTTTTTCTAACGACTTTTCCGCATCGCTCACAAGTTCTTTACGACCATATACGACCCTGCAGCATACTATCTTCCAACTTTTCGGCCCATTCCTACGATTGCGACGCGGTCGCACACGTAGCCAAGATGCCTGTCGTAAAGGGAGGAGTTTGGACCAACATCGAAGATGAAATTCTGAAAGTGTCCGTCTCGAAGTACGGTCTAAATCAATGGGCGCGTGTTTCCTCGTTGTTGCCACGAAAGACCCCGAAGCAATGCAAGGCGCGATGGAACGAATGGCTTGACCCAAGCATTAAGAAGATCGAATGGAGCAAGGAAGAGGATGAGAAGCTATTGCATCTAGCTAAGTTGATGCCCACACAATGGCGAACCATCGCTCCTATCGTCGGCCGTACCGCGAATCAATGCTTGGAACGCTACCAGAAACTCCTCGACGAGGCTGAGCAACGGGAGTCGTCCGGCCTGGGACTTACCGGCCCCGAAGGTGGCGAAACACAAGCACCCACAGCCGATGATGTACGACGACTCCGGCCCGGCGAGGTTGACCCGGATCCGGAGAGCAAGCCTGCGAAGCCTGATACCATCGACCTCGATGAGGATGAGAAGGAAATGCTGAGCGAGGCGCGTGCTCGCTTGGCGAATACCCAAGGAAAGAAGGCTAAACGAAAGGCTCGAGAACGTCAACAAGAAGAGTCTCGTCGACTTGCTGCTTTGCAGAAACGGCGAGAACTGAAGACTGCTGGCATCAACATTAAGGTGGTCACGCGCAAGAAGGGGCAAATGGACTACAATGCAGACATCCCGTTCGAGAAGGCACCCGCTCAAGGTTTCTACGATACTACAGAGGAGATGACTCGAAACGAAAAGCAACGAGCAGCTTTTGACCCCCGTAAACAACAACTTGCTAGTAAGAGGAAAGGGGACGAGAACGATGAGTCCGAGCGAAAAAGACGGAAGAATGACAAAGAGGCCCCTTCCGCCTCTATGCAGGCCGCCTTAAAGGCTGGACAGATGCAGAAGATCCGCGAAGCTGAGCAGAGCAGTAAGAGACGAGCTCTCGTCCTTCCATCCCCCCAAGTGAGCGATGGCGAGCTTGAAGACATCGTCAAGATGGGCATGATGGGCGAGCGCGCGAATTTGCTTGCTCAGAATAGCGAGAATGATGCTACCAGAGGACTCGTCAACACGTACTCTACTCTTAACTCGCAAACTCCCATTCGCACTCCTATGGCACCCCCCCAGCAAGATCGAATTGCGAACGAAATAAAGAATATTCGAGCTTTGACCGAGAACCAGTCGGTGTTATTGGGAGGTGAGAATGCCGATCTTCAAGAAGGCACCGGCTCTACTGGGTTTGAAGGGGCCGCTCCTCGAAAGCAAGTCATGTCGACCCCTAATCCTTTAGCTACCCCTCTACGAGCTGGTATGAACGGCGGAGGTGCTACTCCTCGGAGGCCAGGACAGACCCCTCTTCGTACTCCTCGAGACAACTTTGCTCTCAATTCTGGAGATGAGGAGATGTCTATGGTCGGAGGCACCGCCAAGGACATGCGACTAAGGGAGTTGTCAGTGAAGCATCAACTCAAGCAAGGCCTCGCTTCTTTGCCAAAACCAAAAGAGACGGAATGGGAACTTGAGATCCCCGAGGAGCAGCAGGAAGCTATGGATGTAGATGAGACAGAGGAGGACGCGGAAGTACGAGACCAACGAGAGCGAGCTATCAGAGAAGCCCAAGAGAAACTAGAGCGAAAGCGACGCACGCAAGTTATGCAGAAAGAGCTTCCTCGACCGGAATCTGTCAACGTGGAAGCCCTCATTCAAAAAGCATCTACGATTCCTGATCCTATTGAAGCGCAGATTGCTAAAGAGGCTGCCTTACTTATTGCAAACGATGCCGTAAAGTTCCCTATTCCGGGCTCAAAACCTAGCGTCGGTCCCGCCCGTCTACAGCAAATTGATGACGTCTCACTGGATGAAGCGCGCTTGCAGATCCTTATGGAAGTTAAGACCAAGCCCCAGCCGGAAGAAATTCAAGCATGCTGGGAGCGAGAGGGCAGCAACGCACTCCTGGGTCTGGGCTGCTATGAAGACGACGAGGAAGAACAGGTGGCAGCTATGAAAGCAGCCCTTGAGGTAAGTTTGAGCATAGTCCCGACTTATTATGTAAGCCCTTGCTAACAATAATTCCTACAGTCAGTACAAGAGTCCACAATGGAGACTGCCGAAAAGTGCTCGAAGCTTGAGAAGAAACTGGCGCTCCATCTAGGAGGTTACCAGCAGCGAGCCAAGACACTCAGATCGAAGATGGGCGAGGCGTATGAGGCACTTCAGAAAGCCAACTTCGCTCTAAGCGCATTCAAAACGCTAGCAGTATCAGAGGAGATCGCTGCTAAAAGCCGTCTGGAAGTTCTCAGGGAAGAGGTCGGCCATATCACTCGCCGAGAGCGCGAGGCGCAGGAGGCGTATCGTCAAACTAAGGAGGAACTCGACAGCTTCACGAACGGTGTTAATGGATTCCATTAGCTTCCTGATCCTCAGGCTAAAAAAAAAATGATCCGAATAGAGGCTTGTATTTACATTATTTGCGCGTGCCGTTTCCACGACCGACTCCGCAGAGTAGCATTAAAAGAAGGGGACACGCGAATCTATACATTGATTTTGCTAAGCTGTGTGGTACAGAAGGAAAAGCATTGGGTGCAAGGTTATTTGCATATGTCTTCACTAACTCCGACGAGTGTGAAGGGAGAGACGAGGGGCTGATTATAACAGTATGTCCTCTCATGGAAAGAGAATGCCCGAATCATTGCAGTGTACTGTAATCCAAATCGTCCGAGGCACGGTAATAATGCAATGAATTACAAAAAAATCCCAATAATAACGCTACCTATCTAAACCATTTGCTAACGTACATCCTAATGATACCCATAACCCGAAATATGCGTGACATGCATGCCCTAATTATTTTAACCAGCCTCCAAATTCTCGTCTCATAATACCTTAGATACCTAGGTACCTAACCTACCTAGATCTATGCACTTTATGCACCTTATAACATAACGTCTCGTCAGATTTTCTAGCTCTCTAATCTTTTTTTTCTCGCACCTCCTATTTCCTACCACCCAACCTAGGCAACTTAACAGGCACAATCATAAGCACGCTAACGGCAGCGAAACCCACGAGGCACAGGAAAGTAAGCCGGACGGCGGACTCGTAGCTAGCGACGACCTGGTCCTTGAGTTCGCCGGCGGGCAGCGCGGCGACGGCCTCGACGCTCTCGCGCACGCGCTCGACGAGGGCGGCCTTCCAGGCCGCGGGGTCGGGCACGCCGGCGGGCGGGACGACGTACTCGGCGAGGAAGCGGCGCAGCGCGTTCTGCAATACGAGGGAGGAGAAGGCGACGCCGAGGACGGAGCCGAGGGCGCGCCAGAGCACGAGGGTTGAGGTGACGACGGCTTGCTCGCGGTGCTCGCTCGCGGCGAGCACGGCCATGAAGGTCCCCGGGAACTGGAACCCCTGGCCGATGCTCGAGGGCACGAGGCAGAGCAGGTACGCGAAGAGCGGCCAGCCGCGGCGCATGGAGGAGAGGAGCATGGTGCCGAAGAGGTAGAAGAGCGTGCCGAGGGTGAGCGGCCACTTGAGGCGGCGCGTCCAGGATATGAGGAACCCGGTCAGCGTGCCGGCGGCGCTGGCGGTGGCGACGGGCACGACGAGGTACAGGCCCGAGGTCGTGGCGCTGGTGAGGAGGACGGCCTGGAAGAAGAGCGGGGTGTTGAAGAGGATGGCGTTGAGGAGGAAGGAGGCGATGAAGTTGGAGAAGATGATGTTGGCGCGCGGGGAGCTGTGGAGCAGGATCAGGGGCATGATGGGGCGCTCGTGCTTCGATTCCGCGTACAGACAGGCCGGGAAGCAGATGGCGAAGATGATGAGTGAGGATAGGACGAACGGATGAGTCCCTTATGCGTATGTTAGTCTTTAGTATTCTCGCTAGTTGGGTTGAAAGAACGCGATCAACTTACAGGGCAGTACATTACCTCCGAGGTTCTGTGAAGATTGAGTTAGTAAAAATAGTCACTATAATCGTTGCGTATCTTCAAAACAAACGTACCAATCCTAATATGAGAAACGTAGTAGAAATGGTTAGGAGTATCGATCCTCGGAAATCAAAAGCTTTCATAGCCTCCTTGAATGACTGATGCTTATTCTGCAGACCGAGATCCCCCGGGATGCCGAAAAAGGCTACGACGAAGCAAAGGACGATAGGAAAAACCTGGATGCCGAATTCCCATCGCCAGCCGAGACTGTCTGCCATCAGACCTCCCAGAGCTGCGCCTAAAGCTGAGGCTAGTCCGTACACAATGTTGACGTAGCTTTGGTAAGAGCCACGGCGCCTTTTAATGCTGATTAGCGATATTTCACCCAAAATAAACCATAGCCTCCCTGGTGACTAAAAGCCGTGTAGAATGATCCGAAGAACTTACTCGATGGGTACCAAATCGCTAATTATAATACTCCCCATGCCCAACACACCCCCAGCACCGAGTCCGCACGCAGCCCTGGCGAGGATGAAACCTGTCATGCTCTGCGCCAGCGCGCACCATAGTGTCGCAAGCGCGAATATGACCGTCGTAGCGAGGTACGGCGGCTTGCGGCCTATAGTATCAGATAGTCGGCCGATCACGGGCTGAAATGCCGTGCTCGTGAGTAGAAAAGCGGTGGATAACCAACTAGCACTGTTGGAGCTATGGAAATAGCTTGTGATGACCGGGTGAGACGACGCCATGATAGTGCCTATTCCGTGTTAGAACCAAATTTCAAAATTGATAAGGTATTTAAGGATTATATATATTCTTTTTAGCAATAAGGCCCAAATATCATGCGAATGACCCTAGCTGCTGAAGTTAAGAGACATTCGAGTAATAAATTTAAGAGAAATGATATAAACATGTAATGAAAATAGCAGGATCCTCACCATCAAAGCAAGCTATGAAATGCGTAAGCATAATGCTTAAAAACACTATCCAAAACCTCCGTCTATCCGTATCGATGAGGAACGAAGGTTGCGATTTGTCATGTTCGACATGGGCTGATTCAAGGTCGCCGTTTAGACTCCCTTCCGACGACGGCGAGTCGAGGAGTTCCCGGTGAATCTGATGATGCACGTTGAGTATAGGTCTGGGAGATATCGAGACCATGCTCCGGTTGGTGGTCGACGCCCGCCGTGCCGAGCTTCGCGACCGCCTCCGCCCCCTAAGCAAGGCCGACTCGAAGGATTCGGGGGCGAGCCCGGACCCCGTGGACGTATAGCTGCGCGCGATCAGCAGGTCCGCCTCGTTCGGGTCCAGGTCGTCGCTCGAGCTCCCGTAGTCGTCGTCCACCGTGCCCGTCCGCGGAATCGTGATTGGTCCGGGTTCCTGAGTGTACCTGGTCCTCGAATCCCCGAGGAGCGCCGTCCACTCAGACGCAGGCTCGGGGTCGTGCCCGTACGACCGGGCGCCGCCGCCGTCACCGTTCCTCATAGGTGTCATGATTTCTGTGCGAGATCGCCAAGAGATCTCTCAAAAAAAAATCCGTTAGGCCTAGTAAGGTGTCTCAAGCTTCACTAGCTCGCCGGGTTCATTTGGGATCCCCAAGATCCAATGACCACACTAAGCACCGTCAAGGTTCAATTTATACCTATGCGGTTGGTTTTCCCTCGGAAAAAAAAAGGAAAAAAAGGGAAAAAGGTGTGACGGAATCCTCTAGTAGTCGGACAAGTGACAGCAGTGAAAAGTCAATTAATAGCGAAATTCCCGGACAGAGGAATTGGGCAAGTCGGTGAGAGGAATAGAAGGAAAAGAGCTCATCAGTGGCACCTGCGCGGGCCTGGAAAAGGGAAGTTATAGTACACGATAGGCGCCCGTAAGGTAACCAACCGTGGTTCCTACGTTCTACTGCTTGTAGGAAGTGGGTGGTGTTAATGCATGGCGATCCCGCGTTATGCGGGGAACCGTTTTAGCGCCGAGGATCGGTAAGTTAGGTGTGCCCCATGACTCCGTTGGAGTTCGCCGGTATAGGGAATAGCAAGCCCTATACGCCCTAGTTAGTTCTAGTCTGAGCCTCACTCACCATCGTCTGCATGGGGACACCGGCAACCTAGCCGGGTAGGTGAAGTGACAAGATCGAGCACTAAATGTGGCAGTGCTCATGGTCTTTTGACAGGCCTCATGCCGCGACAAGCGAGTTTTGCTTGTCCTTTTTCTTTGACCTGCCTTAAATGAAGATGAAGCTTTGCTCTTGTGGCGCAAGTTATTGTTATCCCTAGAACGAGGCATTCCAGGAAATGCTGGTCAAATGCTAAGGTAGGGTTTACCAAAGTGTAAATATGGATAACACCAAAATCAATGCTAGATGTAAAAAAATGCATGTCTTATGGAAAACACTGTTGCTATAACGAGATGTTGTGGTCACCTCGATACCCAATTCCGCCCTTCTACTATGGTACGAACATAGCCTCGCCTCTCCCAACTCCAAAATATCCCAGTCTATAATGTGATGATGACATTAAACGCCAGTGCCCTGAGACTTTGCCTGAGAAGCACCGCATAACACACCGGCGCCAGTAATTCCACCATCGTGACAAGGACTCAATACGACCCTAACCGGGGCGTCCTCTCCAAATTCGGCCTCAATGATAGCATCGAGGAATTTTTGACAGTCTGCCAAATAATCTTGAAAATGCACGATGCAACCTCCTGTGTAACCGACGATCAGGTTAACCTTGGGTTGTCGTTCTAGTTTGGCCTGGCCATTCGTAGAATCTCGAGGCGGCTCTCGCGGAGGGATATCCCCTGCACATATGAGCAATCCGATAACAGCCGCGGCGACGATACCGGCAGCTCTAACTTCGATAGCCTTGGATATCTTATATAAAACCAGCGCGATTTCCTCCGTCCATCGAAAAGAATCTGTGGTCGAGGATGGAAACTCAGCTTCGAGCTTCTCTAGCAGTGCAGTCGCGTTCGGTGGTCGGAAATGGCTCAGGAATGTGGTCGTGAGGCCGAATCGTGTTAAGAGCCGTGGGGGTAAAGTGTGTGCCGGGATGTCTAAGTGATGCTCAAGATAATCTAATAACATCAGGCGTCCAAGTTCGCCCAGATATCGTCCCGATGTCATATACTCTAGCGGTTGGAAGCCGGGTGCCTCGCCTTCGGAATCCAGTTTCGTATCCCACTGGCTGACCAAGCCAAACTTCCGCAAAGGTGGCGCAGTTCCATTGATACTCCACTCGGTATTCACCGCGATCTTCATGTCATCGGTCGAATCTCCGTTCAGAACCTTGACTTTTCCGAGTTGCTTATCTTTGTGGAGGGTGCTTCTCTTCAGGGGTATTGTCGCGTTACTTCCGGTTCCACATATGAGTCCCATCGCTGCTTTGTGAGTGCTGTCCTCCTTGGATTGATATATGAAGGACACTAAAGTCGCAACTGCGTCATTCAAGATGGCTGCGACTTTGATGGGAGGTAAGTCCGGGGTTTTGGATTTCTCGTATCCATTAATTAAGTGAGTTCCCAGATGCAGACGGGTCGTGATGGCAAACCCCTTTCCCATAGCCATCAGCGTCGCATCGGATAAAGTATCCTGTACCATCGGAAAACTGAATGTAACCCCCATGGGAAGTTCGAGATCGCGAGGTAGATTGAATTCCTCGCACCCTTCGCGTACGACTTCTGCAATACAGCTACCTATCCATGTAAACAATGAATCGGCATTTTCGTTCTTAAGGACTTCCAGGATCGGCCACGACTTCTCGAGTACTCGACGAATATTAGGTGATGACTCCGAGTGCGAGTTTTTCAGGCTGCCGTTTGCACCATTAGAGCCATTGGCGACGCTATTGGCACCATTGCCATTCACACCGATCTCATTTCCCAATAACTCGATGAAGCCGACTCTCAAATTAGTACCACCACTAATAAACATTAGTGAAAACTACACGAGCAATGATTTCAATTGACTAGGCGCGTACATGTCGATGGCTAGATATCTGTAATACAAGTTAGCTTATTGAAGATATCTTGACATCTGACGTGGAACTCCAATGTGAAATAGTTTTAAGCTTGGACTTATAACAACACCGAACCGTAGACTAGATTCTCAAGCAACTTACCTTCCCTTCTCTCTTCCCGCAGTAGGCCGTAATATCGACTCAGATATCGGGGTTGGGAGGAACTGGTCCAATGAGTCGGCGGATAAATGTTGAAATGATCGGCATAGTTCATGCGCAAGTGCGTGTGCCTTTGCCTCATCAATGAACAGAGGCTTGAGAAAACCGTCTATATCGTTCTTCATGGCTGCGCTTGGGTGTGTCTGTTGTAGATTCTCTGTGTCCTACCTAGGTAGGGTTGTTTAGAGATATGGATGTAAATTATAGAATTATAAGTTTAGTAGATCAAGGACACGATGATGACGTCGATGTCATGTCTACGATGAGACGTATGTAGAAGTCGGAATGCTATGTTAAATTCGAATAGGTAAGGTACCTCAGTTAGGTATGTAATTATGTAAAGCGCCGAATATGAAGAATATGAAGATGTATTTATTATCGTAAACGTAGTCGTAGTCGTAGTCGCATAAATGACTCGGAAAAGTGAGTCGTCGTGATCGAATAGATACAGCTCACTACCTCTTAAGGGGTGAGTATGCGTATAAGTATATATGTATTATATGTCTGGCGGTTTCAAGAGACTCGATTCAGGATGTCGATGAATTGGATCGATAGTAAGAGTCAGAGAGAACTGCCGAATCAGCAGCTCTAGATTTCTAGAAACGTTACAGTTGCAGGGATATAATTGGGTACCGGAGTAGGTACATGCGTGGGTAGTTCCGTAGGCACGGAAGGGATGAAGGACGCTGGTAATGCTGGCAACCACCTAACGATGGTCGAAGTATAGTTGAAGTATATATATTTAGGTAAAAGCAATAATATCGAAACATCAGGTAGTTGCCCCCCTAAGACATCACGAAATAAGTAAGAGATTGGTAACGTTGAACCATACTAACTTTGAAGTAATCGATATCGATGGTGTGGGTTCCTCGAACTTTAGAGGCTAGATGTCAAGATTTCTAGTCTGATGCCCACTCAGAAACTCGTAATCGTTCTCAGTCCTATCCTGTACAATCGAATCATTGAGTTGTACTTCGTATCGCATTTTTTGAAAGCAGGGTCGGCCTTCAGCCACATTATGCCCCACGATTCTAGATACAATCAGGCATGCACCCCAAGTACCCCTAAGTACCTCCCTGTTTCTTAGAGCCTACGGCGCCTGACTCGGTCGGTTTGTACATCTGTAGCGGTCGCACCATTCCTATACACGTTAGCGCATGCACTGAGCATGCACTGAGCAACGTTCGCAGGTACGGGGGGCTACATGAGCTCCAGTACTTGGCAAAGACCTGCAGGAAACAATTAACCGTCAATTTATGGTTTATTTATTTAAACCATAAATATATGGTTTATTTTAATTTGACGTTTACTTATCAGAGCGTTTATAAAATTAAACGATTGCTTGCATTCTATTGTTAAATATTTCTAAACGTTCGAGTTTCAACGACCGTTTCTAGTTGACGATAGCTTCAATAGGTGTGTGTAACCACTTTGGTATCCTGATCTATCCTAGTCTATCCTGATCTAGGTGTGTGTAGCCATTTTGATACTTTGAACCTTTGATCCTAAGGTGTGTGTAGCCATTCCAATCGTTCTAGTCTAACTGTTTTGATCTTGTTGTGTTACTTGCCTTCGAGTTCTATATAATAAGACTTTGCTCCCACCCACCTACTTACACGCCTTCTTCTTCTTCAAAACTTCAAGTGCTCCAAGGTCCAGTCTTTGAAGAAGTCTTCAAAAACCTACCTACCTACCTACCTAGGACCCACCAGGATCGTCTCCAGAAACTCCAGGAACTCTGTGACTGACTGACTTGCCAGCAGTGCTCGATTTTGAGCCTCAACTGCGTGGCCAGGTAAGTAGGTATTGCAGTAGATATACTGCAATAGAGGTAAGTCTGTGATTGTAGATATCGTAGAAGGCCTGCTTGGCCTGGCCTGAATAGATTCAACCTGACCTGACCTGTTTACCTGTTTACCTGTTTACCTGTTGGTCCCAACGTTACACCTGCTCCCGTCACTCCCGTTAGCTCCCATGGCCTTCCCGTCTAAGTACATCTCAAGCTTCAAATAAACGATTAAATATTCAAACGTTTTAAGTTTCTTCAAATATTAAAATGCATATAAACGTTTATATAAAAATATGGTTACTCAGTGGTTTGTTTTTCTTAAACGTTTATTTTTTTCAAACCATAAATTAACTGTTAATTAACGGTTAATTGTTCCCTGCGGATCTTTGGACGGTACCGGCAGGAGGCTCATCTTATCGGGAAAGGGGTCCCTCGTTCAAATGTTGGACCGGTTCCAATCTAGGCTAATCCCGTGCCTAACGCTGATCACGATCGACTCTTTGCATCACTAATCATCATACCTACCACCGCCATACACCAACGACTATTCACTTAGTTTTACTGCTTTTAGCTACAGTACTTCTTTCTTTTTGGTACACACGATATGTATCGTTGGACTTGTCGATAGATCTCACATTTTCACCACAAGCTTAATTAATAGACCAAACGAACAACATGGCTGCTAAGATCAGTCTTCCCATCACGGAAGAGAAACGGCCGATGCAATGCCGCGCCCGACGTCGATGCCGGCCACTCCTACTATCAGCCCTCATCGCCACAGTCCTCTATGCAGTGTGCAACCTCCGAGTCATATCGTCTTATGCCGTTCTTTTCGTTCCAGAGTCAGCCCAGTCGCATCTATCCCCGACGACCGACCGACCTATATCGGTAGACCGAGAGCTCGTTCCGCTCGAAGCACATATCATGAGCAAATGTCCCGACGCTAGGGACTGTCTTAAAGACCTTGTGCTTCCTGCTATGATGCGTGTGTATGAAAAAGTCAACTTTACCTTATCGTACATTGGGACACCCACAGAAAACGACGGTGTAGACTGCAAACATGGCCCTGGAGAATGTATGGGAAATATTATCGAACTATGCGCGCATCATCTATATCCGGATCCCAAGATCTACCTCGGCTTCACCATGTGCTTGACGAAAGACTACAAGATGATTCCGCAGCGGGAGCTAGTCGAGGACTGCGCTCTGGAACATGCTATTGACTTTGAGAAATTGAACGAATGCGCTACTAAGGATAACGGGGCCTACGGTATAGAACTGTTGAGACAAAGCGTAGCAAGGACCTCTAGCGTAAGTTTCACGGAAATTATGAAAATCGAAATCAAAGAGGATATTTCTAACTGATCCATTTATTTAGGCGGGCGTTACCAAGAGCTGCACGGTCCGATTGAACGAGGAAGTATATTGCATCAGAGACGGTGGGGAGTGGTCAGATTGTGACCACGGGCCGGCCGTGAACGACCTTATTATTGCGGTTGAGAAGCTCTACCAGAGCTCTTAAGTGGTTCGAATATTTCCGTCCATAAATCCGATGCCTCACCCAGCGTGTAACTTAGCGAAACACTATCCATACCTGTCTCACTGTCTCCTGACATGCATTCGAGCTGTTCGATGATGCTGTCTAATCCGATCGCCTTTCCGACCGATTGAGTAGCAGTCGCCTCTAGCATGACGTGTACAACGTGGATATGAAAATGGTAATATGTTGGATGGTAATGACAGAACAGCTTCAGCTGATCTGTGTCGATCTGAGGATACGTCTTGACCGTGGCGTCTATGAGTTTGGCCTTCATGTGTTTAAGCCACGGGATATGTTTCTTTTTGAGGTCTCGCAGGCTCCAGATATCTCGTCTTTCGACTATACCCAGTAAATGCAATGCGTCGATTGTTTTCCGATCCCAGTGGAGGTTTGGCAGCATCAGGAAACCTTCGTCTCCGTCTCTTCCCAGCGGCGTCCTGTAAATAACGTCTTCGACTTCTTTTCGCCCTTCGATAATGTTGAAAACCCAGTTTAATCTTCCTTCCTCTCGGTTCGTCTGCATATATGGCCGCACCTTTTCGTGGTAGATTTCCGGTGTCTCCGTGACGAAGCGGAAGCCTTGTCTGCTGTGCTTCTTAATGTGCTTATCTGTGCAGGGACAGATCATAGAAATCTTGAAATCGGCAAATCTGTCGTTCTCATTGTCCTTGAGAATAGGTCCGCCCGAGGCAAGGAACCAAGAATATATATCATTATTTCCCAGGTTCGTTATACTTCGTAGGTTGGCGGGCAAGACAGAGAGGTACTCTTCTGCGTCGGGGAAAGGGGCACGCTCTATTATTAGGAGGGCGGGTTGCGAGTCGACATGTCCGTATAGCGTAATGTCCCGCCCTCCCGCATCTTTTCAAAAACTGTTAGCTTTTCTATTCTATAATCCATCCGCGATATACCAGCGTCGAACGATACTATTCCGCATGCTAGACACTATTTTGGAGGGACTAACAATGAAGACCCCAGTCATTATAATCTCATACCTTGGTTCAATATGCGCTCGAAGTGAAATTTAGGAATTAGCGCCTCAGCGCGACGTTTGTTTTCTTCTGAAGTCATGCTTGAAGACGGTTGCGCGTTCTGAGTTGATAAGAAGGAAGTCCGGAAGATGTTAAAATAGAACGACCCTTGACGCTGGACTGTAACTTCTTATCGGAGCTACCCCTCAATCGATATGAACGGGTAGGTGCAGCAAGAAAATGGGTCAAGCCCAGCCCCGCGGGCCGTGCCTCCTTGGAGAAAGCAATCCTTCGGATCCGAAAGGTAGGTACCTAGTACGTACATATTTCGTTTATATCTAACTTCCTTCTACGCACCTACATATCATACCTATCAACGAGTTGACAAGATTCCGGTCAAATCTTGGTATCTATCCGGGCGCCTATCAGTTAGGTCGTTACCAAACATGAAGACCTTGAAAGCCATTAATAGCGTGGGTATTAATGAGATTATACTCTCAAGAGAATACTGAAACACCGACGTCACGCTTTAGTTCGATCTCACACTTAACATCACCTCAACTTAGATCAAGTCATCTATTTACTTCCAGCCACTCGGAATTTGCCTTGAACCAGGAACACTAGTCAAGGAATAAGAATTCCGAAATGTAACCTCTACTGTCCGGCATACAACTGGCCTTACGTTACATGAGGCTGGGAGACTAGGCCTTATATACCATTAATATCCGGTCCCGAAACATAAGGCTTGAAGTCTTAGTCACTTCGGACATGGGAAACTTGATTGTGCGCGCGCGTTTCCCAGTCCTCCAACAATGAAGGGTGATGGAATTGAGAGATACAGAGGATGGCCATGACCCATTATGGAGCGGTGTAGCTACCAAATTACGCTGTCGAGGTCCACATTGTTCAGACTTCTTAGAAGAGAAGTTATAATAATGTATACCTAAGCATGGTCGCAATAGGCTGACACGGTTGCTAGTGACGAGGCACAGTCCACCATGATGAAACAACTCGGCGGCATGTCACTTGGCTGTCGGACCATGTCGCGACATTTTCGGGCCGGACACGTGCCTAGCCTTGCTATGAGTAAGAGCTCTTTCTAGGGGCATCATAGATGAAGTCGATGCTCCAATCAATTATTCTGCATTCTTCGTCGACAGTCTGACATTCGGTGTCTTAAGTGCTTACGTTCTACAGCGGCTCCGCATGTGCTCCATCGTAACAGTCGGCCCGTTCTCGGTTCATGCGAAGAATTTCCTAGCATAATGGTACGTGTCGTCCAAGAAATTACCAAAGTTATCGTGTTACTTATAACCCCATCTAGATCGACATACATGGTACCTTGATAGATTCAAGTAACGACGAGAAATAAAGTATGGTTACGGTCAGCATGGGAGATTGCGCCTTACAATGCTGACATGTTAAAATCATAATATTAAATGGATTGGCCCATGAACTCCATGCCTTCATACTTTCGCATAAGTTGATAATTTCATAAAAGCACTGAGCAATTCGCATTGATGACTTTACCGACGCTGACAACCAGCGTAACCGGAAGCATATAAACCAGTCTTGGAGAGGTCCGTCATTAGCCACGAGCTAGAAGGTAAGTATGAGTTAATCATGAAAAGGAATATCACTGTGCGGCCTAAGCCAAAGCTGTACCTCAAGTTTATCAATGAAGAGGTAGTTATCAAGCATCGTTTCCAATGTCAGTGTTGCTCGACAAGTTTCCATTTTATAGTTTTAGCTAATAGAAATTGAGCTTTGTATGTGCCTCAACAGTTCTTTTGAATAGGGGAGCTAATATCTAATATCATAAAAGGGGGATCGGATCTCAGCGTCAATACTTGCTTGGCGAAGACCTAACCCGACGATTCCCGAACTCCCTGAATGCTACAGAACATTTAATCAACGGCTAGACCTAGAGAAAGTAGGGCGCGTGTAAATGATTACCGGGGTCCAGGACAGTAAGTGTGTATGGTACTCAATGTTGTGGCACGTAGCACTGCATACCCGTTGTTTATGTAGCAGACATGTCAGAACCATAATATGCATTAATGACACCTGAATCTCAAATAATTATGATTCCTTAATTCCCAAGCGGACATGAGCTAGTGAAAAGGGGGTGCGAAACGGAGCCAGATATCTTTCTAACTACCTAGTCCAGCACGTGTACGCGGAGCTCCTTGGACTCCAGGCTCCCAAGTGTTCCTATATAGTAGGTAAAACAGCGCCTAGAGCTCCTGAGGATAGGTTGGAAAGGAGCATAGACCAGAGGGAAAACTAATATAATACCACATGTTTCTTACTGGTATATGTACCGGATTCTCCTAAAACAACGCCTCGCTCGTCCCCAAACATCCTCAACTATTCAAACAAGTACCCATTTACACACGTTGGCCTTTTTCCCAAACCTGATTCATTTATTGCCATCCGGGGAATCATTTTGGTCAAGCATTGGTTGAAATCAAGCCGCTCGATCCAATCCGTTTTGTGACGCCCTTGGAAAAAGTAAACGCCCAACGCCACCCCAATATTTACAATAGAACGAGGAAAACACGCAATGGTAGTTAAGTTCATAAGGCTAAACCCGTGCCATCTCCAGTCCATCGGTACAATGCAAGAAGCTCCCGGCGGCGTTGATGTTGCTCACCGAGGTCTTCGGGCACGCGGCCGCGAACTTGAGCTAGAGCACTACGCATCACCTTGCTGAAATTGCGCTAAGTAGAACGTTAGCGATATTTTGTAAAGATGTGGCGAGTGTATATTGACTTACCTGATACTCAGTGTTGAGAGTCACGACGCATGCTTCATGCGCGCGAATGATAGTCTCACAGGCGCGGACGACGCTAGCCGAAGCTTCAAGTTGTAATTTGTCGGCAATAAGTAGTAATAGGAATGAGCCTTGTAAAAGATAGATCCCAAAAAAGAATGGCATGAACTCAAGGCCGGGGTCGAACTCAAGAATGTTGCTAATAGCCTCTGCGGCAGACACGGCGTGTCCTGTGGCTGTAATGAAACCTTGTGATGAAATCCATAAGTCGTTGTCGTCAAGCAGGTTGATGGGGTCCCATTTTCCGGTGAGGAGAATGTGCAGTACATGCATGACGTGTGTGCCATATGACATGACAATGCGGGTTTGGATGTCAGATTCAGTCATCCGCGAAGAACTTGTGTGTACAGATCCCCCTGATGGCGAGCCGATCTGATCTAGCTCTGAGGGCATTTCTAAAGTTGCAGACTGCTCATTTTTCTCCTCAGAAGAATTGAAATGCCTTTGCTCAAACTTCTTTAGACTCTGTTCATATGCTTCAAGATGACGCACAATCTCGGCCTGCTGGTCGTCCCATTCCCTAGCCGAGCGGAACCCAATACCGAATCGAGGGTGGTTACGTGCGTGGTGAAGATCGACAATTTCGCCCAAGATCGTCATCAAAGGTAAGAAGTACCCGAAGATGCTATGGCCAGTGCACTCGAAATGCGGTCCACGTACCCGGTGACCGTCAGTCCCCGATTGCTCTGATAAGGCTGGGTCAGTTGTATGAGAATTGAAATTCCCGTTCTGCCATTCGGTATCATCCATAGGTTGGAGAAGACCCTCGCATTCGATGTCAAGGAGGAACAGTGGTCGATTGTAGCACAATGCTAGATGACGGTCCACGATGTATGTAAGCCACCAGATGCGTCGTCGCTCTTCTCGTTCCTCCTCTCCGACGGTCCCAGGGGCAACGTTATTACATAGTCCATCTTCGGTTTCCCCGTCAGCATCGACGTCGTTGCTGTTAGTACTTTGGGCCATGGAAGACACGCTTGGTGGTAATTCTCGGCCAAGTTTTAATTCTCTTGCAAGAGACCATGCGGCATTCCACCATCGAAGGCTGGCGCCCTTGTATTCGCTTGCGGAAACTACTGTAGCTAGGTGAATATAAGTGACGACGTCGTCGAGCGTCCCCGCGGCACCAAAAGCTCCGGATTCCCCCGTTAAGTTTTCTATGCTCATAGATCCTGGAAGGGCAACTCCTAAACCCCCCAAGGCAACGCCGTCTATGACCGGACTAGAAACTGGAGAAGCTTCCCCGGATGGTGTGTGTATTAATGGCTTGAGCAAGCTGACAGTAAGTTCGAGTAGCTTTTGGCAAATCTTGCCCCTTGCGGATGGGACACCAGTCAAGAACGGAGCGTCACTCGTCTGTGCGGCCACCCAAAGCATACTTGCTAATAATGCCGGCTGGCACTGTCGAGGTTTACTCGGATGTAGGAACGATCGTTTTCGAAAAACGAAGCCAAGAACGTAAGGTGACATAGGATGTGCGTGAGCGGAAGATGAGCTCGCGAAGTATAAATCGATCAAATCGCAAGCGAGGGAAACAGGAATGATGTTCCCAAGATGGGGTATCAGCGGATTGAGAACCGGATATCTTAGTTGGTGATGGTAATTATTTTGGGGAATATGAGATTGAAACTGTGGGGGAGGTGAAGACATTGACATCCATCCTCCCGGAGAGGTGGGCTCCCCACCAATTGGATATGCGCTAAGAGGACTGGTACCTATTCGGAACGTTGGCTGAGCATTCGCCGAGTAGTTGGTAGGACTCTGAGCCTGAAGTGCGTAGGGAATCTCTGGATAGTTTGAAGAGAGATTGCCCTGGTTAGTCCCGTATGCGTTGTGCGTAGATCCACCCATTAAATGTCCCATTCCTTGCCTATCATACGGGTTTTGAACATTCCCGTAGCCATTGAGATCTAGCGACGTAGGGCTATCAAGCTGATCCCTTTCCATGGCTCCTGGATGGCCTGTCAAATGCGGCTGGTGGGAATTTAGTTCTGCTAAACTGTCGAGGCTTCCTGTCCTTTGACTGCGCTGTATGGCATCTTCGCTGATGTCATTAAGCGCCTTGTCACTGGAGTTCGAGTGCTCTGGCTTCACAGATGATGCGCTATCTGTTTGTTGCTCCGTAGAAGGCTCGCTATCGTCGTTCTGGTTTGGAGATTTCTGTCCGTTTTGGGCGGCGGCGGCAGCGGCGGCCTGAGCAGCAGCTTGTTGGGCGAGATCCTTGCGGGAGGCCTTGCCTCGCTTCTTTCGTTCTCGGATATACTCACAGCCAAGCCCAAATTCTAATTCTATTAGTACCTTGATCTAGTCCTAGGATCTATCCGTATAGGTAATCACCAACCTATGCAATGAGCGCAAGGGTGCTGTCCATCACACTTGGTCCTGAGCTGGTTGCATTGGTCGCAAGCCCTGCTTATTCTTCTTCTAATAGGGCCGGCTGCTCCTGTAGCTCTTGTGCTTGGGCCCCCATAGGGATGCTGCCGATGCTTTGGCTGCGGTGCTCGGGCTAGATGCGGTGCGTGTACTCCTACGTGTTGTTGAAGGTGTTGTAGAGTGTACTGTGATCCATGACCGAAAGTATCCAGACCGGTTCCGTGAAGGTGACCTCCAGGTACATGAGCATTGGAGAGCAGTGTGTTAGAAGGCAGCGCGTGGTACGGTGAAAACCGCTGAAGTGGGTTAGACAACATATTCGAGTAAGCCGTGGCTGCGAATGTTACTCGATACGTCTTTGGTCAAAAGAATAGTCTGTCAACGATCTCGTCTAACCTTGTGTATCATGAACGAACGGAAACTTCAAATGAGTGCAAGCAGTTGGGCGAAGCGGGAATGCGTCTAAAATGCAGAAAGCCCGTCTCGTATCAGGAAGTGCGAGATAGCTTAAGCTATATGTTTGTCCAAGAGCGGTTGTAACTTACAGCTCTTGGCGAAGCGTAGCCCTTCTAGACAGCGGCACTTGTACGGACCGAAACCCTTTTCACTGTGGAGATCTAGAGACATGAGTATGACAGTATAGTCAACAGCATGAAGGAATCCAAAATAGGTAGTCAAATGGGATCGCCACGGTAGTATAACAAACGGCACTCGTTTGCACAGCACGGATGCAGATGGCATGTGGCGGGGTTGGAGAATAACAGGAGCAGCGAATCGACAACGGGTCGAGGACAGGGGTTAAGGGGGGTGAAGGTGAACATACAAGATACAGGATACGGGCGTGTTCCACGGCGCAGTGAACTTGACTCTCTGTCACTCTATACACGGCCCCTAGCAATAGTAGTACTCTTAAGTAAGGGACCACCAGAAAACTCGGAAGGACGGTGGACCAAAGGAAGTATAGAAAAGGTCTGGTCTAACCAAGGCAATCTTTCTTTAGGACTGGAGTATTGTCCTGGACGAGGGCAAATAAAGTCTGCGTCCTTGGCATGCAGGTAAAGAAAGGTTCCTGCTTGTCTCTGGGGGGTTCAATTGGAGAATAGGCACTCGTTTTCATCGGTGCAATATCGACAAGCGCAGGTAGATTGACGATGCAATATACAACGGCGGAACAGGTTCAAGGTGATAGAGCGACAAGATGGGGATGTGATATGTGACTTCTGGTCATTCTAGTAACAGCCTTCCTCAGAGGAATTTCTCCTCGGGTTATTCTACTATATGACCCGCTTTCTCACTCGAGCGTACGGCATGGGCTGGCTGGGTTGTGGGAAAAGCATACAGGGGTTTAGAATGGCACACAGGCGACGGTACCTCTCGCAGAAAAGACACATAAATTCGGACGACTAGGTGACTAGGACCGACTAGTCTACAAGCTTGTAGATGGGAAGATCTCGAGTCAGGAATAATGACCGAGAATAAGGCACACTAATTGAGCAGGGCCCACATCGGTGTGAATCCTTAGAATCAGACGACCTTCTTTTCTATATCTTCAAACAGACTGACAGTAGTAGGGTATACCAGTCAGTCCGTTGCGTATATCAGCTAGGTGAGCAGATTGAGGTGTGCTATTGGGGGGTGACAGGATGGGTAGCGGCATATTGCTATGTTGCAGCCTCATGTCCATCCAGCTCTCACACTTGTAGGAATTTCTCGCTTGCGAGTAGACAAAAAAAAAGTAGCTCGTTTCCCATCGTTGAGTAGGGCCGTCTGCACTGGAGTATCGGAGGAGTGTGGAGGGGACGAAGCGCAAGTGGTAGCCAAGGATGTGTCATGACTGAACTATGCCATCCCTGACACCCCAGCTGCCCAGTTGGTACGATGCTTGGCAAGCATGGGGTCCCGCGAATTTCCCCAAGTCGGACGGAAAGTAGCTTCATATTCGGGTAGGGTGTCGCCGAAGAATTCCTATCAGTTTTCAGCATAGTCTCACTAATAATTAGGCAGGTGCATCTTCTGGCGCTTGGTTTTTTTTTATTCTTTGGTTCCCTTTTTGTTCTCTTCCTCGTTAAGATGGCCCATTTCGCTACACACATGCCGGTGGCCATGACCACTGTGGCGGCGTCTAAAGCCGGCCGGCATGTCGATTGCCTAGGTACCTGGACATGTCTCCCTGTGCCCTCAATGATACCTTACGATATTTTTCATCTTTGCTAGGATCATCGTCTTTTTTGAGGTCATATCTTAGATCCTAGTGAGTTTGGAACTGATAAAAGTTTATTGCATGTTGACAGGTAAATCGGTGGTTTTGATCTTTCTCCACGATCTTCCTAATTACGACAGAAGATCGTACGGCGAAATGGTATGATAAACCTTGGTCTGTAAGTGTCTTAGGATATAGATTGGCCCACTACACACACATAGGACCGTATTAAGCAACCGGTGGCCAACCTCGAGTACCAGATTAGGGGTCCATGGTGTTGAAATGCTTTAAGATTGATTGTTCAGGAGGGTTACAGTGAGAGATATGGTCGATGTAGCCATTCGTCGATGAAGATCTCGGAAAGGGTCATGAGCTTTAAGTTGAAAAGTAGAAAATGGAATGGTCGCTGAAAGGTGTGGTAGGTTTTAAGTTGTCAGAATTGAAAGTGAATGCACACAGTGATTTAAACTGTGGAAAGAGCGGCGAGGTTGCCATTGTAACACATCATTTAATTGCATAAGCCTGATAAGCCTACTGAATGGATTTGGTCAGCTGGCTTATCTCGTATCTTCTCACACTGTATTTTCAAATTTGACTGAAACTGAAACTCCATCGTCTTCACATGATCTCTTCTTTTATTACTATACAGCTACGGTTTCGTTAGCATCCTGATGTTCGTTCTCATTGCCAATGCCAACCGATCTCTAATACAAATCCCTATCTTTATCCCTATTTTTTAGTAAGATAAGTTATCGTACAGCTTCTCATTCGATCCATTCAAGCATAAAAATCGCAAACGTCAGTGATACCCGGAGCGAGGGGCTTTCCGCGACCCGACTTCAGTCTTCAACACACCTTTTTTACTTATTCCAACCCTATTATTTATGAGTCTATATCGCATAGATGGTACAGACCTGCTTCATATACAGCTTTTAGTCGACGAGCGTTATAGACCGAAATAGGGACGAAACCCTTGTGAAAGCAAACTCTTATAACCTGTCTCAAGAAACAACCAGCTCAGTCTGTCCTGTATCGGTCTTGCTTAATGCTATGCCCCGGACTACAAACAGCCCGGTCTCCCAAGACATTTACAGATCATTTTAATGAAGCTCCTGACCACACCAGAAAGATCCTACACTTGGACGGCTTGCCAAGATGCGCTCTTGAGTGCAGATTGCAACACTGAATACTTGATATAACCCCAGCGGAATCTATCGAGGCAGATGCCTATCGACCAAGCCTCAAGTTGGGGTTGCAATCTAGTTAGGGACGAGCATGTCGTTATGCCTTACATAAGTAACCTATTGGAACGAACGATAAAGACTCCGGAACCGAATAGACCGCGGCTCACTGTCTGCTCCTACCGGCACTTAAAATGCATTGAGTCTCACGATCGAACATCTGCTACCTACCTATGCATTACTAGGGAACACACCCTGTCGAGACGAGATGATGCCCCGTAATCTAAGGTGTGTTGGGCGGACAAGCATAGCATCAGAGCTTGTTTAATTATTCTACCAGTCTTCTCTACATAGTGGGTGTGCTTGGCACGTCATAACTACTGCTTTCGCTTACCCATGCAGTGCAGCGCAGTGTGCCATGCGTCTGGACTCTGGAGGTAATAGAGACTCGCAGTTTATGTGCCACGCAGGGAAACACAGTACATCTTATGGCGACGACTTTTACGTCTCTACTCTCTCTTCGTAGACTTCTTTTCCATCATCGGCTGTGAATTGAGGCTTGTTTCGAAGAGCGCGTAATTGGATAGTATCGCGACTCGGAAAGTATTAATATCAGAATATAACGACCAAGCGGGTCGACAGGGTGTTGTATACCTCAAGTCACATCATGACAAGCCGACATACTTGTAGCCCTGGAGCTCCCTAGGCAGGTTCTGAGCTGGGTGGTCGAGCCGGAACTCGGCCCACCCCTAAACCTCAACGGTGGCCGGACCGAACTTCCCATTAGCACCACGAAAATACACCAAATTGTCGCAAAAGACTCCCATTGGTGGCTTTTCTACGCCTAACAGGTATCAATCCCATCTATTAATTCCACGAACCGATTGAAACTCTGGTTCTTCTAAGAAACCCTTATTTAGTGGGAGTTTAGCTCAACGCACTTGAAAACATATCAGTACTAATAAATTAATAGACACGACACGAGCCTATCTCCGATGAGGACATGACGAGATTATCGAGATAGAGAAAGATGCACTTCACGTCATCAATTTCTGACGTAATTTCTGAAAACCCTCGCATCAGGTACCAACACATGTCGCGGCTGAACGCCATCACCTCCTCCTTCTCATACCTCAGTCGAAGGCGGCAGCGCTTTAGGGTATGAGCATGTCCTATCGAGAGTAATCAACTCACGAACGCATAAATAACAGTCAATGCCTGGGTCACGTAGTACCTGTCAAAGGGTATATCAGTGGTATCGGAGCTAAGGGGAAACTACCCGACTGGTTGTTTCTGATGGAAGTGTAATCCACGAGAGTCACAGACTACTGTAGGAACTTCACTCATAGTTGCAACTACGACCACGAAACCTTGAGCGGCTCTGACGAGGAGGAGCTCGTCCGACTACATGGTAATTACGACATTGACCTACGATCGTGGAGCACTGAGAGATTGGGCGGATCCACCGATCGGTAGTTGAAGTAATTCCCTACCTTACTTGAAGTCCGTGCTCCCCAGCTGGGAAATAATTGTAGATATTCCCGTGCCAAGATGCCCAGGGTACGATCCAACGGACGCTGCAATATGAACTGCTGGAATTGAAGACGGAATGAGGACCGACTTTCCATTAACATCGAAAACAAAACCCTTTAGGGTTCCAAGGTAGCTCAGGAATAGAATGGGCTTTGCCTTCCATCATTGAAGAGAAAAGGCATTATCTGCTCTAGGTTCTCGCACCATTTCGATGTTAATCGCTGCAGCGTCATTTTAGCAGCTATTAAGACATTCCCGCGCCTATTCTACTCGACAAGTATTTGGCGCCGCATGCTACACAAGCGCCATATCTGCAGGTCCGGGATCTAGGCTATTTTCCCACGAGCTTCTAGTATATGCCAGCCTGGCGTCTGGTTCCTGAACAGCCGGGCGATGCAGGGCTGTATGGATGACGGGATGCCGCAAAATGTCAAACGCGAACCAGTTTACGCGTAACATACAGCGTTCCTGAGCTCCCTGGCCTATTATATCACATAGAAAACCGGGTTCTATAAGGTTGCTGACGCGATATTGATGGTAAGTTCAGATTGCTATCTCGAACCTCGAAGATATCATGTAATCAGACAACAATCCACGCCTCAATCAATGTTATCTCTCCTGTTCCCATCACGGCTTCTATCCTGTGGCGACTAAGCCGGGAGAAGGGAGGAAAGTAGATTGATTCCACGTGTTGCTGTCCCTTTTCGGGTTGGTTGGGATATACACCTCTCCTTTTAGGTGTGTAGTCGGGTTACAGTGCGCATATATGCAGTCTATCTGAATGACAGCTGCATCTCAACAAGAACCGATTCATTCCAGGGTCTTCTGGCCGAGGCCACCGTCGACTCACATCGACGTGTATCGCCGTTTCCCTTTCCCTGTTCAATTTTCTCCAAATGATCGGACAATTAAACTTAGAGATCTACAGACCTGGAGCTACACATACCACTTGAAATCTAATACAGGAAATGATGGACTACCCTCGAATTGTCTAGATTAGAGATAACCGTCTTATACGTTTCAGTGATGCGTGTTGTCCATCCGTGCTACCGCATCTCATACTACACTGATGTAGTGAAACAGTAAGACTCAAACCTATGGGGCTTATTAAACCCTATTATGATCCAGCTCGAGACATTATCATGGCAGAAATGCGCTACCAGATTTAACCAGACTTAAGCACTCAACATTGGTGCCTGCAGCAGTCTGAGCTGTTTGGTATGTCACGTCCAAAGACGTCCCAGATCGTGCAGGAAAGGCATGGTATACTTGCAAGCACCTATAAGGCTTAAAGCTCCCGATGTTCCGTTCGGTATTGGGGGCGACGGAGATTTTAAGAGCTATTCCAACACCTTTCAAACGTCGATCTTCAAGCGGAATGTTACCCCAGAAATGGCGAGCCCACTCCCAATCTAGACAGTCCCTCCGAGGAGGGTTCTTGGGTTACCATCTAACAAACCGCGATCTGGGGTAGAAGCTGCAAGCATATAGATCTGCGGGCCAGTACGCCAGCGGCCCTACATAATCTGCATGACTAGATCCGGGCGTCTGAGTTCCTTGCAGATCTAGGCGTCAACAGCTAGCGAGCCGTCATCGCTGATCCGGAGGGTCCCTCCACCTCTCTACCCGGCGTCGCCCCTGGCTCCGATACGAGATAGCTATACGGACGTGTCGTGAGACGTTCCCGACACTGCCGACGATACATCCCTTTCAAGCAAGGATTGGCGCTACGCAGTTGTACCCCGGTGCGAACGAAGTCTTGGCCGCCCTTATTTGGTCTACTCGGAGTCACCCAGATCCTGTACCTAAAGAAAAGCACCGGCCATGCCGTCTTCATGTCATCGGATAACGTTCGCCAGCAAAGCCTGACTGCCTCGACGACGTGCCAGCGGGGACGGTATCTTACCGAGGTTGTATACATAAGCGAGGGCGGCAATGGAGCAGCTCCCTCCCCTGCTCGAGGAGACTGACGTTTGTGGTCATGTGAGCACCGGATTCCATTTCGTCTCTTATTATGACGCTTAGATCACCTCTAAACACCAATACACGTAGCCTATTAGTGCTATCACTCATCTAAAGTTGAATCAACAATAATCGACTAACTAAGCTCCAACATCAGGTTACGAGAATCGCATATAAACCGTTAATCAACTCGGTTTATTTACTTCATCATACCTACCCCTATCCAACTTGCTACCCTACATGTGACTTGTATAACAACCCCTATTTTCTGCTCGAACGATCAACACGCCAGATCTGCATGACCAAGCCGATTATGTGCCATAGAGTTTCCTCCATTCCGAGTTTACCTCGTTGTTCATCGCTGCCCGAGAGCATTGAGACTATCAGCGGAATATCGTAATGAAGTATCTTTCCATCGCCACCTAGATCCGCAACGGTATCAGTTCGTAATGGCACATAAGCGGACGATACTTATTCCATTGAGCAGCTTACGTTATCGAGGTCGTCCTACTACCGAAGTCTTCTACATAGTAGATCGCCAAATTCATCAGTAGAACTAAGTCTCAATAATTCGTCCAGGCAGTCCGAGCACGTCGAGAAAAGCTTTTCTCCTCCATACGGGTATCGAGGGGTCCACCAAGACCCATCTTCCGATCGACGACGGAAAATACGGGGGTGGATCTTTTGAATCGGCTTGGTTTTTCTAGTGCATTTCTTAGGCTTCTTGGTTCCTTGGTATCGCTTCCTATCACAGATGATGGATTACGCATCAAAGTTTGGCGACATTGAACGCCCAAGTAGTGAGAAGTACGTCTAGCATACTACTATTTTTTTTGTTCATTAAAATATGGGCTAGATAATGATGACTACCAAAGTATGAGAATAGGGGCTATCGCCAGATGATGTGTAGATTGAACCTCGTAAATTTCAAGAGCCGATACACATGACAGAATATTATCAATCAGATGGATTTATTAATTCATTAAATTGTTCTGACCTGCCATTAGTTGTTCATCATCATATCCAAGAGGTGAAGCAAGACTGGGGTAAGAGGCACTAAGACATTATATACAGCGTGTCGTCATAAGACCCTCGAAAATCTATTACTCACCCCTTTTAGACCGAATCCACTACACAACTCCAAGATATAGCAGACTATAACACGCTAATCCAAGCAACCGTCTAATACCCAAGACTACCTAGGTATACACTTGAGATAACCATTACCAGGTCTCAGACCTCTATGGTACAGGTACATATGCCAATCTTCGGTTACCGCTGACCAAAAAGTCGTCCAACTCTTCACTATTCCAAGTTCGTAAGATCCCAGCCCTCTATGGAAGAGAGGTTGTTCAGATTTTCGAAGTTGAATTCCATGGGAGTCAGAGACCGCCCGGAGTTATTAGCCGGGGAGTTTGACGCGAATATGAACATAGATGGATCGGACACGTTGGATGCGGAAGGACCACTCCCCATGTTCCACGTATCGAAACCGGACTGCCAGCTTACACCGTCTTTGAGGTACCAGTCCTGTCCATCTACTGCGTAGATAGAGTTGGGGTGCTGAGCTCGCCTCATTCCTTGTGATGCTTGGTTAGGCCTAGCACTGCTTGGAACTGAAGGGAAAGTCTGCGGATAGTTGGGAACGGGCTGCGTGGTTGGAGGTGGTTGCCAAGACGGATTATCTAGTCCATCAGTATCCAAGGGTACTGAATTGCCCATGATGGAAACATTATCGATTACGTGTTGCTGTAGTTGTGGATCGGGTTGGAAGTTGGCGGGTGTTGATGTTAAGTTATTCATGATCTCCGATGATACACCTGGTCCTAAACCGACATTTGGAGACGGAGCCGAAGCCGGTGGCGTAGGATGAGCCGCGGGGCTAGGTTCGGCCTTTGGCGATGTGGTGTGAGTGGCCGTGGATGAGGGTGACATCGCCAGATGCGATCGCGGCGAAGGGACATCGGAGGTCTTGAAAGTACCCCATTTTTCATCCGTACGGTGCAAAACATGCGAAGCTTCTTCGGGAAGTTCGACGTTCCATTTACGGGCAAGAACGCTGATTATGCTGAGGGTTCGGCGTCCGCAAAGCCAATCCTCGGCGATCTCTTCGAGGTGCTTTACGCCATGGATGATATCTCTCCTCGCGGTCTTCTCGGGAAGGTTGAGTATGTGAATAGTACAGGCCGAATGTAACATATACACTGCGATGTTACATATTTGGCGTAAGTTGTAAAGTTTCTTATATAAACGCATCAGCTTGGAGATAGCACCTGCATTTGCGGTACATATTCTCCGCGGAGATACATGTTGTGGTAAAGGGGATGTGGCGGGAGAGTATTTGAGAAAGGGTCGGAACAGGTGGATATATTGGAGATGGAAGAACATGCTATGATTGGTCAATCTATACTCCGAGTGTTGTAGTTATAGAGGTTGGCTTACTGCATCAGTATTACATTGGGCAGCTGACCCTCCTTAGGTTCGAGCTCCTGAGGCAATTCTTTGCGCCAGTCCTCGAGCCGCCGGTGTAGTTCGCTAAGTTTCTTTAGCTCGACTGACTTGCCGCTTGATCGTCCTATGTGGTTAGGGTGGTAGAAGAACAATAGAAGGTCGCTACTGATTTCGCAGAGCTTAGATAGCTGTAGACCAATCGTGCGTGTTCGCGACGGCTGTTTCGCTGGCTCGTCGAAACCGGTATCTGTGTACGGACACCAGGGTTCGGCGTCTTCGTCCGGGAAAACGTCATATTTGGGTACGCTGTAGGAATTTTTTGGCAGTTGTGGAAGTCGGCCTAGATAATTCGACCAGCATTTGTCGAACAAGAAACACCCCCAAAAGGTGACTCTTCGCGCGTCGATCTCTCCCTCGTCTAGGTTCTCGTTGTCGCTCTTGAGGCCTCCGATATCTAAGTTGAGGCCCAAATCCTGCGCCATTCTGAAACTCATACCGCTATAGACCCATCCCTTAGCTTCTCGGCCACAGCCTGCTTCCCTGACGGACATCAGAGCCAGAGCTTGAACCGTTGTCAAACGAGGCTTTTCATACTCGTCATGATCAACGATCAGCCTTTTAGCCTCCGCAAAGAAATGGTCTCCCTTAGTCCAGCTATCCCCGGCGGTCGCGTAGGCACAGGCCGCGTCCGTGAAATGACAGCCCAAAGCAAGCATGGCATTAATTAACAGCGGCGAGCAATAAGCCGTCTTGTTGGGCGAGATATTCGACCTTCCTTTCAAAAAGTCGCGGTAGAACAGCGATCGTGAGAGCGTTGTGAAGTACGGATAATGCCAATTGAAGTACATGCTGAGGAGATGTTTGACGACTTCTGGATCTTTAGTGACATCGGACCAACTGGTGATAGGGTCGACATCAGCCGCATTGGCATTACGATATTCATATTCCGGATTGGGCGTGCCGTGTATATCCCAGTGTATTAGATGGGACGTACCGCCGATGAAGCGTGTCGATCCGTTCTCTACCCTTAGTTCTCCCATTTTGCGGGCGAGATCTCTCTCGCCTTCGATAGGCATTTCTGTGGTATAATCATTTTCTAACTCTTCCTCTTCTTCCACTGCTCGCCCACCACCGAAATCCTCTTGTTTGAGTATCGATTCGGCTACGGCATCCAAGCTGTCACAGGTCCGTATTTTCTTAACTATCTCGGGGACGTCGTCTTCCTCTGCGTTAAGTATGGCTTCGATCAAAATTTGGAGGGTCGAATTCTGGGCCTTCATGCTATCGACCTTCTCTCTGTATACTCCTTTGCGACGATGATCCGAGTTAGGGTCGTAAATGCACTCGGTGCCGTAGACACTCGCGCAAGCGGCGCAACTTGGGAGGGCGCCATCGCATTTCGATTTCCGCCGTCGGCATGCTATACAGGCGCTAATATACGGTCAATATGGACTACTGTAAATGTGCAAGTATGGTGGGTTTTGAGTTAAGTGTTAAAGGTAAGACGTACGTGCTGACGCATCGACGTTTTTGGATGGACGGGTTCGCGCCCCTCCTCGACTTCTTCTTAGTCTGGGCAGTCTGGGGAGGAGTGGAATCTGGAAAGGGAAGACCAGAAGTCAACGAGGTCTGTGGTCTTAAACCCGATAGATCGGGACCGTCCATACTAATCTTGTTTCACGGCCGTAGATTAGATTATGTGAAACGGGGTTTACAAAGATTTGGATGTTGATAGAGAGAGGAGAAACGTAATAGAAAGAGTGGACTTTTTCAGGGCATATGCAAGCTAGGAAATGATGGACATGGATATGATAGCGATAATATTTCCCGGGGATGGGCGGCGAAGTGGCGCAAGCTATCCGGCAGTTTGGGTCGATGAGAGATTGACCAATGAACCATGAAGTTGTTATCGATCTCGGTGTTGGTAAGAGACTCCAACACTATCAAGATTCGAAGACTAACATGTGTTTCTGTGTGTGTAGGTATAAAGAGAGGTTTTTCATGAACATGTGGTTTTCGAGTTGTACTTGGTGGTTAGGTACTTAGATACCTGGTAGTAGGTAAGTCATCATGATAATGGCTTAGCGTCTATTGGTTCCAAAAGGACTTGGCATGCCAAACTCGACTCTATAACTCAACCCTCAGCTGTTAAGATAACAAGTTAAAATCGCTATGATTATGAGGTCATTTCTATGGCAAAGAAGATTTCACTACTACCAGCTGCGGTGCAACTTGACTGAAGTCTTTTAGTGATGGTTGCAAGAGATCAACAACTAGGTAATGACAAATATAATAATCCGGGGCTGTCCGGGGAACCGGGAAAAGATAGCGGCTTGGAATAAAATGGGCCTCAGCTCTTTTGATTATCTAATAAGCTCAATTACGTAATGGAGTTACTGGCCCCTTTTTCTACATTATTAATACAAAATACCTAGGTACGTGTCTACAACGACAACCCTCATCTGAGCCAAGGGCACATGAAATCTTGTCAGCACCTAGTAGACACTGACAGATCAATATTCTGTTAAGACAAGCTTCGGGTCTGACATAAATGGTTCGTCGCTGAGATTTTCCTGTTTTCTTTTATGAACGTGACCATGCTGACTCAATATGCAACAGTCTCAGTAAGCCGCCTACCTGAGTTCGACGTAGCTGAAGTTCTGCTTCAGTATCCTCCCAGAAAGTTGTCAGAAGCTTAGCATCCTTCTTTCACAATGATTTGACATGAAGATGGTCTGGATTGTTCGAACAACATCGCATACGACTTGGTTGGATGAGGTACATTTGCAACTTCATCCGTAATAGTATGCTATACTTACAATGCGATTGATTTCCTCTAATACACGTGGATTACAGTGAGACCAGGTCTAGGATGCCTTGATTTCATAACTAATTCATATCTGGTCTACCTTATTCATGGCCTCAACGACTTCTTGAAACATCATCTAGCCACTCATCTTAGTCATCCTCTTGTACAACATCACTCAGACGTCAGTTTATGGGGTGGCAACTCCGTTACTTTATCTTCATATACCTATTCAGTTCGAGACCATGGTCCATTCTTCTCACGGCGATCCAATAGGCAGATAAGAGTCGACAACGGTGGTACCATAGTGTGTAATGGCTCAGCTGCTGGGATCTACATTAGTGAGATGGAAGCGCCTACGGACTCAGGGTGTGGCAGCGATGTGGTAAGATCAGACGGCGCGCATTCCTGGAGAAATATTACGAGGGCAGTGGATAGTAGGTGTTAGGGGATTTTCAAGTCGCCAAGGTAGGCCAAAGCCGGTTTCATACAGGCTCGGCAAAGGGTAACATGAAGTCGATGTTCCAGGTGTAGAGGGTAATGTTGGTATTGTCAACACTGGTCGTACTACCATGACATCATTCTGTAGCTGGGAACCTGACAATCCAAGAAGAGGTTGAACCGCCAAAGGTGTAGTGGATCCGAACGTGAGGCTCGTTTAGATTCCAAGACACCGATATCTTTCATAAGGCGGCAGTGTCTTTTACAGCCTGAAAAACGATGGCTTCCATGAGTGCGAATGGTCCTTTATTACCTTGATACCGAGGGGGTTTCAGATTAGATACTTGTGGAATGAAAAGTATGTTTTTTTTTGTGCAAGAAGAGAAGGTCGGGTTGTAGTCTGATACCGAGTTCGACAGCTGAGAGGGGACAAGGTAAGGGGAAGTAGGATGCGCGAATTTGCTTTAAACCGCCTAACAACGAGTCTAATGAGCTACTAATAACACATTCATGTGACGAGTACCACACAACACTCATAGTTTACTCGACGTCGTATTATTCAGAAGTTAGCACTCGACGACGAGCTCCGAGAATTAATACGGAACGTACCGGTGAAAGGACTCCGCAAGCCGCTAGTCCTCGTCAGGGGATCCTTGAAACAGATACAGACCACAGTTCCGGGCCCGGGAAAAAGAGTTCTTGACGCCGTATATGCAGCCAGGCCAAAAGATCCACCTACCATGTGTGAGAGAGAACTTTAGGGTGTCCTCCCCGGCATGAGATTCTCGGACATTAATATCGGGGATCAGGCTACCGTCATGAATAACTAGCTCAAAATATCAGATCGATCAAGGCCGCGCGAAATTGAGCTACCTAAGAGGTTTTCTCCTATGACCGGCTTAATTCTCCGAGAAGCGGCTAACTTTGGGAAAGACATTTCAACTACGAAAAGAGAGGCAGCTCCTAACATTGTTCGAAGTCATCCATGCCTCAACCTTGCTACCTTTTATTGTCATCTATTTCTTGATTTTCGCAACAAGAGTTAGGAAGGGAGCCTCTTAGAGATCGATCTACAGATTCATGCACTGACGCTAGGATATCCCAGCGGGCTATCCATCCTCCTTGAGCCTTAGACAACTGGGCGGTAGCAGGTAAGAATTGTGACGAAAACGTTATGAACATGAAAGTGGATGTATCATAAATGGTGTGAGGGTTGACGTCGGAATTTCATTACTCACCATACCTTTCATACCTACCTGGTCACGATATTTGGCATTATGACTAATTTTCTCAGCGTTCATATGTCGCATATAGCTTGAACAAACGTTCGACTTCAGGTTGGGTCGACTTCAAATTCGATTCGTACGCGGAAGTAATCAACATGCAGTGCTTGAGAATCTATCGCACACTTCGTTACACGGCCCTGTTTAATGACCAATTCCAACCTATTCAAGTACACTGGCATGAGAAAGTTTTACACAGTCAGCCAAAGGATTCGCCTTAATGACTAGGACCTCGAACATTTTTCAACTTTCAGATGTTTTTTTTTCTTTCCTTCGGGAAACGCCTTCACTATCGCGACGTAAGGGCTTTACGCATTAGTATAAGAGTGTTCAAGTGCGTTTCACATCAAGCACGTCCGGAATGGTGGCTTGAAGGGGAAGGAGATAATACTCAAGCGATTGAAGCGGCGAAGCAAACACTCAGTGTTATGATCCCCGCCATTCCGCGAGGTGAACTCACTCTTGTTGGAGATGTGAAATGCGATTTTCCGTATTTATAGAGCTTGGTGGTTGGTTCGGCGTATGACAGGGGGTCAAAAATGACTTCGGTGTAGATAAACCTTGAAAAGGCGTTGAAATGAAACTGATTCTATCCAAGAATTAATTAGTTATTAAAGCTTAAACGCAGTTGTTATTACTACTTGGCGGGATAATCAGGTGTCTAGAATATAGAAACAAGATCTGGTAACAGTTCGGTTACGTGCGAATCCCGTACGATCCTGCTGTTGGCTGGCGATTCGTCGATATACGGGGGGTTTGCTAAGGTGGGTACATGATCACGTAAATGATACACCAAAAGCAAAGAGGCTTTCTTGAGCTGTGCCATATTCTTACTCCTAGTTACCACTGACATGGACATGGCATTATCCAAGGAAGTGGTTCGATGTCACGATGTGTAATTCAGAGTGACTCTGGCATCCTCCGGCACGGCTGATGGCACGTGCAAATACAAGAGGGAGTGTCTTAACCAAAGGTATTTAAACCAGCCACGAATAACTCTCAATCTGGTTCATTCAACCGCCCATCGCGACAAGTTGAACCAGTTCTCGCAGTTATTTTCGAGACATCATGTTTAAGAAGATCTTCTTTCTCTCCACCTTCGCCCTCGGGGCAACGGCCTTAAATGAAACCATCAATGGCTACAAATACTTTTTGAGTGGCCCAAACGTTGATCTGCCAAAGAGTCAATATGAACACGACGCTGCCAATACTGCCCTTGCCTTGCTCATGAAGCGCCTAGGCTCCGAGCATCTTCCCGACCTGCCACCGGACAACGTCACGGCAGTGCTTAAGCTCAAACAGAGTCTTGGCTCTGAGAAGCTTAAGAAACTGTTAGAGCCAGATATGGCGGACGCCGACGAGTTCTGGGAGGAAGCAATCAACAGGTCTCACAACAATACGTGGGTATCTGCCGACGCGCGGGGCGTCGCTTTCCTACCTAATGTGACGTATGTGCAATTTGCTACCTGGTACGCGTCTGCGAATGCGGATAAGGCCAACCTGGCGGCCGAACCTGAGCACTACGTGAAGGAAACTGTCGTGAACGGAAGCGAACTTTCTTCAAAGATCCTTGAGGGATGGGGTGGTGTGACGACGAACTTCACCATCCCCAACTTCGGCACGCCAGACCGTAACAAGGACCCCTTCCTGCGGCCACTACCAGAGTTTCCCATCCAGCAAGCCGGCGACAAGGACTTGCGCGACGGGACTAGGTTCGGCGTGCTGCATATTTCTGTTCGCCCGGTTAGTGGAAAGGACTACGGGCAATCGTTTGATGGCTTCGAGGTGTACTCTACGGTTTGGTACCAGGATGGAGTTAGCGATGATAATCTCGACCAAGAAAGGAGACACATGGTGGTTGAAATTGTTAACCTGACTCTACAAGCTCAGAAAGATATCGAAAGTGGCGCGTTTGCGACATGAATAGGAATATGAGCGGAAAACATAACATCTGCGGAATAGGGGAAGCAAGGCTATTGCTATCGTGGACTATGTTAATCTTACTTGAGTTATAAGATTTTCTTTTCTATAAAAAAACTGTACGAACAATGGTGATAGGTGCCACAATGAAAAGCTTTGGAGGCGTAGATACTCCCTGAAGTTGAGCGTTAAATGGACTGATACCTGATAATGTTATAGTGGTAAAAATAACTTATTAGCATGACGATGGTAAAATAGGGGATGCTAGAAATTATTAGGACGGTTATTGGTAGGTATTTAAACTTTTGCCGGCTTTAAACAAACGACCATCTTCTTTGGCTCTAGGGAAAAATTAAGCTTACAGTCGATTATTCCATGCCAAGATCTGCCCCACGCGTTCTCACGTCCGCATAGAATAGTGTTCCACTCATAACGCAGCCATCGAATAAATATCCTTAGTTCAAGTAAACATAGCGTACTTGTCACCTGCGATATACTATAGTACGTATAAATCAAACATGATCTGTGGAATTCGCGGATGTTTTTGAAAAGTAGACAGATTGAAGTGTTTTAGATGTTGCATATGTGAGATTTCCCGTCACGGTGCTCAAGCATGACGAGCCTAATTTATTATCTGAGTCCTCGGTTTGTTTCTTTAAAGTGGCGCTGCCGAGGCTTTTATTTTCGGAACGGAACGGGGCGCTCGCCTTACCATCTGGCTCATCTATACCAAAAGTTGAAAACTGACAGAATATTAGATGTATATTAACTCGGTTTCTTCAGCAACCTCGACGTCAATATTTGGAAATTAGATCAATTTTCTGCCTCCGATACATCATCCAAGTCCCCAATTACATACTTCTGTCCAAGTTTTTACTTGTATTTAGTGCAACTTTAATAATTGTTGACCCAGTTGGCTGGAAACAGTCTAACCGTTCCAGGCTTAGCAATGGGTCTTGATGTCCAAAAAGGGAAGGCGGTGAGCCTCTAATGCGTCACTGGTCCCCGGCAGGTGCCACGGATTTTGCTCCCCTCAGGCGCCTCGGTCTATCTGATTCGACCTATGCGAATATTATTCTTCCTCGCTGTCACATGAACCTGTAAGAGACATTGTCGATAAGTATTTAAAAGCCGATCTGCGTCCTTGCTACATGAAAATATTCTGTCGGTTGAGATACCCAGTTGCTGCCATATTCAGATTCCCCGCCGACGCCAAAGTTTCACAGAAACCGTCAAGGTTATTCTATTTCACTACACCATCCTTCCAGTTCCAGTTTCGCTCCCAGTTTTCCCCATTCTCCACCATGGCTCCGGGACTCTTGAGTGCCAACGGCACCAAAAAGCACAAGGTGACCGTAATTGGTTCCGGTAACTGGTAAGCACGTCTCTCATGCCCCTCCAAGCTCGGGACGCTAATGACGACATAAACCCAGGGGTTCGACGATCTCCAAAATCATCGCAGAGAACACCAAGGAGCACCCGGAACTCTTCGAAGAGGACGTTCAGATGTGGGTGTACGAGGAGGAGGTAACGTACGAGGGAAAGCCAGAGAAGCTCACCACCATCATCAACAAGCACCACGAGAACGTCAAGTACCTGCCCGGCATCAAACTCCCCGCCAACATAGTCGCCAACCCGTCCCTCGAAGACGCCGTCGCCGACTCCTCCATCCTGATCTTCAACCTGCCCCACCAGTTCATCCACCGCATCTGCGGCCAGCTCAAGGGCAAGATCGTGCCCTTCGCCCGCGGCATCTCCTGCATCAAGGGCGTCAACGTCACCGACGACGGCGTCTCCCTCTTCTCCGAGTGGATCGGCGAGGGGCTCGGCATCTACTGCGGCGCGCTGTCCGGCGCCAACATCGCCTCCGAGATCGCCGCCGAGAAGTGGTCCGAGACGACAGTGGCCTACGACCCGCCGCCCATGGACAGCTCGCGCAACCCGTCGCGCAACCCGACCCCCCGGTCCGCGACGCCCAACAACCGCGGCTCCCCGCGCGCCTCCGAGCTCAGCGTCACGCCCCTGGACCAGACCCAGCACCGCGACGTGCGCGGCCGCATCAGCAAGACGAAGCTCACGCCCGTGCCGCCCGAGTACCCGCCGCTGGACCACGAGACCTTCAAGACGCTCTTCCACCGGCCCTACTTCCACGTGCGCATGGTGTCGGACGTGGCGGGCGTGTCGCTCGGCGGCGCGCTGAAGAACATCGTCGCGCTGGCGGCCGGCTTCGTCGACGGCCGCGGGTGGGGCGACAACGCGAAGGCGGCCATCATGCGCGTCGGCCTGCTCGAGATGGTCAAGTTCGGCCACGAGTTCTTCGGCGAGACCATCTCCACCGGCACCTTCACCGAGGAGAGCGCCGGCGTGGCCGACCTCATCACGAGCTGCAGCGGCGGCCGCAACTTCCGCTGCGCCCGCAAGGCCGTCGAGAAGGGCATCTCCGTCCAGGAGGTCGAGCAAGCCGAGCTCAATGGCCAGAAGCTGCAGGGCACTAGCACCGCTGCTGAGGTCAACTCTTTTCTGAGGAGGCGGGGCCTCGAGCAGGAGTACCCCTTGTTCACGGCCGTTCATGATATTCTTGAGGGTCGGAATACGGTCGACGATATCCCGGACCTCGTCGCGAGGACTTAGGTCTAGGTACTTGGTTTGGCAGGTTCATTAAGGTTACTCTAACCCGGCGGGTGGTAATAGAACGGGGAATTTGGAAGGCAGTATAGGAGTAATGAGGATGGTAGTTTTGAAATGATAACGATCAATCGGTTTCAATGGTGCATTATTTATGATCGGCTGCGGTAGGTAGACAATAGGCTAGACGGGGTCTTATAGCATGATATCCCGGATCAGAAACAAAGAGATCTTTTTAAATTCATTCATCGTATATTGATAGCTACCATCACAGTACGTCGTCATGCTACCAATCTCCAAGTAACGCATTTTTCTCGCTACCCCATCTAGAAGTGTCTCTTCTCAAATCTAGATTTCTTATTCTCCTGGATTCGGAGTCATCCTCTATCGTCCGCTCCCCGTCCCCGAATAATGGCTTAAAAATCATATCGTACATTTTCCATAGCAGATTCGCCAAGACGGCGGATGTAGCACCCAGCCATATCGGAACTTTGCCGTTCTTTTTATCGGCTAAGAAATAGCCGAGAAGTTTTATCAATACGAAGAGCGGCAGGAATATTAATAGGAACAGCCAGCGCCCCACCTCTTGCCGACATGTCGTGATCTTGTAGGATTGTAGTTTCGCAAGGTAGAGCTGGTAGTCGTCCGGGAGATAGTGCTCGTGCGCCCCGTCGCGGATCAATTGTAAGTAACGCGCACTCGGCTGTGCGTAGCCGTCGGGGCGGTGGACGGGTAAGAGAAGCTTCTGCCACCACTTCTTATCTCTCGGATCGTCATCGTCATCGTTGTTATTAAGGCTATCGCTACCGTCGCCGTCGCCGGGAGGTTTGAGGGAAGGCAGCCGCGGCGCATAGAGCGTGTGCGCTATGAACGGTTTCGGCAGCTCCGGTATTGGAGGCTTCTCGGGGATGCCGAGGGGTGGTGGTAGCGCGAGGACCGGTGTCAGGATGTCTTGGTACGCGGACCCGCCGCCCTCCGCCCTGACTATTTTGCGGTAGTCATCGCGCGTTAGCTCGTAGACCACGCCGTATAGACCCTTATTCCACGAGGGGACGCCTGGCGGAAGCGACGGGAATAACGATTCCGGACATTTCGCTGATCGTAGGCTCGGCGGGTCAAACGGAGGTTTTGGTGGATCGAATGGTGGAATGGGAGGTTCGCCCGGAATAGGTGGCTTGGGGATCTTGCGCGGGGTGAGGTTGGAGAAGCACGGTTCCCAGTAAGGAAGGCCCGGTAAGTCGAAGGCGAGGTCGAAAGCTGGCGCGGATACGTTGATTTGGCTTATCGGTTTGACGTCGTGCCGGTCGAGGGCGGCTTGGGAGAGGTTCGCGCCGTACGCTAGATATAGGACGGTCGAGTCGGATGTTGTACCAGGGGAATCGGGGGACGCCAGTGCGAGACGGTTTAGAGGAGTTCTAGGGATGTTCGGGTTGTTCGAAGAGGGACGATAGTGAGGCTGAATTGAGTTGCGGATAAGTCGGATTAAAGTGTAAGCTTGCTGAAGTTTATCGATTCGCTCGTGCCCCGTTCGCCCCTCCTCTATGTCGTCGGGTTGACTTTCCATCATTCCAAGCTTGCGACGATCTTCGTTATCTATAACGGAGCTTTTGAATTATGGGGGTTCGAGAAACCTTAAGTATACCTCACTCGGTTAAACCAAGCCTAATCATTTCAAACGCTTCTATACGCATATAAATTCGGTAAATGAGGAATTTGGTTCAGATAGAAATCAAATTCAAGAAGTTTTTTGTAGTCTTTGATAGATCTACTCATGGGCTGAGCATTTGGATTCAGGTGCTATTCCGAGAAAGACTTACGTCAGTCTGCTTTAATGCAATTATGCAAAGAAGAACAGTAGTATGTATTTATGCAAAATAACAGAAAACGCAAAAATAGGCCCACTTATTCCCCTATTCTTGAATCTTCTTAGCTTCTCAATCTTACTCATTTGAATCAACCACGAGGACGGACATTGCCAGACATCACTCAACCAACTGGTATAGTCTAATCTTTTCTATGCGTACGCCTCACTCGTACAATGCCTCCGGAAATAATCTTGGGTCCGAGTCAATGATTTCACCGGTCTTGACGTTCTTAAAAAAGGCGGAACGGACATCTGGAGCAGTTCTAGTTGCATGATGGTTCTCAAATATTGCAATAATAGGTCTTTGAAAACCTCTGCCGGCGATAGCGAGTAGCTAGGTATTATGCAGTTTTCTAGTGTCGTCGGCATTAAACCGAGGATCCCGTAGACCTTATCGTGAGGTTGGGCCTGGGCATAAGATATAAACTTCGGGAATGGTACGCGTTTCCCTGCCTGAATGAGTCCGCAAACTGAACCGAGGAGGACTGCTATGTCATGTGGAGTACTCTCTCCCCAGATGAGCAGTTGTATTGCCCGCCGGAATAGTGATAATGAGAGGGTTTCATTGCCGCATTGGAAGGAACCACGTCTTCCAGCGAGAAGAACCTCTTGCAAAACTGCAATGGTCATTTAACCTCTCCTGCGTTCATTACGGGGGACTCACTCCACACTAGTTCCAAGAACGGCCTCGAGATCAATCGCCGTATTCTTGTACATTGATTATCATTGAGTCCTAGATCATAATCATGTTCGTATAAGCGAGGCTCAAGACTACCTGGTCGGATGAATATCCAATCCTCTTCCTTTGACATCTCAACCTATTCCCCAATGTATCGCATCAATATCATAGCGTCCGTGGTACCATCTATGACCAGACCTAGCCGTAGGATAACCTTGCTTGTTTATAGATTCGATGCATCCTGGGCACCTGTTCGGCCCGCTCAACGTCGTCTGTTTGATCTATGCAAATGGTATCTACCCATGATGTTCTTGAGCGACCTTGAAATCTCAGATACCTCTAGGCAGAGATCAAATTCAATCGCAACGGTAGGGCCCTTGTCTCAACTCAGATGAAATTATGGAAATCTCTTTAATGCCGCCGCTATGAAGGGGCGACAGCAAGGTCCACGATGCGAAGGCCACTCTAGAGGCATCATATTTTGAAGGTACTTGAGCTTATATAGGGGAGTGTACTCTATAATAAGAATCCACATGACCAGCCTCGATTAAAATTAGAGTCCATCTGATTTTAACTGACGGACTCTAATATGCCGTCAGGGTAATTCCTGTCGCAAGAGACTTCTTAGTTATAGGGGTATTAATAACAGGTACCTGTTGCATTACCAAGTTAGCATATTCTATTATACTTAACGAAGTTTTATTACCTACTTTCAGAAAATCTATTAAATTATATGCAACTCGCAAATATTTCCCAGTTATGGAAATCAAATTCAAGCAGGCTGTAGGACAAAATTAAGCGACGGGACAAGAGGGGCGGTCGGATCGGCGATATTCCAATAAAGTACCCCTGCATATCGTGACCCGGGGCCTATCGAGTGAGTGATAATCCGGGGGAGCCTCAGCCGGCAAGTGATTATCGGGTTTAAAGCGGAGTGAATACCGAGGGCTGCGATTCCACCCCAAAGCGATACTAGGGTTTGAACGTAGTCGGGGCCGTTAGTGCCTCGGGGTTATAGACGTATTTAGGAGAGATTGGGGGCCTGCGTTTCAAATACCACCTCTGTCAACACATTAGTTCCACAGCTGCAAGGCAACGAACCTGACCGCAGTGCTTATGTCGACCTATTGCATTGCCATGATCCTTCAGCCCAGTTGTAAAACATGTTATTAATGAAGGTACTCGGTGCCTATCACAAGATGTAAGACGACCATTATTAGACGCCTAGTTTCGTGTAAATTCTCTACAGTAAGGCTGAGGTACCTGCGCCGTAAAACTCCCCTATTACTTCTCAAACGTCTTACTCCCTTTTCTTTTTCCTTTGCTTCTTCACTTTCATTCTCGTTGTCATGAGCTTCATATTCATACTTTGAGCTGTCCCCTTCGTTACGGCCCGATGTCCAACCTAGGTCCGCTTACTACAGTCTATTCGGCTAGTGGAGCGAATTGCAATTCCATATATATGAATGATAACGGAGTATTGATATACGGTACTGTTAGTCCAAGCTCATCGTCTTGCTTTCCGACTAGCTTTGTGCCTTGGGATGACAACTATTACTCCCCGGGTATTTGTCCATCAGGATACACTTACGCGTGTACTGCCGGTGTGGGAAATGGAGGTACAGCAGCTACATGTTGTCCGATGTGCGTGATTCCCGATAAATATACCAAAATAAATGGTTCCCCGGAGCTCAAACTAATTGTTGTCCATAATATAGCAGCTACCAATGTCGCATTGGACGAGTATCGAGTGACCCCGCTGCCTGCGAGTCTCTCATGCTAACCGACAGCTCTTACACTGTTAGTCAGTATATATCCAGCGGCTCGGAAACTTGGTCTTCTTTGGTCACCAAATTCTACGCTTCAGGGAACTTTGTTTTCGCGGGAGGCGCGATTGTACGGCGGGCCAGTAACGATCCTGGATGGTATCATATTGATTCCGTCTCAGGTACGGTATCCGAACTGGCCACGCCCACTACTTCGTCGACTACGACTACGAACTCTCGGGTTAGCAGTGGCCTAACACAAGGAGTGACAAAAGATAATACTGGTACAAGCACCAGTCTAAGCACTGGCGCTAAGGCCGGCATCGGAATAGGAGTGAGTCTAGGCGTGTTGGTCATAATTGGGATAGTTGTGACTGCGTATCTCATTGGCAAGAGGAAACGACAAGCTATCCAGGGGGACACCTCAAACCCTTCGTTACATGGTGGGCTAGGATTTTGGGATGCAAGACAATTCCAAACCTGGCACGTACGGCTAGCGGAGCTCGATGAGCAAAAAGGGCATTCTGAGCTAAATGGAGAACGTGAACCTGTAGAGTTAATGGGTCATCAATAGGATTTCATGTATTCAGAGCGTTCTTCAGAATATTGAATCGGGAGCTGGAAATTTCGGTACTATCGTCTACCCTCTGTTCCTTCGAAAATCCAGAGATAATGTGAACTAATATGAACATCTCCATTAAGTAGGTATGAAGACTGTATTCTATTCTTTGTCATTCTTTCCACTGGGTCTTGTTACTGCACAGCTTGATAGCAATAGTCTCCCCTACCACTATTAGTCGTCCCTCCCGGGGACTATCTCAGCTTGGGGCCCCCAATTCGAGAAGTGGTATTCAGATCATGCCGGCTTTCTGACCAACATATCGCTGAATCTGCAACCTCGCCTTACGGGACTACCGCATCGTCTATGAGGCGCCTCAAGGTTCCTTAGAGACAAAAACAATCTGTCGATTTGTTATCGCCACGAAGCATGTATTTTCAGTCAATACGGAGACAATTACCAAGCCAACGCTCAAGGAGCTTCGGTAGTGCTTGGTTTCATTCCGACCTTATTATCAGTCTCCATAGGCCCTAGCATCGTCGAAGTTCATTTTTTTTTTCAATACATCGAGCACTACTAGCCATACTGATAACCCTCGGCTCACCAATTTATGGGGTGTCGAAGTTATTTGAATATCACCTCCCGATCGCTTACTATATACCGAACACAATAAATTGGAGACTTGCGAGTCCCCGAAAGGCTTTGCAAAGCATTTCCCGATACCTTACTGCGATGTTCGCGGCAAGCACTGTCCTTTACTCGACGGTTGAGATGGGCAAAAAGACCATCCTCGCTTGGGGGTTTACCGCACAATTTGCATAGTTCCTTTGGCAGATACCTGCTCTTGTGCCGCGATTCCTTGTGACCGGCGCCTAGATGGCAGTGTTGAAGAACATGGACACTGAGTTCTCTGTTTAGTGCCAAAGACAAGGTAGATCTCTCATCGGAATTTTCTAGGCCGCCCTTTAGTAGAATGGGCGGTTTTCTACCATGACACTACTCGACATTTTCAAAAGAAAGTTCACGGTTTGCGCGCGACAAGAGCTCCGTTACGGCGTGACAGAACAGGGGCAAAGACTGCCGGTTTTGCTCAGGAATGAATATGCTTCATTCTTTGGGCTCTTGACACCTTTATATTCTCGTCATTACGAGGTATTCATGGTAGCGGCCGACGTCCTCCCCCAAATATACGCGTGTTCAGTTGCCGCTGCATAGGAGTGCAGCCTGGTAATTGATTATAGAGCTGGCAGGGTTGAGGAATATAAGAAATCGGGAGTTGTTGCCAGCTAGGGTAGGATGAGTACCGGAAGCAATTGAAATAATCAAAAGCTGATCCAATCAAATCATCCAATCAGACATTTTAACTCGTGGACGTCAACCCTGCTCCCCGGAAGATAGATCGGCGGCGAAATGCTCCATTATCTTTGCCGTATATTTAAACACGAGTCGATGAACCTGTCGCTTGCCTGTGGATTTTACCCACCGTTGATCAGTGGCACGATACTTTGGGTTGATATCCAATGCTTTCACTAGTCGTGTAGAAAGACGCTGTACGAGTTTCTTTACGTATTTTCGTACGACCCCTCCACCCCTCTCTGCCCCTCTATGGTGGAGACGATGATGCCTATGAGGCTGCGGCGGCAATGTCTTATTAGACAGCTCCGCTCGCAACCCCCTCGCTTCGACAGCGATTGCGCTAAGACCTATGCAAGATGAGCTTCGGCTTCCATGTAATTCCCTTGTCCCGTGTCCCGATAGGAGGGTAAGTCGAATAGTATTCCGAAACAGGAATGTGGGTCTATCGTTCTACGCCTGTGATTTGCTGAAGATTTGGAGATTTAACTCTGCCTACGAACCTTCGAACCCCCCAAGAGCCTGCTGGTATGAAAGCCTACTTGAGCCGCCACATGCAGCAGAGCTTGACTTGTCCAGAATATTCTATTCCGCTTCTAACCTCACTCTCGGACATTTTCTCTTCAATCAACCGTTCGGCCTGCTAAGATACCTAATGAGCTGGGCATCACTATGTGGTAGCAGTTTATAGGCCAACGTTTGTGTGCCCCTTATTCCACGTGGAATTTTCCATAGGCGAGAGCGAAATACGCATGGCGCCGATTTTCACAGCTTCAACATCGATAAACAAACATGACTTCATATATCATTTTTTTTTTTTTTTTTATTTAGCTTCAATTATCGTCGCATTTTCCCAGGATCCTGGTCAGCGAGCTGAAAATCGGATATTGCTCTACCAGGATCTCGGGCATCTTTGGCCCTCTGAACCGTTGTATTCGGCGACCCAATAAAATTCTGTTATGCAGACAATTACCACAATCGCGGATCTACGATGCATATCAAATCAAAGAGTACTACGTAGTCATCTAGGCTGTCAGGCCGTCTATGATGTCGGGACGTCCCGTGTAGCGTCTATTCGTTAGTTTCCTAATGCTCATCACTTGGCGCATAAGCTTGCAGACACCCATATTACTCTCCGTGGCGTTGTGATTCGCCAACTCCGCAATATTAAACCCCCGATGGTGTAGATCTATGCTGACTTGGGCAATTTATATACATTTCAGGAAATATTGCTTTCTCGAGGCCAGCTGAACTATACTCATGCACATAACCCATAGTTTGGTAGATCGGCATAGTGTCTTAAGATGCCCTATGAGCTAGCGACTTTTCCATATGTCTACTCTCCGTTCCTTTTTAACGCCCGTGGTTCCCGCTTCTGCATCATCTGCCAGTGTCTGTTCGCACAGCTTAGCACAGCGAAAGGCCACGCGGTATGGCCTCGTTCGGTGCCGCATTATGGCGGTTAATCTTCAGAAGGAAGCCTCAAGAAGGACGCATCGAAGAAGGCCGTGTCGAAGGAGGTCGTATCAACGAGGAGCAGGGTGCTCAAAATGCCGGCTCTGCGGCCGGCTTCGGCTCGACGACTATAGCTTCCACATATGGGGGCGCCTCAAATGTTTTCCTCCATAGCCCTCGAAGCTATCTCGTCCCCGAAGATGATCGGCTGAGGCTATTCCGTCTTATGATGGGGATTACCACCTCACCATACCTCGGCTACAGCGAATCGAGCCCTGTAGGGACGCGCCCTGCGGCTAACATCGGCATATACGCACGAGTGGTACATTCAGAACAGAAATCCAAGGACCGTTATAAGGTGTTTTCGATCCTTATCAACGTCTGCTACTTTCTACAGATCGTAGTCGCGGCATCTATCACGGCCATGGGAGCAGCGGGAGTCAGCCACGGCGCGGTGACGGCTTTTGGTGCCATTAACACCATCATCGCGGGGATTCTGACATTCCTCAAGGGCAGCGGGTTACCCGGACGTCTTAAGTACTATGGCAACGAATGGAAGAAGATTCGCGAATTCATCGAGCAGCGCGAGCGAGACTTCTCTCGCACCGGCTGTACTCTCGACGTCTACGAGGTCGTTGCGACTATCGACCGAATGTACAACAACACCAAACAGGAAATCGAAATGAACACCCCTGACAACTACAACTCGATAACGGGTGGTATGCGGTTTAGGAATGGTAGTCACGAGAAGGTCGGCGGCGTCGACGTTACGCACCTCGACGACCTAGCCAGCCGACTCAGCGGCCTAACCGCTGGCCTTGAAGATAAGGCACAGCACGCGAGAGACCGTATACACGAGCATGGAAGAGGAGTACAGGAGGATATACGCGGGATAGGAGACACCGCTAAGGGTCAGGTGGAAGAGAGCGCCGCATATCTAGACAGAGAAGCCAGGGAGCGCCGCGCACAGGCGGCACGGGCCGTCGACCAAAGCAAGCGCGAGGTGTTGGATAGCAAGGACCGGATAGAGCAGACAGGAAGACAGGCGATCAGGGATGCGAGCGAAACTCATAAGACGGCGATAGGGGAGATGAGGTCGGCAGCCTCCGCACAGATGCACAGAGCTGTGGACAGGTTGGGACACCCTTACGATCATCACGATCATCACGATTCAAAGCACGAGGATGAAGGATAATGGTAATTGATAGGTAGGAGGGGTATATATGCCCACCTGACAGAGGCACCGGAATCTAATATGGAGCGTCACGGAAGGGGGATGAGTTTAACGTATGCGTGTACTATTATTAACCTAAGATATCCCAAGTTTGACGTATATACATCTGATGTCAAACTTATATTATAATTGCTATGTAATCACTAATAGACACAAGATGTCATTGTTTCTACTATCAAGTCATACTATCCTAGAAAAGTTTGAACTGTGCGGTAAAAACTAATTCATCAACCTGCGTCCTGTCATAGCTAAATAGGGGCTTAGTGCCTACTTATACTACATGATCCTCAACCTTCGTGGATGTTAGCCTTCTCACATCATTTTAGAGGACGCCATACGAGGTAGTAAGACGTATATTAGTAGCACTTGATTATCAATAGCCCGCAATTGTGGAAGCGGGTGGCGAGATAGGTGATTAAAGAAGCAAATGCATAGCAGATTAAATAATATTAATAGATGAAAGCATTCCACAATCACATTTATATACCATATATAATTATTAACCTATGGACGATTAAAAGTCATAATTCCCTTAACCCAAAGACCCCACCCCGGCTTTAGGTAGTTTGCATGAGGCGTGGGATAGTCGCACAGTAGTCTAAAGCGGCACGGCAGGATTTAATATGCGCCATGGCGTTGAGTTTTATTGCTATACAGCTACATTGCCTACACATGCGCGTCAATGAGATAAACATAGATATTTTCAATGACGTAGCTGAATAAAATTATTTTATCCCCCTATCCAACTTTGTCCAGATATTTTCAGCAATCTCACGCGCTTACGTTATTCGTCAGTGGTTAAAAAACTCTTGTAAATTGAAATGCAGCAGCCTACACATCTTCGTCAGCTTTTAGAAAGAGCTTACTATGAAGTTTCATACGCTTAGACGCGTCGTCCAGCTAATGGTGGCCGCACAGTGGGATATCAACTAGTATGACACATCTCCAGCTACCCAGTACATGAACCGCCTCCCTCTCAGCAACAGACAGTGCCGCCTTGGCCACTTGCATCCGTACCATAATCCTGTATTTTGGTCAGGCACGAGTAAATTTTCCTAGCAATAGCAAATACCTAGTCGTAATTTTCATTGGTTATCGTCACACATTTCTTTTACCTTTCTTTTATCCTTGCGAACGGCCTTTAAGTAGGAGACGCTTCTCACCTGGCATTTAACGCTGTCCAAAGTGAGCGCCGAAAAGACCACGGCTGGCTGCGCCGTGTTTCTAGTTATCGATTCCTGGAGCTCATGAATTCTTTCATGAAGCGTCTTATCACGTCATGTCGTTACCTGACGTAGCAGTTCCTAGCACTCCGCCTTCAAGTCCAACGACGGGGGAGAATATCGGTCCAAATAGGACCACCATCGCTATCGAATCCGCGTCCATACTCTCGAACAGGGACCGAGTATTGGACGTGAACCAAGTCCAACAGCGTGAAGACCACTCACGCACCAATTCACTTCCACGTCCACCTACCCGGCGTGGTAGCGACAACATCATACCAACAGATCATAGCTGCATACCCGTCAAGCCCCCCATTTTCGGGTCTACGTCTCATAAGCAAGGAATGAACGAAGCTATGGCGAAGCTTAACCTCAGTCACAAAGATGACCCTCCGCGCATCGCGGCCGCTGAAGACCACGACAAGAAGAAAAAGACTGGTCTTCAGACCATGTTCCGGCTGCCCTTTGAGCGAAAGCTGGCGGATCCGATTCAAGGACCGGAATACCAACGCGTCAACACCACACTCACCTACTATAGCAATGACACTCAACCTCAACCTCAATCTCAAGCCCAAGTCCACATCCAAGTCCAAAGCTATGCCCCGGTCCAAGTCCAGGTCCAATGCCAAACCCAACCTCAGTCCAATTCCAACTCGCAACCGCAGAACCCGCCAGAAAAGGAGAAACAGCCGTCGCCGCCACCACCACCACCACCACCACCACATCAACAACACAAACCCAAAGACCAGCCCCCCCTCCCCCCAATAAGCGAGCTCCCCGAGCTCCTCCAAGAAACCGACTTCGCCTGCCGGCGCGCGAGCAGCCAAGAGCAATACTGGAGCAGCGAGACGCACCAGGACCTGTGGCAGCGCCTCCTCGTCGCGAAACTCGTGCGCGCGAAGCACGCGCGGCTCGACGCCACACAAAACACCGCGCTGCGGTACGCGCGCCGCCTCGCGGGGGCCGAGCAGCTGGAGACGTGGTACCGGTTACGCACGATGCGCAAGACACGGGCGGAGAAGGCGCGGGGGAATAAGAAGGCAAGTGGGAGGAATAAAAAGAAGAAGAAGAAGGAAAAGAAGGAGAAGAAGACGCGGCAGCAGAGGAAGGAAGAGAAGAGGCGGGTCGCGGAGGAGCTGGAGAGACGGCGGAAGCAGGAGGAGGCGGTCCGAGTCGTGCGGAGGCTTCTCGAGCTCAGGGAGGGCAAGAGGGGCCAGGACTACGGGTTACTGGCGGCGATGTCTTACGATGGGGAGATTCCCAGATAGGTAGCCGTGCGTACGCAGTAGTCCGTTTTCTGAATGCTTTTTGGCGAGGTTATGTTTATAGCAAGAGATACCCAGTTCGCCGCTCCCTTGGCATTATGACGAATCGCTTAGGGAGGGTCGCCGCAATTCATCATATTAGGAATTTAACTGTTTTTGATACCCTATGAAGGTAGAGTTTATTGAAGTGATCTTCGAAGAAAGGGACGTAGTAGAGGGGTTTGGCACCACTTCGGGCACGTCCCTTCAAAAGGGAGAATAAGGGGCATCTTGCATAGTGGGATAAGTTGCTATGTAAGTTGATCAGCAATTATCACGAGAAAATGAAATCAAAGCATCACGACAAAATGAGTCTCGTTAGAAACATTGTTGATAATGCGATCCATGTACGACATAGGATTGTCAAGGACTAGCATCGCTGAATATCATCAGGTACATAGTATTGACGTTTTCGTATTTAATGTAATTTATAAGATATTTCATCTGTAGAAACAACCCGTTCGTCGAAAAGTTTCAACCCAACAGGCACGATATTGTTTAAGAGACTGTCCGCCGTGAACAAGATTGGGGGTATCAAATAGTAACGAATGCCATGCTTTACCGCCGTCGTAACTCATCGCAACTCATCGGGTACATGCCTGATGATATGCTGTCCTCCTAAAAGTGAGACCTATGCTAACTCCTTGTGCCCCCTAGTTTATATGTAATCTTCATGTAAGAACTTTGTAATAGTGAGACTAGATTAGGTGCCATGGACTAGAGCGTCAACAAGCGTCTGTGCATCGTAAAATAGCTTCCCGAGTACCGCCGTCTGTTTCGGCGTTGATATCACAGGAATCGCGGACTTCGTCGTCTTTTTAGTATAAGCGGCAAACACTATTCCTCGATTCGCCATCCCACCTTGTCTTACGTGGGTGTCGCCAGTCTCATTCCGGTTTGTCGTGATATGATCACTGTAGAAAGAGCAGGTCCACCCTCGCGATATCATGCCCGGAGATGCAAGCTCGTCGCGGTACTCTTTCCAACCTTGGAATCCAAGCATCTTTTTATGGAATTGTGTGTGAATCCGAAACGGCGACCCAAATTGATTCAAGCCATATGCGGCAAGTATCCGACCAGTTACCTCAGATTTCGGATTGGCGACAATAGAACATCGGGCCGCAGCATGATCTCCATCCTGGGCTCTGCGTTGACGATCCGTGGAAGTCGATCGTCGTGATGGGTCCGAGCCGTCTCCCTCTGCTTTCGGCCAGAGACTAACAATGTACACTAAATCAAAATTATAGGCATTGGCAATGCTAGCTGCCCACATTGCGCCTAATGCACCAGAAGCGTTGGTTGGCGAATAAGCCAAAGTAAGGAATTGAGAATCCGTTGGTGTACGAGGCGGAGTGAGCTCTCCAGACGAGGAGTTGATCGCAACTGTGGGAGCAATCGGCCTATGTCGACTAGAACGGCTTCTGCCGATAGGAGTTTTGGGCGAATCCTTTGGCGGTGGTGTTGGTGGCATGTCATCTTCGACTTCTGCTTTAGGTGTGGTAGGTACGCGCTCCAAAATATCATCGTCTTCGAGGCGATAAAAGTCATCAAGAGTAGGCTCCCTCAGGTTGCGATCGATCGGTCTATATTTAGTAATAGTCGATAGGGAATCCAAACTCCCAGTCTTTCGCACGAATCGCGATCGGATCATGAATGTGCTTTCTTCTAATGGGGTGCAAGCCAAAGGTACCGGGTCTTGTGGCCTGGTACCCCACGATTCCCTGGTGGGGTGCGAAAATTCCGAACTATTTCCAGAGTTAAAATCAAGCGATGGCTGTGGTGTAATTCGAATAGGCGATGCGAGAGCCTTAGCTGGCACGAGTCGGTCGTGCGAGGCACGCGAACACTCTTCCTCACTGTCTGAAGTAGGTGGAGAGTCAGGAGTTGGGATCGGGATCGGCGAAGGTGACGGAGTTCCCGGCGAGAAAGAGAAATTTTCAGCCAAAGCTTTACTTGGTTTCCGGGAGGACTGTGTAGGTGGTATATCAATCATGTCTACCCTCGTCCGAGGCGAGGGTGGCGTAGACAAGGTCGGAGATGGTGGCTTAGAAGCTGATGGTCCCGCATTGTTTGATGACAACTTGGCGATACGGTCGTCAATAGAGGTATCCAAGCCGAGATTATTGAACAGTGAAGATACGCGCTGAGGATACCAATCCAATATGCTCTCTTCTTGGGAGCCTTTGGCAGTACGTTCTTTGGCTGTGACTCCCTTTTCGTCCATGGTAAGAGCCTCTGGGAACCTGAATCGAGATAACCTCGGAGTACCAAGAGGACGATTGGTATTCCTGGTAGGTGTTGATAAAGGCTGTATCGGGTCGCTGGGATGGTATCGGTGATTCAAGATATCACCGATGGAACCAATTGAAGACCGTCTTTTCCGATTTCCATGCGGACCAGGTAAGCTCTGAGAGCGCTCTTTAGCTTCTCTAGACCATGTACTGGGTTCCTCTCGAGGTTTCATATGTATCGACGTCGGATTCATAAACGACGGCGCTGGGAAATGTTGATCATCAAGGGCAGACACAGCCGAAAGTTCTCTGTTTTTTGACCCTCTGTCTTTATCCCTCTTCCTAGAACCACCAAAAAACCTTTCCAGCCTCTCTAATCCGTTGACCATCTTTGCTGCCAGATTGAATTCTCCTAGTCGCGCTTCTGCCATTGTGTCAACCGATGAGCTACACTATATTGTCGGACCATGGCACGGAATGGCTTACCTGCTACGTAGCTTCAAAATGAGAGGTATGAGGTTATAATAAGCTAATCGTATCTTTACCAGTGGGGCTTCTCTGGAGCAATAGCGAAAGACCGTGATTCAGGAGGAATGTGTAGACAAGACAATTTCGTGAATGTCCCTGACTTCCAGGCGACTCAACAGGGAACCTGAGTGAGTGATATCAGAGGCCGATTCGCGACACACCCAAGTGTAGACAAGGAGAACTCGCGGGTGTCACGAGCCGACTCGTAGACGATAGAGTAAATATCGCGAGGTTTGATGTAGTGGCATCGCACAGCCGACAGACAGATTGGTGATGTTAGATAGCACAGCAGGTAGGCTCGAGGGGCACCGAATAAATTCGAGGGTTAGAGATAAGAGAAAGAGGATGTCACAAGCAGATGTTGTGTTGCCAATGTCCCTAGTGCTGAGTACTTCCTCTTAACACCTGTGCGGATTTTCACCTATGAGACGGTAGATGGGCCAGAAAGGAGGTTGCAATGTCTCAACCGCGGCCGGGGTACCGGGCGCAGGGATAGGTCTTGAAAATCAAGACTAGATCACGGTGGCGTCTGGGGCAGTTCAATGCTGGGAAACATTAGCTGGGATGTAAGTGCGGGTGTGGTTCTGAGTAAAGCAAGTTAGGATACTAGAAAGAAGAGCGACAAGGCACGATGTCGAATAGATGATGCGGGATTTGATTAGTAGATATTACTAGTGACTGGTATGCCAAAGTAGATGGGTTATGTTATTCGGAGCTGGCTAAACAAGGAAGAGAACACTGAACGAGAAGATGTTTGGTATGCAGACTTACAATTTGATATGAGGATCGTTCGATCCCAGGAAATATTACCTAGACCTCTAGGAGAATGAGCAGCAGTAAGCTTGTATGTGTAATGTTGTGCGTCATGTTAGCTGGTGGGCAATCGAGTCACTTAGCCATCCAGCCAGCTCCTCGGTGGCAAATGATGCAGGAAACAACAAGTTTTCAAGTCTCAGCTCATCTGAAGTTTCGAACGTTAGGTAGAGTGATAATGAAGGAGGGTTGTGATGGGATGAGAGAGGATTCGGGGCTAGGTACAGTCGTTTAATACGTAGGTACCTATGTAGGTACCTGGATACTTTACATCAAGGTACCTAGTCGCAGCCCAACTCCATTGGTCAACATGGCTGGTATAGCACCAATTTAGGAATGTGGGCTGGTTGGCTGGGATTCTGGTTCTCCCAGCAGAATCTTAAGTCGAACTTGCCATCCCGTACAATTTCAAGCTTCCAACCAGGAAGTAGATACCCAAATACCTAAATGCATTCTTAGAGAGGGCAGTCACAGCCAAGCACGGTGATATACTCAATTCGAGACTGTCTCCCTTTCTGAGAACAAATCGGAAAATATATGTATGGGATGAGAGGGGAACCTTGAAGAAACGGCTAAGACCCGAGCAATTCGAGTCCCCCGTGTTCTCCGTGTACAACAATCCTCTCCTGTACTCAGTCTTAGTGTTCAAATTCCAAGATCTGATGTCCTTCGCACCCATCCTGCAAGTACGATATATGCGCATATGCATAGTACCTGACTATCAGCCGTTAACGTATCTTGCCTTCGAAATAGAACAGGTCTATTGGACATATAGCGCTTTCTACCAACTTAGGTAGGCCAGCCTAGGTGAGATGCGGCAGTCACAGCACCCGAGTCCCAGGGCTGGGGTCGCCCACAACGGCTTTTGGCCTCCATTGACTTTGGCCATTTGAGAGGCCTTCAACCCTCCCCACATCAGCGTTAGCATGGTGGGTTGTGTAAGACACGATATACACTATGGATACTAGAAGCTGAGAAATCAACCCGCCCCTTTATCCCTTCTTAAAAAAAAGGAAAGACGAGAGGCTCGGTACGCTACCGAGAAAGTCACATCGAACTTAGCAAGCCTCGGCTGTCGTAGCGTATTACGAGCCGTGGCTGCTCCCGTCGTCCCACTTGAGACGTAAGATCACTCCCTCTCAAGGGTTTAGGGGTAGGTATCGAACGGAAAAGTCGGTAGGCCTACTGGCGTAAGGGGCGCAAGGGAGCTCACGACGTCGGTTGTGTAAAAGCAAGAGATGATAGTTTCCCTAAAGCGTGGGGTTGAAGTTGGACAAAATACAAGGTACCTGGGTACAATGTCCATATTTGGGCTGGTGGGGGAAAAAATCAATCTTGGCGATGAAACCGGCTAAGCCCAATTCAACGAATTAGCACAACCGGCAGCATTTTCGATGGTAGTAACATTGAACATGACCTGCAAATTTGTAATCTACAAGGTAATCAACTTTTACTCTCTTCAAGTCTCACGAAAAATCGCAATTACAGCATCGAACACTGCTTACACTCTTATTTTTCTCTAGATGTCAATTCATGCATTACAGTTTAATTGAGCTGGGGAAAAGTTGTCGGTTACTCTCCGGAGTAAAACGTCTACCTCTAAGTTACTGTCTCAATAATGAAGATCCACTTCCTCCTTTATTTTTATGTTAGGTACGGAACACGTCTCGTCTCTCACCCGATCCACAGCCTTCGGATATCGATATCCCCTCCTCTTTTCTTTTTGTTCTTTTTTACTTCAGCTTTGCTCTGGAGTTTGAGGGTCGTGTTTCGATTAATCCTCAAAATGAGAGACCAAAAAAAAAAAAAAAAAAAAAAAAAAAGGTCTAGAAAAATACACTTCCAAGGTTATGTAACGAGGAAAATGGGATCGATACTGAAGAACCTGATATCCTGCCAGATGCCGCGCGTACGTAGACGGATAAGCTGTGCTTCTCAACGCCGCAATGTCCCGTTCGAATCACAGAGACGACGTGAATTATAGGAAGAGCAATTAAGCTCCGAGCCTTGCGTCGGGGACGTGCAGGCGCCATTCTAGGGTTCCCCCCATATCTATCGGGAGGCGATATACTCAGCGAGGTATTCTGCAATAGCATGTCACTCTGCAATAGCATGGTATCGGTCATCCTCATCCCTTGAGATTTGTCAAGATCTGGTCTTGGCACATATACGTCCCAGTCGGTCGGGTCTTTTTCGAGTCTACATGAGCTAATGTTTGTGATCTGTCAGCTATAATTTTATAGGAATATATATCGTCCAATCACTTGCGATTGTCGTTGAGACTCTCTATCAAGCTGCATGCACTAAGGCAGGTTCACAATAGCTTAGGGTCTACGACATCATCAGGAATGAACGTCGCTATCTCTGGGGATCAGCCGCATAATCTGATTAGGAAGATTTACATTGCTGCATGAACTGATGGAATTGCTTATTCGGATCGATTCGTTTGGTTTGCATGAGTTGACATAGTATCCCCGATGGGGTGCGTCATCCTGTACTCGGAGGCCTACTATTCACGACTTTCTAGATCCCCATCCTCCCTTCTCGACGCTACGGATCTAGTCCGCCGTGCGTATTGCTACGCGTCCATCAGTCTATTAGCCTTCTTGGATATCGGCGTTGTTTCCGAACGCCCTGGCGTTCTACATATTGCTTCAGTGGGTTGTATCTAGTTTATTTAAGTTAAAGGGCTTCGTCGTGAGCTAGATTGTTCCAATAGAATCTTGTGTCTCTAGGATAGCTAAATAAGCTGGCTGGCTTGGTAGCTCGTATGAGAAGAGCGGCGCTAACTAGTGCTGAGATTATTTTCCCAAATGTGCCACGGTAGATATAGCATCACGCTTGTAGAGTAAGAGGCTTTCACATCTTCCTCGCGTCGTACGTCCTCCGGGTTATATGTCTCGGTGCACGGTAACCTGCTTCTCGAGGGCCAATGAGTCTCAAATAGAAGCGACAGGGTCCGGACGCTGAACTCTTTTACGGTTGCGTCCGAGGGGATCAGATCCGAGCGATCCCTAGCCCTGACGTGACCCTGCCCGGTTGCTTTCGTTGCCTATGCAATATCCCGTGACAGTCGTGCCGAGGTGCTCAAGTCTCGACATCGATTGGATGGCGCCGTTCTAGCTTTGATCTCGGATGTCACTCTTTTAGCCTTGAGATCGGGTCGTTGTTGAACCCTTATCTGCAGAGATTCCCAATGGCTTCGTGCATATGCTTTTCGAGATCCAACTCACTAGACCCCAGATTCTATCCGGACGACCCGAATCACGTAAAGGGGTCAATTCTCCGCGAAACCCACTTTACAGAACCATCTATCAGCCTCCGCGCAGTATTCGTCGAATCGAGTAAGAACAAGGCGGTTGAGGAAATTCCTCCGAATAGGGTTATTTTCTTAATTCACTGCAGGAACGTGTGGAGATCAACCAATCTCCGAAACTTGAAGTCGTCACAACAGTACACAAGCACAGCAGCCTGTATTACACGGCATGACTCGACATGGCTCGACTCGACCTTTTGAAACTAGTGCTACGGGCGGTGAGGACCAGTCTTGACAATAAACATCCATCTCGTCAGGGAAGCACAAATTCATAAGAAATATCATAGAGTCCCCCTACTTGGGTAACGATATACGCCATAACTACCTATGCATCCATATTTGCTATCGCCTCTAAGTTATATTAAGCGTCCATGTTTTTGGGTTTCACGCTCGCGTATTGGAGGATGCTGCAACGCCGTTTTACGAATCCATCTGTTGACAATCACCTATGATGCATGTAGGATCGCACGGCATTCTCCAACGTGTACGACTCGTCGCCGATCTGCATTCAGAGCAAGTGTATTTGAATTCATAATTGTGTAGTCATTGATCTAGCTGATTAATATCTTTATACATGTCGATCTTTCGTGCGCCTTATTAAATCAGCTCGTACTCTCATGCAGCCAAAGAACACCGTATGCCATAGGAAGTAAACATGTAGAGTTCACAGCAAAGTAAAACGGGCTACCTAGTACTCGGTATGATGACCCTGCTCATTTTGTAATTTTTTGTCACAACCTGGAGTAGGTCGTTACGTTCATGTTGTGGCTACCATCCGTTCTAACTGTGGTTCGTCAGTATTAGGACGTATAATAACTTACAACTGGTACATACCCTTTCTTCTCGATCGCTTCACCGATCAGGTTCAAAAACGCGATATAAACCTCGTCGGTAAGGTCGCTAGCCTGTAAACTCCTGCCCTTCTTCCCGAAGGCGAGGCGTGAGCATTCCTATAAGCACAGTTTAGCAAGTGTATCCCTCGGCATCCATGGATACCTCATCGAACTCACCCTCGTAATAACCGCGCCTCCAAACGCCGCCAACCCCAGGGTTTCCGCCTCGCCAAGCTTCCCGTCGTGGTCCCAAATGCCATCCAGGTAAGCCTTTCGCCACGCCAGCATCGTCGCGATACTACCCGTCAGGGTATCTCCTTGGCCTCCGCTCCTCTTGAGGCCACCCGTCACATCCACCGTCAACGTCGTCTCGCCATTCGATATATAGTCTCTCCCACCCTTCTGCACGATCGTCACGCCACCCAGCGCCTTGGACAGGGCCTCGACCTGTCGCGTGGAATCAGCACCCTTGGCAGCCTCGTCGGGGTCACCGTCCTTCTTGAGCCCCTTCCACAGCCGGCCAAACTCGACCACGTTCGGCGTGAGCACGACCTCGCGCCACCCGTGCACGAGCTCCGGCGTCTTGGTCACGAGCGCGAGCGCATCCGCGTCCATGACCACGGGCATCTTCCGCTCGCGCGCCGCAGCCAGGACCCGCGCGCACGTCTCCTGCATGAGCGGGTCGCGGCCGAGGCCCGGCCCGACCACGAGGACGTGTAGCCGGGGGAGCATGTCGATGATCTTGCCCGATATGTGCGCGGGGTCCGAGTCGGCGACGGCGTGGGAGGAGTCGGAGGAGTGGTGTGGGGAGGGCGATTGCCGCATCAGCGGGTGCACCATCAGGTTCGGGCTGTAGGTCTTTATGACCGCCGCGGCAGCGGGCGTGCAAATTACGTGGGACTGTGGACCGAGGACGAGAGAGTGTTAGCTTTGCTATTTATTGCCTGACGCCTCGTAGCTCGTAATTTAATGCTTTGCATAGAATAAACCTAAGTGAATTGGAGTAGGATGGAAAGCTCGGAATAGAGGAAGCGGTGCATAACGTAGCGGAATCGAATGTAAATAGGTCGGTAGGAATAGATGACACACCATATCGCAGCCCAGCCGCGCGCTCGCCATGGCCGAGAAGTACGGAGCACCCGTGTAGTCCTCGCTGCCTCCAATGACAGCCACGCGGCCCAGTTGACCTATTACATCGCATTCAATTAGCTTCTTTGTATTTTCCTCAAAGCTCTGGTCCTCGCCGGCAACCACCGAGCTGCTACTGCTCTTTTCTTCCCCACATCTAATCCGGAGCGAGGGAGGAAAAGCAAACGCACCTTTATGAAATTTCTCCAGCATAGGCGGCACGATCTGCCGGACCTTGCCCAGTATCTCTCTCGTGGCCGGCGACAACATGTCGGCGGCCTCGGAGCTCATGTCTCTTTGCAGAAGAGCCAAAAGGTTGGAAGAGTTGAACCGTGCGAGATCCCGGTCGGACCGCGGGGTAACGGAAACGAGCGATTGAAGTGGGATGGAGCTTCGACTTCGACAGTTGATAAAACAAGAGTACGAATTGTCGACTGGAATGAAATGTTGCAATTTAGATATGAAGGGGTCCTAGAACGGTTCTGAAGCTGAAAAGGAATAAGTTTATGGGTTATTTGTATGTTGGTTAAAAAGTTGTTGTGCCATGATCAAACCACTACATTTGACATATTGAGTATGATGTCACCAAGAGACACCCGTCCAATAAAGTAGCTCATTGTGACTTCAAAGTATTAGTCCTACCTCGGAGTGATATTACGGCATGCAAATTTACGTTACGACATATTGGCTGAACAATGTGCGCAAAAAGAATCGAGTGCTCTTGAGTTTTTGGCTCTATTTTACAAGGGTCGGAATTGGAATGCTTCCATCTAGAACCCGTCGTTCTCACTATTCAGCACCCTACCCGTCATGTGCCACCCCTCTAAAAGAAATATGGTCCACCATCATAGGTCCTTAAGGTATAAACAGTCCCTCCGTTTGATGCCTTTTATGATGTGTCTAGGAGACGAAGCTCTTGGTAAAGCTGGAGACAACATCCCGCAACTTCTGCTCAAGATCCTTGCTGAGCGCACCTTCCTTGTCGATGGTAGCAAGCAGGTCAGCTTCGTTGGTCTTGAGGTGGGCTAGGAAGTCAGACTCCCATTGTAGAATCTTGTTGACGGGAACTTGGTCGAGGAAACCATTGACACCGGCAAAGATGAGGGGAACCATCTCATTGACAGCCATAGGAGAGTATTGCTTCTGCTTGAGAAGCTCGGTCAACTACAAGGGGGCATAGTTAGCACATATTCATAATCAATACGTTCAAGTTAGCAAGTTAGTACTACTTACACGTTCACCACGACTGAGGGTCTGCTTGGTAGCGGCATCCAAGTCAGAACCGAACTGGGCGAAAGCAGCAACTTCACGGTACTGGGCCAAGAAGAGCTTGAGCGAACCAGCCACTTGTTTCATGGCCTTAAGCTGAGCAGCGGAACCGACACGAGACACAGAAAGACCGACGTTGATGGCAGGTCGGACACCCTTGTAGAAGAGTTCAGCCTCCAAGAAGATCTGGCCATCGGTAATGGAAATGACGTTGGTAGGAATGTAAGCGGACACATCACCACCTTGAGTCTCAATAATAGGTAAGGCAGTCATCGAGCCGCCGCCGTGTTTGTCGTTCATCTTCGCAGCACGCTCCAGAAGACGCGAATGCAGATAGAATACATCGCCCGGGTACGCTTCTCGGCCTCAAATCACGTGATTTAATATTAGTATGGTGTTGTCGTGAATGGAATGAAGCCAAAGAGGCCATCGTGAGTGAAGGAGGTGAGAAAATGGAAGAGTGGGGCATGTGGTTGAATGTGTGGGGCGGTGTGGGGCCAATTGAAAGTGGGGCCAATTGGAGTTGGGGTAGAGTGGGGCAGGTGGGGTAGTTTTTTTCAAACTCACCTGGGGGACGTCTCAAAAGGAGACTCATTTGTCTGAGAAATATGTTAGATGAGAGATAGAAAGAATATTTAATGGTTATGTAACAACTTACCTGTACGCGACAGCTTGCTTCGATAGATCATCATAGACGATGAGCGCATGCTTGCCGTTGTCCCTAAAATATTCACCCAAACTAGACGCTTCATTCATGACATGATTAGCCTATAAATATAAGGTGGATCCAGTGTTCAAGGAAAAGATCGCTAGGTGGTGACAGAAAGCGTAGTAACATGAAAAGTTTGAAAAGTAGTCCGGGTCCAATTCGGGTCGACTTCGGGTTGAGCCCAAGTCCTCCTGTATTTCTTGACATATCTTGGAAAAAAGCTCTTTCTCGCTATGATCCCCATGCAAATGGTCTCGATTCCAATTTCCTCTGGGTGGTGGAGGGTGGGGAATTTATAAATTGGCCCCTTGGGCCTCGGCTGCGGCAACTTTGGCAAGGTGTGCTTTGCTTCTCAGATGCTTGTCAAGATGTCCTTTAATATTAAAATTTTTCGCACACGCCCCACAAGAGTACTTATTGTATAGTCGATTTTTCTGTACTTGGAATCGTGCTTTCATGGCGCGGGTGGTTGGTAGTTGGTGGCTTGGCTTGACCACCCGCCTTGGTCTTATGGCCTTCGCCCTCAACATGCCTCTTTAGGTTCGCGGCGGAAGCGAAAGTCTTGTCGCAAGGCTTGCATGTGAATGTGCCGGCGGCGATGTAGTTGGCTCGGACCTTCGCGTTGACCTTGGTGCGATGCCTCTAGCTCCTTAGGTGCTTGTCCAGGTGGCCCTTGATGTTGAAGGCCCAGTTGCACGCCCTACAGAAGTACTTCTTATAAGCCCGATTCTTCTCCACCGCTGCTCCTTCCATAAGAGCCCGAGCGGTTGGTTGCTTGGCCTTACCACCCTCGGCCACGGCAACCTTGGCCCTATGGCCTCGGCCGTTGTTATGCCGCTTTATCTTGGTGGCGGAATCGAACTTCATGTTACTCGTTGTGCACGTGAAGGTAACTGCGGCGAGGTGTCTAGCGCCAATTATAGTATTGTATGGAGAAAGAGGAGGGATTTATTTGCTGGCCGCTTAGGCCTTGGCGGGAACGAGAGGGTCGGTGGGAGACTCAGAGGGGTCGGCGGCGGCTTCGGCGGTGTCAGCTTTTGCCCGGCGGCCCTTGGACATCATGTGCTTGTCCAGATGTCCCTTTATGTTGAAGGGAACGCGGCAGACATGGCAGAAATACTTTTGTAGTTGCCGGTTCTTCTCCACTGCGGAGCGTTCCTTGAGGGCGCGAGTGGATGGTGGCTTGGCCTGGCCATTCGCCTTGGCTTTATGATCCCGGCCCTCGACGTGCCTCTGCAAGTTGGAGGCGAAGGGAAACATAAACTGAAAGAATTGAAGCTGTAAATTTGAACCGAAAAGAGCCAGACGGGAGATTCGATGGTTGTAATAAAGGGATATTTATAGACTGGCCCCTTGGGCCTCGGCGGTGTCGGCTGGTGGGGATTTCGGGGGTATGGTGGGCGACTTAGAGACGAAGGCGGCGGCCTCCTCTTTCGCCCTGTGGGCCTTGCTCTGGAGATGCTTGTCGAGGTGGCCCTTTATGTTAAAGGGCACCCGACAGAACCTGCAGTAGTACTTGTTGACTGCCCGGTTCTTCTGCACCGCGGCTCGGTCCTTGAGGGCGCGGGCGCTCGGCTCCTTTTCGGTGCCATCTGCCTTGGCCTTGTGGTCCCGGCCCTGCTCATGCCTCTGCAAGTTGGCGGCGCAGGCGAACGTTTTGTTGCACAACTTGCAGGTGTGGATGCCCGAAGCACGGGCACGGCCACGAGACTCGGCAGCCCAGGCTAGGGGCCGATCGGGGTGCTCCCGTCGCCACGCCTCATTCTTGGCCCTCTCCTCCTCGAGGAAGTTGGGGTTGTTTGCCTTGTCTTCCTCGCGCCGCTTCTTATCGGCCGCGGCCCGTTGCTCCTTTCTCTGCCGGTCGATGGCCTCAAGTTGCTCCGGCGTCAGATTGAGATCGCCGATGGGGCGTTCTTTCAACGCCGTGTGAGTGCACAAAGGCTCTCACACTACATCGGCTATGTCCCTGTGGTCTCGGCCCCTTACTGTAACGCTTCAACTTTGCGGCGGAATCAAACTTAACGTTACACGTTGTGCACGTAAAGATGTCCGCGGCAAGGTGTTGGGCGCGAATTATGGTATGGAGAAAGAGGAGGAATTTATGAGTCGGCCCCTTGGGCCTTGATTGGGATGGTGAGTTAGGTGGTGGTGGTGGTTTGAGGAGCGGACTTGGCGAGAGCGGACTCGACGAGGTCGGCCTTGGCGATGTGGGCCTTGCTTCTTAGATGTTTGTCCAGATGCCCCTTTATGTTGAAATTCTTCTCACACACCCTACAACGGTACTTGTTGTATAGTCGGTTCCTGGCGATGGCGGATCGTTCTTGGAGGGCGCGGGCCGATGGTGGTTATTCCTTGCCGGCTGCTTTCGCCTTGTAATCCCTCCCCCCCTCGTGCCTCTTCAAGTTTGCGGCGGAGGCGAAGGTCTTATTACAGAGTTTGCACGTGTGCACCCCAGAGGCACGGGCACGTGCACGAGTCTTGGCAGCCCAGGCGAGGGGCCGATCGGGGTGGGCTTGTCGCCACACGTTGCTCTTCTCCCTCTCCTTCTTGAGGTACTCGGGGTCCTTGGCCTTTCTCTCTTCCCGCCGCCGTCTCGAGTTCCGACTCGACAATTGGGCCTCATGTAGCTTCGTCTTCTCGTACATCTCGAGGAGCTGGGCGGGGGATAGGTCGACGTGGCCCCGTGGCCGCTCCTTCAGCGATGTATGCGAACAGAGGGGTGCCCAGCCGACGGCAAGGTGAGACCAGGACGGGAGAAGGGGCAGGAGAGTCCATAAATTGTCCAGAATATCTGGCCGGCTCGCAAAAAACAACCGGGTGAACACACCTTCTACAGCAATCATTCGAAGGCGAGCAAGAGGAACCAATGTGGGAGGTGTGACGGATCAGCCTTATCACCTGTAATATCGCGAGGCTGTCCGACTTGCGATTCTCCTCTTTTGGTGGTTGCTGGCTCAATTGGCAGGTGATAGCTTCCACCCGCAGGCTCTTTGATCCTGTCGTGACAGGAGGTGGAGGTCGCATCCAGGCCAATAGGCCTCTGCTGGTCATCTTGTACCCATTTCCCAAGGAAGCTTTGATGCAGAACGGCAACGAGTTTCCCAGATCGTAATCCCTAAATCTTGCCTGGACCCCCTTGGTCCTTCTCGTCCCAGAGCCGATGTAAAGCTTGGGCAGCGAGCCCACCTTCCTCATCACGATAGCGTAAACACCCCAGACCCTGTGGGCAGGTGGTGGGGGCTCTAGGCCGGCCCAAAGGCCCTCAAACCCTTGAAGCTGGAGTATCGCTTCGAGTTTGTGACGTGGCTATCACACAGCCTTCTTTGAGATATACTATGCAAGTGTTAGTTAACTGTCTGGTTCGTTTAGGGGAATGGTAGAAACTTACATTGGTGTTTCACAGAGGAACTCCCAAAGATCACCAATCCGAAAAGAGATGCCGATAGAATGATGAATGCTTCTGGAAATGTCTCGATTGTCCCAGCGTATAAGTCGTTGAAGAATACAGAGTCAAAGAGCCGCTCAAGTACGTGTAGTGAGGTAGGGTAGGCGGCATCAGAGGTACAAGCCAGTCTGATGCGACTATGCGGATCGCTGACAACGTGAGCTTGTCGACAATCGCTTGGACACTTGGCTTCGCCTTTGCCATTGGGACAATTTATTTTGTACTCTCCATTATGATCGTTGTGTTGCTTGGTCGGTGATTCTAACGAAAAATTGATGGAGTGGTATGAAGAGTGAGAAAGAACAGAATCCAGGATGGCCTATCGGACCTAGGAAACATTGCCCTCTTTTCTCTGTTGAAGATTCCAATGGCGTGGTATCAAAGGTGAAAAAGGATGCAGTCTAGGACATCCCTTGGGCTTTAAGACATCGCCCTCTTCTCTGTTGAAAATTCTCCCGGTGTGGTATGAAAGGTGAAAAAGGATGGAGTTCAGGACAACCCTTGGGCCTTAAAGATATCGCCCTCCCCCGAGGTCAACAACTTCCAGAAGGCACGTCCTGAGAACATTTTGCACCATGAGAACATTTTGCAACCTGGCAAGTGCGTCCTGCCCGGAAGGCATGCCTTGAGAACATTTTGCACCCTGGTGGGTGGGTGTTGTCTGCGAGAAGGCACGTTCTGAGAACATGTTACACCCATGGCGGGGTTGTACTATCCGGAAGACAAGTCATGTCCCGAGAAGACATTGCACCCAGGGCGAATGTGTACTGTCCATGTCCGGAAGGGAAGGCATAACCCGGATGTAATAGCGAAAGGAAAAACAGGAGCAAACTTTATGTAAACGCAAAATAGACGGGGAAAGAAGAAAAGAGAAAACTTACCAGTAAATGGAGCAATATACTGCAGAGGAGCAGCTTCAGAGGCAGTCGCAGCTACTACAATCGAGTACTTCATTGCATCGTTCTCCTCGAGAGTCTTGACAAGCTGGGCGACGGTAGATCGCTTCTGGCCGATGGCAACGTAAATACAGTACAGCTTCTTGGTCTCGTCGTTGCCGCTGTTCCATCGCTTCTGGTTGAGGATGGCATCGAGAGCGACGGCAGTCTTTCCAGTCTGACGGTCACCGATGATCAACTCACGCTGTCCACGACCGATGGGAACCATAGCGTCGACGGACTTGAGGCCGGTCTGCACGGGCTGGTTGACGGATCGTCGAGGCAAGATACCGGGGGCCTTGAGCTGAGCTCGGCGCTTCTCCTTGGTGTTGATAGGGCCCTTGCCGTCGATGGGGTTACCTAGGGCATCAACAACACGGCCAAGCATTTCGATGCCGACGGGGACATCAACCTAATAGCGATTAGTGGTGCTGGTCGATTTAGGCTTAATTATAACTCATATACTCACAATTGCTCCGGTACGCTTAACGGTCTCGCCCTCCTTGACCAAACGGTCAGAACCGAAAAGCACAACACCGACCTGTCCAGCTTCCAAGTTCATGCACATTCCCTTCACACCGGAAGCGAACCTGCGCAATGGTTAGTCACATATTTCGCAGCTCATGGGAGTAGGTGCACCTACTCAACAAGCTCTTCGGCCTGGACGTTGGCCATACCGTGCACACGCGCGATACCATCACTATAGACCCAAAGTTAGTAAATATGATTCAATTGCCCAACCTAAAGTTAGAATGCGATTATTGCGACTATAACATAATATATGGGAATTATGTATGCTCGCAACAGCAAATTTGTATAGTAGTTGTGCTGTAGGAATAGATCGCCGCCTGTTGAAAAATCTCGCTTTCTTGGCTCCACACATACCCGACGGAAAGAACACGACCAGTCTCAGCCAAGCTGGATTCTTCTGATACACCACGAATTCTTTGCTCGAGGATAGAAGAGACCTCGGTGGGTGAGGCTTTCGCGTCGGCGTAGGATCGGGCCTGTACGTTGAAAATGGCGGGTGCGGCATTTCGTGCCTATAAAAAAAATTACACCGTTAGCCGATAGTCCGAAATTGTGCACGATAAATAACCAGGTAGCCGCAGCTCTACTACGAGAGCTCCAGAAGCTCTAGAAGCTTCAAAATAACATAAAAAGCTTCAATTGAGCTTCGCAAATTCCCATAAAATGCTTCGGCATCGATGGCACGACCTCGCCGATGGAATTGAGATGGCATCCGGACTACCAAGGTTCAAACGTACCGTAACGACTCTGCCCGAGGCAGAAATTGCGCTCACGGCGCGCGTGGACTGTCTAAGGGCGTTGCGAAACATTATGAAAGAGGGATATTTGATCCTCCAGGGTAAAAGGAAAAATCAATTGCAATTTTTAATTGCAATTGGGAGAGGAGATTGAGGAGGAGGAATGGGTATTTTGCTGTGGTTTGCAAATGGAGACTTTTTCGAGAGGAGTGCTGAGGCGCCCGGAAAACGAAGGGGAGGAAGGAAAAACGCGCACGGACCAGCTATTGAAGATACAGTAACCCCGAAAGGTTCCGACTCATCGGCGTGGCCAGCTAATATGGCCGGCACAAACTGTTATTTATTTCTCTCCATCCATATTTACCTCCACCGTTCACGCGCAAACCTGTGCTTCTACACTTCATTGTCTTGGTAGTAAATATCAACGAAGTACAACCAGGTTTAAAGCATGTCTCACTTTCTCACCATATACAGGTTACTCTAACAATAAAACGACAGTAATAAAAACCGATCAAGACTCCTTCTCGACATATCAGAGGCCATAGCAATGTCTAATTACCAGTCTAGCCAAATATCACTTAGGGCCCACACCTTGGATACGACTTGAGCCTCAATGAGTTAGAAAGATGTTGAAACGTCATACTCAAGATATCCATTTCAACATCAACCAGGAATCAGCATGCTTATAATGCAATGTAGCAGGTTTAGACCTTCAATATCAATGTCTGTTCACTTCTCCATGTCACTAAACACGATGCTTACCTAATTATCCAAATCATCTTCCGACGTACTTTCAAAGCAGAGCCTCACCAACGGCGACCATAGGTTAATACCAATTCTAGTACATCGTGGAGGTGGTTTTGTTTACCTTATTCTGTGCGTCTCAAGGCTCGGGTCCACTCAACTAACCACACCTTTCTACTCTGATATATGGGCTTATTGCACTTGTATCATGTTTAAGTTGAATATATATGTATCTGGATCATGTATCGATATAAAGAGTCGTAAATTAGTCGGGTTAGTCCAATCCTTGACACTCTCACATTCTCAAACGCCAAGAACGGCTCCGAATAATGAACAAGATAGTTGTCTTCGAAGAAAGATTCCGATTCTACAAGCTTGACCTGATGTTTGGAGAGAATATGCTGATAACACCCACCAAATCTTTGAGTCTGAGGAGAGCGTTGCTGCTTCGAACTGGTTTCCGTCGCAGAGCTCCAGAGTCAGGCTAATATCCAATGAAGTCTGCTTACTTCTACCTTAATATAAGTGGTTCTTTCTACAGTTCGACAAGAAGCGGGGGGATGATGAGATAATGCAAGTACATACCTACCTAAGTATCTTATACCACTGCACACAATCTAAGACGCCTTCACCGACAGGGACATCTCGCATACTATATCCTCAACCCGTATTAGACCCGCTTCTTTGATCAGATTGCGGGGATGACCACACTTTGTATCGAACTCTGCATCAATCTCGGAAGGGATATCGAAACCGACATAATCAAATCAAATCGGTCTGTGATGTTGAAAGGGCAGGGATACACCACCGAGCCTTCCGACCCGTGCTATACCGAAGACCTATTCCTCCCACCTCGAAATACTCCATAGATCTCACCCGGAAAGCCAGCTCAGGGGCTAGTTGCCAGGACTACTCAATCGCAGCGTCGGTTTACGAACCAAGGTATAGCAAATCATATCGACCATTTTTACTATTTTTGGTGTGCTAATTGCCATATAGCAATACAGCCATACGATAAATTTTTCCCGAGTGACTCTGGTGTGCTGCCTTGTGGACGTTGAAGTCCCGTAAACCTTCTAGGTTGAACCTAATGGCACGTGTTTATATACCAACTCCTTCCATTGCTCCTATCGCACATGGCACCGTATTCGTTATCCAAGTAGCATAGCATCGTCTCTGATGCTATTGGCCATACAGCCTTCACAATGTTACATTTATGAACGCGACGCTTTCTTGCATTCTAGGACCCCCACTATTGCGGCCGAAGTCAGCATTTTCTTGATGGATAACGCTTAGGAGTAGTAATATCCGATCAAAATCGACTGTAGAAACAAGTCATACGGAAAAAAGGGGACGGGTGTTACATACGACTCGAGCCCCCCGCCCGGTGGACTTTGATCACGACCAAACCAGCTCGATCGGCAAGCTTTTCGAGTTGCTGCACAGTCCTCTCCAGAGATGCCCAAGTCATCATGATAATATCTATAGCCGCAACCTCTCGGTCTGGAGGATCTGTCATTATATGTTCGTTAATCAAGACCCTCGCTTGCGGTTCGTCTTCTGGGAGCGAGTCCGCCAGTATCTTCAGGATGTTGACGCAATCGTTATCGTCGTAATCGTGGAGGCAACGCCTGATGAAGTAGATGAGGGCTCCTGTGTTCATTATTGCCATTAGAAGACCGCCATATCCGTGCGAGAAAGAGACTTATGGGTGGTTCTTAATTACCTTTGACCGGCTGCTCCTTGTGGAAATCCGCCGCCACTTTTTGCACGTTCTCCATGACGGGGTCATTCGCATGCGCTTTCGTGATGCTAGGAATCATCTCTTCACGGTCCTCAACTGCGCATCGGCCGGGAGGAATGTTAGGATATTTAACCAGATTAGCCCGCAATGAGTGGCCGAAGCTTCCGCCGACGTCGATGATCAACGTCCTATTCGGGTTCGTCGCGGCGTACTTTCCAACCCAGGTGAAGTCATACGCGCCCGTGTGTGGCCACAGATATCCCGTCATCGCCTGCATGGCCAAGCCAAACTGCTCTATATGTTCCGTGCCCTGCTGCGCGAATACCTCCCAGGGGGTCAGTTTGCCGTCCGCCCCAGAAGCGAAGGTGATCGGTATGTTCGTCTTGCCAACCGGTAAATTTGGCCCATACTTGCCGAAGAAGCCGGGTAGTTTCGCGAAGACGGGCTGGAAGTCGTCATACAGCATGGCGAATGCAGAGCCGTTGCTATTGCCAGTTTTATACCTCAACGACAAGCGTGAATGAGCGACAGAGCCGGGTTTTGGCTGTAGAAGCGTGCCGGTTGAGACCAGCATTTGTCCCATCCGAGCTAGGAGGTTAGCAAGGCATGACAGGACGACGGCAACAAGCCAGCCTACAAACAATTTCCCCTTGGGCACCTACTGATGCCGCCAGATCCTGGTATGAAACGCCCCCTTCTACGGGGATTTTGTCAAAGAATTTCCACTTCATGAACATCCGGATACAGGCCCATTCGCTTAGCTACACACTCCACCATTAGCGTATCGCAATGAACATTTATGCCAGCGTAAACGTACGGTGACCATTTGTTCAGCAGTTGCTTCCTCGGTATGGATTAGTTCATTCAACAGTGTCCTTGCGGTACCAACTGCCATTCGCCTGGCGAGGTCTTCATCTTTGTCGATAGCACGTAATGCTTGGATATGGGCGGAGAGTTCTTTGGACAGGACCTCTAATTTATCAATTTGTAGAGCTGCCATTTTTTTCGATCATAAACGCTGGCTGCCTAGGTAGGTAGGTAGGATAGATACTTGTTGGGAAACTAGCAACAACTTGGAATCGATAAGGCCTCTATCACCCTCTAAACGTAATGTGCCTATGGCAAGGTATTAATATGGGAGGCAGGTGAACATGTCTATCGGAGGGGGGTTAAGAAGAAAGGGGTTTTATATATCTAGGGGTACACAACACAATATGTCCACATGTTATGTATGCCGAGACACCGATATATGTATGCCTTTAGGGACCTCTTCGCGACTCGCGACTAGAGCTGGCTCCGATGGGTAGTGGATGTAAACAGCTAGGTACCTTATCATCCATTTCATCCATATGATTTCGACTGGGTTAAAACTGGAGTCAGCGACGTCAACGCTACTACCACTCTGCATGAAGTCCTATTTAGCGGGGTTAATGCTGCACTTGTAGACCTCGATGCTGATATTCCGAGAGTCCGGTTCACTTGCTAAAGTGAAGTGGCTACCGAATCAGAAGCGACTGATATCCATGATACCATGGATGCTGCTGTGCCAGGCTGCTTCTAGGTGGATATACCAAAGACAAGGCAATATCTTAGTTGTCGAGCATGTTACTAATAGTTACTGCGACTAGCCTAGCGCGGTGGTCAGCTTATATACTTATGTAGGTACTCATAACATCACAGGCTTGCTGGTTGACTCTGTGTTCATCCCACATAGATCTGCTTCATACTGCATAGCATGATATAAACGTATAACGTGATCAAAATAAGCGAGGAAATCAGCATGGATGGAACGTAATCTTGGAGATGGAGGGCTCGAATCTGGAATACTTATCTGTCTGCTATCTAGGTACCTAGTCAACTTTTCCTCTGCCTGAATACATTCTAAACATAACCCCTTAATACGGCACTGCCAACAACTCGCAGACTATTTACCACATAGAAATATCCGGTGGAGAGCGGGGCTGGGGCAGAGTCACTCGGTTCGTGGAGTGCGGAGATATCCAGATAGACCTTTGGGAAGCTTTACAAGAGTTGTCATGACTCTAGAGTTCCTTCTCCCTCTCGGCCTGTTCAAATAATGAGAACTTCTAAATCAAGCTGACTAAGACGCTGCGGGTCCCCAGTCCCGAGACGCACGTTAAAGGCTCGCAAAATCATTTCCTAGAAAAGAGATTGCTGACTCAGTTGAGGTGTAAGAGGCTCCCCGATATGTATACTAGACTTTGGTAACATAGAAATTCGGTGGGGGGAGATAGAATGATGGACGGGACATTCCTCCCACCAACTGACTCTCTTGTTTACAAGAGGCCACGATGTGGTGACAGGAGCGGAAGGAGACGCACGAGCTTGTATTCGTGCGGCGTGTAAGTTACACCAGCCCCAAGGGCCTGTGGAGCTTGTGGATGAATGGGTGTGTCTGAGATCAGTATTAGGAGGGATAGAATGTTGTATTGTCGAGGTTCACTCCAAAGCTAAAAGCTCAGAACCTGTTCTTATATACCCCTCACGATGCGACTCGCACCTTCCTAACAAGTAGACTCCATCTGTCTGTGGGCGCTTGCTTAGAGGTTGACCCAATCCTAGGTCTATCAAGCCGCATCGGAAGTTTGAATTTGGACTTCTAATAGCGCTTCAACTTGGTAAGTTCCCTTTCACATGCACCTACCTCCTGCCTGGCCTGTGATCCTATGGATTATTTTCTAGTCTTGGCCGAGTGCAGAAGTATTACTTACAAGAAGGTAACTATTATTCACTTCGAGCAAATACTGCTCTAGCTTCAGGCGCTTGGCTTCTAGCAATAGCGCTATTGATCGATGTAGATTGGTATGCTTGAGTACTCTAAAGTTGTGTTGTGTTGACTTGAGACTGTTGCGTCTGTATGGATCACCCATATTCTTCTTCTTGCGTACTTTCGCTTTTCAAGTTTCCTCAAACTTTTCTTTTAACCATGGGTCCGGTTTTGGGTTTGATAGATCTGATAGTTTGGGCCGTAACTTTCCAACGGTATAGTTGACTTTATATTCAAATATCTTAATAACTAATCCTTTCATTTCATCTGTGTGCTTCTCGACCTGGTCGACGTGCCGGGCGAGGGTAATTTCATTCGGTCTTCGGTATCTTCTTGAAATATCACCTCTTATTGACATATAAAGTTCACGAGTATCGTCAAGCCATTTGTCAGTGCGCCGCCCCATATGCCGAATTGTGTCGAGCCGCTGCACCTTAACCCCTAGTGCACGCGATCGCAAGCTAGCATTAAATAGTCGTGTCTGGCTGAGTGAGATCGTACTGTTTAAAGGTTGAATTAAACTAATAGGGAGAATTCGAGAGGGGCCGCCAAGGCAGCGCGATCGGGCAGACATGATGCTTTCTAATCAGTTAATGGAGACATGAGAAAATATAGCCCAGATGAAAAGAGAGCAATTCGAGTTCTTCTGGTGAAGCTTGAATGTTGAAATTAATCGCGACAGGTCCTGAGGGTGAATACAGAAGAAGAAAAAAATACCATCATGTCGATGCGCAAAAAAAGATAACGAGTTGATAAGAAAATTAAGGGTCAGAATCAACCTCCCTTACAACGGTATTTATTACTTATCAAGCGTTATTCATTAAACCGGAATTCTTATGGAATCATTAGACATTATTATTATTACGTCTTTAACCTTGTGTCTATTCAATTAAATCGATCGCATTATACGTCGCACCGACATGAGGATTTATCTACACTTCCCCCCTCCGGTAACCTCTCAAAGGATGACTTTCAATTCTAGGTAAAGGTGTTACCCCAGAAGCATCCTTCGCAAGTGTAGGTAGCTTCGCGCATCTGCGCGTGTTTTGTGTTTCCGTATAGCTGCAGTTATTGACGGAATGGTCCACATATATGTTTTCTTGGCTGTTGTTACCGTATTGCAACGCTGATGGCAATGATCCGAATAAGCTTCTAGTGCTGTCGACCACTGTTCGTACAGACAATCTATGAATCAAGTATCGTAAAGTCGGCAAGCAGGCGGCGAATACCCCAATACCACATTCGATCATCCCCCAGTAGAGGTACTCCGTTATCACCACTGAAACAAGAAAGTTAGCAACGGACAATGCTCACCTACCTTCCTGTGTAGGTACATATGTTGAGAGGACTTACAGATCTGATCTTCGTAGGGGTTGTATGTCACGTCTGCGTGAACATCTCTGGTAATTACAAGGAGTCGAGTCAATGATGCTCCAATGGTCCTGTCGTATATTAGTTATATATCTCAATGTACTCGGATCCTTTACCTACACCGCCCCTAGGAGGAATACACTAATAATTGCGATCTTCTTGGTTGTTGACAAGCTCAGGCGCCAAATCTAGGTATTTCATGTTAACACGCCTCATGATAAGCCTCAACGGAGTATCTGAGAACTTACCAAGGGAACAGGGATACCAATTATAACGACGTCCGTGATGAAGTCCGTAACTCCAAACGCAAGAGAAAAGTGCTGAGTATTAACGCAATGTGACGTTATATTCTTAGCGCTCGAATTGGTGCCCCAAAGCACCCAGAAGTCTAGACCACACTCGAATATCGTCGTGGAGAAAAATCCAACCGTCCATAGGCTTACTAACACGGTAATCACGATGAGGAACCTATCGACTGTTGTATTGACCGAGAATATCCTCCTATAAAAGAGTAGGAAAGATGCCTTAGTACACCCCAAGGCCAGCGGGATCATACAAATAATAATAAATTCGACCTAAAACAATAGGAATAAGGTTATCAGTCATCTTATAAAACCGCAACGCGTTCTGCTACGTACCTTGAAGGCTGTCGAAAGCTGCGCACTACTAATATCAAGGGGGTTTCCATTCAAGTTTTGATCGATTTTGGTAGGATATCCGAAGGCTTCCTGGGAAACGCCATAAACTAAACAGGCCCCTATGCTTGTTGTGAGAAACTGAATATCTGTTATTAATGGAATCACATCGAAGTCTTGCAAGGAATGAATACCGAAGCTGGTATCATAAGCCAGTCATCAGCCAACAATCGTTGTTGCTGTTTCTGTCGAGTCCAAATCCGAAGCAAAACGGAGATAATGTCTAAAAGAGACAGGACAGCTGCGGCGGCGACTATATGCCCGGGCTTACAGTAATATTCCAGTATGATTGACATAGTTCCGTGAAGTTCCCTCTATAGCTGAAGGGATGATATCCGGGAATAATGGGTTGAGGATTCATGGTCCTTTTAAAGCTGGCACTAGAATCATGCCCAGACAGGGTGTTTCCAATCATTGCAACTTGGTCAATAGAAGATATACTAGCCGATGTGACCGACCGTAGAGAGCCTTCTCGGTGACCGTGTTTGTGTGGTTTTTGCTGAATGATTACTCTCTATCACGAATCGTGTGCGAGAACAACTGTGTACCTAGGTATTCTACTATTGTATTCTACGCTGGCGGTCTCAACGCTTCCATGCATAACTTGGTAAAGTAGTGGTGGCACAGTCCTGTTGTGATACCGACCATGCTTACAGGTTTACCATGTGTCCTCCAACCGGGGCCACTATATCAAGCCACTCAGCACATGTTGGAAACCGATCCACAAACAACAAAGTCCGGTTATATTATATCATCTTAAGTACCTACCTAAGTAGGTAATCATGCTGTCGAATATCCGCCCGTATGGAAAAATACGCGGCCTATCTAAATGATTCGGCAGTATGGAGGACTTCATACAACTGTCCTATTCGATCTTATAATTACTTACCTATCTCTCTAGAATGCCCTGCCTCAGAGGTTACTAAGACTAGTGGTATTTTCAGATAAACTATGCGTAGATCAGTTCCGCACATGGACTTCCTAGCCAGTAATGTCTCCTCTCCTTACAATATTTATGGTGTTTAAAACTCATTCGCAGAGATCTGGGGAACAGTGGGTTCCGAGTAAGGGAGAATCCAACCCGCAGATGTAAATCGGCAGTAGTGTAGGTAAGTGAGGTTAAGTAAGAGGGCGGCACGGTTTCGTACGTACCTACTTTTCTTACTAAGGGCACGGCTACGCCTCTTTGCCGCGTCTTCCGTTGTGGCGGTTCTTTTTTTCTTAAAAGAAATCCCGTATTTTTTTTTTTTTTTTTTTTTTTTTTTTTTTTTTGTTTCCTATCAACTATACTAAGATTCTTGTAGTTTGTGCTACAAATTGTGGGATATAAACTCGTACAATCGTGGCCCTTCAAGTATCACCATGGCAAACAAAACCCCGGACCGAATTCGCGTGGGTATTATCGGGGGTGGATTGGCTGGTGCGACTCTAGCAAACGCTCTCGTCGTCCATTCTCATCTCGACATCGAAGTATTCGAAGCCGCTTCCAAATTCTCAGAGCGGGGCGCCGCTGTTGGATTATCCATGAATGCGCAAAATGCCCTTCGTCAAATAATTCCTTCTGCAGGAGATCTCCTGGCAAAAGCCGGGGCCGTAAACATGAACTCTACTCGAACTATGCTAGTAAGTTTGCTTCGGTCGCTCACGTTTTCTTAGCACGGGTGCTTAGATTAGCCCTTAGGGCTCAGGGCCGGCTGCGGGAACATTTCTCTTCGACATTGCAGCGGACGTGGACCCTGGTGTGATAATCCACCGTGCTTCGCTTCTGCGCGAGCTTCTGGCTCCCTTACCCCAGGAGATCTTACACGCCAATAAGAAACTAGCAGCCATAAAACCCAGTGGCAACGATGGAGTCGAAGTAACGTTCCAGGATGGGACTATGGAGCATTTTGATGCTATCATCGGCGCAGATGGTATATTCGGCGTCGTCCGCGATCACGTCTTACAAGATGCTGCGGAAGAATGCGCGGCGTCTCCGGGCGGGTATTGGGACAGTAGAAACCTGGTACCATTCGAAAAGGCAAAAGAGGTCCTTGGCGAGAAATATTTCGAACTTGATCGCCAATGGGGCTGGATAGGAGATGGCGCCTTCATACTGCATGATATCCTGGAGAATAGGACCGTGGTTCAAGTCATTATTTCTGCCGTTGAACTTGACCCCCCTAAAGATCGGAAAAGACCATTGACGAAGGAGTTCCTAGACCAAACGCTGGATAGATGGCTAGATGGTCCAATTGCAAAGGGAGTAATAGAGGTACTTGCCCCCTAAGCAATACTCTTTGTGTTTTTAATTCTAAATTCTGGATCACGAAGTGCTCATGAGATTCCAGCTCACCCTTGACCAAGATGATCCGCAGGGCTACTCTCAATGGGAGCATAAGTCAACCAAAACATACGCCAACGGTCGTGTGTGTGTTGCCGGAGATGCAGCTCATGCAACGACTCCCGTAAGCGAACGCAAATCTCTCTCCGCCCTTGCCCCCCTTTTTTCCTTTTTTTATTTTTTTATTTCCTTCCATTTTTAAACCCCAAACTGCCCCCCAGCGCAAGCACTAGACCATTTCATATCTCATAACACGCTCTATACCACGAATACTCTATTGGGATGCTCAACTTTTGACTTTATACTTTAGTGGCAAGGTACCGGCGCTGGTTTAGCTATCGAGGACGCCATGGTCCTAGGCGCTCTCCTTAGTAAAGTCACCTCTTCCAAAGACATACCGGCAGCATTCAAAGCATATGACGAAGTAAGAAGGCCCAGATGCCAGAGAATCATCGATTCGAGCCGGGAGACGGCGAGGATATTCTGTGGGAGGAACCCTAAGATAGGCCTAAATCCCGATAAGCTAAGGGAAGTCATCCGTCCTAGATGGAACTTCATTCTCGGATTGGACGTAGAAGCTCACAAGGCGGAGGCCGTACGTCTATTAGTGAACTATCTCTGATTAACCTAAGGGATTACTTAAGACTCTCGAAAATTCAAGCCAGCAAATGACGTACCCAACTGGAACAAACTAATCCCCTATTTTAAATAATGGATGGTTCAAGATCTCATAAAACCTAGCTAGACAGGTACGCGTACGTGACGCGTGCTCCTTACATGTAGCAACGCGTGACTCACCACGCACCCGTCTCAAGTTTCAACGAGAATACAGACTGACGCTGCTACCTAGCTAGTCATCCACTCTTAATTGAAATATAGATATCATAACAATTACTCAATTTTTCCAGGACACTAAGCCTGATGGCCAGAGATGGCTTAGTTGGATTGTCTGCGCTAGGACCTCCTCCAGATGTGGGTTGTTAGCCCTGTCACATGAATCGAACGTGCGCTGGTCCGGACGTCGCGATATCAGATCTAGGAGTTCTGTGGAGGTTGGAACGAAGGGACGGTCCTCTAGAAGCATTTTGTCCCCCTCTCAGTTTCTTTTTCTTTGGTGAGCTTTCTATTCATACTTCGCTCTTATCACTAAGACTGTCTATAAACTTGACTACCATTCTCTTAATTCGTTTCCTGGACCGAAGAAATTCGGGCTGACCCACGCCTTTGCATCCTTCGACAAAGCCCGGACTTGTGCCTCGTCAATCTCGATCCCTAGTCCAGGCCCGGTCATTAGGTCGATATGCCCATTCGTGACTTTCCACACTTCCGGATTTGTCGTGTAACTTGTCAGGTCTTGGCCGCCGACATTGTAATGAATGCCAAGGCTCATCTCCTGAATCACGAAATTCGGACTGACCGCACAGACTTGAACATTCGCCGCCAATGCGATCGGACCCAATGGGCAATGCGGCGCCAGTGCAACATCGTAGGTCTCGCAAGCTGAAGAAATCCTATGCAGCTCCGATATGCCCCCAACATGACTGATATCCGGCTGCAACATGTCTACACATCCAGCTTCCAGAAAGGGGCGGACATCCCACCTGCTATGGAGCCGCTCACCGAGAGCAATCGGCAGGTGCGTATGAGCGGCAACTTCTTTGATGCCACCGATATTCTCGCTTAATAAGGGCTCTTCGATGAAGAGAGGATCGTAAGGTTCCAGCTTAGCGACCAGCTGCTTTGCCATCGGCTTATGCACTCTCCCGTGGAAATCTACTCCTGCATCGAGCCCCAGGGCCTTCACCGCTTTCACTCGTTCAACGGTTTCTTCGAGCTTTCGAGGTGAGTCAAGCCAACCCAGGTCCTCGGTGGCGTTCATCTTGATCGCATTGAACCCTTGTGCTTTACGGGCATTTCTGGTCTTTTTCTCAATCGGCCTGCCTAGGTATTGAGGGGTAGAATTACTTACGCCTGTACTTCAACGTCACCCGGACGGTCGCCCCCTATCCACGCGTATACCCGTAGCTTGTCCCGAACTTTCCCGCCTAGAAGCTGATAGATTGGAACATTCAGTTTCCTAGCTTAATTGATGTCAGCTTTTCGAAACTCTCGGAGAAATTCTGGTTTCTTCGGGTACCTTTCAAATCCCACAAGGCGATATCAATTCCACTCAAAGCACTCATGAGTACGGGGCCCCCTCGATAAAAGTTTCCCCGATATGATAGTTGCCAGATATGTTCGATGTCACTTCAACTATTGTTAGTGATCATGGAACTGATTTACATTCAAGAACCTCGATTGACTCACTCAGCTTCGTGTCCAACGTATTTCTCCGCCCACGCATCTAGACACCCTTCCACAGCTTGGGTGTGTCCTTCAAGACTGGCCTCTCCCCAACCAACGTTGTTTTCTTCGTCCGTAATCTTGACGAATAACCATCTCGGTGGCACACGAAAGTATTCGATCTTCGAAATCTTGCCCATGATTGTATCGAGGATATTGTGTATGCTTGTATTGAACACAAAGTTATTAGCTATGAAACAAAGCTAAAACATTTGTTGGTGTCGCTGGCGTCGCCTGTATATATAGAGAGCATTATAATAGGCGGAGGGGTTGTATAGGGGTTAGGGGTAATTGCCGAGCTACCGTGGTAATCCGTGGCAATCCGCTTACATACGGTCCGCGCTTACATCTTTCATCCTATCTGCAATACCTATGACATATGTTTTGTAAGATCGGTTAAGAAAAGAAATATTAGCGTTGAAAAATCACATTCAATGCGTCATATAATACTGTTTCTAACTACTCGCATTGGAAGTGACGCTGGCGTCTACCTAGTGAAAGTACTATATCACATTAACTGGTAAGTAGCAATTTACGTTAGCAAGGGATTAGAGGGCACAGTCATTGTCCACCTGCCCTAGTGGACGAGACCTATGATATAGAAAAGCCAAGGCTATTAACAGTATACCTTGTCTAAGTTGTACCAATCATGTTATGATCTATAAATAATGTTCCCGGTTGATCAGAACCGAGCTTTTATGAGTATTCAAGTGTATTATACCTTTCAGGGGCTATGGAGCCACGTCCTTCCACAAAGAAGTAGGCAGGGGCTTTCAGCACCTCGGTACCAGGGGAGAAATTAAAGTTCATAGTGGCATCTGTACGTGATATTCTCGTGAATTAGGGAGTTCTACGATATTCGGGTATTTTTACCGACCGATACTCCACTTACCCCAACCTCGGGGTATAGTTGTCAGTATTCGATGTCGTGATCCCCACCTAAGCTAACGGCCCCCTCACTAGGACCCCGAGCTCGGTCCCACCACGAGACTCCCCGGAAGATACGTAGTTCTTTTATATTCAACAGTTTTGGAATATTATCCCCTAGAAGAAACATCATACTGTTTTTATATGACCCTACGAGACAGACCTAGGAAAATAGACGACATGGTTCGAATTCCTCCCCCCGGCGTTTACGTCCCATCGCCGACGTTTTTCAAGCCCCTGAGCCCGGGGGCGCACCAAGCCGAGGTTGATGTCGCGACTCAATCCGAGCACAGCGTATTCCTAGCTAAGAATGGTGTCCATGGCCTGGTACTTCTCGGGTCTACAGGCGAAGCCGTGCACTTAAGCAGGACAGAACGGCGAGATCTACTCGGTGGAGTCCGCAAGGGGCTCGACGATGCGGGATTCCCCGACTATCCCATAATGGCCGGCGTTCTTGTAAACGCTGTTGATGAAGCTCTGGAATGGCTACAGGATTCGAAAGACGTCGGATGCCAATGGGGCCTGGTTTTGGCACCGGGATATTTTGGTGGTGCAGCTTCGCAGCAAGGGCTTATAGAATGGTACACCACAGTTGCTGACAGGAGCCCGATTCCCATTTTAATGTAAGCAGTGGAAAATATTCTCGTCATTTGTATCACTCGCTAACTTTGACACTAGCTACAACTATCCGGGAGTGACAAATGGGCTTACGGTAACTCCTGAAACATATGAGAAGTTGGCGAAGCACCCAAACATAGTTGGCTGCAAGATGTAAGTGAAGTGGAATTAATAGTAAAAGGATTGCGCTGACAGCATAGGTCCCACGGCAATGTATCATACCACGTCCAAGTATCAACGTCGCCCGAAATTGACCATGAAAAATTCCAAGTCTTCAGTGGTTTTGGCCAACAGCTCGGACCCATTGTTCTGTTCAATGCGGCTGGCGTTATCGACGGCTTGGCTGCATTTTTCCCTAGAACTGTGGTACGACTATTTGAGCTTGTCAGCAAGCGACCAATCGACGATGCCGCCATCAAAGAAGCTAGAGTCCTCCAATATCGGGTAAGTCGAGCTGAGGACTTTATTGGACGTTGGGGTATCTTGGGAATTCGGGAAGGCATTTATCGTGTTGCTGGTCTAGGTAATTTGGAAGGGGGACGAGCACCGTTGAGAGGGAAGATCCCTGAGGGTGCATGGGAGGAGTGGACAAATGTCATGAAAGCGATGTCTGAGTCATAGGTACCTACTTATCTATATGTATATCTATATTGTCTTGCAGTTTCTACGTTAGAGAAAGTCCTCTGGGACTTTCAAAAGGGGCAAACTCCCCCGAAGCCCCTGAATGCTTGTTTACGTAATCATATTCCGAGCTCAGGAGTTGATCCAGGTAATTATTTTAGGAATACATCTCATTCTCATAATAATAGGAAAATACATCAATATATTCCTCTCTATTGAAGCATCTTTCCGTAAACGAAGACCTCTTGTAAGTTAGATTTCTGTTATGTAGGGTTTTAGGCGCTAAACTTGAATAACTCCCCAACGTGATATTCGTACATCTTGATCCATTTCCCCGTGGGGAATTTGTGGGGTCTCCAGATATGGACATATATGACCCTCTCAGCAGTTGTGATACTCAGAACTTGATCAAGTCATCAGCCTTTGGCTTCATTTTCCTTGGTTTCTTATGATTAGACTACTGTACTCAACTTAACTCTTCACCATCCACTTCTTTTAATTTGGAGCCCTATTCAGATAGGGGGCGTAATTATAAGAGGGAACAGGACAGTAGATCCAAGCCTATTCGTGATAGTAACAAAGAAAAAAAGATACAAAAACGGTAGATCCTCAATCGAAAGGAGGGAAATAACGGGACTTGACAAGAACTGCTTAGATCTACAGCCACGAATGAACCACGCATACAAGCTCACCCGACCTCCCCTGATGGGGAAACCGGTTTCCTGACGTAGGGCATTCCGATGCGGAGGTGGGGAGAGCCAATTTTCGGTATCTAGATCCTAACGTCGTATGCATTAAAGTAGACACAGTCCGAGCAGTTCGATCTCAAATATGCCGAGGGTAACGGACGGTTGTCCATGTGAGGAGTCTACCAAGGTATAATAAGATAAAACGCATTTCTTCTGATAACTACTCAGAATTATCTGCTGAATCTCTGGTGTATGAGCCTCACAAATATTCGTTGAATATAGTACCATGTCTCTCGCAGCAACATCACATGCCCAACTGGATATCCCCAGCCAGGGTCTTGGTCCCGAGGTTGACAGCAAATCCATTGACAGTATCAACGATTTGATCGTCAACCGCGCAACTACCTTCCCTTTCAAGCCTCTTCTTGCTTATCCTGGAAAGGATGGTAAATTTGTCTACTACACTGCAAAGGAGCTGGACGGCTTTGCAGACGAAGCCGCAAAACATTACGTCGAATTGGGATTAGTTCCCAAAGTAAGTTTCTATATATACTTGACCGAATATCCCTAAGATAATCAATAGAGCGGTCAGAGCGAATCAGAAATAGTAGCAATTATTGGCGTGTCAAATCTCGATTACATTATCTCGATATTGGCTTTGTCACGTATCGGGTTTGGCGCTCTATTCCTATCGACCCGCCTGTCTGTACAAGCATACACAGCTCTACTCGAAAAGACAAAATGCCACCATATCGTCGCTGCGCCAAACTATGTAGTAACAGCTGGCCAAATAGCTGAAGGTTACGATATCTCTCAATTTGACTTATTGACGGAAAATATATACAGGAAAGCAGACTCGTCTAGGGCTCGTTTTCAGCGACCTGTCAAAATTGAAAATGAAGCGCAGAAAATTGCCTTCATTCTACACTCTTCTGGATCTACCGGCCTTCCAAAGCCTATTTACCAAACCCACCGCTCTTGTTTGATGAACTACTCTGTTTCGAGCGGCATGAGGGCCTTGATAACATTACCCCTATTCCACAACCATGGTCTGTGCACTCTTTTCCGCGGCATCACCTATTCCGTTACAACGGCGCTCTTCGATGCAAGCCTCCCAATGACCCATGACCATCTGGTAAGCGCCATGGAACAGTTCGATCCGGAGAGTTTCCACTGTGTACCATACTCACTGAAGGTCCTTTCCGAGAGTGAACATGGTATTGATCTGATGAGACGGTGTAAACTAGTCCTCTTCGGCGGGAGTAGCTGTCCTGATGATTTAGGAGACAAATTGGTCAATGCCGGAGTCTATCTTGTAGGCCATTATGGAGCGTTAGTATACCTACCCCCACGCCAGAGACGGCCTGAATACTAAGAGATCGGCTTTAGGACAGAAGTGGGTCAACTTATGACATCCTTTCGGGATAAGGAGGACAAAGCATGGAACTACGTGCGACCATTCCCAAAAGTTGCACCATATCTTCGTTTCGAACCTATTGGTGAAGGATTATATGAGTGTGTAGTCCTTGATGGCCTGCCAACAAAACTCTGTTCCAATTCAGATGACCCTCCAAACTCATTTCATACAAGGGATATATTTATACCTCATCCTACGATTCCGCAGGCATTTAAGTATATGTCGCGCCTTGACGATAGAGTCACACTCGTCAATGGCGAAAAGGTGTTACCGATCCCCTTCGAACACCGGCTCCGACAACATGAACTGGTCGAGGAAGCACTCATCTTTGGGGTCGACAAGGCGTTTCCGGGACTGCTCATCTTCCCAAGCGAAAAAGCTAGGGAGGTAAGGAAGGAAGATCTTCTAAATACGCTTCGACCTGTAATTCAAGCTGGAAACGAAGCCGCAGAGAAATTTGGACAGATCTCAATTGACATGGTGGAGATTCTCCCATGCGGCACCCCCTATCCTCGTACAGATAAAGGAACAATTATCCGCAGAGCCGCGTATAGAGCCTTCGAAAAAGAAATCGAAGCAATATATACACGATTTGAAACACACGACGATGCTAGAGATGGAGCCCGAAAGAATTTGGACCAACCCGAACTTGTCACGTACGTGTTGGATTTATTCACTCACGCAATTGGCGTAAAGGGGTTGACCGAAGAAACGGACTTCTTTGAACGTGGAACGGACAGCCTTCAAGCTGTGACTGCGAGAGCCAAAATAATGCGCGAAATTGATATCGGAGACAATGTATTGTCCAATAACGTTTGTTTCGAGTATCCGTCACCCAGGAAACTTGCATCGCATCTCTATGCTCTCAGGACAGGCGAAGAATTGCACCACACCGACGAAATAGCTTTGATGTCTAATCTGATAGAGAAGTACTCGGACTTTGCCCCTTTCGTCCCTGGAAGCCAACGACCGGATGGAGAAGTTATTGTGAGTCCATCACCCTTAACCTGATTTCTAACTACGTAGACTATGTACGTTGGCTAAATTATCATATTTAGCTCCTTACTGGAGCTACAGGTTCACTTGGAGCACATATCCTATCCCAAGTTGTATCCTTACCCGGAGTCAAGAGGGTTTACTGCTTAGTTCGAGCAAAGACGCTCAAGGACGCATATTCGCGCGTTACGTCGAGCCTCGAGTCTCGCGTTCTTTCCCACGATGCTGCTAAGGAAAAACTTGTCTGCCTTCCGAGCGATTTCAGCCAAGAATCTCTAGGGCTTGACATTTCCACTCTCGAGACTCTTCGTTCTAGTCTAACCACCGTTATACATAGCGCATGGATGGTAAACTTCAACGTGGGTCTCAGCAGCTTCGAACGCCCACATATTGCCGGCGTACACAACATCATCAAACTATGCTTAAGCGTTCCATTCACGGAACCAGCTAAGTTCTTCTTCGTATCCTCGATCTCAGCCGCCGCAGGTACCCCTATTCCGGCTGTAATCCGCGAAGCCCACATCGATGATCTGCACTGTGCTCAGAACATGGGATACGCTAGATCTAAACTAGTGACAGAGCACATCATTCGAGCAGCAGCAAAGAGAACGGGCATACAGGCAAGAGTGCTACGGACCGGCCAACTTATGGGCGATTCGCGTAAGGCGCTCTGGAATCCAACCGAGGCGATTCCCTTGATGATCCAAAGTGCAACTACTATAGGGGCACTCCCAATGCTTGATGAGGTAAGATTTCCCCCTTTTTTCTGCACGCCAACAGCCTCTCTAACACTAGAATATGGAGACTCCTTCATGGCTTCCAGTAGACAAATGCGCCGCGGCAATCCTCGAGCTATCCGGGCTCAGCCCCAGCACAAAGAGCAGTCTATCAGAAAACAGCGAAGAAGTCTACCACGTATTGAACCCATCTCTCTTCTCTTGGAGCAATGACTTGTTGCCCGCATTGCGAACGGCTGGTCTAAAATTCGAGACCGTCTCTCAGCGGGAGTGGGTACGACGGCTGCGCGAGAGCGAGCAAGATCCCCAGAAGAACCCCCCTATCAAATTGCTCCACTTCTTCGAAGAGAAGTACGACAACGACTCGGCTGGACGAAGCGGTCTTGTCTTTGAAACTCGGACGACGGCGAAATATTCCGAGACCATCGGCCAGGGTTTTGACATCATCGGAAGCGGGATCCTGCAGAAATGTCTGGATAATTGGCGGCTCACCTGGGCCAAATAGCAGCTGTGAGAAAAAGGAGCGTTGATTAGTATGGCCCAATGGAACTTCCAGCCTTCATACCTTCCTAAATTGTAACGATTTATGTATGCGAGTTTCCACGATAGAGAATTATTATTATAAGAAAATTGCTTGAAGATGTGAGGAGTACCTCTGAAGTTCTTTTAGCGGTTTGAATACAAGTTAAGGCGTCCGCGGGCTAATAGCGCCAAGTTGTCTGACCCAAGGACTGGTCGACGTTTGACGGTTAGTGAGTCACAAAGGTAGCAATGGACCTGTCATAAACCCTCCTAATAGGCTTAGGTGGTACGGTCCTTTGCATATCTGTCATATTTCCTGCGAGTTCTGTGCACATGACAAACGGAAGGGTTCCCAGGAACCAGACAAACGGTGACAAGACTACCATGCAGAAAAACAGTCGTCGGAGTTGTCAGGAGGTCATCCAATTTGTCCTAGGTATTCCAGAAAATATGCCAATGGACGCCCACATCTTCCGTTACAGTTACACGACATGTATACACTGCAACCTCTTCGAAGTCGTGTAAACTTTCTGCCTGACAGAACTCTTCCGTCTGTACTATAATAATTCTATCCACCTACAACCACATTCTAACAACGAAATATTTACCGTTCATGAATAACTATACTTTATTCACAAAGTCAGAATGTCCACGATACAGCCAGCTACAGAGGTCTTATGTGCGAACTCGGGTCAGGATGGTTCAAGATGTGATCGAGTTGGAAAGTACGAGTGCAAGTATTGCCATTTGGTTAAAGTAAGTGGTTCTCTGCCCAGTGCCACACGCAGGCACATTTCATGCGGGTTACAGATCCTGACTGAATAAGCAGTACTGTGGGAAGAAATGCCAGAAGGTACACTGGAAGACGCATATAAGTGATTGTCGAAACAACCCGTTACTGAAACCAACTTGGCGGCCTGCGTGGGAGACAGAGCATCGTGAACCTGCTTTCATGGGAGGGCCTCGGCAACGGCATTTCAACTACAAAATGAAATTCCCATGGGGAAATATGCCGGCGTTCGACCTGCTCAAACTTGCGTCGAATGAGGGCACCAACTACAAAGGAGGCCTCAACCTTCTCTTTGCTGGTAAGATCTTCCAATTTTCTTACCTAGTCATCCGAGCATTTCAATCACGCCAAAGCTTTACATTAATTCGGTACAATATTCTAGCTTCCGGTGATATTAGAAATTGTATCATGACTCTTGTTTCTGTCCCTGACGAATGCCAAAGCCCTATGAAAGTCTATCTGAACGACCGAGATGCCGATGTCGTGGGTCGAAATGCCATCATGCTGCTTCTAGCTCTGATGGAAGACGACGCTGCCGTTGCAGCTGACAACATTATTCATCTATGGTATTCATCATTCATTTCCCAAACCCTCTATGACACATTGAATGGGAAGATCCGTGAGCTAGTTCAAGACATATGCAAGAAAATAGAGGGCAAGCCACCCAACGCAGCCCTGGGAAAGACTTGGACATTCGGATTGAGGTCTCTTAGGCTTGTCTTGACCAGGAACCAATGGTTCGAGCTGCTCGCGAGCTTGGAAGTCCCTCCGGGCCTAACGGCCGAGAAGGCCCAAAAGATTCGCCAGAGTGTTACTTTAGCCCCTGAAAGAGTAGATTACAGGCATCGCAGATATTTCGCTCAACCACCGGGAGATCGTGCCAGCGCCGACAAGTTTCGAGACCATGGTATACTTCTCCCCTTCGGCGCCCCTCGTGATTCGTTTACGATACCAAATCCGTGAGTTTCTGCTTCCTTTTCCTACCTTTCCCCTTTTCAATTTATAATGATAGACACCTGACCTGCCCCCCTGCAGAACTCTTTTCCGCGATGCGGAATCCTGGCCTATGAAAGACGATGCGGACCCTATCCACGGCCACAGCCTAGAAGAGATCAAACGTTTCTCGTGCGACGCTCCCGCGAATGATATCTACGGGAAACTTAGTTTCTTCCTCAAGGATCTTGTCACCCGTTTCCACCGCCGCTTGCAGAATTTGGACATCAAATTCCATCTTCTAAATGTTAACGCCGAGGACCTGCCTGAGTACGTTGGGCAAGTCTTGTTCGACCGCATAGAGGTGCGCCAAGCATTCATCGGGATATGAAGACCGTGACTAACACTTCACCATGATTAGGTTGCAAACGTTTCGGACGCGGGATATTTGGGTATTGCACGAACACTCTGCTATATAGGGACTTTACTAAAGCGTCCCAATGACAACCGTTATGCCACGTTGGTCACGCTATTCCTCAACGCAGTAGAGGAGATTTTCGATGACAAGGAGAAAAGGAAGGTGATTGAATACGAAATTCAGGAAGTGTGGAAGTATATGACTCCGAAGCCCCCCACAGGACCATATGATGCCGACATTATCATCAACGATGTTGCAACTGAACAGGTCCGTGACGTGGACAAGTACTTCAATAGGTTTGTTGAACGCTCACGGATCTTCTTTTGTCAAAGCACCATGTTTCTAATATATCTTAGATATATGAAACTCCATCACTTCGATGAACTTTGTGAGGTATCCGGCATGGAGTTCAAAGAACAACCCACGATAATCGAGGCCTGGCCATTAAAGGTGAAAAAGGGACTACACCAAAGAGGGGCCAAGGAAGAGTTCACCACACTATTATCATCCGGTCACTCGGGCTGTGAGCGATACATGGAATGGAGGTATAAGGTAAACTGATCTGAAACTGAGTTGAAGTGGATGCTGGGGTTAGTTTGTGAGTTCAAGAGATGTGGAATATGATAATGGATGTGATCAATCTCGCTCTTTGTTATTAAATACAGCCCTGAAGGGACGGTTGAACTTGGAAGTGTCCTGTAGGATTATGTCAAGGAGCTGGAAAGTGAAAGTTAGACACTGGTTATTTCATGAGGGAAAATGGTGTAGACACTCACTGCTAAGTGTTTGAATCTGGGCATATAAGCACTTGAATCCTCCTACGACTTCAGTGATCGAATGCCCCCTTTTTATCCATACAGCCGAAGGATCCCCGATGGAGACATTTAGGGGGTCCCCACTGATATCCATATGGATGTAGTCCTAAACACTGTGATTAACGCTTTTGACGTTCAATTCAGCCAATTGAAGTGTATCTTGCGATACTTACCTAAACTAGCTTTTTGTGAATTGGTTGCAAGGGCAAGGCAGGTCAGGTATACTGTGACATCGCGTGGTTGGAACCAGCTGCCTGCTACAAGAATAGACGAGGTTAAATATAATGGATATATAGCGAGCGAATATAGTATCATTGTACGTTATGTAAGTACCTATGTAATTAGAATTTATGCCAAGCGGTTTTATATACAGTCTGCTTTTCAAGGAATGCAAAGATATATCCAATATGCTGATATATGACGTAACTTCGTAAATCATAACCCAAGGAAGTTTGGCCGTCCTAAGCGGTTTCCGGCTTTTGCGCATATACTAGACGTTGAGGCAAGTATGCATGGACCCCTTTATTACGCATATCTTTGCGGATACCCGCAAGAAATACGTGCATCTCTTCCAATGATCGGCCCAATACCTTAGTCCACATGAACATAACGTAACCTAGTACGATGCATCAGAAATTAACCAGAGCATCTAAAAAATAAAGGACAGGCAAATATATAGGATTTTACTTACCTTCCAGGTCTTGCTCAAGTGTGTATTGGAACCATTGCCCGATCTCCTTTAGTTTTGGATCAGCTGCCCATCCCGAGATTGGAACCTGCAATAGAGTAAGAAATCATAGCCTTTGTGTAGTAAGCAGTTTCAAACAACGCACCTTGATGTCTTTAACTGTAATATTTATGAAGCCAGCCTCCTCGAGAGCCTTCGGTATCGTGTTGTCCGTGATAAGCGTGAAGGAGACGCCTAACTTCTTGCCGCCCTCGGCAAATAAGTCACGCCAGACATATAGGGCCGAGTCGGGCTTCAGGGTGCCATCATCGCTACGATAATCGGCCTCAGGCTCGAAGCTCTCAATCCACCCGCCGGGTTTGAGAGCAGCATATTCCTGCTTGAATAAAGCCGTCCAATCTGCAATGCCACCTACGATGTATCGTTGGTGTATGAAATCAAAGCTGTTAGGCGCGAATGTCCATGGCTGTTGCGCGTCGTCAATCTCGAATTTCACATTTGGCGGACACCACGAGGGCTGAATTGGAGAGAGGTCCGTTCCGATTACTTCGCAATTAGGAAATTCATCTGCAAAATCACTGCGGGCTCATTAGTTGTCTAGATATGACGCAACGCAGAATGGTTGGATTACATTGCCCATAAGCCTAGTTAATTTATTAGTATTATATCTAATGTTAAAGGCAAGATTCAAATCACCTGTCCCAGTGCCAATATCGAGTACTTTCTATAAGGTTAATAATCAGCGATATTCGTGATAATATGAAAGAGTGCCGAGCGCTTACTTGTATGTCGGGCTTGAGAGGCGACATGAAAAGTCGTCCCCCCAAGCAGAGAGTCATGAAATGGTGGCTGAGAAAAGATGAGAAATTGGAACGGCAACTCGTCGGGGACAACTGCGGCTCACTTCATATCCATGGCTTCATTTTGGCGCTCGTCGTTTGGACCCCAGTAATTATCAGACCCAAGCCTGGAGCTGTGAAATGTGCGGCCATTGAGCGTGCGATACTCCAAGATACTCTCAGTCAGGGATGCTGTTGAGCTCGCGCTTTTCACCAGTCGTCAGATAAGAACTCGTACATCAAGGAACCCCGGATTTGAACTCTTACTTGTCGCCCTCTCCAAGTGCAGAGTCCGCGTCGTCGAATTCTTCCCCTTCCCCCTTATCGATGATCGTCAGTCAACTTGACGAGCTATGACCTTCTTAGTCTAGACTATTTTCTTCCGAACTTACTTGGCTGGGGTCAGCTGCAATTGGCCCTTCCAGCGCGCCTGGGGGCGCATTGGCCGAGGTAGCAGCCGCAGCTGGCTCGGGCGTCTCGCTGGTGGCCATATTAAGAGGCTAGTTTAGCAACGTGCTCGCCTTTCAGCTCTGATAATTCTATAGTATGTATGTGTTGCGAAGAGCTAGTAGTAGAAGAGGAGGAGAAGTGGAGAGATCAAAAGTGCAGCCTTTTTAGCTTCGGGTAGCGTCAAGTAGTAAGTATAAGTCTGGTTAGCGGGAAATGAACAACTCAGGCGCTATCAGGGGGTCATGAGAGGGGGGCGGTCGGGGCCGGGGGGCTCCACAGCACGTTCAAAATATCGACTAACCACGTCTAGATTGGGCATTCTGATTAGTAGCCGAAAGAGCCGAACAATCGGCTAGGAAGGTTATTGGTCAATCCTTTCTAGAAGGAAGGTATATCTAATCACGTGAATCGCCTAAAGAACGTATTATTTTGCTGATCCTGTCAATATTTTACCTTCCTAGTACTTAACTACCTACTTCGACACCTAAGATTTCAACCTACCACCCCAAAATATTGAAGACCGAGCCGCAGGAGCCCGAGATAATTAAGAACAAGACAGATCCAAACCAGTTGGTGTTATTTCATAGTGAAACCCTGCTCCTACTGGACAATGCCAAAGTACACTATTCCATCGCCGTTCATGTCATCCGCAACATCATCCCTACGAGGGAATAACAATCCTAGGTATCTTACGTTAGTCAAGGAAATTCGATAGATTTAATGACCATGGATTTCTTACAAAGTAGCGAATTGATCAAAACATTTAGGGACCATCGCATGGCTTTTATTGTCATAGCCCCACTCGATCGGAGACATAGCCGACGCGCGTGAGTCTATATAATCCACGTTAGTCAATGCGCTTAGCTACCTAATCTAGTGTTTTGTTCGTGTGGGATTTATACCTAGGAAACCAACAGACTTCCTGGTGCCGGAAGCCCAGATATCGCAGTCACACTCAAACGATCCCCACTACAGCGGGAGTTAGCGATTTCTTCTTTAGAAAGGAGCTCGAGGAGTCTGGAGCATGTCTAGGGAAGTCACTTCTCCCAAGACAGGCCAAAAAGAAAGGGAAGGGTGAAAATGGGGTATTGCATACTGCGGCTCCATCTTTGCAGTTTCTGCAGCCAAATTTCCCTTCCTTGTCAGGATAGATGAATCCGCCTGTGTTTATGAAGCAGCTATGTAAGTCGAGTCATTAGCAATTTTGATTGCCCAGGCAGTCTGCAGGTCGCGGACACGACTTGACTTACTGGTTGAGGTCAAGCTGATAGGTATATTTGACATCGCAGTTGTTTTGGTATGGCAAACAGAAAGTTTTGCTTGTCTCATTGCCGGTAGCATCCCAATACGCAACTCCATCTTCCAGAACATACGGAGAGACCTTTCCGTCGATTGCCCACGGAAGCAAGAGGAGTGCTGTAGCAAGGACCTTCATGATTGATGTAGAGTTGACTTGTAGTTGGCGTACGGTTTTCGTAGGACTGTCTAGTTTCTTGGTCGATGTGTTCGTGTTGTAGTTTTTGATCATGGATAATAGGGAGGTATTTATAATACTACAGGCGGTCCTCAGAGATAGTTCATACAAAGTGACGACACGATCGAGGAGATATCCCTTCACAACATACAAATTAACTGACATCACAAAGAAGTTGGACATATCCCCAATTTATCCATGTTTGCTAGTACACAGTATGTTATTAGTCATGGATAGATTACTGCCATAGTGATTTAGACACAGACTTACGACCCAGAGCTCAGTTAGAGTAGCAAACTGACTATCAACTACACTCGTTAATTGAGATACAACGTGAAATATTACATCCGAAATATACTCTATTCTTGTTCAACCTGCAAGCAACTTCTCCGAACTTCGTATTCAACTCCGAATTGATGGATCTTTAGATACTTTCCAGGGTCATTTGTGGAGACAATCAATAGCACTTTCAAACCAACATAACACTTTTTTTACTAACACAATATCGAGTACAACAGATACAATTGGCTCAAATGGTGCTACATAAATTGATTACTTAGGTAACCTTGTTTTGCAAAGTTTTACTTAAATATTATGAGCTATTACAGTGAAAGTAGAATTAACTATCCGTCTATCTGGGTACCTAGTAAGTTCAAGATGTATGACACCGCGTAGAATTCCTATTTTTCCACAAGAATGGACTCGCCCAGATGTCGTAATGCAATTATAACTCCAGTAATCACTGAGTTGTGGGCTTCTATTATCCTCGAGAAGCCCAACCTAGCGCGGAAGAACTCAATCCCAACGGTTTTAATCGTAATGTCAATGGTGACGAAGATCACCACAGTATAGTGATAAGGCTTTCACCTAAACAAGGTCTGGTTATCTATATATCTTGATTCAAGTAAAGAGAAAGTCCTTTTGAATGTATAGCCCTTTCGTACGAGTCAAAGCTCTGGGTAAATGAAGCCGGCCTTCAGATTAAGCACTTCTTTCCCCTTCTAATTTATACGTACGAAACTCCTATGCCCACATATTCCATTATTCCCTATCTAAGAACATTCATCATTTACTCTGTGCACACTACCTGCAAGATATATGGGAAATGGAGGAACTTGCATGACTCCCACTCCCTTATGGCAAACTCGGTATCGCAAAACATTCGCTTTACTTCCTATAATTGACGGAATAATATATATCGAAATTTCTTCAACCCATTTTGCATCAGACGATAGCTTAGATAGAAAGCGTCTCGAAAATTTAGCCTAACTAAGGGGTTCCACAAAGCCTCACCATAGTTGTAGTTCGAGAGCAAAAGGGGGTGGGGTGAGATCAGCTAGGAACCTACGCACAGGATTAAACGAGGACAGGATTTTCACCAGGCCTTCACAGTATGTCGTTCAGCTCATATCATGTCATACTTGGCATGGTAACATCTTCTGGTATTCTATGTAGTTCTACAATGCTATGGGTTGTTCAGTCCTGTAGAAGAGCAACAAGAATAAAGGAGACCATATGGTCACAATACTACCTAGGTAGCTAGTATGTGCTTTTATTCATGTTGCATTATAGTATTGAAGCGCAGATTGTCCCTTATGTCGACGATATGTGTAGCCAGGTATTTATGCTTATCTATTAGCGGTGAGTTCGTCAATCTCCCATAAGATATAATAAAATTGAATCAATGTTTTCTGGAATCTATCCTCCTTGGCCTTTCAATAAGACCTTAGTTACCACTCAAAAATCTAGTGTCTTCTATCTCTAGGTTACGTTATTGACTCGGTTCCTACTCAGCCATCCTCAATCCACTTTGCTATGAGTAGCTTCCGCGGCAGACTAGACTTAAAGGCAAAGCATAAGGATGCTTTTGGGATATTCAAAGCTATTCATAAAAAGCATGAGGAACTCAAATACTACCTACATTTCAACGCTGGACTATAAGTGTTGGAATATTAGGTGGCTGGAAGCCTACGCCCAGTATCTCAGGGGTATATGTGTTCTATCTACGGACCTCCACCTACTCCTAGTAACTTAACCTTCTAATACAACAAGTATGACACTCATAACCTGCGTCTATCTCAATAATACCTAGCGTGCAAGGAACTGGACATATATGGCGGGATCAAAGCTTCACACCCAAAGCATCGCAAGGTTGGGTTATTGGGTATTCCTTCATACTTATCTACAACAGGGGACTGCTGAAGAATTTGAAGATTACAGTAGTGCCGTTTTCGCCATCATCTGGATTCCCTGCTGCATATTCCACCATCCTTAGTAAATCTCAAGGTACTTCCGCAAATCTCAAGGGTCTATTGAGGAATAGGGGTTTCTACAGTCCCATCCCTTGCCGTGATTGGGACCTCTAAAAGATATGCCGAAATCGGTTTGATGTAGAATAAAAGCTCTCATATTTTATCATTCTGTTAGTTATATTCAGGTGGCTTCGAGAGGCACTTCAGAGTTGTACAGGCATCTTGTGGCGGGTGGCACAAAAGATTCGTCAAATTCGGGCTAGATATAGTACAAATAGTTAGTTAGGCAGACCGTAAAATGAAACCTATCTGCTTACAGCGCCATCCGGAGCTATATACATCGTAGGGATGCACCGTAAACCGTTTCTGAATATGGTCCCGGCGCAGGTTGCCTCACGAATAGCCGATCTAACACAGTCATGCTCTGCATCTCGGGGCTCCCACCGCGGACTGAAGTCGAATCTAAGATTGATGCCGGGTTTCTGGACGACCTGTCCAATAGAGGTATCGGCAGCCCAGGTGCGTAGAGCAGGAAGCTCTGGTGCTCTACCCAAGTTGCAGTTGAAAAAATCAGGCTGTCCAACGGCACAGTTGTACATCATTCTCGCCTTGAAGTTGTTGCACCAGGTAACAGGATCTTGACCATTTCCGGAGAGCTTTCTAAATTGTTTTATATTAATGTGAAGCACATGGAACTATCAAAGTGTAGTGTATTCCCTTACATATGGTAGCGTAAGCGGTGGAATCTATAGCCCCAGTTGTAGGTATCGGCTTCGCAGTACTCCGTACACTCGGAGCTGACATATGGCATATAGTTCATGGCCCACTTGCATTCATCGGTACCATCGTATTGCCAATTCTCATTGTACTGTTAATGTTTGTATTAGTTATTCTCGTCATGGATACAATGCATTAATAGACATCGGCGAATGACACTATCGTTCGGAGAGTCAAGACAAGTGACGTAGTCAAGGCATAGATGTAGGATCTGTGATTAACTCACGTGTTCATTATTAGTTGTGATATTGCTGGAGATGATAGTTCCATTCGGTAAGGTTAGAAATTGATTGAACTGAGATAGGTTCGTAGAAGTCGAATAATCAACATTGACAACTCCCGCCGGGAAGGCGATTATCTGCACGACCAGGGACAGCAAAGCAACAGGGGCGAATTGCATTATGCCTAATATCATGTGAGCTGTGTCAACTGTTGATGTGATAGCTGTTAATGATGAGCGTAGATGCACTGTAAGGGTGGGTGTCGGAATTGAAGAAAAAAGAAAGGGGGAACTTGAGTAAACATTTTAGTTGAGCAAGCTGTTTGTAAAGTACCACTAATTGTGAAGAGTGCTTGGTAGAGTAATGGAAGTAACGTCCTATCAGTTTGAAGGAAGGGGAGATTGGGATGAAAGACTGATGTCAGGCGCAACCGTCGCTTCAGGATATGGAATTAACTCATGTCATATGTATCAACTCTACTGATATCGGCATACATGCATGATTAGCGGTGAACTGATAGAAATTGAAGCCAAGGTTGACTGCAAATTTTGGTTAGAGCACGCTTTCGATTTTATATCTCGTATATAGTATCATATCATTCGTAAGACACCAAACATGTCAACGACGGTTTGAACGATCCAAAATATCAAAACATGACCATCACTTATCTTATTCATCGTAATTCTCACGCTAGGTTGGTCGCGACGCTGGTTTAAGCATCACCTTGAGCGACCAATTTGCCCACGACCATGTACTTGCTCAAGAATCTCTCTTCCCAACCTTGCAAGCTCTCAAACTCCTCAGGACCGAGTCCGTCAAGCTTGTCGAGCGGTCCGTCGAGGTCCTTGGTCAGCATGTCCTCGGCGAAGCTGTGGAAGGCTAGGCCACGGCTAGCATCGCGGCCGGCGAAATTCTCGTAGGGGCCGCCGGGTCCGTAGAAGTTGCGGCCGCTCGTGACGTCGAACACCCGACCGCGCACAGCTAGAAATACTGGCATGCCGTTTTCCCCATTGTAAGGGAGCAGTGTGCGCGGGGTGAAGACCCGGAAGACGATGGCAGGTGGTTCGCGCGGTAATGTCGCCGGCGGCGACGGCTTGTAGAGCAAGTATGTTGTATAGAGGGTGATGACGGCGAGGATGATGTTGAGAGGCGTGGCTAGGCCGGTGCTGGATGGGTCTATGTTAACCGGACATGCCGGAACTACGGCCATACGGTGTTGGAAGGAAACGTACTATATCTCTGAAGGGGCTTTAGCAGCCTCCTGGGCTACGCGCTGGTTTACGTATTCCATTTTCTCTCGAATCAATAGTATCTTCACGGAGCTACTAGTATGTAGCAGTTAGGACGAAGCGAAGATCTAATCTTCACAAAAGACGACGAGAGTGATGAAATTGAGTTGGTGTAAGATGAGGATTAGAGAAGGTAACCTGCGTACCGTGGTGGGGTATCAGGTAGGCACTGTCTAGCATACTTCGGATGGTCCGAGCTTCGAATCCTATTCTTACCATTACTAATCCCTGAAGCTTCAAGGCTTTTAGCTTATTTATAGAGTGTCAAACATGGATGCTACCATTGATGTAATGGGTATTTCATTATAAAGTTGAACATATTATTGAATGCCTTCAATTCTGCTCCTGTGAGATATATGGACTGGTAAATGATTTTGTGTCTGGATTTTGTATTGTTTGCGAATAGAGCGCTGAGAGCGCTTGCTGTGAGGAAGTTTCTTTTAGGCGTATGCTTACGCAAATCTTACAGGTATTGACTTGCTACCTCAGCACATAAATGCCGGCAATGATGGGGCTAGTCTCATCACTCTTAAGCTTTTGCTGGCTACGCTATAAAGGCGTTCGTATTTGGTAGAACATAGATAGGTTAGCTGTCACCAATTCGTATATGAGTTAGCCGTTACCTTTGTAGGTTTGTTTATGAAGTGTTCGTAATACGAAAGACACGATGAAGTGTACCTAATCCGGATGTCGATGTTGTATGTGGGAATCAATCAGCCTTACCAGGTCTCTGTTTTAAAGTTCACGCCAATACTATGGTGGAAGTCAGTTTGTAGTTGTACCGCCTAGCTCCAGCGCAATGGATCACGCTTCAAATTAATAGTCAAGTGCTACCCAAGCTTTCAAAAATTGCTGGGCATATGTATCGACAGATATGGGGAACTCCAAACTTCCTCTTGACAACATTTTGTCATCCAGACTTCGTCGCGATGGATATATCGTATCTTGTCATTGCTCACCGACAATTGGGATTTAGTGTTTTCGTGTCAAAGTTCACTGCCAAGGGCCATGGTTCATTAAAATGAATGATTCTCCTATTTTAATTCCGTTCTCCACGTCTTGTGTCGCATCCCGTTCCAAGTCTGCTGCGGCTCAGCCTCATTGCCGTGCCGCAGAGGCTTATCCCCCATTCTATAGCCTGGCGATCAACTAGAACAAAACATCCTAGGTTCCAATAATCATTCACTCCTTTACAGGCTTTGTAAGGCCTGTATGCATTTCACTGTCTTATTACTGGAGAACGGGCTTCTTTCTCCCTCTCTCGTGTCTTCCAATCCCTAGTCCAATAGTCCATCAATCCAATCGCTGCAATCTCCTCGCTATCGATATCCTCTTCCCGCCCTTTTCGAATTTCAGAAATAAAATACGTACATGCAGACCATGATCTAAGAAGGGCACGAGGACACCAGCCCTACCATGTTACGACGGATTATCCGTCCCGCACGACGCCTACCAATATGGCTTTTACTCTCCGTCGCCGCGCCTTTCGTTTTCGAAGTTATTTTGCACTTATGGCGGTATAACGTGCCGCGGCCCGCGAGCGAGCTCGATACACCGTTTTTTACATCATGTCAAGAGCCGGACGTTAGTGCGAAGCGAGAGAACGCGATCCTGGTCATGCTTGCGCGGAACCACGAACTCGAGAAGGCTAATAAAACAATCACTTCGATCGAAAGACAGTTCAACAAGTGGTTCAACTATCCTATCTTATTCCTTAATGACAACCAGTGGGATCCTAAGTTCATAGAGGTGTTAAATAAAACGTCACGAGGATTAGCGACTTTCGAGGTCATACCGCAGGAGATATGGACGTTTCCCGAAGGCGTAGATGCGAATGCGGCGAAGCAGAATATAAAAGAGCAAGGCGAGATGGGGATTCCGCATGCCGGTGAAGAAGGATACCACCACATGTGTCGCTTTTATTCGGGGTAAGTATACGCTGCATAATGCATAGTCGCAGGCCGAGGATTGCCGTAAAAGAGCATTGAACTGACAAGCATCGAAGCAAATTTTACCAGCTCGAAGTGCTGAAAAAGTACAAATGGTACTGGCGACTCGAGCCCGACGTTGATTTCAACTGCGCGATCTCATATGACCCATTCGTTCAGATGGCACGACATAAGAAGGTCTACGGCTTTACGATTGCGTTATGGGAAATAGGCAAATCATGCCCGGGTCTGTTCCGCTCCGTCGCCGACTGGAAGGAGATGATGGGTATTCCTACAAATAACCTCTGGAAGGCTATGGTATCGGCTTCGTGGGTGCCGTTCCCATTCCGACGATTCATGAGCTGGCTTCCGCATCGCGACGCCTACGGTGATGAATGGAGTTTGTGCCATTACTGGAGCAACTTTGAGATTGCCGACATGGACTTTTTTCGAACGAGGGCGTACCAGGATCTCTTCGACTACTTGGACAAGAAGGGCGGATTCTACTTTGAGCGGGTAAGCAATTCCAGCCGATTCATGGTGCTTAAGCTGCGTACAACCAGTCGATCTAACATTCATATAGTGGGGCGATGCCGCGGTACATTCCCTTGCCGTCGCAATGCTCGTAGATCCGCGGAAGGTACACCACTTCGAGGATTTCGGATACCGACATGACCACCTATATCAATGCCCTGCTAACGCGCCAGGAGGCCAGCTGCCCGAATCCCAACTGCTAGGAAGCGGGACGTGGTCACCAGAGATGGATAATGGAATCGGGTGCCGCTGCGAATGCGACGGGCGGGTAACGAGTAACTACGGGGGTTATTGTCTGAACAAGCTAAAGCAACCTACCACTATAAAACGGCCGTGGTTCACATGGCTCCTATAGCAAGCATATAAGGTAATCGGCATTTCGGTTGTTTATATCTATTGTCATTGCCTCTTAACCAATTTCCGTTGGGTTCTTCTTGCATTGGACATATAAACAGGGAGAGCATAGCCCTAGGTGCTCGCGGTGCTTCTGGCGTACTTGTATTTATATAAAACCATCGCATGGGAAACGGGGACTGGATGAACTGGATACCACGGAACGGCTACATCATAGATATAGGGGATCTCGCATGATCGCACGTGCGCATCCGACCGGTTGGAACAGAGAAATACCAGTCGTGCGTTACATGATGAAGCAAGTTAATACTTGAGATTTTCCAGAAGAGGCTAATTGCCAAAAATAAGGACTAATGTGCGATGCCTAAAAGGGATGATGGAATTTCCTGGCTCCAATTTAGATCATGTTCGTTACTAGTAGGCACAGTAAGCAGAGAGCAGTTCTAGGAAGATTCATGGAATTTAGGATGTTTTGCTAGGGCTTCAAACATTTAGCAGCATATATACGTTCCGATGATTAAATGCCTATACATATACGCCAGAGGCGGCAATCCACCTCCATAGCCGTTCCTATTCTAACAACGAACGCCTGCAATGCAACCACGACGCCGAGACGTAGATATCCGTACTTAGAACAGACCTACACCAACCTGCTCTATCCTGTTTCCCGGGGCGCGAGGTGTGTCATCTCTACGTCTCCCTTTTACTTCACCCTACCAACCATTCCCCCCTTTTCTAAAATTCCCTAAGGTAAACAGAGCCGCACTCAACTAAGCCGCAACTTCTAGTCGTCGTCCTCGTACTTGGGGCCCTGGATATTATGGTTATGGTAGTCCGGGAGCAGGATGTCGTCGACATCTAGGCCCGTGCCAGGTGTGTTACGGATCCACTCGGTCTCGACGCGGAAGAAGATCCATATCCACCGACGGAACACCTCCAGTAACTCGATCACGAAGATGGAGCCCTCCCAGTCGGCTATGCGGCCGAGGTGCGGGCTCAGCTTCAAACTCCACGTGCATCGCAGAACCAGGTCCATCGCGATAACCACGTAGTACACCCCGGGCGGCCCAATATGCAAGCGGCGCCGCAGCCCGAACGCCTTCAGCTCGGGCGAGTTCCGCGCCTGGCTGTCGAAGAGCAGGAGGTCCCAATCCTTCGCCACGTCCCAGTAGAAGCTGTAGAGCGAGTTGACGGCGCAGGCGACGATCCAGGCCTGGTAGTAGTGGTGCGGGGGCGGCTGGCCGCCGGAGGAGTTGCGCTGGAGGGCGCTGAAGACGATGACGGGGAAGGCGGTGGCGTACTTGGTGGCGTTGGCGAGGTGCTGGCCGCCCCAGCCCGTGGCCTCGGTCATGCGGCCGCGGCGCACGCGGCCGTACTCGATGAGGCACTGGCGCAGGCGGATGAGCGAGGGCAGGGCCATGACGAGCGGGACGACGACGGTGCCGCCGCAGCTGCGGTCGGGGCGCGCCGTCGCGCCGCCGCCCTCGCTGCGGAAGAACATGCACAGCGCCACGTACAGGTCCGCGAGCACCTTGGCGTAGCTCGTCAGCACATCGGCCAGCAGGATGTCGCCGAAGCGGCCGTCCTTGGTCTCGGCGAGCCCGCCGACGCTGATGCGCTTGAGCGTCGAGCGCAGGCGCGCGCGCCCGCCGTGCGACAGCGACTTGAAGACGGGCGCGAACACGAGGATGCCGAGGAGCACGGTGAGGTACGTCAGGGGCAGCCAGTCCCAGGCCAGGACCAGGTCGGGGTTGCGGTGTGTGAAGACCCAGAAGACGAGCAGGGCGAAGGCGTAGATGGAGGAGAGGACGGTGGCTAGTCGGTAGGTCGACAGGTGGTGCGTCGGGTGGTGAGGCGAGGGCCGGCCCGGATAGCGGATCAGAGAGGGCACGTCGATGCCGATGAGGTAGAGGTAATGTAGGTTAATGCCCCATGCCCAGACGGCTGTTTTTGGTGTAAGAAGAGGTGTAAGTTTCAATTCGATCTATGACTGGTCAGCAAGGTAGGACGACGAACCTAGCACGATGATGAAGGCCACGCGGTACGGCAAGGGAAAGGTCAAGCTGAAGGAGTCGAGCTCCGACTCGACTGCAGGATCACCGTCCATGGCCCGGGGAGATCTGAGTCCGTATAACTAGCATCGAGACCTAATCCCCAACGTCCAAACCACAAATAGTGGTATTCAATAAGCGCCGAATTGGAACTAGAGAATAATTCTGTCGAGTTGTGAAATGTGAAATATAAAACAAAAAGAAGGTAGGGATAGTCAGATATTCGTATACGCATATGTACATGCCAGATAATGATTTTATTGAAATTAGCGGCCTGGCGACGTCACCTTGGCGAGGCTACGTACCGCGAATCCCTGCTGCGCTAGCGCTCTTCATGAGCATGCCGAACCCCCCTGGCTCTTTGTTTAGTGGAAGTCAATCGCGGCTGGCCCAATCGCCGAGGTACAAGCAAGCAACTGGCAGTGACATCGATATCCACATATTGGAAGCTTCACCTTTAAAACTTCAATAACTTTCTCTCACACATAGCAATTCAACTTGTGCAATGAGATATCTAGATCACTGTTTCAATCAACGCCTTGCTTAATCGGCATGCCACATCAAACATAGTCGTCGTACACCAACCCAGAGCAACAATGGCGAACGATCCACCACCTCCAACAACCAACAATCCCTCACCATCCACATCCACACCCTCTACCGCCTCTGCCCCCTCAACCTCGGCAGCTCCAAACTCAACACCAAGCTCCCTCCCATCCTCACCCTCATCCTCGCCATACCCCTACGCCTTCGCCCCCGACATAATCCGCGCGCACCAGAAGGACGCGTACTTCCAAGGCCTGCTCACGCACCAGATCACGGACCTGCACCGGCACCTCCTCGGGGCCCGGTCGGCGCACGCCTGGGCCGCCGAGTCGCGCACGCTCGCCGACCTGCTGTACCTGTGCCTGACGACGCTGCTCGGCAACCGGACGCTCGGCGAGGAGTACTGCGGGCTCGTGCAGATCGAAGCCGGGACGGGGGCCCTGCCCGCGCTCTCCAAGCGCGCCGCTTACATCGCGGGCAGCATCCTCGCGCCGTACGGCATCTCCCGCCTGCTCCCCAAGATCCGGGCGCGCATACGCGCTCGCCTGCAGAAGAACCTGGGCCTCTCCCCGGGCGCGGGAGACAGTGACGAAAGCACGCTCGCGAAGCTGAACGGGAGCCGGAGCCGGACGTGGTCCCACAAGCTGCAATCCTACGTGCTAGCCAACCTGTCCTCCATAACCAGCGAAGCACCCGTGCACGCGGCCAGCCTCGCGCTCTTCTACTTCAGCGGGTCGTACTACGAGCTCGCCAAGCGGCTCGTCGGGCTGCGCTACATCTTCACCCACAAGATCGGCGAGTCCTCCGACCGCGCCGGGTACGAGGTCCTCGGCGTCCTGCTCGTCGTCCAGATGGCCGTGCAGGGCTACCTGCACATCCGATCGACCCTAACCTCGTTCTCGGCCCCGCTCTCCCCCTCCCTCTCCCCCTCCAGCCCGTCGTCGTCCGACCGCGCGCGAGCCGGCGCCCTCACCGTGTCCCTGGACGAGAACGCGTACTCGTCCAACAACTCTCTATTACCAGGCGGCCCCGGTGCCGGAGCTACGACCCGCATCGACGTAGCAGCCGCGACGCACACGCCGGTCTGCGGCGCCGGCGGCGTGCCGCGGTACGACCTAGCCGAGGCGCGGAGCATGGGCTGGATTAAAGGGGGCCAGCAGCGCAAGTGCACGCTGTGCCTGGAGGAGCTGAAGGACCCGGCGGCCACGCAGTGCGGCCACGTCTTCTGCTGGACCTGCATCGGCGACTGGGTGCGCGAGAAGCCCGAGTGCCCGCTGTGCCGCCGCGAGGCGCTGGTCCAGCACATACTGCCGTTACGTGCCGTGTAGGAGATATTATTGGGGGCCAGGGGAGAGGGGGGTATGATACAGATACAAATACCGTATATACGTAACGGCTACGGTTGCTTGCGGCGGAACCGGCTTGGCTACGTAAAGACGAGACGAGACGTAAGGGGTCAGGTGTAAGTTCAAACGTTATGGAGATGTTAATCTAATCGAAAAGGGGGCGGGGAGGTATACATATTTACATCTTACCATACGCATTACGAACATAGAAGACAGAATATCACATGTACCTAGGTAGCAAGCAAGCGTCACGATATTGGCAATACGATAAAAGAACATATTTAACAGTTAACATCCATTAATATGGAAGATGATAATGCTCTACATGCAATCGAGAACTCTCTCTAGTAGCTTCAGCCTCCCCATCCTCCACATTATCTGCGTTGCCCTTAGCGTAATATTTGAAAACATTTGAAGGACATTGAAGATGTGTACAGGTAGTAAAACAAGCCAGTGAATCTCCCCCCGCCAACTTTGCGACGTCGATGTGATGCGACTTCCTCTATGATGAGGCTTCCTTCAAGACCAGCTCAGAAGCAAAATTGTTTTGATGCGGTACACCGGCACCATATCCCAAACCAACCGACCGACCGACCGCCGCCTACCGCCCACCTTGTTGAAGCATTCCACGCTCAGGTATCACATCCATTAGTTCCCAGAAAAGCATCCGCCTCCACGCTAAAACGCCGTCCCTCTTCCTTTTCAACCGAATCAATACATTCAAGGCTCGATGGGTTCGATCGAAAACAAAACAATCTCCCCGCGTTCATTACGGCGCATCCGTAACGACCGCCAAAGTTCCTTCTCCTCCACTGACTTGCCCAAGCTGGTGCCGGATTCGGATCGCTCACGGTGGTATTTCTTCAGAGCCTTGTTTACGCTGCAACCCCGTTCACTCTCCGGACCCTTGTTGCATAAGCTCAAGAAAAGATCGGATCTCGGCCTGTAAAGAATCATCTGACCAGACTCTCCTTCTTTCTCATCTCCCGATTTCGATTTGGGTCGGTACTCGATCAACTTCGGGGCCTTGTCAGAGCTTGAATGACGCCGAGTCTTCTTCTTATCCTTCTTGTCCTTATCCGACGAGTGCTTCCTCTTCTTGGAAATCTTCGACTTAGATGTGCCCGACATGAAGGCCTTGAGACCTCCACTAAGAGTCTCCGTCCGACTAGGCTTAGATTTGTGAGACTTAGAATGTTTCGTCTTCTTGATAGGGCTCGCAGGAGAGTTTTCTCCTCCGTCACCTCCGGAATAATCTGGCGATGGGGGGAATTGGGACGGACGCATGAGACGGTTGAGACCTCCGGTCAAGCCTGAGTGCAGAACAGGCGGCGCGTCGGTCATGACCTCGTCTCCGCGTTGTGCCGTAAGTGCTAACGGTCCCGGGGTTTCAATATGGAGCCGCTTGCGCTTCTTGTCCTTCTTTACCTCACGTTCGCCTGTGCTATCCTTCGACTTCCTTCGATGAGTCTTAGGTGCTGGTGTTTGATACTTGGTAGGCGGTGCAGCATCCGGTCCAAACTGAGCCATCGCTTCGTCATCAACCATATATCCTGTTGGGTCTACGTAGTTATCTTCCAGGCCTTGGTCAAATCGCACTAGCTGTCGACCGCCGCCGCCGCCGCCGCCACTGGCTTCCACCATATTGTTGAAGTATTGTAGGTTGACATTGGACACGTTAGGAGTCTGGTCAACCAAAAAGTCGAATACGTTCACGTTCGGGTCGTCATCGACGGCTGGCGGAGGAGTAGGCGCCTCTGGAGGAAGGTTCGCCTCTGCATTCCCATCGTCTTCGTATACCTGATACTGTCGGTAATCTTCGAACTCCTCCGTCACGTCTTCGACGTATGCGTTATGAGCCATAGTTTCAGACCTGCCAGAGGGTTCGGCGCCGTTGGATTTTTGCCTCTTTGGTTTATAGAGTGCACCTTGATATTTTTGTTCTTCGCTCATACAACTCTGGTAATGTGTGTTAGATGCTGCCGTCTTATCGACAGGATAAACTGCAGAATTGCGACCTACATTATGCGCGCGATAGTCAGTGCCGTAGAAGTGGACCATGCAATCAATGCAGGTGAAAGTAGCGCCGCGACAACGGTTTCTATGTGGGTCGAGTTTCTTCTTGGTTAAAACGTCACCGCAAGCCTGTGGGGAGGAAAGATAAAAGTTAGATGGCAGAAAATACAATGCAAGTAAGTGTCTGTTGTTAAAGAGATGCGAAGAAAGATACGGAGAATGCAATTGGGTTTCAGGGGGCGTGTGTTTTATCTGGTTGGAGGGGCAGAGGGGTGAGAGAGATCAGGAGGCAATACGTTCCAATACGTTCCAATATTATGGGGTAGATATAAACAGGGGTGGTGTGGAAGGGGTGTGCAGGGTGTGTAGGGTGTGAAGGATGATGGATGGTCAATGCTAAGGTTGCTAGGTTGGTGTATTAGATTGCGTATGGGTGCGAATGGTGCGTAATGGTGATCGCTAGGATGGCGCGAGGGATCTTTAAGGGGTTCCACGGGTAGCGCAACGCGAAATGTCGTGTGTTGCTCGAAACAGATGGATACCAGAAGAGGGAGGGTTGGGCGTGATGGGTAGAGGGCCGTGATGTCAGGCACGCTTGGGGCTTGGGGTTTAAATTATGGAATTGGCGATATTACCTCACACGAGAAGGAGACCATGTTTCTAACTGGTCTAAATGTGATGTGCTGTCGGGTATGCTAGAAGCTGATTGGCGCGCAGCGGTGCAAATTTCTTGTGTGTCTCTGGCCGTGAGTGGTCGAGAGAAGAAAATTTGTTGTTGTTTTCTGTTTTTGTCTTTCCTTGGGGGCTGCAGCAGATGGTGCAGATGCTAGATAGCAGATGGCAGTGCAGGTATTCTAGCCCTCAACAGGCGAAGTCGGGAAAGGGGACCGAAGCTGATAGGACAGAAGAGACAGCCTAGAATTCCCAAGACGGGAACAATATAGTAATGATAGACAGGCGTTCCTGGCTGGTATGGTAGGATTACTAGTCTTCTCCTTCCCAAGGGTTCGTAGACTCTTCGGAATGAAGAGTCTCTTGTCTCTTGGTTTTTAGATAGTTCGTCTTAATAGATGGATAATGGGCATAAAATGCGTCGTCATGAAAACCTGTCTGTCATACGAAGCCCGACCGGACAAACCTGGTATGACCCTCTCAGCCCTCTCCAGCGGTACCGGACGAAGATAAAGATTAGAGGTAGACGCAAGGCCTACGTCCGAAGCGCCCAAGTGCAAAACAGGGGCGGATCCAAGCGTTCGTTGGTTTCCGATGTCAGGGCACTCTTTATTATTAGAACAGAGGACGATCTGGTCTGGGGTAAACTGTTGCGGGCTGAATTGCTATAGGCCAAGGGAGTAGGAATCAAGGAATTGGAGGCGGAGTTGATTAAGAATAGAATTCAGAATTCAGAATTGAAGCCTTCTCGGGTGTGAATTAGAAAATAAAAAGAGTAGTTTTGATCGTGATCGATTTGGTGTAAAGGATCTCAGTTATATGGTTCTGTGCTGTGACTGGACAATGGGTGACTGCAGATCTTGTGAAGATAAATTTTTTCTTCTTTTTGAGAAATTAGGTCCATTGCAGTTTTTCGCGTTGGGCGCCGTTGCGTTATGCGCGGTTCCTCAATGGGGAGCGCTTGCTCTCGCAATTGGGATGGCAAATGTTTGTTTTGGGATAGCAACGGATAATTGGCAACTGGCAACGGACGCTAGCACGCTAGTACGAGTTTAGCTCGGTTGCCACTGCCTACGGTACCCAACTCCAGTCCCATCCAGATGATCCAGCCCATCCAGCCCATCTAGCCTATCTAGCTTCGTACCCCCAGACGATCCCGTCGTCAGCATTGGATCGCATTGGACAACATTGGACGTAACAAGCATGCTAATTCGTTTGGTCGATGGCCAGGTCGATGGCCGGGCATGATTCTTCTAGAAAAGATCCAACCTTTTACGGAGTAGAATCTACGATGATCGTCTTCATTGTGCATGAAACAATACGAATAAGGTAGGTGGATTGAATCCATGCTTCTCTACATGGTGTGAATTCTGAAGGGCTGATCTATTTCTGGTCTCTTTACTAAAAGAGCCAACATTCATGCTGTGTTAGGTACGATAACGAAGGCATAAACAGGTATAAAAGTATAACATATATCCAAAAGAATGGAAGTTAGGTTATGTAAAACAGGATTAGGACAAGGAGACGTAGGTAGGCTTTAACAAGAGCCTTCCAAGAGACTTAGCGTTTTCTATTTCAATCCAAAACAGGCCCCCTAACCACGAAACTGAATGTTTCCGCTTTGCGAGTTCTTGGTCTCGTGATACAACTTGGAAGTCGTACGTACAAATGTAAATATGTATAGAGTAGGTAACATTCAACCCTAATATGAATCTTGGAAATAAGGCGACTATTGGCAATCAAGGGTGAAGTTTTAGAAATGATCTGCTTGACTAAAAGGGTAGGTAGTTACATAAGATACTCTACACGAGAGTGCAGGTGATTGTCATTCTATTAAAGGTGATTGGGAAGGATCTAGCTAAGTGCAAAGCCAGAGCAAAGCCAATGCAAACCCAATTATGCCGGCCGTAACAAGCTGTCGAGACTGGAAGTCTCAAACTGCTCAGCGGCAGCCATTTTCGGTTATCTTAGCAACAAAACTCAAAACTGGAAGCCTCAAACTAGACGAGATATAGTTAGAATATGAGGTAAGTATCAGGTATGTATTTAAGTACCCAGCCATCAATTGTGGCTCATCGGAAATGTGTAATGATTTTCCAACTGGCCGTTCGGGCTTTCCCTTATTACAACTAGTTAGGTATGTAGCTAAACCCCTGGACCGAGGATTCATCAAAGTGCAATCCAGCCCGATTCAATCCAATCCCAATCACCCAAATCATCCACAGACCACCAAAAGTCAAGACTTCATAGATCCACTCAACGCATGCAAGCCTCCTAAAGGTCCTCCTTTTTTGTGCGTGTTTCATGTGTCTGGTTACCGCATAATTCTTTCCTAACTCTCTCCTTCTCTTCTACCCTTCTACCAACCGGGATTTGCTTGGTTAGGCCATGTCTCCTTCAGGAGCTTCATCGTCAAATCTAAGCTATCCGGAGCAGATAATATCGCTCCTCAGCACCGTGGCCGCTTACATGCGTTTGCCAGCTTTGGCTTCCACGGTATGCCTTCACCGTCATCATCCTTCCAGACTTTCCAGACTTCAGCCTCAACCTCGTCCACCTCTTCGATCTTTGCCCGGGCTTGTCGGCATACACAAGTCGCCATCGCAAGACAATGCCGAGCTGCAGCTGAGCTAACTATCGTAACCCAGGGTGTTGCCGCCGTCTTGACCACCCTATTGTATTTCAAGCAAAAGTGAGCAACGTCATACACCCCTTCCGTCCACCCTCCGGTACAACCTATCGTCTGATGTAGCGGACTAACCATCCTAACCCCATGCTGCAGGGCCTTGATCTACCCATCTCACATGCCCCCGAATGCTCGAACCAATGTTCCTCGACCTTCGCAATTTGGCATCAAAGACTTCGAAGAGCTAGTTATACCTACCAATGATGGCGAGAAGCTATCGGCATTCTACATCCGGGGTCCCAGGGGTGGTCGGAACTCGAATTGTACTATTTTGATGTTCCATGGAAATGCCGGCAACATTGGTCATCGACTGCCAATAGCTCGCATGCTTATCAATTATATCGGCTGCAACGTCTTCATGCTCGAGTACCGGGGCTATGGCCTATCAACCGGCGAACCGGACGAGAAAGGTCTTATGCGCGATGCGCAGACCGCACTCGAATACTTACGAAATCGAGCGGAAACGAGTAGTCACAAGCTTGTAGTCTACGGACAGAGTCTAGGAGGGGCCGTCAGCATTAAGCTGGTATCTAAGAATCAGCATAGGGGGGATATCGTTGGCTTGATCCTCGAAAACACATTTCTCTCCATGCGGTCCCTAATCCCGTCCGTCATTCCACCGGCCAAGTATTTGACTATGCTATGTCACCAAGTTTGGCCAAGCGAGTCGATACTACCATCCATTACCGAGGTTCCAATATTATTCCTAAGCGGCCTTCAAGACGAGATTGTCCCGTAAGTTGTCAACGCTCTATCTACGCTCCACACAGTCTATGAGAAATCGATCATATGATGATTTAAGACAACCATCCACAAAACATGAGCTCCCTTTCGAGCACGGATTAAATTTTGTTCCCTGATAATCAAACCTCATGCTATGAGCTTGGCATGTCTCAGTTGGAGAGCTCAGCTGATTCGTCGACTAACGTCATTTGTCTCACAGGCCCGCTCACATGAGAAAACTATACGAATTAGCTACTACACCTACCAAAATTTGGAAGCCCCTACCTGGTGGTGATCACAACTCGAGCGTATTGGAAGAGGGATATTTTGAGGCGATATCCGACTTTGTGTCCAACATTGCCGGAGATGAGAAGTCATGACTCTCTTGATGACAGTAGACACGTCTATAATACGGCGGCCGGCTAAGAATGAATGCGCCGCGCCTATTGGGTCTTGGACCCTTTTTACCTGAGATACCCCCTACCCTCGCGTCAGATTACGCGATAGGTCTTACCTATGAAATATAGTATATTGATATTTGTACACTTATTTGTACACTTACTACATAACTGATTGGCGTTCTCCTAATTTGGATGTTGAATAGGCGCGACAATGCATCTGCATCCGAATCACACATCACAAAATGTCAGCTTACAGCTAGGGCTCGGGCTCGGCTCCGATTGAGGAGAGCCGAATCTCCTCGCAGGATTCTATCAGCAGTCATCCTTGCGGCTAAATATTGAATGTCCCTCTCCGCGCTTGTCAGGTCTGGTATGAATCACGATTGCCTTGTGCGGGTTCCTGGCAGCAGATACGTGTCACCTGTGAGTTAGGCTCAAGAAAATTGCATTTATTCGCTACCGCCCAATGCCTTTTCATCTTCCAGGGTCTAACTTCCGTGAGTCAGCCCCGAGTCTGAAGTCTCAAGCCTTGGGTATTAGGGCTACGCCTAGTGAGCGGGACTGGGCTCCGGAGCTACCCAAGGTGGGGTTGGGAGCTCCTAGTTCGTCAGATCTTTACCTAGCTGCTTAGATAAGCCCACGATGAGCGGCTGAAGATTTTCATCTCACCATAGCCTAACTTCGAGATCTAGCCCGAGCAGCCGAGAAACGTGTCCCGGCCTTCTGTTTTCCAGACTACAAATTGCCACATTTCGAAAACGAAAAATAACTCACCCTTCAAAGTAGAAGTAACTAAGCCACAATAATCTCAGCCAAAAGCTGAACGCGCCAAGCTACCTTTTCTTCATCTAACAGATCTTGATTGGATATGCGTTGACTTAAATTTCAACTCCTCACGCCTAAATCAACATTGTCCGTGTTATTCTCGTCAAAATACCAACACGTCACCTCATTTAGTTCACCTATATAACAGGCTATAGTGACTATAATTGTCCTGGGCATCATTGGTTTTGGGCCCAGGCACCTATGAGTCAGCTTTACAGGACAATCGTGAGCTGTACAAGAAAGCCCACTCAAAAACTTACTTCGATACGGCTCAGCCTTGTTATGTGGTGTGTCCAAATGATTGTAAGTAAGGTCAGGTTATCACATAGCTTGAAAGTGTACGCTGAGGCTTTGGCATCCAACTCATGCGCACGCTACCATTCTCATCTTATATCATGGATGGCGAGCGTATCGTCCATTCAGTACTTGATAGGTGTCACTAAGCAATGCTACTCTACGGATTAGCCTCATTATTCAAACCCTTCTCTCAGTAAGGATGAATATGAAAGACCAAAGTTTACACGACGCCTTCCGTAAAATCCCAGTACTCCGGACGAGGCTGGCGTAGGGCTGGAAGCTTCAGCTGGAGGAGTCGCATACCAATTAATTATCAGATTCACTATCTTCTAGCATAGAGGACATTATTTTCTCACCAGCAGTAATTCGAATAGTATCTCAGCTCACTTTGATTCGGGGCTCGTTTCTCTTGGGATTATAAGTAACTAGTACACTCACTTTTCAAGCACAAACGTGATCACAATATTGAATTATATGAATAAAAATGGCTTTCCCGTCAGTAGAGGAAGTGTCTAAGAGCCTAGCATTCGTGACAGCAATGTGGAAACTCCAGCCGCACCAAAGCGGCCTTCTGCCCGTCGCCGCTGGGCGAGGGGAAGCACGGGGTCACTTTCCGCACAGGACGCCGGATGAGATGATTCCCGTTAGCCACAGAGAGACGATGATGAATTACTTTATGCTCGGGAAGGCGCTGGTTGCGGGAGTGTCAAGGCACGGGCCCATTTATCAGAACACGAGCTGGTTTAACGAGTAATCAGAAGAGTGCGCTGTGGGTAAGGGGTTGAGCGGATGGTGAGAGCATAAGAGTTTAAGAAGCATTCTCAATATGAAAATAGTAAATCTAAGTAGATAGTAAATATCACTCTGGTCCAGGCTGCATTTATTTGTTCTTACCGCTATTATAAGATGTGGTTACCTAGAACCCGCCAGATAGGGGGAATAGGGGCTAGGCGGGGGCGGACATTGCGTCAAGTTAGCGAGTCTGTCTACCTCTTGGATTATGAGCCTATCATTAAGCCAGGTACAATTTTTAACTATATTGAAGCTCTATTCAGGCAGAATACTCATTTAGGTCCTACACTGATGTAGGTTGCGCTAATTGTACCGAGGATCTCATGACCACTTGTCAATTAAGGGGGATACTTCACTCACACTCTAACCAACTTCCCCCCTTTTATCATTCAATAGATATCAACCCCTCGGTTCTTAGCACGAACCATCAACTTGGGCATCTTCCATAGAGAGATCATCCGAACTTCCTTATGCCAATCGAGGGTTGGATCGACTGGTTCCAAATCGTAAACCCAAAATAGCTTAGCAAGAGTCACATGTAGTTCCAACCAGGCCACATTGCGGCCGATACAAACTCTTGGACCTAGTGAAAATGGTTGACTACTGTCGAAGACATCGCTATTATCAGAATCAATCCATCTTTCTGGCTTCCAAGACCATGGGTCATGGAAGTTTGTCGAGGATAGACAAGCTGCTATAGGGTTCGCAGCCACGTGAACCTAGGAGGGAATGATTAGTTACATTACCTAGAATTGGCTTGTGAGAAACTCATTTGGTAATACTCACTCCCCCGGGAAGAAATTGCCCGTCGACTGTCGCTCCACCGTCAGGCACGTCGCGAGGTAGTGGGAACGAAACCGGGGGAAATACTCGTAGCCCCTCCTGAATGACGGCATGGAGATATTTCATTTTCACCGTAGAAGAATACGTAATTTGTGAATATTGCTTAAACGTATCTCGGACTTCAGCCATCAGCTTAGCGAGAGAAGACGGATTATGGAGCAAAAAGTAGACTATGGCGCTTAAAGCGGTAGCAGTAGTATCACTTCCCGCAATCACTATGTCCGAGGAGTGAGCAGCAATCTGCCTGTCTGATACGACATTAGGATCTCGCTCCTGGATAATCCTAGTCAGCAGGTCCTTGCGATCTGTTTTTGTCTCTATCCGTCTTGATGATGTTAGCACTAGGGGACCAATTGCTGGTTTAACTTGCCTACTTACCTCTTGACTGTATCATGAACAAACCTCTCATTTGTCCTCATGTCTTTCAAGGCTTTCTTGAATTTTCCGTTGAGGAGCACAACTACTCCTCTAGCTAGGGTAGGATAATGATTGAGGACATCCACAAGCACAGCCATCATTAACGAACCGATAGCAGCGGCGATCCAAGGGTGTCTCGTCTCTGTACAGAAATCCATTGTCAATTGGTTGAAAAGATTTTATAACGATCTCAATACTAACCCTCATCTAATGCGCCGAACGCTTTGCCGAATGCCAGGTCGCCCATGACATCGAAAGTCATTGCCTCGAACATCAGCCCAATGTCAAATCCTTCTTTTTTGGAACCCCTGATGCCAACTTGACGAATAAATTTATCGACAGAGGTACAGATAAGCTCCTCTTGTTCGACAATTGCGCGCTCAGAAAAGGCACTAGCCCAATGGCTTTTCATTTGTTTGTGAACTTCAGGCCTCCTTTCGCTAACAATGGTCGAGAGCCCGCGGTTGAATTCCTCCGTCGCGAAGCAGGCGCCATCGTAAAATTTACCCTTTTGAAAGGTTTGGCGGCCAGACCCGTGGGTATGAATATCCTTCCACGCCTGTGCGGTATTAAATGAGACCTCATTTGGGCCGACGCGGACGGTAGGGCCTGCAGTAGATTAGCTTCGCTGAACTTGTACGGCTAGGTGAAGTAGACGGACCATATTTATTGTGCAGTTCAAGCATCTTAAAAGGTTGACGACCTCCTATGAGCCACCAACAATAAGGGATCTATTTTCCATAAGCGATGATCTCACTGGGAATTCGTTCGAGAACACACATCACTGATGGCGGCCAACCAGGGGCCGGGAATCTTGGACAGTGGATGGAAGTAGAAATGATAAATTATTTGAAACACCCAGAGACCAAAGAGCTAGGTAATAGGTTTTAATTAGCTGTGTCATCATCATTGGAAGTCATTCATACCACTAAGAAGCATGGCAGAATGCCAGCTTGAATCGTCTCAGTGAACATTGCGTAGGTAGGTATATTTTCTCTGACTTCGCTGTAATAGGAAGGGTTGTTTGGTGTATACTCCAACTAAACCAGGAAATATAGTAACACGACATATCTAGAAATGTAGTAGTTCGCAACCCAAAGGCGATTCCTTGAGCCCTATTATATATATTGCTTACCACTATACAGTTATTCCCGTCGTGTGACTCCAAGATGCAATCGCAAAATTCTAGCACTCGCATAATGTGACAGTTCCACAGCATTGGAAGGTCGTAATACAAGATAACCGGATCTCCTGAGGGGATAAAACGGCGATATACTCCATGCGTGGTCATCAGTCTTTCCCGGCGGTCCAGCCACAAGATGACCCGGAAATAGCTCTCGATCACCACAGATCGAATGCGTTTCACTAGTATCTCCTAGCTGGTGTGGAGCAAACTTATCATATGATGATGTCTAATTGGATTAGATGGACAGAGGCGTTATCTGATGCAATGTTTAGAGGGTGGTTCATGGTACGGGGAAGTGGGAGGACTCCGATCTATCTGTGAGGATATCAAATGTTATGCCAACTTGCATTAGAATACACCTATTTGGGTAGGTATGTAACATTACTACATGAGCTGAAGACTTATCACAGACCGGTTTGGACTCGTACAGATTGATTGCGTATTTATTTAAAGCATTCTTGGATATGACATTCATGTTAGATCTCCTTTGAGGAAAACGACAGGTCATCAGAATGATCTATCATCTTTACGAGATGCCTACCTACATTGCAATGCTTTATGATGGCCCGTTGAGATATAATGGCTGAGCAATTCTGTTAGGAGAAATCACTATCCTTGAGGAAGAATTACTTTCAAGAAGTTGTCCATGGAGCATTGGTTGAAAGGGTAGCAAAATAAATGTGCCGTAATTTACGCCAGAATTAACGGTATTGCGACAACACATGTTACCCTCTCTACGAACTTTGGGTGGATATGGGTTACATTATATCATCTATGTCTGCTTATATAAGGTAGTAGTCTGGAACACATAGCCTGTTATTATAGGTAGAGATTTGTGTCAACTTATGCTTACATCTGAGGTCCATTTTACAAGCTATACTTTACTTTCCAATCCCTAGCTATAATATCAGGTCGGCTTGGGGTTGAAAATGTCTAAATGTTGAAAGGAACTCCTGAAAACATTAGACTTGGATTGGCAAATGGTTACGCGTTATGACACTACCCCTTAAGATCCCTAGCATGAAGTCGTATGTAAAAGCTGGTAGGAGTCTCCTATGCCTCGGAGGATTTCATCACGGGCCAAGAAAAGAGATCGTCTAAGTACTTATATACTCATCCACCGTGGATATAAAAGTATTTACGTGCTATTCGTAGGTACCTACACATTACAATCTAAATTTGAGGCTATTACAAGCTTCACAAAGGGGTTTATAATGGACCTTTCCCTCTTACTGAACGCGCATCACTTTAGCTAAAGTGTTTATATGATACATATGACCAGCACTCATCGTAAGGAACGCGGGCCACGGGTACTAAAAGACTTATTATATTCGCAGAAGTGAGTTATAATGGACCTGTTGTTATTTATTCACTTTGGCGCGCCTTACTCTTAACTATTTATAAGGGTATATCATTATAGGTTTAAGATTCCGTATGAACTCATGGGAGCGGAAGAAAACCAGCACATACTGATTAGGTATGGATCTGCGTCGTAAAAACTACCAAGAGATATATCGTTATGCACAGGAACTTTGTGGGGTTTACTATGGGATTGATGGCAACTCCGGAAATTTGAGGGTATATGAATATGAAATATCTACCTAGGTAACGAAGTTATCACATGCCATGTGGCATCATCACTCTTTTTGATATAGTTATTGTGATATAATAATTATCACTATAATGCGAACTTTAAATACTTACGTGGCTAGGCCGGAGTTGAGACCGTTACTCATTCATCTAGGTATGCGAATAACAGATCTGTAGGTAAGGGACTGATACTCATGTGAAGCCCTCTCTAGGTAGGCTTATAAATCAACCTTCCCGAGGCATGAAGAAAATGATTCCCCTGACTCTCTTGTGGTAGCGCTTTGATGTTAGGGTCGTATAGACATCGGCCATGTACAAAAAGACCCGGTAACTGTGTCAATACCCAGATATTTTGCTTCGGCATTATGTATAACAATCCTTCAGGATTTTCCTCAGTTGTTCGAGCATGCAGAATGTACCTATGAGATTCTATACATCGAGATCTTAGGAGGTCTATATATCATCATCAACTATTTTTCAAGATTCTTAGATACATGTGTGCTTAGTCGTCCAAGATGGCCAAGTAGATCATTGATATTAGGAAACAATTAGAGCAAGGAATATTCGAAGATCATGGAAGAAACACTGTAGAAATGTGGACGAACAGCAGGTGACGGATTGCATGGACTCATGCTGGTCAAGTTGAGAGGTGGTCCGGTCATAGGCGATATCGGCGGCAATGGGATATAAATTATAGAGCTTCTCGACAAGAAAAGCCAATAATCACTTGGCCAGTATCATTGAATGCCGAGTCCTACAATACTCTACGAACCCCATACCTAATCTGCCTACCCAGTTATCAGCCATGATGCCAAGCACAACGAAAGACGAGGTCATCAGCTACGACATCAACGTCCCGTACAAGATCACTGATGACACCCGGACCAAGGTCAAGTACCCTGAGTACATGCCCAGCTGGGACAAGGTGTGGTTCGATCCTCTTCCGCCCTTTGAATTCCAGGATCCCGCTCTCCGGGTGAAAGACACCTCTCTTCCCGAGCTCCACAAGGCCGGGCTTAAGATCACGAACATCACGCCAAAGCTCGGGAGCTACATCTCGGGGATCCAGCTCAACCAGCTCGATGCCGCCGCGAAGGGCGAGCTAGCGTGGCTCGTCTCCGAACGTAAGGTCCTCGCCTTCCACGACCAGGACCTTATCGACGACGGGCCGGCCGCGCAGCAGGCGTTCATGAACCACTACGGGAAGCCGAACTACCAGCCCGTATCCGGGAGCATCAAAGGCCACCCGGGGTTCCACATCATCCAGAGAGACGGCAACCAGGCCGAGCTGGCCAGGTTCCTGGACCAGAAGACTACCACGACGCTCTGGCACCAGGACGTCAGTTACGAGATCCAGCCCCCGGGCTACGTCATGCTCGGGTTCCTCCAGGGCCCGGATAACGGGGGCGATACCGTCTTCGCGTCGACGGATACTGCGTATAAGTAAGCAAAGCCTCACCGACACACCTCTTTTTTTACCCTATTTGAAGAAGAGCTAACGCGTACCGCCCCCCTGAAAGGCGACTCTCGCCAGCAATGCAAGCGCTCGTCGACAGACTGCAAGCGGTGCACACCTCATCCAAGATGATCGCACACACGCGACTAGCAGGAGGCCTGGTCCGGAAAGATCCGGTCGATACCGTGCATCCGCTCGTCAGAGTGCACCCGGTCACAGGGGAAAAGTGTCTCTTCGTCAACGCCGAGTTCATCTCTCGGATCGTCGGGCTCAAGGAGACGGAGCAGAAAATGCTGCTCGATTTCCTCATGCAGCATATCGTGTCAGGGCACGATTACCAGGCGCGCGTCAGCTGGGCCCCGCGGTCGGTCGTGATTTTCGATAATAGGTCGACTTGCCGTATGTTGGGGTTTTTTTGGTTTTTTTTTTAATTTTGCCTTACTCTCATTTTCTTCTTCTTTTGTGTTTAACTGGGCTTGTTGTTTGAGGGACATCTGCTAACTAGTAGGTCGTTAGATACTGCCGTGGTAGATTATGTGGAAGACGGAGAAAACTCCCAGGTGAGACATCTATTCCGGCTCGCGGCGATGGCAGAGAAGCCTATTCCGGTCTCTTCGTAGGGGAAGTTGTGCTGGCGCCGGGAGGGCATTGCGTTAGAATTCGGTGGCAGGATATGCAGATGTCGCGTTAGGTGGATGAACAGAAGCATCTGCCTAGATATGTAGGTATCTACCCTCGTTTATGGAAGCTCTAAACTGTCGTATGCGTTTAATCAATAGATTTCTTGCATATTCTTAAAGGCCGTCTTCGTGATCGTCTAAAACTGCACGTGTCCAGTTTGAGCCTCAACATCTACCTAGGTGGACTTACGATGCATCTGGTTGTTGTGCCGTACGTCTACCTACTAGCTATGGCAGCCATATGTGTTCTCCGTATGTCTGATTGGCCATGACCAAAAATCAACACATATCATTGAAATATTTTGTCGAATATCCCTCCCTTTCCCCCTTTTCGGTAAAGATTGGTAGGTAATCTTTCGAGTTTTTCCGTATTATCTTGCTAATGGCGGGGCACTTCCTCTTTAAGCTCCATGTTGTTGCTCATCCGAAGACTGGTTGCCGCCTATCTTCTTACCCAAGTAACCTAGCCTCAAACCCCCAACAACCAGTCTCCTAAAGCAACCAGATAAAACCCCAGCAACCACTTGCAGCTTGTACGTGACCATTACGTAGGTTTATAAGTAACGACAACCAAGATATCTTAGCCTCTGGGCGATCGAACTTGTCAAAATTGTCACCGCACCGTCGAAGCGTTAATTCTTGATTTTGATTTGTCTTAATTCCTGCATATGAGGGCGCCTCAATCTAGCGATCGGCAGTTATTCCAAGCCTCCGGTCTCAAGTGCTTCGACCGGGATGGCCTCACTGGCTTTAGAAACCAAAACGATTGGTTGCCTTCACTTCTCCAAATCCTTTTGCATAGGTACAACCTTATAAGGTAGGTACTGCGTAGAATGTGTTGAACCGGCCTAATCTCTATCCGACATCACAGCCTTAATCTGTGGCCTCGCATGAGGCCCTCACGTCATCGCCTACATAAGACTTCGGGCCCCTTCCAGTCCTTTTATCCTCCTCCTGCAATTCAACCATCTTGAAAGAGGCTTTTAAGGAGCGGCCTGGGACTTTCCCAAGGGTGAGTGTCCCTGAGATGTTTCTCTTACTGATATAACTAATGGTATTCAATAGAGCCAAGTCGCACATCTCTGATCGTTACAATACTACATACCTAGTGGCTCCGGAGGGAGGACCAACATAGTCCTCCCTCATCCCTATTTCGTCACGATGCAGCAGTAGTCAGATACAAAAGAATGACTCCGACGGTATCCAACTAGATCTTGGTCTTGAGGACCCTTTTTCTGGACTGGAAGGGTTTCCCGGTCTGAACGGATTTCCTGGAGCATTCAATGATCTCGATTACTGGGGAGGAGATAGTTCAGGGGGGGCTATTTACGATACAGTCTTCGGTGCTTGCGAGCAAGCAACTGAGGAGACCGATGGAAGGTTGGAAGAGGATTGGTTCGTCGTGCCGATGCCTGGTCAATTTCCAATGTCGAACTGGTTGGTAGATAAAGTCAGCGACGCCCGTAATAATGCGGAGCCCATTCTACCTTCTACGCGACTTGAAGACCCCGAATCTACCCGTTTCGAGCAATATATCCCAGATCTAGGACGGAGCTTGAACCTAGATCTAGATCCATTGTCGTCTAACACTGTCAATCCGAGCACAGGACCGATCAATTTGCAGCTAGAAAATCATGTATCAGATGTTGTCCCACGGTCGGAAAGGGCTCTGCCGGAATGTCCTATGCAGAAAGAACTCGCACACGACACTTGCGACGCATCCGTCTCTTCTCAAGGCAAATCGAATCGTTGCACACGTTGCAACAAATCATTCTCGGGGCCTAAAGAGCTGCGACGTCACATCGAGACGATACATCAACAACGACAGATCCAATGTCCTCAATGCAAAAAGATGTTCGGGAAACGGAGTGATAATTTGCGACGGCATATGGTACGATACTGTAAATTTGAACAGACACAACGGAGTGGTTTGGGCGGCTAAGGTGACCGTCTGTGCATGGGCACCCGAACATGGGATAAAGAGGGTTAGACGAAGGCAGGGTTGCCCAGTTTTAAGGCATTAGGTAAGATAACTACTTATTCATCATCTAGACGACCTAACTGGTATAATCTAGACGACCTCACTGGTATGATCTAAATGATGAACAAGTAGTTCCTCCTGTAAACGCGGTCCAACTTACTGGGCGTCAAAAACCCTGCCTGTTCTCTGTTTAAACAGAATAGCACTTAATCTCGACGAGGTTAGATTATGTTATTATAATGAATTTAAGTTAGTCTTTTATGGACATGTTTGATTTTGGTTTCATAAGTTTATTTGTGGTTTTCAATTGCGCTGTGAAGTCAATGAGTTCCAGCGACTTTTGGTGAGAAAATCGGACAGTTCCGCAGAAGACTGGCACTGCAGCCATATTTAACAGCTGTTACGTGTTGAGTTCCGTTGAAAATACAATAGACTTTCTGTCTCAAATTTCAATTACGTCTTATCTATTAAGGGTATACTTTGCCAGCAAATGTAAAAGTAGACGGATCCGACGTGTCGACGGAGTACTCCCAGATCTGGTCCTCAGAAATCCCGTAAAACATCGCGTCCTCCGTCATCGCAATGGCCGAGAAATTCGTCGACTGCCCCTGAGCGAAGATAATCTTCGGTACGGCGGTATACGCGTTCCCATCCCATCGAGACCCCGTTATGCTGCCGTCGGTAGATAGACTAACGAAGAAGGATTCGGTGAAATTATTCATCGTCGTGGCGGCGAACTGCCGCGTTTTCAAGGGGTCGACATCGTCTATTATCGTGCCGTCTGCAGTCAAAGTTAGCTCGGATGTCGGATATATACCATAGATCTAGTCTGATTCTCACCATCTTCTTTCCAATTCCAATCTCCTAGGAACGTTGTTCTGCCCATAGACCCTGGCCGCCTCTGCGTCGCCAGCGTCATTCCATCGACGTAGGACCCCATCAATGCCGGCACTAGGGCCATGCTCGCTCCGGCAGAAACAGCATTAGTCCTGATCACCGGCGTCGTGTTATTGCCCCAATTCGACGAGTTCGCGACTCTGATATAGCCCTCTCGCCCCTGGTACGCCACCGTCCAGGACCCGACGCAGCTGTCGTTCGGGCAGCGCTGCCAGGCCGCCGCCAGCTGGGTGCCGTTCCACGTCGGCAAGGCCGAGTTGTTGTACACCCAGAAGTTCGGGTTGTTGATCGGGTTGTTCGAGTTCACCCAACTGATGACGTCGTTCTGTTCTCCGGGCTCCGAGAAGAAGAGGTGGACCTCGTACAAGGACCCCCATTTGCTATCGCACGACGCGCTCGTCAGCGACGTTCCCGGATTGGGGTTGATGGGCCCGGACGTTGACGACTGCATGAACTGGCTGACGTTGCGCGTCGTCCACGTCTTGTTCTCCGAGTCCCATTGCCGGGCGATGATCGCGTTGGACGGGTCTTGGAAGAACACGCTCCTGTGAGTATTGCCTGACGGGTCCGTCCAATTGGAAGCCGCGATCTTTGATTCGCTGAGGATATTTACGTTCGCCGTCGTATCTTGGCCTGAAGATGATGATGGGCTTGATGGGTTCCACGAATTCCTCTTCCCAGTTACTCCCCCAGCGACGCCTCCAACGATAGCACCGATAACAATCAATATCACTCCAGCTAGAATGATGTAGAATATGCGCGGTGACAACCCGCATATCGTTCGCTTCGCAGCCCGGTCGGTCTGTCCCTGAACGGCTGTCGCCTCTTTATCCGTATAGGGGGTTTCTGGCTTTGGTGTGCTCCATGCCGTCTGAGGCTGTGGGTCGACAACCTGCGGATACTCTTGATCCGGGTTAGACAACACTTCTTTATTCGAACCTTCAAGAGCTTGGGAGTTCGATGCCTCTACGCTACGCACTTCGAGCGTGCTGTATGGTTCTGAACCATGGGAGTATCCTACTGATGCCATCGAGATACATCGCAATCTGAGGGAATAGCTCGATGTTGGAGGAAGAGACGAGATTCCCACACCACCTTAGATAAGTCTCATTCGATTTCCTACATTGTAGGGATTCTTAGTTGCCTGAACTTATCTGGGGCACATTTCCTTTTTTTGTCTTTTGATAGTCGGCTTAATCTCAGCTCAGTGACGTACAGTGAGATTTTGGATGCGGCTGGGCGAACATATTGCGTGCTCTTGATTGGCATAGTGTTAGCCACTACCCGTTATTAATATAAAATAAGTGTAATGGTTTACCTAAACGTGTAACCTATTGCAGGGAATGGCCCACATGTGAAGGGATTATCGTAAAGAATAACCCGTAATATCTATAGGCGCTATGTCAATAATAGAATATTATAGGCCAATCAAGGGATCGACAAAGACTATCGCAGAGTCGCATAAAAGTCTAGCAGGCGTCTGAGAACGACATAAGCCTCAATAAGCTGGAGCGCAAGGAGCTGCGCCATCCTTCCTAATTCCCTCGCGGCATAGGATTCGGTAGAAATTTCTGAAGGCTCGTCTTAACTAAACTGCTGATCTTCAATGAATACGAACGAATCGCTGGTTGCGTTGGGTCATATGCTTAGGGCTGAAGAACGAATTTTAGACAGATTTGACCAGTCACGTACCGATCTCGATCCGCTTCTTTTACTGACTAACCCTAGCAAGCAGCAAGTATGTATCCGAAACAATATTTTTCGTTTAGAAGTAGGCTCCGCGCCACATGCTGGCTACTTGGTTGAGATTTGCGATGCTGTCTTAGGTGTCAACGTTTTCAAAATTCATCAATGTTCGACCGAGTAGATTACTATTACTAGTACTACACATCAGGTTCATGAGATGCGATATTGTTACTTGCTCAGAGATCAAATTGTTAAAAACAGTAGTATCTCCTTGACTGGAATAAGTCGACAGCCAGGGATTAGACCCGCCAAAGCTCTCCCGTCTTATAATGCGGAACGCCACTGGTACAAGTAGTACAAGGTAAATTTAGTGTAAATACATGTATTTTCTGAACATATTGAAACTTTCAGTAAACTATGTCTGATCTACTAGCAGTATTTCGACATTTTCATCCCTGGCTGCCAACTTGTGGCAGTAGATCTACCTGTATACAAGGTCACTGAGCAGAGGTTACACGTTCAGCCGGCATGAGCTTTCTGGCCATCAAGCCCACATGACTGACTTTAACTTGCCGTCTGATCTCTATAAACAAACTTAATAACTATCCTTGTTGACTAGCGAAGACTATCCTCGATAACTAGGAAGAAGCTTGTTTATCGTTAAAGTAATCCCGGGGCCGAGAAAGTCGAAACAGAGTCCGGTCGTAGAAGCTGCGGGCCGGGCCGGCCAATAGTGTGGGACTCCCGAAGCCCAAGGTTAAGTTTAGGTCCGGCACGATCAAACTTAGGAAGCAGCGTGTTGCAATAGAACCTTAAGAATATGTACTCTCTTTTTTGGGAGAAGGAAGTAGCTTCGCCCCATAATGTACAATGTACAATTTCCGAGATCAACAAATTGAGCAGCATGAGGGAGAGATGCGTCGTTCCAACACCCTGCAGAAACCATTACCTGTGTGCTTATGTTTTGTACAGTCTTTGCCGTCACTAAACTCCCTGCTAGCAGAAAAGAAAAATGTCAAGTTCTCTTTTGATGTCGCCAGTTCTTGCGGTGCCAGCTTGCTCGCCGAGAAATGCACGTACGGTACCCTATTCCTACATCGTCGCAGCCCATCCGTTTCATTCATACCCGTGTCCGTACCCCGCCTAACGCCCGCCTATTTCTTTTTTCGTTCCGCCGCATCCATCTTCTCTTCCAGTTGTTGGACGTATGTGTTCAGTCGTTGGCAAGCAGCCTGTAGAGCCTGTTTTGTTCCGAAATAAACACAGGTCAGCCAAAGTGTTGCTCCCGAAACCGCGAGGATGAACAGCAGAAGACACGGAATAATCAAATGCAGAAACGCACATAGATATCCTCCGTCAATAGCTCGTTCGAAGCCTTGTATTCTCGCCTGTTGGGCACCAAGTTAGCAAATCGCTCACTCTCCGTGTAGGATACCACTGGTACAAGCCCATGTGCTAGGCATTGGCAACTCGATGTAGCCAATACACAAGGACATGGGCGACCACCGGATAGAGCCTATAGAGTTCGTTGGGGATGTACTAACAGGACGTAACTGTAAACACCGGCGCCTGCAAGTGTCGACCCGAGGAGGAAGCCGAAGAGCCTATAGCTCGCAAGCCATGATTAGCCTCGCGCATCTTAACACTGGGGCACACATATGTGCTGAACTCACCCTCCGCGAAAAGCGCCCACGGGCTTGCGAGCTGGCAAGGGGGTGGCCGTCGCGTCGGCCAGCGATCGTGGTGTCGCGTGGAAGCTGCGTGTAGCGGCGCGCAGAGGGGCGGTAGTCGCGGAGACGCTTCGGGCTCCGCCGAGCAGTATTCTCGAAGCCATGGTGAATGTGGCGACTGGACCTGAGAGTTCGTGTGGGAGAGAATTGGCTAGGAATTGTGGTTGAGGTGTTTCATTAGGGTTGGGTGGCCAAAAAGCTTCAATATCACTTGAGTTGGAGTTCCTACGTAAGTGGGTCTTGGTACTGTCAAATGCGGCGGAAATTTATCGGCAACACTTTTAACTTCGTGTTACCTCGGGACGGCTGACAGAGCCAATTGTCGTGGTTGGCTGTTTCTTTGTTCGCCAAAAGATACGTAGGTACCTCATTAACACCAGTACTACCATACAACTCTATCCACGTAATTCATAATCACGACAATACAATTCATCAAACAAACAATGAATTCATGAACCTTATGCTGAACTACCTGAAGTCAACATGTGTATATCCCAGTCCCAAGGATGTCCCAGTGTGCCGGCTGATTAGAATTGCTCGGTCGATATAACTAGAAAGAAACTGTACAACTGATTTTCTTGGCTCGTTCTCATACTCCAAGTCTACAATTCGTCGTGCGTCTCTTGGGCAGCCTCGCTGCTAGTAGACTCAGTCGCGGCAGGGGCAACAGGGGTCTCCTCTTCCTTCTTCTCCGAAACACCAGCCTTGTACTTGCCGTTCTCCTTAATGAACTTGACCAGATCCTCAACGGTTCGGGAACCGCTGTAGTTGACCGGCTTGTCCTTGGAACCGGCAGGATATAGCTTGATGGTAGGGAAACCCTGGATCTCATCCGGCACATCGTTGGCGGTCGCATCGACCTTGGCGATGACAACCTTGTCCTTGAATTCGCTGTTGGCGTAGAGAGAGGCAAGGTCTTCGTACTTGGGGGCAAGAGCCTTGCAGTGACCGCACCACGGAGCGTAGAACTCGATCAGGACGTCCTTGGTGTCATCCAGGACGATAGATTCGTACGACTTACCGACGACGACGGTGACAGGACCCTCTTGTTTCTCGGGGATCGCCTCAGACTTAAGGCTGGGTTCGATCTTTCCGGCAGCGAAGTCGTCAACGAAGGCGCTAATGGCATCATGGGTAATCTCCTTCTCCTGGTCGAAGGGAAACTTCTGGTTCTTAACAGTTTCCTGGATCGCGAAGGAAGGGAACTTGTCCGTCTTGAGGTTGAGGTTACCAGCGTGAGCACCGAAGGAAGAGGCGTCAATGGTAGCAAAGTTGATCTTGCCACGGTACTTCTCGGCGATGGGCTTCAAGGCGTCACCAAGAGACTTGCGCTCATCAGCAGTCTCAGAGAAAATGTAGGCCAGGGGAATGCCAGCCGACATGTAACCAGAGTAGGTGTCAGGGCCAACCTCACCAATCAAGGGGGTCGAGGCAACCTTGGCGAACTTCTCAATGGCCTCATCCTCGAACTTGTCGGTGAAAGTGGCCTTGCCCTCATCAAACTGCTTGTACAGGATGATGGCGGGAGACTTGACACCCTCGGCTTCAGCCAATGCAGCGTCGTTTGTAGCACCGAAGAGGTAAGAATCCCGGTACTTCTCTGCGATCTTAGTGTAGGTCTCGTTGGATGCCTTGTCAGAGGCGTCGATGTAAGCGACTAGGACAACCTTGTCGGCGGTCTTGAAATCTTCGAGGGTCTCAGAGGTCAGGAGAGAGACAGCGGGGAGGGATTGTTTAATCATGTAGGAGGTAATTCTACCAAAGTCGTCAGCAATCATAAACGAATACGAATTATGCTTAGTAGAGTACTTGGACTTACGCGGCGGCTTTCCTTTGGCCAGTGTAGGGAGTGATGCTCTCTAGACCACGGAAGATTTTGAGTGTGGGGTAACCTTCGACACCGTATGACTGGCAGAGTTCACTCTCCTCTGTGCAGTCGACCTTGGCTAGCTTGATGGACTTCTCCTTAAGGGTAGTGGCAGCCTCCTCATACTCGGGCGCCAGAGCTTTGCAGTGACCGCACCAGGGGGCGAAGACTGAGGTACGGTATTAGTTAAAGCTCCTTTATCAACACAAACAAGTATCATAGAGGCCAGGATCGTAGCTTACACTCTGCTAGGACAAGGTCATTTCCCTTAATGAAGTCGCTGAATGTGTCCTTATTCAGCTGGGTGACGTCTGAAGCATCCGCTGCGGAGACGCCTGCGGCCGCGAGTAGGCCGAGAAAGAAAGCCGAATACATGGTGAAGAGCCTAAGTGATGATATGATTAGCTACTAGGCACTTTAAGTGTGCAATTTGCGTTTAGAAGAAGACTCGCAAATAGCTAGCTAAGTTGAAGCACGATAGAAATGCGGTGGGTGATGTAATTCACAAAAGGAGCAAAACGTAGTAAACCATACCTATAATGATAATATAGCACCGGCTAGATAAAAAATAATGAAAAGTGGAAGAAACGAATCAATCACTGCACGGTGTAGAGGAAGACGTTTTGTATTCTTCTACAGTAGCATATGTGTCCCCTTAAAGTAGAAGGGAGCTTGAATTGGGGAGAGGATTGGAGGAGACCAAGAGTTGGTAAAAAGGCTGAATAGTTCCGAATATCTGGCCACAGTCTAATTCAGCTGAATCATCAAATACCTAGTTCAGTTAAGGTACCCCCCAATCGCTGTGGCTTACGCAGTTAATTAGAAATGCAGGGACGCAAGTGCAATCCCACCGCTTGTCAAGTTGATAAGAGCGGTGGCAGCTGCCCAGGTGGATGGATGGCGGGATGGATAGTTGATAATGACAAGTGTTCTCTTTTCTTCATGGCCCCTCACGCGCGCCAAGTTTAGTCGCACCGCCACCACCACATAAAAATGGATCCAACTTATGAATATTTTTGGGGAACCCCTGCAACAAAAATCCAATGGTATCCACTGAATCGGACGCGAAGTTCGTTCCACCCTTCTGCCCCACATCGAGGCTCAATTCTATCATACAAATTGCCTGGCACGTTGATACAGATCATAACCTAGATCAGTAAACTCGGAAGAAGGAAGGGGCTTGAGAATTTGGGCGAATACAATGACGGAGATCAAGGTACCCGGAAGACTCGGTTCTTCAGCCCGACGAACTAGATACGATACTAGCATCCAATGATTACCAACATTTTATCGAATGTTCATTCCAACATTCCACCCGAGCAATGAAGCCAGTTGTTAGCTTTTCCAATCGGATTATTAATAGTCATATTATTACCTGGATACCGAGTCCCGGAACCATCACGCTGTTACGATATTGTCCTGTCGCGATCCAAGGAACCGCTGAGCAAAGACACAATTGCATAAATCGATAGCTGCACGGTCCATATCCCTAGATAAGGAATGTGTAATAATGCACGCTGCCAGATTTATTACATCACAATCGATCCTGCAGTGAGCCTCAAAATGGAACCCCTCCAGGACCCGAGGACCCTGAGACCCTGAGCGTCGCAATCAGCCATAGCAGTATCGATAAAAGTCTTGTCGTACTAACAGGGCTAGAGGTATCAAACATGGCAAGGTCCACGTGCTTACATGTTATGATGTCGCTTGATGCTGTTTGCGTATCTACACTACATGATACGCATCGGATTAAGTTCAACTAACACTGGATATAAGAGACAGGATAAAATTCGTTAGGTTAGTGGGCCTTGTTAGTTACTGTACGCTACAAAGTTCCTAGGACGCTGTAGCGGCTTAGAAGATCAATACACGGGGAATTCGAAAGGACATCGGGTATCCCAAGATGTGTTGAGTTTATGCCTAGCTAAAACTCTGTAGGGGTTGGTATAAAGCATATCCTAATCGCCATCAAAGCTGCCGTATCGATAACCTCATGTATGAAGACTTCCTAAAGCCTTCTTTTTTTCTCTGAAATCTACCTAAGAGCTCAGGCGTTTGCAGGACCACGGAAGAGCACTGGCGCGCTCAGTGGATGTGGACCATAAGGCCAACTTGACTCATGTCGACTCAGGCTCCTGACGATGCCGAAACACGCTGTTGAAATGTGAGGTAAATACAGTGTCAAGGAGGTGAAGATTAGTGAATGTGTGGAAGGAGCAATGTAAGGATTGCTAGCATGATGGGCTCAAGTTCAGGTTCGGATTCGATTGTGACTTCCATCTGGTGCTACAGAGATGGGGTGTGTTGAACTCATGCTCTTGCCATATCTCCCATATCACCCCCTTATTCTTCATCTGAACCTTCTGACTTTCCCCTCAACAGTAACGACCCCGTCGACAACTAGTGGTTAACCAAAGTTATTTACGTCTCGTCTTTCAGAGCTAATTGAACATGTTCGCAACGCAACAGGCATCATAATTTGTCCCACTTTGGCATCGGGCCTCATCTGGTAACTTTTCTAGACCATCGAAGCTGTCAACCCTGAAATAACATGCTCGATGTTGTTCTAGGATCAGTTATCCAGGCTTCTTTTCTTACTCCATGTCAAATCCGATTACATTTTATTTTATACTCTAAACTCTTCCCCCATCGTCGTGCTTGTCTCCCGTGCCTCAGCCCGTATCTTCCCTAATGGATCCTCATCGCCTGCCCAGGCACAGTTCAAGCCATGGAACTCTCCGTAGTAGCTATTCTCAAGGACGACCACCCCACGTCCCCCCTCCCGGTCGTCCGCTGCATAAACCACTTCGAAGTGTGAACGAGAATTCCGTCTTGCTACCTTCGCCTGGTGCTTTAGAAAGCATGCTGAAAACCACAACTGAGACGGGAGATATCGGGATCTTCAGCATCAAACCAGTACCCCCATCACCAAAGCGGAGGGATACGTTGTCTGAACTCAGCCAGCAACAGCAGCGTCCATCATCACGTCCCTCCATCGAGGAATTACACCGTCGAAATAATGGCAAGAATCTTCCTTCGTATAGAGACACTACCTCTGAGATAATCTCTATGTATGGTTCGGAGAGCCATAAATCAGCTACCAGCACGTTAACTCCAACGTCTTCGGAGGAGGTTGGGCTCCGTTCATATTCGATAACCACATGTGGATCACGCCACCTCTCTCATCATAGATCTACAACGACGTTGCAAAGCCAAGCTAGCGGAGGGCCGCTTCAACGCCCACGATCACCCTTCCCTTATCCCACTCGACTGAAGAGACCAGGGGTTCGCCCAGCATCACCAGCACTTACGGAAAACGGCCGAATTGACTATAGTCGTATGGTGGAGATCGATCGTTCTTCTTATGTGAGTCCCCAAAACTTTACGTGCACTTAATAAACGTCTAATTACTAAATGATCCCAGAGGACTATTCATGGCCCGTACAGACCAGCCTATCCTCCGATGCTGCGAAGGCCTCCTCCCCTAGGTTTTCACTTTGCTGCCAGCCTTTCTTCAGTTTCGTTACCGCCACAGGTCCCGCCTCATAGTCGTCATGGACCACCAAGGCCTCCTTCAATGCGGACACATTCTGCTGCTTCGATGGCGTCTTGGGCTGCGCCATACCATGAAAGAGTAGATAGTTCTTCTTCTAGAGCATCGAGCCTCACCTCGGTTGGAAACATGTACCACCGAATGCCGCACAAAGTTGGACCGAGTGGCCTTTCCGCTCCCGTGCCACGCTACTATGATTATACCGAAGGGTTTGAGCCCAGACAGCCGCGCACTTTAACTCCAGTTCAACCGTTCGCACCGGTCCCCACCCACGCATCAAATTATCAACGACCGTTAGTATTACAAGAATCTGATGATAACTTGGCAATCGCGTATGGACAGCGAGATTCCGCATTCTTCGGGCCTGAAAGCCAGAGCCCCTATAGAACAGGCACGGCAGAATCCATGAGGGGTGCTAATACGCCTCGCGCCGAAAGCTGTAGGGCTATTATAGATCGAGCCCCATCCCGTTGCCGCACTGCCTCAATCCGCTCTGAAACTCGATCGATCGCATTTGATAATTCAGAGATTGATAGAAAATTCGGAAGAGGAAGTGATATTGATCTTCTGCCATCTCAAACAGGCAGAGACTCCATGGACACATTCAACCCGAATCTTGATCTTGAGTCAAAGGACGTGCCCACGTATAGGTACACGGACTATCTCTCCACAGCGACGCCAAAGACAAACGTAAATTCACCGCAGAGGCAGGTCCAGGTTCAAGGCAGTGGAGCTCCTACAATTCGGAGTGAGCAAGGCGTAATACTAAGAGACGATACACAGGACGAGATTCTACTTGAGGGACTAGATGACAGTGTCGATGCTGACGTCGTCAAGGAACAAGCCATGACTACCCCTCAAGGCGATGCAATCAAACGACGTTCGTGTTCCGAACCTGTCCGTGGTTATTCTAATAATCCAGTTCTGCATGAGACGCAACCCGATGGCCAACACAGGCTTGCCACGATGGATCGCTCTAGTTCACATTACAGCAGAAGGAGTGCCATGCATGGTGCAAGCGGGATAACAGCTCTCAATAGCGCCGGCGGCTTCAGCTATAAAGTTGGTAATGCCGATGCACCGACGGTGGACGGGGAAAATTCTAATATCAATTGCAACTATACGGGAGAAAGTGACGCCGTTTCAGCTTCGAACCAAGCACAGAGGCAGAGGTTCCAACGTCATAAGCGAAACCAAGCGGTTCCTAGAATCAGTACTAGTAGCTTGCCGAGGGAGGACAACGAAGGCTTCCCATACATTACTCCTTCGTGTTCCACAACACCTATCGTGTCACCAAAACCGATCTCTCCTGCACGCCAACTGAAGCTGAAGAATAGCGTCCCTCAACTTATGAAGGCATTGCCGCCTCTGCCTGGGGATCCTGATTATATTCCTCCACCAACACCAAGTATATTAAGCACATCAAGCAATGAAGAGGACTTTTCTGAAGTCCTTTCGCCATTCAAGTTTGATCGGTCCTCCTCCCCTCGGCTACTGGATACGGGTATCAGAAAACCAGAATCAATTTGCAGTCATGATCGAACCTCAGGCTTACACAGTCAAGCCCCGAGGCTGAAACTGAAGGCGAAAGCTTCTATTGACTCAGCAGCTACGGTCACCTCTGACACAATAATGTGTGAATCAGATATTAATCAACACAGGTCTAGTAGGACTCCTCATCAAATTCCCGAGGATCAAGAAAGCGAACATTTTCCTCGAGTCCGTACTCGGAATAGGTTAAAGCTTAGGTCTTCCAGAAGTAGTACTTCTAGTCCTCCCCCTTCTGCCACGGTCCGTCGAAATGTAGCTACAGAAACATCTGACATCATTTCAGACATTGCACGACATAAGCCACGAGATCTGTTCACCTTCCTTCCCAGTCTGACTTCGACGCCCCATGCGAGTAGTGGGAGACCATTGGAAGCGGCATGGATTGAGCAGCCTCCTTCCTGTGGCTCACTTAGTGAGATCAACCCGATAGGAGTAAAATCTGGGCTCGGAAAAAGGACAGCATCTGTGCGTCTGAATCGTCCAAGTAAGCCTTCATATGACTCAAGGTCAATGGAAGCTTGTACAAATCCCGGCACAAGATATCCTCGTGGCTTGAAAAGACGTTTCTCAAACCTTCGATTCTTAATAGCACGGACATCAGAATCAGCTCCAGGAATATCGGATTCGACTACGGAAGCCTCAAGGCACAATAGGCCAGACCAAGGTGCCAGTTTAACAAATGTTAATTTTGCTAGCAACCGCTTTGCAACCGGGGATGATCATTCGATGCAGGGAAATGGTAATCGTGCTGCTTTCGGTCGAAGAGTGCGATCAAAGCTTCTAAAGTGGGTTAAGGATGCAAAGGCAGCAGTGCGAGCATGCGCAAAGAGGAACCATGGTGTATGAAAGGGGTAAATCAGGCGATGGCATCCTACCAACGTAGCCTATCCCATCCCAGGTCACCGAGTTCCCAGATTCAGCATTCATTGGATTACACCAGAAGAAAGTTTTAACAGACCAGTTTTGGAGCAATTTTGGGACCCGTCGACTGCTAGGTTTGGACGACGGAATGTTTTTGAAGCCTGTTTCTGTAACCAGGTCTGTAATAATGTGGAAGCCAACTTGGTATACGCCGCGGTGGATTGGGCGGTTCCCCGGAGTAGGGTAAAATCACCTTTGGCAAGAGGAATGAGAAATGCGGAGGGCGCTATACCTAGGGCAGCCCCCCCTTTTTTCTTTACCATGAACTGTATGATAGTCTCAAACAACATTTGGTAAAGGCACTAAGCGGGAAAAGACGAATGTAATAATTGAAGGTACTCTATTTTGTGCTGACTGCTTGATATCAGTTGTTGTGATTTTTGTCATTTTGAGGCTGAAGTTAAAATCCCCAACGTGGTCTGTGATGATGTGGTTATCTAAAGGGGAAGCCGTGCAGAAAGACGTCAGATGAAGTAGTCTATGCACTAATAGCACAGTCACTTGCCACAATACTAGGTAACTGAACCTACCTACCTATTATAGGAGAGAGCTAGGTATATACCGTGCGCGACGGTAATGTATATACATGGGCCATTCAATTTGACATTTCTCGAGGAGTGGTATAACCTTTTTAGCACATTGCTATTGGAAATCCAAATGGGTTTATCGAACCTAAGTCGTAGGAAGCTCCCGTAAGGATATTATAATCGCGCGCGTTTAGTTCAATGGCGTCTAGGGTGACTAGATAGGTCCTCCCGTGCCCCTTCCAAAATGCCACTATCCAAAACTTGACGAGAGCACTTAAGTATTGTCTGAGCGAGAGTTTCTCGTGGCGTTTAGCTTGCCCATATCTTTTCTGCCGTACTATAGTGCTTAGTTGATCTCGTAGATTTTGGGCTGAATTCTGACCATTTAACTTGGAAGTCTGCCACTCTGTCTTCGTTCGTTTCTTTCCTCTCTCCTATCCCATACGCTCTCATCTCTTCCAGCTCACAAGGTGTTCAGAAGATAAATTCGAAGCAAACCCTCTAATCAATCAACATCGACCTTGGCCAAGTGAACAAGTGATCAAGTCGAATCGCCCCCTCCTTTTATCTTCTAGTCACAGTTGACCACAGTTCTCCATACGTTGTCGCAGCAATTTCTTCTCGGTAGTCAATACCAACGCACGCCTGAGTCACAAGCACACGGAAGACCCATTCCGCTTCGGCCACATATCCAGCAATATTCGTCTGAAGATCAGATCGAATAACAAAACACAGCGAAACAATCTTCAAGTCTGACCCGTTACCCTTTAGGCCAAAACATGGCAGGAAACGATCCGATTCCAGCGCCGACTTCGATTCCGATCCGGAGCCGGCATCGAAGCATGGCACCGCCCCCCGCCAAGCGCGGACGTCTCGCGTTCTCGCACAGGACCGGCAGGGTAGCCAGCATGCCTGCGCTTTACGGCCACGGCCACGGCCCGTTTCTCGGCAACCACAGCCCGGGGCAGAGCACAAGCCCCTTCACGCCCGAGTCGCGGAGCGGCCTAGCAAGCCCAAGCAGCTTCTCGTCGCCGCCTACGGCGTCGCCGGAGTCGTCGTCAAAGCTAGTCGCGTCGCTAGAATCGATGAAGGAGCCAGACCCCACGCGTTTCTCGTTCGCGTGCCCCATGGCTTTGCCGGCAAAAGTACGATTCCCGCTTATCGACAGTCCAGAGCCGGACTCGCCCAAGAATAACGGTGCTACTGCTACTCCGGCGCCCCTATTTGCCGCCAATGGAAACGTCGCAAAGGACTGTGACCCACCCGCGTACGACGACTATGAGACCGAGGAAGAGGACTGGGTCCCGAATAGTCCAACAGAGGATGCCGTCATGACCCCGGCAGTAGTCGCAGGTGGCCAACCCGGGCTGTGGCAAGCGCCGGAGCAACCCAAGCCCAAGAAAGCAGAGATCGTCGAGGCCCCGGCCACGCCTGTCCCCGTAGCGTCGGGGCAGAATGTAAGATTCACCAAGACACGCGACGATTATGTCAAGTACCTTGTTAACCGCTTTCGACAGTATGAGTCTAATACCGGATGTACGACGCCAGAACGGGTTGAGAAGTACCCCTCGACTAAGGACGCTACTCAGGACGCCGCAGATGAGGCGTATGGGCCCCGGGGAGAGGAAAAGAAGGAAGAGAAGAACGAAGAGGTGAAGGAACGGAGTAATCAGGGAAGCAAGGAAGAGATCAAAAAGGATAATAAGGCGAAGGAGGAATGCCAGGCACAGGGGCATCAGCCTGCGCCGACCGAACCGTCGCCTCCCCAATCCAGCTCCAACAACGCGGAGCACGGGCACAAGGGGCGTAAGCGCGTGACTCGGGTTTTCCGGAAGATCAAGAATTTTTTCAAGAGAAAAGAACCGGTAGGCCAAGCGCACGAGATGGCCGAGCTAACGCGGGCCCGAACCAAAGCCCCGAAGGGAAATGCTGAGGGTAATACCGAACAGGTTAAGAACGGATCTTCCGCGAAAACTGCATCCGCGACCGCTGCCCGACCGTACCGAGAAGGGTATACCGAGGAGAGAGGAGAGACATCAGCGGAGGGTGCGAGGAAGTACGCTGCCGAGCGCGCGGAAACTGAAATGTGGCTTGCCTACTTTTCGCTTGCCAAACGCCTCTACTAAGTTATAAGAAGATCCTAATGCGACGGTTTGATACGCGTCGTTATAATATTCCCAATATTAAACATGAAGTTATGGATGGGAAGGCATAGCACAGGCGATTTAGGGATAGCTGGAAATGGTAATGGGATTGGGATTGGGATTGGAAAGGGAATGTGAACTGTTTGTGTGATTTGCTCTCATGAGAAAGGGTATCTGGAAATGGATAGTTATTTGAATTTAGAAGACGCCTCCGCCTATTATAAACAACCGTTCTTCCTCACGTTTCGCCCATTGGATGATCTTATTTGCTCCTTGTGTCATGACAGCTCGAGATGCGTTGGGTCCCGCTACGCAATAGAATTCGAATATTGGTGTAATCCAGGCAAGCGAAGTGCTATCTTCTCCAACGCAATGTAGTACCTTTACATGGGTATGTTTGGCATGAATCGTCGAATGTAGACTATGATAAAGAGACATGAGTCTTCTGCGTGATACGAGACTGCCGAACGTTGGCAGGAGAGACGGCATGCAAAATTGAACATTGGCCCTTGACTTGAATAGAAAGTGGCTGACGTGTGTTCCTGGAGCAATGTCGTTCATACTTGCACGTCCTTGTTGCACTGCCGTTTTGATAATGTCAAGATGCCCCTTTTTCTTCAACTCGGCCACAACGTCGTCTCGCATTTGTTGGAGATCAAAGAAACTCTCCTTATCCGGGCTAATCAAGATGATCGCGACTTCTTCGCCAGCAGTAGTCAAGTCTCTTTCGGATTCCGGCTCAACATCCAGGAAACTGACATACATATAGAGGTATCCACGGTTGTTAAAGGCTGGTAAACAGAGTGGAATCCAATTTTCTCCTCCTCCAGCCTTGACACCCCCGGATTCGAATAGCATGTTGAAGATAAGTTGAAGGTCACTGGGATGAAGGGAGTGGCGACGTGGTCGAATTACACTAACAAGCTTCCCACCAGCGACTATTAAACCGTAAAGCAACTTTTCGGTTCTTGTTCTGAGAAATGCATTATTGATAGCATGTCGGTGTGACTTCCTGAGCCTCAGGCATTCCAAAGCCCCCAGCAAGGCAGATGGGGATCCTCTTGTGAAGCTGTCGGCTAACGAAGAAAGTAAATTTTCTGTTCCCTGCAGAGGTTTCCGGAGATCGGTAGATGGCCGGTTGGCGAAAATATGGGTCAAGGTTGGGAGGGTCAGCGTGGATAGGATCTGCATATATAACGCGTCGAGTTGAGCCCTCAGCTGAGAATCACTCTCTCCAAGCCTACTTATGGCGACAAAGTAAAGAGGACCCTCTGTCACGATAACAAAGCGCGTATTCCCGGCCGTAAATCCCATAAGAGGGTTTTTGGCACCCTCGTAGAACGAGATGATAGTCTGTACAACCCCCATCGAAGAGTTTATAAGTCCTAGATCTCCATGTCTACTATATATCGGTTTTCCAGCAGATGACAAAATCATGAAATGTTTTAACTTGGATTTCCAAAGTTTTACTCTGTCCTCGTCATTCCAGTTCTTCTCAGATTCATCCGGTATATCATCGAATTCGTCAGTAAAATTGGCAAGGGCCGTACCCTCTTCGACTTTGACGGTTTTAAAAGGTGGGACGGCGGCATATTGTGAGCGTAAGAGAGTCCACGCGGGACTTTTCTTACCCCCATCTCCAATGAGTAAACTTTCTAGGTCTCCCGGCGGTCGTAGAGTCGGGGCTATGCTCATCACACTCATAGACTCATCTATATCACCAGCAATGGGATTGAAACCTATGCCTGCCATACCGGCATTTGCTGGCGTAGACTGTCTAGTGTCTCCGGCGTCATTCTCATTAGTTGTTGAGAAGGTACCACGTGATCCGTCGGGAAACGAGAGAGTCTGAATATTCATAGAAGAGATTGCAGTGGTTGGTTTCGACTGCAAATTAGATCCTTCTATCGTGGTCGTAGTAGAGTCATTCCTTAATGTTTGGGAGGGCCTAGGAGGTAAAGGAGGAGCATGATCATGGCCTTGAGCGGCAGCGGCGCTTGATGAGCTAGCATTCTCCTTGCCCATCTTTCTTCAATTCCGCAATGACTGGTTGTATCATCCTTTTTACGATTGTTTCATTAGACGAATGCACCCAGTGTCAACTGTTGCCCGATGTATAATAATGAATTGCCATGGAGAAAGTTGGAAAGGAAATGAAGTTAAGTTAAGTTTACTATAACTTGCTTTATGTGGTAGTTGAGCTAAGTTATAAAGGTGAGTTCGATCCATTTGTTCCAAAGTTGGTTGGCACTGGACATGGTGGAGCTCTTATCGTTATCGCCCAGACGTCATTTGAGCGTCTGTTTCGGGATATCTTTAGCATGAGTTGGCGGGAAACACCCTGAAACTACAGGGGGCTTAACCAATCAGATCACATGAAACAATTCCCAGGCTACCTTATTTTGAGGTACTGCCTTCCATGTATGAAGTACAGAAGTTACAGCAGGTCGATGCACTAATTTTAGCGGGTACCTGCAACGTAATTCGCAAAAAGGTTCAATGCATGCGCTTCAATTTCACGGCCGTGTATCCGTGTGTATCTTGTATCGTGGTCTCTTTCCTCTTTTTTTCAACCGAACCAACGAATCTCGCAAACGAATGCGCCTCGGCAAAGATATGCGCTTCGACTCTCCTACTCTTGAACGAGACCCTATGGTCCTACGACCAGTTCCTCCTTAGTATCAACTACACCAACCATGGCTCTCGAGCCCGGTCCACGTCGTTCTCTCTCCCCAGATAGCTCTGGCCCGAATACGCCCATAGTGAGACAATGGAGGAATCAGCTCGGCGCAGGTACTTAACACCAAGGCTGATGGGCCCATGCTACGTTTGAATATCCCACATCATGCTGACGTAGTTGAAATATAGAAGATACTCCAATTAAAGACAAGCATTACCGAAAATATGCGTCAGGCGTCGAGCGAGCCCTGTCGCTGTTTGATACAGCTTTAGAAGAATGGGCAGACTATATCTCATTTCTAAGTAGACTCCTAAAAGTAAGAGACTTGTCCCATCAAACTTCCAGCTCTAGCTATTCCGAATTCATGCTGAGAAGTTTCTTTCGTAGGCTTTGCAAGCACGCCAAACGAGCACGGCGAATATCCCATCGAAAACGCTAGTCGCAAAGCGCCTCTCGCAATGTCTAAACCCGTCACTACCTTCCGGTGTACACCAAAAAGCGTTAGAAGTCTACAGTTATGTGTTCTCGATAATAGGAAAGGATGGTTTATCAAGAGATCTCCCTTTGTACCTCCCCGGTCTAGCTCCGACATTGTCGTTTGCGTCCCTCACTGTCAGGGCTCCGTTCCTCGATCTCCTCGAACAGCATGTTCTCCATGTAGATCCAAGGTCATTACGGCCGGCCATGAAGAGCATCATCCTGGCCCTTCTACCCGGACTAGAGGACGAAACTAGTGAGGATTTTGACAGGACATTAAAAATTCTAGAAAGCTTCAAGGTTGTTATCCGACCCTCAAATTGTCGAGACCTTACCGCAACAGACTCGACAGGGGATGATTTTTTCTGGCAGTGCTTCTTTTTGGCTACAATCACCAGCCAGAGTCGGCGACCTGGTGCGCTCGCCTACCTTGCCCGTAAACTGCCGATACTTGGACATCCTCTCGTCCAGGAAGACCACTCAAACAAAGCTCAAGAAGCCGAGACTGACAAATTGTCTTCGGAGCTCTCGAATCTAGTAACTTCCCCCGAGCCTGGTTTGCTTCTCAGATGTTTTGCTTCTGGGTTAGGGGATGAGCAACTTCTAATACAGCGAGGCTTCCTAGACCTTCTAGTTACACATCTCCCTTTACATTCTAAGGTGTTGCAGAAAAGAGTTAAGAGCGATGATCTGGAACTTCTGCTTCGTGCTGCTGCTGGTGTTGTCACTCGAAGGGACATGAGTCTTAATCGACGACTATGGGCTTGGTTTTTAGGACCTGATCCCCCAAGTCAAGAGCATGAGAATGGCCTAGAGTCGCCTAACTCGCCAGTTGACCATCATGGTTTTCTTAATTCTAAGACGAGTTACTTCGAAGAGTACGGCTTACAGCCTTTGACGCGAGCATTGCTAGCGATGATCAATTCCTCGTCCGGTAGCAATCCGGTAGAAAGAGCCCGGCCATACCGAATATGTCTTTCTCTCATGGACAGGTGGGAAATAGGCGGCCTAGTGGTGCCTGAGATATTCCTTCCGGTAATAGAAAGTGTCAAGGATTTCAAGTCAAAAGCTTCGAGTAAGGCCGAGTTTAACGAAGTGTTGCGCAGCGCGAGTGTGTTTTTCGACGGTGTCGAAAGCGGGCTCATATATGGCGAAATCATAGGGCTCATGGCACAGGCTATCGGCCCAGGGAATGCGACAAACGCGGAACGTAATGAAAAATTCGCACTTGTTCAGTTCATCATGACACACTTCAACGTTCGAGAAGAGGAAATGGTATCCCTCCATGCTCCTCTAGCCGCTTTATCCATCCTAGCGATGTTGGAGGAAGTTGAGGAGCATAAGAACTCATCCCAACCTTCAAATGGTGAAAGCTCTAGCCATTCATCCCAGGCACTTGATATTGCCCGAAATCTAGTAGAGCTTATCCCGCAACGAGCGTTCCCAACTAGATCAGACAAGCGAGACTCGGCCGGGACCATAGAGGGACCCGTAGTAGCATCTACGACAAACAGCGAAATGCTCAAGAAGATCCAAAATTTCTATGTATCGGATCAAGGCAACCTCGAGGCTACACCAATGCCTTTTGCTTCGCGGACTGTTGGGGCTCTCCTAGCTCAGAAGGCTTGTAGCTTAACCTGCGATAGCCTTGCAGCACCTCACCAAGAGGAGTCAATGTCTGTTAGAAGTCGACTCCTAGGATTACTTCTATCCAAAATTCCTTATGAATATACTATAGACACCGAAAGGCTACTCTCTGCCATGCAAGCACGGCTGACAACGCCCAATCTACCCTTTGTCTCCTTCAAATCTATCCTCTTCCTCTCAACACAACTTTACACCAGTGAACGGATACCAACAACCTACCTTTCGAACCTAGTTGAGCCACTGGTCCGCCATGCGTGGAGTTTCTTGTCTCTGTCAGAACCGAAATATCATGTTGAGGCCGTCAGGTGCCTTTGGCAGCTGCAGACCGCTCTTACAACTTCGAACCGCGATATCGAAGCTGTGATCACTGATCTTATGCTGAAGGATGGTACTACGGGCACGTTTTCAATACGGCCAGCCGATCCAGGTCGAAGTTTTACTATTCTCTGGTCCCATACTTTGCAAGACAATCCTTCACATTCTGACCGGAGGATTTCTAAAGCCCCCACGACTGAGTTTAGACCGACGACCCGGTTGGCCGGAATGGATCACTACGATGTCATGCTCACAAGACCGCTTTTCTTAATGCTTGACTGTCTGCTAGACGAAAGAACCCAGCTATTCATGATGGTCAAGAATTGGCTGAACACCATGATTGGCATTGACAAGTAAGATGAAGTCTCATAAAACTAGTGACGAGGTGCCTTCGGCTAAGGTAGACAATTTTAGGCTCTTCCTAATCTTCGTGACGAAGATATCCCAACTTCGATTTCTGCGAAAGTTTTCCCAGGCATCCAATGCTGTTTCATCAGGTCAATCTATTAAATTCGAAGAAGAGGATGACGTTGAGCTTGCGCTGTATTATCTCCGTACTTTGTCCAACATATTTCGATGGGCCCCTGATGCATTCTGGGGTGTCCTCGCGACCAGCATAATCGAAGAGCCTAACCAGAGCCTTATAGAAATAAGTAAGCTTCTATATTTCGGTGTCAATCATACATTTACTAATGGTATCTAGCTGGCACCGAAAATAGCGTGTCTTTACAAGAGTTCTTCCTTCGTGTTTGCATGAGATGTATCGCTGGCAATCAGTTCCCCGACACTAGCCAGATGCCGCTTCGGGTAGCTCAGCTTCACCGCTGTGCGTTGACTTTTCTTCACCAGATACTGCTCAACCCCTTTGCAGAAACCTTATCGCGCTTCAGAATAGAAGACGTCCTGATCGACCGGCTTGCCCAATCCCTTGGGGGACCGGACCCTTATATTCAGGTCCTTCTACTCGATGTTATTTTCGCCTCTCTCAAGCTCCGAGACGCGTCACCCGCAGAACTACCATCCTCGCCAGCCGGGGAGAAGCGATCTATGACCTATCCGTCTGGTAGCTTGCGGTTACCTTTGGCTCCCGCTGAACATCCGCATGTAGAGACACCACCGCCGGCCGCGTTACTGAATTGTATCAAGGCCGGTCTTAGTGCGCCTTGCAGTCGTCCAGTGCTAGACAGCTGGGTGGGCTTCCTTGCGGAGTGCCTACCCCTATATTCAGATTCTATCTTCCAGGTTCTTATACCTCTAGTAGAAACCCTTTGCGGACAGGTCGCTAGCACGTTTAGCAACCTACAGACAACATTTAAGCGGAATGGGAATCCATCTGAAATGATCAACGCACCGGAGTCAACTCTCATATCATTGCTGAACGCACTTGAGCAAGTACTCGCCAAAGCACATGATCAGTTGCTGGCCGCTGAGGCTAGAGCCCAAGTGGTGAAGAGTCCTGATCAGCCCCAGGGATTCTTTGGGAATATGGTGTCTGGTGTATTCAATTCAGATGCCCCGCAATCTCGAAGCGCAACTGCCAATGACCGACTAACCGTATTATTAGCCTTCCAGGATGCTGTCCGGATGTGTTTTAAGATTTGGTCCTGGGGACAAGGAAGCGAGGCTGGCAATATCGACATGAATTCGGCCTCTTCATTCAACTATACATCGCTACGTATGCGAAACCGTGCCAGGCGTCTTCTGGAACATGTGTTTGCAGCTGAAGCTCTAGAATGCTTGGAGACGGTAGTCGACATCTGGCGGACTTCCCTGAGCGACCCCGATGCAACTAAGCACTCAGAAGTATTCAACCTACTCCCTGCTCTTGACGGATCTCGGCCGAGGCATACTATTCCCGCTATATTCAATGCTATCTACAGTCGGACAAATCCCGGCGCGCTAGAAACGTCACGAAAGTCGACATTGACTGTCGAGCTACAAGACACGGACCTGGTAATCTTTCTAGTTGATTATACCAGGTCCCTTGAAGATGATACGATGGACGAGATCTGGCAAGACTGTATGATCTTTCTCAAGGATCTGCTGGGCAATCCATTCCCGCATAGACAAACGCTACCCAGTCTGTTGGAGTTTGCGGCGATTTTAGGTGAAAAGGTGGACAATACCAACTTTGGCGAGCAGAGGAAAATGCGAAGAGAACTTGGGGTTCGTATTCCATAACTCTCCATGACTCGTCAACGCAATACTAACACGACTAGGATCTCTTCCTCCGACTGCTCACGGCTATTTTCACTACTAGACCCGCGTCCTTTTCAGACGGATTATCAGCCTCACAGTCAGATCGGTCAAAAGCCGGTGAGGGTCGCTTGATCACGCCCGCAGATAGAGCAGATGATATCGTCGGCATCCTATCTCATATAGTCCCTAATCTACCAAAGATTCTCGTAGAATCAGATCGCGTCTTAACGGCGGCAGGGGCTATTTCCACAAACGTGATTGGCCCGTCTATTCGGTCAAAAGCCTTCCCCGATACTATCTCTAAGAGTGCCTTAACGCTACTTCAGGAACTCACTAGGCTTCCTGGCAACCAGAAAACTTGGAAGAAGGATATCGGGGATGCTTTCAACGACTCAAGATTCTTCAACTCCTCTGTCAACCTTGTACGAAGCGACTGGCTACCCCTACTAAAACTTTGGACGATTACGGACAAGGATCGGATGGCAGAGATACTGAGCCGGATAACGCCGCCTACGACGGCTGGCATAGTCTTTGGAGTGGGCGCTACTTCGGCAAGACTAGAAGCAGACCGCAAAACGCAACTCAATTTGCGTCGCATCGCAGCTCTAGTTCTCGCCTGTGGCACAGACACTTTTGTCACGGACTTGCCGATTATTCTCGAGCGTATCGTCGAGCTTTTAGCAGCGACGTCTACTTCCTCGCCGTCTTCTACCACCCGAGCCGATATATATATGGTAGTACGTGCCCTCGTCCTCCGAACTTCCGCTATCCACCTTGCGCCTCTGTGGCCTATCGTAAATGCCGAACTTCATGCGGCCATGTCTTCTGTTGCTGCGCCAGACAACAGCGCCTCATCTGATACCTTTAGCAACATGTCTGTACTCCAGGCTTGTAAGCTTCTGGATTTACTAATCGCCGCGGCCCCCGATGACTTCCAGCTACACGAGTGGCTCTTCGTCACCGACACCATCGACGCCATCTATCGCTCCACCAATTATCAGCCGGTGGCACTCGTAGATGAGCTTTCGGAGGAGCTAGGCAATACCGGTACCAGCACGTCAGCACTACAAACGGAGTCGGCAGCCGCAATGGCGGCCACGAACGGTACCTCGGGTTTGCCGCTCCGCAGACCGCTACTCGGCCATCCCGGGGGCATTAACGACGAGTTAGCCGTAGACCGCAAGGACGAGCTCGTAGCCAAGATTCTGAGGCCGTTCTTCGGGCAACTAAGTATCTACGCCTTCGAGTCTACGTACGCCATGGGCGCGCTGGACACCGAAACGTGCGTTGATAGCTTGCTGAAGGATCTGTTCGACGAGCGGACTATTGTTAAAGCATTGTAGTTGTAGCTGTTTTGAATACAGGGGTAAAGACCGGGTCAGAGGCTCGGGGAAGGACACTACGATGGAACAGTGTACCGCGCGAATATTAGTACTGTAGTTTTGCGTTCGCCTTGTGGTCGGTGTTGAAGGGGTGTAGTGGAATAACATGAATCATGATTATTTAGGGTCTTGAGTATGTGATATGTCCTAGCTTTGAGAACTTGCGAGCGAGCTCACATAGTGACGCGGTCTAGTAAAAGTCCACACGTCCTAAGCTTTAATAAGCACAACGTTGAAGTAGTGGAGGTCTCTATAAGTAGAATATAGTAGGTATGTATAATGTTCCCCAAACTTTTGATTCCTATAGTCTTTTTGTCAAACTCGACATTCTCGACCAACCATGCCATGCTTCTTATTTTTGATCTCCCGTGGCCGTATACATAGGTAGGTTATATACACATACAAATTCATCTCCGTATCTTATCCATCTTTTCGTACTTACACCCTAAACCCAACGCTTTTCAATCCCAGTGAAACCCTCCTTATACGGGTGAGATGAGATAGCAATATGTCCATCACACAGTACCCAATCCCTCCCCCCTTCCCCTTCCCCATTCCCATCCTTTCCCTCCAAACAAACCCAACACACCAACCCATCCCCCGCTTCCCCCGAAAAAAAAAAAAAAAAAAAAAAAAACAATCAAAACGCCGTCCCCGGCACCGGCCCCAACACCCGTTCCACAACCCCCTCGAACGCGTCCCGCGCCATGACGGCGCCGAAGTGCAGGCAGTCGACGGCGGGGGCCAGCTCGGCGCGCACGCGGTCCATGCGCGCCGCGTCCAGCGCCGCGGCCGCGCCGTACAGCCGCGCGATCTCGAACCAGGCCTGCACGGGCGCGAGCTCCGGGCCGTCGGCCGGGTTCAGCGTCGAGGCTAGGCTGTACAGGGATTCGAGGGTTAGGGAGGGTTCGCTGGTGTTGTTGCCGCTGGTGGTGGTGTGAGTGTGGGTGTTGGCGTCGGTGTTGAAGTTGAAGTTTGGGTTGTTGCTTGGAAGAGGAGGAGGGATGGGCCAGGATGTTAGTGTGGTGTCGGTGGTGTTGGGGTTAGTGTTGGGATCGGAGTAGCTTGGGGCGATGGTGCTGCTTGAGGTTGGGGGTGCTGGGGCGCAAGCACCGCCCGAGCAAGAGCCGGCGCCGGGATTGGCTTGTTGTCGGCGCTCCTTCTCCGCGATTATCTGCTCCCATGCCCCGGCCGGCGCGCTGCGGAGCGCGAGGGCGCTGGCCATTAACATGTGCCCGTTTTCCTTGCCCTCTGGGTCGTAGTCGCTGTGGTCGTAATACGAGGGGTGGAAGTGGTTCCAGCAGATATGCTCTAGCCTATTTCAATAAGCAGCGTGTTAGCTCGGCACCACTCACCCTTTCTCGTGTTTTGTAATCCTTTTCTTGTTTGGGGCAAGGCAATACTGAGAGAACTCCTTTCCGGCGAAGCATTGGGAGATAGAAAGGGACCTACGTACCCTAAGATAAAGTTGATAGCATGATCGACCTGCTCCTGCGTCATCGTCATCCCTAGAATCAATTCGGGATTCCCGCTCGTATTAGTGAACTCTCCTCCGCCTACACTACGCGATGACGTCGACGACGGCGTCGGAATCCGGTGGACTTGGTAGAGCGGGGTGCTCAGGGACCCGGACGAGGAGAGCAGGCTAGCCGTGTACTCCGGCTGCGAGAGCGGGAAGCCGAGAGTCGGGCTCAGCCCCGGAGCGGAGGCCGATACCGAGGCCGAGCTAAAGCTCAAACGATGCCGTATAGCGTCGTTCTCGGTCCTGAGGGCCGTGCTCTCGCGCTCGGTCTGCTCGATCAGGTCGCGCAGGCGGGCGACGTCCATCTCCAGCTGCTTCGTGTAGTTGGCCTTGCGCTCCCGGTGCTGGATCTGCGCCTTCCGGACCTGCGCCCTGCGGGCCTTGGCCTTGCTCAGGTCCGACTCCTGCCCGTCATGATTGTTGCCGTCGTTGTTGTTGATGCTGTCACCTTTGCTAGGCCCTACATAGAAGAACCAGGAGTTAGCGTTGACCTGCATGGCGGCGAGGCGACCAGGCCGTCTTCGTATGTAACTATTATATAAGAATATGTAGGGCCAAGAGGCGTGTATGTGAGAATGTGGTGTTACCACTAGGCCTTTCCCGGCCGTAGTATGCAGGTGATATAGGAGAAACCAGCTGAGTTGACAAAGCCAAGAATGTTGATTATGGGCCGACTGGAAAGCTATAAAAGCCAACAGGACAACCACTTGGTTGGTTCCGTTCACCCTCATAGGCCCCCCCTGACTTCCGCAACGTTTTACATCATTGTCCTACAACGAAGTGGGTTGCACGGGATTATGTGATGCGGTTTCTTGTAGCCAACCGATACTACGGCTTGGCGGCGGGCATCTCAGCCCTACCTATGACAAATCGTTTCAGCCTAGATAGGCGAAATAGACGTCCAGTAATTAAGTGCTCAGATATATCGATCGCTGATCCCAATAGTACCGTTTGAAATATATGCGATCACGACATACCTGCTTGCGCCTCAGGGCCGCTCGGGACAAAGGTGATAGACCTCGCGGCCTCTTTAGTGCGTTTCCAATAATCGGTAAAGGACGGCCTCGAACGACCGCTTTTAGTACTGCTACCACGTATCTCGGCGCTCCCGTTATCGTGTGAATCCTCCAATGACGAATCGACCATTTTCCTGTGACGGCGAAAGCAAGCAGGTGTCCGCGAACCCCACGACGCAGAGTATGGGTGTATCCGAGGCAGTGGTACGCACGCGATAGGTACCTAGGAAGGGTTTCGTCTTTGGTGGTGCGGCTAGAGATGACGGAGACGAAAGGATGTAAGCAACGTGGGGCTCTTCCGCATCCAGGAGGTGGAGATCGACGATTTGGAATCCGGCTCTCCTTTTTGGATATGCGCAGATCAACTTTCATTCAAAGTTCGTCAACTCAAACCACTTTACATGACTGCGTTATTTCAAAGCAAGGATAGTGCTGTATGCAATGCGAAAAGTAAAACAAAAACATTTTTCATCCATGTACAGAGACCGCTTAATTAGGTGTACATAATCTGCGGGTTGACGCAGCCGAGAACGTACAGCAACCTCTGGGGTAGTAAGGGGTTGGCACACAGCAAAATAAAGGGTCCTGAGGAATTATCATTTAGTCAATTGCACTTGTCTCCCAATGCGCCGTCCGTAAATACAGGTATCTTCCTTTTTGACCACCGAACCCCATGCCGACGCCGATCAAATGCAGTCACAATATACAGAAACCGCTATTTACTCATCCACGCCAGCCTCATCATCTGTGGCAGTATCCTCCTCGACTTCCTCCTCTCCTTCCTCTTGTTCGTCATCGCTATCCTCGTCTCGTTCGTCCTGGTCGAGTCCAGGAATAGGTTGCCACTGCAGGTAGTCCTGCTCAACCCACCGCTTGCTCACCGGTAATTGATACGGATCGAACGGGAAGAAAGAACCTAGCTGCTGCCAACTATCATCGTTCATGTCGAACGACATATCTCGTAGGCCACCTCCACTAGAGTATGCTCCGGACGAGAATTGCGATAGGCGAAGGCGCTTGTTCGATTCGATAAGCGGATATACGTACATGAAGCGGAATCGATGAGCTAGCTTCGCGAACTGCTCGACGATAACTGGCGAGCAGATCTTGAGGGGGTTGAGCTTCGAATAGATGTTGCGCCTCATGATGTCCTTAATCTCCGCCTCCCATTCAATCTCCTGATCTAGATATGTCGAAAGGTCATCCTTATCGACTTCGTCGGGTACCGACTTGATAAGATCTTGCCATCGGAAGCAAAATATGTATAATAAAGCTTGCATTAATGCATAGAACGGCGCGTATCGACGGACGTCCGGTCCGCGACACGAAGTTTCGTACAGCGAGCGCATCTGATCCAAATGGTAACCGAGGACTTCGAAAATCTTGACCACGATATGGCCTGGCACATGCGCTCCTCGAGCAACAAAACTAGCCAAATAAGAAGATGCCGCCTGCTGTAAGATGAGTGGGCGTTGTGACTCGAATGCAATATTGATGCAAGTGCCGCAGAATGCGTCCATAAGCCTCTCTGATCGTTGGCCGAAATGGAAGATCAAAAATTGGGTATGCCTGGACTTAATTGTTGGCAGAATGAGGTTAGAGAACTCGGATAGAAGATCCTCGAAAGCTTCCAAAGCCTCATCCGAATCGGGATCGGCAAAGCTTGGCGTATAAAGATCGAAGAGAGTGTCGAGTACAGAATCCATCTTCTCAATGTTCTCTTTTGCCGTCTTAACGCGCGTGTACTCATTCTCTTCAGATTCGTCGCTGTCTACTGATTCGGCGTCGCTCTCATCCGAGTCTTCTTCATCCTGGTTACCGTTCTCGCGGGAAGACTTGAGAGCCATGGCTACCATTGCGGCAAGCCTGTCGTCCATATCGTCAAGGTCCATCTGCATTTCTACGTCGATCTTGACCAATCGACTGACAATCAGATCCATTATCTCCGCTCTAAGATCAGGAGAGTACGATCGTATTCTCAGGAGATTATCGACGTAGGCCATATGCATTCGCTTAGATTCGTCGTGGAAGGGGTATTTAGTACCCATGAGATGTTCGAGAACAGGCTTAGTGGAAGGAAATAGCTGCAATAGATATCGTAGGGCGACATGCAACCTCTCCATAACAGCATCTTTGCTAACAGTTGGGTAATTCGGCACGGCCCAGTCGGAGGGTCGCGAATCGGTAAATCTTTCCACTATGGACGATAATACTTGCGTGAGACGGGCGCCTTGCGCGCTAACAAGGGCGGCGAGAAACTGGACGTAGATCTTGGCAAATTGTTCGTCACGTCCAAGCCATTGACATTGCAGGACGCTCTTGACCAGACCATCACATGATCTTCCCAGGCGAGGAGAGAAGCTTGCAAGTGAGACGAGGTAGACCTTAAGTTCCTGGCGTCGCTTAGCTGGCAGAGTAGGGTCAACATCCTCGTCTTCATCGTCATCATACGACGATATCTGTTTTCCGGATAGAGTATCCTTCAACATATCGTAGTCCTCATCGTCACCTTGATCATGGCGATCCAAAGCTTTCTTGATCTCTTGTTTAATCTCCTCGACTGATCGTGCACCAATCTCATGGATCTCGATATTGTGTAGGTCGAACTCGACTCTCTGGCGCTTACGGGGATTTTGCGGGTAGTCCATGTTATCGTCGTCGAGCCCCGCATCGTCGCTGGTTCTTCTAGTGCCGAGTAAGGCCGATGATGATTTGAGGATAGGTTTAAGCGGTGTAGCAGCCTTCACGGTGGCTCGAGTAAGTTGCGGGGTGGCGCTCGTCATAGCGGGTGGTGGCATGAGGATTTAGCCAGGTAAACATAGGTATCTATAAGCCTGTATTTTCATTAGGAGGTATGCCGTATGCAATTACTTGAAGAATCTCTTATGCAGTAATTCGGCATACTGGTAGCCTAATTTAATTTGCTAATTCTCGTTGTTAAGATCGCGAGATTGACGCGGTCAATTAATCAACGAGGCTGCAATAAGAAAAAAATCTTAAGAAAAAAGCAAGACTAGATTAAGATTTCGAGATGACAAAATTTCAGCTGCAACGCACAAACACTCGCAGGAAAAACAGGGGACATGAGGGGCAGTGCGGTCCACTATAATCTGGTCCGTGCCTCCCTGCTTCCTTCCACCAATCAACACCTTAGGTAAAGCATTCACGGGACGTCTTAAGTAAGTCGGGTACCTACGAGCTTCGATCTTCACTGACTTCAGGTTTCCAACCAAAAATTCGTTAGCAGGAACTATCACCACCTTCATCATATTTCCCTTCCTAAATCTAGAGCCGTATCCTAGGTACAGTATAAGTACCTAATCACCCGACCTAATATTCGATGCAAACTACCTATAATCCTTTCATCAATAAAACACCTTGATTCATAACGTCCCTTTTCTTTCACATGGTACTGGACCTAACCCACCATCACGAATCCATGAATTGACCCTACAGAGATGGTATTTTTACATCCTTTATTTGGTTCATGAGTGAATAAAACGAAACGGTGCTATATAGCTTGTAATGCTTCCAGCATCGGGCCGTTCTCCGATGCTTGAGAAACTAGAATAACTGTCGAACTAAAGCTGAAGCAGAATCTCAAGAACTGATCAGGAGAAACGCAGAGAACCGAATACGGGGGATGAACGCCTCGGGGAATCTATCGAAGAGAAAAGTGCAGAACCAGTAACCCTTTTGACGCGCAGCCTCGTCCATCACTACCTATCCATAGTGAGCCCATCATATACAGGAGCAGAAGACCCCTATCCCGAGAGTAGTGTTGCTGGAGCCCTCAAAATCCCAATAGTTATACACACTCGAAGGGAGCATAAGCCGCCTTGTGAAAATCGAAGATCTAAGGTTATAACTAACCAGGTCGGCGATATCAACTAGCCTAGACCCATGTCATCTACGGACGCTAAGCGCGAGACTTAATAGGTCTCGCCGGCCGCGCCGTTGTGACTAGGCTGGGTGTAAATGTAGCCTTCGCCTGATTCACCGATCCCGCCGGTACCATCACCTCCCTGGAAACCAGAGGCTCCTGCGGCGCCAGATCCGCTGGGCGCACCTGCTCCGTAACCCTGGCTGTTTGGCCTGTTCTGTTGGTTTTCACCTCGGTTGGACTGAGACTGCTGGGTCATTGGTTAGCGCTGTTCGCAAGCGAGGCCTGACGTACAGCGTGCGTAGGCCTCGAAGCAAGGGATAACGGGGGAAACAGTACTTCTCGGTATTTGGAGAGGTAAATCTTCAGTGCCTCTGCATAGTTCTCGAAGCCGAGGGACGTCATCGCAAAGAGGATGTCTTCGCCGTTGACAGTTTTCCTCTTCTCCTGATGACATTTCTCCGAAGCTGTCTCCGGTGTCAGTCTTTACTTGTTCATATCAGAGGGATAAAGGGAAAGCATGGGTTATGTTGACCAACTGAACGGGTGGACATGGAAAATAGCACTTACCTTCACTCGTGATGAACGAGATGAACTCGCTCACGCACTCTTGCATACATTCCTTTGCCTCTTTAGCGATCTTGGCGTTCTCGGGAAGAGCAGTCTTCATGATACGGGCAACTGGAGCAAAGTTTCGTATGTTAGCATCGTAGAGATCATATCTGTCGGCTTTGGAAGCGCGAGGCGCTTCGGGCGACTTAGACGACGAATCGTGAGACATGGGCACCCTTCTGCTGATGCGCGGCTGTCTCGAACTAAGGGGCCATAAAGCACCAATTGACGGACGCGCCGCGGTCAGAGCTCCGCTTCAGCGACGAGCTTCGCTTTGCTTGCAGACGGTCGACTTGGGCGCACCAAATCAGAGACAAGAGTCGTCGGAGGGTCTCAACTCACCATTGGCTATGGGCAACCACCTGTCCTGCTCTTTTACCTCGAACTCATAGGCGAGGCCAGAGCCGTGTGGGTCCTGAGGGTCGTTCATCTGTGCTTCATCGTCGGGTGATTGTACACCTGGCTCGACATCCTTTGGAGGCGATTGAGGGGAGTCCGACATATTTGGCTACCTGCAGCGGGTGGTAGCTTTTGTAAAATTTTCTTGGACTGCCAGCTCGCACACAGCTGGTTACAAGGTAGAGATGATGTGTCCCTGCCTCTGACACGTTGCAAAGGTAGGGCTTGCAACTCTGAAGAGCGGCTTAGCTGCAGACGAAATGCGTCAATCCTGCCCTGTCGCGGGTCCCCAGAATTATGGCCTAGAGCTATTTACTTGTTCCCGTGTCCCGCGTTCCGCGTTTGGTAAGCCCTGTCTCTCGCGAACTTTTTCAGGCTATGACGGAATCTGCAGTTGGCAGAAACGGTTAAGGAATATATTTGATGTGATATGTATGGATTGGATGTAAGGATGCGTATGCAAAGAGCCTGGTCTTGGTATACTGTACTATACCGTAGCGTCTCGTGTAGTGTGTAGTGTGTGCAGTGTGTGAGTGTGCGTGTGTGTAGTGTGTTGTAGTGTGGTGGTGTTTGGTGTACGGTACAAAGGCAGACGTGACTTTTGTGTGGATTGATTTGATGGAGATTGTGGATGTAGGAAGGAATGGGCAGGATGCGATCTGGGTTACGAGAGTACGTACTTTACCTAACGCTGGGTCCGGCTTTGCATTGGGAAGAGCGGGGTGCTTTTTGTGGGCCACTCCTCTCTTCAGTAGACGCCGAGGGTTGCGTTACTTAGGAGACCCGCTGTTTCCCTCTTACATCGTCTTATTTCCTTCAACCGTAGCTTCCTTGTACTGTAGCTTCTACTATGTACAGTATGGACGTCTATTATAATACCTCTTAGCGCTCGACAGCGGCTATCCGGACTAAAGCAAGATCGCCTTGCTGCATTTTGCAGATAAGTGTACGTTATGTATACGCATATACGTATCTGGGTATATATGTGCGTTGTAAGTACTGTACTTCCAAGTTCTAGTACATGAGATTACGATGTTATCGATGCTGTTTTTTAAGGTAGTAGTAGGTAATTATAAGAAATCGATGCTGCGTGTTTGGCCACTGGTCACTGGTGGACAAATGCGGCTGCCCTGGTTTGTTGCCAGCCCGCTCAGCTTATTGTTTTCTACCCAAGTATCTCCATACCTAATATAAGAGATTGACCTTCTAATATATGCGTATATGTTACACCCCCGGACCGGATAGTCCTAAGTTGCTTCCTGTGGCTTGATGTTTATGACTTAATAGAGAGGCTCGGCTCGACTAATCATGGCCGAGGCGGGAACGGACCGGGGGGCGGTTTTCTGGAAAAATCTCAATTCGAGGTTGGATGCACAAGAGTGGGCTTTGAGCTGGCTGGCTGCATAACGCGTTATCAGCACGGCATGTATGTACCTAACTTGAACGATGTCATTCTCAATATTCCCAAAATTGCTTGTTATGATTACGTAGGCATCTCGTTACTTTGTATGCTGTATTCTGTGGAGGCGGAGCTTTTCTCTATTATTCTCCCCGCCCAGCTTTCTCCCTTCTTGTCTGTAAGATCGGGGTGTATGCAGGGTCTACGAGACTACCTAAGTACACAGGGAAGTTGGGTCAAAAGCCAAATGCGGACGCTCGCAGGGAAGAGGGACATCATTGATGTAAGTAAACGGTGGAAAGTTGTATATCTGCTATAGGTACCTAGGTAAGCATGTATGTATGTATGTATGGTAGCTACATACAATTACGTGGGGTACATGCAGGAAACCCCTTAATGATGACCATTATCAACCTTGGAGTCGTGGACAGGTCCGAAAAAGATTCGACGTTAATAATAGATTCTTAATCCAAATTGATGATTTATGAACAAGTGGCTAGCTGTATAAGGAAGGGAAGAATTACCAACGGAAATGATATGGATTGGAAGGAAACACCGGAAATAAGGTACCGTACCTAGTAGGGAAAGTAAGAAAGTGCTATAGAGGTTCCATTATTAGGTACCTAGAGACGGGAAGTTAAACTGTAATCCCAGAAATGCCCTACCATTCAAGTGTTGCAGGCTCATCACACAAACTTCATTTTACATTTCACAACCACGATACTTACAACATTGAACATCTAACATCCTCACAGCAATGCGGAGCCACAATAACCCCGCGGATCTCCTTATTCCTAATCACTGTGCATGTTCCACCGGACGCAGCACTATTCGTCTCCAAGGTGTATGTCACCATATATCCGCCAGACCAACAAGTAGGCATGTTCATCTCAGGATCAAGCCGACCGACCGACCCATGTATAGTATTTCATACATGAGGCGGTGTGAAGATGAGTTGCCACAAGCGGGATGAACATATGATATTTAAAATCACAGCCTACATTGTCCTCCTATTATCGGCCTCCTATTAGCCAACTTTCAAATACCTATCGTCACTTACTCCATGCGGTCGTGATTGATGTGTTACCCGACTCCCTCGCCATAGAGACGGGACGGAGAGTGGAGGGTGAAGTCTATTGCTGATTTGACAATCTCTCAAATAAACAGTTGCCCGGCATATGTGCCTACCCGACAGGAACAGGAAGCACAGCCTGGTTTACGGTTCTTCGATCTTGGGGGCCAGGGCACCTGTTTGGACGATAGTTCAAGAAATTCAAGATGAAGAGGGCCTAAGGGTTCGCATTAATACGCCATATCGACCAATTGTAATATTTGGCGTCGGGGTTGAAGTTCTGATTGGAAGTAAAAGCTGAATTCTAGTTCAGGGCATCTTCCTCTCCCGGAATGTGGAGAAGGGAATGATAGGCTTTGAAGGCTTCGCAGGTTCTGGCGTATAATTACCGTCATCAATCGTTCAATCCCGGTAACCCATAAGATGGAGTCCTTCTGTCTTGGCCGGCCAGCCCTGCAAAAGACTGCTGCAACATACAACCTTGGAACTGTATAGACGCCATTTTAACCTGTACGTTTGAGCATTCTCTAACGAAACCCGCATTACTACGCTACCGACATGCACGTTGTATGCGGCCTAACTGTGTCCCACGAACCTACATACATACGTACGATCCCGTGGATGCCCAATCGTCGGAAGCAAGACAAACCCTGTAATGATTTCATCTATTACAATTGGGAAGGACATTGTATTTATATGCGTATCCCGGTGAGCGTTGTATATGGAATTCGCTCTAAGATACACTAAAATAGGGGGAACCGGTGCGCTGGGAAAGCAACTCATTGGCAACCTGCCTAGGTACAGGTATGTATGGGGGGTAGGTAGGCAGCGGTGCCCGTTAAACACCCCGAAGCTCTTCTGTCCGGTTCGGAAAAGGACGTGGGATTAATCCCCCCATCTTCCCCTCCGGATCATCGCTCTGCTGACATTTGGGCAGAGGTGCAGCCGTGCGAAGTTCACCAAGTACCCGTATGTAATTCCCTATTCAGGCCAACTTCGAATTTACCTTTATTCGATCGAGGCACTTACATGATTTCCATTTCCGCCAGCCTGCTCATGAGTTCCGTATCACATAGAGGGCTACCCCAGCAATTGCAGACGGCCAGAAGAAGTTGGGCCGAGTTTGCAATTGGGATTGTAGTAGTCGTTATCGTCACTCCCCCCCATGAGCTTATACGTAGGTAGCTATAACTTATAGTATGCAGGTCTTAGTTGGGTATCTTACCATTTACCTAGTCTAGCAAGACGGCCGACGCTCTTGTTTCAGCCAGGCAGATCGCAAACTACCATCGACGAACACGCTGGCACTTAACCCGGACCATCGCCGGCGCTCCATGGAGTTGTCATGTGGCATGTGGAGCTTGAAAATGCAGGCTAAGCACCCCCGCCTTCGGATCATATGCCGATTAACGAGGTCGATGATAATTCATAATATCTTTAATCCTATTTTATCCATTTCTAACACGGTGTGAGGATGTTGTCTTGATGACGGGCTATATCAGTGTGCCTCGAAGATGCAGGGTCAGCGTAAGCCGCCCTACTTGTCAGATCATTTACGGCCAGTCAAAACAGCCACCCCTTAACGCGGCCTACCCTCCAATCATTACTACTTGCGAACCGTTGATCATGGCAGCCTTGACAAAAGCCTATCGTTGGGCACTGAGACGCCCTTGACGCTAGGCTCCACCTGCTGCAAGCTACGATTGTACAACGCATCAACACCATCTTTCGAGATATCGCATGGCTTTGCAGACGGCTGAAAGCGAGGGCTATATGGCACCATATCATCCAACTCAACGCCGTGCAACAATTCAGTTTAGCTCGATCTCGATCAGGCATATCAAACAGCGGCCGTGCTGTCCTAATGCCAACACCTTTGAGGCATCGATGCTGAGATGTTCTCTGACTTGGTAGCCATCCATTAGCTTGGCTGCCTCGAGGCGTCTACGAAGAACCTCGCACATACGCCTTCGAAAGCGTACCCCCAAATGTACCGTAGCCCTAACGCCATTTTCCGCATCCACTCTCGCCAGGCGCAGCGTTGAGGTTGTCTCAGGACTGGACAACTTGAATGTTGTTCTTTTTCTGTACAGGCGGTTGTGTAAGTCGGCAACTTCGCAAGTCGACAGTGTGGGGGTCATCAAAATTCAACTTTCCAGGTTTACGGAGACAACTTACCTTCCACTTTTCTAGATCATCCTGCTTGATCTTGTATTGCTTGACCAAATCGTCAAGCACTTTCTTCAATCCTTCAGCATTGGTCCTCAAAGCGGGGATTACGTCCTTGACTGTCCGCTCCACCAGGACGCCGTTGATCATGCGGAAGCACTTGCGATCCCCCGGGAGCGGCTCTAAGGTATCGAGAACAAGCCTGGTAAGACGAATTGTTAATGCATGAGCGGTGAGTTCGCGAAGCGAGGCGGTGAGGTTCGTGAAAGACCTAGCCTATGCGCTAGAGGCCAAAACCCCAGTAGGGCTGAGGTCATGCGATCTCGCTGCTACATCAGGGAACTCATGAAGTGGTTCCATGATGTCAGGGATGAAGTGAGAAACATGTGGATAGCAGAAGAAAGTTTCACGAACTTATGTTCTTCAGCTTCCTGCTCAACATCGCCGATTTTTTGGGCTAGTTGTTGCAGCGTGTTCTTATAGTTTGAATATGTTGTTTGCAGTTCTGTCGCATACGGTTAGAGGAAAGTGTTGGTTCATATGTAAGTGGAGTGCTCTTGAGTCACGTACCTTGCTGCTTCTTAGCCGATATAGCTTTGGTCGCCATGATGAGTGTAAATCGATGTTGCGAGAAATATGCCTGTTAACTTGGTTGAAGTTGGTGAATATGAGAAAACACACTATCTCCAGATGAGATCAGTTGTATTTGGCAGCCTTTGAAATCAGTGGATGTTGCGTTGAGCCACTGGAATTATAGTTCATTGGAGGGGCTAGTGGGGTATGTGGAGCCCATAATTCCGATGTGGCCCATGATTTTTCGTCCATTGGAAAGTTCCATCATTCAAAGGATGAATTACGGGTTTGTCGGTTTGCGACAGGGAGTGGCCAGTGACGAATTCAACCCACATCCTATAATTCCTACAACATCACGAGAGCAGTTCTCGAATTATCGAAGATGCATCCGCACTTGCATACGAAGGACAATATTGGTAGGCTTTTCCTGACTCTATGTCTATTGAGGAGTAACTAATACCACCCGCGCTTATCAGCCTGCGAGGAGATCATGACTGCCCTCGAAGAATGCCACGCTAAAGGATTTATCTGGAAGTCAATGGGCATGTGTACCGAGACCAAAGATAAACTCACTTTATGTCTAAGGGCCGAGCGACTAAAGCGCACTGCAAATAACCGACAATCATCCAGAGCGAAACGCGAGCAGATCAGAAAGATATGGGCCGACATCGACGAGAACTCGTAGCGCGCACGCAGTAAAAGTTTCCGGTTGCTTTCTATACAATATGGCGGGGAGAATGATGGTCTTGGCTTGTATATCGCATAGCATGGCGTTCAAAAAGGCATACAATATCTGGAATGGTTCATACAGGCAGGGTTTTCACAGGAGATAACTGAGTGGCACGCTCTCTAATGGATCACTGTCCTAGAAATCGTACGGAAGAGTTTCTGTTCGTTCAAAGATTGTGCTATTTGGAATGACCCCGTTGCGCTACATATTATTACGCAGATACCGACGTTCTTCTTACGTTCCAAGGTCCTATCCACCGATTCTCCCTTATAAAGTCTTCCTATAAGCATTACCGAAGACCAACAGACCGAAGACGGAGATCAAGCTCAGCACAGTTGGGACAGGCTTTCCACTTCGGAGAGCCCGTGGGATAGATGCGCCTCCGAGAACAACGGATGCTAGGAGAGCGAACTCGACACCGTAGGTCTGGCGCGATAGTAGGCGATATCCTCCTAGGCCATCTTATTTTGACGTCGCATTAGCTTGAGACAGATCGCAAACTAAGCTATACCAATGAAACAGATGTTGACTTTGACTTACACAATATTCCGACTGTCCAGCCAGCTGCAACTGAAGGGACAGAGCCTGTCTTGACATAACCCATCGTACCGCCGCCCGCGGTCAGAGCTCCAAGGATAAATGCGATTGTCTCTAGAGCCTTTGCCACAGCTAGTTAGCTTTAGTTTGACATCGAATATGCGAATCCAACTTACCATTTTGTTTATGATAATTTTGTGTTGTCTGAAGGATTGAATTGCTAGATGGGAGTGATAGTAATCGTCATTAATCTTCACAATAATGTCACTGAAATTCAGCTTTGTAATGCAGGTAGACAGAGAGGCTCCTGCCTCAAAGCAATGAAAGTCCGGACCCCCGATGCTTCTCTTACATGCGAATCGCCGAGGGGTTTGTCCTACCTGAGCAGCCCTTAGTTAGAAAAGTGGGTGCACAGCACCTGGCATTGAAGGTTCATTCGTTACGTGATGTGGCTGAAGCTCTCAATGCTGTCAGCCACAACTTACCCCAAGGTGCATACGGCACGCTAGTCGACCGTTTATGATTGGCTGTTTTATTGTCGACATTGACCGGGGTACCTGGGAACTTATTGAAGCTTTCGTGTCCCTTACACGCAATTCAGGACCCATTAAACTTGGATGTCTTGCGATCAATTCAACGACATCTCTCAAAACGTAACCCTCCTACTTCGACTCAGAACGACATAAGCTCTAGTGTAACCATAAACCATGGCGCCGAAGAAATCAGCAGCTGCTCATAACGTGGCAGCGCCTGCGACTCCGGCATCTATGAGCGCTACCACTGCTAACACCAGTGTCGCCAAGACCTCGACTAACAGTTCGAACGGTGTCTTTTGGAATATCTGGGAACACTACGTGGAGAAGACGCCGCAACGAACGAAGCTAATCGATGTATTTATGGCATTCTTGGTGATCGTGGGCATCTTACAGTTTGTGTATTGTGTGTTAGCCGGCAACTACGTACGTATTTACATTTTCTTTCGTATTCGTCTTCATTAGGAGAATGCGCCTGTTGGCTAACAAAGTGTTTCAATCATTACAGCCCTTCAACGCTTTTCTCTCGGGTTTCTCTGCAACCGTCGGTCAATTCGTCCTTACCGGTATGTTTTCCCTACACTCTACACGAAAGTAGTAGGTCTTGTGGGATACATATTAACTGTATGGTCAGCATCTCTGCGCATCCAAACCACAGAAGGAAACAAGTCCGAATTCCCTTCAGTGTCACCTGAGCGGTAGGCCAATTCCCAACCTTGCTCCTATATTTATATAAAACTAATATTTTTGCATAGAGCATTCGCGGACTACGTGATCGGAAGCCTGATTCTCCACTTCTTCTGTGTCAACTTCATAAACTAAGCAACGGCGCAGGGAGCATACCGAGGATGGCAAGAGTGTGGAAACTGAGTTTTCGCTGGACCCGGCAATGAGACGGGCAATCGCTGTATTACAACCAAAAATGGGCACAACTGGGTAAAACAAGCAAAAGGAAGATAAAAGCAGTGCATTTTCCCTCGTGAGGCTATTGGTATATTGTTCCTGCAAACGTGATCTGTAGCTGTAATTCCATGTCTAGTCCGCTCCTCCATCCCCATCACCCTCTTTCGGGCTCTCAGCCTTAGGCGGCCCTCTCGGAGGCCCACCACCAGCCTTAGGAGGCGGCGGCGGCGGCGTCTTGCTCGCGGCTATATTCCCATCCAGCTCCCTGCTCTTCTTCTCCTCTTCCGCGAAGTAATCGTCCATCAGCCTCTTCGGAGCGTGCCCGTGCCTCTCTTTCTTCTTGCTCCGCGGCGGCACGCTTCCCGCCGCCGGGGAAGGCGGCGAGACGACCTGCGCGGGGACCAGGAAGTCCGGCGACGCGGCGGGCACGAACGTAGTAGAGGCGTCGCTCGGCGGGGCCAGCGTCGCGAACTGGTCCGCGCCCGCGCCCACGGTCGCCCCGCCGCCGCCGCCGCCGCCGTCGACGTCGAACAGCATCTCGCCCGGCGCGTTGACGGGCTCGTCCAGCGGCGGCGGCAGCCGGTGCAGCGCGCCGTACCCGAGCACGCAGCCGAGCGCGCCCTCGCCGCCCCAGTCGCGGCTCGGCACGATCTCCACCTCGCGCGTCACGTTGTACTCGTTGTTGTACACCCACAGCTTCAGCGGGCGCCCGATGTAGTCGTCCACCAGCTCGCCCAGCCCGCTCTCGCCGTGCAGCGTGCCGTCCGGCGTGCCCAGGATATAATCGCTATATGGTAACAGCCCCGCGTTATCGGCTGGCGAGTTCGCGGGCACGTCGAGCACGTGCCATACGTTGGAGGCGACGGCTAGAGGCGTCCATTGTAGTGAGAGGCCGAGCGACCGCGTGTCGGCTGGGACGGGTACGTGGAGGACTCGTGTTCGCTGACCCTTGGCGCTCCAGAGCCCGAGGGCGACGCTGGCGCCGGCGCAGTTGCGGACTTCTTGGGCGAAGAGGCGGGGGTCGGGGTTGTCCTGTTTGGTCGAGGGTTTTGTTAGTTGTTAACTGCTCGTCCGGCGTCTTTCTAACCAATTACATATGGATGTAAGGTAGGTAGATATTTCTGGAGATTTTTCATGATCGTACAATGACGCGGCCGTTGATGCCAACGATAAAGTCGAACCACGGCTCTATGCCGAGCTCGAGGTTCGTGTTGCGCAGCACTTGGAAGCCGAAGCCGGGGCCGTCCCGCTGCTGCTGCGGTCGCGCGTCGCCGTCGAGGCGCGACAGGTACCGGTTTAGTGCGTTGAACATGATCTGTGGACGGCTCTGTGCATCTGTAGTGTTGAAGGAGGTAGGCGATTTCTCGATCTACATGCGAGCTAAGCAGCTAAGGTACTAGGTACCGCCTATCAAGATCGTTTGGAAAGCTGTCATTAAGGTTCGCAGCTCAGCCTTACGCAATGGGTAACGGATAACGAGGTGCGGTGGTCAAAGCTTTTGCTGTAACTGGAGTGGATCTAGGTACTTCGTACCGAACTTCCATTGCACTTACCCCTGCTACTAGCCCCCTAACTTTAAGTTAGTTGGGTAGGTCCCTACCTACAGAGCCTTAGTAGATGCAAATCTTGTCTTTTCAACAACTTCACCATTTCAACGTTTTTCTTAATCTGCTGTTGTTAGCTCTCAAAAACCAAGAATTAATGAGATTGTATTCTTGTCACTTTAAATTGATTCTATTAGGCAACCCATGCATGCTGATCCAACTCTGTCAGGATGAAACAAGTCAAGAAGCTGCCTCTAACAAATGAATGCCATCACTGGACTCGTCTAGGTGAGGTTCCATGGGACTTACAGAAGTAAGCTAGATCACAATTCCTCCTGCCAACAATGACAAACTTACTTATGTGACCGAATCCTTTAGGTACTGGCAACAGAGATACACTATTTTCCCTTACTACAATGAGGGTATCTATATGACCGAAGCTGCTTGGTACGGTGTTACCCCTGAACCAGTTGCAAAGTGAGTTCCACATTTCTAATCCATCTAGACTCATGATCCTTCTTGCGTAACATCCCTACCCACCAGGTAGACACGAGTTAACAAGGTTCTAGCCAAATCGCATACGAACATGCTTCTATTATTAGTTCTACAAAGACCACAGTCATAGATCTATTTGCCGGCGTGGGAGCGAACGCCATCAGCCTTGCCCTAGCTACGACCCAGGACGGCATAACGCCCCGCTGGGAAAAGGTGATCGCTATCGAGCTAGACGCAGCCACTCTCGCCTGTGCCCAACATAACGCATCTCTGCATGGTGTGGCTGACAACATCATCTGGGTCTTAGGTGATAGCTTCAAATTCCTAGAGACTCTTCTACACTCCCCTGAAAAGCTTGAGAATGACTTGCAGGTGAACGTGGCCACCACTGCCTTGTTTGCATCTCCACCATGGGGCGGACCAGGCTATAGGACCGACGAGATCTTTGACCTAAGCACGATGGAACCCTATAACTTGGCCACGCTGCATGAAGCTTATAGAACCATGGATCACGCGCTTTACCTTCCACGTACAAGCGACCTCAGGCAAATCGCCAAACTGATTCCTGATGGGACAAAAATCGAAGTTGTCCAGTATTGTGTCGAAGGTGCAAGTAAAGCAATGGTTGCATACATACCTGCTGCTCAGGATGAAGATTCTCATATGGAGACATAACATTCACAAACTTCACTAAATCAATCATGCTAGCTGCGCAATTCTAATCGCCCATTCGAAATCTGGAACAAAAACCGTAAACGTTTATTTCATGCTTCATATAAGTTTGATGTACTACTCCCCGGAGTAAGGCCCGGTTGATACGAGCGATTGGGGCGTGTCGGGCGAGTTGGAGACTCTCCCAGAATATACCACTGACTCACTCTCGGTTCCTCAATCATCGAAGTTGCATTTCTGCTTCCCACTCTCTTTTCTAGCCCATCCTGAAGAAACCTCACAGGATGCGCGACAACTAAACCAGCAACAGCTTCGGCAACTAGAAGACTGTCGAGCCCTGCGAAGAGAGCCTGGTTCTTTGCGTTCCAACTATCCAACCCATCGCCCAGTATTATCACCTGATAGAGATCCCGTCCAAATAAGCATATGGCAGAAACTAACAGCATCGCCACGAAAAATTTAAACCTATATGCCATGGGGACAAAACCGTGTACCGGATGGAATGTCGTATATCCAAATTGACTATTCGCCATGGCAGCTCGCGACAATACAATGGCGAATAGAAATATGAAAATGATAAGAGTTATAGCTTGTACAGCGGTGCCGGCAGCAATGATAGGGCTGCCGATCTTAGCATTACGGCCGAGGCCTGTATCGACTGAGAGGTCTGAAAAGGAAATAATTATTCCGATAAGCTGGAGGACGAATCCAATGACATCCATCCAGATCAGGCGAGGATAGTGTGCAACGTCTATTAACGAATGTTCGATGCCGAGGATTTTAATAGCTTCGGGTATAGTGAAATATATGCTTTAGACTAGTCAGCGCATTTCTCAAAACCCGGACTCGAGTATAAGGGGGCGTATTCAACTTACGCTGCGGAGACAAAGACCGGCGCGACTATTATGAATGCCGTGGAGCCTGCGTATAAACCCACGTTCCAGGGGTTGATCGAACTTCCGAGCCTGACGGCATAGCCGATAGCTTCGAAAAGAGAGGCTATGGAGACTGGGATACTGAACACTAGCCATTTGTTTGTGTCGGCTACATAAAATGTGTAGAGCAGACAGGCGAGGATGGATCCGACGTGAATGAGCAAGAAGATGGTCTCCGCCGCCGCACTCGGTGGGTAGCCATAAGGAGATGCTGCAACCGGACAAGTCTCAAAATCGCACGAAGCAATCGATCTCATCGTGAATGAGATTGTGTCTGTCGGATACCCATATGGTAGACGTCTTAGGCCCTACAAAAACGACGTACGACGAGCAAGAGAAAGCATCAAGTGTACACCTAAGAGGAGAGGGAAAGGTGATGACACGGGTATATTAATATTTCGTAGATGTGCACAAAGGTACAGTTGGAAATCTAGGTCGGATAGATCGTAAGGGATCAACTTACCCTGAAGGGACTAGCACAGCCGGATGAGTCTATATCAAGGAGCCTCCCAGAAGACCAACGTTGCAACCACTATCAACCGTAAGGAGCTAGTTTTAAAGGCAGTCCTTTTATCCGAAACATCACCGTTGACGCCTAGAACTGCAATCCTACTGCAACATCGGGGGATTACTGAGGATCCCGATCTAGACTAAACCCTGCCGACGACGCCCGCTACAAACCGATGGCCCCAATATCTCTAGAGTAAGTCAATCAGGCGAATATCGCTTTTACGGAAGATCTGGGGAGCGGCCAGCCCAATCACAGGGAGTCAGAAGCTGTCAAGGGGTATGGAATAGGATTCTCCACCATCTTGCAGGAACCGCTTTGGGGTGGCTATGCCAAGTCTATTTTCAGGTGTGTGGTGCGTAACAGATTTGAGGCTGACAGCCACTCGGGGCTGCTACCGAATTCACTAGCTACAGCTTCCTAGCTGAGCGAGCCAGCTGAGGTAGGAATCTAAAATCCAAGTTGGCAAGATTCGACGAGATGTACCGACCCCAATACTGCTCTTTTTGCGCTTACATTGTCTCAATTGAAGGAGATATTGGCGAAATTATGAGAGAAATCATTTTCACATTGGCACTTGTATATCTCAGCTCACGAACTCTGACATTAGGCTACCAATTGCTGTGCCCCGGGTTGTCAATTGAGAGCTGACCGGCCCGAGACAGCATCCACAGTTATTTGTATTTCTAGAACAACGTATATGATAGGATCACACGATGACTATCCTACTTCCATTCGTCACGAAGTTAGTTATCGGATAAATTGGACAAATACGAATTTGGCTACTAATACTACCAACTAAGTACTTACATAAATTATCACTACACCAAGATAATCCTGTTTTCTCAATAGTCAGCTAACCATAGTGTAGGTTGACTATCTAGGTAGCCGTGGCTACGAAGTACCTTGACTCCCTGTCAGCTCACCGTCAGCAATATCTCACGACTTACAGTGCCGCAAGTATGCACGGCTTTGTGCACAAGGGCTTATGTCATTCAGGTCACATATTTGACTATTGATCTAAATAGTGGGTATCCGACAACCCCTTTTTCATTTCTCGTTCATCTATCGTCGCGGCAACACGTTATAATGATGCTTTATATACAAGATGTGCCTCACCTGATACACACATAGTCACCGAAGTGAAATATATGTGCGCCAACAGCTATCCGGAACACTAACGCGGGTCAATTCCCAGGCCGGCCTGAGCCCATGTTCCGCCAACTTATCCATTTGCTGTATGTACGCATCAGATGGTGGGCGGTATTCAAAGGCGGCCACGGGTTCCTGCATATTTCATTTGTACACTTAACAGTCTTGAAGTCTGGTAGGTACTTAATCTACTAGGCCCAGGCGCATCCCGGTGCGGAAAATCCTCGCCGCAGCTTACTGAGGTGGGCACGTGGCATGCACGTTTTGACGTTTTGAATAAGGGGTGCACTGGGGGTGGCCTACGTTCATCGTGGATGTGGCGTTCGACCCCTGGAAATAAGGCAGACTATGCATCGACCGGCCACCCTTGCCCCTATTTCGTACATGACCTACGGGAGTCGCCACTGACCCGCATAGGCTTTGCGGCGACCAGGAAATAGTACGCAATACTAAACTCTTCTGCCTATCATCTCTATTTCCGTTACGGTTCTCCAATATGGTGTGGTCGTTCCTTAACTTGACGGCACACGTCAATTGACTCGTCTTGGCAACGTGAGCAATAGCTCCAAAATAACCGGTGGTGAGCTGCCTGGGTTCTCGTTACGGATGCTGACGCAATTAATTAGTCTCGCGGTCTTTTGCCCTGGATAGAGTCATTTGCTGGTAGGAAAAGAGGCATATAATCTCAACGCCTTTCGGAAATGCTTTGCGGATATGTTGACGAAGGCAGGATATCCGAACTGGCAACTTTCCCTGTTATATCCACTATTCCCAGATATTGAAATTGAAAACTCAGCAATAGTCAAATGGCTAGCCGAAGTGTGGTGTCAGCAAGCTCGGCCTTGCATCAGCAGCTTAATTTAGGATCGTATGGGTCAAAGACCGGAATCACCCGCACGGTGAATCGCAATGACTTGCTTGCTAAGAACTTTGGTAAACTCTCAGCTGGCCCCCAGCTTGGGCTTATGGTTGTGAACACACCTGACCAATTTCCTTTTTCTATTGTCGAAAGCTCAGTTATAAGCATGTTATACTGTGGGCCTATCTCATTCTTCTACACCCTCTTCCATATCTTCCTCGCCTCTATCTAGCGCGGCACAGAGCCACGACAAGATATTTCATACACAAAGTACCTATGCCTAAAGTTTCAAGAACCCCCTTGCCAGGCTCCTAGAGAAAGGTTGGGTAAAAGAGGCCCGGTACCCATTTATATATTTGGATGCTGCGCTTTTACCGTGGCAAATACCTTAAGTGGGCGTAGAAACTTATCAATGCATATTGATTGCCTTCAGTATCATTAGAGACAGGATCGGGTGAAGTATTAACGTTAGGTTGAGTTCAGTCCTCAGAAATCCCTTCACGCTAATTGTATAATGTGTATCCGAAGATGGCTTCGTAACATACGGGATTCTTCTATTACAGACTAATGTAGCTTTGTATACCTATATATATGCAAATTTTTAGATATCTACACTTGTCGTCTCTCAAGCCTACTTTGCGGCTGAACTTGCTCATGGTGACCCAGACAAGCTCTGTGATACCTACCTCCTTTCTACTAAGCTATAGCTGGAAGAGGCGTGATGAGAGCATGCGAAGTGACACCAAATTCGTAAATATCCAAGAGGGATCTGAGTCATTACGTATTAAAATGCATAAGAAATATATGACCTAAGAAGTGTGATATTATTAGAATGGAAGGGTAATTTCAATTTCTAACAAATTCAAGCTTTTCTTTTCGTCCTTTTCTAGTAGCTAAAGTTACTTACTTAGTACTTACGTATATGCGATTATCTCCTCCCGATTTTCCAACTCCTTACCATTATTAAGCCAGCGCGCCATCTCCAACGCGTAAAAGGAACGTCCCTTTACCCCCCTATTACCCCAATTACCTTATGGTAATGTAGTCAAATAATATCTGATTATCTATTAAAAATATCCAAGGAACAGTCAAGTATAACATACCCGTAAACCATAGAATCCATTCAATTTAGACCCCCGGCCTCGTGAAGTCGTCCCCAGGGGGCCAGTTCCCAAGCATCCCGGGGTCTCCCCCGATCCTAACAAACGTGCCGACGGCCGGGACGCCGTCCTCGAGGACGAACATCTGGTACCAGCCCGGCGGGGCGATATTCACATTCGGCGGCGCCGTAACCGTACACGCCGTGCCGCCACAGCTGAAAGCCGGGAACAGCGTGCGCGCGCCCATCGAGTTGCCGTGGGTGCTGGACACGGCGCCGAGAAGCGAGACTTTCAGGGTCCCACCCGCGCTACTGCCGAGCTCGAAAGCGACGCTTTCGCCGTACCCCCAGTCTTTGTTCGCGACGGAGAAGGCCGGGCGCGACTTGCCGTTCAGCAGGTACGGTGGCGTGAACACCTCGACGCGGATCTCCTGCGGGTGCTTTCCGTCCTCGGGGTCCGAGCCCGTAATCAGCACGCGCCCGTCGAGCAGCGTGATGGCCTCGCTATGGTACAGGCGCGCGACGGTCGTGTTGGCCATGACGGACATGCGGGACCCGACGGGTTTTGTCGGGTCGTACAGCACCGCGTTGTAGTTCGGGTCGTCGGCGAGCCCGAACCCGGCTATGCCTTCGTGCGCGCCGTTGGCGATGAGGTACGTTCCGTCGGGCAGGGGCGCCATGCAGCTGAGTACGCGCTTGGAGGGCATGCGTTCGAGCGTCCATGTCGGGTTGGCGACTTCGGGGTACGTTGTCACGCAGTTGTCTATGGCGGAGTGGCCGGTGGTAGAGCCGCCGCAGATGAGGATGCCGAGAGGGTCGGTGTAGGGAGCGTACTGGGGAAGCAGGACAGATGTACCCTCGAGGGGGTAGGTCCGGCCACCCAGGTCGTCGTTGACGGCTCCAGGTAAGTTGGGCAGAGTCTTCACTGTGTTGAAGGTGACAGCGTCTAATATCCTAGCTTCGTTCCAGTACGAAACGAAAATACCACCGCCGGGAAGGGTTGCTAGGAACGGGTACAGGTTGTTTGGATCGGTACGCTCTAGCCAGTCCATGTAAAGGTAGGGGCCGACTTGAGGGAGAATTTCAAGAGTAGGTTCGGGTTTATCATTCGAGCCAATCTCTCCGCCCACGACTAGAATAGATCCATTCGTCATGACCATCGCGCTAGGATACCATCGTCCTCTCTGCAGTTTAAGCTCGTTCACATTTTCCTCCCAGTCGTTGGTTCCCGGCACGCCATCGGAGCCATCAGGGGCATATAGACGAATACCGTAGGTTGAGTCAAGGGACCAGCCACCTACGGTGAGCTGGCGTGCAGCCTTGTCAGGAAGGATCAGACCCGCGGAGCAGAATATATCCGTCTTTACGTGCATAGTCCTCCAAGCAGCGTCGAAATTCCCAAGCTGAGTAAGGTCAAGTTCGTATGCGCCTGTGCTATTTGCCGCACCGGTTCCCCATTTCTCCAGAAAAGTGACCTTACCAGTAATCGACTGCATAGTCATTAAAGGAGTGACAACACCACCGACTAAGTTGGAGTATGTGCCCGCATCGTTCCCCTGTGGGTAGTTAAACACGTAGAGAGGATTGTCCGTGTCAGTCCAATAGTATATCGAAAGACGCGCACCACCTCCACAGATCGCAGAAGCATCTCCAACACAAACGACATTGCAATCGCTTTCCGGCATTTTCATAGAACCCGAAGCATCGACATCCATTGGGTCGCCGCAATAGCACTCATCACCGTACTCCAAACCACCAGCAGCATAGCCGAAAGAAGCACACTTAGATAGACATTGTTCAGGGGTCATAGTACCGGGGAAGGTAAGTTGCCAGAAGAGAGTTCGCGCATTGTTGACGTTATCTTCATAACAGCCCTGATACGTCCAATTGGCGACATCAGTTTTCGGGGCAGGAGCTGAATATATAGGCGGCTTGCCATTTGAATAAATGCTTAGGTATCCGGGGCCACCGCACATTACACTGCTATCACCTCCACAAGGGGTTGAGCATTGGGTCGCATCGTTATCTGGCACTCCACCATTGTAGATAGCATTACTACAGAAGCACTGCGTATAGTACTCGGTACCGGATATATTATACCCGTTACTTGAGCAGACTTGCGCGCATTTCTGCGGTGTTAACGCCGGGTCGTCGGGGGCTTGGTAGGTCGGCATGATACGCCCATTAGGACCATCCTGCCAGCAGCCCTGATAGGTCCAACCATCGGGGAACCCAGTGGTCTCAGGTGTTGCTGGATCACTCCCCGTTGGGTCCGTACCGCTCGATGTGCTAGTAGTAGATGTCGAGATAGAAGTTCCATTTTTGATGTAGACAGACAATCGATTGCCAGCTCCGCAATATTCCGACTGATCTCCAGCGCAAAGCATGCTGCAGTCGCTCGCAGGAGCACTAACCGAACCCATCCCAAAATCATTACCACAATAGCACTCGCGAGCATACTCGACGCCGAAGTATGTCGTCGCTTTATCGCTGCAAAAAGCTTCGCAACTGTCTAATGTCATCCCATCGTCGGCGTAGGTGAAGAGACTCAACGCTCGTACATTAGTTGCTTCGGTCTGGCAGCCATACCAATTATAAGTACCTACGGTCGAAGGTTGTACAGGTGCGGTCGGAGTCGAAACTGCAGAGGAGGCGAGGGTTGTGCTAGTGGTCGGATCGACGACTGCGATTTTTGATGTAGCCGAGGTAACGATGATAGACGAGATGCTAGCCACCGTTATGCCAACGGTGGAAGACAACACTGCGGCAATAGAACTGGAGCTACTACTTTTGGGAAGAATATACTTCATATTGAAGTCGTAAACATTCAAGCGATTGGAACCGCCGCATACTTCTGACTTATTTCCCTGTGGTAGAGGTCAGCGACGTTTATTTACTAGGGTTAGTCGGGTGAGACTGGGTCACCGTGACATTTCTTCTGTGGGCCTCCAATGTCTGGGCCTGCGGATAGGCCTGAAGGGATCGTCAAAGTCATCAACGCTTTGAAGTTTCGAGAAGAGAAAAAAAAGTCGTCCATACATTACATGCCATATCGCAGCCATCTTCAGCTGGCGCAGCGCCATTTGAAATAGAGTTTCCACAATCTAGTCCAACGTAAGCCAATGTAACAATCTCACTCGAGTACATATCAAAAGGGGGCTCACAGCATTCATCACCATACTCTGTTCCGGCAAGTATGTAGCCAGCTACTTGACATGCGGCCGTGCAATTTTCCGCGTTCATCTGCGTACCCGGGACGGACGCACCATACGTCAAACCTCGGCCAGCAGTTCCCTCGCTAAGACTCTTTTAGATATGTATGACTTATGATAACCTATTGCTGACGAAACCTTGCGAGATCATAGTCACGCTAGTGGCGGAGAGCGAGAGGACTTACGAATAACAACCAATGTGTGTCCAGTTCGCGATACCAACATTGGGCTGAGGCCCTGTGATATATGGATTGAAGAACAGTGTCAACCGGTCAGGGCCACCACAAGCCTCGGTGGCGTTGCCTGAGCAACTCGTCGAGCATTCTGTTGAATCTGATACCTCTTCGGCCCCAGTGGCAAGCTCGCTCCCACAGTCTGATCGTCGTTAACATATCGAGAATCTTGCCTTGGGAAGATTGGGAGGCCTCACAGCATTCGTCGTGGTATTCAGCCCCAGCGTAGGCAAATCCACTGTTATCACAGAACTCAATACAAGCTTCTACTGTCATGTTGTCTGACGTGGTTGAGGCCGCATTGATCGTCCGACCAACATCCCTTATAGATAATCAGTATCACACCCATGGTCTCAAAGGTAATATGGCACCTACACATAACAACCGCTGTATTGCCATGTTCCATTCAGTTGGCTAGGGTCCGGGACCAATAATTGGGCCGAAGAAATGTGTACGGTGGCGAGAAACAAAAGGGAAGAAACGGTTGGGAGATGTTGAATAGGCCACATGATGGAAAACGTCCCCTTCAACAGCTTCAAACTCTACCCATGGACTCGAAGGAAGGATGTCAAGCTTGAGAGGGTAAGTAGGTATTGTATAACCCCTAGAGGTGTATAACATGGTAGGCAAGGGCATATATAATACCTGCCACAATACAAGGATACTAACGCCCATTCTCCTCAATAAAAGATCCGGCTGGTCCTCGTTGTAACCATGCAGAACAAGAAGGGTCAGCCCTCCCAGGACGGATACCGGGGTAAACAGCCGCAATCATACTATCGCTTGATAGCATTTTCATAAGATTGCGCATATAAGCCATGTCAACACTCGCTTAGATGGCGGATATTCCGGATCCCTGAATAGATGAGATAGATAGCAGTCGGCCTTTAGGAAATGTAGTAAAGGTTCGCCAAGGTCTAGACCGTGGGGAAAACTTTTTTGTTTCTTTTCTTCTCCCGGTCTGCTTCTGCTGACGAGAAGCCCTAATCTAGAAAGTGACATCGGTTTATGCTAGCCAGTCACTTGAGAGACTCGATTAAAAATATGCATACCCAAACCCCAAACCCGCCGAACTCACGGAAACTAGCCGATGGTGTGGGCGGGATCATCGATACGAAGTTCAGGGGGATAAAAGAGTGGGATCCCGCGTGGCAACAGGGGTAAGGTAAGTTATCTTATAAGTCTTTAAGATATAGTATACCTTCATGAGAGTGCGGATTGCCAGTTACCTTACCATGTGTATACCCCTTACCTGTCAAGGATGCCAATGTATTGCGTGCAGCTGTAGGGCTTTATACACCGATGTCTGTACCATTGCAAGACTGTCATGCTTAGAACCAGTTCGACGGTAATTTAGATGAAATGGCTTTGAACAGCGCGTTATTTCGTCAGCCGGCAGGCAAGTCGTCAATGACTAGGTAGGCTACACCAGCCTTAGCGAGCCAAGCCAGCCACTTAATATACACCATGCGCAAATGACTGCATCGTCACATTGGAAGAATCCCAAAACACTTTTCGATAACGTTGGTGGGTTTTCCGGATTCAGCTAGCTAATTAGATGCTGTACGTGTGTCAGCAATACAATTTGACTTCATCATACCGTGAGGAGATACGATACTAAATAGATGATACAGGTAGGTATTTCGAGTTAAAATGCCAAGGATCCAACTCTAGAAGCATAACATACCTAGCACCTAATATCATCAATAAACATAAAAAAGTCCGCTAGAACCCGACAAACACCATCCTAAGAGGTTGGTGAAGTTTCATGCGGTTGATGTCGGATTTTGCTGCAGTTTGAGTGAATCTAAGGCTCTGGTTGGTGTGTCCGTCAGGCGTGCATACGAGGTCTGCTGCATGTCCCTTGACGGTAAAATCTCTTCCCTATATCGCTCAAGCCAATCGCGATATAAATTGAAAGTTCTGCCAAGGGATCCTGCGCTGTAAGATAACTGCAACCGTAGCACCACACTGTCATGAGGTTGCCTTTTGCTGCTAAATTTGACCTCCGAAGGCCAACGCATTCATCGATCGCTAAACACTGCTAGGACTACTTCAAAGGCGAAGCCAGTATTACTCGATACGTATGGAGCAGATAGTGAGAGTCCTGCAGTGAGAGCGACAATAAAGTACTCCAAAAGGCGCGACGGGGCGAGGGGAGACGCCACAGTCGCCGGTAAGCTAGCAGCAACTATTTACTCTTGCAGATACGCGACTATTTGCATGATTAGCTTGTACCAAGATCCCCCTTTCAGCAGGTGAACCTGACGATCGACATCAGCTCTGAACTGATTGTTAAGTCAGGACTCCCGAAATGCACTCCAATAATGAGCTGCCGCTCCCGATAGGAATATTTCGAAGAATTGGATAAAATTTGTATAGATTAGCCGCCGGATACGGTAACAATGAAGCGGTCCATCCATCACGGTAAATCGGGCGTCTAATTGTCGAGACACTTATTTTAGTAGAGAAAAACACTTCCTTATCCATGTGACCTCTCCAAGTGATGGGTAAATGACCAAATGCATTAGCTAGATTCAGTTGAGATCCCTTGCATCGCTATAGGCACGTGACGTGCTTATGGTGTTTGAAGCCGCATAAAAGCTACTACGCTTCAGATGCATGCAGGTTAGCTAAGGTTGAAGTAGCCGAGTATAGGCGTAGGTGCCGTTTAAGATGGTGTTGTGGAAGGCAACAGCTGACGGCCGCAGAACTTGGTCTGTCGAGAAGGGCCGAAAACCCTCGAAGAGTTCAAGTCTAGGAGATGGCTTGCATTAACCACTCATAATCGATCGTCTATACTTAACGAGACTTGGGGTCAAGTCTGCTAGATAGAATAATACAATGTGGTAGTCTCGTGAGGTCCGCCGGTTTGATGCTATGTTGCAGGCAGGTCGATAATCCAGCTAGAAGGATTCGGTTGATTCTAAAGCCTTGCATATCAAGCACATGTAAATGCTTGGAGAAAACGGACCCCGTTTCGATGGCCTACTTTTCTCGATAAGAGCAGAGCAGATTTTTCAATTATCATCTTGTGAGTTGAATATGGTATCTTTTTCCTCTATGGCGTTGATAAATGCGAAGTACGTAAATTTAGATAAAAAGCTCCTCTCCATTTTTTTAAGAAAAAATTGAGAAGCTAGGTAATAACTTGCTAGAGAATTGAAATCATTCTTCAGATAGAAACCGATTCCTGCTATCATGGCATAAAAAATGAAATGATGGTTGAGGCTAGAACCTTGAAAGGATTGAAGGGTCTGAGGGTTGAAAGATGGAAAAAGGAACCTTGAACTATTAGCGAATTAGGTAAGGTCAAGGTCCCAGAAACGGGGGACGGTAGGTTCGCTCCGGGATCCAATTCTCCGGAATCCGCTAGCAGATAACGGATAGTGGATCAACAGCCCTGTAGCCGCAGGTGGTTACAGGGTCTTAACCCCTGCAGAAACAGACGGCTCTTGCTCATAGCGTTGACGACATGGTCATTTTGGCTCAAGTTGACTCAAGTTGACTCATACAGCTCATAGCACTAGGAATTATTGTAGCCTTGCATCAGTACATCTTCAACATTTTCATCGCCACAAAACAAATTCGTGAACTTACCCTCGAGGGAATCATTTGCTGCTACTTAACAACAACGGTCGCGTGAAATTTCTCTCATTCACCTTCTTTCTACTTCATTTCGTCTTGCTTTTCGTCTCACTTTCGTTCCGATTTTCCTTGTCACCGAAGCTCAACCGTTCAGTTCATTCATCCTTATTCAAATTCTTATATCGTCTAAAGTCGCTGTATTTCAAAAAGCGCATCATATAAACAATACGGCCATAACAACCATTACCACCATCACAACTAGCTCTTATCTTATTCCCGTCACAAACATACACATATTTATTTACCTTAGCATTTACAGACCAGACGGATGACAATGGCGGGCCCACAGGACTCAGAGACACCATCAGATTCACCAACAGCGACTCGCGGCAATCGGGCTAGGGGAGGTAGATCTTCTCGAGGCCCTGGGCGTCGTGGAGGTCGTCATAGCAGGCCTCAACGTGCCCAGCAAGTCCCTACGGGGGGCGAAGTACCGGCACCAGACAGCTCCTCTTCTCCATCTGTCATGGTTTCAAATCAGGACATTCGAGGTGGAAGAGGGCAAATAGGCACAAGGGGCACAAGGGGCACAAGGGGCACCAGGGGTTCAAGGAGGGGAGGCAATTCAACTACCCGAAGAACAACATTAGCTACACCACGAACATTCGGTGGTCACCTAACAACTAACACCGAGGTCGACGCTGAACAATCTGGCCCTGCAAATCAAGTAGGCTTAAATATTGGCGCACCAGAATTTATCCCAGGCCAACCGATACCTGAAAACAACAACAGCTCCGCTAACAAGAAGCAATCTAAGAGCACTGCTTCTCGAAAAGCCCCCAAGTCTACTGCCGATGACCTTTCTACGAGAATCCACGAGGATATAAAAAACGGCCAGTACGAATGCGTGATATGCACTAACGAGGTTCTCCCGAATTCGAACATCTGGTCTTGCGCTATTTGTTGGACTGTAGCTCATTTGGCCTGCGTTAAGAAATGGTTCGCCAATAGGGCAAAAACCGACGACGAAGAGCAAATCATCTGGAGGTGTCCTGGGTGCAACTCTACCCTGGACAAGCTGCCTGAGTATCATTGTTGGTGTGGTAAAGAGCCTAATCCTAAGTCGATACCTGGGCTCAATCCTCATAGTTGTGGGCAGCCCTGCTTGAAAAGTAGGAAAGGTTGCCTGCATCTCTGCAATCTCCCGTGTCATGCTGGACCCTGTCCGCCGTGCTTAGCTATGGGACCAACTCAGCCGTGCCGATGCGGCAGGCATACGTCTACGAAACTATGTAGCGACACGGATTACGAGAACCCTTGGAATTGTCACGAGATCTGCGGGGAGCCTCTCGCCTGCGGAGAGCACGTGTGTCAACAGGAATGCCACTCGGATTTCTGCGGCGATTGCGCGATTCCCGTGCTTTCTCTCTGCTTCTGCGGCCGAGAATCGAAGGAGGTCCCTTGCATTCAACGTATCGACAAACGACCGTCATACAACTATGGACAACTCAAAGATAGCCCTTTGAAGAATAACGACTTATCTGACGGTTGGTACTTGGGCTGTTTTAAGTGCGATTCCATTTGTGACAGAGCATTCGACTGCGGAAAGCACCATTGCGAAAAGGGCTGTCATCCTCAGGACGTGACTGAAGCACATTGCCCACTGTCTCCTGATACGGTCACCCACTGCCCGTGCGGTACAACACTACTAGCAGACTTTATGAAACAGCCTAGGAAGAATTGCGAAGATCCGATTCCTAGCTGCGGGAAAAAATGCAACAAGCCACTATCGTGTGATCATCGCTGCGAGGATGCATGCCACACAGGTCCCTGCAGACCGTGTACGCAGAGGATAGAGATTACTTGCAAATGCGGCCGAACGACGACGAAATCTGTCTGCCATCAAGGGAATCTCGAAAAACCTGAATGCATGAGAATCTGCCACGTGCAGCTGAACTGCGGGAGACACGAGCATAGCGAGCGTTGCTGCCCCGCAGAAAAGCAAGCGGCGGAGCGAGTGGCATTGAGGAAGAAAAGCAGCAGACACGGCGGCCACGCAAACGAGGAATTCGAACCGGAACATATCTGTCTTCGCGCTTGTGGACGATTGCTAAAATGCGGCAAACATCATTGTGAGCAGTTATGCCATAAAGGAGCGTGCGGTTCTTGCCCTGAAGCTATATTTGAAGAGATCAAATGTCATTGTGGTCGAACCGTCCTCCAGCCGCCACTCCCCTGCGGTACTCAGCCTCCACCATGCCGATTCGACTGCACTAGGCCTCGACCATGTGGGCACCCCCAGGTATCCCATAACTGCCACCTTGATGAAGAACCATGTCCAAAGTGCCCATTTCTCGTCGAGAAGTTTTGCGTCTGTGGGAAGAAAGCCCTCAAAAACCAACCTTGCTGGTTTGAAGAGCCACGTTGTGGTTTACCATGTGGTCGAAAACTCAAGTGCGGTGCTCACACATGTGAAAAGACATGTCATCGTCTAGGTGAATGCGAAGATGCCTCTATTGCAGGATCGCGATGTGGCCAACCTTGCGGGAAGATTCGGACGTGCGGCCATTCCGATGTCGAGCAGTGCCATGCTCCATACCCATGCAAGGAGGACAAACCATGCCAGGCAAAGACATTCATCACTTGCGAATGTCAACGTAGGAAGCAAGAAGTGAAGTGCATGGGAACTAAGAAGAACCCATCGCCCGATCGTGGAACACTTACATGCGATGATGAGTGTCTCCGATTGAAGCGAAATGCTCTCTTAGCAGACGCGCTTAACATCGATCCGCAAACTCACACCGATGACCATGTCCCTTATTCCGAGACCACCCTTAATTTCTATAGGGAATACCCCCAATTCGCGCAGACGTACGAACGAGAATTTCGAGTGTTTGCCACCGATCCGGAGCAAAAGTTGCTTAGACTCAAGCCAATGAAGTCACATCAACGAGCCTTTATCCATTCGCTAGCCGAAGATTTCGGGTTCGATAGCCAAAGCGCGGATCCAGAACCTCATCGACACGTCTGTCTCTTCAAGACTCCCCGATTTGTATCAGCCCCAATGAAGACGGTGGCGCAATGCTTGAAGAGTAGGCCTTCACAACCAACTCCATCTGCACAGTCGACATCAAGTGGAGAGAGCCTTCTAGGTAAGCAGCCCTTTAACGCGCTACTTCTATCCGCGCCAAAGTTCGGGTTAACTATCGAAGAGTTGGACTCTGCCCTTAAGAAACAGTACGCTGCCTTTCCGAATATCAAGTTCGAGACGGCTTTTCTACCCGACTCGATTATCATCAAGGGATCTGGGTCATGGCGACCACAAGATCTCGAGTCTACTATGTCAGCACTTAAACCTGACATACTACATACAGTCACAAGCCTAGGATACGCCGAGGGCGTTACTCTCTGTCAAGTTGATAACAACTTGAAGGTGTTACGAAACGAGAAGGAAGCGAAGCAGAGTCGAGGCACTGACGATAAGGGCTGGAGTGCCGTTATTCGCCGTTCTTCTCGCCCCAACCCTAGTGCCACCCCGGCTTCCAAGCCACTAGCAGTGCGCAACACGTTCATCGCCCTGAAGAAGAAGACACCGAAGAAAGAGGAGAAGAAACCTGTGGAGGAGGAAGTTGAAGATTGGGAAGAGGCGGCGGAGAAGTTGGGCGACGACTAGTAAGAACTTTACCACTCTACTTATTCTAAGGCATAGCCGAGGCGTTTTGCGTAGCACGGCATGTTGCATATGATTCAAGGGAAGGCCACGGTTGACGGTCATGATTAATTGCTTTGCTTTGCTTGTGCTGGAAGGTGACGGAGGGGAGTGTTCGACTACGAGCGGTCGAACGGTATTGCATCAGATCCTCAATGGACTGCAATTTTTTGGTAAATAGGGAAATCCTATAGTAACACGTTGACTTTCAAATCATACTATGTCAGTGGAAGGTGCTATAAGCATCGACACTATAAAGCTCGTGATTAAATATTTTGTTCGTGCATTACGACGCTTGATAAAAGCTCTTGTCTTCACTACCGGGTGAGGGGGGTATCTGGTAATAGTCACAGCAATAGTCTCCAGGGGTGAACATAATGTCAGCCCGCGCGTTCATAACTAAGCCATTTAGACCTGATTGGCTGTCGAGGTGGATATTATCACCCCCCAGGGCAATTGCATCCCCCATATAAGGGTTATTCAGGAAGAAATAGCCACCGTAGGGACAGTATCACCTTTAGTTACAACGATTGTAAATTCAACATAATGTCAATTAGGTGACTCTGTCAGGTTTAGTAATTATTACTAGGTCTAAGGGAGGAAAAAAAGAAAAAGAAAAGGCCCTTGCAGGCAATTGAATGTAGGGTCTTGGAGTTGTATTTATACCTACTAATAGAGTGCAAATCATGGTTGAAAAGTTAGTTTTTATAATCATTTAAACTACCTACTACTATTGAATTACGAGATTTACTACTAGACTACAAGACTACTAGAGATTACAGTTTAAAAATTATTAAGCACAAACTTTATAAGTTTTATATATAAGGTCTATTCGGGGAAACTAGGTTAATCTCTAGATCCTTTAACTGACATTGTGTCAAGTCCTAACATACTATTTTAGGCCTTGACACAGTTGCTAGGGCAGGTAATAAATACAACCTGACAGCATCGCAGTCATAATGGCCACCTTAAAATACCGTCAATTGAAACAGGATTATAAGTCCATACAATAGTATCAATACAGTGATTATAGCAGTCAGACTGTTGATCCTTAGTAAGGATTATAAAAAGTGGTGATTAAGTTAGGGTGTTGAAAGGTTTGCTGTGATAATGTCTAGATACCCCCCCCTCCCGGTAGTGTTGTCAAGGAGAATAGGGGCTATCGGATATAAGCAAGTCGCTACTTGCCTACTTGCATAGCAAACCCCCCCCCCCTTCTCTTACTAAGCAACTGCCCCATCGTAAAAGTCCAACGATCGTCATAACGCATGGACCCTTACAAGCTTCTCACCGTCCAACCTCCCCAACTTCAAACCCCAGCCTTCAAACAAAGATGAACAACTTCGGCGTAATCGAGCTCGCGACCGCGAAAACAACCCACGCACCAGGATGGGCGTACGTCCCGGACACGGCGCCCAGCCTATCCGCCTCCGCCGCGGCGATCCAGCCCGGCGGGCACCGCAAGCGCGCGGCGCGCAACCAGCACGCGGCCAGCACGAGCGCGCTGTACGCCGACGCCGACGCGCGTCAAGAGGCGAAGCTGCGTCGCGAGATCGAGGCCCTGGATAGGGATAACTACGGGCGCGACGCGAGCATACCGATAGCCACCAAGAGCGGCGGGGGGGCAGCGAAGGCGAGCGTTAAGAAGCATACCCCCAACGTGAGGAAGATCCTGCAGTCCCAGAAGACGTTCGCGAACCACCTTGATGACTTCGATGCGCTGAGCCCTGCGGATAGGGCTGCTGCGATGGGGCACGGGGTGGTGGCGGGAATCGGGACGGGGGCGGGGACGGGGCAGGGAGGAGGGGGGAAGAAGGGGGTGGGTGAGAAGGAGAAGGAGAAGGAGAAAGAGAGGGAAAAGGAGAAAGGGAAGGGTAGGAGACGGAATAAATCGACCTCCCGATCCGCGTCGGTGTCGAAAGCCCCGCCCGCAGCAGCCGTAAAGCAAGAAGACAACGATATAGAAATGCTCGACGCGCCGGCGTCCGACCCAGCCAACCCCAACCCCGACCCATCCTCCTCCTCTCTCCCACAGCACCACCAACACCCACGCAGCGCGATCCTAACCCCCCTCCCAGCCTCAGGCTACCCGCCCCCGCACCCGCTCGACACCGACCCCCTCATAATCTCGCGCGTGCCGCCGCTGCCCACCGACGAAGAGCTAAAAGCGCTGATGCGCGCGCCGCCGCTGACGTACGCGGAGGCGCGGGGGCGCTGGACCAACGCCGACGACGGGGAGGAGAGCGGCGGCGCCCGCTGGAGGTACCCCGCGCGCGCGTTCTGCGAGGTGTGCGGGTACTGGGGCCGCGTGCGGTGCCTGAAGTGCGGGGCGCGCGCTTGCGCGCTCGAGTGCCTTGAGACGCATCGCGAGGAGTGCGTTACTAGGTATGGGATATGAGGGCCTGCCTAGGTACTTACGGTGCTCGAAGGGAGGGGGTGTGTTTGGCTAGGGGGAAAAGGACGTATAATCATAACATAACAAGGGGTGGAGGGAGGGAGTTTATGGAGTCTGGTAATAGGGGGTTACGTACGCCTACGTAGGGAAAAGTCATTATTAACGAGAAAGATACCCAGTCACAATAGAGATGGAATCAGCACCCGAGATAGGTAGTCACAGTCAAGTTGGGAGATATATACAGCTTCGATTGTACTGTCTTATCAAAGCCCCAATTCTAGCCAGGGAAGGCTATGGTCTTTTTATACAAAATTTTTGTCAAAAACGACAACGCACCCATGGGATCCTTTCGAACCCGCCAAACGCCCCCCGTTTCCAGAGTCCCGAGTCCCGCCTGGGTATGAAACCCATCATACATGACACACGCCGACGTTACCCGGTCATACATTCTATTTCATCTCGTTTTTTTGTATCTCTAAGTTGGAAGGAGATGTGTGATCTCGGTGAAGAGAGAGGAAGAGGCTATCTCACGACGACGGCGAGTCGAGCGTGAAATCTACGTTGCCTGTCGAGGCGCCACCTGCGCACGTTCCGCTCATGCTACCGGTGGGACATATGGCCCTGGCCGCGCGCACGCACTGCTCCCACCGGCCCTTGGAGATGTTGATCGTGGCGCCGGCCGTCGCGGCCTTTAGCGTGAACTGAGCGCTGCCCGATGTGCCTGTGGTAGTCTCGGGATTGCCACCACACTTCTCAATCGTGCCAGCGATGCCGCCGCAGATGGCTAGCTCGGCTACGTTTTGGTCATGAAAGACAATGTTGCTGCTCGTGGGTTAGTCACATGCAAAACATACATAAGAGCCTAAAGGGGTACCTACGTGTTCTTGTCGATACAGGTCACGTCCGACACCGCGGCCGCGTTCACGGATGTCGAGGCTCGTAACGCCAGGACTTCCAGATGTGTGTTGTCTACCGAGAAGCGAGGCCATACCGGACCAGCTAAGGAGAGACTTGCGCTCGCGAGAAGGAGGGACTGGAGTAAAGTGGCTGAATGCATCTTTGGCGTTTGAAGACTCGGGTCTGTCAAAGAACGAGAGATATGGGGATCTGGTGAAGAAAAAAAAAAGGAGACTCAAGAGTCTTTATAAAGAACGGAGAAATAGACGACTAGGTCTAGAATGTCTTTTTCGAAATGAACGTGTCCTGCACAAGAAAAAAGATCGGCCGTAGGTGAGTAAGGCGAGGCGTAACCTAGAAATAGAAAATAGAATCGAAGATATAGAAAAGAATTGGGATGGAGAGGGCTTAAGAGGGGGATGGGACGAAAAAGATGAACATGATCGCCCGGCCACGACGGATACCCGTCCATGCGTAACGTCTGAACGTCTTGAATCTCGAAAGAATCCTAGCATAAAGAAGGATCCTTGTTAGCGGCCCTGGACGGCCGCGGGCGGAGAACCCTTGACCCCGGTATCGAGGCCCAGTTACTGGTTCGCCGATCCATCTGCGACGACCTTCCCTTGGGACCTTACAGCTGGGGTGGAGGCGATGGCGTTCAGAAGTGCTTACTTCCAAACATTGGCTGTTTTCGAAATAGGAGTGCGCTGTGCGACCAATGGTATTGCAGCATGCTGCGGAACTACGCCTTACCTGTCCTGCCTGTCTTTGCTAACCGAGCGACTTAAGACACGTTCAAACTACCTAGTTCGCTTAGGCACGATTCGTAAACGGCATGATTCTGAAGGATAATAGATGCATAGAATTAGACGGCGACACGACGGCCAGCTTAGCTATTCAACGTCTCTATTTAGCATTGAGAGCGGGAGATCTCTCCCTCTCAGACTATATCTGGTAAGTGCTGGAGATCATATGAATGACTTCCCTGCGTCGCTCCGCGTGGGAAGATGCGAAAGTCGACGATGTTAGTGGGGGCGCCCCTTAGATGTGAAACGGTAGCGCCTCTTGATACAGGGGTAATTGGTCATAACAACTTGTCCTGAGCAGCCCTGAGTAACCACAGATCGGACCACGCTTAACTTTGTTTCAATGTTTCAAAGGCCTTCGGACGGCGGACGATAGTACCGAATCCGCCAACCCGCCAATTCAATTTATGTACTGCGATGTATACAGTACAAATGCACAGTATTTTGAATAATTATTACTGTATTTCTGAGCTTACAGGGGCTATAGCGCTGAAGAGCGCTAAAGAGCGCTATAAATTACAGCGTGCTATAGCGCACATTCTCGTTATCACAGCGCCCTTAAATCCTACCTAGGTAATTAATCCTTAAATCAGTTCAAGGGTCAATTGAATAGTCAATTGGACAGTCAATTCAACAGTCAATTGAGCAGTCAATTGAACAGTTATTTCAACAGCTCCTTAATAAGTTCAATGATTACTGTTCAAAGGTCAGCCCCAAGGTGACACGTGACTTAAGACACTCAACGTATGGCACATGACTAGTGTCACGTGACCTCTCTTGCTTTGAATTACCTACTATCCAATACCTTCATACTTACCTTTTATACAACGTATTTTGACCAGGTTTGAACCTAGCTAATTGATTAATCAATTTGATTAAATAATTGATCAATTGAATCGCTTTTAAGTTGCAAATGTTTATTTAGGCCTAGCGAATAGCCAGGTGAAGCTTGCAATTCAATTGAATGAATTAATCCCCTATAAATTATAAGGAGCTACGCGCTATAGCCCCTGTAAGCTCAGAAATACAGTAATAATTATTCAAAATACTGTGCATTTGTACTGTATACATCGCAGTACATAAATTGAATTGGCGGGTTGGCGGATTCGGTACTATCGTCCGCCGTCCTTCGAGCTCCGATAGGTTCGGGTTTCTCTTACCCCTTTCAGAAGTTCGCATTGGTTGGCAATGCGTGACGACCCAGAGCAAGCCACTACCACTATCGTAACCTCCTGCACGCGTGGCTGACGACACCATATATAATAGCAGTAACTAGAAAAAGATTAGACGATGGCGGCTCAGAATGCGGAGTAAGACCGAGTAACGATGGGGTAACAAACCTAGCTCTTCTAAAAAAACCCCAATGGATTACGTACAACATGGCTGTTCTACGAAGAGCATAACCGACACGTAAGAAGAGTCGACTATGCTCTTGGATAAATTTGGCATGCATATTCGGGGGCTACGCGGCTTTGCGATGGCCGCACACTCCGCAAAGTGCTGAGTCGCCGGCGTTCAGATAAACGGTATCTCGACAAGTTGGACCTGTGCACTTCCAGGTATTCGACACCTTGCTAGGATCCAGGACGTGGGAGCAGACGCAACAAATGTGAGCTCCCGGGCCATTGTCGAACGAGCACATGACGCAAACACCCGTGGCCGAATTTGTCGACTGGTTATCACGGACCGAATTCTTGACATTACTCAGCCCTTTTGGATGTTTATTTTCGGCACTTCGCTTTGAGTCTCCATTTGAACCATTCTCGGGATCCTTCCGGTCAACCGGTTGTTGTGCTTGAGGTTCACTTTCCACCAATGTAAAATCATGCTTCTTAGGCCTGTCAGGCTTCCATTTGATGGTACTTTGGAAGAGTTCTCTCAACTCATTCCGTGCATCTTCGTCCTTGGTATTCTCATCCTCGCACACCTTGATCAAGCCGTGACCCTTATTGTCAAAAAGCCGTCGCCCATCGATATCTGTGGCGGTTTCGTCCTCGGTATCGCTAACAGACTCTGAGCCGCTGTCATCTTCTGTCTTGATGTCAATCTCCTCCTTCTTTGTCTCCTCTACTTTCTTCTGCTGGTCAAATCGCGCAAGAGCTGCGGCCGCCCGAAGTTCTCGACCGCGCTTGCTTGCTGCCACACGGGGCTTTCCCTGAGGTTTCTTGCCCTTCTCCAATTCAACTTTTACCTCTTCGTCCTCGCCGAGAGCAACCCCGTTGGCACCGAACTTCTTCAAGATTCGCCGCTCTTTTCTCTCTTTGTAAGTCGGCTGTTTCTTTGCCCTTCGCTTCCGTCCTCTGGAACGATAGGTGCCTCCGCAGAGGTGCTCTGGCAGGTCCTTATCCGAAAGCACTGTGTCCTTCACAAACTCGCCAGTTTCTAAATTCATGCCTTTTCCCCATAGCCCCTCGCCGGTATAGCCGCGGGACCATAAACCTCTCATTTGGTCTGCATAGTTATTTCTGACTGCCCAGAAGGCCTTAGAATGGTTCATCTGCTTGCAATGTGCTAGTCTTGTTGAGCTTGTTAGTATATGAATGTAGGGATGCTTCCACCGGAACATACCTACTCATGCATCATAACCATCTGGACATAGGTGAACGGCAGCCATTGTCCGGTTGAGACCGACTTCAGCACTAATTGTATAACTTCACCTGCATTAAAATTGCGGCCGACAAACTCTCGGTTTGGTTCATATTCTTCTAAGGACGTGACCAAAATATGATTTTCTCTCATTACCGGCACTAACAGAAGTTAAACAATAAATTCGAATATCATTATTTATGATGACTTAGATAATCATCATGGGAATGAGTTGACGCTTACAGCATTGCGCCGCGATCAGTTCCAAGTATTTCTGCCCGGTCTCTTGGTCAGGTCCTGCGAGAGGTTTGATAAATACGATGCGCTCGTTTGGTTGCGATTTCCTCGCATTTAGACGTTCAAATCCGAGAGGCATCGTGACATTGAGTTGGGATTTAAATATTAGAACTGGTCTCAGACCTAAGGTGAATTGCAGGGGAATGAATACAAAAAAGAATGATGCGACGTCCAAATGAGCTTTAGGAGCCGCACCGCGATGACCTCCTGTACTGAGTTCAAGTTTAACGAAGGAAATTCAATTCACGACGATCAAGGTGGGTTGAGACGGCGTGTTCAATTTCCAGTGATAATGAAGTTCAAGAAGTTGTTCAGGTCCAGAACCAGAAATGCGGCGGGTTTGTTATCGGTGTTAGAGGGCAGTTACACTGTACACCCCGCTAATTCACTATCAATTTCAGCAGTCTAGGATTTCCATATGCCCCTTTATTTACTTTCCCGAATTTCCAGGCTTTAGGTATATATGCCTAAGGTACTAGGTGAATATCTGATTATTTGATAATATATATGATGAGTTTATCTATGAACAGATAAATTCTATATTCACCTACGCTGTTCAAAATCTGTAATCCGACGTTATCATCGTCTTCGGCCAACACCACCACCGGCTCCCGAATCACCTTTGTCGGCCAGAGAAACGACTTCACCAATACCGGCAGCTTCCTGCTCATCTTCAAGAGCAGTAATCTCCTCGCGGCAGTCCCACCACTTTTCTTCACTAAGCTCAAATGCCTTTGTCTTAATCTCCTTGATTGTCAGGCTTTCAGGTGGAATGTTCTTCCATCTCAGATTTGTCATCAGGATTTCTTGCCACTCATTCGAGGTACGATTGAAGAAGTCCCTTCTAGACTCGAAAGGCTGCAACAGGTTAGTCATATAGTAGATAATAATGAGAATATAATAACATACCCGTGGATGTGGTAGCCCATCATCGACAGTAGTTGTAACTGTATCAGCTTCCGACATAGCATCCCACGTAGAAGACTCCGCAGTAGTTGTGGTATCAGCTATCGATACCTCGTCTATCTGTTTCTTCTTGCGTTTGCTTGGGGATAGAAGAGCTTCTGGCTCTTCATAGCTCATATCGATATCACCTTCTTCATCCTCCTCGTCATCTTCGTCCTCGTCTTCTTCATCCTCGTCCTCATCTTCGTCGTCGGAGCCCTGTAACAGTGTCAGAATTAGAACAACCGAGTTCCTTCCAAGAGTAATGATATAATGAGAATAGGAAGTACTTACAACCCAAGTATCATCCTCTCTCTTAAATATCTGTTTGCAGCCGTCCATCTTCCCTAGATCAATAGCATATAGATCGTCAAACGTATATTCTCGGTCTTTTGCTTCGTATGTACCACCGTAAATGTACAATACATCGTCTTGGACTGCCAACTGGGCGTTAAATCGCGGATGAGGGAACTCCATAGATACTGGCATATCTCTGACAGGCTTTTCTGGTTCTTCAGGCTCCTGCCCGGCTTTGAGGTCGACTTCCATGTCATCTGCGTCATCTAGAGACGAACCGGCCTGGAGAGCTGCGAGTTGTTTCAGCAACTCTTCTTCATTTGCTTGAGCTCTTCCACGTCTTCCAACCCTCTGCTCCTGTGGTGGAACTTTCTTTTGGGTCCTCGCTTTACGGAGTGCCAATGGAAAGAATCGGTTCCTTTCGATATTCCATGCGTAAAGCTGATTGAAGAACTCACTTTCCATACCTTCTTCACTCTGCTCGACGTCATGCACTCCACCGAAAAGGAGACCACGACCTCTATGGTAGGCCATAGTTGCTCCAGCACGAGAAGGGTTAGGTGTGTTTGCAGGCTTCTTCCGCTTCTCCCATCTCACATTCGGTGGCGTGTTTGGCGGTGAGTCCGCAGCAGGTTGAGTTATCCGCAAGAAAAAGCAATCCTCGTGTACCAATGGTTTCATAATATTCCTTTGGCCTTGAGATGCACCTTTAGCAGATTTATTTGCCGATACCGTTGTCTTCACCCTTGAGTAGCCGCCAAATAGTACGGCGCCTTGCTCGTGAGGGAGAAATGTAAAGGATGACCTGGCGTCAGGTTTCAGTTGTGCTTGTGGAAGTGTAGGACTATGCCAAAAGAAGTTCTAAACACCGATATTAGTATAAACCAGTACGCATAAAGTATGGGAAATAATTAGTTACCTGTGTATCATATAACCATAGATCATTTAGATATTTCGTTTGATTCGAGGTATCTTGGAAGCCTTTAGCTTGATGTTAGTTTGGTGTATCACCACTTGTCATTATTGATATCGTCCGTATCACGTACCACCAAAGAGGATAATATAATTCTTATAATAAGTCATACGATGGCCACTCCTAGCCGGTGGGCTCTTGCCCTTAACTTCTATGCGTGTCCATTCTCGGGAACCAGGTTCAAGTCTCCAGAAATCATTATAATGATAGAATGTGCCCTGTTTGGGACTGTAGAAGTGATAGGGCGTTAGTACAAGGCCTAGCTCGTTGATTGTTTAACACAATGGCATTATATAACGGACCTGCTAAACTCGCCACCAAATAGGAAGACCGAATCTTTCTGGTTTCCCCCTCTACACCACGCATGGCCGGATCGTGGGAGGGGAGCATTTGGCGATGTCACACAATGCCACTCATCTCTGTCTGTATAGTAGATATTAAGATCATTGTAGAAACTTGCAAGGGCTCCATTCCAAGTCTCCCCACCAAATAACAAAAGTTGGTTACTATTGGAAGGAGAGGCTAGAAAGGTAGAGGATGACCGAGCTTTTGGCGGTTCTTCAGAGACAGTCTCCGTGACCTTGACAAACTCTTCCTGGGCTTTCTTATACTCGGCAAGAACCGCATCTAGGTCGACGTCTTCGGCATCGCTCCCATCGAGTTTCGAAGCTTTGGCCTTTTCTTTTTTCTGGGCCTTCTTCTCTTGCTTTTGCTTCTTCTCGGCGAGCTTAGCCTTTTTGCCTGCGTTCGCCTTCTTGTCTTTTGCCATGACGCAATAATCTTACAGGTGTAACCTGCATAGATACCTATGGAGGGTATCCTTAACTTGATTTAGCCTTGTTATTTATTGAAGTATGAGAGAGTCTATAAGAGTTTATATGAGGGAAACTTCATCGAGTGGGACCACTGAAAGCCCCTCCCCCGCACTAGAAAGATCTATTTCCTTAACTGGCGAGTAACCTTTGAGCCTTTGAACTTAAACGTTGGTTGGTACACCAAATCATCCTGGGCAATTTTCATAGGGCAGTTTCGACCCCAAAAAGCCATCGTGGAGAAAGATTGTAACGCCATCAGCGCATTAGCGAAGTTTCGCTTATCAGGAAGTAGTTTAAACTTCGAGGTGAGCGGGAAATCTTCATCTCATCGTGAACCTTTTACAACTACAAAACTACCACAAACTACCAACTACTTGCTGCATACGACCTTGTTAGTTTTTCACCGACCGAAGACTTCTCGGAACCTCCACGCGTCGCACATGATAGCTTTTCAATTAGGCAATTGAATTTTAATTTCACCCACTTTTCTTTTCGCCCTTTTCCCTGCGAAATGGTCCGATATTCAACGCATTTATACTGGTATTTGCATCCACTAAGGGGACGTTAGTGACTCTGTTCGGCCGCGTTCCGTATTAGAAAAAATACCGCGAACTAGCTCCACTCTGCAACATCAAGTTCACTCACGACAGCATCGAAATGTTTTAGCAATAGATTGGCTTGGGTTTCGTCGCTCTCGTTTACTGCTGTCGTGCGTGATTGCCAACTCCAGATCACCTCTAATCAATCGACGTTGGATTTGGGGTTCCAGGTTTCGGCCTATAATCACCCTTTCTATCTGCCTTCTTCGACTTAACTGCAAACATGGCAACCACAGGAATAGAGACCATGGCGACGGAACCCTCGCAAACTCCCATCCGGCAGAAATCAGCTGTAATGCAGTCTGTGGAGGACATCATTTATGGATCCGTAAGCCTTTTCCCAACAAACTACTTCTAGCGCCTTCTAACAACGCCAGATCGCTGGTATCGTGGGTAAATATATCGAATATCCTTTCGACACCGTCAAGGTCAGATTGCAGTCTCAACCTGACCATCTCCCCCTTCGCTATACGGGACCACTTGATTGCTTTCGGCAATCCATTAGAGCCGATGGGTTCCTGGGGCTTTATCGTGGAATAAGCGCGCCGCTTTTCGGAGCAGCCGCCGAGACAAGTAGCCTTTTCTTCTTTGAGCGCATAGGACGTGAGGCGGTATATGCGTCTGGATATTGTTCGCGGGATCGAGTGCTCCCGCTTTCGGCGCTGTGGTTTACGGGCGCATTTTCTGGAGCGTTCACCTCTGTTGTCCTCACCCCCATCGAACTCGTAAAATGCAAGATCCAAGTACCTGCATCGGCCGATGGATCGACGCCAAAAGCTCCGACCGTGACGTCTGTCATTCGCGACGTGTACAAGCATGAAGGCGTAAAGGGCTTCTGGCGTGGACAGATGGGCACATTCTTTCGAGAGTCTGGTGGCTGCGCCGCTTGGTTTGGCTCTAAGGAGACAGTAACCAAGATGTTTTACCTTCTCAACGAGAAGAATGCCAAATCGCAACTGGAAAAGGATGCGTTAGCGACGGAAGCTTTGCCATTGTGGCAACAAGCCGTAGCTGGCGCCTCTGCTGGCATGTCATACAATTTTTTGTTCTTCCCGGCTGATACCATCAAGTCTCGCATGCAGACTTCACCTGTTGGCGGCTCCGGTCAAAATACAACCTTTTGGCAAGAGGGAAAGGCTCTGTGGAATCAACGTGGAATCAAGGGTCTCTATCGTGGATGCGGAATCACAGTGCTTCGGTCAGCGCCCAGCTCGGCCTTTATCTTCATCGTTTTTGACGGCCTAAAGCGGTACCTACCGATGTGAACGGCATTCGTCGTGATGGTTTTTGGATGAGATACCAAGATGCGCTGACTTAGGATAGAAGGAAATAAACGGATTAAGCGGGGGCATTGGCGTTGACATCTCATTTATTCCTGACTTTATATTTGAGTTGCTATAGATCTACTGAGTTATGATTGTGGTATCTCATGTGCTGCTCTTTAGCTAAGTGAGTAGTGATGTTCTTATGGGAAGTCATGAGGATGGCGAGAATTTATCCTTGCGGCAGCCTCAACTTTCGATCGCTTATACCCAAAGCTAGGAAACTTTTGGAACGCATCGAACGCGACTCAAAATTAGCGTTGACTCATGACTTTTTGGCTAATTTGGCTTCGGAAATATCCCAGTTATTCAGATATCCCACTCCGCCTGTCAGGTACGTCGCAAACGCAAGCCAGGCCATGTGTGGTACTTGACACCAACCCGCCAGGTTGTCGACTGAAAAGTACAAATACGTCAGGTACCCATTGAGACCGGTAAGTAGCACAATATTAGCTGCCGCAAGATCCACTCGACGCATCCCAAAGAACAGGGGCATCCACAGCATATTCATACCCAGCTGTACTGTATACAGGGCTCCCATCTGGTCTGGCGAGGCAAGGGCAGATGGGGCCGCGGTCACAGCGCGGTGAGATGCGTAGCCCATCAACCCATAAAGAAGCGTCCAGACGGGACCGAAGACTTGGGCTGGTGGACTCAATGGCGGTTGCTTGAACGCACGATACGTGGTCTGTGACTTCTTGACTGTTGCTCCGTGTTAGGAATATATGCTTACAAGGTGAGAGTACTGAGAACAACAGGCAAACATACCCCCAGAACTGAGACCTGCCGTTGTGCCCAATGCAATTGGTAACAAGATCGAGGCTGCCGGGTTCGCGAATACATTATATGGGATTGAGATGAGAGAAGGGATAGAGGTAGTCATTTTGAGGGATGAGCTGCCCGTGGTAACGCACTCGTGGGCTTGGGGGAATTCTGATTCGAAATGCCGCGGTTTCAGACAATATCCATGGATGTTGAATAGTTAGAATTCGATATCTGTTAAAATGAACACCTACACACTTAAGAATGGAGGTTTGAGTTGGTGACGTAGGTCAATCTCTAAAATCGACTGTGGGGCGATCCAGCGCCGAAACTAAGATTTCACCATCAGCTATTCCCTAGACCGTCACTAACCCCCTTGCAATTATTTGCAAGATGAGAGGCTTTACAGACTATCATCCATATTGGAACGCATATAATAGTTATTTTTATTGATACCTCTGCTTGTACATGATCATTATAAACGCACTGCCCCTGCATATAGACTCAACTATACATAGACAGGTATACAATCATACTTTGTTTCATTCGTAATCCCTTGACCTTTTTTTTGAAAGGCTTTTGTGACTATAGTTTCAATACCTGATATAAGTGGTTTCTCAGCGCACAACCGTAAGAGTTAAATATCCCCGACGAGACATGTTCAGCAGCGTGGTGTTGGATAGGGGGTATCAGGTGACCACTTATACATGCTTCTTATATGTAGTATGACTATATACCAAGCGTTTTTAACTGAGTTGAACCAATCAAGCCTTTTAATAGCAGTTAAACATGAGTTATGACAATAAAAATAGATATTCAACAGATCTATGTCGGTTAATTATTCCGGTATTTGAAAAGTTCTTGTACAACTCATCGATATAAGCATAATTCTGATTAGAGACATGGCTCCGCTAACTACAGAACCAACCTTGAACGGCCCCAGATCGCCCTAAGACCCGTGTGGAACTAGTGACCAATTCGGAATCATAGATGCCGAGTGAACAGCCACTGTAATGTTTGTTTGCAGGCTGGTACTTACTTGGTAGCCGAAACTTACTCTCTTCCAACTTTCTCATCACTCCTACAAAACACCAACAGTGGATATCCTGGATATTACATTGGGACATCGCGCCCTCTAGGAGCATCTGCCATCATCTTTCCAGTTCGTCTATCCTATTTTCCCCAAATCTTCCTTATATTCCTTATATCCCTTATTTTCGAATGTCCATTCAAGCACCTGTTCCCCGTCTCTCCTCTTCCTCTTCACGACCGCTCCCTTCCAGATCTTCCAGATATTCCAGATATTCCAGATCCTCACCGATCTCATCTCCCTATACCTCTACCTATACCTATTAATCTACCACCCGCTTTTCATATCAATAGTACCCTCTCACAAAAGCCACAAAGCCGTGACAATGACAAACTTTTTATATCTTCCTTGCCACTTTCGGTTTGCTTATTGCAGAGCTCACGCTCTTACCCATGCTCAGCTTCTCAATTTGGCTTGCCAATAACATCACATCAACCCTCACTCTTGCTATACTTGCCTTCTATTCTTCTTCTCATTGCTCTTCCCAAACATTGTCAAGATGGTTTCTCTAACAGCAATCGCCTTACCAAACAATAGGCAACGAATTTATTCGCAAGCAATCGGCAATACCTCATATCGTGTGTCGTCCAACCGCCTTCGATCCCTACATATACGCCACTACGATCGCATTTAATCTACTAGCGCTAGATTTTCCAAATAATTAGCTCTGCGACATAAGAAAGCCGACCGATTAACGCGTCCGATGTGCGCTGTGTCATCATAAATAGGCAATATGGACTCATACTCGTATCGCGATGCCTCTGGCCGCTCTCCTCCCGATCGTGGTTGGAGCAGCCGTGACGACCGCGGCAAAGACGAGACTCGCGACAGTTTCTATCGCGGCCGCTCGCCTGGTGCGTTTCATACCATCTCTTTCGACTTGCCTCGTCTTTATGCTACGTTACCTGTTAGATGGGCCCTTTCTGGGGTTTCCCTACTCTCGTTTTATGTTCGCTACTTATGGTGGCAGTCTTATTCAACTTGGCTTATGGACGTCGACTAACTATGATAGGCCATGACCGAAGTCGACGCAATCGATCGCGTTCCCCTCCACCTGTCGATAGATACGAGCCGAGAGGCCGTGGTAGAGACGACTACGCTGGGACTCGCGATCGAGACGATCGACGACGTATCAATTCACCCCCGGCGAATATTGATCGCTACGTTCCTGGTCAGAGCGGTGGCAATCCAGCACCCCAGCCTACTGTTAACCCCTTGACTGATCCGGTCAAGTTGCCTTTCCAAGTTGGATTCTCGTATTTTGGCGAATGGTGGAGAACCAATGAGAAGATCAAGGAGGAGAAAGAGCGCGTACGTACTGGTCGTAGACGTGAGCCTGAGCGACCACGTGGTAGAGAAACTCAAGAAGATCGGGACAAGGAGAAGGCGAAAATCCAAGCTGCATATGATGCATATAAGGAAGAGCTTCAAGCAAAGATGGCGAGGACTTTTGTCGCCGAACACAAGAAAGAGCAATGGTTTCGTGAGCGTTATGTTCCTGAAGTCCGGGACGCCTTGCGTAAGCAGATGAACGAATTCCGCCGTGGCGCATACAGCCAATGGGAGCAGGATTTAGAATCTGGCACATTTGACGAGTTTTCTCTTGAAGGAATCCCCAAGAGCGAAAGTAATGGCCTTGGCGGAGTAGTCGAAAAGGAAGAAGGTGAGGCAACGGCTGCCAATGAAGTCCTAGGAGTTGGCGATCTAGTTCCTGCAAACGGTAGTGATCTCCGAGATGAGAATTTGTATCAGCCTACTCTTCTGATCAAAACCATCGCGCCGCACGTCAGTCGCCAAAATTTGGAGTCTTTCTGTAAAGAACACCTTGGCGAGGAAGAAGGCGGTTTCAAATGGCTGTCATTAAGCGACCCTAATCCTAGTAAGCGATATCACCGTATGGGATGGGTCATGCTACATCCTTCGTCTGAGACGGCAGCGCCTGTTGAACGTGCGGACCCAAAGGACGATGATGAGATGGATGATGCCAAAGCCGAATCACCCGTCGCAACATCTACCGCTGATAAGGCTCTTGAAGCTATCAATGGAAAAACAGTGAAGGACGAGGTGCGAGGCGACTTTGTATGCCATGTCGGCGTCCACAACCCACCGAGCAACCCGCGTAAGAAGGCGTTATGGGATCTTTTCTCCGCGCCTGAGAGAATTGAAAAAGATCTCAGTCTCGCTCAACGTCTTGTTAATAAATTTGAGGAGGATTTTGGTTCCGACTTCAACGCTACTCTCAAGATTGAAGAAAGAGTAGAGACTTTACGAAGTGCTGGAAGTCTCCAACCGGCGATCCCCGTGGCAACACCAACGTCGGCAAAGAAGTCTAAGAAGGAGCGAAATCTTGATTTTGACGACGCGATGGACGAGGGAGAAGAAGGCGAAATGGGCGAGTCTGACGAAGAAGGCGCCGTTGACGATGAGGTTGACGATGAAGACCTATTAGTAAAGAAGAAGCAGCTCGACCTCATGATCGAGTATCTTCGCAGAGTCTTCAACTTTTGTTTCTTCTGCGTTTTTGAGAGCGATTCCATTCATGAGTTGACGAGAAAATGTCCTGGAGGCCATCTTCGCCGACCTCGCAGTACTCTGTCGTCTGCTGCCAAGAATGTTGCTCGCGCCAGCGCTAGCGGAGATCCTTTCCCATCGAAGAAGCCGAAGGAGGCCAAAGAAGAGGAAGAAGGCGAAATGCCTGAGCCGGACCGCAAGTTCCGCAACGCCTCCAAATCTGAGCAGCAACTGGAGCGAGCTTACAAGTGGGTCAAGACTTTTGAGGATAAGATTATGCAACTCCTCGAGCCCGAGTCAGTGGACGTTCGAAAACTTGGTGGTAAACCAACTGAGGACGCACTCAATGACGAGTTATCCAAGTTTGTGAAGCAAGAAGACGAACACAAATGGAGATGTAAGGTTCCCGAGTGCACAAAACTCTTCAAGGAGGATCACTTCTGGAAGAAGCATGTCGAAAAACGCCACACCGATTGGCTTGACAGTATGAAGCAAGAGGTAATTGTCTACTACCCAACAATCGGTGAATACGGCTAATAATGAATATAGTTCGATCTTATCAACGCATACGTGCTAGATCCCGCACATATTGCGCCCTCTAGAACAGATGCCAATAGTAATGGCCATTTCCCACCTTCTAATGGTCAGACCCAGCAAGGCACGCCACGTGGATTCAACCTCCAGAATTTCACGATGAACAATATGGTCCCGCCATTCCCTGGTTTTCCGGGTATTCCGCCGATGCCTACTCTTTTTGCTGGCGGTCACGGTGTGCAAGCCGCCGGCTGGAACGCCGGGGGTGAGGAACGCGGAACCGGTCCTATTCGCCGCGGCGGCGCCAACTCCGGACGCTTCCAGAACCGCTCCGGACCTTACGATCGCCGCCAACAGCAGGGACGTTGGGGCCAGGATGGTCAGGGCGCAGGACGTGGACGAGGAGGTGCTGGTCGATGGGGCGACGGAGCCGCTGGCGGAGCAGCGGTCGGCCCACGCGAAGCAGTCCAGGGCCGTAGCCTAAAGAGCTATGAAGATTTAGACCACGTCGCAGGTGGCGGCGGCGGCGAGTTAAATTACTAAAAAAATTTATGCTCTCCAGGTTTCTCTACACTCACGGTTCAATTTTCCCTAAAGATTTCAGACCCACATACAGGTTGTCAGGTCATGACACACGGGCCATGAGAGGGATATCGCGATTGTACCATATCACTGCATTGCATTGACTTTGCCTCCTTAAGGCACTTTCGGAAATCTTGAGGGCTACGGTCTCTAGCTAGTTACTCTTTCAGGTCTCTTGCGCGTTTGACGGCTGATTACTTCTGCTTGTACAATACCTACCAAAAAATGACTTAATGGAATTTGAATTCTCTGACTTTCGTCCCTTCTCAGATCCTCATTTTAACAAGTGATAGCATGATTACGTTTGCCAAGTTAAGCTAGGCGTATATTACATAGTTCGGCACACGTCGCCCGACAGAACGGGCAGGAACGCTAACCTAACACCGTACATGCATGCGAGCTGCGGAATATCGACTACGACGATGTAACGGCGTCTGCGAACTCAACAGGGTTTCCTTCGGAGCCGAGAGTTCCCCCCTTTTTTTTTCTAAGATCGCCTTAGTCCTAGTCCTGCTTACATGTCCTTAGGATTATGTCTAGATACATATAGGTATAGATGAGTCGGCGATCTTCTCACCGTCGGTATTATAAGCCATTTTATAGGGGTTGGAAGGAAGGAAAGGGATACAGAGTTGCTCATGCAGAAGTCGCGGAAAGGAAAATGGATAAACCTTGGCGCTGACAAGACGCAACGCAACGCAGGCGCAGCGGCGGCGGCGGATGATGGTGGTGGTGGTGGTGGTGTAGTATGGAACTTCAGTTCGGGTGTAGTATATAGCGGTATGGCGGTGTACAGCCCGCGCATCTACGGCGAACTCTACCGTAGCGGCAGTGGGTACTCTTGTCTCAGTTATCGGCGAGCGGAGGAACCTTACTGGTTTTGGAATATGTGGATGTAGGCACGGGCAACGTACGTGCGTTGATCGGGGTTATATAAGGCAGAGCTATATAATATTGCTAGTCTATGCAGTTAGGTTCGTGATGTTATGAGTTCGCCGAGAATGCTGCGGGAATCTACACTTCCAACCGTTTGGGACGGGCCGGTAGGCAGCATGCGATAAATCAAATATAATCACATTATTTCTAAAGTTGTGTGACATCCGTACGGGTGGTAAGTGTACGCATAAACTGTCCAATATATATGAGAAATCTGCATGACATACACTCTATGCGGGCTTCTGATAAAAAAGGGGAGATGAATGGGTTAGGTATGCCCATTAGGTTGCCGACACAGCACGCTTATACGCTGACCGTCCCCCGCTCTTCTATTCCAGCGACTCCTCTATTGGTTGCGATGCCGGAGGCCGACGTTGCACGGCGGACGCATATGGTACATTGATAGCTACGTCCGCAAAGGGGGCATATAAATATATTCGATCGGCGACTCCGGATCGTGACTTCGCCCTTATGCGTATTATTGCCCGACTTCACATGCCCATTTCGCAAGAATCGCTGATCCTTTCCGGTATTCGATGAATCTATGCTTATTAAAACAAGTATCTTCAGTATACATGCATCCGGCTGACACTCCCGAAAATTGATATCGATTCGGCAGGTACGCGTGCCGTAGTGTTGCTTCCCTCGGGTTTTCCTCGAGCTGAAACGGATCTCGGCAGACTAACTTGTTGTGACTAGAGGAATTCATGATCGTACTTCCGTCTTTGACGATAAAGCAGAACAGCGATAGAATGGTCGGTCGCGACTATTATTCGGGTATACGAAGGTAAGTTCTTTTTGGACATTATCGTTTTGGCTGTCGTAATAGGGGGATACATCCGACAAAATGCCTATCCCTTTTCATCGATATATCGATTACCTTAGAACCACACCGACGCCCATCCCCCCAGCAAACATCGCTGCCACGGTAACGAAGCTGGACACAGAAAGGAGAGAGATTCCACTGATTCCGTGGCCGGACGTACAGCCACCCGCCATCCTGGATCCGAGTGCGAGGAACACTCCGCCGAGGACAGCTCTGGCAGGTCCGATAGTAATTTCGGATACCTTTTGCGTAGATGGTGACGCCAGAGAAACGGCTAGAGCCCCGGCTACTATGCCTGCAGTAAGAACAATGGCGCTGTACGACTTCGGCCTAACTCCTCGCCCTATTACCCACAAGAAATAGTCGCCGACCTCTTCGAAGGAACCTGATGTGCCAATGAGGGATCTTCGTGTCACGATAGAGACTAGTTGTGCCCCGGCAATCAAGAGGCCTCCCATCACTGAGCCCACCAAGCCATCAGACTTCGGGGAAGCTAGATGGACTATTGCTGCGACGACACCCGTGAACAAAATTTCGATAACGATGAGGGCGCTCGTCTGGCTTGTCCCTATCAACTCATCTATGGTCAGGCGACGATTTTCAATACCAGCTGCCTCCTGGGCCGGCTTTTCTCGGCTACGGAGAGCTGGTCGCAGGAGACCTGACCAAATCACACCCCCGAGTATTGCTCCGCCCAGTGTATAGAAGCCAGATCGAACTCCAGCCCCGACTTGGGCGAAGACGGTCCCTGGACAAGAGCCAGAGACGGCCAAGCCGGTGCCTAAGAGCAAGCCCCCTATTATGTTTCCGTCGAGGGGCCCGAATATGTTGAGTGTCGAATAGTTCCGGGGCTTTAAGTGAAGGTAACCAAGTCGTTGGAGGATAGTGACGAGAAGCCTAACTTAGGAGTCAACTACTTTTCTTCAAGGAATTGACAATTATCTTGCAACGTAGGGAAATCTGATCTTACGTGCTGGTACCAGAAGCAGTCAAGAACGTGGCGACCATGTGCCAGTTCTGAAGGCTCATTTGCTCAATGATTACATCTGGTGGATACATAGCTGCCGCTGTCAGGGCAGCGCCAAAGGCGGCTCCGGACACATAAGGTGTAAACATCTTGAGTAATAATGTGACAATCTTTTAGGTTGGATGAAAAGGGGAGATGACTGAGAAAGGTTGGGGGGTCGTTTAGCCACGAGTTTAAGTCTTTGAGCCTTTGTGGCAGGGCATTATACTTTAGTCATCTTGTAATTGTCAATCGCCGAGGCAAATTCACCTTGAAGTCCGTCTTCATTAGACAGTTCCCCTGCTTAAGTCGGTTTTCCTGGGAAAGAGACCCGCAACCCTAATATAGACGGGTACCAAACAGGTGGGAATTTTGGGAAATTGCTCTTATCCACGTCTCGTCTGCCGACGTAGGGCCTAAGGCGATCTCAACGGTCGGCGAAGCTAGTGAGGCAGCGTCCGTACCTTATGTTATGCCATGCCAGGTCACGTTAAGTTGATATCCCGTTTCTCTTCCCTGCCTAAGAAGATTGTGACAGGACCGTCATCATCTTAGATGCGATTCGTTGGAATCTCCCGACCGTCCTGTATTCCATTTTGGATTGAGTATGCTACGCTGGACCTCAGGGGAAGAGCGGATTGGTTGCGCGAGGGGAGCTTCTATACGACTTCGAAATCGAAATCCTGCATGCAGCAGGCCCTAATCCTCGAACATCGCATCGCTCGAACGTTGTTGTGAAACACTAGGATTTAAGCCCCAGATCCTGTCCGGAAATTTCCTTAAGGCTGACGAGTAGACGGCGATCAAAGAAAGTACAGGGCTTCGGGGATCTCGCATGAATCTTATCCGTGCGCCTCGCCGAACTGCGTGGGGACCTCGTGGCGATATTATGGGTCTTTGGCTTTCAACCGAGTCATATAATCTCCCGTTTTTAAAGCTTGGAAATCACCCATAATTCGTCTTTATATGCTTTGTCTGCGGCGTACGGTTCGTGAAGGGGTCAGAGGGACGTTTTCCACGCCCACGGACTTGTCATTCGCCCACGTTGGTGGCTGACAGGATTCCCCTTAGATCGGTCACAATATTCTTAGGTCATCGGTCACCGGCATTATGCAACCACTGGGAACTTTGGGAATAAAGCTAAATAATGTCCCAAAGACCTGGAACCACGCTGCCATGGCCGATACCACTGGATACACGTGCTAAAATAGTTCGAAGCGACTACCTACATAGGCAGTTCGGTAGAGCCACATTTTGCCCTTGCTTCCACGTCTAGTTACTAGTTAGTGAAATGTCACCATTGAATCGACGATCACTGCCATGGCTGAGCTCGATGTGGTGCCATATGATGGCCATCTGCGGGAGGCGTATCGGAAAATAAACTCGGTTAGTCTTAGGTGTCACCCTTCTTTCAGGGTGGCAGAGTGGTAGTAGGATTCAGGTTTTCCATCGTTATTCTTTCGGTACCATAACCGAACACAAGCGAAGGACATATGGTTTCAACGGAATTAGAACCAGTCTTTGTCTTGACTTCGTAATTAGTAAGACGAATTAGTGAGGATTTTGTTTTTTTTTAGAAGTAGGTTCGCCGAATTAGATCATCAATTTTCATGGTAGGATTGTAGTTGTAAGAAGCAATCTTCAGATGGTTTACCCAGGTACCTTATGTAGGTATTCATGAGCAAATAAAACTACTAGGTAAATCATTAAACCCCAAATTCGTTATCGTAGGTGCACCTTGTTAAGTGAAGAAGGGAAAGTACTCCTCACAAAAATACATGTACCTACACAAGTTACAGATTCTGTAGTGAATCTGCATAATGCATAATCAGACTTATGACGGCCAAGGTTAGCAGTACCGAGGTTGTATAATATTGCGGGGAGAAATTACCCCAGAAACGTTGTGCGACGTCCGGTAGCTGACAAATGAGAGCATCATAAGTGGAACCCCGTAACCTCAATCGTAAAGGGGTATAAGTGAGGCATTCAATTAACCTGGATTGTATAGGCATATATTCTCAATAATATCATGACCACATGTTCCAATTGACTTCGCCCAAGATGCCACGGTCTCTAACCATCAAGAAAGTCGACGGCAAGCCCGGCCAGGTTTACTACCCGTGAGCTCCCTTTCCGCTTCCCCCCCCTTTTTTACCCCCTCCTCTCTACAAACTTCCCGACTACTAGGTCCCAAAACTCACACATCACACACCCAGCCTCCAACTAAACCAAACCCCCAAGCCCACCCCAGGGCCCAAGGAACTGCTCATCCGGGTCCACTCCGCCGCCCTCAACCACCGAGACTTCTTCATCCGGCAGGCGCTGTACCCAGGCATCTCCTTCACCACCCCCTTACTCGCCGACGGCTTCGGCAGCGTCGTCGAGGCTCCCTCGGCGCCGGACCTGGTCGGGAAGCGCGTCGTCCTGACCCCCTCGTGGGGCTGGGCCGCCTCGCCCGACGGACCCGAGGACTACGCGCGGTACGGCGTGATCGGCGGCGCGGCGCCGTGGCCAGCCGGCACAGCGCAGGACTACGTCGTCGTGCCCGAGGACGAGGTAGAGCTCGCGCCCGCGCACCTGACACCCCACGAGGCCGCCGCTTTACCCCTCGTCGGCGTGACCGCCTGGCGCGCCCTCGTGACGAAGGGGCTGAGCGGCGACGCGGGCTCTGCTGCTGGTAAGAACGTCCTGGTGACTGGCATCGGGGGCGGCGTGGCGCTGGCCGCGCTGCAGTTCGGTGTTGCGCTGGGGTGCAAGGTATACGTGACCTCGGGCTCGGCGGCCAAGCTCGAGCGCGCGAGGGAGCTGGGCGCCGCGGGCGGGGTGTCGTATAAGGAGGCCGGATGGGAGAAGCAGCTCCTAGCGCAACTACCCGCGTCGCGGCCGTACCTCGACGTCGTGGTCGACGGCGCGGGCGGGGACATAGTGTCCAAGGCCGTGAAGCTGTTGCGCCCGGGGGGTGTGATATCGGTCTACGGGATGACCGTGGGTCCGAAGATGGACTGGACGATGCAGGCCGTGATGAAGAACATCGAGCTCCGGGGCAGCACTATGGGTTCGCGGGCCGAGTTCCGGGATATGGTCGCGTTTGTGCGGGAGCATAAGATAAGGCCGGTCGTGAGCCGTGTTGTAAAGGGGTTGGATAATATTGAGGCGATCGACGGCTTATTCGATGACATGAAAAATGGGAAGCAGTTCGGCAAGCTCGTCATCGAGATCTCCTTGCCTGATGACGAGGCAGAGGCAAAGCTTTAGATAGCGATTAGCGCGATGAACACGATGGGAATTTCATGACGGAAACCTAGGAATAATGCGCAGGATGTAAGAAATTGGACATAGATCATGAAGAATTAACCCAAGTAGACTCAAAAAAATGGATCACCGAACTAGCTTTGCATTTCTTATTTTGTTTATGCTACCCCGCCCATCAATCTCTACCCGGATCGCGTCTTGCCAGACCCCGGGTTGTTCGTCGGGGCAACTCGTAATAATACCTAATAGTACACTGACGAGACATTCTCCTAGCCAGTAGAAATCGGGTTCCACAGTAGGCCACACACTTCCTTAACTAACCTCCCTCGACAGCGGCAACCTCGATACTTTGGATTGGTTCAATGTGAGAAACTGATCTTGACCCTGGATAACCACTCGCTCCTTTGCCTCCATTGCACCTGGGTTTCATCCCTATCAGACAAGCGGGCTCGAAAAAAAGGATCCTCTCGCCAAACGCCGGCCCCCTTCCCTATCGTTATAGATATGCCGAAACCCGATCATGCCAGAGCGTTAGTAAGGTACTGAAATTAGTCGATTCTGGCTCTCTTCACGCCTCGCCATCCGACCGACCGTGGCCCTGTGCGTTGCCACTCTTTAAGTTTGGAGAAAGACTAATAGCGATCTTTCTTGGGCCACCCCCAGCATCACGAGCACCAGAGACGCTCTTTTTCTTCCTGAGGATGCCGGAGACGGCGGAGGAATTGGAGCTGGCTGAGGTGCTATTCCGACGTTTGTGCTGGACCATCTTGCTTAAGTCGTCCTCCTCGTCCTCTTCGCGCCGTCTTTTTTCAGACAAACGTTCTAATGGAGGGGCGACACTTCTCGGGCTTTGACCCGTCCTTCTTAGCCCACCATCTTGCCTATCTTCTTCTGCCGAAAGCGCCCCGGCTTCCAGATTTTCGTCTCCCTCTTCATCCGATGCATAATCAACTAGTGGCTTCGCGTTTGGTGAACCCCCGTTCATGGATGCTCGGTTTCCAGGTTTTCCTTGCATGTCTTCTTCCTCATCATCAGAAGTATTCCAATATTCCTCCTCGGCTTGGTCCATAGCAAGGTGTTCCATTAAAGCCCCAGTCTTTGGATTGATGATGTTTTGCCGTTTCCTGGGTTCATCATCAACTTCTATGAAATAGTCCATGCTCACGCTGAATCCTCCGGTCTGATCATACCGGATCAACATGGCCCTAAACAGATCCAAGTAGGCAAGTGCCTGCACTTTATCACGGTAATTCTCGACAATGTGTTTCACCAGTTCCTTGATATTATCTTCCTTCCTGATGAATTCGAAGAACTCCAAACACGCAGAACTAAGCAGATTGTCCCTCGGCATAGTTTCAATAAGGACATCCAGGATTGGGCCGATGACCTTCTTCTCCGACACATGTTTGATATAAAATTCGTCTTGCAGGCCAATGAGCTGACGAAGGAACCGGATGGCAACTATAGATGAATTAGCATCGAAATAGAACTATCAACCACTAAAAACCTACCAAGTTTCAGGAATTTCTCTGGACAGCCTAGAAGTTGGCTGATGCGCACGACAATATCGTTATTTAAGACGAAAAATTTGCTACGATGTTGATGTTGCCGGATGAAAAAGCAAAGGATCTCGATCAGATATGTGAACATCGACGCTTGCTGGACTGTGAATTCCATGGTGGTTCTGCCCTTTAAATTAAGTAAGGGCTTGAACAGCTTGCCGGCCGAAAATTCGTAGAAGCTGTTCAGAAGATGATCCTGTTGCGGATCTGCGGTCGGCGCTATTCTAGACGCAGCCCTAACACCATATTCGCCGTTCGCTTTCGTATACGTTTCTTGTTGAGGCGGCGGGCCCTGATCAAGAAGTACCTTCAATGCATCAGATATTTGCGATTTGACACCCAGATCGACCTCTACTAAAAGCAAATCGATCAACGAGTCCGTCAGAGGCGGTTGTTGTTCTGAAAGCTGCCGGTATATCATGGCTCGGATCATCTGCGGATCGTGATCAATCATCGATACCAATATGTCGGTAGCACCAACTCGGACCGCCACATCGCCGTGTCGCAAGCCAAAGTTAATAACTTGAAGAAGGCCATGGGCGAGGAAGTTGTTATACAGAGTCTGGCGAGCCGGAGGTTGCAGGTTTTTGGCAATTCCACAACACTGCTGGATGAAAAGTACCGCTTCTTTCTTACGCTTCGGGTCGGGTAGGGGCGACTTGAATATGTTAAATAGCTCGGCCAAGAAAATCCCATTGGATTGTAGATGTTGTACGATATCGACCTGGTTGAAGAAGATGAGCGAATTCAAGACGGAAAACGTATTATCGTCTAGGATTCGTGCCAACACGACATCTTTCAGGTATTGGAGCCGATACGTTTGATGGATCTTTTTCAATATCTGGGAATCTTCAATACGCACGACCTCCTTATATCTACCTTCGCCCTCTAACCATTGACGGTGGTTTGCTTTATGACTAGGAAAGTCCGGGTCGTATTCCAACGCGCCCACGACGCCAATCACGCACTCGTCCGATACGGCATGTTCTATAATACTCGTATCGTTGAGAAGGGTGACGATCTTCATAATGTTACAGAGACGATGGAGGTCGTTGAGGCTTTCGAGGTCCTCCGCATCAGAAACCAATGGAATCAGCTTGCCGATAAAATTCTCGGTTAGTACGTATTTTGTGAGGGCATCGCGGCCATTAGCTGTTCCGCTAAACCCGCGCATTTGCGATTCGATCTCGGCAAGGTTAGCCATCGAAGCTGGTGGAAGGGAGATAGGATTTGGCATTTCCATGGTGAGATCTTCAGATAGGCTGTCTTCTACTAGGACTAGATTAGCGGCTTTCCATGCCAATGGAGGCCAATGACGATATACCTGGTGCATTCATGGAATGGCATTGTTGCTGAATGCTATTAATGAACTTCCTACGATATCGTCAGTTACTTCTTTTTGAAAGGTACCTCAGGTGGTTGATTGAAGATTACGGCGAGTCGTACCATATGATAGCGCAGCCCTCGGCTTCCTGAAAACTAAGGGCCATATCCACGCCACTAGTCGGTTCGGTCCAGACGATCAGAGTTTCTAGGAATGACAGTTAACGATTACGCAGCTCCTGACTGGGTTATTGTTGGTTCCTCAACGCACCCTGCTGTTTATGAAAGCCATCTTCTTTACAAATTCTTGTCTCTAGTAATACACGATCAGGTTGATCCTCGGACTCTACGATTACTCGCGGCTCTCGTTGCTGGCCATCTTCAGACTGCGAACATTGATCGCGTTAGCAGTTATAGGATGATAGGAGGGTTTGTAGAAATTTTAATAGAAAAAATTGCGACGATAGAATATCGTCTGCGCAAGGCGCGTCGCGATTTTTCGGAGCGCTTACAATATTGAAGGCGGCAGTACAGAAGCCGGTACCACGGTCAAACCAGTCATTGTTGCGCAGCTCATAAACCTTGACTCGTTTCTTGTCCGTCGACAGATGAGGCACAGGCTGTGCCGCCATCGTCAACGGTGTATCAGATTCGGTGTCGATAGCCAGGCGATTATACTGCAGAAGGTCCGGTGCAAGAGCCAGATGCTGTTGAATGGATAATTCGGTATCGGTCTGGGTGATCGCAGCCACTTTTTCTCGATATTGGCGCGCTAATTGACGGGCGCGCACGCGACAAAAGAATAGGCCGAGGGGTGGAAGACGACGAGGATGGCTATCAAATAAAAAAAGGCACGAGCGGGCCGAGAGAAAGACAAGGTGTAGCGCGCGGTTGATTACGGACAGGCAGAGATGGGGCTCTGTGGCTCGTGTTGTGTGGATGATGGATGGGATTGCGGGATTGCGGTTTGGGATGAGTGAGGCGACGTGAGATGTAAATGTCGAGAAGTCGGGCTAGGCAAGGCAGCCAGGGCAAGATTGTCCCTCCGTGCGACAGGGTCTAGATTGGATTTTGTCTGGAGACTGCCTTAACCAATTCTGACTGGTCTGACTGATGACTAGGGCGGTTTAGTGAGTACGGTTCACTTTGGGGGGCGTGCTTAGATCGGGTTGTGACGTATTTTAAGCGAAGCGCGAAAAGACGTAAGATACCAACGATGCCAACGGATTGGCGATGGCGACACCGGCGAGATATAGAAAGATAATCTTATAACTGCCAGCTGCAATTAGATAATTCATTAATTACCCATGAGAATCATAAACTCCTCCAAAGCCACGACGGATATTTGCCTACTAAGGAGAGGTTGGCGACAGGTAAGTATCAAAGTTGGTAGGTTCTTCAATTTGTCGGGAATTTTTGGACACTCTCGGATTGCTAAGATGGACGGGCTTTCTGGTCTGTGCTTTCGCGCTTTAAAAATGGGTCCTTACCCATGTACTTGAGGGTACTTAGATAGATCCGCACAGGCACATTTAATATCCGTGTTAAATACTAGGGTGAGATGTAATGACATGTACCTAGTATATACTTAGAAACATTGAAAGTCTTGGCAGAGGGGGATTTGGTCATACCTCCTATAATTATATCATTCATGTAAACTTAACCACTTTGTAAACTTCATCCATGGATATGGATATTTCATTGCCCAACACAACACAGCACAACACAACTCGACTGTACTGCCTAAGTGCGTACCTAGGTAGGAACCATTTACGAATTAAACTTAGGAAACTTACGTACACGAGTACCTAGGTATAACTGGTTGACAAACACCCGATGCGAACTAACTCGTCACCCTTGCTTGTTGGCGCCGGCAGTGGCTACTTACACACGTAGGTATGTAGGTATGTAATTTATATACAGAATCCTATCACAACATGCCAAGCGCAACCCACGTGCGCTGAGAGACAGCTTTTTCAGAGTTGCGTTCTTATATTCGGCGGTGAAAGGGGAGATTCATCCCAACTTAATGAGGGCAACTTTCATCTTTAAACCTCAATACATAAAGCTGGCTTTTCAAACCCGATAGAAAGCTCATACAACGAATCTGGAGGTATAACAAATCAGAAATTAGAATTCCGATACTTACTTGAGTTAAATCAAAAACAATTCTCAGATACTCCATAAACTCGAATAGCAGATCCAACGCACCAGCAATCCAAGGCCTGACATTATACCATCGACTGCCCAGTTTTGCAGAAACCTGCGACGGTCACTTGCCAGAGTGGACGGCCGGTTAGGATACCTCTCGAAACATCATGGATTCCCTTGTCTCATCCGAGAGTCTGTAAGAAAACGAACCGCCTGGGTCTCGCTAGCTTGCAGTCTTCTTCAATGACATTATTATCTAGATTTCAAGTCAGACCTGAAATTGGCATGGCCTCCTAACATACGTTCCCCAGCGCACTAGTCGTCGCATACAGTCCATACGTCTCAGTAGGAATCGCTTTGATAGATCGGGTGAGAGGAGTAGTCTTATAAATTGCCAACTTAATAAGCAGAGACATATGAAAATGTAAGTGATTAGCACTTAATCATCAGTAGCAGCATAACTGAGACAAAGTAACAACTAAACAATTTCCAAGCGGTTATGAAAGCAGTAGTTAATTACATCTAGTAATAAGTGTGAATTAAGAAACCCTCGTTGTATTATCAAAGGGATATCAACTTGGGCCCGTTTAAAAGACAGGGCGTATGTACTTAAGTAAGCAGGTATTATTGATTACATACCTACTACCTAGGTACGAGCTTATTGTGTGGAGTTCCTTCGGTTTAGAGCTCCGGTCCACCACCTTATTTGACTTGACTTGCCAATAATAATCAATATTTAGGTACTTACCCCTACCTAGTAAGCTAAAAAGCTAAAGTGATTATTTTACGTGGTCATGTTCTTACTTAATCCTGGAACGACGATAATCTCAACATCAATGCTTTCGTCTCGCAAGATTCGATGTGGCATTGAGAGCTAAAACAGCCAGAACAACGGTTGGTATTCAATCGCGAATAGCAACATACCCGAATATGGGTCGCTAATGTGCCAACGTAGCAGCTGTATTGTGCGAACCCATGGGTCTGGATTCCTACCTATCTTTCTGCTCCGACCAGCTACATCTACATACATACATGAACTGGACCTACATAGCAGACCTATCTAGTGCCACTGCTTGCTTGATCGAACCAAGGCTCTGATTAAGGGTCTAGCCGGAATACGAGACTCTGGGAATGCCTATGCATCTGTCTCTGCATATGCGAATCCCATATCACCAATTCTATTCATAGGATACATGGATCAATTATTCATTCTCATTTGCTTTTACCATCATTTAAGTCGGTTAAGAATCTAATTATCGGTATTTTTTTAAAGGCTTAGGTACTTACGTGCCTTGAGTAGGTACGTACAAGGCGTAGGTACTGCATCGTTCAAATGCAATGCTTACGCTGAATTGCTTGGGCGTGGGATGAAATGGTGATGCGACCTTGCATCGTAGGTACAAGATAAGCAGAATGGACCTTGCCTCGTTGGGGTAACAATGAGTGTCCTGTGTGCATTCTGCTCCACGAACGCCCGTTTCTCCCCCCTTACTCGAAGAGTCAGCCATCCATCTTAGTATTTGGCCCAAAAAAGAATCACGCCAGACCTAACTATTCACGCCAATCTTAAATTCCAGCCCCGATCGAATATCCGAACGAGCGCCACCAGAGTCTATATTATTATCAGTACACAAATTCTACAAGGGACTTAGCTTCATCCTCGAGCCTGTTCACATAAGATAGCCGTGCCCTCCTCGAAGTTTAAAGGCTTGGTCTAAGGCTCTTGATTTGCAAACGAACTCTAGTACTGGCCCTGTCTTGTCAGCGTGTCATAGTACCCGCCACTCTGTCTCCCACAGCTGTTTGTGCTCTTTTCCTTTAGGTACTCACTTATTGTTTTTTGATGTAACGCGGCCAGCATTAGACCTACTCCTTCTTGGCCCTATTCTATGAGTAGAACGAATCCTGAGCCTCGTTTCATATTTTTGGATTTTACAGTTTTCATAAGAAACTGCCCTTCACTTGGTCTTTATATTGTCTTCTGATTATACCATCGCCGCCTCTCTTCGAGGTGTTATCGACGGATTGATAATCGGCGTTTCCTACATCCAACCTATATTGCGATCAACTTGTCATTCTAGGCATTGCGTATCCATACTCCAAGCCTTCGTTCCAGAGTCCGAGGCTTACTTCGGCTCTGTAGCCTCTCAGTGGAACGGGATTCGCCATGTCGGTCTTCTCCATAATAAAGCGAGGCCGCGCCCAAGCCAAGGAGCACAACGCAAAGCAGGCCGAGAAAGCGAAGGAGGAGGCTGTCAAACTACCATATAGGCATGTAGTTACGCATGCTGCGAGTGATGCTTTATCGGGAGCCCCTTCGGGCTGGAAGCATGTCGACAGGCCCAGAATCATGGAGCAAAATAGACGAAGGACCGCCATAATGGCTAACAACCCCAACACAGCTGGGCTACCACGTGTGGGAAGCTCGTTATCATATGTCTCTTACGCGTCCGTCTATGGTACCCCTGTCGTACCTCTTCCTAAGAATTATAGCTACAACAACGTACCTACGTCCTGGCGTGATCAGCTGGCAAATTCACACGAAGGTCCGGAGTACTTCAGTCTCACTGGAAGCGGAGGTAGTACCAAGGGAAAGGAACCCGAACACGTACGAGTTCCGCCATCGATGGGACCAGCCCCGAGACTGTCCCCAGGGCAATCCAGTACCATATCAAGCAAAGGTAGTAACCATATACTAGAAATATATACATCCCATTTAATTATTACATAGGCATCTCCCGCGATGGCAGCACAGGAAACCTTAGTAGCTCCGACGATGACTTGGAGATGAAGACTAGGATCGTCATCAATCGGCGCCCTCAGAGCCTTGCCTACCATTCCAGTGTCTCCCAGCAAAGCACTACTTCCAGCGAGAAATCCTACCGCACACCTCTTACCAGTGCAGGTACGGGTAACGAGCCGGCAGCCAAAACTGACCGGTACTATCCACCCCGGGCCCACAGCACATATTTTTCAGCGCCTCGACCCTTAAGCAGACGGCCTCCCGTTGCGGAGACTCCCGTCCCACCTGCTTCTGTTACCGAACGTTCCAACTCGACGGCTTCTTCATCGACCACTTCTGGCCATTTTTCCACTGCTTCATCCACAGCCTCTATCGGCCTCGCTATTGCGTCACCCCAGTCTCCTATTGCTATCGAATCCCCGTCGGCGTTGCCTGCTGCAGAAGACCGCATCGCTTCTGAACGAAAGCGCAAGACAACCACAACGAGTGAACCACAAATTCAGTCAGCACGAAGAGCTTCGGCGGGGCATATTAAACCCCCCACCGACATCTCCACAATAAAGACTAGCAAAGAAGTTATAACTCCCGAGACGCCACCGACTCAGAGAAGACGACGTAGGCTGTCTAAATCTAGGCCGCCGAGTGAAGATATCAGTAGGATGTCAGCCGATACTGTACGTCCTAGCGGGCCTAGCTTAAGTGCTACTGCACCCACAGCTAGCAACTTCGACAAAGTCGGCAACATTACTCAACAGAAAGTAGAAGAAATCACAGTTGTGACAACTTCTGGATCCGTGCGGAAAACTCATGGGAAATTGAGCAAGAAGCCGGAAACAAAGGAAACCAAGCAGAGTCGGAAAGGGTGGTTTTCGCTCCGACCTAGTAGCAAAACACCTACTATCGCTGCTCACTAATTTGTGAGATCCAAACTAAATAGGGAGTGTTAAGAGTGTGCGAGGCAAGAGATGGAGACAAGGCCCCTTCACTCTTCGATGATATGAGATAACTTAACTATCGTCACGATGGATCGCGATGGCATCTATGAACAACTTTATCATGAACCATAACTTATTGGGAGCGGCATGGGATGCTTTATAATCATGTACATCACGACAGTCTACACCTTTTATACATTTCGCCATATTATACCTGGCCACCGTCCGAATTCTACAAGCGCAATAAGAGAGATATCAGTTCTCGGGCCAACAGGTCAATATGGATAGATATTAGACCACGCACATAGCAACGGGATAGCCATAAATTGGTCAAGGACCACTATGACATTGGTATCCTCTTTTCTTATCTAATATCTCAAATTACCGACCTTGCATGATCTTCTCATATTTGATCCAAATTTGACTAAACTATTCATATTATGCAAGCCCATATACCACATCTATCGCTCTGCGATCTTTAGTGAGATTCTTCGTCAACTATAACATTACATTCGAGTAATTGAGGTCAATTCAAGCACGGTTCTTCATAAAGTTGTATAAACGTTTATCCCAAGACCGTGACACTGAACATGACTTACCAAGAGCGACCACTTGATGTCTTGTAAACGGAAGGCACGGGTCGTCCCGAGTCTTTACGCTTATCATGGGCCACTGTGTGCGCTAAGATCTGTAAGGGGGCTAGGTCAGACCTTGATTTTCGAGCTAAGGGCCATGTGAGATCTAGAATCTCACTCTTTCTAGTCTTAGCTCAGCTCATGGTTCGAGCTATATCGCATCGTAAGCTTTAAAAGTTGATCTATCGACTTTTCATTTCTTCGGAACAAATCTATTCTACCTAAGACGCCGAGAAGTAACCGATGTTACTAGCAGTCAGCGGACGGAAGACTCAACCCGGCGCAAGTCCGTGTTCGAAATTCCCGCGTTCGTGCCCCGTGTGCTGTAGATGAAAGAATCTTATTTTCCGAATGAAAATTTTCTGCTCTACGTCAGCTTCAATAGTTCCAAATTGCAAATGCCAATACTTCTCTAGTCATCAACAACAGAGGGAATACCGCGGAGCATGGTACCAAGCATTCTGTTGACCGTGATACCGAGTACCGCCAAGCTATTGAAGCAAGGGGACTCGGCGCATCAGCCCTGAATGCGACATCACGAAGCATTGTGCGCAGGATCTTTTATAGCTCGCTTAATATACTCCCATTCCAGAAAAATTTCCGGCCGCCAGTTGCAGCTCTCTATCTCCTCCATAATTCCCCGACTGACGGCTTATCTGTGCAACCTAACCTATAGTTCCCTCTTTCCGGGACCGATATCTCAATTTGCTTATTTAGCGCCGGTTTATACGCATGTTGATCCCTGAGGCGATCTCGTTTCGCTTCAAAGGACCGAGGGCGCTAGCGAACGCGATTGGAGAAACCTCGTGGGGGTTCGCAAGGGGTATACTTAGGGGGATTGACTGCAATAGTAGACCCAGCTGGCTGCAGATACTAGCCGCATATTCACCGCCGTAGGCACATATCTTCGCTACTAGAGCTTGCAGTCGATAGTCATTCGCATTCAGGGGCTGATACCGATGTCACTATCTACTCGGTGGCTTTCCACCCTCCCTTCGGCTGGTTTATGGCGTTATTAGATGACGCCAGCGCCAACGCACCAATGCCCAAGCAAAAGTTACATATCTTCTGATATATCTGGAATAAATTCTCTGTTACTTGGCTACAATTCCTTACTCGTACCACGTGGCACTAGCATTGGAGGACTGAAGATAAACAAATCCATGTATCTTCGGGCTCAGCAATTGCCTATCACGAATACGAGCCTCGGGGCTTGAATGGCATTCCTTGTAGTTGTCGAAAGTAATGGATGGTTGCCCAGAAGTAGTCAGAAGGCCAAGAGACAAGCATAATAAACCAATTGTATTTCATATGTATGACCTTCCTAATACAGCACATACATGTTTTAAACCGGGTTGAACATTTCAGGTCTAAGAGGTAGACATCTTGCGTTGTTGACCTGGATAGCGCATATAGGAGGGTATCCAAAGCTAAATCAACCACTTAATAGGATGTATGCCACTAGAGCTCCAACAACCCATTACACCACTACGAGGCTTGGTTGGACTAAAATTGGCCATATCCAGTCAACTTATCAACATATCTTCACTACAACCAAAGAAGCACATCTGATCACTTTACCTGAAACTTAATGGTTTTGTGGTGGTGTGTAATCTGTGCATATATGCTGTGAAATCGCTCGGCGGTGGCGAAAGATGGGGCTTCATCGACGATGTGTGATAGGACGCCACTAGAAAGCATGGTAAACGTTGTGCCGGAAAAAGAAATAGCAATATCAAGTTGTCCGATAGGCTGGAAGAAGTTTTCGCATGTAGAAAGTGAGATATAGTTATCGCGTTCCCTAGTTGATATTCTGGTGTTTAGATCTAGAGCAGGTTATTAAACTTGAAAAAATGTGAAGAGTATTGTTAGGAACTAAACAATCAAGTTACGTGGAATATTATGTAGCTACCTAGATAGTAGTGTGTGTCTAAGTACCTAGTATATGAGGGTAATAGAGGATTCAAATCTTCATGGTATAAATAAGTTGAAATAAGCTTGAGACATAGGTAGGTACTAGGTAGGTAGATATGGAAAGTTGAGCAAAAGGTAGGATACAAAAGGTAGCTATTTAGATTAAATACCATTACTACTTAGTAAGGAATATTGGCACTGGTACTAGACATACAAGTAAAGCAGTATAACTGTCTTCTCGTATGGAGGAAACCGCAGCTTCGTCCGCCAATGCCATAAAGCAAAGCATAAGGCATAAAGAACTGAGGCTGAGAGCTAGGATTACGTAGCTACGACGGAGGCTCTGTGCAATTGCGGGGAGGTTACGTCGATCCCTAGGGGTCTGCGGGTCGCTAACCTTAACAGGGATAGGTGGTCGACCCTTAAGACCAGTGCTGAAGCACCCGGGAACCATGATTGGTTAGCCCTAGAGACGTGGCTTCTTCATTCGCGTCGTCAGCTGCTATAGCAACTACCTGTTACCAATTCTACGGTGCTAAGAACAAACTTAAACATTTCAACGTTCAGATTTTTAGACGTGACAGATGCAAAATTTTATCAATTGCCTTCCTAACTACGTCCCTCCTTAGCGAGGAACCGTGGTGAGACAGGACAAGTATCGTTTGACAGCATACCCCAAATGTGAACGTTCTTTACCGGCAGTTAAACGTCTCATCGCATTTTGCGATTGCAACCATGGATTTACTCATCTCGACTTTGAGCGAGACACCTCCTCATACCTTACTAGCAGCGTTTGTGGCCTTGATCGTATTCGCCTTCTATAGCGTATGGATTCCATAGGCCATATGAACTTGTCCCATAGCCCAAACTAACTCAATTGCAGCTTTATGCCGTACTCCATCTCATCGCACCCAAACCCCGCCCCGTTCTCCCATCTGAGAAGACTTACATCACCACCACCCCCAACGGCACCGCAACGCGACAGCTACCATGCTGGCACGATCGATGGCTCGCCGACCGCCAGGCAAGCGAGGCCCGCGCCAAAAACGACGACCCTACGCAACTCGACATCGCAGACACCGGGTCCATTGAGCCGGCCGAAGTACGCATGAGCGTAGTATTCCCCGCCTACAACGAAGAAGACCGCATCCTGCCCACCCTCAAGGAAGCCGTCGAGTACCTGGACGCGACCTTCGGCCGGGACCCGCACCCGCGCCTGCAGTATTCTTCCAAAGCGACGGCTCGCGCGCGCTCCCCGCGGCGGCACATACAGAACGCGCCGCGGGACGACGTGTCCGGGTACGAGATCATAGTCGTGAACGACGGGAGCAAGGACCGCACGGCGCAGGTGGCGCTCGAGTTCGCGCGCGAGCACGGGCTGCACGACGTCCTGCGGGTGGTGACGCTGGAGCGCAACCGCGGCAAGGGCGGCGGCGTGACGCACGGGCTGCGGCACGTGCGGGGCGAGTACGCGCTGTTCGCGGACGCGGACGGGGCGTCCAAGTTCGCGGACCTGGGCAAGCTGCTCGAGGGTTGCGAAGAAGTAGTAGACGGCGCGCACCGCGGCGTCGCCATCGGCAGCCGCGGCCACCTCGTCGGCAGCGAGGCCGTCGTCAAGCGCTCCGCCCTGCGCAACTTCCTCATGCGCTCCTTCCACCTCGTCCTCACGATCCTCACGCCGCCCGCCACCTCGCGCATCCGCGACACCCAGTGCGGCTTCAAGCTCTTCTCGCGCGCCGCCCTCCCGCACATCGTCCCCTACATGCACGCCGAGGGCTGGATCTTCGACATCGAGATGCTGATGCTGGCCGAGTCCGCCCCGGCCGTCCCCGTCCTCGGCCACGACGGCGCTGTTATTGGCAGCAGCCCTGGTATTAAGGTCGCCGAGGTGCCCATTGACTGGCACGAGGTCGGCGGGAGCAAGCTCAATGTTATTCAGGACAGCATCAAAATGGCCATCGGTCTGGCTGTGCTGCGGGCTAGCTGGATGATGGGCGTGTATAGGAGACGCCTGACATAAGTGGGGTGGAAAGAAACGGGTTGATGGATGGGCTTATGTGGATTGATTTACTATGACCACCTTCTACAATGAAGGAAAGCGGTCGTGGGTTTATGCGTAGCGTAGACTTTCTACACTATACAGATGGAATGAAATGATAAAAAATTCATATTTTAAATTTATCAGTCTATGTGAGGTGTATGCTGTAGGGACTTTGACTTCATTGCTGCGAAGCCCTCGTAAAGTCCAATTAAAAGGTGACTTGGTGATATACCTAGGCGACCGGTAAAAATTGCCACAAATGAATGATAGTCTCAAATACTCGGAATTTAGAATAAGAACGAGGCAGTAAAGTACCCCTATTGCGGTGTTAGAAGCATTTCTCTTTGCCAGAGGCGGCACAAAACAACAAACCAGAACGACAGTATCAAACATCTACTCAAGCATTTAAGTAATCAACAAATCCTATCAGTTCTGAATCATTAATATTAAGTATTCGGCTATATACATCAACCCGTAAATCTATCTTCTAGTCATTCATTCTTCGTCCCAGGCCGTGCCGGACAAGCCAAGTTTCCCAGGCTAGGGGGCTGGGTATCTGATCTGATAATCGAGCCGAGATCTTAAAGTTGACATCGTACATGCATGCATGCTTCCTCTTCATCGCTCCCTTTTCATCGGCACTGACGTACATCCATAGACATAGACATATATATTATCCCCGGGGGGTCGTGCTGTCTTTTTCTTTTTCTTCCTCTCTCCCAACCTCAACATCGCCCATCCCATTCCGTCCCATCTAAGAAGCACGCCTCTAGACAACGACTACAACAACCTAGACGAGCAGCTCGCGGTACATAACCGGCAAAAACACCACACTCGCCGTCCACAGAATGCGAACCGCGTTCCACAGCAGCAAAGGTACCTTCCATAGGCCCGTAGCCCTCCAATCAAGCCAAATCGCCACGAACGCCACCGAAAAGAAATGGTACGCGAGCACCATCGGGTCCGGAATCAATCCGCCCAGCAGACCCATCGGGTCTCGCGTGACGCCCTTCTGGAAGTAGTGGAAGCATCCGCGCTGCAGCTTAGCGAGCTCGGCGTTGCGCGCCGAGAACAGGCTGTACAGCGCCATGGCGAGCACGTTGATGATGGCGGTGAGCCGCTTGCGCTCCCAGTGGAACTTGTCCATGGCGCGGCGCACGGCGACCGTGTCCGCGAGGTCGGGGATGTTGCGCGGCGACAGCAGGTCCCTCAGCAAGACCACGTCGTTGAGCGCCACCGTCATCCCGCCGCCCGTCAGCGGGTGCCGCATGTTGAACGCGTCGCCGAGGACGACGGCCCCCGGGACCGACTGCTTCGTCGGCGGGAGCCAGCTGTTGGGCATGCTCTGGGGGATCTTGGAGTCTTTTTCTAGCGCGGCCCGGAAGGAGGGGCGCACGCTCTCGGGCAGCGCGGGCAGGACGACGTTCTTCATGTAGCCGCGGACGCCGCCGTTGGCCGGGGCCGCCTCGGGCAGCTTCTCGGGCACGTCGACGAGGACGCGGGTCTCGCGCGAGCCGATCTGGTAGAGCAGGACGGGGCTCGCGGCGCCGATGATGACGTGGCCGTAGCCGGGCGAGGGCAGCTGGCAGTCGACGAGCTCGAGGGCGTAGAACTTGGACCGCACGACGGGCACGGTCTGCGGGATGAACTGCTTCCGGAAGCGCGAGGCGTAGCCGTCGGCGACGACGGTCAGCTGTCCGAAGAAGCAGTCCTTCTCCTTCTCGCCCGTGCTCGCGTTCGTCGTCCGCGTCTCGACCCCCAGGATCTCCGGGTTGTGGTCGCCCTTGATCGTGCTCACGACCTCGGTCTCGAACACGCTGATGTTGGGGTGGTTCAGGCACGACTTCCGCAGCTGCGTGATGAACCTCCCGTGGTGGAAGCTCTTCCCTTGGGGAAGAGGCCCGTCGTCTTCCTTGTCTTTACCCGCGCTCTTGCTCGCCGCCTTTCCGCCGTCCATTCCCAGAAGCCCTTGTATCCGCGGATACGGCATGCGGACGTCTTCGCCGTAGAAGAAGACGTTAAAGCCGTTGCATGGTATGGCGTCGATGCCCTCGATGCAGTGTCCCAGCCCCAGTTTTCTCAGCGAATTCACACCGCCTGGCTGCATGAGCTCGCCGACGATGCGGTTGGGTTCCTTCATCCATCGCTCGAGGAGAATCACGCTCCTGCCCTGGTCGGCCAGGGCATACGCAATGGCGCATCCGAAGACGCCGGCACCGACTACCACGACATCGGCCTCGTGGTATTTAGACCGCCGCTCGGCGAGCGAGTCTAAGACGATGAGAGTTTCGCTCATAGGAATTACTGGGGGGTGGTCGGGTGCGGGCTTCGCTAACGTAGTCGAGTCAAGTCCGGTCAAGTGAGCGGCAGCGAAGAATTATTATGTCGTATTAACTAAAATCTAGGAACTCGCGTGGTAAATCTAATTGTAATCAGGATTTTGGGGATTCGGCAGGACGATGAACAGGACGGATGACGGAATTGACGAATAATAACAAAGCTGATGAGCTGGCGAATGTGATTATTTATTAGAGGATCGACTGGAAATCGACTGGAATTAGGGGTCCTCTCACTGGAGGCGTAAAGCGAATAAGGTGTCTTGGTTAGGAAAATGAAGCTGGAAAAAAGAGTGACCTCTCAGATCATGATGGTTCGACTCATCGTCCCATGTGTAGTGATATTCATTTTCTGCCCCTTATCTGGCTTGTCAGGGCTTGTCAGGGCCAATTCTTAGCTTTCTATTAGACTGAACGTTATTTTTTCCATCTTCCTTGCAGGCACATGCTTTGCCAAGCCCGACGCCAAATTGCTGGGTACTGCCAGGGCGGTATTACATAAGTAAATATCCATTTATCCCCACATTCCATTGCCCAATCAAGAGGCGTTTATTGAACCCTATTACATGTTGAACATGCTAGATTAAACTTGTTAACTTGTCACTGACATGTGAACGCCTCATCAGGGGCCAAGATTCAATACGATCGGGTTCATACAAAAACAACGTGACAAATATTGTAAGGGAAGTATGTGCCGTAGGTATGTAATTTTCATCATACCGGTCAGTATCTTCATACGTTCATATGTACTTGGGTATGGGTATCCATACTATGTACAAGGCACCTATACTTAGTTTGTTCAAAACTGCCTATCCAGAAAAAAATAGAACGTAGAAACGCCTGGTGGTACATCAGAACTCTGCCTCTGCATGAACCTTACTTTCCATATGCGCGGCCGTCGCGGCTGTGATTGGTAGGATCATGATATATCTAGGCTCGGCGTTTTCTGCATATCAGCAACTGCTTCTTGCATGATCCTTAGAGTCTCTTGGGCAATCGTTGCACCTTCTGCCCTGGTTTCTGTCCGCCGCTTCATCACTTTGACGATGGTATCTTCCAAAATATCTAGCATGGCTTTTCCGGTGGCCTCGTCTTTGAACTTGGCAACAACTCTCCTAGCAGACTTGAGATATAACATCGTGTACTTGTCTGCAACAAGTTCGCTTTCGAGGATATCATGGCAGAGCTTCCTCATCCCATCCACATCTCGCAGCCTCGCATAGGCAGTGAGCGTGGCTCTAATACTCTGTCTTGAGAAGGCAAGGTTCTTGAATCCATTTTGATTCATCGCGAAAGTGCATAATGAAATTCCCCTCTCGAAATGGCCTACTTCTATAACCATCAAGGCCATTTTTGTAAGGACGTTTGGTTGTACGATGACGTTGACCGCTTCAAATTGGCTGATTAAATTCCGCATATGAAGCAGGAGGTCTTGCGCGTTGGCATGAAGCTGCTCGAGCCGGAGCCTGATAAACGCTGTCACTGCCGAGGTGATGTCGGCACCTTTATCGTACGCAGATCGAATGAGGGCTATCGCATTATCAGAGCCATGCTTGGGGCTTTTCGAGGTTGCTACTACAGCCAAGCGAAGACAGTGCTCGCAAGAGGGCATCCCGGAACTTAGAGCTTGCTTGTAAATCCGCATGGCCGCCGCCGGCCTTCCGGAATGTATTTCCTTATTCATTGCTTCGTAGACGTCTCGCTGATTTGTCACCTTGCCTCTATACGCCAGTTCATTGACTATTGTAGTTCTTGAATGCACTCCTCGGCTCGGGAGTATTCGTCTGCTACCTTTACCGGCGGCGCTGGCCGCTTGATTCATGATTCTCTTCGTCACATCGTCAGTGAGCGATGGTCCAAGCTGCCGCATTTTCGAATAGACTTCTAGTAGTTCGGGGTAAGAAAGCTTGAAAGTGGCCCAACAATTGTAGAGAATCGAATTGCAGACGCCGGGATCCAAGGCAAACCCAGCTTTGCAACAATATTCAAGCCATGATATGAAGCCTGGCATGTCACGACATTCACCGAACTTGTTTGCGACCAACGTGACAGCATAACGGTGCGTGCGCACACCTAGGTCGGCGGTATACTTCGAGACGAAATCTCGAACCTCGGCGGCTGAATGGGTTTGCGCAAAAGTTTTGAGGACCATGACAAAAGCGTCGTCATATTCCTCTTCCTGCCCTTCCTTTAGAGCTTGCATCTCGGTAAAGGCATCAAACACAGCATCCCAATCCCCGGCATTGGCTGCCGCCAAGGTCAGATAACCTCTCAAAGCGACATTGTGAGACATCTCGGGGTATTTTTGGAGGACCAAATCGTAGTATAATCTTGCTTTGCCGATCTCTTTGGCTTTAACGGAGATTTCGACCATCGTGCTATACACACCCTGGGGATGGGATACTTTGTCGATCAAGCCCAAGGACAATACTTCTCCGAATAACTCTTCTACCACCGCAAGATTTTTGGTGCCATGCCAACAAGCTGATAGGGATTTCATGATCCAACTAGTCCGCAAAAGCCCGTCATCTGGGCGGTCCATCCGTGCAAGCGCTTGAAGTACATCTTTAACTCTGCGGCCTTCCAAGGTCTCCACGGCGTTTATGACGCAATTAACCGTCCGGTTGTAGCATGCAACTGTGGGACTCCTCTTAGAGTAATTAAGAAGGAAATATCTAATAACACTCTTATACTCTTTATATTGGTAAAACTCCCGGATGACCCATCCCAAGAACGTGGTCGGATCTTCAGCACAGCCAACGATTTTCCAATATATACGATGTGAGAGGTATATCCGATTTATCGACATATTATAGGTGAATAATTGCCGTCCGATAGTCTCGACTTGCGAAGTATGCATATGGGGTTTGTCTTTCAGCCTGGCCATAAATATATGAGTCGCTGCGGCGATAGCTTCCGAAGGACAACATCCATCCGTATCTTTTTGCTCTAGGTAGTATTCTATAATATTCCAAGGCTCGTGGTTATGAAATTGAGATTCGTTTAGCGGCCCAGCATCAATGGTGGTAGTGAGGACTTTGCTTGCATCATCCCACCTGGACTTTTCCTGACATGCCTTCGAAAGTTGGGCAGAAATAGAAACCCACTCGTCGTCGAATTTTCTAAAGGAGTAATATAACCGACACCCGTCAAAGAATTTCCTAAGAGCTCTATCTAGCCAGTGCTCATCGCTGCTTTCCAGGAGCTCATTGATAGCCGCGACAAATTCATTCTTCGAGTGTGCTTTCTTTTTCTTGGCTGGAGTGAGGCCGTTTTGCGAAGATCCATGAACGTTGATAGATGGGATAACGAGTTTTGTTTTCGATTTTCCTTTTTGGGGGGCACTTCGAGAGGGGGGGTTTTCGGAAGTGTTTTGCGATTCTAGAGGTATCTCGGCCTCTATACTTTGGGCAGAAGGTTGCGTGGAATTCACGAGGGGAAACTCTTCGGCGGATGTAAAGTCCATATATCTGAACGGCTTCTCATGATCTTGAGGCCTAGAGTTATCCTCTTCCGAGATATCGACATATTCGTGTGGTATCGTGGCGGCGGACACCCTTCTATGATAGCGCTTCGCTGCTTTTATTTTTTCCCCGTTCGAAGCGACAGTTTTCAATATGTTTATCCGTCGTCTTCGGTCTTCTACTATCACGCCAATGGCGCACGTGGTTCCAAAAGCAATGCCTCGGAGGGCACGAATCGCGGCCTTCGACGGGACGGGTATGGGAGGTGGCATAGCTTTAAGATGTGTGTTGCCATGTCGAAGAATTGGCCAATATCCTGATTCCCGATGCTTATTCCATAGTCGCATAAAACTAGAGTATGAGGGAGCAGCATCAATACTGCCTATTTAATCTCGCGATCAAGACGAGCTTTAAACAAGGTCGAGGACGTGGTAGTGTGCACTTTCAGGACTTTCATCTGGTGTCTGAGTCGTACCATCAATCGATCGTTGCTGCAATTATTCCATTGTGCAGCGCGGGCAGCGCGGGCTAGCGCGGGTCGGCTGGGGTCGGTCGGCTTACTTAAACCAATAAAAAAAATAAAACCCCCACTTAGCACGATATGACTCCCCGCTTCAGACGCATATGCAATTAACAAGATCATCCTCAATACCTGGACAGCTGAACAATATCTGATAGGTAAACCTGAATTCATAAAAATATCCGTATACAATGTTATGATTCTGGTGTTTTATGTATTGTCCTTGAACCAACCGGAGACTTCTATTTGCCATGGATAATGTCTATTCTTTTTCTCTCCCTACCTTAACCCCCCCTACTATCCTTGAACGCCGCGCAGATGTGTTGAGTTGTTACAATCCCTCATACCCCTTCCCTGCTCTCTCCCTTCGCCGACTCCAAGCTTAAAATACCTCTTCAAGTTACTTAACCCGAGATATCAGATCTCTCTATCGGAAGCCATACCTCTAATTTTCGTAAGATAGTCTGGTATAAGAATAGCATGCAACCGCTTTGTACACTAGTCCAGACGAATCGTGGCCCAACTCCCCTAAACCATCCGCCAATGCCTTCTGTCTTATAAATCAGCCTGAGACCCCTGAATATAGAATCCTCGTCTAATGGAATCGCGCCTGGTCGCGGCGTGTGTGTGGAAGGCGATGAAGTTGAAATAGGACGCTGTTGCTGTTTTTGTGGACGTAAGGACCGAGTTTCTTTTTCTAATGTATCTTTGGGCCCCGACATAGTCTCCTTGGCCGAGCGATCTTTCGGTTTCCCTACAGCCGGAACTGGATCGATCTGTGTCTGCAATCGTGTTTTTACTACGTCAAGGGGACAAGTAAGAACACCGGCGAGTCCTCCGCCAGCAGCTCCGGTGAGAAGTTCTAGTCGAACCCCGATATCCCGGCTCTTCTTATACTGTCGGGCCCAGCTCTGGAATTGTTCATAAAACATGAACTGGAAAGCGGAAAATGGCAGGTCTCGATATAGAGTTGCCTTATACCCGGAGAAGAGCTCCGCAAAGCCCTCCGTTCTAATGATAGTCCTCGCGGCATCTAGAGTTCCACGGTAGTTATATCCGGATTTGAAATGAGGGTTATTGTATCGTCCCTGAAGTTGAAGTCGGGTCTTCAAGACTTCAGAAGGGACATAAACAATCGATGCAGCGAAATCGCCGATAAAGCCTAACTTCATTTCAGTAAAAGGTCCAAATTACATCAGTGATTTTAATAAATACCGGCTGTTAAGTAGGAGACGTGGGACTGGATGCCATAATCTAGCATATGCCGCTTGCTCCATTCATACGTTCCAAAGAAGAGAACGGTGCCCGGGAACGAACCCATCATGGCCGGGAGCCAACCCCCATACAACCCTCGTCGAATTCCTTCCTGTCGCCATATTGTATAATATGAAGATCCTAAAGAAGTATATTTGGGCGGGAAGTGAGGATCTCCTTGCTGTCGGGTTTTGACAGTATCGAGCGAGTGCATCAGCATATCACCAGTGGTCCCACCAAGCCCTCCGGCGACCATGGACTACGAACAGGCGTTAGTCTTGGAAATCTTGCTATTATGCGTCATTGCACCTACGTGGATATAGGGCGGGCGTCCCTCCAATTCCCCATCGTTGGGGGTCATCTTATGACCATACGCCTGGACTGCAAACTTGATATCTGGCAATGAAGATTTGTTCTCCTAAGGTCCATCGTTATAAACAAAACCTGCAGAAGAATTGGGTTGTCCAGCCAGACTGATGAATGTGGTAGACGGCCGTACTTCGCAGTAGATTGGCCCCAACCACAATTTTGCAAATTCCTAAGAGGTATCGTATTGTACGAGGCGATCGCGCCCGAGAGCGATCACCTAACGAACGTTGAAAATTCTGAACGGGGGAAGGTGTTGGGAAATTTTCGACGTATTATTTTAATCTTTTGAAAACTAGTGATATCGGTCATATCGGTGATCGGTTTACGCGCGGTTTACAACGGTCCCGCGAAATCCGCATATCTGGGTCTTATCTCTTATCTGATGTTAGATAAGTCTCTAGCGAGGTAGACTAAGGTAGCGCTTTTTATGGATATATGCATCAGAGCCGATAGAGCACTTTCGTCATAATGAATTACGGCGTTGTGTGTTGATACGCCAGATGATAAGCATGTGTAGAAAGGAGGAAGAAGAAAGGAGAACGAACAATGGTTATGAGGCAATCGTCACATTTTCACTTCCTAATATTCCTTGGAAATTCCCACCACCGTACTCTACCAGCTCTATGCCACGGCCACACGACGTGGGTGACCTTACCAATTATCAGATTCGTCGAAATCGGTCCGTAGGTGTTGCTATCCCTACTCAAGCGCTCGCCTCCATCTCCCTCAACCCAAACATGCCCCATCGGCACTCGGACGATGCTAGAGGGATAAGGACTTCGTGTTCTTATGATGTCACCCTCGAGCCCGACAATCCTTTTCACGGCAACGATGTCCGGGTCAGTAGGTGTCCTATGAGATAGTAAGAGCTCGAGTTAGCGAATAGGACCCCGATAGCCAGGGTTGGTCAGGCCTCGGAAGCCATAGTTCACGCACCAGAAAGTAACGATCATGCCTCGTCGCAACCCATACTGCGCGTTGAGCTTGTAATTGATCACTATATCTTCCCGTGTTGTCTGGTCTTTCTCCGCGTTCAAGAACGGATACATCGAGGGGCCGCTAATCGAAGCCACTTCACCAATGTAATGGTGGAACATGGAGATCACGGGAATCCAAGTTGCGAATGCGAATATGCGATATCCGATTCTACCATAGCGTCCCCGTTCACTTCTGATCCGTGACCATGCCGGCCTAAATGCCATCAGGCATGAATTGATCCAGAAACTGGATCTGGAATAACATTCAAACTCGCTGAGCAAGATGTTTAAGTGTGAAACATTCTTTTGATAATAAGCTAAGAACTGATGGCCCCACCCGTGAAATTTACCCACCCAAGAAGATATCTTGTTAGCTGCATATTCCAAGATAAACTTCTGATAGAAGGCTATGCATATGTCGTTAGTAGCTCGATGCTTTAGGAGTAACCTACATGGATCCGAGCTGATATACCCAGAATTCAACAATCACATATCACGTTTCAAGTCGCAAAAGCATAATTATCGCCAATTTTATTTCATTCCGAAATCACAATGCTCTATTCGCATGCTAGGTACTTTTATGTCCCGTAAAAGTCAAGACCTCCAGGTAGGTACCCTTAACCCTGCCCTAACTGCCCTACCCCCATGCGGTGGAACTGTGGAACTAATTGAAATGCCCCTATTTGAGCCAAACGACAACTTACACGGTCTCGGGAATGTTGTCATCGCTCTCGCTGACGCTCTCATCCCCACTAACTTCCGCGTTCTCACGTTCTCGTTTCTCCATCAATGCTTGCAATTCGGCGTCATCCGAATCTGTGACTGCCTTCGGTTCCATCTTGACGACAAGTTGACCACCCGTGCTCGTGATACTGTTGCGAATATCCACAATGGCCTCCTCCAGTCGCTGGATACCGATGTTCTTGTCCAGACACGTGCTAGTTAAAACGTAGAGAGGGGGGGAGACGAGTCGTACTTTCACTTGGATCTCCGCAGTATTTTGGGCCTCTGCCGTTCTTAAAGCCGCCTTCACGGCGTCGATTCCGTCATACTCGAAGCAGGTGACTTCGATGTCTGCACGAACCTTCGTGGGTTGGGGTGTCAGGCGCTTTCCGATGTACGACTTCAACTCCTCTGCCACCGCCTCGCTTGGGAATGTGATGTCGCTCCATACGTCGGGGTTCCTATAGTTATGGGTAAGTCGAAGGCATGCTACAAGATTGGAAAGGGGGAAGAAAAGGCTGCTTACGTTATGGAGAGCTTGAACGCATCGATAGAGTGACCGTACTTCTTGTTCAAGGGCCAGCCTATACTCTCATACAGAGTCTCGATGGGAACAAGGGTCTTCTCAGCCACATGGCGCATAATGGAGTGAACCATCTTGCTCTTGTTGTACCGTTCTTCGCACTTAACAATGTCCTCCGGAGAAACACGACGCTTCGAGAGATCGATATATCCTAGTGGTAATCAGCATTTCGGCCATGCGCCATTATATCTTCGCTTGCCACACATACCCTTCTCCTTATCGACTCGGAGCACGACCACTACCTCGTTACGACCGACGCGAATCAGCTTTTGGATACTTCGGATACGACGTCTCGAGAGTTCGGATAGCAGGATCATGCCGTCGATGTTATCGTATTCGAGCAGTTTGACATATGCACCCATATCGGCAATCTAAATGGTATATTGTGTTAGGTAAACATGAAATATTAGACAGCGCTGGCTCACGAACCTGCTTGACATTCACCATGACGAAGCTATCGATCTCCGGATACTTCTCCTCGTAAAAGCGACAGTTTGTCAAAGACATCTTGGGCGAGAATAATAACAGGCGACCTCGATATGATTGATTGGAGAAAGCCGATTGTTGGCCCAAGATCGCGCGCTTAGGCGGGGTTGAGATTTCACCGTGTAGGTCGTAAATCCAGTAATTGTTCTTGTCTGGTCTATGAATCTGTAGAACCAAGGTTTTCTAGTGGCGTTGCGAAAATTGTGCGCGTCGTCGTGGTAAACCAAACCGACTGATAAACTATTTTCTTGCTGTGCAAAGCGGGAGTCACAAATTTGCCAATGATCGAAATCTTTATGACCTGAGCGTGGGGTGTGGCACCTAAAGTCTTCCCAGGTTTGGCGGGGTTACAAGGTACGTACGAAATTTGATAGCCACATCACTAGCCACCATCTACCTAGATAAATGCGATACATGCCCAAAATTAGATAGGTACCTAGGTATATTGTGGCTAGAATCGCGGAAGAATTCGTCCGCCGTACCCATAGACCCGTAATCAGAAGCTCCACTGGGCCGGGGTACCTTCAAATTCGACGAGCTCTCCACCAAGCTGCACATGTCTCGGAGTTTTCTCTCCTGAATGTTTTTATATCTACTCGTCGAACCAGCCCAAATGTCTCTGGCGCCGCACATTCACTGGAAACACTTTTCCAGCTTCAGCCAGACGGTAGACAGAGCCTGTACTTGGCTTTTCTATCGTTCAGGAGGATGATTTTCTCGGATATGACCCATATACTGCAGCTATTAAATACAACCTGAATAGACCGTGTATCTCTCACCTCACGTACGGTCATGGATCAGTCCACCACTACCAGCGTCGAGATGGCCGTCTCCCAGGCCGTCTCGAGCATCGCGAATAGCTCTTCAGCTACTATCACGTCTGCCGTTACGCGAGTAGACGATGTTGCTCGCTCTCAGGGTTCCTCTTCGTGGCTCGGGCTCATTGCCCGATTCGTTCTTTTTATACTTCATATCCTCTCGTCAATATTGTACTGGAGTCTTAAACTCACCACAATATCTGTGCCAACGTTGCTTTTCACACTATTCTCTACCACTTGGACAGTGACCATGAATGCTACAACTTTGTATGTATCGTATCTCCTTGGTTCCCCCAATCTCAATATGCTGACATTGAAAATAGGGCTCTGATATTGTTACTCATGGCCTCTGCAGTCACCTGGGTTGTAAGATATCGCTACTTAAACATGTACTCTCGCCTCCCCCCAGAACCACAGCGCAAAGAACCCGAACTAGATCTCTTCCCTGATGGCCACGAGGAAGGGGCCAAACCTGGTCTCACTAATTATTTAGATGAATTCCTAAGTGCTATCAAGATTTTCGGGTACCTAGAGCGTCCTGTGTTTCACGAGTTGACTAGGAGTATGCAGACTAGAAAGCTAATCGCGGGAGAGACGCTGAACCTGGAGGAGGAAAAGGGATTCTGCCTCGTTGTAGATGGGCTTGTGGAGATATTTGTCAAGTCCTCTAACCCTAACCATTCATCCCGATCTTCTGCGCCTCGTGAAAGCTCAATGAACTCTTCTTTCTCCGAAGATGAGCAGTCTATCCCTGGCCAACAACGGTACCAGCTGCTGACCGAAGTCCGAAATGGGAACCCCATGTCATCCCTTTTCTCAATAATGTCACTATTTACGGAAGATGTCAAGCTCAAGCTACCATCTGAAGATGCTCTAGAACCGGGCGGTACCAACGAGCATTCTAGTCATCAACATTTGTCTAGTACTACCTTTGCTCGCCAACACGATATGCCAGTTTTCTTAACTGAAGCTGCGGATCCTGACCGGGCCCATAGAGGGTCCGTAGCGGCCTATGAATCTGAGGTTACAGCACCCTCTTCTCCAAGCCAAACCACTTTACCAAGGATCCCTCCTATTTCCTTGGACGATTCACCAATGCCTCGGAAGCCCCATCGTCCTGTTCCAAAACGGACCGCCACATCTGTTCATCCCGATATTATTGCCAGGGCAACAGTCGATACAACGATTGCGATAATACCTGCAAGTGCATTTCGTCGGTTAATTCGAGTGTACCCCAAAGCCACAGCTCACATAGTTCATGTGATCTTATCTAGATTTCAGCGCGTCACTCTCGCTACTGCATACAACTATCTCGGCTTAACCAACGAGGTTCTTCACACAGAGAAGAATATGATTCATTATACGACTTGCCAACTACCAAACATACTCAGAGGCGACGCTTTGGAACGTTTGAAGGAGAAATTCAAGCAGGAGAGGGAGAGGGCTGGCGAAGAGGAAAGCGGCAAAGGAATTGCTCTGCATAATGCCTCAGCGACGGCTCGCCGTCGTAGTTCGTCGACAAGCCTGCGTAAGGAAGCCGCGTTACAAGCAATGAGCCGCGCGCGCCCTCAGTCCGTAGTGGCTTCTACAATCGTACCCCCACAAGAGCGCTTGTCGATCCACACTCCTAGCCCAGGCGATTTACTGGCTAACGTCCAGATAGCTCGTGGTGGAGGGTCGTCTGGCACCTTAGAGATACCAATCACAGATCACTTCCCGCCATCGGATATATTCCGAAAGGCCGATGCGAGTCCCCTAGGTCAACGTGCTTTCAACCCTTTCTCGACACAGAAGCGAGCTCGTTTGTCAATTGACCCTCGCGAGTCTGTCGACGAGGACAACCTATTCAGAGTATCCGTACTAGAATGCGTTTTCAAGGCCTTGGGCATGAGCAGCGGAGGATCATCGTCCAGAGGTCCGGGATCCACAGAAGGGTCTCCGAGATTAGTTTCCTATGACCAAAGGCGACAGAAGGCCGTCTTCAGCAGCAACGCGTTTGGGTTTATGGACCCTTTTGACGGCGCGACGGACTGGGACGCCGAATCGATGACTTCTGGAGGTATCTCGATGAGTACGCCGAACCCACAGTTTCTTGCCTCGGAGATGAAGCATGACGTCGAAATCGTGTTCTTCCGTCAAGGCTCTGTTTTGGTTGAGCAGGGCGAACGGAGCCCAGGGCTTTACTATGTCATTGATGGGTTTCTCGATATATGTGTTCCTCTAGAAGATTCGGGAAGTAATATCCTAAGCTCTTCGAGCAGGACATCAACTAGCGCAATGCACAGAGCGGAATCCCAGGAAGCTCGGCGGTCGTCACCTCTTGGCCAGGCTAAAGATTCTGCTCGCAACAGAGGTACTCCCAACGGAAAACCGAATACCAAACTAGATCGTCGTCGTGTAGGGCTCGTGAAACCAGGCGGCCTCGCGGGTTATATCGGCACTGTCTCGTCATATAGATCATTCATCGACGTAGTTGCGAAGACGGACGTATATGTTGGCTTCATCCCTCGCTCGACTCTGGAGAAGATCGTAGAGAGATATCCAATCGTGCTCCTGACAATGGCAAAAAGACTGACCAGTCTACTTCCCAAGCTTATCCTTCACATCGACTTTGCCCTTGAGTGGGTGCAAGTCAACGCAGGACAAGTCCTATTCCACAAAGACGAAGAGAGTGAAGCTATCTATCTCGTCCTCAATGGGAGATTGCGTTTAGTAGAAGATCGCAGAGATGGGGGGATGAATGTCCGCGCAGAATTTGGTCAAGGCGACAGTGTTGGTGAACTAGAAGTTATGACCGAGTCCACTCGTTCCGGAACCTTACATGCCATTCGTGCTACGGAGCTCGTTAAATTTCCCCGTACCTTGTTTAACAGCCTTGCTCAGGAGCATCCTAACATCACGATCAAAATCTCAAAGATAATCGCAGCTCGAATGCGATTGCTCGTCGACGATCCATCCAACCTCATGGGTAAAGATGCTACTGCCGGCACATCCATCAACAAGATTTCGTCAACACTAAACATCAGGACCGTAGCCATCCTCCCGGTTAGAGCTGGCATCCCCGTGGTTGAGTTCGGAAACCGCTTGATGAACGCTCTTACGCAAGTTGGCACGCCAAATGGTGCCACGTCCCTCAACCAAGCCGCAATTCTCAGCCATCTCGGCAAACACGCTTTCAACAAAATGGGCAACTTGAAGCTGTCTCATTACCTTGCTGATTTAGAAGAGAAGTACGGGTTGGTTGTTTATGTTGCCGGTAAGTTGTTTTCCCCTTAATACCCTTGCTTCCCCTTGGTATGATGAACAAATTATATCCAGAGCGCCGTCTATGAAGGCATTAAAACTCTAATTTTTTCCTGACCCTAATACACATTTCACTCCTTCAAGTCGAGTTTCTGGTTATTGTACGATTCTAACCTGAATTTCTAGACACGAGTGTGACTTCACCTTGGACCCAAACTTGTATCACGCAAGCCGATTGTATTCTTCTTGTAGGCCTAGCCGAAGGGTCTCCCGAGATAGGCGAATACGAACGATTCATGCTTGGCATGAAGTCAACCGCGCGTAAAACATTAGTTCTCCTTCACGCTGACCGATACTCTCCACCGGGCCTGACAAGAGCTTGGTTGAGAAACCGCGTCTGGATTAATGGTGGTCATTATCATCTCCAGATGGCTTTCGGGGCAAACACGGTCACCTCGCATCCACCGGCCAGAAAGGGTGGACCTACTCTAAAGGAGCGTGTACAGATTCTGCAGGCTGAGATACAGAAGTATACAGTCCAGAAGATACGACAAAGACCTTATTACTCGCCCGACGCTCCCTATAAAGGGGACTTCCAGAGGCTTGCAAGAAGACTTTGTGGCAAGTCAATTGGCCTTGTCCTCGGAGGAGGCGGCGCCCGAGGTATTGCGCAGATTGGTATTATCAAAGCCTTGGAAGAGGCTGGTATTCCCATCGACATCGTCGGAGGCACGTCCATTGGATCGTTCATTGGGGCTCTCTATGCGCGTCATGCTGATATAGTGCCCATGTTTGGTCTAGCTAAGAAATTCGCTGGAAGGATGGCAAGCATGTGGCGCTTCGCGCTGGACCTGACATACCCATCCGCCTCCTACACTACCGGTCATGAATTCAACCGCGGAATCTTTAAGACTTTCGGTAAGCACCAAATTGAAGACTTCTGGCTGGAATACTATTGCAACACTACGAATATCAGCAAGAGCCGACCCGAAATCCACACCAGTGGATATGCGTGGAGATATGTACGAGCGTCTATGTCGTTGGCCGGTTTGCTTCCGCCACTGTGCGATGAAGGCAGTATGCTCTTGGACGGTGGATACATCGACAATCTTACCGTGTCTCACATGAAGTCTCTCGGTGCTTCCGTCATTTTTGCCATCGACGTAGGATCTTTGGACGACAATACACCTCAAGGCTACGGAGATTCTCTCTCGGGCGTTTGGGCATTCTTCAACAGATGGAATCCTTTTTCAAGCATTCCAAACCCTCCTACTTTAGCGGAAATTCAAGCTCGATTAGCCTACGTGTCCAGCGTAGACGCCTTAGAGCGGGCGAAGATGACTCCAGGATGCATATACATGCGCCCACCAATCGACGAATACGGGACTCTAGACTTCGGGAAATTTGATGAGATTTATGGATTAGGCTACAAGTTTGGCAAGGAATTCCTCGACCGCTTGAAGGAAGAAGGCGTGCTTCCGTTAGTCGAGGAGACCGAGGCGAAAAAGGCACTGAGGAGGACGATGGCGCCACGTCGTGCAAGTATATAGGCACTAATAGTAAGGGTAATTCGTAATATCACCGTCGATGTACGTGTCGGCTCGTCACACTGGAACTATACATTATTGGTACATCTCTTAATGGTGATAAGATATGAAAAGCGAAGCGAAGGCCTTTTATTCTGTCTATTATACATACATGGCACATGATATTCGATTGCTCGTGGTGGAGAAGTTAGCAAGGTGGTGGGAAGATCTACATCCTCATAGCGGCATTATTGCATCTTCCGACGACCGCGCTCTCTTTCAGGCTATATAAACAATTTCTCGCAATACTCTTAATTGTAATTATATAAACACATATGCTACCCCGCGTGCTCTTAAGCCATCAACAGACAAGCTATAATTCCAATGAAGAAGGAAAAGTCGAATATCATTGCCACTTTCAATGTTCGGAGTCTTCAGTGCGGTCTAAATCCGCCACAAACCCTGAGAAGCACCAGCGTCTTTCCGGCCGTCTATCGAAGTTGCTGTAGCGATAAAGAACTGGAACTCTCAACTATATTTGATCTTCAGTTTGAATCTTGGAGCCTCTTCTACCAGTACTATAACTCACATTCTCGTCCACGTTTAACACGATAATTCTCGAATTCATCCTCGCAACTATGAAGACTAGAAGGTTCTTAGCAGAGGCTTGCCTAATAGGCACAGCATTTGCCCAGGCTAAATTGAAGATTAGTGAGCTATAATACCTGATGTCTCATCTTAGCTAGTCGTAATGCTAACGTGTAGTCCCAAAGTGCCATTAGGAGATAGTCTGACCGAGCTTACCTGTTGGAGGGCAAAATTATGGAGTGGGCTAAAGGCGGATAACCTGACGGATAGAATTGAATTCGTTGGTTCAATGAATAATACCCTGGAGTGTGATACGGCGGACGAGGAATTCGCAAAGCAGCACCACGAAGGCCATTCGGGATATCTCGCCATTGACATTGCGTACGATCATATCGAAGGATGGATCAACGATACCAAGCCGGATATAGTGACGTTCATGCTAGGCACAGACGACATCGTTCGGGGACGGAGACTAGAAGACGTTGTGGAGGCTTACACGAACATGGTGGAAACGATGAGGAAATATAACGAATATATGAAGATCATCGTAAGATATATCCCGTCTTCTTCTATATAACCTTTTGTCACTAAACTATGTCTTTCAGGTAAACACCGTAGTACCATTACCAGCGAACAGGGAGCCGGTGAATAATCTCAACGGCATGATCCCGGGCTGGGCTCAAGAGCAGAACAAGACCGAATCACCTATTTATGTCAACGATATATACCCATTTCCGGATACGTTCTTGAAAGATGGCATTTATCCCAACGATGAGGGAGAGGAGCAGATAGTTGGGACCTTATACCCGCTGTTGACGTGGATTATCAATTCAAACACGACTAACAATGACACGACGCCAAGTTAGAGTATAGGGGTAGCGGGGATGTAGACGAGATATAACCAGGCTACGAGTTTCGAAAATCCATGCTTCTATAGACTGACTACAGCACAGAATAGAGCAATGTACCAATACGAGTTCGATTTTTTTTTTTTTTTTTACATAAACCTAGACAATAAAGGGAGTGACGGCTGGTTCAAAATAGGCATATGTTCCCTAATAACCTCCTTATTATCCAACAAAGCTATTGATAAAAGCGATCGCGTCGGTCATATATACAGAGCATGCATACCGCATCAAAGGAGATTTTAGGAGCCATCCACCAATCTGCCAAGTTCGTCCATACATACCTACTAACACTGTAGCGCCACCACAACTTATTATCACAAAGCCATTCAAATATTTATCGAATATAATAGCGACCATGTGTAAAGAAGGCGTTGACATCATCTTCTGCACGCTGGGCCAGCACGAGGCCGGCGAGATCGTCAGGCGCCGGTACAAATGTCATGCGGCCGAATCCGTGGGCTTCGGAGACTGCGGCAAGGTAACCCGGGCTAGACCTGGTCATTTCTTTACCCAGTGCGATGCCTGTTTGGCTGATAGGAGAGAGAAGAGGGCTAAGTCAAGAGCAGAGTCAAGAGCAGTCTCAAGGGCAGCCTCGAGACCAACCTCGAGGCTCCCCACTAGGGCCAACACTCCTACCACGAGGCCCGGTACTCCTACCACGAGGGCCGGCACACCTACTACGAAAGCCGACACTCCTACCAAGAAGGCCGAAGCTTCTATCACTGAGGACAGTGACTTGCCTGTCTTGGGCGACGACGATGATGCGCAGAGTACCTATTAAAATATAGCCTACAAATAGGGATAGTTCATTGTAATAATAGAGAAGACGGAAGAGAAAGGGTCAATTGGCTGAGAATGTAAAACTTGTCGAGAGACAAAAAGGGGACTGGCTTGTCTAGACAGTAAAAGTTATAAATACATTATATCGGACCTTTATCAATTTATTCAATTTCTTTCTTGATCACCATAGTTTCTTTTCGGCTTTGTCTTCTGTTAGTAAGGATCCTCGAATATCTACTAAAAATTGTAGGATCCGTACCATGTAATTGTCTGTAATATGAGGGGTATGTTCATTACGTGAGTGCACTCTGAGGTGGTTTTGTACCTATTGAATTCGAAGCTGCTTAACTCTAGATAGCCCCTAATTGATGGATAGTAGGTGAGTGGCGAATATCTTGCTCGTTGCAAGAAATATCCAGTTTGATAGGTACCTCCTTTAAAGTTCACACTTGCGATGAAGAGGATCTAGGACATTCTGCCATTGCCCTGCCAAGCTATGTCATTGGACGACGCCAGCAAATGACGATATAATGACCGACTTTGTACGTACTTTTCAAATCACAACAGGGCGACAGGGCAGTTAGAGGAAACTTTAACCTGATAATGACAATTATGATGTCGTGGATTCCGAGACTTCATAAATACCTCCCGTTTGTGCCACGGCAAAAGATTTCGAATGTTTCAAAGTCCTCTATATCTCTCCAACACATCAAACTTAGAAGAAAACACTCGACAGTAAAGAAACAGAATACTCATAAACAAAATGGAGGAACTACCACCAACTCTTAGAACCGAGTGCCACGTACCGGATTATATGTTGTCGGGCGAGATTCCCTTGATGATCAAGTTCGATAACTCGGAAGATTGCACGAGACATCACGTTGACGCTGCGAACTTCGTGAGCAGCTAAACTGACAAACTCGAGTCGACGCAGCCCGGCAGAGAACAGCAACAATGCTGGCTTCAGCTGGTAGCCGGGCTATCATTTTTTGTAGAGTGAACTCAATCGGATATCTCCATCATTCGCTCAAATGGAATCAAGATGTCGAGTAACATATGTATGTACGTGTCTGATATACAACGTAGTGTAATTTATCTAACTTGGGTGTTCAGACGGACAATTGCATCTCAGCTTCGAATGTTGTGCTTGTCTATTTGGATCGCCTCGCATGACGCTCGCTTCACAAACATGGACACAATGCTCCGGGGTCGAAGCGGTGATAGGTCATGTGGTTTGACGGGTATCCGTTATTCAAGTATCACGACATGACGGCAGGGTATCGGTCTGTTGTTGGTTGGCGATGTTTCTCTTACTAAGGTTGCCATCGCAGCCGTCGTCATAATTTTGGGAATTCGATGAATGAAGGACGGGGGGAATCTTGAGGGTCCGACTTTTGAGTGACAGCAAGGCGCCAAACCGAATCGAGATTAGGGGCATCCCTGGACATCCCTGGGCATCCCTAACACGGCCCTTCCTGTGTTTCCGAGTGTCGGGAATGACATCATAACTTCCCAGCCAGGGTAATCGTCTCGACCCCTGATCCTTCGCCTTTCGCAAAGTTCCGTCCAATTCCCTCATCGAAAGGCGCCGCATCTTACTGATTCGATGATGGCATCCCGCAAATGTCCACGTACATCGGGCTTGATTGGGTTGCTACCGTGTACTGCGCGTACCCGTTAGACCCCTTGCACTCGTTTGTATCACGATCCCGTCGTCAGTCGGCATATAGGTATCCAGGTATATAATTTGGGGCAAGTCCGTCCACCCGCAAATGTATCTACATTACATTAGCCATTACATATAGCTAAATATCCACATACAATCTACGCGTTATTCTATTTATCACATACCATATTCTGAAAATACACAAGTCAGACGAAGTGATTATACATATACCTACTGATATATATATCCTTCTTGTCTAAATCTACTTGCAAACCTACATCAGACATCAGCCTACAAGTAAAAAGCAAAACCATGGGAAAACTCAACACTGCCGACCCGCGCAACCTCCTCCCCTCGCGGGCGCACCCGGAACACCGCTCCCACCGCAAGGAGCTCGAGAAAGAGCACCCGTTCGATTGGACCGGGCCGCTGGTCCTCGGCATGCTCGGCATCGGGCTAGCCTGGGATATCGAGAAACAAGTCAAGAAGCGCGAGGAGCGCAAGGACAAGGAAGAACAGCAGCCGAGTAATAGGGGAAAGGGGGACGAGGAACGCCGCCGTCGTAGGCGAGAGCATCAGCAGCAGCAGCAGCACGATCGCGACGACGCTTCTTCCACCCGGGACAACAGAGAAAATCGGAGCCGGAGCAGTCACGCCGGCAGGAGCGATCGGGGGAGCGATCGTAGCGTGGCGAAGGATACGGTGGATCTGGAGAGGGGCAGAAGAGGCCGCCGCGACCGTGGAATGTCGGTGGATGTCGGCCGCAGGGAGGATCCGAGGTATATCGAGGACGACTCGTACTACGAGCAGTCGAGGTACGATAGGGGGCCCTACGATGACGGCCAGAAATATCAAGATCGTGACTACCAATACCACGGCGGGAGAAGTCGTCGCGATTCGTGGTAGTTGATGGCCCTCTTTCTCTTCTTCGAAACTTACGATATACCCTCGTTACGACTTACACTGAACACGATCCGACTTTTATTTTCATATTGAGCATAGTTCATCAAGGGCATTATTGCAGATATGGAAGGTGGCGCATAGCAAATAGCATGAGAGAACATTGTGGAAACATTGGAAACATCGCGGTTAAATAGGGAATATGGCAACATTTAGCAATAGGAGTATGGTCATCTATAAGAGCCTACATCGAAAAAAGGCTACTACAACACCTCACCGTCGACGCCATCAGGTGTCACTAAGCAACTATATCACCTATATCATTTATATTTAAGCATATTATGAGTAATGAATGAATGATCCCCATCTAGACTTCAACTATGGCGCGACCCATCCAACATACATCATTATCTATAATAAAACCTTCTCAGCTGCTTCAGCCAGTATCTGGAAATGCTTCTGAACGTGATGCTCCTCTACTAACGGCGTGGCGGGATTATGCCTAATAGCAAACACCCCGCCGACAACAGTACTCGACAAGAAAATGCGCCCTTCCTCCACCACACGATCATACAACGCCTTCGTCAACCCATTCACCTCCTCTAGCTTGCTTTCCCCCTCCCCTTTTCCTTTAACCTTGAAAACCGTCAGCGCGAACCGCGGGCCCGTGACGATCTCAAACAGATCCGGCCTGGACTTGACCAGCGCGGCAAACGTCTCCGCCAGACCGATATGCTTCCGGACGTGCTTGCGCAGCCCTTCGATCCCGTAGCTGCGCACGACGAACCAGACCTTGAGGGAGCGGAACCTGCGGCCAAACGGGATCTGCCAGTCGCGGTAGTCGGTCACGAGCCCCGAGTCCGTGTGCTGGTTCTTGAGGATGGCGAGCGACACGCTCAGCGCGTCCGTCAGGTGCCTCCTGTCGCGCACCCACACGGTGCTGCAGTCGAAGTTGACGAGGAGCCACTTATGCAGGTTCGTGTTATAACTATGGAACTTGTCGAACTGCCGAGCCAGGTGCTGGTACTCGGGACAGATCAGCGCGGCCCCGGCGTACGCCGCGTCCACGTGCACCCAGATCTCCCCTTTTCCGGGCGGAGCCAGCTCGGCCAGGACGGAGGCGATGCCGTCCATGTCGTCCACGGCGCAGGTGTCCGTCGTGCCGAGCGTGGCGGTCAGGTAGAAGGGCTCGAGGCCCTTGGCGCGCAGCTCGCGGACGACGCGGCCCAGCTCGGAGCCCATCATGCGGTACCCGTCCTCGGCGTGCACGGGGACGGCGCGGAAGCGCACGCCGGCGATCTGGGCAGCTTTCTTGGTGGCGCTGTGGGTTGCCGCGCTGCCCAGGGCGACGAGCTTGCTGCGGCGGATGGCGATCGCGTCCTCGCGCTCCTCCTCGTCGGCGATGTGGGAGGTGGCCTCGCGCAGGTACTTGTCCCTGGCGGCGACGAGGACGGTGGCGATGGCCTCGGAGGCGGTGCCGTGGATGACGCCGCCGCCGTTGGTGGGGCCCGTGGAGAGGTAGCACGGGGGAAGCCCGAAGGCTTTGGCTAGCCAGTCGAGCACGATGGTCTCGAGCTCCGTCACGGCCGGGCTGCAGATCCAATTAAATGCGGCGCCGGTAAAGGCCGTGGAGTACATTTCTCCGAGCATGGCTGGGAAACTGCTAGAGGAGGGGAACCAGGCTAGGAAATTTGGCGATTGCCTGTGATCTGTTAATTATTCAAGTTCCCCTTTTAATAGAAAAGGAGGGATTCAGACCAATGCGTTAGACCAGGAACTATCTTGGCCTCTAAGTCTTTCTGGATATCAGCCCAGGCCTCCCCATTCTGAGGTGCCTCCTCGGGCAAGAGTTTTCTCAAATATCCCGGCTCAACATTTGACACTACACGTCGTTCCTCAATTGTGTCATAATACTTGACAACTACAACAAGTGAGGTTAATGGCAATCACTAAAGTCTCTCAAAATGTGACGAGACTTACTGTCGTCGATAGACGAGATGGCCGCTTCTCGGAATTGCTTGGAGTCCATAGCAGCCAATTTATTCTAATTGGATTTCTGTTCTGAGAAGACAATTTGAGATGAAGTTTTTGAATAAACGATAGTCACCAGGGTCTCAAGGCATGAATGCTTTCAAATTATATTAATATGAAGAGCTAGGAGAACATCCTCTTTTTATATATTTTTACTTTTATCCTGATACAAATCGGCAACCTTCGCTCTTTACAGATTTACGACTCCGCTCCACCTTCCGCAAATACATGTACCTACTAGCTGTATCTAGGTACGTAGCACGCAATAAATCGAACGACCAATTCTTACATAAACCACCTACCTAGGTAGGTAATTTACGTAGCGGGCGTCAGCAGCTTCCATCTCGGAGGGCGTAACAATGGCATGAAAAGTCAATGTGTCAATAACTTGTCTCCTTTCAACTTTTCAGCCCGTCAGACCAAAAAGAGTCGGAATATGGATTGCACATGTAATAAAAGAAGAGAATCCGAAATTCCGAATCTTAGTAGTTTCTGAAATTACATTTTCCCAAGTATTTGTTTGCCAAAGCGGAACCAAGTGCGACCACTTAGCTCTCCACTAAAAAGAGGAACTGATTGGGGCTAAGATATATACTACCATAAACCCGGTTGTTTCCATCAAGCATTTGCTGAAGGGGAAGGCCTCTATGGTTTCGTGGTGTAGTTGGTTATCACGTCAGTCTAACACACTGAAGGTCTCCAGTTCGAGCCTGGACGAAATCATTACTTTTACTTTTCACTCTTATAGTTTATGCTGTGGTTTCATTTCAAAATGATCTTTTTTTCCTGCTTTTTGCCCTGGTTTTGTGGAAAAGGCTGTTCTTTTTTCTTCTACCATAATCATAGCATGTATTCATGAATTGAAATTTTAACACTCTAGTAAACAAGATACCATAAAATCGGTATCACTGAATTTGATGGAGCCGGTATAGGTATAAGCATACCTAGGTAGATTTAAACGAGCCTTGACATTTTCATGTTAGCACCACAAGGATTTATATCGTAGGTATGCTTTTAGTCGAGACTTCAAAGATCCAAATGCTGTTCTCTGTGTACTTATAGCTTACGATCTAAACCTCTCACCCCATTCCCTATAATGCTCTAACATATCCGCCGTGACCAACCTCGGTGTCTTCTCAATCGCCTTGATTAGAACCTCCATCGCAGGCGCCATCTCATCCTCCGCATCCCAGAACGCCTTGTCGCAAATCCTCGCAACTTCAGCGCCTGAGTAGCCTTCCGTACGTCTCGCCAACTCTGCAGCATCCACATCAATCGGAAAGCCGAGCTCTCTCGCCTTGGCGGTGAAGATGGCCTCTCTTGCCTTGGCATCCGGCAATGGGACGTAGATGAGCTCGTCGAAGCGGCCGGGCCTTCGCAACGCCGAGTCTAGAAGCTCGGGCTTGTTAGTAGCGGCGAGTACGAACACCTCGCCAATGCGTTCGAACCCATCCATTTCCGTCAACAGCGTGGTGAGGGCTTGGACGCCGCCGCTACTACTACCACTGCCACCACCAGAGCCCGAGCGCGACCCTGCGATCGAGTCGAACTCGTCGAAGAATATGATGCTGGGACTGGCTTCGCGGGCGCGCTTGAACAGGTTGCGGATGGAGCGCTCGGTCTCGCCCACGTACATGTTGAGCAGCTCGCCACCCTTGACGGCGAAGAAGTTGAAGTCCGACTCTGTGGCCATGGCCTGCGCCGTCATGGTCTTGGAGCAGCCGGGAGGGCCGTAGAGGAGCACGCCTTTTGGCGGTTTCGACATCTTCGCACGAGGGCCCGTGGGGTGTCGAAGCACTCTTTGAAGCGCAACTTTGACCTCCTCGTATCCGCCAATGTCGCTCCAGCGCACGGTGGGCGGCTTGAGATTTATGTCGTGCATAGCGGTAGGCCGCACTTCCTGAAGTCCCTTCACCACGTCATCCCACGTTAAGGGGTGTGTTTTGGAGGGGCTTCCAACTCGTTTCCTCCATGCCTTGGTAGCCCGGTAGAGGACTTTGCGCAGATCTGCGCCTGTATACGCGTGTGTACGGTCGCCAAGGTCTGACACGTATTGATCAAATACATCAGCAGAAAAAGTCGGCTTGTGGTGCTTTATGATCTCTTTCCGACCTTGCGCGTCCGGAACGGGGAGCGCGATATGCTCTTCAAACCGACCAGGTCGTTGAAGGGCATGAGGAATATCATTTAGATAGTCGAGACAGGTAGCAACTACTAAAACATGAGGCCTCCTATTTTGTTGACGTGCCTTATTTGTTAGAGCATCAAGCCCCTCGCCGATAGTCTCAACCATAACCTGTCGGTTTGACTGATCTTTTCCTATCAATTTCGTTATATCATCGATTAAGATGATGGTTGGACTACGCTGCTCGAGCGCTGTTTTAAAGTAAGTCTGAATTGTCGAATACTTATCGTTATAAGCGACTCGAACAACTCTACCCCAGTTCGTAGCCGCAATATGGTCAAGTAGCATTGATTTTCCCGTCCCATGGCTTCCATGGACTATAATTCCACATGAATAAGTTGGTGTCGTGTATCCTTCAAACTCAACATCGAAATCGTTGAAGAATTCATTAAGTTCGTTTATTTGACGCTGCATGGCTGGGAGTGGTTTAACTCCTAACTTACCCCCAGTACTCTTTGCATCGTCATTGGAAAATTCGACAATGGTAGTTCCAGGAGCGTATTTCGCAACACAATCCGTTCTGCCATTCACAGACGTAACTACGAATGAGCGTCTCGACCCGTTCAAGACAATTTCTTCAAACGATATTTCGGGTAAGATGAATTCAGCTACCTCTACATACAGTCAGATTGAATTGTACATGGTGGGATTGCAAAATATAACAAGAATATGTTCGAAAATAAACAAGGATATAAATTATTTATCCACGCCCAACACTAACACAAGTTGCAATTCAGGGGTAGTTATTATAAATGAGAGATAAAGCCTCCATTATTCAAAGTTACAAATATGAGAAAGGACCATAGTGTAGCTCACCTAATCGGCTTTCTAGATGATATTGCCATCTTGTCTGTTCCGAAGAAGGCAGTGGAACTGAATCGGGGGTTGTTTCTCTCATAATAACAACGCCAGCGTCAGGAACGGGCCCATTGCCAGGAGTCACCCTAGCTATCTGGCCAAGCTCTACACCGGCTAGCTTTTGAAAGACTCGACTAATAGAGATTATGTTGTTGGCAACATTCTTGTCGGGAGCCGGCCAAGCAACTGCTTCCAGTCGAACGGGACCATCTGTCTCAACGTTGCAGAGATGTGCTGTGGTAAAGCCGCCTTGGGCGAAGGTTGTCGGATGAATGAAGATTTTAGCAGCATTCTTGTATGTTGGGTTCTTTTGGTTTGCAACATCCTGCGGCTGAAGCCGTATTTTGAAATCGTCTCTTCCCATTGTTGTTGGTTTATAAGTTCAAGCAAATCTTCGGCGATGTCTTGATTTGGGTATATGCAAATTTCATCGATATCCAGGCGGCTCGTTATAAGCAAAAAGACTCTTATAATTACGACTGGCTTTGATATTGAAGCTTGTAGTAATATCGCTCATTATAGATGCCGAGAATATAGATTTCTTTTCAAAGCTAAAAGTCTATAAATCGAGATATCAGACTTCTCATATGGATGTATCTTGTAGTATCTAAAATGATATATTGTGGGATTAAACGTACAGTGCGGGGTACCATATCAACTGCGTTAACCAATAGAAATCATCTAAAAAGCCCTATGAAGTAAGCCTCAATCGCTATACCAGCAGTAAGACCGTGCGGATTATCCCCTCACTACCTTGAAACTCAATTGGCTCCAAGCTTTTTTCCTTCCATATAATTCAACTCACAGCTGCATTGCAATGCGTTGGGTATCATACCTCGTCGCCTCATGCTCCTACGACAGCTCCAGCGGCCATCCTCACGATCGCTAGCCGCTTTAGCAGCATGGCGACCAACACTAGCAGCTACCGCACCGCTGCACGGTAGCAGCCGCCGGCAAGAATCCAAATCGACTCCTCCCCCTTCGCCTGACGAGTCCGAACCAAAATCCGACCAAGATGACGAGCAACCCACAAGCACGCCCGCGTCTACCTCATCCTCACCGTCCCTCTTCGAAAAGTTCTTCCCCAACGAAGCAAAGCAAGCCCGCCTCTCCTCCAACCCCTGGTCCTCGCCCCTCTTCCCGGAGCCGCCCGACACACCCCCCGAAATCCCCGACCTAAGCGACCTCGACATCGACACCGAACCCACATCCACATCCACCAGCACATCCGGCGAAGTCCCCCTCCGCGCCAAATCAATGCTGATCCTCAGCGCGGCCAGCGCCTCGCTCGTGGAGCCCGACTTCCTGCGCCTCGGGCCGCAGGGGTACCACGTGGAGGGGTGGGTGTCCGGGATAACGCGCGTCGTGCAGGCACGAGACCCGGACACGCTGCGGCCTTTGGGCCACTACTTCGTACTGTTCGACAGCGACGAGTCGGCTCTCGCGTACCAGGCCGAAGTCGCGCGGCTGTGGTCGCTGGCGAAGCGGCACGCGCAGCGGCCCGCGGGCAGGGTGGGGATGCACTGGAGCCGCAAATACAACGACAGCAAGAACAGGGGCGGGAAGGGGAAGGGGCCGCCGGCGGGGGCCTTGCCCCCCGACGTGGCCGCCCAGATCAAGGGCTTCACGCTCGTGCCCCCGAGCCAGAAGTACCAGATCGGGCTCTCGACGGCGGCGAGCACCGCCAAGATCGAGGACCTGGATATCGGCGGGGCCTCGTTCGTGGATCGCCTGGCGGACCGCGCGGGCTCGCGGCACCTGGTTCTGGTGAAGGTCGACGGGGGCCGCATCCCGGTGGACATGCTGCGGCAGGCGATCGAGGAGGACGGCGTGGAGAGGAATCTGGCGTGGCGGGTGACGGACCTGCGGCACGGCATCTTGGCGTTCGGGACGAGCGGTTTGAAGAAGGCGGATAGGGCCGCCATGGAGCAGGCGGATGAAGAAGAGGAGGGAGAAGTGGGGGATGATAGGAAGTATAGGCGATATCCTCGTTTCGTCGTGCCCTTCAGGGATAGCGCCGAGGCACATCGTTTCGTCCGGGGTTGGCACCGGAGGCAGCTCAAGATACGCATGCATGCCGAGGGAGAGTCTAAGATGGTATCGTGGGATGAAACTAGAATACTAAACACCTCGGTACTATGGTGAGATATCCATCGAGTATAGAGGTATAACTATGAGACTCGAATCAACCAAAGTTCATTATCATCTCACATCTCGACACAGTTTATACGAATAGTCCAAGGCGATGGACAAGAACTTTCGGGATTCAGAAAATGACATGCTATTCTTAAGTTGAAGACGAGACGAGAAAAGAGACCATCGAATGCAGGTATCGGTATCAAGACTCTTCGCAAGGACGGGGAATCAAAACAGAGAGGACCGCATGACGACTGGAAAATGTATTAGACCCGTATCAACCAAACTCCGCCAATATAGTTCGCCATCACTAGCCCCCGCCAGGCCTCATTCTTCCTATTGTGCGTATGTGTGCGTGTGAATGTCTATCGTGAAGTAGTTACCGAGCAAAGCCTCCGCCTTGCTTTCTCTTTCTGACTGTACTCCATTTCCCTCTTTCGTTCTCAGGTGTGATACACGTTCCTCTCGTCTTCATTGGTCCATTGGGGGTTGTTTCTTGGTCTCTCCATAAATCATATGCCTCGGTCTACTGCAAACTTCGCTTGATAACAAGAAACCTGCCAGTCCTTCAAATCAGCCTAGCCTAGCTTAGCGCCTCGCCTCGCCTTTACACTTTGACAATTGCTATCTCTCGATTCGAAATAGTGCCTCTTCCTAACCTGCCTAGACAGCAACCTGCTTTAGCAGCATTTCCCTAGTCCACCGTTACCCTCTCCCTGGGCGACATTGACGCCGCCTGACGACGGGGCGTCCGCCTTAGAGGTGACTATGATGCGCTTCTTGATGTCAGCGGCTAGGCTGTAGAAGGCCTCGTCGATGTTGATATTGCTCTTGGCGGAGACCTCGAGGAAGGGAATGCCCAGCTCCTTAGCCAACGCCTCGCCCTGTTCCGTAGAGATGACGCGCTTCTCTTCCCAGTCACACTTGTTGCCGATGAGGATCTTGTTGACGCCTTCGGTGGCGTGCTGTTCTACGTTGGCAAACCATGTCCGGATGTCTGTAAATTACGTCAGCTTGTGAAGACCCTTGAATATTGCTGTGGATAGAACGTAAGCATGCCCCGATGCCCATAGCTCACTCGAGCCCCTCTTTAATTAAAATGGCAGCCTTGCGAGGCGGACAGGCATGTTCAAATAGACCGGGAAGTGGATGACGGTTCTTACTCTCGAAAGATCTTTGATCTGTAACGTCGTAAACCAGGAGGATGCCCATCGCGCCGCGGTAATAGGCCGTCGTGATGGTGCGGAACCGCTCCTGGCCAGCTGTATCCCAAATCTGCAACTTGACGCGCTTGCCATCTAGCTCGATCGTGCGGATCTTGAAATCGATACCGATGGTCGTGATGAAGGACGGCGTGAACGAATCTTCGCTGAATCGCAGCAGACAGCAAGATTTACCGACGCCAGAATCGCCGATTAGAAGGAGTTTAATCTATACCAATCGAACATCGTCAGTAAATACCGGGTGGTTTAGAGGATCAGGCATGGTGTAGAATGGGTTTGATGAGCCATGTTAGATATAGATGCCCTATCTATCTGATCTTGGCGGGCAGTTCGAAGGGAGAGAGAGAGAGGATGTCAAGGGGGAAGAGTGAAGGATGAAGAGTGACGGGCGAAGAGCGAAGAGTGAACATACTAAGAAGTCGTAGTTTCTGTTGCCCGACATTTTGGCAGAGTCGCTCGTCGTAGACGGCTGAGAATGCTTATGGGTATTCGCTCGTTCGTCTTGTTTGTCAAGGGAGGCAATGATGAGTTTCAGGATACTTCTTCGCTACTCTAGGACAAACAACCTAAGACGTGTCGTCAGATGTGGCAGTGGCAGTAATAGCGTATGTATGTAGTAGCAAAGGTAGCGGTAGCGTTAATTGGCTTAATTGGTGACCAGCGGTGGTACATTTAATTGTACCCTTGGTGACTTTTGGTCTTGGCGCAGTACTAGCAACTTTTGCCTGCTTGGGTACTCAGGTGCAAGTTTCTGGACTGCGTAGTTTCGGAAGATGGAACCTTGAAAGGCTCAAGTTCGAAAAATGTTAGTGGAACAATAGGATGGAAATGGATTTGAAAAGTGTGGGCCTTATGCACTAAGTCGGACGAAAAACGGTGTGCATCTCGACAATGCGAAGACTTAAAGGAGTTAATGAACTAATCGGGGTAGCCTCAAACCTTCCTCAAGTCAATGGATGTATCTAACAAGAATTTCCAACTTTCTACCTAGGTAGGTAGAGAGGAGTAACCGCCTGTGCCTAATGCTCTAGGGCTACTATTGCATTCTATTCTAGGTGACCCCTACGACAAGGCAGGTACCTAGTCTAGAACTTTAAAATCCTTAAAGTTAAAAGGATCTAATTGTAGGATACATCCTCTGCGTATCTTGCTTACATAAGGTATACGTGCGGTGGGACTTCTAATGCGTCCACTAATACCGATACGATGGACCTGGCGGTTTAGTTTACTGGGCCTACCTTGATAACAGCTGCTTCATCGAGACGCGTAAAAAAGGGGCTTGTTAGAATTCCATTTTATAGTCCCATATATAGTTGCATAGTACGTATGTACGAAGTAGGCACTTCTTTTTAACCCGAAGTCTAAGATAACTATAAGACATAGCCCATAAGCCGTCTAAGCATTACCCAATAAGTTATTTGACACAGTCAGGGGCGCTCCGCATTGAACATCAACTCAAAATGACAACTTCGCAGTACACGTAACCTACTTTTAGAACATACTGTCACTAACATTGGATTCTTACACTACTGGCCAATAATGTTTTATGATTTGGTTCGATAGACCGACATAACTATCAAAACTGCCACATTTATCTCAGCCACTTGGAATACGCCCAACGTATCCTATCCAAGGCCCGCAATTGCGACTGGATCCCTTTGAGGTTAGCAAGGTCGTCCAAGTCTTCCAGGAAATCCTTCTCAATGTCTGCCGGAATGAGGCTTTGTGCGAGACGTCGTAGCACATGTACTTCACATACAAGGAGACCGTGATCCTTGTACGACAAGAGGTTGTTCGGCGTCGGTGTTGCTTCTGATAAGATGCGGTCAATGTTGCGAAGGACCCGGACGCATTTGCCGGCTCTCCGGGTTTCGCGGAATCCTCGTTTGCTCCCTAGAACACCTCGGAGGTACTGTACCACTCCGACAGACACGAGAATACCAGGTGTAAGTCCTACGAAGCCAAAAACAAGTTCTTGGCTTCTTAGGAGAGCATCAATACCGCTCATGGCAACTTCGATATCGACCTTCGTCTTCTGCACCTGAATAAGCAACGTTCGGACCAGGTCACCTCGGACGGTACCCCTGAAAGGGCTACGCAAGTCTTTTTCGTACGCGCGAAGAATCGGAGTCACATCTCCCTCTCGGACTTTGGCCCTGATTTCGGCAACTTGCGATTCCGATAACGACGAGGCACCGGTTGCGGCACTTGGCTTGTCAAGCGCGAAGTCGACTACCATACGCTCCAGGCTTTCTTTGTCTGCCTGGAGGCTATCACGGCTCATAATAGCAATTTCGCTATTTGCGTCATGGCGAATGGTACCAATAACCTTACGAACAGGATCGATAATCCAGTTGAACCAAAAGTCTCGTACAGTAACACCGAGATCCCTTATCCAATGTATGATCTCCTGGTTCTTGTTGACAAGTATTCGCAGGATCGTAGTTGAGGAGAAGAGGAGTACTGTGGCCGGCAGCCAATATCTCACGAGTCTCGATGGCCGTCCATTTTCTGCCACGAGTCTCTCTGCTGCGGAGAGGTGTTCCGGCAAATGAGTATCCAATAAGTCCTGGATCCTTTTAGCTACGATTGCCGGACGGGTAATCTCATCCTCCTCAGCTTGGATCGATAACTCTGGATCCTCCTCGACACCAGCAAAAACTCGATCCTCAAAGTCGGCAACCCCAACGTTCAATGCTAGGACGTCCTTGAGTACCATGTCCATCAAAGCCACGCTTCGCTCAACGACCCCTTTCCACTCTTGATTTGCCGAGAGTATCATATCACTCTTTCCGTCGTCACTACCGTTGCTATTGAACACGAGACCTTCGTCGATTAAAACACCTAAACCACTTGATGTCATTTCCCTAAGCCTCTTCAACTTAACTTGTTTCTTGCGGGCCTCGGAGCGACAGAGAGCAACTGGCGACATAATTGTTCGGTGTATATTGAGAAGCGACCTTTCTCGTATGGTCTCTCTCACGATGCCGTAGAACTGTCTCCACCGTTGCGTAATGCTATTTTGGATAGCCTCTGCATGTGACCCATGTTCGAAGCCGCTAATTGAAGCGTCACCAGTCGCAAATTGCTGGAATCTGATCTTGCTGTCATGATAGATATCCCTAGTCCAAGCCCAAAGACGGATAGGAGAGGTTTGCACCATGTAGAAACTGCTATATGTTGGGGATGATACTACGTCGTCCCAATACCAGATATGGTCACTTAGCGGGATAATTTGATCTAGCAGTGTATCTAGAATGATACCGTACGTTTGAACAGTGGCTTTGCTAACCAATATCCATTCAAGCTCTGCTTCATATTGATTCGCTGATATCTCCTCGCCATGTTCTGACAGCAAGTTTGACTGGGATAGGAGAGTCTGGACCTGCCGTGCAGGGAGGACGCTTTGCGATCCCGAGCCCGCCGATAATGATTTGATGATCTTCAACAAGTCCTTCACACGAGGACTATCCAAATCTATGGAGGCTCGAGTGGCGTCATAGCTTGTCAAGTGGCTAAGCGGGACACGGTCCAGCTGCGCGTCCAACCGTCGTACTTGGCTAAGCAATGTCTAAGCCTCGTCATGGCTGATGGCAACGGGTTGGGGTATGAAGAACTTACTCTGCCACTAGGGACATTTTCCGCCTTGTTAGCTAGGACAGCGGTTCTCAGAAAGGGTTATATGGATCGATGCTCGGAGGTACGGTCGGACATAACTAATACTCTGGCTCATGTCATGACAGGGACCCGGAGCTGTCTTCGGTATTCCGTTGTCTCGGTAGATACCCAAAATTAGGGCAGGGTTTAGAAATTTGTTCGACCCAATAGGAAGGCGAATTGCAAATTTCTTGACTTCGTCTAGCCGACTCTTGGTAAGGTATTCAAGAGTTAAAAGGCTAGGATCAAACGATAGATGAGATTGCGGTGTGCGGGAGTGGAATATTTTACACAAGTCGAATGTTCGTCAGTCGATGTTTACTTCGAAGATTCGTTCCTGTCAGATGAGGTCATATGTAAAATCTTGGAAAAGAGAATTCCAAGCTATTGATTCGCGATAGACAAGGCTAAAATCTAGTATAATTGTGAAACTCTAGACTTAATTGGGTAAGAGGCACGGCAGTTTGGATTAGGTAAGATCAGTGAATTAGACAGTGAATGCACGGTGAATGCACGGTGAATGCACGGTGAATGCACGGTGAATGCACGGTGAATGCACGGTGAAATAACAGTGCACTTAGGTAATACTGAACTGATCGGGTAGGACGCCTTCCGGTCAGATGACTGCCGTAGATTATCCGATAAAGTTATCAGATCAGGTCCCAGGTTGGAAATTACCTTCAGTTCCTCAACGCACTAACAATTTTTAAATACGAATACGACAGCCACTTAAGTCTCACAGATGCGCGTCCCCTAGTAAAATTTCCCCACAACGCATCAAGCGGGACGGGAAGAGCGAATTCCAGGTGGTCTCATTGTGGCAGCATCCCACTGATTGGTCGTACGTCTAGTAATAGTCAGGGGCCCTTGAAAGTCAAAACCTCTAATCTACTCCTTATCGCTTTCCACCGCCCCTAATTTCTCGAACTACAACAAATATCCGTCGTCTTCTCGACTTTTTTTTTCCCATTCCTTCCAGAACATCCTCATAACCAACCTAAGTACCTTGGCAACTTGGGAACATTATCTGGTCTTCAATTGAGGGAAGGGTCATTTCGAAGACGTCGATATTTCCGTAATTAGTCCACCATGGCTACAATGTAAGTCGAGCTTCCTCATTCGCTCGTCGCGTTCCGATCCAGTCCAATGTACTAACTACGCGCTTTCACAGCAATGCTACCGTCGTCGGTGCATTCACCAATTACGACACGTATATGGGTGTTTTCGAGGAGGTTTCTAAGTACAATGTCCAACTCAACATCGTAGAGCGCTTGTGGGCTGTTAGTTCATCCCCTAAACACCCTAAACACCGCCGGGCCAGGCACCGTACAGTAACTGACTCGCTATCCTAGGCATGGTATCTATGGATGCAGAATGATACGCTAGCGACGGGAATCATGAGCTTCTTGATGCACGAGATCGTCTACTTCGGCAGGTGTATACCTTACATGGTCCTCGACTGCATTCCCTACTGCAACAGATTCAAGATTCAGAACCAGAAGATTCCGACATGGAAGGAGCAATGGGAATGCGCTGCCCTAGTTCTTCTCAGCCATGTCACTGTCGAACTTCCTCAGATTTGGCTCTTCCACCCTATCGCTACATACTTTGGCATGGACTACGGCGTTCCCTTCCCTAAGATTCAGACGATGGCCCTGCAAATCGCTGTCTTCTTCGTTATGGAGGATGCGTGGCACTACTGGCTCCACCGGGCTCTGCACTACGGCCCTCTGTACAGGATGATTCACAAGCTTCACCACACTTACTCCGCACCCTTCGGTCTCGCCGCTGAGTATGCTTCGCCAATTGAGACTATGCTTCTTGCGCTCGGAAGCGTCGGAAGCCCCATCTTATGGGTCTCTATCACCGGCGAACTTCACCTATTCACCATGTACGTTTGGATCATCGGCCGTCTCTTCCAGGCCATCGACTCGCACAGTGGATACGACTTTCCCTGGAGCTTAAGGCATTTCTTCCCCTTCTGGGCTGGTGCTTTCCACCACGACGTCCACCACGAGAAATTCATCGGCAACTACGCCTCTAGCTTTACATGGTGGGACTGGATGCTCGACACCGAGTCTGGCCCCGAGGCTGCCAAGCGCCGTCGGGAGAGGATGCTGGCCAAGAAGATGACCAAGAAGGCTCAGTGAAAGGCTCAAATATCCTCGCAATGGGACATGATTTGGGATATGAGGCGGGTCAGCTAGTGATGACTTTACGCCAGTCCCTTTGAGAACACTTGCTCCTGGGTATCAGAAATTGCTGGCCACTGACGGAGGACAAGTTTACCAAATTGCACAGACGCAGCACCTAGTGGCCCCCCAAAAAGCCATTCTACGATTTGCGTCGATCGTTAATACTATAGACTCGGACTGGCTGCCCTAATACACCTTGTAATTAATAAATAACGAAGAGAAGAGAAAGCTACTAGCATAGATTAATATCAAGCTCGGCGTCCTTCAATGGAGCCAAAGCAAAGTTCACACAAATTTCCGAGTTTGCCCTATGAGTGTGAATGTACGCTTGTGATGATCATGTTCGTAAACTAAGTTTTGAGTGCTGAGGTATCATAGACGATCTAGCGTAAGTTTCAAGTATATACACTATACACGTTTGGTCAGCTTGAAATGGTCAGCCTTAGGTTGATCATCATCATATAGATCGGGATAAACTTCGAGCACGTATTCGATATGGCCTGATGTTTAAATGCGTATGACCTCTTGAGCCCTCTATTTTTTAGGTGTGCAGCAGTCGCCAGCATTAGTGACCGCGCGGTCAGCCACCTGCTTTAGCACACAATTGTCATCACCGCCACTAGCCTCCTCAATAATCTCACCGAAGTCTTTCGCAAGACCGTCGCAGATGGCAGCCAGCTCGACGTCCTTAGTAGAAAGGCCTTTCGGGTTATGGGTCGTCCACCGAATATATGTCGTATTATACACCTGTGAGCCGATGACGAGGTAGATGAGTCAGCAGTTGTATATCATCGGTAAGCAAGATGAGGGCAGCCATGTGATTTTATATCCATCCAGTAGGTCCACGATAGAGCGTGAGTGATAGCACTAGCAGCTGCTTTCTCCACCTCCATATGAAACGAGGATGGCAATTCGTAGCTCGAGGCTGACGCGCGTGTTCTAGAACTTATGCTAAATCGATACCGAGTAGCACATGTGGTAGATACAAATCTCTTCTGTTACCGAGATGGGGTAGCGGGGGGTTCGCCTTACGTTGGACCATTCTGGATGATGATTCTTTAGCTTGCATTGCAGTGACACTGCAGTCATGAAGTCCTAAGAGATCAATATTGATTAGCAAATCCCGTCTTCGCTCTCGCTTCTCCAAGACGGACTATGAAGCGGCCTTGGGACGGCTTTGAGGATGATGCGATGGTAGAGATAATATAGGCTTTTCGGGCATCAGCGGCGCCCGGGATAGACTACCCCGGAGCCTTATTGATACCAATTCATCCAGCAGGCGGCTATATCAATGATATTGGGACCCAAAGGCCGACACCGGCGAATAGGGTTTCGTTGGCGTCAGCAGGAGACGATTGCCCTCTCAAGATCAGTCATGGCGTTACATGGTGGTAGGCCACGGCGCATTTTTCCTGATTCAAGATTCGAAAATTGGTCCCTCGTGGAGTGTAACACCCTCCGGGATTCTAATCACGGTCTCCCGTCATCAATGCCCAGAGGTTGACCGATCATGCGAACCAGCGTCCAAAAAGAGCCAAATCTGGCGACAAGGCAATGGTTTGGAGTTTGCATGCTTAGCCCGCCGGCAGTTCTCACTTTTCCTCAGTCTAGGCTCATCGTCCGACCCACTACCACATGTATCAGGGTAAGGTAAGGAGAGACATAGCGCAAAGGTTGTTCCAATGAGGACTCTCGAGAGTGGTTGTAGTGGGATAGAACAAATGTCGTATCCAATGCCGTTCTCAGAAAAATGGCACGACAAGAGAGACGGGACCCGACGGCTGACTTACCCACGTCTTCGCAAACGTCTTGAACCTAAAGCTCCTTTCGATACCTTCGCCGCCGGGAATTAGCTCCCACCGGCCGCCGCGACTTGCTGATGCCAGCAGAGGTTCCAGAGCCCGCATCAAGACCGGCTCATCGACGCCAGCGGAGAACCGGGGCGCATTAGCTTGCGGAGATGTCGCCATAGCTATTGAGCTAGAGAAATCTCGCTGCCTCTGATATAAGAAGTCCTGTACGCAAATGCGTGCCGTTCCATGGATCTTGCTTGAGGAAGCTACCCTAGCGCAGCGAAGCAGAGGGCGCGCGTATCGGTTGGACATTAGGCGCGATGTAGCTATTATTAGATAGTAAATAGCTTGTGGTGTAACATGTGAAGTCTCCTCGTATGACTGCTCTCCAATCGAGGAAGCAGATTGCGAATTATCCTGGTTTGCTTCCGTTATGATCGTGTGGGGATATGTATGGGTAAGCGAAGTTTGATATCAGATTGGAGAATTCCCAAAGTGATTTAGGTAATCAATTGCACTATGGATAGAGGTAGTTTCTACAAGTCACTTTAGGGTGGCCTAAGCTTAAGTTTGTGTTACCTGCTCAGCGCTCCAGTTAAGTTTATAGTAGCGGTAACATTTGTGTGACTGGAGATCCCTCTTTCCAAGAAGTTAAATTGATGACAAACCAGAGCAGTAGTACCTACATGTATATGTATGTACCTGTATAATACCTAGTAGCTTCGATCCCATTTCTACTTTACATATGTATGTAGTAGATATTTAGCAATTGATACCGAACAGTTGCATATGGTCATCTGTTTCAAGAATTCCCATATGGGGTCGCGTTATTATACCCAATTCAGTACTATGTAAGCTATCCCTTTCTAGCCTTCCCAAATCCGTATTCGTCCGTATCTGTCAGCAGACAGCGGTGACAGACTCTTAGTGTAGTACTGACCGCCTGAACAGACGAGGACCTATTGAGATGGGACGATGAGACCTCACATTACAGCACCTACCGGACGACAAAATTACCTCCATATCAATTTCGCAATATGTACCTAGGCGATCATATGTGGTCTTCAGCTTACATGCGACTCGGTGGGTTCCGGGATAGCAACCTGACCCTCCCACGTGGGCGCCTCCTCTCTTCCCGCTGCAGGCATGGCATTTTCGTCGACATGATACACGCCACACGTAACGGTATTGGGGATTGACCTATTCATTCCCGGCTACAAGGCTGCCTATCGTAATCAGGGACACCAATATCTAATGCACTGGACGATACTCTGAGTTGTTCACTTATCGTGTGTGACACCATCGTGCCCTGTCGACTTATTTTAGATGATAGAAACCCGAGGGCTGGAAGGGTTGCTCATCTTCGCTTTTGGAGTCTAGCGGTCTGGCTATAAAAAGACGATTTCGGAGGTTCCAAAATCGTGTTCCTAGTTTCTAAACTCCGAAGGTTCAGCCTCTGCTAGGGTATCCTTATTCTCGGAGTTTCAAAGAGCCAGTCTGTGCTTCCAAGCCTTACGCTCCGGCTCCTTTAGCGAATGCCTTCTTGGGGCAGAAAGAGCCTAAGTCGAAAACTCGTTGAGGCATCTTGATCTTGGTATATTTAAGCCGTTCACAAGCGGTACAGCCATCTGTAAGTGTAGCTCGTAAGCACCCCGGATCTAATATGGGTTAACAGCCACCTCCTTCATAGATCTTACATAGTATACCTAGAGAGGTTATTCGTATCAGCCACATGACTTTCTAATCTGCCCGACTCCTAACAGAGCCTCTCGGAATTCGAGATGGTTATGCTAGAGTATCAAGTTGCTTGTTCCTTCCACGCCGGCGGCTCTTCTGATCTCCGGCAGGCTCTCCGATGTCGCTTGAGTTTCTCCTTGACTGTTGAGTAGAATCTCCCCAGTGTAGTTCGCAGCTTCCAGCTTTGCTCCTTAGATCTATGAATCCTCCACTAGTATTGGGGAGTGGCTCAGAGGAGTACAATGCATGGTGTCCATTCTCTGTAGGCATATCCTAAATGTGGGAATGACCCTGAAGATATTCAACAGAGAATCAACAACCTGTGGAACGGTGAACGGAACTATTTTGCCCTAGGCTAGACAGTCGAAGAAGCTACCGAGTTGATGAAAGGAGAAAGGCGCCGCTTTCAAATTTACCCCGACACCTAACCAATGCCTCTACCATCCCCTAAAGGCCTAGGTCCCAATTTGAACAGATATTCGAGAAAACAAAGCTCTCGACTAAGTGAAATAGTCCTGGGCCAAGGCCAAGCATTTAATCCAAACCTTATTTCAGAATGGATAGTCCATGGCATGTGTTCCTCTTGCGAGAATACTACCAGAGCTTCATCATGTTATTAAGGGGGGATTTAGTCCGTCACGATCGTTGAAGCTGACTCCGCAGACTTCCGATGTCCTAGCCACTCAACCCAACTCAACTTCTCGGAGCAGATGGTGAAGAATATGCCATAGTCTAAGTATAATAAATGCGGTTACTTCCAGTCCCATGAAAGATATTACCGTACCTAGGATAGAAAGGGAAAGCCGTAAAAGCTGCCGTAACCGACGCTAAGTCACAGTCATACCTGAATTACCCCTATAGTGACATAGGTATTACAGCTAACCCCAGCACGGGTGTGTGTAGATCACACACATATAATATGCAATGTCAGCACCAACATTGTCCATACTACTTTGATAAACTTACGTTCCGCATTCCCAATCGGGCCCTTTTGCAGACTAGCGAATCGTGACTGGTTGGTTATAGGAGATGACTTGTCCTGAGCTCATTAGTCATTATGTGTAATTGGCCATCAACAACTTAAACGAGTAATACTAAGAAAGCGGGTTAGCGTTATCTCCGTAGTGGTCAAGATCTCTCGAAAGGTGGAACATGTCGTGCTGGAATAAAGCGAAAGGTAGTGCTCACTTTTCCCGTCTACACACCGAAATTCCGTTGTTTGGAAAAGCCTACCTATTCGAACTCGTCCCAGAGCGCAAGGCTCGATGTCTCAAGTTGATCTCGCTTATGTTATGTTACTAAGTATAAACTTGAATTTAACGTTGGCTCGTGAGACGTAACAGTGTTGGCATGTTGGCCATTGCCGCCCAGTCACACAGCATTTCCGGGCCGAGGGCGACACGTTTCTGCATTGAAATTGCAACATAAGACTTGGTTGCCAGTATAGGATATTATGATTACTAATTCTATGCTGATCGGATGGTCCGTCTTTGTTACTATCCGGGATGAACTCTTCGTCTAGCAAGTCTGGTGATGCTGGCATGACGTCGAAGTAGCGCCGAATGTCGAAAGCAGTTAATAATCTCCAACTCCAGCTATAAGTAAACTCCAGGTACTTATAGCTGAGCCGACATGCTCGGATTCAGATCGGGCTAGGATATAATTCGCAAGCGCGTGTGGGTAAACCACTAAATACCTAGTATGAATGATGATAGGACACTGCTAGCTGAGGGCAACGGGGTTAAGAGAGTTCTATCACCGAATTCTTCTCCAATTTCAAAACGATGGGCGGTCGTGCGGCACGGTGACTTGAGGCTTTCTGCATAAAACAAAAGTTCAACAAACCATTTTCAGGCATCAATACTACAATGCTACTCACTCGCTCTCGAGTTGCAGATACATATAGGACTGTGCAACCGAGCAGGATTATACGGGGTTAGCAACTCAATGGCCTTGCCATCCATAAAAGAGACAAGAGAGAACTGTTACACAGAATAATCAGTAAGCGAGTAGGTACTTTTGGTCTCAGTAGACTGTGTCTCGCATTGGAGCTTTGCGAAGCCTTCGGGTCCTGCCTTTTTTCCCCCCCATCTATCGTTTATCATCGTGTATCGTGACGGGATGGTTCAAGAGCCGGACGATTCCCTATCAAGACATGGCATTTTCCTGACGACGCCAATACATCAGGCAAAAATGGCTGATAAAAAGTGACACAACCTCTCAATATCTGGTAGGTGCGGGTGGTGGAGGGGATAGATCGACAGGATTACTAAAGAAACGACGCGATAGAACCGGCTTTCCGCCTTAGGGTTGTTTAACGTGTAGACGCCATAACGTCTCTGGTTGCTTGGCAGCGAATAGAGTAAGCGAGCTGTGGGAGACGCGCAATTAAAAAAGCCAGATACGGCGAACGACAAGAAAAGTTCTCCAGCTGGAGCGCAGAAGAGGAACGAGGAAGACCTTGTTGCCGACGACCGCCGTAGAACGCCAAGACTCCTGGGGAGGTGCGGGAATATATTGTCCTGCGAATCAATCTCGATTCTTCCAGGTTGTTTGGGATTGGACGGTGCTATGCGAGATCCAACATACTACCTACGTACATACATACATACATACATAGACTACCTAACTATGTTCTGCTATGCTACATACGTACATACATACATCCGCCCACCCATACATCCATACGGGACGTACGTAGTATGCCATCAAAGAGATATCCATTGTTGATTAGGTATGGAGAAAGTTGTTTACCTAGTCGACACTCGCATTTATGCCTGTTCGCGGTGCATATTACCCGAAAAGGAAATCAAGAACGCTCCCAAGTTCCAAGGGTTTTGAGGCTCCGAACTTTAATCTTATCAAAAGATGAGGATTACCTAAAGAAGCCGTGTGTTAGGTACGTATGAAAATTACATAATTATGGTCTCACACGCGACTATTATTACTAATACACATACTAATACTCCAGCGGTACTTGGCTTCCTTAGGTATTATGGGTACTGGCATTGAGGCAACTAAATCCAAGGCCTTTGATTCGTGAGATTTAACTGGTTTGCCCGGAAATAATTCATCAACCCTTGATGATTTGCTATTGACCGTTTTTATCCAATACGGTAGGAAATCAACCAGATCGCGTTACGGAAAAGACCCTTGGATATTCCCTTTTTCTACCTAGTCCGCCGAACTCCCGTCGTTTCATTGTCCAATCAGCTGAGCATCGCAAGGGACCCTGCACATAAAAGCAGTACATCTCGATACCAGGTCGCCAAGATAACAGGGATCCATGTGGTTTTGGTTTATTACTAATAAACCGTGCGCTTGAACGAGGGCATCTTTAGCCTGTAGCATTACGTAAGTACACGTTTGGAACTTTTGCACTGACCTTGATCTACGCAATATCTCCTCGGGCTGTATTGGATCGAATCGAATCGAATCGGTAACGGGCAATACAAAGTTCATAGTAAATATGCCCTTTAATAGGAATGTAGGAGAATGTTTTTTTGAGACCTTGATTTATCCAACTTCGTGTAGTACACCTTACGTAATAAAGTGAGCACAAGGAGGATTGAGATGTGAAGCTTTTTAAGACCTGCAAGCAAGAAAACCAAGGTGTAAGGGGACATTGGCATCGAAAGCTGTACCAGGTTAACGCTAGGGGTGTGCGTGTAGTTAGAAGATTGTAGCCGAAGCTCCCAAGCCCGAAAACACACAAAGAAACGAAAAAGAAAAGGCAAAAAAGTCCGATCTTTATTAATTACTAGTCTTTTCATTAACTCAGCCTCAATTGCACAACCAGGTACACCTTACCTAAGGTTTTATCTCGAGTGGTAAATATTTATCCATTCGCGTACCGCACATATTTAATATGCGTACACTAAATGGATGCTTACTTTCAAGGTCGCTTGATGGTTGTTTATGTGACACGAAACATTGAAGCGAAGCTATGGAGACAGGATAACTACTTCTAAATATATCGGAGGTTATTATGATTTCGTACTTTGCAAGTACATGTGCATACGGACGTAAATGTGGAGTGGGATGAATTACTTAAATAGGAAGGGGGACTCATAGTTGCGTGTGACGGCATATGAATGAAAGAACGAGCAGGTACGCAACAGGTACAAGCGCAGTCAAAGCGATAGCGAACTTTAACTGAAAGAAGTTGCCTCGGCCGACAATGCGGAAACCGAGTTTCGCGAGGTATCATTGATGGGAAGGAAGCTGCTAAGCTGCTCTGCAGCCTACATGATGTAGCGTGAGGTAGGTGGACAGGAGCTTTTAACTTATGGTGCCTGTGGTTACAAGCTGTTTCGGGTATCAATTTGCAACTTCCTCATTGTTGTGGTTATATTGCTATTAGTCAGGTTACACGAATGACAAACCAACATTGATTACGAAGAAACAACGCCAACCACTCCTCCACACATCATTCCAATCCTGTGCACCCCAACACCACCAACACGCATCTCCCAGACAGCCCAAGTCCAAAGAAAAGATTAAATCTCCCGCCGGCAGTTCGACTATTACCTAACCACCCAGGAACCTAAAGATCGTCCCGTTACGCAAACTTCTCCAGCTATCTTTGGGATCCCACGGATAGATAATTAAGACTTTTTACGTACATACATACATACATACACCACACAGGTTAGTTAAAAAAATATTCGGATTCGGTCAGCTATCAAACCCACAATCTCCACAAAATACCCTATAATTCCAATTTTCATCCGTCCCTTTTGATTGCTTTGGCCGGTGGTAGTCCGTGGGAGGAAGCTACGGAAGCTACGTACGGGTACCAGTGGTGCCAGTGGCACAATTAGGGCGAGAAACAGCTGCATGTGCTGACAAACCACATTAACTTCCACTCGCATTCTGATCATTCAATGTTGACCCCAGTGCCCAGCGCCCCAGGTGCCTCGTTCTTTTTCCTCTTCGGACATTTCGGTCATCCATAATCCGCATACTGTACTAAGTAGGTATTACCTTACCTAAACCAACAAGCAGTTCAATATCCACTTACTTTAGGTACTGACTCTTTCTTTATTGGTAATAGCTCGGGTTTTAACCTAAACACTGTGTGGCACTGTTCAGCTCCCGCGCACCAGCCACGGGACCGAGCATTTCGCATTTGCGTTCGGTCCGCTCTCACTTATTTTTCCTCACGAGGTATTTTGTTCTACCTATTTCATCTCGAGGGCTACTTACTTCATCATTCCGAAATTATTAACCAACCTACTTATTAAACGTCGCTGAATAATCTATTACCACAGATCGGTCACGTGGAGAAACGGGTATCACTGGGTCCTTGGGTCCTTGACGCAGTGAGGTCACCTTGAATATTCTGCCGACGCCAGATTGGGTAGGCTATACGACTAGGAAATCCGGGGCCTCGCATTGGTCTAATCGTCCTGCCACTCGCCGAATTTCACCAGGAATACATGAATACATACACTCGGTACTCAGGTTGTTAGGCCACCTACTCAGCAAATATCCAACTTTCCTCTACTAAACTATAGTATCGACAGCATCGACGCTATCGACCACTACTACCTTGACTCATCAGTTTTCGGCAGCCACCCCGCTAGGCGCATTCAACCTTTGGAACCTGCGGAAGTGGTATTCTAAGTTGCGGGCGCGCGCAACTAGTAAATTCACAATATTGTCGCCTCGTCCGTATCGATAAAATACGCTATAGGCCACCTTCGCTACATTTTACTATTCAGGCACTCTTAGTCGTTGGTCAGTTCAGCAACTAGAAACATATCGTGACCCCTTTCTCACTCCAGCCACAACGTTCGTCTCAAACCTTGGTGTGCGATAAAACACATCCCAGGCTGGACGCACCGCGCATCTACATACATACATCAAGTACCTACTCGGTGTTCGATTTACCTTTTCCACCCCCTGCGAGGACACACGCCGTCCTTACTCCGAGCGGAGCCGTTGCGCGCGCTCCTCCTAATAGTGCGTTTTGGCGTTTTGGACGGAACCGTTTCCGTCCCTGCCGCGACCCCGTATTTCCCTGCGTATTTCGCTTGCAGTAAAACGGTCTCACAAGTCGTCACCACACACAGAAAAGTATCGTAATCTTGATGCTGACTCAGACAACCAAGATGCAGAACAACACCGGCCAAACTGGTAAGTTGCCGCTCATTTTTTAGTCCTTTTGTCTGGCGCTACACTAGATTTTCCCACTATCATCATCATCGAAACCTGGACACCCCCACCCCCCTTGTACTATTACAGCCACCCCTCCACCGTGACGCCGCATTACTGCGCAAGGCGCACACCCCCTTGGATCACCCCCCAGCTTCTGCCCTGACCGTCTAAGTCGCTTCAAGTCACTTGAGGTCACCTCTTCGCTGCGAACATGTAATCAGACATACCTCATATGCTGGCGCCAGGAGTTTTCTCTCTATTGTTACTTTTGACGGCTTCGGGGTCGCGTCGCAAGGTCAATCTGGGATCGATCCACTTGCTTTTCCGGTGCCCCATATCACATCCATTACGAAATACCCGCCAACACCCTTGACAAGCTTTCCCTACCTACACTTACATACATATTCAGTGTGTAGTCCGCCTCATTTGCTTCGTGGCTTAAACTCTGATACCTTTTTTTGTGTCTCTTATTCCCATTTTTAGACATATTCCCGGCTCCTCACTGATCTTCATTTTTTTCTTTATTACTGACATAACATCATTGTTTCAGACGATTCTGAATTGCGCGCGAAATTCGATCAGGACGCAAATTATTTGACTCGCTCACCATCTGCGTCGGCGCCATCTTCACTTCCAACTGTCGCTACTGCTCATCCCACCTTGAAGCCCATACTACCGTCACCCCAAGCGCATGGATACGGCGGTTCTAGCGTAGAGGCTCAGTCGCACATTCACCCTCAGCTTAGAACGTCTTCTCCGGGTGTGTCAGCATCTGATATGATGCAAAGAGGAGTGTCACCTCCGTCCGACGACGCCGGCCCAGTCTCTGGATCTCCCGGCATGGCTGCCCAAGGCCTCCTAGGGCACGACCCTGATGATTCCGTGACCGATGGGCGAAAGGCGAAGCGCGAATTATCTCAATCGAAGAGAGCCGCCCAAAATAGAGCAGCTCAGGTGAGTGGGGACCTCCTCCCTTATTTTTCAATGATTTGCAAGCTGGAGCCGCGCCGTATTCAATACGGTTAGAGAGCCGAATATCTTATTTACTTGTTCGGTGTACACGGCTTGTACATACAGTACATGCTAGCTTGGCTCCACCGTCCCAAGACCCATTAGCGCGTATCATTACGTAACTAACTTGTTTCCCTAGCGTGCTTTCCGACAAAGAAAGGAGCACTACATCAAGAAGCTGGAACAGCAAGTTCGAGATTTTTCAGAGATGGAGCAGAGTTTCAAGGCGGTCCAGAACGACAATTACGCGTTACGCGAGTACGTCATACAATTACAGTCTCGCCTCTTGGACTTGCAGGTCGAATTACCCCAGCCGCCGCCTAATGTGAACATCACGCCTCCTACCGCGGCATCTACCAGCACTCGTGGTGGACACGCAAGCACAGTCCCTGGATCTGGTCCTAGTAACAACAATGCCGGAACTTTGGCGGACGTCGCGGCAGCCGTGCAAGATTTAAGAGCTCGAGAGCCCTCCGCGGATGGGATGTATCCGAAACAGGCCTACAAGGCGGAAGCCAACGAAGAGACGCAAACTGCGGAAGAGATTCGCAGGCAGCTACAGCAGGACGGGTTACCGGCTCCCTCGTCCCTGCGAGCCTAGTCATCTCAGGCGAGGGATCAGGCCACCTACGGTTTGAGAAACCAGCATATGCCTGGCGACTATTATCAGCAGTACACCTATTCCGGACAGAACGATTTCCAAGGAAATACTTCTAACGGAAACGCACCCGCGAGTGGCAGCTTCTATGGGATCTAGAGCCCATCGCGGGGATTCTAGAGGGGCAGCGAAGATGAATGAGGGGATGGTAAAACAGGAGATTTTGATTTCGGCTACAAGCCTAATCTTATACCTGTCATAACGTGGCGTTAAGGGCTCGCATGGTTTTATTTTTCTCGAACAATTGGAGGGTTAAGGCGTTTGAGAGCATCATACCTCAGGTTGCGATGGCCTTGCCATGGCGGACGGATGTTTCGCAATGGCTATAGATGGTTATTACTGCATACCCGGCACGACCGAGGGGTAACAAAGACGGTACGATAGGGGGCTTACTACTACTTGGGAGGGAATCGAGCGTCGACTGCGTATGCTGGTGTGAGCTGAGCTCGTCCGCCCAAGCGAATACGTTGAAGTTGCGAGATTCGGGAATCGTAAGAAGAACGAAAGAGGTGGGCGTTTAATTGCCGAGCATTATAAACACGCGAGGCCTTTAGTGAGCACTACGAACTCCGAGGAATCGAGTTTCGATCTGAATGGTACACGCATTTGCCCGGAAAGATATTTCTACGAGTTTGTGTTGTCTTGGAATCGGTGTGATTTGATTTGATGATAGCATTGCATTTTGTGAATCGCCTGGTATGAATTATTTGAAGCGGTATCTACTAATCGTCAAATTTGCCTGAGTAGAAGGTATATTCTCCCCGCTGTAAAAGTAGTGATGGTTCACGAGTACGACCACATGGATTTCAAGTGGATTTTTTCCGATCCCTTTCTTTACTATCTTCGCTAGACGACGAATGAGCGCGAGAAGAGAGTAGTTTATCATGGAAATTGCTTCCCTCATCTCTCGCTTGCATCCGCGCCAGCTGCAGGTGGTAAGCTACGTATCCTTGCCCACACCGCCGCGACGACATGGTGCGATGCAGCCTAGGACCGAAGGATCGTCCCATCCCCGCCAAGACCTTGGTGACAGATCCGCCTAGCGGGCTACTTCCCGATCCTCAGCCCGCTTCGCTCTGGTCAAGCTACCTTTACGATACGTGATCCCCAAACCGTCGATCCGCCCGCCGCAGACAGGTAGGCAGGCAGCGCTGAAGGGTACGGTAGCAGTAATTAATAAATCCACATCCCATTTTGTGTTTCTCTCTCCCTCCCCTTGTCCTCCCGCCCGTCTCGTTTCTCCGAGCGGAGATCCGACATAAACCTACGTAGAAACCCTAACCCTCCTTTCAGTGTTCGTTGGATTCTGACCCGGGCAGGGATAGCGGACGGGTCGTTGCCGAAAGCGTAACCAGGTTTTTTCTAGGGATAGGAGTTGCCCATATCGTGTTCCTATATTTAAATCAGGAATTAGCTCGGTATCAAAACTGCTTAGCTAACTAACTAACTAGCTAGGAAGCAAGCAAGCAAGCATATATAGTGATGTTTATTTTTGTCTTCCGTCGCTTGACGAGGAAGAAAGGATCGAGTTGGATTCTCGTCTGCGGAATGGAATATGGTTTGCTAGCTAGGTTTACGGCGGATGTGTGGATAGATCGTGCACTGATTAAACTCCTCGACTTAGGTATCGTCGAGGCAAAAGAGCCGCAAGATATCTCAACATAACACCTATTTCCCCGCAGCTATTGCCGCAGATCTTCGGCTGTGGTCTGTATATGCAGAGATAATAATAGAATCAAAATTACGAACGTACCTTCAAGTAATCATGCCCCTTCTCCTGATACTCCGCCTTGGTCACCGTAGCCGTCTTCCAGGCCGGCGTGCCAACCCACTGAGCGGCGCCGCGCCACGCATCTAATAGCGCGTTGCTGGCCCGGCGAATGTTAAGCGGCGCATCGACGGGTAGTAGCGGCGTGAGCCCCTGGCGGAGGCGGGTGTCGAAATCGTTGAAGAGTGTGTTGCCGCCCGTTAGGAAGATGTCCTTTAAGAAGTCGTCGCGGTTTAGCCCCGGGATGCCTACGAGCCGCTGGGTGAGTATGTCGCCGGCAATCTCCACAAGTCCGGCCTGGTCGACGCCCGCGATGGAGGGCTGGAAGAGGACCTCCGGCACACGTATGCGCTCGACGTTGAGGTGGATCTGGTGGATCTCCGCCTGGGAGGACGGGTCGAAGGGTCGGGGGCCGCGCAGAAACGCGTGTAGGAGGCTCTTGTTCCAGTCATTTTGGGCCTCCCACGTATGCTCGTGCGTGAATCCCTCATCGTAACGAAGTAGGTCTTCCTCGAGCGTCTTAAGGGTTGCCTCAAGATCTTCCTCACCTTCTTCGTCATCACTACCGCCCTCGCCCACCTGAATTTGCCTATACACACCCCAGTCGTCGTCGTTGGCGCCGAAGTTATCGTCGTCTCCGCCGCGACGGCGTTTGCCTCTTGGGTTATCCGATGCGAGATTTGCGATAGACTTCATGCGAATTTGCGAAGCTAGAGATTTGCGGTTTCCGAGATCTGCCTTAAGACGATCTCGTTCCTTCATTTTCTGCAATGTGAGGTTACGTGCCACTCGCTTCTCCTCAAGCCAACCCTCAAGATCATTCTCACGCCGCTCTCTGTCTAACCGTTCTTCCTCTACAACGCGCGCCTTTTCGGCCTCCTTCTCCGCCTTCGCGCGTGCTCGTGCTTCGTGGTTTGATTTTAAGAGTCGCTGGTGTCGCTTTTGCTTTAGGCTAGCTTCATCTAACTGGTCATCGGGAACTTCAAGGAGGCTAAAGTCAGGTTCTTCCTGTTCCTCTTCCGGATCGCCACCCACGTCCTTCGTACGGGCGCGCTTGATGGATTTGTCCAGCTCTTTAATTGTACGCTCAAGATGCGCCTCATCCTTCATCTCTTCCGCGTCTAGGAGGCGTTTGGTGTCCTTTTTGTTTGCATCGTTTATCTTTACTTGTAGTTTTTTGTAATACTCCAATTCCTGCTCCTTTCTCATAAGTTTTTCTAAGCGCATCTTGGCGGCTTGCTCCTGTAATCGTCGCCCGCTTTCTTTCTTTCGCTCAGCTATCTTAGCGAGTTCTTCCTCGCTCTTTTGGATGATCACTTCTTCTGTAAACGGATACTGGATTACCACATCGCGATCTTCCAGTCCAGTCCAGTCTAAATACGACCGTAGCTCGTCATCGTATGACTTGGATATATAGCAATGATCTCTGATCATATGCTCAGCCTGCGAAGCGTTAAGTTTTCCTGGGAATGACGGGTATTTGAGACGGATGAGCTTTAGGAGGTATTCGGCAGCATGCCATCCTCCCCAATTCAGTCGGATAGCCTGTGCTAGCATAGCCTTCGAATCGAACACGGGGATGACATGGGTAGAGCTGTATGAGGAAGAGACCACTAGTCCGGTAGAACCCTTGTTATATCGGTAGGAGAAGAGAGAATCGATGCCGGTGGCAAATGACGGGGCCTGGTAGCATTCGAAGATGATTTCGTTCATAGCTGTATAAAACGTTAACTCAATTGAAACAAGAGAGCTTTGAAAAGCATACATTTTCGTGAATAAGGCAGGTTAGCCACGGCCTCGGTCATGACAATAGGCAGATCGATAGCACCGTCAGCATTGTTCATGCCCAATTTCAGAAACGTCCAGTCGAGAATATGCTCTTCCACGTCCCAGTTGCTAACGATGCCTGTCCCTGCTTCAAAAGCGTTTCTAATATGTCCGCGAGCAGTCGTGTCGGCGTAACAATCGTAGCCTGCGAAGGAATAGGTCTTGCCAAGTTTTCTGTCTCTATACTTGGCCATAATAGGAGGGATGCTCAACCGTGGCTTCGACTCGAATGACCATCCAGCTCTAACAGCGGACGAGCCATTGTCGATTACGATGGCGACGGTGCCGGCAGGCTTTGCTAGAGCCTCCTCGCGACCATCAGGCTGAGCGGGAGTGGGCTTCTCGAACTTGGTTTCCTTCACATTGTAAATTCGTGCGGGCGGGTAGGTCTTCTCCTGGCGCACAGGAAGCGCAGGAATATCGATCGCGGACGGCGCCATGTTAGTAGGATACGCGGTCGTGGTAGTTAAGGAAGTTGGCAGTGTTGTTGCATGGTTGAGTTATTGAGGTGTTGTAGATGACAAGTTTGTGTTATCAGAAGTGGAAGTAGAATTGTGCTATTAGTTTCTTTATCGATTGATAGTAAATTATGCCATCTATGTGCGTAATCTTTGCCCGTTACATGAATGGTGAACTTTTTTGAGTTCCTTCCACTGTTTAAGCTGTTTGTCGATGCAAGGCTGATGAACAGGCAAGCAGCTTGCCCTTGCTTTTATCGGAAGTCGGGACACTATATTCAGTGGAGGCCGCTAAGGTTGTAGGGTACATCAATGTACTTCTTACCTACGTATAAGCACCGCGTTCACGAGGGAGTCGCGCTTTCACACTAAAAACAGCGAGCACAGCATTCGGAGATTCAATGATGCACTGTTTCATTGTTTTTACTCAATTGACTGATTCATATAGCCCGGGTATCTTTGGGTGGCCCATTACAAAAGTGTTACGGTCAGAAACTCTTCAATTTCACAAGTCTCATAGGCTTCATGTTGAGAGCCAGCAAGCTGATCTATAGATGTCCCAAGTTGCGTATAGGTGGCCTGTATAAAGACATAGTCTCCTCCAAAGCCTACCTCTTATACAGGCTCCTTGAGGTTGTCGGTGGCTATACGATAAGTTTAGAAACAAGTTTGCTGGTAAATATATGTAGGTAGTAAAGGGCCACTCACCTTCTAAGTGGAAGAGCACGTTGGACTGGTAGTTCTTGAACATCTGTGCTACGAGTTCGATGTTCATGTTCTGAATGTTGATTTCCTGAAGACTCTTGTTCATAACGACGACTGCTTCGTTGAGTTTCTCCTTCAAGTGTTGTGTACTTGTAAGTTATCTGAGCTTGTAGTGGGGTGGAAGCATGGAATGTCACTTACAACATTGGTGATGATGCGCGACAGAAGCAGGTTCTGCTGGTGCTCGTGGGGGCTCTCCTGAATATACAGTCAGCTCCTCTTGTTGTAATGCTATCGAAGTGAGAGATGAATACCATTTTGTCAAGTTGACTCTTTGACTTGTATTATACCGATGACTTGTGCTTTGGTGGGATGTGGAAGAGTTTAAGGTACAACATGTGCAAGTAACAATCTGGAATAGCGTGGTTGCATGGGTCATTTAAATCTACGTAGTTCTTTCTAAGCTCTCTTTTTTAGCACCCACCTAAGTTAGTAGTTTGATGTAGCTAGGGCGTCATTGATCATTAGATTATCTAAAACCCCCATAGCAACAACGTCAACTTGGAACACATTTCTCTTACAAACAGATCTACAACGCGAAAAAGCTTCGTCACAAACCAACCTTTCCCTTCAACCGCCCAAAATGGCTGCTCCGACCGAAGCCCAGATTGCGCACCAGGAGCTCATAGACAAGCTCGACATTCACTCCATCCACAAGAGCTTCCGAAACCCTCACTGGCGTCCCAACCAGCGACGCAACAAGAATATCAAAACCATCCTCGGCGACGCCTCTCGCAAAGAGGCCACTTCCATCGTCGCCACTCCTCAGGACAACAGCGGCGCTGTTACCCCCACACCTGCTGACGACGGGCTCTCGACTAGTGGTTCTTCGACGCCCGCGCAGCAGCCGGCTGGTGGTGCAAACAGCAACTCGAACTTGCAGCCGAATCTTGCCCAAGCTTCACGTAGTTTGTCGAAGCTGGTGCTGGAGAAGAGCTTGCGACCGGGTGGAACTGCTGGAAGCGGAGGAGCAACGGTCTCAGCGCCTAGCGCGACGTACACGAACATCGAATCGGCGCCTTCACTTGCGCACACGAAGCGGTATTGCGACGTTACCGGTCTCCCTGCCCCATACTTGGATCCCAAGAGTCGGCTACGATATCATAGTAGGGAGGTGTTTGGCTTCATCCGCACGCTACCACAGGGTGTGGCCGAGCAATATCTAGAGGCTAGAGGTGCACACACGGTCTTGAAATGAATGGAATTAGACGGTTCGGGATTTATACCAGCGGTTTTATCAAGCATTACGATGCTATTCAATTCTGCCCTGTCATGTCTACCTCGATCATAGGACTTACAAGGACGAATACCATGTATGAGGCTCTTTAATATTTGGGGAGACGCCTAGCACCTGGAAGACTAAGTGACATTTGGCCAAGGGAACAACGACACATACGCATATGTTCGACCAACAAAGTCAAGCCTATCCTACGCATCGGTCACCTCTCGGCAATCGATGTAAGGTTACGCTCCGGCTTAATCGTGATCAGGAAAATAGGTTTGTTCTCCGCCTGTAACTGACGGGTACCGAGAATGAATGGGGAGGATCAATCTCAGTGACCATAGCTCGAGAGCTAAGGACGTCGCGGCAGGATATCTTATTCAAGATATCATAATAATTGTCAACTGGCCCTCTGAAGAGAGACCGATTCGACAACATTCAGTTAATTAAAGCGTCCTTACCATCTTTTACGATTATTAGTGACATGAAAGCTTAGAATTACTGCCTTTCATAGCTCAATACCCAAGCTCCTGTCCTCTAAAACAAATTATTGAAATTTACGTGCATGGACGAGAGCCTTTGGGGGAAAAAAAGAGGAAAACGCTTCATAATTGTTACTTGTAAGAGATTTTCGTGAGAGGCTTGGAGAATAGCAATTGACATAGGTGTACATTGTCTAACAATTGGAATCTTGTGTAAAAGACGATGTGCGAAGTAAAGACAATGGAAACTAAAATTCTGTTACCAGGTTTAAATACGCTAAATAACGGGCAGCTGCCACCAGCCGTCCACCATAATTCACGGCTGCCGCGTTTAAGGGTCAAGTTTCGTTCCGCGATTCGTGTTCTATTGTTCCCTGACGCAAACTTCACGAATATTTAGAAAATTAAACATTACCGAATCCCAAAGCTTCGATAGACCGACCAATTGCGCCCACCTCTTCGCCGGCAAACCCCTTACTTCGTGTACGCCTGCTGCGACGACCTTTAATGTAGCAGGACCGCCGTCCTCGTCCTCGTCCTCGTCCTCTCCACCTATCTCTATTCTCTTCCTAGACCCGACGATTTCAAAATGCCTACCATGTGGTTATCAGATACCCAGAGTAAGAAAGACCAGAATAAGAAAGCCTCGAGGGTTGAGAGGCTAGGATTGACTACGAATGAGTGTTAACACCGCGTACAGAAATCGGGGTCGCTTTCTGCTCTGGCGGTACGTGATATCTGAGATGTTGTCATGCTCGCGTGCCCACCTCTTTGAGGTAGCTCGCAGGCGCATGGCATATACACTTTCTACAGCGGCGCTGATGCGATGCGTTACCCGTCCTTATAGGAGGCTTCTTCCTGATTGGAGGTGTCATGCTATTCTTTGATCGAGCTATGTAGGTGCCTATCCGCGCGCATCTCCCTACACCCCCCGAATTCGCACGCTTTTTCGTCCGGCATTCTAACAGCATCTCTTTACGCGCACACAGGCTCGCGATGGGCAACGTATGCCACCCCCTCCCCTCGATTACTATCCGTTCCTAGAATTCAAAAAACAAAAACAAGCCAACACGAACCGTCCTTCCTAACTCTCGATCCCAGATCCTCTTCCTAATCGGACTCACGATAATCATCGGCCCGCAAAAGACGCTGCTCTTCTTCGCGCGGAAGCAGAAGGCTAAGGGCACTGCTGCTTTCTTCCTTGGACTCCTGCTGATCTTGATGCGGTGGCCTCTGATCGGCTTCTGCGTCGAGTTGTACGGTATCATGGTCCTGTTCGGCGACTTCCTCGGCACGATAGCCAGCTTCGCCCGCAACGCACCCGTCGTCGGACCCTACATCGGCATGTTGATCGACCGTATACCCGGCTTCAGCGCGCGGCGAAATGCCGAGCTGCCTGTCTGAACTAGACGGGCACAATTATTTACTGTCCCGCGCCTGTGGATAGAGCTACATAACTCGTTCGCCTACCCCTTTTACGCTACCTGGGGTGGTTAATAACGAGACCGAGCCGCGATGTTATCATGTCACAGAGTTTGGACGCGGAGACGCTAATGAGGAAGTAGGATAGGTCTGTATAATATTGTATATGACGGTATAGAGGATTTGTTTTTCTCGGGAGTGCCAAACTAGGTTCGGGGATACCCAGAAGCAACTAGAACATTTGAGCCCGCAAGGCCTGTGAAGATCATTGTTTTCGCCATGAGCTGAGAAGGCGCCTGTGTAACTTTTTACATGTGAAAAGAAAAAAACGGTGCGAGAAGAAAGAAGGCTATTTGTCATTTGCCTATGCAGAATCTAGGGGAACCGGCAGATGATGTGATGATGATCTCGAAGGAAAAGGGACGACGAAACAGTTTGAGCCGCCTTCGCCGCCGCCGTTTGGCGTTTTATGACATCAACAACAGAAAATCTCTTGCTATACTCTCCCCCCCTTTGCTCTGCAGTCCCAGAACAGCAGGCATCGCTCCTAGTCCAGTCTGGCGTTATCCACACGCCACGCCCGTCTACAACCCCTCAACGCGGCATCCGCTATCCTCAATAAATACCGCGTCTAGTATCCGACCTTGATAAGGTAGTCCGCGAGCGCTTCGGTGGTCTGGGCCGCGTTTCCGGCAATGTGCGTCTCGCCGTAGTGGCCGATTAGGATCGCTTGCTTCGTTTTGACGACTACAACACCCGTTCGACCCTATAGTATTGCGCCTCCTGGTCAACTATTCCATCATGAAACCGACTGGGAGATGTATATGTGAACCCACCTGTCGTGCATAGACACTTCGATCCTCAATTTTGGTGGCAACGTATCGCTCACCTCCGACGTGGAGGCCGTCCGCGTAGGCCTTATCAACGGCAGCTTTCGACCCGGATACGATTTCGGCAAGGTTCTTCATCTCGGCGGGTTGAACCTATCATTCCAACTGGGTTAGCCCCTATAACGTCCACACGTGCTAACAGCATGAGATCACGTGTTTGTGTGTTCGATATTCCGTCATATCTAGTTGGCGACGAGGCGGAGAGGGATAAAGAACAGGGATCATCAAATACCGTAAACCCAGCGGAGGTGGCCCATACGCTGTCACCGGCAGCGCTGATGATGGCGGCCTTATCAAGATGGCCGCTATTAACAAGGCTGTTATTACATAGTAGTCGTCAGCGAAGTCCCGTGGCTATATGTGACATATAACGCAGTCGTGTCGCGGTGACGATAATTACCTGGAGTCAACGTAGGCTATGACGATGGTCAGCCCTGTCACCCTAACGAAGGTGGGGTTATCAGATACAAAAGGGGGGATGTTCTACTTACCTTGCCACGACATGGTTGCTAGAGTTGGTTGTTTGCGTATATCTCGAGATGAGGAGTTGACGAGAGAGCAAAAGGGAAGGAGGAAGAAACGATGTGTTGTTTACTGCTAGAAGTTGGCGTGTTTAGGGGGAAGAATTGGCACGAGCCTTCAGATGTCAAAGAGAGAAAAAAAACGGATGCGCGGTTCTGATTAGGTGATGTGACCACTCTGGGCACGACCTGAAGGAGGGGCTGTTTTCGGGTTTAGATCACTAGGACCTAGTGCTGATTGCTGCCCGCCCGCCCACTTTGTGGCGCATTATAAATAGACTTTATGTGGCTTACCGTCTCTCAGGGGCAAGGAAAAGTCCATTTGTCCATTTGTCCTAACAATTTCCTAACACTTTTGCAGCTCACAATTTATCAGCCACAAATCAACAAATCAACCTCTCACCATCGCCCCGCCATCATACGTCAGTCCCAATTACCGGGTTACTAAGGTACATACACCGGTTAGAGAGACAAAAAAAAGACAACAATGAGAGGCCGAAGTCGTCACTTTAGGGATCCATGATATCCATCATTTCTACGAACAGGACAGCTTTTCATGATCTTGTGCTACCCGAAATTACATGATTTATGCAATTTACTCATACCTCTAGATTGTTGAATTGTTTATGTGAGACAAACTATTGTCTCAGTGGCAGTTTGGCAACTGTAGCCTTTTCCACGGATCCCGAGGCTCCTATCTTGAATTGCAAGCCAGGCATATATCAACAATACCAATAACACCCATATCTCCATTACAACTCACAAACACCTATCTAGGCTGATGATTTTTTCCACCAAGCATATTTATCCTATTTCGAGATGGTGGTTTACTAAGTGTCAGCTACGCGTTGTACGCCCCCATACTAATATTCTGCATGAAGACGATCCGACAACCTCTGTTTGACGATATGTCTTCCACCACCAACTCACCGCCATCGTTGCTGACTTGGTATTGCATCATTGGCAGCCCCTTAGTAATCACGACTCTTCCCCACGAATGGCTTCAATAGAACCATGGTTATAAGCATAAACTTCGGTCTCAACTTTTTACCCTTGCGTCGAACCCATACCCCCAGCGGGTTGTCGGCGGGTCAAAATAAGCTCGGGACGAAGACCTAAATAAGACAAATCGAGTCCAATGACCTAAATAGGATGTGATTGCCAGGCACAAGACGGCTCCGAAGCCATATATATGTAGTAACCTAAAGTTTAGTATCGGACTTCGTACCGATTACCCAAGGCGATTATGCCTTCTGGATGTCGTCATCACAGGTCTTCGGCTCAATGTGACCAAACACCTTGACGACGTTGTATGTTGTGGTAAGACAAGTTCTTTTTCAAGACCCTGATGTTTGATTTGCCAAGTGTATAATAGCGGTCCTTGGGAGTACCTTATTGAATCGTCAACACATCGTTGAATAATATTAGACCTACCCATTATTGGTAACAAACATCACCTATAGGATAATCCGACGGCACGGGATAGAGCATGGGGTACCAGGTCACGAGTTCTAACAATATTTACCCAGTTATCTTATGATGGATATAAAGGATTGTATCATGTTAATAAATATAGTTAGTCTTTGGAGCAGAAAGGAGGGTTTAACCTCGCAGACTTCGCAAGTTATACCCCATTGGTAGCTAGGAAATGATTAACTTAAATGTGGATAAAACGTATACCAACAGTAAGATCGACATAACAAGCTTGAATTCTTCCAACACGTTAAGGCATGAGTTAATAGCCTTGAAGGTGTTTGTGTTAATAGTATGCCCCTGCTAAATGTGATATATCCAAGTTCCAACAAGATAACTTCACACGTGCGTACCTAGGTGGATCTCATTTCGCCAGCTTAAACCTACTAGATAGCTTTCGTAGTCTCATTCAGAAATATAAATATAAAGATTTGGGGTTTCTACCACTCAAGCCAAGCCATCCATACATCGCACAACTTCGCTGTCATGAGACGATGGTAGATGATGGGGATTATAGCTTACGCTCTGTCCACGAGGATTGACGTTAAGCACAACCTTGCGTAGCCGCCTCAACCATTTAAAGGTTCGAATGGGCGACGATGTAAGTTAGATCGTCTTGGGCGATCTGGTATGTCGATCGCTAGTATGTCAATCGCTAGCGATCTAAGCTAGATCGCCTGGTGCTATTTTCATTCCATAATGGCGGGACTAATCACAAGGAGTTGCAGATGAGAGTTGTTTGATGTGAACCAGGCCCAGATGCTAGACAAATTCTATCTTTGACAGGTAGATATCATCGTGTTTGAGATAGCCTTGGTAAGTCCAATCTAATAACTGAATTTTATGATGCCGCGCGTCGAAGTTGATGAGAACCGCCCGAGTTGCCGTATTACCTATATGTTCGTCGGAATATATTTCCTAGCGTACAATTGTTCATGAAGAGTTCGATTAGCTCCGAGCACAGACCATTCTCGGAGTCTAGGATACGTACATATTTCGCAATCTTTCATGTTTCACGGCGTCTAAAGGGGCATAGCTCGGTCTTTGAAACCACCAGCAGGGATCTTAAACCCCTCTGTTCTTCTCCGGCCCTAACGATATTTAGCGGCCAAGTCATCTCAACCGGACCGAGTGATGAAGTTAAACGCGGATAATAATTCATACAAGTTACTAACATAGTAGAATGCTACGTGACCTAACGAAATGTTCGGTAGTGGCTTCTTCACGAGAGCTTCGTGGTGCCTAGACACGTGCGAGACGGCCCAAGAAACATGAGAGCCGTTTAGAAACGACTCAGCAACTTGTCAACGACATTGCAAGACCCTATTTGATTGGAACATCTCTTGAAATGAGTTCAAAATTTTGGAGACCGTTCCCTCATACGAACAATCTCATTGGAAGAAGCCACTGCAAGGGATCTTTGAACTTGAAAGTTCTACCAAGATTTGTCATTGGCCAAACATGTTTCCCATCCTATCAGATGGGAGAATCTGACAGATTAATATGAAGTAGGTATGCCATGCGAGTTCTATACACCGCTGCTGCAAGCTAGATGAAAGGAGGCTCCCCTCTCATTTCCTAGCCTTGTTCTTGTTTTCAAGATTACAGCGCATACCTCAGCCATTAATGAACGACGTTAGAGCTCCGAGCTTCTGACTCGTCCGAGGCTCTGTCGACTTTCCTTGGTCATCGGGCCATTAGAAAAACACAGGGGCGAACTGCCAAGCAACCATTGCTTCAGGGCATCCCTTGGTAGTACCTAGTACAGCGAGCAATGCAACCCCGTATTGAAAAGCTTCTCGAAACTTTTCACTGTCTGTTCGCGCGCAATTGTTTTCTTGGGGGTGTAGGTAGGTACCTAGGTATTGTATCAGCTTTCCAAGCCAAGTTGGCCGGATACAAACGAACTACCAAGCTGGGGATCCCCATCAATGCTCGCAGTTAGCCTTGATACACGACACCACCACTAATCCCGCGATCACCCCTGGGGTTCCCTTCACATCATTCCAAAAACATCCCGGGGCCAGAGTAAAAGATCCACGCAGGCAAGGGTAACCCTTGACGCCTTCTACAATGCGTTCTGGAGCTGAACCCTACATGTTGATCTTCCCCCCTCCAAAATAACCATCCCATGATCCATCAACCTCAAACAATCTTCAGCGTTGTCACCTTTCAGACCTTGCAAACCTTAGTGAGATGGAATCCCCCAAGCAGCCATAACAATCGTGACCAATGGTCCATGGTGTGTGGTAAGCAATCGATGATCCGAACAGACGCCAGGTAAGAATACGTTGACAATCCTCGGGGCTAAACCCAATCGTCGATGGCTCACTTAGTGAACTTGAGTCTGCCTTTCCTTCATCCCTGGCTCGAACAGCGAACGGCCAATTTATTGAGCATGATCATAGAAATTACCTCACATGTAAAGATAGCGAATCAGTTCGTGTTTAACCTCTTAGCACCCACAACTCAAATAGTCTATTTATCAAGGACCATATTTTGACTCCTCTACTTACTATACACGTAGTACAAAGTAGGGGTTGCAATTCGAGCCGAATATGTACGTACCCAACTAGTGCCGTTGCCAGACAGCCCGATGGAGGGTTATGCAGGTCCGGATGCGTTCGTGACGCACGTCCCCGACTACCCCGTCCTAGAGGACCAGGTTGGGGACTGGGTCGTGTATCAGATCCCGCCCTACCACAGCCGTTTTATAATCATTGTGGTGCGCCTTACCCGGGCGTTCCTGCGAGTGCAAATCTATGTTGCCCACGTTCCCAGTCTCCTTCGCCGCTGTCCGGAGTCAGTATGTCAGTGAGACCGAGTTCATCGAGGGGCCTAGGTTCCAAGAATTCAGCCAGCAACAGTTTTAAGTATGACAAGAGGATATCTAGGGACGACTCTTTCATCAACTCTCGAACAGCGGTCGGGGCTGGCTTTAAATCATACAACAGCTTTGCACGAGGACAACCACCTACGCCAGAAATAAGCCCGCGGACTTCACCTCCACGAAAAATATCTGTCCCAACTGTTAGGATGCCTACCCCTGAGTCTCTTAACGATACTGGTTCTTCGGAGATAGGTATGGCACTTGGAAGTCCCACGAGCATCCCGGTGAGCGGTGGCTCGCGGACACCGCAAACAACTCTCCGGGCTCCGCCAGCCCCAAAATCATCTTTGGTTTCGCCCGCTGCGTCCGGGATTAGTTCTACCGGCTCCTTGCCTCGGAAACAGTCGACGAAGTGGAAGTTATTTGGCAGATTCGGAAGGAAACCATCAGATCAGTCTCTTCCAGGACCGATGCCGAACGAGCCGAGAGTTCTGCCCAAGCCAGAGCAGACTCAAGATATGTCATCTCAGCCTTGGTACGACCAAAACATGCAGAGGAGCAATACGCTCGGTACACGGAAACCACCGAAACACAAGCCGATTGTAATTAGGTCTCAAACAATGCCTTATGAAGCAGACAGTCCGCCGCAAGTACCGAGGTCAACATCAAGGCCAAGTGAAAAGAAGACCGAAGAGACGTTTGGGAGAATCCCGATAGCGCTAGACACTAACCAGAATTCGTCGGGCCCCTTGTTGGATGTTGAGATTCCGAATATTACTATGGAAAGGTATAGTGTGATGTTTGGGAGCGTCTTGCAATCACAACCTTCGCTACTAGCTAGACGGCAAGCCACGGTTCAGAAGCTAAAGAGCATCGATGATGCGGTAGAGAGGGAAGAGGTAAGAAAATACAAGGTTTTGCTTAATTTGAAGTATTAATTCGTCGCCTAGGAGAACGGAAAGCATCGAGAAAAGCTTCACGGACTGCATCATGAAATGCATCACGAAGATCACCACAAAGTCTTAAAGAGCCCGAGGAGAGTAACATCACCTGCGACAGGATCGCCTTCATTTGCTTTGTTTCCTCCTCAGAGACCAGCACACGCTCCGCCATCCAATCCATCACCACTTTCAAGATCTAATACTTCTCCTGCACTACTCCAGTCGCCTCTAAAGGCGACCTTCGATCATACCGCGCCTAATCACCACACACAATCTCATGACGTACCTAGACACAACCATCTTAGGGATTCTCCCGGCAGGCCTTATCCAAAGGGCAAACTTACTATTGCAACTCTAGCTAGAGCAAGGGAGCAAAATGCTGCTCCTAGAGAATACCAGTTCAGCCCCGACTCATCGAATTTAGTACTAGAATCTCCGACGGAGATGTCATCTCCTGAATTCGACGTGGTCAAGTCAGAGTCTATACGACCGAGAGCTTCATACATGCAGGAGCCCAAGTGGCAGATGATAACACCGCAACAACAGACGCCCTCTACCGCAACCTCGTCTCTTTCAAGTGAGAGGAAGCCCCCGCCTTCTTCGCCGGCGACATCCGCTACCTCGAAGCTAAGCCAGGACTCGAAGGACGACGAAGACGACCTGCTAGAGAACAGCTCTAACATGAACCCCGTGGAGCTATCGATCGCTAGGCAGATCTCGATATCTCGGCAGCAGCGGAAAATGTTGAAGCCCTTGCAGACCGTTACGAGGCCGCAGAGAAGCCTTTCGAGACCAATTCCAGTACCGAAGATAGCCATAGGCGAGAATGAGAGGCTCGCCGAAACGAACACCAAGACCCCTATTCTAATTACGCCTGAAGAGTCACCCATCGCTAACTTAGCGGCACACCGAAAGAGCGAGCGTGTCGTGCTGGAGCGAGCATGAGATAGCGCGGCTCATTTCTAATTTACGCGTCTTCACATCTACTCGTGTTTTATTTTATTTTTTTCATTGCATGTCTGGTCGCGGTTCACACTTGACTTCTGGGCGTTGGTAACGCCTCCCACTGGGAATTTGCATTTATAGAAAATGGTCCGGAGGTTTATTCGATTTGTCTTTATTCCTGGAAAGGGGAGGGTGGCTCTTGTTTTACTTTGTCTGGGAAATTATACCCTTCGGAGGAGTAATAGAATCTAGGAAAGGGTCTGCGACTCGCATCATTCATGCCATACGTTTTTACTTTGTCAATAGGAAGGGGGGTGGGGATGAGAGCAACGCACGATGTGCCTTGATGGTAATCGTTTGATACCCTAATCTGAGGTCAAGCGGAGAGATGGAGATGGAAACGGAGGAGACTGGCTAAACCGACTGTCCCAGGGTAGATAGGATAAGAGTAATTAGGACGAGATCGGGTTCGCGATAGTCAAATTTAATCCGGTCCAAGGTGGCTGAATAACAACCACCTTCATACCCCTATATAAGTTCCGTACCGACGTAATCATGTGACCATTCATATTATGCCTGCCCGCTTGAACTGTCGGGATGCTGTCTATGTAGCCATGTCTGCGTAATCTTTAACTCATCCATTCTCTCTACCTCGGCGGTAATGCCTCTTCTCTGCCTCTTCCTTGATTTGCCAACGAATGACTCTGCCCACCCCCTATAAGTGCTCGGGCGGAATAGCGCCCGCGGATATAGATAGACGAAAATAAAATGGCCATGCACATGGTCTTGCCTTGCCTTGCCTTTCACCAAACTGCGCGTCTCATTGCTATGCTGAAATACGAGACAGAAATATTATCCGTTCGTTTAACCGGAGTGTCCAGTTGCAGTAAGTAAACAGCGCTACGTTTACATGAGAACACAGCATGTGTTCTGCTTTTTCGCTTGTTCTGTGACGGGGGAAGTCAGCATGTCACCCTCGAAAAGGGGGGAAAGAGTAGAGAGAAGGAAAAAAAGAGGTAAAAAAAAAAAGCAACGCACGATAGAACATCTTGCTCTGGTTGCTCAGGCCGTCGCTCTTGGCGACGAGGTCGTCGATCTTCTCGCCGCGCTGGAGGACGCTCTCGATGGTCTTGTGCAGGGTGATCTTGGTCTCGTCGAGCTCGCGCTGGATCTTGAGGATGCTGTCGGCCTGGTGCGGGTCCTGGTACTTGGCCAGGTAGCCCTGCAGCTCGGGCATGGTCACGGTCTGGCCCTGGGCCCACGACGACTTGGGGTGCGCCGCCAGGAACTCGTCCATCACCTTGGAGAGCAGCTGGTGCGCTACCAGCGCCGGGTACTGGTGGTCGGAGATCATGATGCCGCAGACGCCTTCTGTGCGCCCGTACGCGTGGAATGTGTAGTCTGTTTACTCGGGACGAGATTTGCCAATCAGTTTTTTTTCTTGTTTTATATTTTCTTCTCTCTTTTTCTCATTCTTTTCGTCTTTATTGTCTTGTCTGGAATGGTTTCGGGTTGGTGGTCGCACCTTGCTCCTCGACATCCTGTCTCTGTCCCGGTCTCGTCCGCTCCGCTACCGTCTTCGCGAACATGGTCATAAATTCGCCATAGCTACGTTCACATTCGGGTTAGCCCTATCCTTGTTCTTCACACCATATTCGAGGGGGCGGGCGGATCGGGCTCGTACTTTGCACGGGTGAAGCGCGAGTAGGCGCTTAGCTCCTTCTCAGCGCATATCTCGATGCCCGGCTTGCAGTCGTTCTTGATGATCTAGTCATACGAAAATGCCCCGTTAGCTAATTGTTCTGTAGGTACGGCCAATTATGGGTTTAAGTGTATATCTGCTAGGCACTCCCACCGTCGAGGCTCGAGATTGACGACTAGGGTGTAAATATACGTACTCCAATGTAATGCAGCTTCATGTTGACAGGTAGCTAGATAGATAGGGAGACAGCAAATGGAAGGGATGGATAGGAGGGAAATGGTCAATTCTGATTATGTTGATGTTTATTCAATGTTGGGAAAGGGCATAAATTTCAGGAGACAGGTAGAATAACCTCGAAACCAAGAAAGTTAGGGATCCAAGGGTACTTCGATAACAAGCAGGAGGTGAGGTCAGCGGTCACAGCCTTTGTCACATGTACTCTAGGTTCCTTTTTAGGCGTAGGTACATAGCTTAGTGGGGCCGTAGGGGCCGTAGTGGCCGTTCGAAGTCGTACCTCCCAATGGCGGGACTTTAAATTCTGGGGAATCACTGAGTGCGCTAAAACATCGTTAGGTAAGTGCCTAATGCCTAGGTATGGAACCTTAGTACTAGGCTGCCAGGGTAGTTGCAACTTGGTAGTCATCGGCGTAATAGTCATCAATCCTCACCTTTTTTCCCAATTTTGTGATTATGGGCATATAAATTTCAAGGGTAAATCGCCTATCATCACAAAGCTCTGAGAGACACGTATGCCTCCTTTCACCTCAAATTTATAAATCAACGATTGTCTCATTTGTTTGACTCATCTTAACCTATCGGTCATCCCTTGCAAAATGTCGCCATTTATGAGCGAGGCGGAAGCACAATGGCGCGAACAGTTTGCCGCTATGAAGGCTGCTCTAGCAGACCTAAAATTGCCAGGAAAGAATCGATCCATTGAAGCTGAGCTTAACCTAGACTTTGACCTGGACGATGAGGACCTCACTTCCGGAAATAGCGGTGACGATGTCTGGGATTTCATAGAAGATAGCGAAGAAGACTTGTACAGTAGCGATCTCATCGAAGAAGCCAATGGTCAACCCGATGGCGGCAGCTATGGGCCAGCTTGGTTTTCACAACAATGCTCCATTATTGCCTCTAAGAAAAACGGATTATCTTCCGACGCATTTCAAGCTCAAGTTCTCGATGTATTGAACTCTCAACGGTCCGAGGATGAACTACAGTCTCAACTCACTGATATCGTCGGTTTTGATGATTTCGACTTTATCATTGAACTGTTATCTCATAGACATGAAGTAACTTCAAGTTTCGCTGCTCAGGAAGCAAGTAGGCCTACTGGCCGACTTTTGACTAAAGCTGAGAGAGATGAAGCTCTTCGCCGAAAGGATCTGGAGCATAAAAATGCTACTCTGGCCCCTAGTATGCATAAAGAGGTACAATATCCTCATATCTACAAGGCATATAATGCTGGCAACACCTTAAGTCATACGGGAGCCCAATACGGTATGCCTGTTGGTACTGAAAGAAAGGAGAGGGAGAAGTATGAGGAGTTTATTGTCCCGGCAGGGAAAACTGGCACACTTCTCCCCGGCCATAAGCTTGTCAATATCGCCGACATGGATGGACTCTGTCGAAGAACATTCAAAGGCTACAAGTCATTGAACAGGATGCAAAGTCTAGTATATCCGGTGGCATACAAGTCCAGCGAGAACATGTTAATCTGTGCCCCTACTGGTGCGGGTAAGACAGATGCAGCTATGCTAACAATTTTACAAACAATTGGTCAATATGTAACACCCAACCCTATCGAGAACACGGATGCAACGGATTTTGGCGTCGATACCCAAGACTTCAAAATCGTATACGTTGCTCCGATGAAGGCGCTGGCTGCCGAAATCACCCAGAAGTTAGGGAAGCGTCTTGCGTGGCTTGGTATTCAATGCCGCGAGTATACGGGGGATATGCACCTTACCAAATCCGAAATTGTGCAAACGCAGATCATTGTTACCACGCCCGAAAAATGGGATGTGGTCACCAGGAAGGGTACTGGGGACACTGAGCTTGTGCAGAAAGTTAGGTTGCTCATCATTGATGAAGTCCATATGCTTCATGATGAGCGAGGTGCTGTGTTGGAGTCTTTGGTCGCACGAACGGAACGTCAAGTTGAGAGCACGCAGTCCCTAATCCGTATTGTTGGGCTCAGTGCCACCCTTCCAAACTATATCGACGTTGCCGACTTCCTCAAGGTCAACAGATATGCTGGGCTTTTCTACTTTGATGGCTCCTTCCGCCCAGTTCCCCTCGAACAACACTTCATTGGAGTCAGGGGTAAAGCCGGTTCAAAAGTGTCTAGAGAGAATCTTGACATAGTAGCCTATGAAAAAGTCCAGGACATGCTAGAGCAAGACCATCAAATCATGGTGTTCGTTCACTCCAGAAGAGACACGCTTCTCACTGCTAAGATGCTTTATCAGAAAGCTGCTGACCAAGCGGCGACTGACCTCTTCGATCCAGCAGGACATCCATATTATGAGCAGGCTATCAGAGACATGAAGTCTTCAAAAGCACGTGAGCTTAGGGACCTCTTGCCAAAAGGGCTGGGTATACACCATGCTGGATTAACCCGCTCGGATAGAAACCTTATGGAAAATCTGTTCTCCAAAGGTGTCATCAAGGTCCTTTGCTGTACAGCTACCCTCGCGTGGGGTGTCAACTTACCGGCTGCCGCAGTCATTATCAAAGGGACACAAGTCTATAGTGCTCAAGATGGAAAATTCGTAGACCTGGGTATTCTCGATGTGCTTCAAATATTTGGTCGTGCTGGACGACCACAGTTTGAGGATGTGGGCATCGGCATGATCTGCACAACCCACGACAGGCTAGCACATTATCGACAATCAGTTACTGCGCAGCAACCTATCGAGTCGAGATTCTCTTCGAAATTAGTCGATAATTTGAACGCCGAAATTGCGCTAGGCACTGTGACTTCTATCCCAGAAGCTGTGCAATGGATCGGTTACTCTTACCTATTCGTTCGTATGCAGAGAAATCCCATGGCTTACGGTATCGAATGGGCTGAGATTAGGGATGATCCAACGCTTGTCCAGAGGCGGCGACAACTTGCTATTCAGGCAGCCAGAACTTTACAACAAAGACAAATGGTTATATTCAACGAAACGACCGAGGAACTCAGAAGCAAGGATATTGGCCGCATTGCTAGCCAGTATTACATCCAGCAGTCAAGTATAGAAATCTTCAACAAGAGAATGCGGCCCCATTCAACAGAGGCAGACATATTGAAGATGATAAGCGAGAGTGGGGAGTTTGACAACATCCAATCTCGGGACAACGAGGCCAAAGAACTTACTAAGCTGAGGGACGAAGTGGCTCCTTGTGATATCGGCAGTGGAATTGATACTCCACAAGCAAAGACCAATATTTTATTGCAAGCTTATATTTCTCGGACTCAACTGGAAGATTTCACGCTTGGAAACGATCTCAACTACGTAGCCCAACAGTCTGGTCGGATTTGTCGTGCACTGTTCATGATTGCTCTGAACAGACGATGGGGTCACCAATGCTTGGTCTTGCTTACCCTCTCAAAGGCTATCGAGAGACGCATTTGGCCATTTGAGCATCCACTTCATCAATTCGACCTGCCTAAGTCAGTGCTCAATCAACTCGACGCGAAAGAGAATTTAAGCATCGAGGTACTGCGTGAAATGGAAACAGCCGAAATTGGTAGCTTGGTGCACAATGGGAATGCTGGTAAGAAGATAGCCAGTATTATTAGGAATTTTCCAACTGTATCTATCGATGCGGAGATTGCTCCTTTGAATCGGGATGTGTTAAGGATCAAGCTTTATATCACGCCAGACTTTACTTGGAATGACCGGATGCATGGCACATCGGAATCTTTCTACATCTGGGTTGAAAATTCGGAAACGTCTGAAATTTATCACCATGAATTTTTCATACTTAACCGAAGGAAGCTTTACGACGACCACGAACTCAACTTCACAATCCCGCTATCCGACCCTCTCCCCAACCAGATATACGTCAGGGCCGTGTCGGACAAGTGGCTGGGAGCAGAGACTGTCAACCCCGTCTCTTTCCAACATCTCATTCGTCCGGATACGGAGAGCGTCTATACGGACCTGCTCAAATTGCAACCATTGCCCATCACCGCCCTCAAAAATCCTGGACTGGAAGAAATCTACGCGAAGAGGTTCCAGTTCTTCAATCCCATGCAGACGCAGATATTTCATACGCTTTACCACACGCCAGCCAATGTCCTCCTAGGGTCGCCTACTGGTAGTGGAAAAACTGTCGCTGCGGAGCTGGCTATGTGGTGGGCATTCCGAGAGCGTCCGGGTTCTAAGGTGGTTTATATTGCCCCTATGAAGGCTTTGGTCCGTGAGCGAGTCAAAGACTGGGGCGCTCGACTTTCCGGGCCCCTAGGCTTGAAGCTCGTTGAGTTAACAGGAGATAATACGCCAGACACTAGGACTATTAAGGATGCCGATATCATCATTACAACACCTGAGAAGTGGGACGGTATCTCTCGTAGCTGGCAAACTAGAGGATATGTTCGTCAAGTTTCTCTTGTGATCATTGATGAAATTCATCTACTTGCCGGAGACCGAGGACCGATTCTTGAGATTATCGTGTCTCGTATGAACTACATTGCCCAATCTACCGAGAAATCTGTCAGACTTCTCGGCATGTCTACTGCCTGTGCGAACGCAACAGATCTAGGGAACTGGCTTGGGGTTAAGGAAGGCCTATTCAACTTTCGACATTCCGTACGACCTGTACCATTAGAACTATACATCGATGGGTTTCCGGAAGTGAGAGGATTCTGTCCATTGATGCAATCTATGAACCGACCAACTTTCCTAGCGGTCAAGACTCATAGTCCCGACAAGCCTGTGATCGTCTTCGTTCCATCGCGAAGGCAGACTAGACTGACTGCAAAGGACTTGATCAACTACTGTGGCATGGAAGACAATCCTAGGCGCTTCGTCAACATGTCAGAAGATGATCTTCAGCTTAACCTCGCCAGGGTGAAGGATGATGCACTCAAAGAAGCGATAAACTTCGGCATTGGACTTCACCATGCTGGTCTTGTTGAATCCGATCGACAACTAGCTGAAGAATTATTCCTAAATAACAAGATCCAGATCCTGATTGCGACAAGTACACTGGCCTGGGGTGTTAACCTTCCGGCTCACTTGGTGGTTGTCAAGGGTACACAGTTTTATGACGCGAAGATCGAAGGATACAAGGACATGGATTTGACTGACGTCTTGCAAATGTTGGGCCGAGCTGGTCGTCCACAATTCGACAACTCTGGTGTTGCACGCATCTTTACACAGGACGCAAAGAAAGACTTCTACAAACACTTCTTACATACTGGCTTCCCAGTTGAATCGTCTCTACATACAGTCCTCGACAACCATTTGTGTGCAGAAGTATCGGCCGAAACGATTCGAACTAAGCAAGATGCTTTAGACTACTTGACCTGGACGTTTTTCTTTCGTCGACTACACAAGAACCCTTCATACTATGGACTCGAGATCTCTGCTGAAGAGCACAACACAATGGCTGCCCAGCAGCTTGCGAATGATTTTATGGTTGACATGGTAAACAAGTCCTTAGACGAACTCGCGACTTCGAAGTGTGTCGAGATCTATCCCAACGGGGATGTGGACCCGACTCCCTTGGGTAAGATCATGAGTTACTACTACCTCTCACACAAAACAATCCGGCATCTCGTCAAGCACGCGAAGCCAAAAGCAAATTTCCTAGACGTCCTATCTTGGATGTCTCGTGCTATAGAATACGACGAGCTTCCCGTCCGACACAACGAGGATCTCATCAACGCAGAGCTATCGAAGAACCTCCCATTTGATGGCAATGCATTTGGCCTGCCCATGTGGGATCCTCACGTCAAGGCCTTCCTACTACTTCAGGCACATATGGCACGCATTGACCTTCCCATTACGGACTATGTCGGCGACCAGACCAGCGTTTTAGATCAGGCCATCCGTATCATTCAGGCATCCATCGACGTCCTCACCGAACTAGGCTATCTATCGAGCTGCCTTGAAATGATCAAACTTCTCCAATGCGTCAAATCCGCTCGTTGGCCTCAAGACGCCCCCTTATCTATCCTGCCCGGGACCAATCCCGATTCTGACAACCTCAAAGACAACAAGATGACGCTTCAGAAACTAAGCGCCCTTCCCCGACCACAAGTCGAGGATTTAGCCCGCAAGCTCAACGTCCCGAGTTCACAACAGGCTCGCTTTACGCGCGCCGCCGCCATCCTCCCAAACGTCAGCGTCAGAGTCGAGGACGTGACGGCGCAGTCCCTCGTCGTTTCTATGAAACGCCTGAACCCCGTCGCCGAGCGTGAAGCCCGCGTCTACGCACCCAGGTACCCGAAGCCACAGAACGAGGGCTGGTTCGCCGTCGTGTGCGATGTCGCCCGTGACGAGGTCATCGGCATCAAGCGCGTGTCCTGGAGCCAAAAGGGGCCTAATCCTAACAAGTCTAACAACGCTAAGCAGAACGCGGGTATTCAGGTTGGCTCGAGGCCGACGGCTAAGACGGTGCTTAAGTTGCCTAAGCCGGATAGGGGTGGTGGTGCGAGGAAGGTCGACGTCTTGGTCCTGAGCGATGCGTATATTGGTATGGAGTACAGGGTCATGGGCGTGGAGATACCGGCGCTGCCAACGGTGGATGATGATGTGGATAAGTCTAAGTCGAAGGGGAAGCAGAAAGAGCAAGCTCAAGGGCAAGGTAGCGCGGCTTGAATGAGTGGTTGATATAGACGGAAGATATCGAGAGAAGGAATAGGGGCAGAGGATAAAATTCGAATATAGCTGTGGGTGAGTAATGAGGATATTTCATGAATAAATGGCGAATGAATACGAATAGATATCCTGATCCAGTTGTGAAGACGATGTATGTATCGAGGCTCATACAAAGCCTAGAACTCTAAAAGTAACCTAACATATAAACTTACCTAGTTATATCGCAACATCCTACGTTCTCAAACACGAACATCAACGCCAATAGAGAAATAAAGATATTATGAAAAAATATCCTTCGTAATGCATTCGTATCTCGTGAGAGAAACCCAGACTATACTTCATTATTACCATGCAATTAACCCATGACCCGACACACAAATCGTCGACGTGTTTCATTAGTAACTCATTACTCCAAGGGCCATGCCGTACCGTACCGTGCCATGCCATGCTATACTGTGAGACCAGAAACCCCGATGAATGCCGTTTCGAAATATATGCCTGTCCAAACGCCGTACTTAGTAAAATAGACGGTGACTCCTGCCTCCCTACTCCTTCCTTATCCTGTTCCGCAATTTGAAATTAGGGTCCTACAGGCCCGTAGGAGGGCTCTGCTATCATCGGTAATCGTGGGTAGGAATTGACCCACGATCGAGCCTCAACAACCTCCTCACTTTACATAAAGAGGCCAACAACGCATCAACAGCACCTCCTCCCCTTCCTCCCCTGCCCCTCGCCCTGCCGGCCTTGCTGCTCCGCGCCGCCGTTCGCCGGGTTCTCAACCGTGACGGCGGGCGAGAAGTTCGGCGAGAAAAGCCAGCTGCGGCGGTCCCTGCCGACGCGAAAGCTGCCTCGCGGGTTCGCGCCGTCGAAGTAGCTGCTGCCGCCGGGCACCGAGGAAGCGCCGCCGCTACCGCTGCCGTCGTCGTAGTAGCCGGGCGTGCCCGGGGTCGTGGCGGTGGCGGCCAGTATGGCCTGCTGGATCTTGCGGTTCTGCTCGACGAGCTTGCGGGTGACGACGCGGAAGACCTCCTCGACGCCCTCGCCGCTCTCGGCGCTGATCTCGTGGCACGCGTCCCACCCGACCTCCTGCCCCCAGAAGCCGCTGCTGCGCTTGCTACTCGGGCTGCGCGGCTCCTGGGCGCTCGAGGCGGCGGGCGTGGCCGCGACGCTCGACTGGCTGGCCCCCGGGCCGGACCCCGGCGGCAGACCCCCAGCCGCCGCCGCCGCCGTGGTCGCCATCAGCCCGCTCGGCGTCGCGGTCGGGGGCGGCGTCGAGCCGAGCCCCGGGGCCAGGTTCTCCGCGACGTAGGCTATGCACCGCTCGAAGGGGACCTCGCGGCGGGTGGGGTCGCGGGCGACGATGTCGGCCTTGGTGCCGACGACGTGCAGCACGATGTCCGGCGGCAGGTTGCGGCGCAGCTCCGTCAGCCACATGCCCATCTCGGCGAAGGACTGCGCGTCCGTGATCGAGTAGCAGAGGATGCAGGCGTTGGCGCCGCGGTAGTAGAGCCGGGATATCGAGCGGAATCGTTCTTGGCCGGCTGGATTGGGGCGCATGGGGTTAGCAATGGGCTGGCTCTCTTTGGGTTGGTAGCTGATAAGGCGAGGGGGTCGGGAGAAGAGAGAGAGAGAGAGAGAGAGAGAGAGAAAGCGAAAGGAAAGAGAGGGATGTTTACCTGTGTCCCATATCTGTAGGCGGACTACGGTGTCGGTATCGCCGTCGATGACCCTCTTGGTCATGAAACTTGCACCGACAGTAGATGTAGTCTGTGCAGGATTGAAGGCTCCTTTGCAATACCTGGTGACGAGAGAGGTTTTGCCGACGCCTTGGGAGCCGAGGACGACTATCTTGGCCTCGAGAGAGGACATGGCGGAGGAAGATGCGGGTTATGCTACGATACCTAGGTATGTAGAAGACCAATCCCAAGATAATGGGAAGTGTTGATATAGAATAAATATCGAGGATATTTCGGTATTAGATATTAGAAGATAGCCTTATGTAAGGAATGACTCGGAATTTGGATGGCCGGTACTGGGGTGATCCCGGGAGATGCTAGAATGAGTGGCTTCGCCGCTCGAGGTTTGGATTGCGGGTCCGGATCGTCATGCTCCTTCTCGAAAGCGGTTGCGAGTAGATGGATGGATTATGCCGAAGCAAGGACGAGAAGGCTTCGGTAGAGATGATGTGATGCTGAGGTAGCTATGCCGTTTTCTGCCGTTTTCTGCCGTATTACACCCAAGTCGGTGCTGTCAATCACAATCAAAAGCAGAAGTGCAATAACGTGAAGGAATTGAAACGATTGAATGAAATGGAAATGTTGTAGATATCGATGTTATGCAGCAAGGGTCCTTTTGAGGCTACTTTGGAGTTGCCTTGGCTTTGCCCAGGTGCTGATAGGACGTGCTGACTCGTCCCTCATCGAAGGTCACATTGAGGATCACACCCTGTCTGACGAATGACCGATGACCGAACAAGCTGGGGTAAGCTAGGACAAATTGCCTATCGAAAGGCAGATTTCTCTGAATGGGCAGTAATAAAAACTAAGCTGAAAATAAAGAAAAACAATACACCATTTTAAGAATAGTATTCAGTGTTATGAAGATAAGTGAAGCTTGCTTTTGATAAGACCAATTTCATAAAGCACTGCAGAAACCCGAAATCACGTGGGCTTACAATAAGGGTTGGTACACCGGTACTCATTAGGTTACGATACAATTTACCTAACATTTCAACTTTCAGACGACAAAATTTTCGATTTCTTTAAAGCTGAAAGTCAAGAAAACCTCAACACAACGAACAGATCGATGTTTGAGATAAGGAAAACACATAAGAAATTTCTAATTGTCGACCACAAGAGGTTCTAGTTATAAATCCTACCAACATGGTCCGCCAATTCTTCTCATCAACATGCCACACCCGCCATTAACTCGTACACCTTCAAACCTCTTCCCGCTCTTGTTCTTCTCTGCCAACTGTCGACCCTTCCCTGTGTAGTCGTCTTATAAGCGCATCTGCTTTAGCGTACCATTGCTTCTTAGACGTCTCGAACGCACTCCGCATCTGCTTCCGCTGAGTGATGACTAGCCACAAGACAAGCACCAGTATGGTGAAAGGTATGGTGAAGGCCCAATACATCCAAAAGTTCTCACCCACAACGTCGTCTCCGTTCCAATTCAACGACGGCACTGCGAATAATGCGGCAATGAAAGTTCCGGGTAGGAACACCATCGTCATCACCGCGATAACTTTCATAGACGAGCTGTCCCCCTTAGCCGCTCTAGTCAACTCAACACCAGCCTTAGCTAGCTCGATGCTGGCCATCGTGTCTTCGCGCATTAGTCTCCGTGGAATCTAATGTACGTAGTGTTAGTGCTAAGTGTTATCCTTTTGATATGTTGATAACTAATAGTACCATCTTACCCGAGAGAGAAATTCATCACTCCTTTGTCGTTCAAATTCAATTCGGCGCTGAATCGAAGGCAGGCGCAATTCCATCATCCTAAATGCCTCTCTTATATCCAAATCGCCATCAAGTATGTCCTGAGATGATGTACTCGAATTTCCCTGCTCTGTGCTTCCATCTATATAAGCCCGCATGTAGCTGGTAATGTCATTGATACAATAGGAGTCGCGCTGTATCAATCGTAGATTGGTACAATTATTATCCCATAATTGAAGATTTTCCTCGTCGAAACGACCAAAGTCTTCACTGTAATATTTTGGAAATAACCAGAAAATGTGGTCTGTAAACAAACGCACGAGAAGAAATGGCAAAAAGTGTTTGTCTTGATATAATCTCGCATTTGCTTTCATAAATTCGGCAGTATACTTCAACTGTCTCTTTGAGTCAGAACCAGTTGTCCAAACAAAAAAGAAGCATGTCGTGGATCTAGTTGTTTGGTTGTATGATCCTGCCGAGCCTCAATTAGTGGGAAATTGCTAGGTCAGAACGATATAACATCGACACATTGCCCAATCGGTTTCTATCTGGTACCCTTAACCAGGTACCTAGGTACTTACCAGCCATAAAAATGTAGCCGGTCTCAGCAATCATATTGATCACCTTTCCTTTTCTACATAACTCCCGTTCCATCATATCACACCCAGTGGCACAAATATGCGAATCAATCAAATACGTCTCGATGCCTAGCTCCATGAGCACATCCAAAACCCAAGCAAGCTCCCCATACTCCTTTGGTCGAGGTTGAACAAATACGGAAACCGTGAACTGGACGAGTCTGAAAATCGATTGTTCAGAATCGGTTCGGATATAATTCTGAACCTGATCCATGGGCATCATTCTTTCCGAATAAATAGCATCATTCCCCGAACTCGAGATCTCGAGAACTTTACACTCGGGGCTGAGGTTCTCGACTCGATGGAGAAAGCGGTCGCGGCCTTGTCGCCGAAGGCTTTCCATCTCGTTCGCTGCGTGTGCAATAGAGGGGTCTTACGTGCTTAGCATTCTGGTAAGGGGTTCGTTAACAAAGAAGAAATGGAAGTGACGCTCTAGAAATAGAAGAGCACTTGTAACGAGAATTTAACGAGAACATTGAATGAGGCTAGGCTTCCCAGCATATTAATTAAGCGCTTATGTGTGTTGATGGCTAAGCTGATTCCACGTAGCTTATCTACCCCTAGTATGATAGGCACTTCCAAGTGGAAGGTAACACTTGGCTTTCTATTAGGTATTCATGCATATGTGGTGGCGGCAAGCATACAAGAAACTTCTACGGTTTGGTATTGCACATATGTACCATCCTAAGAACGCCATTGAAACTTGTCCTAAGTCTAGACCCATGTGACATGCTTTACCTTAGGTACCAAATTTCGTGGGAAAGTCTCGATAGGGTAATAGGATTGGATATTCCAACCCAGCGTATATCGTAGTTAAACTTTTCATTGACCAAATAACACACTACCACGCTTGATAATTGTTTCTAGTTGTCGTAAATGCTCAACACGTTGTACATCGAATTTCCGCAGAGAAAATCCTTTGTTGGGTTGATACGATGGTTAAATAATTTTTTGAATTGAAACGCAACCTCCTATTCAATCCAGCGCGACGTAGACACTTATTTTCCTCCCCAGTACTTCTTGACGAAGTCCTCCACTTGGGTAAACTTATAGTCAGGCAGGAGCTTGTTCCACTCATCCGTAACGTTATAAGCACCGCGATGGATGGCTTGTAAGATTCCCCTAGTTGCATATTCCAGGAACGCCTCGACAACCTCCGGCGCAGCAGTGTGGAGATCAAAACTGGCATCAATAGGCGGTGCTTCTGTTTTGGTCTTGGCTTCAAGGTCTTCAAGCTTGTACCATTTGACCGTGAATGGCCTGCCTGCGGAGATCGTTAGCGGCGTTTTTTAATCGAAGCAGCCACTGATCATCTGCCTATGTCCAGGAGGAGCGCGGACTTACCAATGGACTCTCCGAGTTTAAGCATCTCTCCAATAGTGACTCGAGATCCGATCATGCCGCCAATTGCTGGCCATTCGCCTTCATACTCAACGGCGCGAGCAGTTACGGCGGCAATATCTTCAACAGTTACCCACGTGATGGCATCGTCAAGCGCCCCCTCAATTGCGGAGGTTCGCTGGTTCTCGAAGTCGAACAGGAAGGGGATCGTGGCGACATGCTTGGAGCTCCTTTGCGGGTGACTAAGGTAGCCCATCCAAGTACCGACCTGGAACCTGGTATATTCAATAACCTTCTTCTCCTTATTGACTTCCTCTAGATAGTGGGCGACCTCAACCTTGCCCGCATACCACGGAATGACATCGAGCGAGTCCTCCAACTTGACTCCACTAACATTCCGTCAGTACGATGATAATAAAATGATTTCTCTAAGAAACGACTCGGGGGACATTTTAGAAGAATAAATGCTTACGTTGCCCACTCGGATGGAGCGAAGCGCTTCACACCAGCCTCGATAGAGGCATCAATTAGTCGCTTCTGTATCTCGTTACCTTGGTCGGAATGGACAGGGAAGAAGCATATGACTGTTTCTACGCCCTGGAAGATGTTGACGAGTTCCTTTTTATCATCATAGCTCGTCTGCACATATTTGACTCCAGGGATAGGTGGGAGTTTGGTAGGATCCTAAGTTTTATATGAGCCTCAGTTAGGCACTTAGGGAATATGAGATTTCCAGATTATCACCTTTCGAACTAGGCCAATGATCTCGTGCTTCTTGGTTTCAACAAGCTTGTCAATAACTTCCTTTGCCAACTCTGTAGGAATGGGTTAGTAAAGAGGTGGACGTAGGAGCTGGTTAGATTCAGGGGTAAAACGCCACAAAAGCCACTTACGGCTTGTAGCTGCCACGATTGCGACCTTGACCATGATGACCAAATTTCTTCCCCAAAAGAAACTATGCGTAATATTCGAAGCTTTTGTCTGGAAGATTATTGCGCTTGTGTGGAAATTGTTGAGGCTGTTCTCTTCTGACACAACTGTTTCCTTTCTTAAAACCCATCATACTTATATTCTTCTGTCGCCCTTACAAATGGAGCGCGTCGACGGCGCAGCATTATCATGGCGTGATAGTAGTGATTCATGTTGAGATATGTTCACGTAACTGTCAGATTGGAATTGAGTGGTTTCGGAATCTTTGAAATCCAATACACCCGACTCTCTATCCCCGAGCGGTTACGTGATCGGACGGAATTGTGCCGTGCCAAGCCGCCTCCCTGCTGCCGTAATTACGTCTCTCAACGCCAACGCCAGGTTTGGAATCCTCGCAGGAACAATAAGCGTAAAATCTGATAAATCAAATGTGAGCCCGGAATCTTTCCACACCGCGGTTACTTAACTGCTATGATAACCGTTTCAATCTCGCCCTTGAATTATTCAATATGTCAACTGTTTCCAGTCCTCAACAGGTAGAGATGGTGGCGACAGGGGACGCAGATGATGCACTTCGGGTAAGCTTATGCTCAATTTCTCCGCTAACCATCGATCTAACCCGACCGTAGCGTCGACGCGAACGGGGCCGTCGATCCCAAGCTGGTTTTAGGAAACGCCAAGCGGAAGCGCATCAGCATATGCGAGATCAAAATCGCCAGCTGAAAGCTGCGATTGAAAAGTTGATCAATACAACCCGCGGTGACGAGCATCCGGAATTGCTCAACACCATATTCGAAGTGGCCGAGGCTGCTGGTATCGATGCCCAAAGACCTGCACACTGTGAAAGCGTTCAGCATTGGCCTAGACACGTAAGCTTCGAAAACAGCCACATCTCCTCGTCTCGAGTTGACGGCGAGGTTGACATAACTATCCACGCTACGACAAAGGATATTGTCCCTGAAGAGGGTGACCAAGGGTGTTCTAATTTGGACTTGTCGACTCCGTCCTCAGCTTCATCACAGCGACTTCGATGCGGTATATGGCTAGATCACCAGTATTACATGCGCATATCCGTACCACCCGACGACATCTTACCGTATCTAGGACCGGGTTCTAAGACGTTCGCCGGAATCCTCTTCTGGGATTTAATGGATCACAGTCAAAATAAATGTAAGCGTCCGCACTCGGACGATGTCACCATCATCCGGAGAGGTCTGGGCCACTCGAAGGTGACGGAGAATTGGGCAGTTAGTTACATTCACGCCATGGTTGACGCGAGGCAAGAGTACAGACGGACAGGGTCGATAAGTCCGCAGTACGCATCAGCCGCGGAACAGGATCTGGGAGCGATGGTGCGCGATCGCATCACCGCAGAATACCAGGCGCAGGGAAAGGACCCCAACCAGTGGCTATCTACCTTGGGGATTGAAAAACGAGTCAGGGCCATGGTCAGCGACGACGCCTTTGCACGTTTGGAGGCGGTTGCGAAGGGCGAGGGTGACCCTGCCCTACGACAGTTCTTTGAGAATATCGAGTGCAGGCTTCACGAGACTTGCATATGCTTTGGTGATGGGCCAAGGTGGAGTATAGACATTGTGGATGGGCTATTTCTCAGCTGGGTCTATACCGCCTTCCGGTCTCCTACGTGACGGAGATTTAGGGAAGGATAAAGCACCGGCATGTCTGTCTTGTGTGACTGTACCTATATTAGGACGTACATATGTAGTTTACTTTGGTAAGTAACGACCTCGGAGATATGTATGGCATTACGAAGTACTGAGCATGTTAGAATTAGACTGCCTTCATTTAACTTAATTGGCTAAACCACCTTAATGGTCAATTGGCCCAGCCAATCAACAATTGTGCTTTCCTGGAGATAGCGGCGTTGCACACTGTGGGTTTAGTGTCTGATTTTAAATCTCGACCCCCTGAAAATAACCCACCAGATGCCGGCTCTAGTGCAGTTCTAGATTATCACAGTATTGGCTACAAGGCATGATGTCCCCAGAGTCAAATTGTTTATCCGTCCACGCGCACAACGACTGAAGCGTATGCAACTACATATTATCAATTGAACTATGAGAGCAGCGCGCGAACCTCCCACCGGCAATATATTAACAAATGTCAAGGTGTTATGTGCCAGGCTTGGGATCCGCCCCTGATCTTTCTTGATCCGTAGGTCATGCCACCCCATCCCCCACAAGGCTATTCCCGCTGCTGCCGCAAAGCCCGCCACTAGGTAGAATACATGGTTGATGCTGTTTGCATATGCGACGAGTACGCCCGGCAACTCGTTAGGTGGGACGATGGTGTGGAAGTCGGTGCTTCTAGCAGATACAACGGCCGCGGGGTCGACCAGCGGCGCGTGTTGACGGAGCTCTTTTGGCAGCGTCGAGCCGAATATGACGTTCATAAGGGTCAGTGCGATTGTTGGACCGAGGTTCTGGCAGAACATGCAAAAGGAGATGCCAGATGCGAGTTCTTCACCGCCCATAGCGACTTGGACGTTGGTGATGGCCTAATGTAGGCTGAGTTAGCCATGGGCGAGGAGGAAAAGGCTTACGTGCCGAAATGCTAGGGGAAGACGAACCAACTGTAAACCGGCACCGGAGCCGATACCTCCCAAGATCTGAAAACCGACCCATTTTCCAGTTGAGCTGCCAGGCTGGAGGATAGAGTAAAGACCGCTTCCAACGGACAGGAATATCGCCGAGAAGATAGCCACGGGTATTACGTAGCCTATCTTGGTTACTGGAGTTGGCTTGTCAATACCTAGGTACACATACACCTGGGGATGCTCATCTGACTTACCCGCGGCACCAGCAGCACCGGCCGTGAAAGTTTGCGCTAGAATCATTGGAAGAAGATATACGGCACTGAGAAGCGCACTGGCTCCGTTGACAGCCTGGAAATAGAGAGGAAGAAAATAAATTGCCCCATAAACAGCTGGTATGAGTAAAGCGGTATGCAGCCCAAAAGCCAGCACGCTGCCGCGACCGATCAGGGCGCGAAGTATTAAAGCGTTCTTACCCCGGCGTTAATTCCAAAAAAACCAGACAAATGCTGTTGCAAAGGCGCCAACGAAAAGGTTAATTACTTGCAATAAATTCCAGGGGTAGTTCACACCCCCAAATTGCAAAGCGAGAAGGAGTTCTAGAGTCGCCGGCGCAATAAGAAAAAAGCCTACGAGATCGAGATGGTGGTGAAGTTTCGGAATTAGAGACCATGGATTTGGCTTCTCTGCCTCTCTTTGGAGACGTAGCAGAATAATGGCGATGGCCGCCAAGCCGCCAGCAGGCAGATTCACATAGAAGCCTATCTCTGTGAGCTGAATGCAAGATGGTAAAGGATTGTAGACAACGTACACCAACGCCACAAAGGGTGGAACCAATCTCGAATATGCCAAAGAAGACTAGAAAGGTCCACTATTCCCGTTAGGTCAACCATCTAAACATGGATACAACACGCGACTCCAACGGACCTTTGTGCTGAAATACGTGTAAATCCTGCCGGTCAGTAGCTGAGGAGCCGCCCTGAAGCGTTGACGTTAGGGAACTTGGATCACGCAGCAAGTAGACGGAAGGGTGATACGTACGTGCCAAACTGGTATACACTGGCATACCACCCAATGCCGGGAAGGGAATGGAAGGTGTCGGTGATGCTTGGGATAGCCTAGGGCGACAATCACGCGGTCAGCTTTTACTCAACTGACAACCAACTCGCCATCTTTTGATCCTATTGAAGCAACCTACCGTGCTAACTATCATGGTGTCTAGTAGGATGAGGAAGCTGGCAAACGCGACGGCGGCCACGATGACGGCTAGCTTGACCCCGGTCACATACTCCTGGGTGGGCTGCGAGTTGCCGTCGGGCGATAGCACCATCTTAATGTCAGTATCTGGCTGCCCGGCAACATGACCAACGGGAACAGAGCTGGGCTTGGGCTCGGATGCTGGCGCCGACGAGGACACAGAGTCAGGAGAGTGGGTAGCCATGATGGCAAAAAACGTTAGTGTGCAGCGCTGAACGGTATGTCTAAGCACATGCAAGTAAGAGGAGGGAGCGAAGAGGAGTAATCGAAGATGTGAGCATAGATCGAATGGAAAACTAGTGGGTATTCTAAGTGAAAATGACACCAGGGTGTAATAGTGTAGTCGCTTTCATGGCATCCATCTCATTCAATACTTGATACAAGGCTGCGTTGGTTAGGTAAAAACAGGTATTGGATGTATTATGCATAATCCTTTCCAAGGTGCCTATAGTAAGTATAAGTAGGTATATTCCTGGGCGTTGCATAGCATACCGCAGATGGCTAAGCTTTGTAGTCCTAAGTTCCTAACCAGTCCTTGGCCAGCACATATGTATTATTTCTGTCAGTCGTTGCTCACATCTCGGTTTCATGTATGGTTCTGGGCACTTGTCAGGCACACTCCCTGGCGTTTACATCTGCCCCCAAGAAGGGTTTGGGTGTGTTGGTAATATACTCACCACCAACAGCCTTCAGCCTTAGTCGCCCTTACGTATGATACCCCACGCTCCGCCGACGCCAAGGTTCGGAGACTGACAAAGTCGTAACCGGTATGAAAGCTGTAACAGCTTTTACATATTGATGTTTATAGAGTAAGTTTGGCGAAGGGCTAACTTAGCATGATCAAAATTATGACATGGCGTAAAATGAAGTGCAACAAAGGGGCATCGTGTAGAAATCGTTGTTTTTACTACATGACCTAGTACTTGAAGGAGAATCTAAAAGCTCGTAGCTGTCATAAGGAAATACATGATTGCCATACTACCTAAACATGATAACCTATCGTGATAATGACCGGCTTCCCTAGTAATAGTGACCTGATGTCGAGAGAGAGAACTGTGAGATGATTCTTCAAGCCTTCGCGGGGCTAGACGGGTCCCAAACTATTTCCAACGTCGACAGCAAAGATCTCCCAGGCGCGCTCACCCCCTGGAGAACGAATCTTTCATCGGCCTCTGCAAGTAGAGCTTTCCACTCATGCACGTATCTATGACGACCATTGAAAGAGGCTCCGGTATTTAGGTCCATGGCCCTATAAATTTCTATCGTTAGATTTTCTCATCATCCCAAAAGCGATTACCACGGGGCGACATACCTCAATTCACGCTCTCTCCACAACGGAATCTCACCCGGCTCGGGCGCCACCGTATCCTGTATAAGGATCTTTGCCCCAGGTCGGAGTGCTGGGATTTGGGCTTTCAGGATTCGGAGAGCGTTTTTGTCAGGCCAAATCTGGAAAACCAGGCGGAAGAGGTAAGCATCGGCTTCCACAGTCTGCGTTTCGAAAAGTCCGTTTGCCTTGAAGTCGATACGGCCTTTCAATTCATCGGGAATACTATCCTTCGCGCCCTGAATAACCATCTCCATGTCCTGCACTAGTAGCTTGACCCCCTGAAAGCTCTTCGCCAGTTCCGCGGCGACCTCGCCTCTGGATCCACCAACGTGGACGATGAGCGCGTTGCCTAGGGAGGCCCAATCGTAAAGATTGGGGACGTCCGCAGCGGCGTAACCTGGGAAATGATCGTGGGCTTTTACTGCAGATGCAAGGCGCATGGCGCACGCGTGGTCCTCATGGAGTACATCGAAGATTGACTTGTCGGTATTGTTGGCAAGAGAGAAGCCCTATCAAGATTAGCATGATTATCAAAGTCTCGGGGTACGGGAGTAGACGGAGAAAACGCCATCAACCTCAAGGGTCGGAGATGCGTACGGTATTGTTAGCTTCTTCCGATCCTGGCCATTTCTGGATCGCATCTAGCATCTACGGCAAAGAACCTACGTTAGTTTCTTTGTTCACGGAACTTCGAGTTTAGGGTACACTTGGAACGCTAACCTTGGTAGCAGCTGGCCAACCATCCCACGCACCAAAGCTAAGCCAATCATTCACGTATGGAAGGGTGAAATACTTGGAGATCTTCGTATGAGCGACCATGCCAGGCTTGGGTTCTCTGAAGATACGCATGGACATCGCGTGCCGAACCAGGCGTCTGACAAGGGGTTCGTCCAGCTTCGTTTTCTCTGCAATTTCACCGAAGGAAACTTGGCCCCGAGGAGGGACGATATCGGCGATGTGGAATCGGCACATCGCGTCAATGCTGATCATGTTGGTGGTCTTGAAATACTAGTTTTAGCTTGCTAAACGAACCCATTGGGGCTAAGGAACTCTTACGGCACTGAATTTGAAGGTCATCGGGATAGGATCCATAAGTAATTCATGCAATTCGGCAGTCGCGTCAAGCACAGCATCTTGAAGATGGAACGTGCTAGGGGGAAGACGTTCTGGGCTGTCCTCGTCAAACGATGGAGACGGCACTCCTTGGGCTGATAGAAGCTCTTGCAGTTCTGCGACAGAAGCGTTGATCTTGGCGGCCAACTCCACGATTCGGGGAGTCTTGTTAGGTGATGCCATGGCCACTATGATGTGGAATGAAGATGCCTGAGTAGATGAGAAATGTGGGAGTAGAGACGAGAAGAATGGTGAAGAGATGTCTGTTCGAAAGGGGACGATGCCCCTCCTTATCGATCGCAGCGTGGTCGGAGCTGCTTTATGTTTTCTTTGTGGCATAGTAGACATCGGCCCTTACGAGGTTTATAAGTAAGGGGTGTGATGTTGGAGAGAACCCTGGTATGTCTCTTGGATTAGGGATACCCCATTAGCTTTTTACAGATTCACGCCGCATCCCCACTGCCCCTTGCCCTCGCAAGATTCTGCTGCAAAGCTGGGATCGGTAGCTGTACCACAGTTCGGTTTTAGAAAGCCGCTTTTATGACATGCCGCGGCATTTTATCATGAAAAGGATAGTCTACCGCCGGTTGCGTGGCGGCAATGGGAAAAAGCCTTTTGGTTTTGCTCTCAGGCCTCGGACACGACCTACACAACTTCCGCGGTAGATACACACGTGGATAGACGGCTCTTGTCAACTAGCTGTCTGTTTAGTTGCTTCCAAAATCAATCCTTCTTGCTTGTGAGACCAAGGCCAAGTACACTTTACGTTGTCGTAATATCCTCGTATCGTCTTTGCCTCAAGTAGAAATGAGTTCCACTACTATCCAGTACGGAGAGCTTGCACAGCCGAATGAGTTAATTCTGAGCGACCATAGAACTACAACTGCTCAGATCAAAGATGAACAACTCCGCCGTCGCTTAACTGAAGGCGACCGTGAATCCGGTATCTTCTTAGAGGAGCCGAGACATACTATGTACAGACTTGGACACATTGTATGCAGAATTGCCCATACGTCATGGTTGAGTTGTCTCTAAGGGTCATTGGCACTTCCAACTTCCTCTGATACTCATCGGTATAAAAGCTAAGACTTTTGCCGCTTTGGCAGCGGAGCCTCAATCTCACTAGCACTGAGCTCTCAGGAAAGATTGGTGTGAGCCTCAGTCTCTTGCTTCCGGCAGCGATATCCAAGCCTCACTGGGAGGGTGATCCTTCAAGACCGGTCAGAGGCCGTACAGAAGGCGAAAGCAGCGCTTTCCATCTTCGCAAATATCGAAGGTGAGGCATATGATATCTCTATGCCCGAGCCAGTCAAAGGTATGTCTCACTTTCAGAAGTCTTATATAATGTATACCTATCTCAGTTAACATCTGCTCGTTCATTGCTCAGGAGCCTGATGCTACTATCTCCGAGAGATCTTTCACTCATTCGCATATGAACAATGCCTTGAGGTTTTAGTAGGCAATATTAAAGTAGTCATGACTGAAGAGTCGGTGATGATGATTGACGAGACTGTCCTTCCCGAGGTGTCGGACTGAGGGGAGTTTAACATGATAAAAAAGTATTGATGAGCGTTGGCAAGTGTACTCTTCGACCATTTTTTCTAATACTGACCACTTTTGCGTATTTTGGAAGCTGTGCGCGGTGTGTACGCTCCTCAGCAGGGGCTACACTTACAAGTTCGGCGCAGAATATTATTGGTGCTGATTTGAAAAATCTACAGGCGCGAAAGAACGGACGGAGGCTGAGTAGGAATAGGTGCTCGAGGACGCCAGACTGAAAATGCATGAAGTGGTGAAGTATGATGAGGAGTACGATGATTGTTTGATCATTGCAGAGATGAAATTGAATATGAGAATGGGGCAGGCAGCGTTTGTGTTGGCGCGGTTGGTTGCAAATTGTATGTAAATTGGACGTTGGTGGTGTTTAGGTAGCTCCAGCAATATTCTGCGAGCTATGATGTGGCTAGGGTGTGGCTAGGTATGGCAGTGCGCGGGGACCTCAACGCACCTGTATTAGTAATGAAGAGGAAACTATTGATGAGTCAGCAAACTGTGAGCCAATCGGCAAAAAACTAGTGAATCCAGTCTCATTCAAGCCATTGGTTACGTAAGTCACTGACATAAGAGCTGTTGAAGGGATTCGGCAGACTAGTATTTAGCTTTGAAAGCAGATGTAGCAAGAAGATGCTATGAATGGTAGATTGATGTTGTCTTCTAAGTTCTAAGGTAACTTCAGGTTCAACAAGTGTTCTCTAATACTAAGGATGTCACATGACAGCAGCTGCGGGACTATTAGGTACAGTAACCTAGGCAGTATAGCTGACAAATCCTAGCTTAAAGGTACCTAGTAGAAAAGAATTAAAGAGGATAGAATGTTGTATTATTGTTGGTTTTTTAAGCTTTAGAATCTCCTGCAGAGATTTTAAATACCTCCCATAGTGTAAGTAGTACTTTCCTAGCTTGTACACTCCATTTAATACGAACATATAAAAGCCCGCCCCAGGCGATTCTTTCCTTTAATATAAATCTTATTTTGACGGTAATAACGACGTAGGCCGAAATAGATTAATCCTTACATAACTCTAATAACCTATAAACATAGTTCCCATACGCCGGATAAGCTAGACACTTACGGGCCACCAAAATAAATCGGGTCCCTCCACTGCTTACCCAAATCCCCGGGACGAAACTATAGCCGGAAGGGGAATAAACGCAAGCTATACTAATAGGAAAGTAGATATTGACGGGCCAAAATAGACAACGAAAATAAACGGCAACGGCAGCACGGCAGGCCGAACGGACAAGATATATTGGTAGGTTTAGAAGACGAGGAGATAGTGCTCCCAGACAGAAACAATAGCAGGCGAGACAGGGCCTCTTTTGATGTTATTTTTTTGATAATAGATAACTTAATAAACGAGTAACTAAACAAGTAATTATTTTGATAGAATGTTGTAACGATATTCCCATACGTAAGCATTCCGGTATGAAGGCACTAGAAAAGAATTAAAGAGGATAGAATGTTATATTGTTGTTAGTTTTTTAAGCTTTAGAATCTCTTGCGAAGATTTTAAATACCTCCCACAGTACAAGTAGCACCTTCCCAGCTTGTACACTCCATCTCTAGTATGCACAGGGACCGTATTAGGTAAGCAGAGCTAGTGTCAATATGACCGACTCATGTAAAGGATGCACCCAATCAATTTAAAACAGCTGTAGCTATTACATAAGGGAGCGTAAGTTGCTGAATTGAAGCTATTCAGGGCTGTCATTCCAACCATAAGACCTTCACTAGTTAGGACTAGATAGGAATAGGGAGGGCGAGCAGGCGACGGAGGGCACTAGCGAGGGGCAATATACGACGATTTAAGATCGCTAGATCACTCGGGCCCAACGCGAAGTATGAAGCCTTACTGAGAAGAAGTTGATAATAGGAAAAGAAAAAGAAAATAAAAGGAGAGGAGCGTGTGTGTGTACAACGCGTAGTTGATTTAAGGTGAATTCCCCCTTAATACTATGTACACGTGACCCCCTTCTGTGCCCCTATTGGACAACACTTTGGCACTGGTTTACTTCACTAAGGACGGCAAGATATCATAGAGAAGTTGTATAATTATCAGATAACTTCATTTTATTGGGAGCTCAAGATTAAGGAAATTGTGTTCGTTCAAAGTAAAGGAACCATCCTTCGTGACTCAGAAGACAAACTCCAAATAGGAGGAAATAAGGGAAAGGGGGGTTTGGTGGGTTGAATGTTTTTTGGGCTGTACCGTACCGAACCCTCCTTAATAACTTGTATTCTCCCTTTTCCGTTCGTAATATTCTTTCCGTGCCCTTATTTATTATCACAGAAATTTGCTAACGCTGCTAAAGGGTGGGTTAATATCCAAAGGTATATAAAATCAGAATTAACTCTTGAAAAATGCGATTGAGGCTTGCGTACAAGATGACAAGAGGTCGAAAGAGTCACATCAAAATAGCGTGAAAGCCAAAGAAAGCCTATGCTAAAGAATGATACAAAATTTCCCATGGATTTAGGTCCTCCTACAAGGCCATGTTGTTAACATTGTGTAATCAAATCATGTTCAACGCCGGTGCCAACAGTTTTGTAGGTTAGGCATATTTTAAGGAAGGTACATGATGCAAATACATTCATGTTTTGTCACGCACGACAAAGTAAAAGCTGGGGCAACCTTTAACAGACAGCTGCCACTGTAATGATCTCGTTACCGACCACCTATTGTCAACCTTTTTTTTTTTCCTCGATACCTTTCTTATCCTTTCCTTATCTCCTCGACAAATCTCAAGTTCCTAACACATTATTTTTTTCCCCGTAGGAAAAAAACATCTCGGACTCGCAACTTGTACTCCCAGACATGAAATCAATTATCCTGTATCCAGATTAAACGCGTCCATTCCAACTACATCACATCATGTCGACCCCAACCAACCTCAGCGTCGAGAGCGATCTTGATGAGCTGCCGTGCTCATGTTGTTTGGGTTCATTTCCTCCAGAAGAAGTGCACAAGCTGCCCTGTTGGGACATCTACTGCAACGACTGCGCACGCGAATTGTTCACAACGTCCTTCCAGACCGAAGGAAAATTCCCACCTCGCTGTTGCGGCCAGCCTATCAACCTCACGCCGCAACTATTTTCCATGCTCGGCAAGGATATCTGGTCTGTATACATCGCAAAGCGCACCGAGTTCAAGACTGGCAGGCGCATTTACTGCAGCAATGTCGACTGCGGATCGTTCATCCCCGACGACTTTAAATTTACCGGCTTTGCCGTCTGCAGAGACTGCGATTCTTTGACCTGCACCGAGTGCAGAAACCCGTGCCACGAAGGAGACTGTTCCCTCTACGACGATTCAGCCGAGTTGAAAGAACTAGCTAAGAAAGAAGGCTGGGCCGAGTGCTATGAGTGTGGCCGCATGATCGAGAAAGTAGAGGGCTGTGATCGCATCGAGTAAGTTTCTTATTCGTCTGCTTTTCTATACTATTATTATTATCACGAGATAGCTAACGTTTGCACCTCTATAAGGTGTGCTTGCGGAATGAGCATTTGCTACACGTGCAAGAATGCGATAGGGAAGTGCACTTGTGAACCAGACCATCGCCCCTTACCTCGTGGCCGACCGCTCCAAGACCTTGGAGGATTCGACAGACAAGAGCACCAGGATCGAGCTGCCCGACGACAATTGCTGAAAGGGCTAGGACGAGGAGAGTCCGCACAGAGTAACGAAGAAGACGATGAAGAAGATGATACGGTTCCTTCGAGTCCCCCGGTTCTCATGGCTCCCTCTGCCACAACTGATCAACCAACTCCGCCATTCCGACGTCATAGGCAGCCCGCGCATGGTTGTAATCACCACTCGAAGAAAGTTCCGGTCAATTACACGAAGATATGCCCACGATGTCAACACCTTACCTCTTCGTCTATCATGCAGTGTAAAGGATGCGATCTCCTTGCTTGTTGGAAGTGCTTCAAATTTATCCGGCGTGATCAGAAGCATTAAGGTTGTTGGAGGCCAGGGCGACTATGGAGGTTCATGTAGGAGGCCCATGACTCGAGAAACGTGAAGTCGATGGTATAGAGAATGGTGTATAGACGTTTAGTTTTTACACATAATTATGATGCCTCTCCCCCTGTCTTACGAATTGTCACTGGAGCAATGTGTTGTTTTAATCGTACACGATTGAACCTATCTCCAGGAGCATTCCGTATTAATAGCAAAGTTAAATTAAATTACATGGAAAATATCATGTCACCAATAGCGCTCTTGCGAATCATTAATATTTCGGAGGGTGAATGTAGAGCTACCTAGGCTCTTATTGACATAATGAATGACCTAACGCAAGAGGAAAAAGAGAATAACGGAAAGGGGGGAAGGCTTGGAGTAAGCTATAATTTGAGTTGTATTAATGGTAACTATATCAATACTTCTTGGTATTCATCAGTTCCAGCCATTCATTGAATATCATAATATGTAATGACAAGCCATAGATATTAGACATTATAAACCAACCTTACATACTTAATAGTCGAAAATGACAATTGGATTCAAATAGTATTCAGAAAGAACAAGTGAAATAGTTGATAACTTCAATGGAGGCTAAAGAAGAGCAAAGTGAGAACCAGGTACCCAAGAAATAAAACTACTCGGTATTTGGTAGGTATATTAAAAAACAGAATAGAAAAAAAAAAGGTTGAGCAATGTGTGGGTTCCCATACTGCGCGTATGGGTACTGCCTTGCCTCGCGCAAGAACCGCCTGACTAATGGTTAGAATCCCACGGAATTTGTGGTTGTGGGAATTGTAATGCAACGGCCTGACTTTATTGCTCTAAGTGTCACTCGAACCCCGACCTTAAGAGAGCCCCCAGAACCCACCCCACACATCAGACCGTTGCACTACACTGCACCTTCGAGTGACCTTGAGAATTTTGAACTTTAATTGAGGTATATAAGGTATCTAGGAATTTAGACAGCACTGTACGAGATGAGTCATCAAAGGAACAAATTGTCAGACCCCGGGTCCACATAGATCCGGCCTCCTAAGAGGTATCGTCAACCCTTTTGTCTACCTTACGCATGGACCAGTTACCAAGCTACTCGTGTGAAGTCCTATGTCGAGGCCTGTCTCTCCGGGAAGAGTCAAGATCATCGAATCCAATGGCGTCCATACTTTTAGTTGGCCCCTATTTTCCTAGTACTAAATATTATTCTCTCTTTCTAAAACATTCACCTCCTTAGATATATAATAAGGGTTGGATATACCCTGCTACTAATGCTTCTGTTTTGTTGCTCTTGCAGTAAATTGTGTATTTTTACTTATTTATTCTTCAATCAAGCCATAAATTACAAGACTTTAAAACGGGGTTTATTCATTAATGCTAAATCAGAACTAAGAGATGTAAACATATATCAGTAACCGAAGTCGGCATTCCCACTTCACTAACTAAAGAATCAACATGTTTATAAGCATTGAAAACTGTTTAAACATATTATTATGTTTATATCAGATGCAAAGACAAGTAGTTTTGATCAAGAGATCAAGTTCCGTAATCTCCGATAGGTGTACGATGTCACTTTTAACTTGGAGCTTTGGGCACTCGGTGGCGGACAGGTCGATGAAGCAAACATCGTCCGAAGTTGTTGTTCTTAGACACGTAGAGACGTCATTGCATCACGAGGGGTCATTCCTAACCTGTTTGGCAGAATAAACTTCTCTAATCTTTCTTATCAAATCCTCATGGTTTTACAGTACGACGTTTCCTGGGGCAAATTTACGGAGTTGGCAAGTATTCACTCCTGGACAAGGCAAATATGGCCACTCCATCCACACTTGACTCCTGAATGACTAATACATCCAACTACGAGTGCGCTACAGCTATGAAATATACGAGATACTTGCCTTGGCAAAATTCTCAGAGTTGGAAAGGACTCTTAGTGATTAAGGAGAAAATCACAGGGTTAATAATATTTACTTGTCTTCTTAGCGTGTATTTGCAGATGAGATGATTAGGAGCTACACAACAGCCGCAATAATGAAGTTGTTCTACCTTCATACACTACTCACATTGATCAGTATGAGAATGATACAACATTCTCCTGGATATGCCCTATTTCAATCGAATGCTATTCAGGGTGAAGATATCATCATAGATAACGCGACTAACCTAGGTAATTACTTCATTTGATTTATCTAGGAGCTGCCGGTTCTTGCCGAGTCTAGCAATCTACCTATCTCTGTATATGGTGTTTGTAAACTTATGGTTATCTCTGACTGCCTGAGAAGGTCACTCGTAACCTACGTAGTTGCAACTAAAGGCTCCAAGTATCACAATGCCTTTGTCTGCTCATCATCCGAATTATCGCAGAGGCTCAGGTGCCCTAATCAGAGTCACTTGCGTCTTTCGTATAGCAATCTTTGGTTAAAGAATACTGTGACTCTACTTGGCCATATCGTCTCGAATTCATTTCCCATTCGTATATATTCATCATGAACCCTAACCCTTCCCAAGCTTACAATCCTCATAACACCAGTGTTGACCACCACCCTTGCAGAACTTCAAGCTCTATCTGCCCTCGTTGACAACATTCATAACATACATATCGCCATGAGTCAAAATCAAGCTCCGTGGCCGGGCGACAAGTTGGTTAAAACACCCCTAATATTTACCTCCAAGCGTTAACATGATACAGGATCCCCAACGTGTCGAGGAATGCCCTTACGCAGTCGGAACGGGACCAGCTCCAGTCCTTCGTAGTACCCCCCTCGACTTCGCCTATGCAACCTCCAAACCAAGTAGGGGACCAGACTCTTAGCCATTACGGAATGAATTCTACTTCAACGTCGATCACTCCCCAGTTAACATCGACGCCATCGACATATATCTCAGCGCCACCCATTTCGAATTCACAATATTCCCCATCGATTCCTACGCCCCATGGATCCACGTCCATGGTACCTCACCAATATACAAACTATGGTTTTTCCAATACCGTGGGGCTTCAGAACATGGCAGCACCAATGAACCCGACGTTCGCCTACAACCATCAACAAAACAGTAAGTACGGCCTTCAAGGAATGATGTGTAAATAAACTAACCTTTCGAAGCTCATATGATGCCAAACGCATCAACCAATCAGCATAGTCAGTGGTCATCTCAACAGAACGATTCTAGTTCGGGGATATTCGCGTCCCAGAGCCAAGGGATCACGGCTGCGATGGGTTCCGAGCCTATTCCACAGAACCAGATCGCTTCGGCTAGTCAATATACCATGTTCCCGGGTATGGGCTCGCCTTCGCAGGCCATCGAAGATGTCGCCGGACCCGTCACTCCTACGGGTCACAACGGGGTTTCCCCTGATTTCGACGAGGGCACATCCATGAGTCCGCACGCCGGAACCCATCAGAACTCCAGAACCAGTTCTGGCTCGACTTCGAACGGCCACCACCGATCTTCGAAGTCCAGAGATAAGGCGCCTTTCAAATGGAGGCCCGGCATGAAGGAGCGGAAGATCACGGACGAGATGTCGCCGGAGGAGAAGAAGGAGGCGAGCGACTGGAACTACAAGTACTCCGAGGCCAAGAAGGCGCATACCCGGGAGCAGAACCGCGTTTCCGCCCAGAAGAGTCGGCAGAAGAAGGTGGAGCTGCTCGAGAAGACGAAGACGCAGGTGGAGCGCCTGGAAGAAGATAACACCCGGCTGCAGAACCATATCGTGGGATTGGAGTCGGCGGTGCAACAGCTCTCGAACGAGAACATGCACCTGCGCAGCAACAACGAGATTCTGCGCCAGCGCGTCGCTCTTCTCGAGCAACAGATCCAGGTCCGCAACCCCCACGTGGCTCTACCTGCTCTCGGAAACCAGAACCATACCCCTACTCTTGCTCCGGGAGTATCGCAAGCTCAGAACTTCATGCAGGCACCGACTCCCGTGCTGAGACAGAACCCCACGCCTACCCAGAACGTTCTCCAGAACGCCCCCCAGGCTCAGGTAGGCCTTGATTACGGCCTAGGTTCCACCCAGAATGCGCAGACGCTTGCAAGTAACGGTCCTATAGACCCTAACCTGCAGTCTCAGCAACCTCAGCAGCCGCAACAGCCACAGCAGCCTGATAATGTCACACGCGAACAACAGGATGATTTTATGGTGGATTGGATGCAGGTTTCCTTGGGTGACTTCCAGAACTCAGACCCTAACAGCCGGCCCTGGAGCCCTTCCAACGGTGGCGCCCAGTAAGTCGGGGACGGGCGGGGAAAAGTTATGTTGTCGTTATCGGGAAAGGCTTGACTCTGCGATTGTCCTCTGGATGTCCTGTTCAGTGTCAGTATCTCCATTGGCTTGTGTGGGTCCGTCCCAGGTCTTCCTCTCAGGCTAGACTAGAGGATATTAGGAGAAAATTCGTCTTCGGTGTTGGAGAAAGGGTACATTGAAAATGTTATGGTGATGCGTATTAGATTAGCGGATCTTTTCCCCTAGATAGGCGATGAATACGAATTATGAATCCATGATTTTAGTATCGGTTTTCGAAGGATTGGTGATGAGTCCTAGTAGCGTATGAGTAATTCCCGCTTGAGATCTTGTTATAAGGTATAACATATCTCGCAGCACTTGTTGTACTGTATGATAAATGCGCGATTTTTTTGATTCTGTCGGCACAGATGCGTAGTAATATATTATAGGCGGCGAGCTCGTAGATAGATACCCGAATTAGGTTCTCCCACGAAACTGTCACAAGATATGGACATATTAGGTTGGCGCAGTACTACTGCGATATATTGAAAGTGTAAACAGAATCCGGTGGGTGTCAAGGTATAGCTCCATGGAGAAGCATCATTTGGTATGTAGAATGTGGAATGAATTGAGGGAGTCGTCGAGTCCATGGTTGAGACATGCACCGTTATTTATCTTGTTAGTTCAGGTCCATGACAAGGTGAGTATGGACAGGGAGAATGTGACACCAAGTACATACCTAGTATTCTGTGATGGCTAATGAATGTTAGAATGATAGAGATTCATGAGCAATGTAATTCTGGAAAATTCTCAGGAGCAAAAACATAGGATGCAAACGACTGGAGGGATTCGCATGCGAGAAACCCATAGTTGCTCAGAACAGGCCATGATGCGGCCTCGACCGCAAATTTTGCGAGAACATCCCCACTATTAACGTCGATAAGGTTACGTGTATACTCGTCGAATTAGTTGATCAAGTTATGATCTGATGTCTCTTCAGAGAACCTACACGCTAGTAGATACTTCGGTACGCAGTAAAACCTCGGTAAATTTTGAAGTACGTCATCCATATTTTCATTTCTTTTGAAACTGCTACGTATGCAATAAGTCCAGCGATTCCATACAACTGTTTCCTACGGAACCTTGTCTTTGCCAAGTTTGTGAATGGGAAAAGGGGTCGCCGGTGTGACAAGCGACCCACTTTTGCCAAGGACTCACCCCCCTTTTTCATAGCTTACATAATATGTGATACCATTCATACTGAAGTACATATAGTCGGCTAGAATTGAACAACGGCATATAAAACATCGTTTTACGTTCAAAGCTATAGTGAATTCTAATCACGTTATTTGTGCGGCACTAAAAATGCCATGAAGGATTATCCTCATAATTACATATCCTCATGAAAGCGTGCATTGGTTCAACAATGCTGTATATCAAACATAGGCATTAGCTTGTAATATGGCCAGTATATACATAAGAAATATGAGGCATAGACTTTTCCAGTGTTTCTATATGCTGATTGTGCAGCTTACTCAATTCTTGGCATCTCATCTTTAATGCTCATTACAACTAACAGGGAATATTCATACCAAGCAGCCATGATGGGATGCAAGTCCGCCTCTTTGCACATATCGTTTCTACGCACTAGAGTGACGACACCTTGAATAGGTAAACATTCTGCTGAGTCTTTGTTCGTTGAATCTGGTCCACTTATATCCCCACACCTTTGGTAGTTGGGTAGTTAGGTGGAGAAATTAGCCTATGGAGCCTAATCACTTGCGAGCGATAGATTACGCATGTTGGACCAGCCAACACCTTGTGAGATAATGTTTGTGGTCACCTTATATGTTGCTTGGAGGTGATTACGTATTCGAAGATATGTCTAGTCTTGGGAATAGCTTTCTGCCTAGGTATCTATAGCACCGAACACTTATTCGATTATTTTTTCGACCTTTTAATCGTCTAAGTTCCTCAAAGCCTCCTTTCCCTGGGATCCATGCCTTTAGACGGACCAAAGATCCCAGGTAAGTCGGAATTTCATACGTGCGTACTTGGCCATTTTGATGATGTCGTGGAAGATAATGTTGTTTCTTAGTTATTACTTAAATCGTCGATAAAAAATGGGAGTGTAAAAGAAAAGAGGTGGATTTCTACTTAGGTAACCCATGACGGGCAAAAGAGGCCCTATGAGGGTCAAATAACAACCCGACTTATAGCTGGAAAATTCTTGCAAGTTGAAGGAGGTCAAGTTGAAGCTCCTCTTTGGGCAGTTTGGGTAACCCCTGTCCACAAAAGCCACATCTCAGTCATTTGACACCCATATCCTTCACCACAGAGCCAGGGCACATCGAGGTATCAGATTTACCGTAAGGTTTGTGGACTCCAGCTTTATTCTTATACAGGATAATCTCAAAGACATTGTCTTCTAATACAATCCCCATTCAGTGCTTATGTGACTGAATCATGCTTAGTTCCCTTTGTTCTTGAGGCGCATTGTTAATCCATTGTCCAATCCGTTTTATCTATACAAGAACTAAGGGCTCGCAATTGTGACAATAAGGTATCTTAGCGTCTTCGAAGCTTGGCCTTCCTTGACTCGACGTAGTATTTAACCCCTGGCCCACCGTTCAATATTCGCGTAACCGCTGAGATGGCAGTACCTTTGTGGAGAAGACCGGACAACCGTTATTATAGAACGACTCAATACGAAGGCACGCATCAGCAACATTCAACCCATATACCCCCCGGACTACACGAAGGTGATAAATATAGCGGAAGTATAAATTACCCACCTCCCGGGCTCATTCGCGCAACAATGCCCATGTGTATAAGTACTAGTGAGTTCATCAAAGAACGAAAGGGCCAGCCCCAGGTTCTGGATAACTCTAGGATATCTATGTTCAGCGATTTTGCCCAGCATTTCGATACAGGGTTCGATATGTACGGGAACCATATCATGTGCGATCTTACATGCGGGATATGCTGTGAGAGTAAGCTCGAGATGCCTCAATGTGTCTCCCCACCGCGGACGCCCGACGAGAACGCTAGGACAGAGCCTTTATGTGTTCTTCCGTGTGGGCATTTCTTTGGGGCTTATTGTATGGACGCTTGGATATCAACATGTCGGGATGAAGACAGGTGCTCCGACTGCCCCTTATGTCGATTCCCTCTACATTATGAATATTGTGGCCATGAGATAAGGATGAGGCATTATGACCCGCGCTTCCGGCGTGAAGGTCAACTTCCCCTAACATTATCAGAAGGCGGTTGTATGCCTGCTTACTGTAAATGGTGTCGGGTCAGCTATGTCAAGGATTTGGCAGATCGAATGGCAGAGGCAGTATATCCTAAAGAGGTCCCTGAAAGCGCTTTTATTAACCCGGCGAGGATAGGATCTAGCGAATTTAAAGATATGCGATCCCTCATCCGAGCGGATCTGCTTGATGCATTTTATCGTGGGGAAGAAGCTTTCGATCACTGGTGAGGAGCGACAATTTTGGTAAGTTAGTCAATGACTAAATATGGTTAGGAATGTTGAAGGAGTCAGTTAAGACATGACCCTACTTTATTCTATCGACACCACCTACTTGGAAAGAACTCGATAGTCTTTAGGTAGGTACAGAACCCTTTATGATTTGATATTCCAAAGGAGATCATTTCTAAGTAGGTACTCTACATCACAGTCACGCCAGACACATTCACTCTATTACAGACACAAGTCTAGGACCAGGAGGTTATTTGGATTTTAATATCAACCAATTATACATAATTAGCCTGTTTAAATTTGTTTCAATTAAATAAAATTATTTTACATTCGATCTCCAATGGCCCCTAATTACCAACATGGGAAATTGACTTTCGACATATTAATAGACTCCTGCCAAAACTCAACGAGAAATTACCCAAATCCGCCTCATTCTCGAAACCTAGAGCCTAGCTTCGCATACTCACTGCTTCTTCATCGACTCTATAATGCCACGAGCACCAGCAAATTCAAGCTGCTCCATAGTCTCCTGCCATAACTTATCCGCAGCCTCCCTGCCTTCAGGAGTGTAAAGGAATGAATTATACCTAACCAAGTGAAGAAGTCATATTAGCAAAAAGTTCACTCGAAAAAGAAAAAAAAAGAGGGGGGGTAGGTAACTATCATAGTGATCACTCACGGCGAAATCTTCCAACTCATGATAAACGACCCATGCGACTCCTTCCCCTTAACCAAAGCCGCGTCCAAGTACGTCGAAGCGCCATCGCTTACGTTCCTCGCAGCCGCAGCGGCGAAAAGGGCCATTACGGGCTTGACAAAGACACTCACGTCGCGGCTTAACTGAGTACCCTTGACGAAGCCTGGACAGACCAGGTTCACGACCACGTCGTCCGCGGAGACGTAGTCGACGAGCTTGTAGGCCCACATGTGCGCGAGCACCTTGGAGGCGTTGTACTGCTTGTCGCTGTAAGCGGGGAACAGCTTAGGGTCGTCGAGGGCTTCGAAGAGGGATTTGTGGCCCTTGGGCGTCGGCAGTGGCGCGGTCAGCGCCAGCGCCGCGTTGATGATTGTCAGCCGTCCTGGCGTGCCGGTAGGGGACTTGCTCTTGAGGATAGGGAGCAGAAGGATGGCGAGCAGTACCGTGGACAAGTAGTTGACCTGGACGATCTCCTCGTGGCCCGTGTCAGGCACAGCGTTATACGTGAGTTTCATCAAGCCGGCGTTGAGGATGACGATGTCGAGACGGGACAGTTGGCTTTCCACGCGCAGGACGAAATCTTGGATGGAGTCGTACCGGCTCATATCCACCAGCATGACCTCGATGGTGGCTTTCGGGAATTGGGCTCGAAGCTTGGCGGCGGCGGCTTCTCCTTTTGCGCTACTTCGTACCGCGATGATCAGGTGTGATAGACGGAGCTCTAGCATTTGCTTAGCGGCTTCAAATCCCAGACCTGTGTTAGATCCCGTGATGATTGCCACTTTTCCGGTGAGGTCAGTTGTCTTTGGTGGTCTTTCAGGTTTGGTACAGAATTGGTTCTTCACGAAGATGTTAGGGAAGAATGGGATATTCCATGGTGGTAAATCCTTAGATGAGGCCATCGTGAATAAGGGGTGTGATACGGGCTGTAATTTCACTATGGTGTTTTGTAAATTAGGTACCTAGCCAGGAGTGCGAAATCGAAGACGATGTTTATATTGCATTCAATTGGTATCATACGAAAATTCGAAACTCTATGCATTATATAGAAAAATATCACCTCGGAAACGATATTTCTAAGTTCTCCCATCCACACAAGTGATTCTATGATATTCCGACTTAATAACATATTCGTGGTAGTTTACACTATAATTCTAGGGACAAGTACATGGATGTGAACTATACAAGGGTTGCCCTTCTAATCCTGTCCAATCAGAGCTTGCTGCAGTCTCAAAATAGCATACGCCCTATTTGGCCATCGACACTATACCCAAAGAGGCAAATGATGTCTGCATGAGATGGACCTCACGGAGTTAAGCGTCACTCAAACGACAAGTGCTGAGGACTACGTAAAGCCTAAGTACCTAGACTAGAAGCCTATTTGAGCCGTCACTTAAGTGTGCATTGGCTTCCTCTACTCATGTACAGATTGATTTCCTTTCCTGGCTATTAATGTTGATTATTTCTTTGCGACATCACGTTCATCTAGGCAGACAACCTTGAAGCTAAACTCCGATTCGGGACGAAGATCTATCCCGAGCTATGGTGTACGACGCACACGGTAGCCTGCATAAACTTCGCAAACTGCACCCGGCTCACGGAAGACAAACGGCCGCAATTGCGTAATAATTGAGCCGACTTGTCGGGTTAAGAAGTTTGCTATTCCGAATTCTTGACCGTCAAGTTCGACGACATGGCGCCGTCCGCCAAAAGCTCAGGTGAGAGGCACGCGACTAGCATTATGCGTATGCATGTATAGTGTACTTGAAACTCACATTCTGTATCAAGTAGAGGCTATGCCTTTCATAATATCAACAGGGACAAAGGAACGTGACCCTGAATCGCGGAAGTTGATTAGGAGTCATGTTATGAAGGGCAGGAACCGCGGAAGAATCTTGCGCCCTAAGTATAAGAATACCGTAGAGCTAGAAGTAGTAGTGGATACAAATGAGAATATCCAAAATTTGGACAGCGAGGGTTCCTGGAGCTTAGTAGTTCCGGAATATCCCACTATCATTCCTCAAAGGGTTGGTTCAGATATATCGCTCATACGGTTCGCGGACAAAATAGACAAGCCTACGATTGGTATCATCATCGAGTGTAAGTGGCTACAACCCCTACCAAGTATTTCATGCCTCTTGCCCCTATTCCTGGTTAGTCAACGAATGCTTAATCCGACCTCATCCCATTTAGTCTCTACCATCGCGAAGAAAGCCCTTTTTCCTCTAGAGTCATGCATCAACTTCGGCCCCAAAACACGAGCATGGATGGAAGATCTCACGGTGGACGCCGCGTACCTCCACGCCATGGCTTTCTCGGCACAGGGCTACTTCGACCTGCGGTGCGGCCGCGTGCCCTCGAATAGCAGCTCATTAATGGACCCTCACGTCGTCAAGACGCTCAGGCTCCTGCGTGAAAGTCTCGAAATGGTAGATCGCGGCGACATGACAGAGCTCCCGTCAAGAACCGCTGCGATCGTGCTATGTCTGGCGTTCCACGCGCATATGACGGGCGACTTCCGCGCAGCGAGACACCACATCGTTGGGCTGCGCGGGATCGTTGACTTAGCCGGGGGCCTCGTCGCTCTGAAGGATAACACGAAGGTTATGGTAGAGATACTAAGGTGCGACATCGGCATGGCCTTACACAGCGGCACCCAACCCCTTTTCTTCTCGGACCTCGCGCGGGAACCCTACTGGCCATACCCGGACTTCTCCGAATACGCAAGCGATCCAGCTTGGCCCCTGCTCGGCAACGTAAAAGACGAACCATTCCTCGGGCTCCTCGACGCCGACATAGCTACCGCATGGCGAGTAACCAAACGATTCACCATGCTGGTGAACTACGCCGCCGAGACGCAGAACAAGCTTCCCAAGGAATACCTGCTCGACACCATGGCCTCCGTGACCTACCGGCTCTTGCACAAGTCCTCGCTTTTCCCGCGGAGCTCCCTCAACGAGGCCATGCGTCTAGGCATACTAGTCTTCGGCTCCGGCATCTTTCTCCAGTGGGCCGGCGTGCAGCTGCCGTACACGCATTTCCCAGCCGCATATCGGGACTGCCTCGTCAATCTGAATCTCAAATCCTTAGATCTTGCTCTTAGCACCTTTACCCCGGCCGTAGGCGATGACGGTAGCAGCAGCACTAGTAGCGGTGTTGACAGCCCGCCACCATTATGGTCATCGCAACTTCTTCTCTGGCTTCTTACCATCGGTCACGTATCCGTGTTCGATTCCACTGACAGTGACACGTGGTTGAAGCCGTGGCTGCGTGTCAACCTAGACCTGTGCGGCATACGGACCTGGTCTGCGATGCGCGACGTGCTGAGCTCCTTTATCTGGGTCGGGATTGTGCACGATATGCCTGGCAAGTCCCTGTTCAATTCGACCATGTCCACCAGTTCGCATTCGTGATTCGATTGGCGGAAGGCCCCGAGGTTAATATATTTATCATAAACGGATATTGAAGAAGGGTCGGCGACGTTTGGATTGAGCATAGTGTCTAAGATAGAATATATGTTCGCAATCTGAAAGAAGAATCAGACAAGACGTCTGGCAGCTTTGCCTCTTTCGATTTTAGTCGAATCTGGCTCAAATCGGGCTTTAATAGGTGAGAAGAGTGATTATAAGAATTGGATAAGAATTAAAAAGCTAGTCGGAAGAGACCGTGGTGTGCTATTATACTAAGTTAACTTGTTAGGTAACTGTATGATAAATACTTACCGTAGGCATCAAGAGAATATAGCTCCAAGTTCGGCCAGCGCCGTACGCTTCGATAACCCTAAGTCATAAATCTCACCCCATATAATAAACAAAACATAGATAGTATCGATGACGCTGTAGAAGCTTTTATTTAGCACGCTATATTTTTCTTTCCGTAAGTTATATATAATCCTGACATCCCGAACTCCTTCATTGTGGCTCTTACAGAGTATATGTAAGAACAAATGCGGTAACAAACTTCACACGCTCTTATATGCAAGCCGTTCATCATATCGATACCAAACTGCTCTATCATGCAACAAGCGAGGCGAAGCGCAAACTGGGTATCAGTCTTGTATGATCGGTGGATTGAAATATCAATCTTGTCCCATCAATAACAAGACGAGAAATCGCATATATTGTCGTCTTATTCATAGACAACAGAATTCTCTCGCTTCTTGGCAACTAGCGCTCGTATCTTGGCAACGGTTCGTGGCCCGAAGCTTGATTCGAAGGCCCGGCAATATCATGGTAAGGATCTGGAGCCCCGTAGTCATGGTGGTCATTAAGCACTGGGGCTGTCGGCTCTGAGACCCCTGTGTGGCCTAAGGAAGGTGCTGATGGGCCTTCGTCATCATAATCCTCCGGGACCTCTGGCGGAGCGCTAGCCTCCTGGAGCAGCCGTTGCCGCTCAAGTTCCTGTTTGTCATCGGCATGAGACCTTGGAGGACCAGTTGGCGTCAGGTCTGCGAATGTGGGCGCCGATGGCCCTTCTCCAGCATCCTCTTCTAGTACCGGTAGTGAAACATGGCCGTTTGAAGGGTGAGCAGCATTTGTCGGAACGACGGAAATATCAGTTGATGCGGATAGTTGCGAAGGGCCAGCTCCTGATTCAGACGGTAGCTGGGGAGGTTGGCTAGGTAATAACCTCTGTTCTGCCTGACGTACACGCTCCTTCTCTGAGAACCCATTCTCATTGGGCAACTCTGGCGGTGGTATATAAACAGGAGCGTGGCCCTCTCGATCTTGAAAGTCGTAATACGAGGTCTGGGGGGATGCACCTGGCGGAAAATAGCTCTGGGGTGACGGCTCAAGCTGTCCAGGAGCATAGTCCCCGTGATAGTTCTCGTCGTCATACTCGTTCTGCCAAGTGTAATTCAATTCGTCGCTCTCAACGTGAGCATCCTCTGTCGGTGGTTCGACTGTTAGCGCCGGACGTATGACAGACTTGCCTTGGGACCGAGTGGAGTCCATAGTCCCTACAACAACCTCGAACGATACTGATATGACTCCTTTCTCGCGTCGTAAGTGGTCAGTGTCGACTATTGTACCGTTCCAATTAGCGAGTCGCTTTATATCGTATGCCCCTACTGTTGAAGCGGGGTTTCCACCCGGAACTCCCAGCGAGCCCATCCGACTTGTTTGTTGAGAACTCCCGGATGATTGGCCGGCAAGTTTCCCTCCCAGATCAAGGATGACCTCAACGTGGTACTTGAAACTGATTAGACCTCCTGGAACATTTTTGATACTTGGAAACACATCCTCCGGAACTCTGATAGATGTCGTTATATTTGCCGTGAGAGTAGCAGGATCGATGATTAATGGCGCAACGGCTTGTGAAAGGTCCTTTCGAAAAACACTACAAGAGCCTGCAGATGATAGTGACAGCCCTCCAAGGCCGGTCCTTGATCGTGGATAATAATCCTCGCGCTCTAGCCGCTTCGCCTCCTCTTCAGATAAATCTGTCGTAAATAACGATATCGGTGGGGAATAATCAACACGACCTTGCCGATAGAGCGTGACAATGACGCCATGCATACTTTTCATACGACGATTATGTTCGACCCTAATCTTCACTGGTAGTATATCCCCAGGAAGACAGCCACCTTTTAGCAATTCAACCGTAGCATTGATCTCCCTTTCATCGCTCCCCGACACCCTACTTGCGGCAACGGATTCACCGCTGGCATCAGCACCCCTAACACTATTAGTACCGCTGTTGTTGCTTAAAGCACTCTCGCCACTAATTTCGCTTTGTAAGTCGCCCGGGATCAAATCGCTTCGCAATGGACTCCTGGGTAGATGACTTCCACTTGGCCCAACTGCCGCGATCTCGCCGAGACTTGCGCTACTTCCATTTGAATTCTCATTCACCCTCGTTGAGTCCAAGTCCGACGCTGCCTCCTGGATCTCTGCCGATAGTGAACCGTGCTTGACCGTTGATACGACTGTCGGTACTGGTTTCTTTTTCTTTTTAGGCCGTCTACGTAACGTCTGCATGCACACCTTTCGTTCGCGCGGGGGGACGAGCAGCCCTATATCCACCTTCTCAACAAGTGCTACTTTTGTCTCGCAGCTAGAAGTCGCAGCTATGGAAGTCGGCCGCGTCAAGGTGGCAGTAATCATATAGGATATCGTTCCCCTCTCAAACTATAGAAACTTATTATCAGTATGAATCGCTGGCGGGAGATTGTCACACTAGGCACACGGGCCATACATCAATACTGCTCGGGAGCCCCTTTGAGGGAAAAATGAGGTCGAACTCGAATTCGAATCGCGTAGGCTTCAGCCTCCCTTCACCACACAGAACTTGTTCGTCCTGGAAGAGAGAAGCAAGTCCATTGCCAAAATACCTGACATTCCGGTTTTTATCGTGGGATATTACAGCGGGATTAACGGGGGCACTGAGCTGCGCACCAGCACCAGCATGTTTGTAGACGCGAACGAATCCGTGTAAAGCGACGGTTAAGTGTGTTATGCGAATAGGTTTAACAACGGAAAGAATGACGTGGCCTCTGACATGATCGCCAGCAGAATATTGTCGGTGAGGTTCCTGGAGGCGAATATGAAAATCGGCAAGGTTGCGTGTTCGAGAGCGAAGGGGGGACGTAAGACGCGAGAAAAAGGAGGGTTTAGATGGCGAGTCGTCGAGCGACAAGTTGTGCGATTTGTCGGCGTCGGAACCCATCTATTCGATTTATCTCAATTGACAACGGGGTGAGTGCCAGGCATGACACCACACGAAACCCGTCATCAACTTTCCGATCGACCGTTACGAGATGGGCAAATGAGAGCAAAAGGGCGAGGGATCACGCGGGGGTGGGATGCGAACGGTTCGGGAATCCGCGTGATTCAGGAGGTATTAGTAGGAAAAGCCGTTGCAACGGTCGGGCCGCAATCGGCGGCAGAACAACGGTGAGGTATAGAAACCCCAATAGGAGTCCCACGGTGTCGTATGACTACCCAAAAATCGGTTACGGTAGGGAGAGGAAGGGATAAAAAGTCTCAAAATAGACTCGTTAGAATTGGCTTTCGGGAGGGTTCACCAAGATCTTGGGTGTTGCATGTGCCAAGCTGTGGGAGAGGCTTGGTAAAAGAAGGACTTGGGTTTAGGAGCGATTGCCAAGAGATGGTCCTCTTCCTCTTTATTATTATTAATAGGTAGCGTCGGGGACTTGTTGCAGTAGCTTAGCCCGGGTCTAAAAATGATAGTCCGAAACTTAACTGTGATTGATTGATTCCAGGTTGGTTTGATGTTTTAACATTTAGGTAGGCGTGGGTATGGAAAGCCCAACGGTAAGGAACGACCCCAACGTTTAATATCTCTCTAACGGCTAACCTAATAATGCTTTATGTAAGCATTGTACGTGACTGGTGACTGCCTGTGGTACCTAAGACCCTAGGACGCAGAACGAGTTCCGGGAATTATCCCCCTCGAAACTCAATTGTATGGGGCACGCTAGCGCATTCTGAAGTAGGCACATGTATCGATCCATGGGAACATGGGGGGAGCATCTTGTGTCACGAATCGACGGGTACTTGCAGGCACATATGTAGGTAAGTCTTCTCGCGTCCAAGATCTTGGTATTGCTTGAGTCGACATCGTTCCTCGTTACATGTGTACGCGACATGTGTACGCCTCGAGGCACTACCTATCTAGACACCCTTCGACGTTGTTCGGATAGTGAATTGCTGCGCACAAGAATCAGCCACTCTCGGCGTCGAGCTAGCTACCCATGTAATCCTGTATCATCAGGTTCTACGTAGCTGCTAGCGCGTACTGTGCTTCCTCCACGAATGCATAACGCTCGAAATGAAACGTTTTCACCGAAGAAAAGAGGTATCCTTCTGCAATTGGGTGACATCGGATGAGCACTGGTGCTTCGGTTTCGAAATACTTCTCGCTGCACTACCGGCAACTAATGGCAACTAGTAATAGTAATAGTAATTGGCGAGCCCAATCATAGGATAGCACAAAGTGCGAGCTACATACCTAGTACTCAAATGAGAGACGCGCACTCGGTAACATCAAGGGAGAAATGATCTCCTGTAGTTGGTTGCCTATCCGATTACGTATGAAATCGCCTAGATATCATATGGAAAGGTCTCAGAATGTGCCACCCGGCCACGGACGTGCTTCGGTGGCGTTGGAAGATAAGAAGCTGGATTCGGTACATAAGCCGCGTAAGAACGTGAAGGCACAGCAACCAAGCAACTTGGCCATGCTCGCTTCTACCAACCGGAAGATAAAGCTTCAAGAATCATACTCGAGATCTGCCTCCAGCGCATGCTTCCACTGATACCAAATGTACGCGCGTAGTAAAATTTGACGTCGTGTAGTTCCATTCTCTGTACCTCCTCCAACCGGCCAGGATCACCGTGTCCGCGCATGCTACTAATATTGTCGAAACTCGTCACAGCGTTTCAGACACCAATGGCACTCCATCTTGAGATCGAAAATCTGGTAATAACCCGGGCTATGCTTCAACCCCAATATTATCTCATTTCGGCCAATCCATAACAGAAAGAGATAAAAGAGAGGAAAATGAGTGCTTAATTGCGGACTCATACAACTGCCGTACATACCTGGGCAGATTTACTCGGTCTAAACTTACCTAACTTTAAGAGCTCAAGCGGAAATGTCGGCGGGTTCAGCAACAAGCTTTCTTATCCAGATAGGGCTTAGTCTTTCGGCAGCTAGCCGAAAAGTATTGATCCGTGCATGACTAGGGTCCCCTTAGCCCCTTAGCTCCCCCGTAAACGTCGCCGAGTTCTAGACCCCGGAAAGTTAATTGTCAATTACACCAGGAACATGGTATTTCAACATATTTTGGCGTTGGCGTTGTGCTACATTATGTGTACCTATGTTCTTTCGTGGGAAAACTTGGGATTACCTAATAAAGTGATTGTCAGCTTAAAAGATGAAGCAAATTCTCACAGTCACTTAAAAATATGCTGGTACTCGGCCATATTCGCCACGTGACATCTAACACCACGACAAACCTCCTTTCGGTCTCGGCGACTACCCCCTTTTAGTGACTCAAGAGAACTAGGAAGCATACGATGGCTGTAAGAGTATTCCAGAAGCAGGTCTCACATCGAGATGCGATCTTATGAAAGATTTGCGGTACGTAATCGATTTGGTCAAGTTGGAGAAACGCTTCCCGGCTTTCCCGCGAGTGGTAACCCATGCCTAAGGGCTAAAATCAAACCTGCCATTTAAGCAAGGCATTGTTTGTTATAAACTTCAGGGATGCTCGACACTTTGAAATAGATACGAGTCCACAGCCAATCGCTAATCGTCACTGTTGTATGTGTTACATCAAATTTTCATACACGCTTACAAACCTCCAAGATCTCTATTCTTGTCAACCTATGTGACGCCACAACGGTTTACGTTTCTAATGTGTCCTTCCCCGCTCCCGCTCTAACGATCACCTGAGGAGACTCAGCCTCGTTCAACGGTTGTGTCCCTTTCAGTAAGAACGGAAGCTTCTACGGCGGGGTTTCCCGCATAGACAATCTACGTCCCAAAGTTATCCCAGCAGCTATCAAGACGGCCGATCATAATGCGAGTGAAATATTCAAAGAGAACCGCTTGCAATATCATAATAGGAAAAAGCCAAGTACTTCATTATTGCCATCAAGAGAGACGTGATTATTCCATAAGTTTGTACAATTTGATCAAACACTCATATTCCAAATCCCCCTGGCCAGGGCTTTCTTGCCGCATTGCCGGCTGTAGAACACCACCAATAGGTGTTCTATTAGGTTTATAGGCTGCAAGGGTGACAGCTACGTTAGTGCCAGGTATGACATTCATGCAGGCTACGAAAACTCATTTCCATCACCCCAAAGGCTTGTAACAGGTTCCCTTGCCTATGGTTATGACCAGTCAACACCTCGCCAGACGTCAGATCTTAGCCCATTCAATGCTATGTGATTTCTATCCTCAAGCTCTGTTCTACCATATGAGCAACGCAGCTAGGGAACTTCGGATCTTGATCACATTTGCTTGGTACCTTTTTACCAAACTCTGTCCGGGTCCTACCAACATATATAACCCTCCGAGACAATAGATTAGAAAAAGAACAAAGCCAAGACGATAAGTAAAACATACTAAAAATCGGCTCCTACGAAAATCACAACGACAACTAGCGTTTCACACTGGCGATTCTTGTGTACTATTGTGAAATGTACCCTTTTCTACCGCTATTTGAATTTCTCTGAATGATGCATTCCGAGAAACATTTCCCACAGCCTCCATTAACTATCGGTCGATACCTAAGTACCTATCCAAGATAAAATGAGAGTTTTAGGTAATTAGGCATTGCTATAATTTGCCTACTTGATTACAACTCTCAAAAGTCGGACAGGTTCGTATTGCATAGTGCTCGGGTTTAGGGCAATTTGAAGGATTACATGGATGTTTTTGAGGCAAAAGGTGCCTTAGACCAACACACCAGGCAGGCTGATTAATTTAAAGCTTAAAGGATGAAGAGGGAAGCGAAAAAGAAGCTTAATGTTAACACTTAGTACTATGTTACAATATAATTGCCATTTTACTTTATCGACCGGAGCTAGTCGCCAGTTCACGGCCTAGACGTGTTGATGAAGCCATTCTTATAGGTAGAAATTTCGTTTTTGTTTGAAAAAAAAAAGAGTTTACTAGAACGAATGGGTTTTCCATAACCTTTCGGTCAACCCTGGGGATAATACTTATAGAATTCTCAAACATCACTTACTTAACTAGTATGAGTTAGGGTTTCCGAGTAGACTCAACATCATTATCATTATAGACGATTAAAACTTTTAGTTGTACAGTTATTACTTGGATACCCAGAGAGATTTACTGACTAACCTGTAACCTAAAAGTGCCCAATTCAGGGGCTCAGGGGTAAGTGAGATAGAAAAATCTCACATATGAAGCTGGTAGGCGTCACAGACTGGCCATATCATCTGTAATAAGATCGCAAGTGATCCGACCTGTAGATTCTCGTCTTTTGGTGGTCTGGCTCAATTGACAGGTGGGATCACCAAGCATAGGGCTCAGTCCCTACGTCCTGACAATAAGATGTTTATTTAACAGGAGCCCAAGACCTTATTTGATCTTTAATATAACCAGTAAACTGGGTATGCCATGCCGTGTTCCCCTCTTCTTATTTTTGAAGAAAAGGGAAAGAGGAATAGCCACTGAAGTAAGCTACCGAGTAAACATTGGTTTGGAATTTCTCATTACAACAATTATTCCTTCCGCGGCCAAGCTTTAATCGCAATTGCGTAATATTAGATGTAAACAAATAAGATAAATAAAAGTGAGATTAAGGTAGGTTAATTATGGTTTGTCTTTAGTATTGCAATAATGGGTATACTGTCGAAGCGCGTATCTGCCTTCCTATTTATGGAAGGTTAATTTTCCTTCATATACCTACCTAGGTATAGTAAAGTCGACCTAGATTACTAACTGGTTCCTAGTTGTTAAGAACTGTATTGATTATGTTACGAAATTATTTAAGTTCATATCCCACCATGAGTTAGTCAACGAGGTTCAGTTTGGTATTCCTTAGACCATACTAGAACCTTGGTAAGATTCGGTTTGAATCGTTGCACAGGTACTGAGGTATGTAGACTCAGAGGATTCCTCCTGGTGATAGTATGCTAGTTTACGTCGACACCAACTATCACGGACAATCAAGAGCGGATAATTCCCCGTGTCAAACGGTTTTCTAACTTTGCTTCTTTGCCATGTGGTACTTTATACGTGTGCATCTCAGATGTACACTATTGTGGGTGCTCAGTACTACCATAACCATAAGAAGTAAAGAATATCGTCTTACGGCATCCACTTATGTCACAGTTTCACGGTGTAGGGATTTCAACATCGACCATTGGCTCAACACCTAGTTTTGGAGCAGTGAAACCCATCTCTGAGTGACATGGTGTAATGATAAATGTAGACTAGCTCAGATAAATACATCTTATCATATAGGTACTGAGTAAGCTTCCTCGTCAACTTATAAATGGGAGTAGTTCCCAATAACATCTGTAGGTATGTTTCTAATCTTTATTCCCACCTCTCGCTACGTTATTAAAATTTCTTCTTGTGGCGTATACTCTGACATACTAGATTGCTTCGATTATTTTAATACTTGTGTGATTAAAAGATCTTGTGATATGGATATTACCGGGAATGCCTTCGTCACTGGGGGAGGTGAGTAATCCGTACTACAGCTCGCAATTTATTAGAAATTGATACTATATATCTAGGAAGCGGTATCGGTAAAGCTGTGTGCTTGGCCTTGGCCAAAGAGGGAGCCAGTGGAGTCCTCATAGTAGATGTTGATCTCAAAGCTGCTGAAACAACAGCCACTGAAGCCACCGCCGTCGCCTCGAACCCGAGCTTCCGTGCCGAGGCCATCAACGCCGATGTCACGGTCGAGGAATCGGTAAAGGAGGCTGTCGCACGCATGGCTCGGTCCTTTGGGCGCGTTGACTACTGTGTTCACTGCGCAGGGGTAAGTTTCGAGCGTTGAGATCATCATCGCGTATCCAGCGTTGGCGATCCTTGCAAATACATAATTCCTGCTAAAAGTTTAACCAGATCACCGTACGGAGCTGCACACCTATAGATGAGGCTAGCTTTTCCGAATTCCAGGTCCTTCTGTCAAACCACGTACACGGAACGTTTCTTGTCACCAGTAAAATTTCGGCACTCATGAAGACCCAAGAGCTAAAGCCATTAGATACGGCCAGCCCGCAGCTAGGAGGCGTCCGTGGAGCAATTGTCAACCTGGGTTCCGTGCTTTCCAATTGGGCGATACCTGGCATGGTGCCATACACTGCTGCTAAACATGCTGTCTTGGGGATTTGTAGGACTGCAGGTATGCATAGTGGCTGGCCTCGGTCTCGCTTGGCGCAGTGCTTTTCTAATGCGTTTTTCAGCTATTGATCATGCAGCATCCGGTATCCGCGTAAATTGTATATGTCCGACCTGGGTGGACACGCCAATCCTCTACCGGACTATGGAGCTGACTCCGGGGCTCGACAGCGAGACGGTTTTGCGTGGTATACCGATGAATCGGATATGCACGCCAAAGGAAGTTGCCGATGCAACCCTCTTTTTGTGTAGTCCAAGATCAAGTTTCATCACTGGAATCGCCTTAAACGTAGATGGTGGCCATGATATAGCCCGCTTCTAGGCTTGGATGAACAGAAAATACGTCACATAATGGCACCACGAATGATATACGATTAAGTGTACCTATGCAGGGTTAGAACAAATACGATGTATTCGAGAGCCAAGTTATCGTTCTGAAGTATCACTTTACTTGAGGGGTCGCACGTAGGTACTTATGAATAAGAGGCGTCATTATGCTACAAAATGGCTGGCTGAACCCATCGCAAAGATACCTATGTATAACATATGTAGATTGCTTAGTCCTGCCCCGGAAGTACCGTACATATTACGTATATGTGTCGTAGAGGTCCGTGGCTGGCGCCAAGCTGCAGGTGTCTCTTCAACTAGCAACTCCGTTCCGTAAATGCTCCGCGTCCCACTTTCTGAAGTTATCTGCATAGGGGGGATCATGTATTCGACATTAGAGACGGACGACCGAATTTGATCAAACAAGTCCTGCTCAACTATATCTCTAAAATGTCCCACAAGAACCCGGAAGTCTCATGGAACAGCATTAAAGCTTCCAGATGCCTATGCCCTTTTGATGCCATGGCAACTAAAATATAGAACCAATAATCAATAGGTACATGCATAAGATATGTCTTAGAAAAGGGGGTAGGGGAGAATTTAAGAGAAAACCCACTCTAGTATAACGCCACATTTGGAGTATACTCCAATAAAAGCACAAGATTCTTGGCCTCATCCGGCTTCCGAATCCTACATCGGCAAATGGAACAGAACGTGCTCTTGTATAGAATAACATGATAATAATTATCGCCAATGCCGAACCCTTCTTCCATTGGCTATTACTATAGTGCCATTGTGCAACATCTGGCACAATTTGACGAGGGAATCCAAGCTGGTGTTACCTCCTAAGTCCGACGATAGTGGGGTCTGTAACATACAAGGTATCATCGATCACGATCATGTTGTGATAGAATCCACGTTACGAAGTCATGACCTAGCTATTCCTCGTTTATCCCTTGCAATGGAGATACGGGGATATACCCCTCACAGAAGATGTGATATACGACAGCATCTTGCTATAAACCTAGGTTACCTACCTGGTATGTAGGTAGGTAGTAAAGGTAGGACGAGATGCCAATAGATTTCATATCTCAACTCGACCTTCTGAAAATCTGTCAATCAAGAGATTATAGTGCTTAAGATACACCATGGTCCAGTCAACGAAAGGAATGAACTGTGCCTCTGAGGCAGTGGATGTGGTCATCGTCGGTGCCGGAGTATCAGGCATAAACACTGCATACCGGCTCCTAACAGAGTTCCCTGGTGTACGGCTCACTATCCTCGAGGCTCGGGACGATATTGGTGGAACTTGGGATTTGTTTAGATTTCCCGGAGTCAGATCAGATTCCGAGTATGCATTCATAGCAAAGTTCCCTCTAGCTCTATCACCCTTATTCCGATGGAACAGAGAAGACATCACAAAGAACATCCACTAACTGTTTACTTCACTAGCCTTTATTCATACGGTTTCACCTGGCACCCTTGGCCGTTCCCCCAGCCCGTTGCTGAAGGCCCTCTTATCAAACAATACTTGAAGGACTGTGCCTCCCAGCACGGCGTGAGCCAGTATATACGGTTACAGCACAAGGTATTGAGTGCAGATTGGTCACAGGACGTCCAGGAATGGACAGTGACCGTCAACCATGACGATCTACTCATAAACATTACGGCAAACTTTCTTGTCCTGGGTTCAGGCTACTATGACTACAACACTCCGCTTCAGACGGTGATTCCTGGGTTGGAAAACTTCAAAGGAAAGGTCATCCATCCACAGTTTTGGCCGGCTAACTATGATCATCAAAACAAAAAGATGGCCGTCATCGGAAGCGGAGCTACAAGTGTCAGTCTATTCCCTGCCTTAGCAGAAACAGCCGCGCAAGTAACCATAGTGCAGCGAAGTCCGTCCTATGTTATCTCTACCTCGCATTTGGGTCCGCTACTGTCTCCCTTGCTGGAATTCCTGCGCTTCCCTTCATCCTGGCGAAGCTGGTTGGAAAGGATATGGATCACATTCCTGCATCAAATTATAGCACTGCTCACCGAATATTTTCCTACACAATCGAGGGCCTTTCTTCGGAAGTTAACGATCCCACAATTGCCAAAGGGGTACGACCACGATATTCATTTCAACCCTACGTACAACCCTTGGGAGCAACGTCTATGTATATGTCCCGACGGTGATTTCTTTCAGTCACTCCATAAACCAAATGCCAGTATCGTCACAGGACTGATCGATAGGGTCACGGATGACTCCATCAAAATGCAAGACGGCACAGTGATTGATGCAGACGCCATCGTGACAGCCACGGGAATTACGATGAAACTCGGCGGGGATATCGACATATCAGTCGACGGCAAGAAGATAAGGTGGGAAGACAGAATCATATGGAACGGCTGTATGCTTAATAATGTTCCAAACTTGGTGTTCGTCTTCGGATACACGAATTTCGCATGGACTTTGGGCGCTGACAACACTGCACGTACTCTCATCCGTCTTATGAAGTTGATGAAGTCGAAGGGGTTTAAGTCTGCGATCCCGCGACTCCCAGGCCCCGGCTTTATCGAGACACAGAGGATGTGGCGCTTGAACTCAACTTATTCTGTACGAGCCTCTCGCTACCTTCCCAAATATGGAACAACGGGGCCGTGGAAGCCGAGAATCCACGCATTTCTTGATGAGGCAACTTCCCGATGGGGAAGCGTGACGGACGGGTTGGAATTTACCGTTTAATTTTCTTCCAGCCGGTGGGATAAGTGGAAAGGGACGGCCTAAGCAGACTGGGCCTAGGTGTAGGTTCGCCACACGCACATACCAAACGACCTGGAGGATACACCATGGCGATACAAGGGGAGTTAACGACGGAGATAACAACTAGGTCACAGACCACCGGTAGTTGGCATAGATTGATTCTGGCTGTTTCGGGTTTTTTGGAGAGGGCTACCGCTTCTAATATATAATATGGACATAAGCACTACGCTTCGAAATACAATACTAGTTTGTTCTACCTAATTAATAGACCGCCACACCTCCTGGAAGCTCGTTGATCCACTGTCCTGCCTCTCCAACATCTTCAACAACCTGCTGAGCTTTCTTGCACTTCATAGCATCCGCAGCGGGCTGTATCTTGAGAACGCCGCAGTTAGCATTGGCGCAGTTCCCAGTAGGCAAAGCGTCCATGGCCCTTTGCAAAGCATCATCCTTCCATCCAAAAAGGTAATCGCCGTGCTGGCCATATCCGGTGCTGCCATCAACGTCAGTAACTACACAATCAATCAATCGACTTGAAGAAGAGAACGTACGAGTCGCCGAAGCTGTAGACGAAAGGCTGCTTGCCGCTTCCGTACCAAGCAGTGTTGCTATACCTTCCGGTGTCCCACATGACTTCGTACATAACCTGAGGAATAGCAACGGGATGCGTAGAAGGGCAGTTCGGGCTACCAAGGCCACCGCCATTGGAATAGGCGACGTGCGTCTTGTGGTCCGGCGAATCGAGGTTCTTCCCATCCCAGCAGGACGGAAAGATGACGGTAGCGCGGATGCCTCCCGGGCAGTACTTAGTCGGGAGCTCTGCCGTGTCTTTAGCATCGCACGGAGCGAAGCCCTCGCCGTTTCCGAGGCAGCGGTGGCAGATCGAGGGCTTGTATATGTTTTGCTTGTTCGTGGGGTCTCCCGCGATCATTCGGAAACCGGGCTTGAATGCCGTCATCTTGCCGTTTTTGGCGCTGTAAGGCATGTAGTACACCGTCATGCCTCCGTCCTGCTGGAGGCCGAAGTTGGCAAACTGGGGGACGCGCTGGAAGGTACCGTTTTCGGGAGACTTGAAGTACAACGATGCGGTCCAATAGTTGCTGAAGTCCTCTGAGTAGGTGCAAGTCGTGCAGGTAGACAAGCTGGGCGGGTCGTATTCAGCTGGTGTCATCTGAGTCACGTTAGCGGCAGTCTTCGGTCAGATTCATGTGCACTACCTACCGTAAGGTTGAACGAATTCCCTCCGATGATCTGATGTGTGTGGGGGGCAGGGTTTTGGCCAGGAGAGACCAGAGGGTCAGCGCGTTCGATGGTGAGCTGTGAGCAGCCAAAGCGAAGCATGTTTTGCGCAGAGACATGCTGCCCCAAAAGGGCGCCGACGATGAGAGAGCTCCGAAACATGGCGAGATTCTTTGCGTGGAGTTCCAAAGTGAACGTGGCGATACATGCTGCATCCGGTCCTACTGACTTCTTAAATAAACGACCAGACTCTGTTCAAATCGAAATTCAGAGGTCGACCTACAAATTAAGCCCTGGCTGCCGCGGAGGGTCCTTGATATGTATAACTGCCGGCGAGATTCTTTTAGCCGGAGACCAAAGCCGGCCAACTGGAACGTCGAGATATAAAGGCACTATCATGCTTGTTACATGGGATATAAATTAAACAGTGTATTCTCCTTTGAATTCGAATCTCATGCCAACCCAATAGAATGGCATAGGTCTTGAACTATTTGGATTCTTGATTTGGGGGCTAGAGTGCTTACCCACTTGTACACTACCCCTATTCAGATTAAACCTCACTTCTTCCCCATAGGGCAATACATGATCCCTACCAAGCAGTAGTATCCGAAATAAGGAACACGCTATCTTCTTAGAAGGTAGGTAGGTAGGTAGTCATCAATATTTTAGCTACTCGAAGAATTCATACGATTCCATGTAACTTTAGTAAGACATCAATCTTTGGGTTCTTTACACATTATCATTTGATGAGCCCTCATTATAAGGGGCTCCTTTCTGTTTAATATTTAGGTATGCAATGCTTCTCGCAAACGCCGGCAATGCAACGCCATGTTCATGCAAGACCGTAACCCATCTAATCATTCAATCCAACGCCTCTCCGCTCAGAATGCTCTTCAGAATATCAACCCCGAGTCCCTCCACAGCCTGCTCGAGCTCCTTCTCGCCTACGCAGCTCGCCACTCTCTTCTCGTCCGCCAACCCGACACCAGACGCGAATCCACCTCTCTTTCCACGTTTGCTCGGCGTGTGCAGCAATGCGAGAGAGCCCGTCTTTCCATCCACGGCGGAGACCAGGGACAACGTCTCCAGACTGCCTATGACTTCGCGGAACTCTGAACTAGACAACGGGTGCAGCACTGACTCTCGAGTGCATAGTAGGCAGTACGTCTCGTATAATAGCTTGATGCTTGGAGCGATAGTCTGCGACTTGGATGGTGTAGATGGGATAGACGTAGTCCGTGCAGTCCTATTCCGCTTCTCCAGAGCCACCAGGGAACATAATGCCGCCTTCTGTTGCAAGTTTAAGGTCTTGAGTCGCTGATTCGTCCCGTTGCTGAAGGCGGCGGCGGTAATCTTGTTGAGGTGAGCTATGCTCACGCGAGGCGCCGTCTCCACTGTCAAGCTCTTCAGAGATTCGGCTAGCATGGCCGATGGGCCCCTGTTCGATTTCTTAGGCGATAGGTGCACATTTTCTCCAAGAGGTTTCTTGGATGGCGTAGCCAGGAGTATCTTCTCCTTAATCTCAGCCTCGTGCTTCTGTCTCGTTTCCATCTCCACAAGGTCAATGGCTCTCCGGCATATCTCGAAGGCCTTACGCAAGTCGCCTGTCTGACTAGCAACCTTTCTGGAACAAAGCTCGATGGCGGCCGGATGGATGAAAGGTAAGGGGCTGCCCTCGGGTACGAGGCTCTTGAGACGACCCGTGATTATCGTCTTAATTTGTGCAGCCGAGTATGGTAGAAACGGTAGAAGCTCTGGCTTCAGATTCCGGGATTTCAGGCGCGGGAGAAACCGGTCCGTCAGGTCCAGCGCGTTTGCGATACCTATTAGGACAAGACGAGATGACTTCTGCATAGACCATTCAAATAGCTGATATAGACTTTCCAAGTCCAACGTGAGGATGTGATCAATCTCGTCCAGAACAACCATATAGGTATCCGTCGACTTTTTGCGAGGCATGAAGAGCTTCTGGACAGTCGTCGCCGCGTCGCCTTCGGGAATATCGGACTCATCGCAGATCTGGTCTAACAGAGTTCCGTAGAGATCTTTAGACGATTTTATGCTCATGCAATTGATGTATGCCTTTTTCACCGTTCCCTTCTCGACCAGTTCTTGGGTGACCTCATTCACCATCGCACTCTTACCCGTACCTGGGGGCCCGCTGACATAGATACATCCGCCGGGGTTAGACTTCGAACATCGCTGCAAGAACTCCTTGAGTTGTGCACGTTCGTCGTCTCGTCCGATCAATTGGCCAGGATCGGCACTTCGAGAGAAGAGTTGGCGAGCGTGGTGATAGACAGTTTGCACTGCGGTAGGCGTGAGTGGTGTCGTGGGGAAAAGACGTTTGGAGATCTTCCCGGCAGACATCACCCGATGACGGGGCGTGACGGGTACTTTGGAAAGAGCATCTCGACGACGAGGAGTGGTAGGCGTGAGCGGTGTATATTCTACAATACATTAGTCAGGCGACGTTTCCTCATTAGCTAGTCTTTTACTGGTTTCGTCTTACCCTGCTTAAGAGGAGATGACTTGATATCTATCGCGCCGATGTCGCAATCGGGCTCATCATCCACAGCAGTTTCTTTCGGGTCTGCGTTCTCATCGTTTTGTGCGAAGCTGCGAGTCTGTCTTCTTGTTCGCTTTGAAGGCACGTCTACGATCTCTGGGATTCGGTGTCAGTTACAATGCGTCAAGAAAAACAATGCGATGGTTCCTACCACTATCCTTCGAACTTCTAGTTCTCTTTCCAAGCGCAGATCGCACCATGTTCAATTGTGCTTGTTGGTGTAATTGAGGAAAGTATGAAGCTCGAAATAAGGATTGGTGAAGAGGAAGGTAGAAGGTGTAGGTGTACAGAAGTACAGTATGAGAAGGAGACTACTAGGGAAGATGTTTTAAGGTTGAATTGACTTGGCAACGGCAAGGGGAAATGACGCGGGTCCACGGGTCCGCAGTACGCGAAGAAATCGCGTAGAGTGGTTTCGACGCGTACCGCTTAGGTAGGCGCTAGAAATGTAGGTGCATAGGTACATATCTACCTGGACTACGCGCATGTGGGGCCATGAGGCTGGTACGTAGTAGTGAGGCGCGAGCTCCCGCCTGGGCCGCCTCCTTCTTAGCCTCCCCCACCTTTGACGTAGGAGATATATGCTTATATAATCATATGACCCACCAAATTTTTGGAACTGGGCGAACTCCGAATTGGAAGAGTCGCTGGAATGCCCCTTATTTTCTTAGTTGATTTATTAGGTGTTTCTTGGTTCGCCCGTCACGGATAGTCGCTTTATCATTGGCACGCATTATTATGTGTACCCTGACACCGCTGTTACATAGCAATCGCATACCTCGGGTATCTGCATATGGTATCTATTGCTATCGCCACATCAGCGTTGGGGACCCAAGTATGAATCCCACTCTTGGGCAACGCAAACAATGAATACCATCCATCTCCCATCATTGCCTGGACAATTTTTATTTCCTGTCTGGTCACTGAACCTTCAACTGAGCGAGTGCTTGGTGGGTAGCTCAGCTTCAATGTCCTGCTTTCTTCTATCTTTAACACCATCGATATGACGGGCGATGGCGGTGATACAGCGTATAATAGCCACATCGAAGGCTTTCGACAAAATGAGTTTCCCATGCTACGAGGCAAGCTTGCCCTACTTTCACTCACTCTCCTCGGTCTATGTTTGATTAATAAGTTGAGTAGATGAGGTCTATCTTGACCATGCCGGGACAACGCTATACGCGAAGTCCCTCGTGGACAAGTTCGCTACGGATATGACATCAAATCTACTTGGCAATCCGCATTCTGCTTCTTTTTCATCCCAAACCTCCACTTCTCGTATTGAAGATGTTCGGCTTCGAGTTCTCCAATTCTTCAATGCCGACCCTTCCGAGTTTGACCTCGTCTTCGTTGCCAACGCCACTGCAGGCATTAAGCTTGTAGCTGAAGCATTTCGAGGTCACCCTCTTGGCTTTGACTACATGTATCATCAAGCATGCCACACCAGCTTGGTAGGCGTTCGAGAAGAAGCCACACATAATCAATGTCTCGACAACGCCGGTGTAGATAGTTGGCTTGACGGAACCAATCCTTTCGCTGACATTAGTCGTCATGATAGTCCACTCCTTTTCGCCTATCCCGCGCAATCCAACATGGACGGCTCCCGGTTTCCCCTTGACTGGGCTGACCGGTTTCGTAGAAGTGGACCAGCATTGAGCCGGCCAATTTATACGCTATTAGACGCTGCGGCGTTCGTTGCGACCTCCCCTCTGGACCTAAGCAATCCAGAAACGGCACCAGACTTTACTGTGTTAAGTTTTTACAAAATTTTCGGATTCCCAGATTTGGGCGGACTTATCGTGAGACGTCAATCGACTTCGATCTTCCGGTCCCGGAAATACTTTGGCGGTGGTACGGTCGACATGGTAGTTTGTCTCAGAGAGCAGTGGCATGCTCCAAAAACACAGGCTTTACATGAGTCGCTGGAAGATGGGACGTTACCGATACATAGTATCATCGCTTTAGACTCAGCGCTCGACGTTCATCGTCGATTATTCAGGTCCATGAAACATGTCTCGTCTCATACATCTTTTCTAAGTCAAAGGTTGTATGATGGTCTGGCTACCTTGAAATATAGCAATGGCCAACCTGTATGCATCATTTACTCGCGGCCGTCGTTGACATCAAAGGAAATAGGGTCTCCTTTAGGCAACGGACCAGTTGTTACCTTCAATTTACAAAATCGGCTTGGAGCGTGGGTTAGCTTGGTGGAATTCGAGAAACTTGCAGTACTAAAGAAGTTCCATGTCCGCACCGGAGGGCTCTGCAACCCGGGTGGAATCGCAAATGCCCTTAACCTCGCCCCATGGGAAATGAAACAGAATTTCTCGGCTGGATTTAGGTGCGGAACTGATAATGATATCATGAGTGGAAAACCAACAGGGGTCATTCGAGTGAGCTTAGGTGCCATGAGTACGGTTTCGGACGTGGATCAATTCATTGCTTTCGTCGTCGAATTCTACCAAACCGAAAGTATAACCGAATCCATTCAACCAACAGTCATACCAGGTCATATAAACCTACCGGATATGTCCGTGAAAAGCATCACAGTATTTCCCATCAAGAGCTGTGGGGGATTCCGCATTCCTTCCGGCATGAAATGGGAAGTAAGAGCAGAAGGACTTGCATGGGATCGAGAATGGTGTTTGGTTCATCGAGGGACTGGCCAGGCCTTGAGTCAGAAACGCCACCCTCGCATGGCTCTCGTTCGGCCAGTGATCGATTTTGCTAAAGGACAGTTACGGATTTCTTACTTAGGACCTTCTATGCAACAGATCCCGCCTGATATCGCTGTTCCTTTATCAGCAAACCCAAGTCTTTTTCAAGCAAGTACCACATCCAAGCCCATAGCGTCCAGAGTTTGTGGTGAAGAAATATCAGCACAGATTTACACTTCCCACGAGATTAATAACTTCTTCACAAATATTCTTGGGGTGTCCTGCGCACTAGCCCGCTTCCCACCGGGTGGCTTAGGAAAGAGTATGCGACACGCCAAGGCTCACCTTCAAAAACATCAAAAAGTCAATAGAAGGTCGCAGTGCAAGATGCCGTGCCAGTTTCCAGGTATGGATACGCCTCCAGACTCGGATTCTGAGTCTGAGCGACAGCGCATCCTCCTATCGAATGAGAGTCCCATTCTTGCCATCAACTCGTCTAGTCTTGAAGCGCTCAATCGCCAGATTACCGAACGAGGAGGTAAAGCAGTCTCCCCGGAAGTATTTCGTGCCAATATTGTTGTTGGTCCATCCACTGCGGGGTCGCAGTCATTTGCTTATTCAGAAGACCATTGGTCTAGTCTGCGGATCGGACAGCAAGACTTCAAGATGTTAGGTTCCTGTCGGAGGTGCCATATGATATGCATAGATCAAGAAACAGCGGAAAAGAGCGAAGAGCCATTCGTCACCTTATCCAAGACGAGACGGTTTGATGAGAAGGTATTCTTTGGCACACATATGTGTCACCTACCTTTACCAAGTCACAGTACTAAGGAGGCCCAGTTTCCGACTATTACAGTAGGAGACAAGGTATTCGTTGACCCTATTCGAGACATCTAAATATACCTAGTCAAAATATCAAGAAAGATTAAGCATTGATTCATTGATTTGTATCAACGTCGCAGTGATTATTTTCATGTGATCCAGTGTCTATTCATCAATCATCACTGCAATTTGTTTGCAGTTCCAAATTTTGAAACTACTAAAATGTCAATTTTTTAATCCCCTTTTTGGGCAATTTTAAATCTCAGTATTTTCTACTTACCTTGGTCCATACCTACGTAGTAAGCCAACCTACCGTCACTATGGTGATGGAATATGAGTTCTAGGATTGTTTATGATATCGGCTTATGAAATTACATTTGAAAGTAGTCGTAGTTTTTCTAGTTGTAACAAGACGGATGCAATTCTCTACATCGTCTGTTAAACCCATACATTTCTCAACTCCCCTCTACAGATATTCATGGACATCGATGGCTGGCCGCACCGGTTCTTATTCTTGTACCGCTCTGAACCATCGTGCAGATGACTCATGTAAATTCTTATAACGTACCTGTCGGGGTACCTGGGTAGGTGACGAGGACCATCACGTTAAAGGGTCTCTTGAGGAATTATCGTAACAGGTCTGTGCAATCGAATTCCTCTGTAGCATAGGTACCTACGAGTGGAGGCTGTTGCGTCCTCTATTCGTCACTAACAAACGTGCTGGTAGAGGAACAGATAGCCCCTAAGCAACTGTAAGCTCTGGTGGTAGGAAAGTTCCCATTCTCACGATCTATATTTTCCATTTTCCTTTCTTCTCGTCCACAAATCCCACTTTCGCATCCTCTCACTCGCGTCAGCTCTCGTTAATACCCTTTTTGCGACACTTGTCGTCGATTTTGGTCGCAAAGCAGATCAACCACATCATATTACACCCATTCCATCACCAACGTCAACAGCCTAAGAAATATTAGGCCAATCATTACACCGATAAGTTATATCCCGACTTATTCTGGAAATTATTCCAATTCTCTTATCACCTTATTTAAAAGATGTCCTCTGATTCAGCCATTCTAATCGCCAACCCCAAACCATGCACTATGAAGCCTTCACGGCTTCTGGGAAAGGCCATTAGACTCATGGACGGTTTCGTATTCGAATCAATCGACGAGTTGTGTGCGGCACCAGACAGCATTCTCACGCCCTTTGTTAAGGACAAGATCGAGGGCATTGAGATTACTCCAGAGGAAGCCAGGGATAATCTTGCCAGCCGGGTCAAGCATGCCTTTCTCATATTCGTTCAAGAGGAGGATGTATACCGTCGCCTTCGAGGTGACAAAGCTTTTTACCATCTGAGTACGTAACATCAAGTTATTTTTTATCCCCTAACTCACCTTCATCGAGAAGAAATTGCTGACTCTCGCTTCTGAAGTGCTCGCGAACTGGAATTCAGATCACTCAGCAGCACCATTCCCCCCTGCCCGTATGAAAGAGCTCATGAACCTGTGGATTGCCGCTCGTCGCCGTTACCTAGTCGCGAATGAGCACACAGAAGCCTGCGATGCCACTTTAGATCTAACGGTCGCTGTTGATCAAGCTATCTCAATTATCGACGATATCGACAGCACGCTCCCCACACGACGCACTCTCGGTCTAAACCCTCCCAATGGTCTCAAGAAGGCCGCCTGCTGGCCTCCCAAGCATTTCGGACCGCTTGATGTTGCAATCATGGCCGAGACAGCAACTCGTAAGGCACTCTTTGGCGTCGGTAACAAGCATCTTATGGACGAAGAGGATGTCCCGCTATATCCTAACGACCAGGACCACCCTCTGACAGCCCGCAAGTTCCTTTGCTGGCTGTCTTTGGCGGAGACAAAACCTACTTCTAAGGCTTCACTTTTCCTTGCTCCCGTTGCGTTTATTACCCACGAAGAGCGCCAAGACTGGTACAAGATTACGGGGCATAAATCTCGCTTCTACGCTACTGTCGATGAGTTCATCGATTATGCCAGGGATGAATTCCGCAAGACCGGCATAGAATCAAAAAACTACGTAATGTGTCTCCTTACCCCGTGGTTCTTCGAGAAGAGCGAGATTGTGGCGGACGCGGAGAAAAAAGACAGGCCCATCCCAAAGTCCTGGGAGAAAGGCTGTTTCCGAGCTGGAATGATGCTGCGAATTAACAGAGTCAGAGAGCCCAACACTTCCCCGGAGTATCAAGTTGTCCTATTTAAGCCAGGTTTGCCACATTACCATTCCGTAGCTGAGCCACCGGCCAGACGAGCAAAGCAGGATGTGTGGGTAGATCGATTACTGGATGAATTGTCGGCAATGTTTTCTCCACAGGAAGGATGGATTGGTGGGGCAGTGCGTACTCATACTTATCCCAATTCCAGAAACTGCGGTCTGGACTCTGTGGAAGTATCAAGTGAGGTCATCGAAACGGTCATGCGAGACCCAAGCACGTTTCCCTCCACTTCAGATGAGTTTGATACGAGGGGGTACACACCCATCGAACGATACTCAGGCTCCCAGTGAATGAGATGATGCCGATCTCAAGGGAGGATTCAATGTTACTCGTATATCGGCTTATAGGTAGTAGGTAGTCATGAGTAATTAACACGGATAGGGCGGTCTATCACTGAGACGAGACGTCATACGCCTACTTTATCCGAATAGTAAATCCTGCAATGTTTGGTACTGCTTAAGATGTCAATAATACAGCTCACTACCGTAGAAATTTAATACATAGTGTAATCAGATCTTGATAATCGGGATGGAATATTGCTTGAATAATCGTAAAGAGCCGTCGATACTAATTCGATTGGGACCAAAGAATACGTATATATCAAGCACGGGAAAAAGAAGGAAAAAGTAGATTTAAGGAGGTGAGCCTACGTAAATAATGTAAATAATACAAATGATACCTTCATATGGAGCCAAGAAAAAAAAAAGAGAAAACAAAAGGGCTAAAAAAGACTGCAGCCGCGTGGTTCGAACCCAATACCTCTCTCGTATCAAGGGGGGGGCAAAAAAATACTTCTGTAGGACCGTCCCTTCGTTCCAACCTCCATAGAACTCCTAGATCTGATATCGCGACGTACAGGTCCAGTGCCGTTCGGTTCATGTGATCTAACAACCCACGACTGGAGGAGGTTCTAGCGCAGACAAATCCAAGCGAAGCGGGGGGTGAACCTCTAAGCCAACTCTGGCCAGCTGACTTAGTGTTCTGAAATTTTGAGGAATTATCATGCTATATATGCTTTCTATGTGATATGGGCACCTGCCCAGGCAGCAGCAACTGCCAGCCGCCAACGGGCCCACACCCCTGCTGAATTTTGACAATGCGGCACAATATCGGTTGATACGAGCTAGATGGCGTAAAAACACTGTGATCCATATCTTCGTCACTACATACGTCTCATCTCTAGTGATTATCTAGTAGGTACAGAATATTTGGCGCAACATTGACACACCGGGATAGAATTTTCCTACCTTGCGTATGCACACGTAGTCTTCCCTTATTTATTCTATTCACTTGGATGCTTTACAACAATGTCCGCAAAGTATACCGGGCTTTACTCAAATATATTCAATTTTCTTGATTTATCGTTCTATTATTTCATAGCAGACGTCGTCAGGGGTGGATCACATGCCATTTGAGCCGCAGTCCTGGTGGGGTCAAAACCTATTAAGGGTCGGATAAACATATCTCCCACATGCCAAAGTAGACGTCACTCAATTACATAATAAGCTCCATAACTTGGGCAGAGGTACATAGATCTAGCTCGGGCAGCCGTATCTTAAATTCAAATCCATCGATCTCCAATCTTCTGTTTCCCATCTTCTCAACAACTAACAACTCCGAAAACCGCATACCAAAGTCCGGCTTGAACTACTACTCGTACCGCCCTTTTCCAATCAGAGTCGAAGAGGTACCCATTAGCCAATATGATAGATATTATGATCGTCTTCACCTCCATCAATAATTCACTGGTCCAAGGTGTACTCAATATGACACCTCTCATCATGGTCTCCAATATTTTAGCTATGGGATACGAGTAATCGTCTGCAAATGGGCCTAGCACCTTCTGGGTCTTTCCAATATATACATATCTAATGGACGTGATTATCCCGGATCCTTCCGATCTCCCGTTTCGTTAATGAGTCTGAAAAAATGACTTGAACCCTGCCATTGTCCTCGGACCGACCGCGCTTCGTCCTGGGCAAGACGATAAAAGGCCCGCAACAGTCGTGGAACACACGAAGAACTCCCGACATTTACGGTCCTAGGCACGACGAAAATTGAAAAGGCCTTCTAGTAGCCACGATGATCTATTTGATAGTGGCGTCACGGTTGGTCCTAGGCATGACCCTTAAAAGGCCAAAGTCGGCGCGGCGGCGTTGCATCAAGGGACAAAGCCACGCATTTGTACGGTTACTACGGGATGTACGAACATAACGAATTTCTTCTACGATTCTTGAGTTTCCGGCATTATAGAAGGTAGATGGCGTTCTTCGTCATGTTGGGTACGCATTCGCCCCTCTTCTTTCCATTGCCTTATACGGTGAGGCATCTGCTTACGAGTCGTCTTGAGTAGGTATACGATCTAGAGGACTTCTACGTTCAGTCAAGTTCAATTCGGTACGCACGACGCTAACGATACAATACCTTGGCATCAATGGAGATACTTGTACGGGAATAGTCACGGCACGGCAACTTAATTCCTCTTCCTAGCAAGCATCTGAGGCGTTTCTAAAATCTGGGTACAATTTCAGGTGCCCGCGCTGCGTGCGTTCTAACCAGTGGATTCGATCGCAATCGACGTGCGCTAATACCATCCACAGCAAGAAGTAAGCCTCCACGAGTCTCGTCCTAGGCATGACGATAAACGGCCTCGCTTACTTCGGGTATGTTCACCCGGAGGAATTACTCTAGATACTATTATCTAGAGAATTTAATGGAGTTAGGGATGCTGCTCCATTCACGCAACTCTGGCTCTTTTGTCCCAGAGGATACATGGAGGTTGGAATTCAACTCCATGGTTTACCAGGCGAGATGACCGCCTACTCGGACTTGTGGTGCAAAACACCGAAGCTTTAACTCGCTGTTTTCCTGTACAAATCCTTGAGTTGCTGGTCGCCCGGTAATGACGAACATGCACTGTTCGTAAATTGCATGACATCGTGGTTTCTGTTGCTTAAACTTCATGGCCTGTACTATTTCTTGGCATCTGGTCACGGCATGATGCTAGCGGAACGCCAAGTGCCTCGGATCTTGCGATCGTGGTTGGTGGCGGTTATGATATGACCTCGTATACCTGTACCAGTCGATGTCACAACCCAGTTAGCCAGTTCAATTAACGGCTCTGGGTGTTTTTTTTCTTTGTTGGGATCAAATGGGAAACGGAATCCGGAGTACCTCTTTGTTCAAAGTTTTCCGCAGTCGAGCTGATCGATACAACCAAGATGCGTCGGCAATCTGTACTTCGGCATCTTGTGGCGACCCCTTGAGGCTTAGGTAGCGGGGAAGGCAGCTAATTAGTCTTGTCGCCCCGTCCACCTTAACCTCTTGTCTGGATCGAGTGTACCTCCATATGCTTGGGTTCTTTCTGAAAGAGATAAGCGCGATAGTAAGGGCAATATGCCGGACCAAAAGGGTTCTTCCCCACAGGGAACCAACATTTTCAACCCTTTTGCGAACCGCGGCAGAAGCTACTTTGCTCTGGAGCCAGCGTCTCGGACTAGGCCGAGGAGAACCCGTCCCACGCTGACAATCTGCCTCTTTCGCATCGCGCCTGGGTCTGCCCAGGCCCGTGTGAAGCCCTCGGAGGCGTGGGAGCGAGCTTTGGAAGGATGATAGAAGGTCCACAGTGCTCGCATAGTCATACACGCAAAAGAGTTGCGTGTGACTTCCGTGCACCGTGTTGACTTGGGGCTGGGCTGGTCGCGTCTCTCTGCGGACAGGTTCGCGGGTTCGCCCGCGCTGTCACAAAGGCCCCCGGCTCGACTGCAAACAAGCCATATCCGGGCACATAACATAAAAGCGACCGTTCGTGATGGGAAATCGACGGTCGAGGAATCGGGCAGGTTCCTAAAAAAAGAAAAACAACATATCTCCGACACAAATTCTTTAAGAAAAATCGGTATATATACAGAAAAAAAAAAGGAAAATCTGGCAGGGGGGGGCGACTGGTGGGGGATTCCTGTCCATGCGGGATGCCGATGGAGTCTCGATGTAAATACATAGCTGGATATCGTAAATTCAAACTGGGCCTTGCCCCCCAAATCTCTTGTTGGTGTTTGCGGCCTGTGATATTGTTGTGCATGGTGAGGTTAGTACTGCACATGTAGTGGTGATAATCCAGTGTGCTCTCTCTTCCGATAACTTAGAATCGCTTCGGGATGAAGATACCCGGTGAAGAATTTATAGACTACAATGGCAGATTATCTACTGCAAATTGAAGTAGGTATACCAGATAAGTAAGATAGGGTTTAGTTACACCTCGGTCATTTGTGTAGTTGCTGCAAGGAGCTACGAATAGGATATTCAACATCTTTAATTTTGGCACCCATGTTAACTTCACATAGATATTTACGTGTCAACAACACCGAGATATACAATGTAAGACATACAACTATATCGATATCAATTTTTGGTCTTGTTAATTCTGTACGTAATCGTGCTGATAATACACCAACCATACGCCAACATTCTTGTTTCTTAGTGATGTGGATGTCAACATGCCTCTTTTCGCACAATCAACAGACGCCTAGCCTACCAGCATCCAACACGAAACTCCGGAAAACTTTATTCTTATCGTAATTACGCGCAACCCTCTCAAGGCTGGGCCTCGGTTATCAGTCAACTACACGATGACCCACATGCATTGGAATATAGGCAGCTTATTTCGTAGGGCTGTGGGGACCACGCGTGAAGCTGGACAGTTCGTGTTAAATCAGTACAACTTGCTCTTGCAAATTTTCTCTAGGTTGGGAGGGCTTACGAGTGCCACATCTGTCCGAGGAAGCCTGACTGGGGCTTCTGGTCATGGAGACTAGCTCGTCTGGCCATAGAGTTGCTATCGCTGTTGCGCTTCTGGTTCATGAGACCATCAAAGCTCGGTCCAGAGCCCTAGAATCAATGTGTTAGTAATTATTGGAACAACTTTATGAACATTAAGGACGTACTCTTCGTCGCGTAGGGCTGGAGGGAGTTTGGTTATTTCCTTTTGTGCTGTCCATATTGATCTGATCTCGAATAGTTGATTTTCGAGGTAGGTAATGTGGTTACTGGTCGTAATCTACGTAATATTGATACGATCTTACAAAATAATACTTTGAATAATTGTAGTGTGCCAAGGCAGAGTCTGAGAAGCAGGGAAGAGGAGAAAGGAGGGTGAGTAGGGTTCTCTTTAAGTAGACTTGATATGTACCCAATAGACCACGAGAGCTTTCTGATCAGACGGCGGCAGAATCCCACACCTATCGAAACTACCCTATGCATTAAAGATAAGCAATATTGTTAGATGCAACCAACGCTACTGCACCTTTCCATTGTCCGGAGAAACCCTTTGGGGCTGATTGATCAGCGAGCCAGACTTTAAAAATCGGAGAAAGCTCCCCTTGATGACTTCACCAATGAGGTAGGCCATCGGGGTAACTTTGGGGGAGAGCTCTCCGTTTCAATCATACGAGTAGCGTGGCCCCTAGTCCGATAGGCAATGTACTCAGCCGTATCTATGATAAATGGTGACAAAGAAAGGACAATCCAGAGAGGTCAGTTTCTAATACATGACGCGGTGCAAGGTACTTCTGCGTGCGGGATAGAGCAACGTCATAGGCGAAGTATAGCTCCATCCCTTCCCATCCATGTCCTGATAGGGGAGAGATGTACACATACGTCTCTACCCCGCAAAGGAACGAGACAAAGGAGATCGCGGAGGCTTAGAGTGATGATTAAATGATCGAATCAGAGTTCTTCGATCGACACTTGCCGCTGCCTTAATCAGTGGCACGAGCATGACACCACCTTCTTCCATCGTCGAAGACATTCCTTGCAATGGGTGGTTTCAGTGCCTGAAGGGTTAATCAATTGACCAGATAAGCATTCGTTCCTAGTCAATAAGATAAACTCATCTCGAACCAAGATCAGTCGGGTCATGTTCAGATCGAACGACCTAATTTATCTTAGGGGTTTGTACGGCATGTACATTGCGTGGCAGTTGCAATAGTAGTAAGAGTTGGAGAGTTGATAGGGGGCTTGTCAGGGTCGGCGACGTGGGGTCTATGATGCAACGGAGAGACAAGTTCCAGGCCCGGCTATTGGCAGTCTTGGTGCGATCCACTTTCCCCAGAAAATCCCACCTGATCGCTTCGCACTTAAGCACGGCTCCGAGTCATTGGTAATTTGTAAGCCTTCACTGGACGACATCACGTGGAAGATGATCCGGTATATGGTTGAGATAACTGTAGATCGAGGAACTATTGAAAGTCATCATATTGTTCTAACAAGCTAAAAATATCCGCCAAATAAACCCTTGTCTTATGTACCTGATAACCACTTGGTATCAGTACTCGTCCCACGATCTGGGCTCTTAGAATCTCAGACTACTCCAACCGCGTATGGCTCTGCAGGGTTTATAAGGCCTATTAGTCTAGAGATGTCAGCCTTGTTGTTACATCAAGCAACGCTAATAAAAAGTATTACACAGCCTCATCAGTTCTCCAAGGTGAAAGGAAAAGTCTCGTCACGAAGAACTCCGATATCATGCAGGAAAAGTGTCATCCGCGAGGCTTCTGCTCAACTAACAAGAACTTACTAACCTTTTAAGGTACACTGATAATCAAGCTATATATAGCATATGTTACCTAGCGTAACACTCGAGTTAGCTACGTCGGCGCAATTGCAAAACGAGAAACGAGGGATTGAAAGCTATCAGGCTACTCATGTCAGCTTCGAACACATCCATAATTATTGTACTCGATAGAACATACCTCATTAAATCAGATTTGTTTAAATGTTCATTTCCACGCCCATTGGACAGGATCAAACAGTGTGAATAATGTTCATCATATGCAACGATAACGATTGGAGACAAGTCGGAAAATTACCTATCGACGACTGTTAGCCACGGCTCAATCCCAATATCAACACAATGTTCGGGTCGACAAGACACAATCAGTTGACGAATTCTCAACAAGAATCCCTCGTGGTCCTCCTCCCACAAGGTTTGTAAGGCCTTGTTTTTGACGAGAAAAGGTACGAGGGTTCGTTATGTCCGCCCGTTCGTTCAAGATATCCTCATGTGAATATGGCAAAAGTGCGATTGGGAGTGTATATACCTATTCAAATAGACGAGTTAGTCATGTAATCAAGCAATTATCGCTTAGTGAATGGGGTAGTGAGTATTGAGGTCAGACAAGGCTGAAACTAAACAAATCTACATAGTATATTCTGAATGAGGAATTCCCTAGGTTTGTCGATTTCTTCATCACTCCTCGATGGGGTTGGGTAAAGTGCTGGACTCGGAGATAGAAGAATAGTGCATACCTTTTATTATAGAAAAATACAAACGATAGACGACATTCACCACGTTAACAAGAACGAGAAAATCCTATCGAAGACACAGTTAGCTATCTGATCGTCCTGATATCCGCACAAAGACTAAATGCCCGCGAAATTTGCTCAGGGTAATTCTAGAGACTATAATCCCCATTGTGTTGTAAGATTTGGATTGTTCAAATTTTTCTTCGTCACAGCAAGGAAGCAGGAAGGAAGAAATGCCGCGACTTACATCGTGAGTAGGTTAGAAGCTCGTCAAACGTAAACCAAGTCCAATCAAGGGAAGAAAGAGGCTCAATGCATATGAGCGCGCGAGTGCGAAAGCTTCGAAAGACGAAGCAAAAAAAGTGGTGAAGAAGCAAAAGAAATATTTGAGGACGAAAGCTAGAAAATAAAAATTGCAGTGGGGATTTTGTTCCCACTAGTCCACTTCCAAGGCCCGGAGATTCGCTAGCTGCTAGCGTCGGCAACCTCCCAAAATCCGTGGCAACAACTGCGCCACACCCGCTTACATAACCGATCTTATCAGCATAGATAACACCTCGTCATCGCCCACCGCTACCTAACGCTTTCCCTCCTTCCTTTCCCCCCCAGACCAACCCTCTCACACAAAACGTTCGCCGCCTCATCGCGACGAACAGGAGATAACAATAAAGATGACCGCCCCTATAGGTGGCATATGGGCGCCCGCCGCGCTGCGGGTGGTCCGTACGGCCGCCTACAAGGCGAGCAAGCTAATCCGGGCCAAGCTCGCCGCCGCGGCCCGGCCAACCACCACCAACAACGCCGTCCTCGAGCCCGTCCTCGCGCGCAGCGCCGGCCCTCGCCACCCCGTCCACCCCGCCGCCTTCCTGCGCCAGTCCAAGAGCCGCCGCTGGCACTCGACGTACCAGAACATCAACAGCGCCGTCCGCCGCTTCATCAGCACCGGCACGAGTACCGCTTCCCGGATCGACCGGGCTAAGTTCGCGGGCACCACCCAGACGGGCCGCGCCATCGCCCAGTTCACGGGCCGCGCGCCGTTCGCGAGCACGCTGCGCCCGAACCTGACGGGCGGCGCCCTGCCGCGTACCGCAGGCGGGTACGGGCTAGGCTCCGGGCGCGTGGGGGGAGCCCGATACTTCTCGCACGCGCCGGCGGCGCAGGCCCAGGTCGTGCAGAACGTGTCGGCCGCCGTGCGCGCGTTCTGGATCTCCGGGCAGAAGGCGCAGTTCGACGGGCTGACGGCCCGGGGCGAGAGGAAGTACCGGTCCGTGTCTGCGTTGCAGGACGAGACGGCCCGCAAGATGGCCGCGCTGCCGCGTAACGTGCCAGGCTCGTACGTCGACTTCCGACTCAATCCGACCGTGACTGCTCTGAGCCCCCTCGCCGCTGCGTTCCCGTACCAGCCCGCTGGCTTCAAGGCCCCCGCTCTCGACGCCACGACCCTTAACACCGACGGCTTCCTCGATGTCCTATCTGGTGACTTCGCTCGCGCCCTGAAGGACTTGACTACGACTCTGGCGGATATGAAGAAGCTTTCTTCGTTAGGTGATCTTCCAGTCCATCTTGAGAAAGGACATACCCTCCGAATCCGCTTCCCAGGTGTCGACCGGGAGACCGTCGAGACGCTCTGTGACGACCTCGGAGTTAAGAGGGGTATCGTCATGGAAGACCCAGACTTCGAGGCTGAGACTGGGGTGTCCATGGCACTGAAGTTCCCCTTCGCTCCCGATGCTAGCCACGACACGAGGACCCTCACCTCGCCTGGCGGCTCGCTCAAGTCACAGGACAGCTTCCTCCAAGCGGAAGAGGAGCTCTTCGAAGAGGGCTTCAGCGACTTAGAAGATAACCCGTGGCTGTCAATGCCGGATGATCCGGAAGGTTACGAGAGCATGTCGGCGCCAGTCAGCTCAGGCGAGCACTGCTCAGAGGACTTTGAAGGCCTTGAGGGCATCTATAAATTCTTAGAAGAGTGCGATCGCTCTCGTGGAAGGTTTTGAATGCTTGCTTGCCAGACAATGATTATGAAGGCGTACGGTTGTTTTGTTTGGGGGGAAATATCCACATTAGATTGTCAAATTGCAGATAGTCTTTACACCTAGGAACCACACTCATTGTACCTTTATCATAACTATATCCTAGGTAGCAGTTGGGCTCACTAGTCCCGCATGAATTCCATATGTTAGTTTATATAGTACCTATCTTCAGTCAAGTGAAAGCCCGCCGTGGATAAGTTAAAAGGGTATCCGTTTATTCCTATACTAGAGTCAGGCCACAAATCCCGTAGTTGCGATTTGTTCGAAAAGATAACCTACGAAGTAGCTTATGAGACTTTCCAATAACCCAACCTAGAAGTTTCAAGCGTCAAATCTCGTCTTCCGCTTTCCAGTACTCGGCTTCTGCCCATCCTCTGCCGAAGAAGCCGTCGCCGCCACAAACTCCACAGGGGCTCCCTTGCCCCTGGCCCTCACCTTCTCGACCTCCGCCTGGCTCTGCTTAAGCTGTTCCTTGTAAGCCCATCTCGGGAACGCAGCCGGGTCCCATATGTCGGCCGGCAACGTAGTCTGGTACTGGTCCGCGGCGCCGCCAAGCTCGACAAACGCCAACAGTTTCTCCGTGAGCGCAGGGTTACGTAAGGACGGGTTCTGCGCGACTTTGGAGTTGAAGTGCACGCCCTGCTTCTTCAGCTCGAGGAACCGCTCGAACTTGGCGCTGGTTGCGGGCGGTGGCGAGCCCGGCGGAGATGGCGGTATGTCTGTGTTGGGGATGGGCGGGAGCGTGAGATCCCGTAACAGTGCGCGGGTTGCCGTATAAGGGGATCCGGGAGGAAGGCCGGGCCCTGCTTCGTCGTCTTCTAATGGTGCCTCTTCCAGTGGAGGGAAGCTAGGTCCTGCGGCAGGTGCAGGAGCTGGACCTATCTGTGGCCCAATGATAGGTGCTTGTTTCTCATCTACTTTTTGCGGTGCAGTAGCGGACTCTGCTGAGGCAACTGTTCGCTTGTCAGAGAAAGCACCTTAAATAGGATGGGGAAAAGACCCGAAATAGATATCATGATTCACTTACTTGGCTTCTCGGTGGTATCCCCGGTGGCATCTTGAGTTTGTTTCAGTGGCTGGCCTCAGTTGAATCAGTGCTGTCCAATGCCTACCGGTGCCATATCGTATGTCATCTCATGTTCGCATTTCATACCTTTGGTTTCGGCTGTTGCTCGACCTCCTCCTCATCACTGCTCTCGTAGCTTACGAGGCCAGACATTTTTTTATTGAATACAGAAATCTCAATTGAGTTTTACTTGTATCTAGACTCGAGATATGCCGTCGAAGTGAAATCGAATTGATTGAATGAATAAATCGCTTATATAAATTGATATGAGAGTTTCTTCGTCGCAAGTCGAGGTACATGCTCGAGGTATCCTAGCGCCTTCCGGATTAAAGTGGACCCCAAATGCCTTTTTCAGCCGCCACACAGCTGTCCAGTGGGCAGGTAGCACGCAGGTACGTACCTCATTGGCCTGTCCGGGAAGGCAGAACTGACGCGCAGCTCCAAGCTTGTAGGTCAGTTCAAGGTCCCAACTCCCAAACGGCAGCTTCCCTTCATCAGCCTTACAACTTTCCCAACTTGATATCCCGAAAACGACCGCCAACCACACCACCGTCAATCCGAATTTCCGCTGTCCGTGACTCTCTTCCTGATCAATTTTCAACATGGATCACCGACCGCAAGCTTGGGGCCGTGTAAGTAGCTTGTTTCCCCGAGGACCAAGAGCACCGCTTGCTAACAGCCGATAGCCTAGAGACGATGTCTACGGTGCCTACGATGCCTCATACATGCACACAAACGGCCCGAACCAACACACCCAATCCCCCGTCGTAACGGGAACGTCGGTGGTAGCGATGAAATTCAAGGACGGTGTTGTCATGGCCGCCGATAACCTGGGTATGCATACACATCTGCCACTACCTCGCTCTACAAATCCACACATGCCTTTTCTCGACTTATGTACCCAACACCTCTGCATCCCGTCCTAGCTAACCACTCTCCCCCCACCCAGCATCATACGGCTCCCTAGCGCGCTTCACCGACGTAAAGCGCATCCGCACCTTCGCCGAGACCTCGCTCGTCGGCTTCGGCGGCGACGTCTCCGACATGCAGTACCTGGACCGGCACCTGACGGAGCTCAGCATCGACGAGGCCTACCAGCAGTCCGCGCACACGCTGAACGCGCGCTCGCTGCACAAGTACCTCTCCAAGCTGCTCTACCACCGCCGCTCCAAGTTCGACCCCCTGTGGAATCACCTCCTCATCGCCGGCCTCGACGACGAGGGCGCCCCCTTCCTCGCCGCCGCCGACCTGCTCGGCACCACCTTCACCTCGCCCTCGCTCGCCACCGGCTACGGCAGCATGCTCGCCCAGCCCATCATGCGCAAGTACGTGCCGGACGAGGCCTCCGTCGCCAACGTCACGCGCGAGCAGGCCGTCGCCGTCATCAAGGAGTGCATGAAGGTGCTCTTCTACCGCGACGCGCGCTCGCTCGACTCCTACTCGCTAGCCGTCATCACCAAGGACGGCATCACCCTATCCGAGAGCGAGAAGCTCGAGGACCAGAGCTGGGCCTTCGCGGACCGCATCAAGGGCTACGGCACGCAGACCGTGTAGAGAGCAGACCCTGCTTCCGCCGTCGCCATAGAGCGTTCTTTCCGTCGGCTCTCCATCGACATCGATCTCCGTTCTTCACAACCCTCGCACGAGCACCCTGACATGATGGATTTGGATGATGACTAAGTTCGGTGAAACGGGGGGGCGCGGAAAGGGCATTCTCGTCTGCGGTACGACGGGACTTGATGCGAGACTACGCACTTGTCTCAGGAGTTTGATGAGGAGACATTATATTTACTACTACTAAATACTACGAAGTCACGATGCTTTCCCGGCCGTCTGCAGAGAGAAGAGGAGCATAGGTAGAGTAGCAAGGAACTCTTGTAACAACAGAGCCAGGACACGTGAACAAGAATAATACTGTGTTTTCGTGTACACAATGCCTCATGCCTGTATCGATCAACTGTCACTTTCGCAACTTGTGTACCAAAATTATTACTCAGCACAATTCATAGTGACTTTGCAAAAGATTCGACGTTAATCCATGAGTTTTGGAGTTTACAGTCTCCTTAATCAAAATCTGGGGTATAAACGAATGGTATTCCTAGCTAAGAACCTGACCGAATCATTAGACAATGCGCCTTAACAACGTTGGACCCGACCTTTTTGTAGTTGTCAACTTTTTACTTTATTCCGGTATCCTCGTCTAGATCATCCTAGCCGATTTACAGATCGTCGTCTATCTACTTCCTCTGCAGTACATGTGTCACACCAGAATTGGCGTGGGGGGCATTATGCATCATCGGGGTTGCAAGATAGCAACTGCCTTCTCTGCGCAATCCCCTTACCATATCTCAATCCCGCTGCCATGTATAAAACTACCACACGCCCAATTGCCACCCAAATCCATCATCCCACCATAAAATCGGTTCGTAGTCAAATCCCGTATCACATCAGAAACTCATCAGTTATGAGTTCAGTCATAGAGGTACGCACGCAGGCTTATTCGACCGTGACCGACTTGGCAAGGTTGCGTGGGAAGTCGACGTTGAGGCCCTCCATAACAGCTAGCCAGTAGGCAATTAGTTGCAGAGGAATGACGTTGAGAATGCCTTGCAGGCAGTCGACCGTCTTGGGTACTTCGATCTTCTGCGCCTGGCTAGCTTGGAATTCTTCGTCGCCAGGGTTGCAGATGACGATGGGCTTTCCACCACGAGCAGCAACTATAAAGTCGTTAGTATAATTCAAATCATATTTGCGAGGGTGAGATATTCAGGACGTACCTTGTTGGTAAGCATTGAGAGACTTCGTGAATAGGTTATCACGGGTTAGGATCATGATGATGGGGAGGTTTTCGTCAACCAGAGCTAGCACACCATGCTTCAATTCACCAGACATGACAGCTTCGCAGTGAAGGTAAGAAATTTCCTTAATCTTGAGGGCGCCCTCGAGAGCAGTCGAATATTGGCTGCCACGTCCTAGGAGCAGCAGAGACTTCTGGTTCTTGAACGTCTTTGAGCAGAGCTCCTTGATCGATTGGTCTAGCGTCAGGATATCCTTGATTTGCGCAGAGATGTTAGAGAGACCCTCGATGATCTCCTCCCGCCTCTTCTGCTTGGACGCTCGGTCCTCACTAAGCGACAGAGCGAACATGACCATGGCAATGAATTGAGATGTGTAAGCCTTGGTTGATGCAACACCGATTTCGGGGCCAGCGTTGACGTGGACACCACAGTGAGTGAGGAGCGAGATAGAAGAACCGACGACGTTAACGATACCAACGGTAAGGGCACCACGCTCTAAGCAGTATCGGAGAGCCATCAGCGAGTCCGCCGTCTCACCGGACTGCGAAACGAACACGCATGTGTCGTCACGGAAAACCGGCGCTTCTCTGTCGAGGAAATCGGAAGCCAACTCAACAGCGATCGGAATCTCTGCAAGCTCTTCGAAGATACCCCGAACAGCCATGCAAGAGTGGTAACTCGTTCCGCAAGCAATGAAAATAATACGTCGGCATCGGCGAATGGTTGCGATGTACGACCTCAGACCACCGAGCGTAACAGACTTGTGTTCGATGTCGAGACGACCTCTCATGGTGTTGACGACAGACTCGGGCTGCTCGAAAATTTCCTTCTGCATGAAGTGGTCGAACTTACCCTTCATGATCTCCTGGAGCTCGAGCTCGAGGGTCTGGATGTTTCGGACATTGGAGCTACCATCAGCCTTCTTGAGACGGTGAATGTTCAGCGAGCCCTCATGAATGTGAGCAATGTCGTCATCCTCCAGGTACATGACCTTCTTGGTGTGCTCTACGATAGCAGACGGGTCAGACGAGAGGAAGAACTCGGCTGGCATGGGCAAACCATCATCGGTCATGAAAGCGCGGGACTGCGAGCGGTGTAGGAGAGACTTGTCGGCAGCACCAAGCAGGGCGTTAGGGGCCAGGAAGTTGCCAGTTTGCTTCTTCAAGGCAACGTTCTGGGAGGCGGCCTCAGCCGGCAGAACGCCATTCTCCTCAGAGTATTCAACATCGACGAAGTCGACCTTCATGCGCCTCTGGGTCTTGACGCCAATAACAAGGGGCGAACCCTTGCGAGCAGCAATGACCTCATGGGGGTAGTGTACAGACTTAATCAGCAAGCCATAGGCACCCTCGAGCTCAGTAATAACGGCCTTCGCGAGATCGACAAAGTCAATTTGGGGGTGTTGGTCGTACAGGTACTTTGCGAGTTTCGCAATGCACTCAGTGTCGGTCTCGGTCTCGAACTTGAAGCCCTTTGCGGAAAGGAGGGTCTTCAATTCCTTGTAATTGGTGATGATGCCATTGTGGACGACTGAGAATTCCCATGTGGGGTCGGATCTGACAAGTGATAGTCATATTAGCAAGGGGGACTCGTAAGCTCTGCTGGTATAAAGAGTATTTACCGGTGGGGATGGCAGTTCAGCCGAGAGGGAGGGCCGTGAGTAGCCCATCGAGTATGGGCGATACCGGCATGTGAGTCGAAAATCTTGGTGAGGTTTGGTTTGGACTCCTCAATGAGCTGCTTGAGCTTGGCAACCTTGCCCACTTCCTTGAAGGCGAAAACTTCGTTCTTCTTGTCGCCATCGACAGCTAAACCGGCCGAGTCATATCCACGATACTCTAGACGGGAAAGACCTATATAACAAAGGAACCAGAAAATCAGCTTTCTATTCCCTACAAGACCGTACTTGTTCTACAAATGGTCGAGGTTGCAGAATGCAGGTCGAACGTTGAGAAACGGGTTACGGCAGGTTGTCATGTCTCACCGTTTACGAGAGTGTCGAGGATAAATTTCCTATCCTTCTCAACCAGGTAGTTAATGTAGCCGAAAATTCCACTGTAAGGAAGTTCAAATTAGCAAATTGAATTGATCCTAACTACGCAGTTCGTTTCCTTTTGTTCTATAATCTCTTTGATCCCCGACTTTGCCACAAAATTCCAGTAGCTGTGGCCGTGGTCATAACCGCATTGGAACGGGCGAAGCCAGGGGTCGTTGGACTGGGGTAACTCGACAGAAACAGAGTTCCATCTAGTCTTTCGATAGCGTAGGAAGGCGGATCGTAGAGTGTTGCGCGGGTCTTACATACCACATATTGCCTCTAGTTTCGGGGTTGTAGAGCAAGAAAGGTTACGGGTGTGTCTCTCTGGCTTAAACTACTTTGCTGTCTCCCTCTCTGGCTGCGGTAAAGGGATTCTCCGAAGGGGGGTATCAATGATAAAACGAAAGTCAATGGCGGTGAGCTTTGAGGGGGGAACGGATGAAGTGAAGAAGAAAGGATAGAGTTTCCAGAACTTGGTCGGAGAGGGATTGGGAGGGCACAGGCTTAGACTTTTAAAGGTAAAGGGGAGCTAAGGCAGTGGATGGCTTGTCTGGCTCGACTGGATTGTTTGGCTTTATAAGGATGGTTTATTTTTTCCCTCTAGAAAAAGAATGCTGGTGACTTGGTGACTTGAACCTGACTGGTGCTTTCTTAGGCTTTTAGAACTTGGCTGTTACTAGGTGAGGCAAGCATGTACGAGGATGTAGCTACCATAGTCAATCCACTAGTGGGCTGCGATGGACCTTAGAGGTAGGAGGGGTTGCCGGGGGGTAATCGATGTACCTCTGTTCTCCTTACGATCGAATTCATGCCTTACTCGTGCAAGGTATGAGACAAGTATCTAATTGCCTATCATTTACCTATCTTTCGCCTATCACCCGTCGAAGTGACTTGGGCGATACTTACCGCAGGCTAGACCCTAAACAATAACCCTACCTCATGCAGTTGCAGCGTATCAATGACACCACACCGTACCTACCTCTGTTACCTTGTCTACCGCCTCCTCCAGCCATGTCATACCTTACATAGTACCTACCTCGATTGCTCGATTCAAGTTACGTACTGTAAAAAGGTTTAACCTCTGATGCATTTTTGCTTTTTGCTTCATCCCGCGTGCCGCTGTGTCCGTTGCACAACTAGAAAGACACATACGTATTCTCTGCGTCTAGAATCCATTCGACCAATTCTAATTTATCCTTCTTTCTCTCGACATTCTCGGCTTTTCCTTTTTCTATTCCAAACTCCCGTCATATAATACAGACCAACGGATATAGGGCTCTAGTTTCCCAATTCCCAGTTTCGTCTTTCTATTTATTGCAGATGGGCAAATGGCAGGATCCAGCTTGTCAGCCCTTGTTTTAGAATTATATGGTTTTTTGCATTGCGTTGCTTGACTTTTAGTCTTTGTGCTTTTAATCTCCTCTTATTGATTGCAGCCAATCGTCGGTCAAAGTCCATGCAGCGTGCCGACCCTTTCATTGTCTAGGCAATATTCAGCTTGCTGATACGAAGATAATTGGTTGTCTTACAAGAGCAACACCTTGTCCAATTGAGCCTCTTTCTCTCTCCTCATCTGATCTAATCCCGAGAACCACAAAAGAATCGAACATGCAAATCTTTTCAACGTTACCTATGGTATGGATACATAGAGTCAGACGTAGCATACGTATTCTCCTTTTCGTAAAGAGACATTACGATTTGAAAACTTCACTAAATATCAAACAGATACTAACCAATGCCTGCGCCACCACCCGATGGGGTGTTATCGCCATTCATTGGCTTCTTCGTGTTCAATGAAGATCGATTTCCAACCTGCAGTGCTAGCTGGCCGTTCGCCGGATCATTATCCTGGCCGCGGCCCCTTATTTGGGGCTGTACCTGAGCTCAAATTCGCTTGGCCTCCAGTTGAGGCTTGGCCCGACTCGGCCAGGATGTCACCCTCCACCGCAAGCGGTCCCCCAAACTCCTTGCTAGTTTGTTGGAAATTCCGATATCAGAAACAGAGCAAGCATCCGAACACGACCTCTTCTGACTACATGTCGAAAAGGGGTCGCCGGCGCGTGATGGCAATGACGCGGCTTATTGTTTCTCTTACATGCGATACGGTTGTCACGGCAATCAAATGCATCGTATGAGCATGCTTGGATTTTTTTTATCTTTTCGAAATATCCCCCTCCATAATTCAGTCAAAGAGCTTCAATCAAAGCTTGATCAGCTAGAAGGTGTCGCCATCATCCTTGGTGATATCAAACTAGTCATGTCGGCCGAGCGGCTTAGTTCTGGTTCCCATCCAGTAGAACGTCCATCGTTAAACAACCAGATCTTGCTGTTTAGATATCGATCCCTGAGAAGATCAAGGCACCTATAACCTACCACCGTCAAGTTTTCTTTTCCGTTGTCGTTATGAAGTCCTAGTTAGGACATATCGTTATTTAAAATCCATTCATGCTTTCTCACCTTAGTTTACGTTTCAGGTGGTCGATGAGGATCTTCGGCAATGGATGGCATGGCTAAACACGCGAATATTACCATCCTTTTTTTCCCCTCCCAACGTGTTGGATGAATGAATTGCCCTCCTTTTCATCAATGCCAAAGCTGAGAACGCCGTCACTGAGCCACCTAATAGCTTGGCATCGCTAACACCTATCACCACCCGCGCCGGTCGTCTAGCTAGCGACTCGCCTTGCGCGCCTGGCAAGGTTGGCTAAGAATAGCAAGCGATATGATCCACCCAATGACCCCTGCGAGGCTCACATCTGGGCGCCGGTTACAATCCATGTAACATTGCCGACAGCCCACCACACTGATGTCAGATTGACAGGGAAAGTCCTGCATGTCTTTTATTCCGCAGGCCTGCATTTCGTAGATGTCGGAACGTGTCTTCTGCATTGCAATTTTTCAGACACCACACGTGGGAATATCGCATCTTACTTCATACGAAATATATGATCAATTCAGGGGTATTGCTATGAGTAGCGACAATTGTTCGGTACTTTCGTGATACGGCTCGATTCTCATCAGCAGAGATCAGTCGTAAATGCAACTTTACGATCTACAAAGCCACTTACGTGCTTACGATTCATGCGCATGGCTCCGATGTGATCGATACGTCACAGGAAAAGTGAGTTTAGCCGCCCATTTAGTTTTCAGGAGCTGTTTAGTGAAGCTCTTGGCCAACTAGCTAGACACAGATAACTGCTTAAGCATGAGCGCCTTAGTGTAATTATATCACAAGACGTTCTAGTAAAATACTAAAATGTCTGTATAGATTCTTATATATTACTTGTACATGCATCTAGTTCGCGACATGAGCCTTGGAATATAGCGACTGGGACTTCGTTGCAGCAGCAGCTACCCTTACCCTATGCCTAAAGGGTAGAAGAAGCCGTCATGTCCCAGTTCTGCTCCACAGCTCTAGTAAGAGCGAAACAGCTCATCCCAGTAGACATTATGTGCGTTCATAGCTATGTTATTAAAATCTGCTCTTTGAGACTTGCCTTGAGTCAAAGGCCTTACCCCCAAGTATGTCATCAAAAGACTTTGGATATTCTTCGTCCCTACTTCACGGCATTAGCCCGAGAACTTAGGTAGCGAAAGGATCGACCACTTCGATTAGCTCAAGTATGCATGCAAGCGTATAAGAGTCAGAAGCTGCACCAAGGCTTTCTTATATCTTCCTATTCAGCCTTACCTAAATATGCTTTTATATATACCCTGGACCATGTAAAATGCATACCTAGGTCGCGAATATGCGTATAATTCAACCAATAGGCGATATAGCTGCCAGCTTACGGGACTAAGAACTACAACTTCCTAGGCATGAAATCCTTCGTAACATTAATACGCGGAGAGTTTAGGACTTGTTCATGCCGCCTATAAGGTCACTAGCTACTACCTAGGTACACTGGGTGCGGCTCATCTAAACCAGCTCGCAAAAGACCCACCGGTGATATCAACCTACATGCGGCTATTTTAGGCAGAAAAAGGATGTACTTAGCCCTTATTCAGTGCTACAAGTGATGCTATAATACACCCACTCGTGTCCTGTGGACTGAGAGAAACTAGGCTATACGTGGTATTCCCTAGCGAAACATCCCATCCTACCAACCACCATCAAGCAAGTTGATAATATCTCACTTGTAGGTTGTCAATCACTTCTTATAACCACCTGACACTTTCTCGCTGTCAAAGTTACTGTTGTCACCAATGATCAATAATGTGACACTTATAGTTCCTTAGGCAGGACATCCTGTTCCAGTTACATATGCCATATCGTGTTTATATTGCCTTTACATAACCCGGACCTGCATTCCAGGTATGTAGAGTGTAGCCTACACCAGTTTAAGGATCTGAAACGAAGTCCTCTCGCTTGAATACTTAACTGCTTGAGCATCTAACTCAACTTATTCCGATAGAACGTGACGTATATAATCTCAGCACCTACTAGTATGACCTACGCTAAACAAAAGCATACCTAATACGCCGAATACAATCCCTTTTCTAAATACATATCATCTCGTTTTACATATCAGATACTTGCAACTACTTTTGTAAATCAAATCGTGGTAAAACAAGAGACAGTAACGCCAAGAGTGTATTCCGGAAAGGGGCAACATGCTCAAGTTAGAAATCGACTTGACCTTCTCGTATTTCAAAGACCCACCTAACCACCACATGTAGACCAGGATGAACCAGATATACGCGAAGATTGTTGAGGGCCAATATAATATTATATCCTGATCTCGAGACTATGTTTCTGAAGCGAAGGTCGGGATTCTAGGGCAAGCATTACATGAAAACTAGATTGCATAGGGATGGGATGAAATATTCTTGAGCACGAGAGGCGATCATTGGTCTTAACATATTGAGGCATCTTCTAAATCGTCTCAGTAAGTCTATCGCATATTCTGCTTCTTATTTCCTTCATTTAGGTGGTACCCGCAGCTCTTAAGAAAAAGGGAGAAGAGAAGAACGGAAAGGGGGCGGATGTTACTATTTTCGACATTTGAAATTTCATTGAGATTCTACTCCTACTAACATATTACTTTATATATCCTCCCTATCGAGTACAATACAATATATCATAGTTGTACTTTGATATGTGGGAGAAGACCACCGACCCTTCGCGGATTTCCCCTTTTCAACAGGCATAGATAGTCGAACGGCAGTTTCATATTCCCGAAGCAAAACTTATATAGTATAATAGAGTCACATGTCTCCATCGGCGGCGTGATGTTATTAGTCTTAAGACAATACGTGTTGATTGGTTGTCTTCTGGACGACTCATAGTTCCTGCTCTAACGAAGCCACTGCGTGGGGTTGATCTAGGGTTTTGATTCTTAAAGACCTCACATCTTTAGGACCTTGGAAAGGAGAAGCAAAGGCATACTTAATAGCAGGGGCACAGTAGCTAGCGACTGATTAATAGCTGGAGGTCTTGGGTTGAGCCTTTCAAAGTCATATATGTCAAATTCTTGGTATTTCTAGAAAAAATTGTGGAAAGAAGTGACCCTACTTAGGCCTTGTGAGATCGAAATGACAAGTGTGCGAGTGAGTAAATGGGCGGAACAAAACCCAGGCGATGGACACCATGGTCACACGTCGGTTGCTAAACACAGTGGCTCTCGTGCACATACGCTTGTCTCACCTATAAACCTAGGATGATTTTTGTCCACCTATACTATTTGTGTAAGCAAGGCAAGCACCCCTTTATACCAGACAACACTTTACGGGAACGAGGTCGAGAAAACAGCAATTCAAGAGGGATACATGACTGTAGGATCCATAATCCATCCTTCGTATTATGAGCTCGGCCGATGAAGAGCCTCGCCCGGATTCTACACATATTTTTACACTGAGGGTTTCGTCTATGAGGTTGGCTTTTATAATCCACCTATTCCTTCGTGCTAGGCGTATGTGCTACCGACGGCAATTCTCGTGATATTTCGTTTGGCCAGGGTACCCTATCTCCCTCGAAAGGAAGCCAAAGAAAATTTAGTGACTTAAGCTTCTCGTCTCTTGCTATCATGCCTGCCACGCTTGTCTTATAGTTTCTGGTACTCCAGCTTGCCCTCCAACTTCTTCGCCTCCGCTAACTTCCGCACCGCCTTGTTGAAATCGTCCTGGTTGACGGCGTCCCGGTAGGCTTTGATGGCGAAAAGACCACTATTCACCAAAAATTAGCATCTAGTTCGAGATCTCTTAGATAGGATGTAAAAACTTACGCCTCAGTAACCACGTTCCGTAAATCTGCTCCGTTCAAGCCATCGCTCATCTTGACCACGCTCTCGAAGTCGATTTCGCCCTCAGTAACCACGCTCTGGGCGTGGATCTTAAGAATCTCGAGACGTCCGACCTCGTTCGGCAGCGGGATCTCGATCTTTCTGTCCAGACGACCAGCTCGCAAAAGCGCGGGGTCTAAAGTATCGGGCCGGTTCGTGGCCATGATGATCTTGGTCTTGCCTAAATAATCGAAACCGTCGAGCTGGTTGAGTAGCTCCATCAGCGTTCGCTGGATCTCTCGGTCTGCGCTAGTACCCTCTGAGAACCTTCGTCCGCCGATGGCGTCGATCTCGTCCATGAAGATGATGCATGGCTCGTGTTCCTTGGCATACCCAAACATCTCTCTTATCAATCGCGCGGACTCGCCAATGTACTTGTCAACGATGGCCGATGAGACGACTGTAGTAACGAAACGCGTTAGTTAAAGCGCTAGGTTTAACAAATAGCTAGGAAAAGAGATCATATGCATACCTTTCAAAAAATTTGTCTCTAAACTGCTGGCCACAGCTCTGGCCAGTAGAGTCTTTCCCGTACCCGGAGGTCCGTATAATAGCACGCCCTTGGGTGGTTTGATGCCGACTCTTAAGAAGAGTTCTGGGTTCTTGAGCGGTAGTTCGATGACTTCGCGCAACTCGCGGATCTGGTCGTTCAGACCACCGATACCTGCGAAACTAACTTGGCCTGGGTCTTCTAGCGACATGTTGTAGACGAGCGGGTCGACTTCCCGCGGAAGCATTCGCATAATGGTGAGTGTCGTCATATCCAGCGCTACTCGGGTTCCCTGCTTCAACTTCGCCTTGTCCACCTTGGATCTGCAGCCGACGACATAGCGGGGCCCCGAAGAGGCTTTGACGATGACTGTAAACCAGACTAGATTAGCATATGATCTCCTTAGAAGTCACCAGTAAGTAGGCGACGACGTACATCTTTCTTCGTCCAATTGTTTTAAGACTTCGCCGATAATTTGTCCAACGCTTTGTAGAGCCTTGATGTTCTCTTCGGTCTGATTGAATTCCTTCTCTAGTCCCTTGATATCTAAGCGTAGTGCCTTTAACTTGGATTCCCACTCCCGCGACTCGATGAGTTTAGCACGGAGGGCTTGGAGCGCGTGCTCCCGTTCTTGATCCGAGGCCATGTTTGTGTTGATGGGAGTTGGGGGAGTATTAAGTGACGGAGGCGGAATAGGGATGTTGACTGGATTCGTGTGGAAGATTGGGTATCGACTAAATTGTAAATCGAATGTGGTGTATGAATAATCGAAGTGGGTTTTGCGAAAGTCGATAGAAAGGTTCGAGGTTACGAAGGAGCTTCAAATGAGGCGGTTGCTACTGCTGTTAGTAGCTGATGAAGCTTCCGTTTGCCTGGCCGGACATGTTAAGCTTGGACCCACTTTACGAGCCGAATTTCTACCGTCTGTCAGGGTACTTAGGTACTTTGGATAGTGTGCGCTTCAATATGTACCTAGGTACCTGCCTGGTAGAAACCTTGGAAGTCATCACCTACACAAATTGCTAGAACATCAATCACATGCAATTGCTAAGAAAAACGAAGATGAAGACGTCCATATAATATATATACACCACATATGTCACAAAGGGAATATCTGTATATACAGCTTGGAATATCCCTAGATACTTTGAAAGGTAAGAAATTGTGTATCTCGAATCCTACATACGTATGTAACTAAACAAACTAAGAATACCTTCGCATAGGCTATGGTGGAAGTGGACTGAAAATATGAAACTTCATTGTTTAATGACTAGGTATCCTTGAAGTAGGTAGGTATGAATCTCTCAACAAAGCGTCGAAAGAATACATCAACATCAACGCTATGCTTTGGGGTATATGTTGTAAATCGTGATGCAATAGCGTCCTCCTAATGTGGTCGCTAACCGCCGATATGTTTACTGCCCGCTCGCCAACACTATGAAGTTCCATCTACAGAACTTCTGACATCCGCGGATGAAACATCATAAGCGTGAATTCGTACAATATCTCGAACTTTGCTTATCCTTGACTCTCCCATTCGGCGGTGATCTCTTCTCTGACTTTCTGACACCATTTCCAGATTGCTGCTTCGAAGTCTGCCCATACTTGGGGTTCGGTATTGTAGACCACGCCCATCACGTCTACTTTCAACATCACTTCGAACCGCAGCTCGGCTGCTTTAATCCAGTATCGAAGATTATCTGCGCATCTGTACGGCTTCTGCGTGTCCGTGTGGAATGTCCCGATGGCACCAAAGCGTCGTCGAGACTTCCTAACCGCGGCATTATGAAGCTTGACGAGCCTCAGACCGTTTTGCATACTCTCTAAGAACGGTGTTGGCAGCTGTGATGATTTATCAATTGGCGTCCATGGTGGCAATGGCTCAGCTTCGTTGTCAATCGAGGTCAAGAAAGCAATCTCGCGCTCAATTTCCCTTCCGGACCAGTCTCCTTTCCACCATGTCCAGCTTGCTCTCTCGTCGCGCTCAGCTTGCTCAATCTCGTCATCTTTTCTAAGCATGGTACGTATGCTTTCAATCCAAGCTGTCATTGTCTTGTGCTCATCACCACGGGGACCACCGGCAAAACTCCTAGTTGCCATATGTTTCAATACCTCCATGACGGAAAGCAGCTCCGAGCGTATCTCCTTTTCGGATTTGATAGAATCCAAACGGTCTGGATGCTCGTGTGCTGTGTAGTATATCTTCGCAGCGCGTATAGCTAGTGTCATCACATCGAGCAACTGCACGCCTTGAACCTCGTACCACGTTTGTGTTCTGGGTGGCTGGACCGCAGCCGCTCTGGCAGATAACGGTGTAGCCTCTACCAATACTTTCGAAGCAGAATCTAACGCCTTTGTCAAGTCTGCCCTCAGCTCTTCAATGGTGGGAGGTTTGGGGATGTGCTTTTCACGATGGTTATATGTGCTCGTGGTCGGTGGCAAAACGTCCGGATCTGGTTCCTCGAACTCATCCGAGTAAAACCCATCGTGGTCTTCGGTGGGAGATTCAACCATGAGTCCACCAATAAAGTTTTGGGCCGCAAGATCCGGGCTACTGCCCATCGAGGCGTATGGCGAGTCATCAGCCGGACTGAGTTTTGGACTTAACAAGGTGGGACTATTCAATTGTGACAAGTCTAAGGTTGCCCGTGGGTGACGCTTTCTTGCTAGCTGACCCCCTTTCCCGTCCAACAATCCAGTTCTAGCGAAATAGTACTGGAGGTGGGAAATGCTCCCCAAACTCAGAACGCTTTCTCGGTGCCTTGCACTGGATGCGAAATCTGTCCCTTGCGGCTTCGTATATCCACGTCGCTTCAGAGGTCTATCTAAGCTTTGCGTCGATAGGCGCGAAGATGCAACACTAGTGTCTGACCTTCGAGACTGATAGCTTGAGGAAGACATCCTGGAATATGCGTCGCCAGCTAGTGAATCTCGACATGAGCTATCGGCACTCGAAGTACGGGAAACGGACGAGGGTGTGGAGAGACATCGAGCCGAGTTTGTCCTATTAGGACCGCGGGCTATACTAGGTGTGGTCTCAGGCGAAGGAGAATCACGGCGGAATGTTGGCCGCTCTTCTTGATTGGCTGACATGACTTGATGTTCTGAAAGCTAGAGGTCTCACTAGTTCTAGGCAAGGAGAATGCGATATAATTTTGGTATATGTTCGTTGTTGGTCGAGTCGCAGAGCGACTCTCGGATCGGTAACGGAAGGGCGGAGAGCGGAGAGCACGAGTGCAAAAAAGTAAAGTGTGTCTCAGGGCTGTTCAACAGCTTCGAATTACATATATGTAGGTGGCAAACAACCAAACAACAGCGTTCTCTAAATCGCTGTCGTGTCAACGAGCGCTATGAAGATGTACGTAAATAATGTGAAACAAGTCGGGGATCGAATTATGTGTCGGAGGGACGAACAGTCACACACAGGTGGTCGTTTCCTCTATTTCGATTATGAGATCGAATGGGGGGAATATCTTACCACTTCGTGCCTAGCGTAATACGTCTATGAGCATGAGTGGGACCTTGGAGAAGGGACAAGGGGGCTATAGAAATTAATCCTTTGGTCGTTCAACGCACCTTCTATCGCGTCAAATCGGTCCTCGGCTTAGTGGAGACGCGTAAAACGAAACAGCTGAGGAATCAGCCAATGGTCGTGCTCCCAGTTGCCTGTTGCCCCTTTTTTCTCTTCTTGGTATCGGCAGACGCTCTGTCAAGTCATGGATTCTTTGGCTTCGGGATACCCAGGTATTTATATTTTATGTTTTGCATATTCAACCCTAGTAGTGAAAGGAACCGAAGGAAACTGTCAAGGGAAAAGGGAATCAATGATTGTTCGGCATCAGCGGTTTAGTTATACGGACGTAGGAATATGTAGGAATTGCTCGAGGTATTGAAACTAATTAAAGGCGCTGGCTGGGCAACAAGATTTATTGACATTCCTTTTTGCACAAGTCTTTAATAATACTTATGGATTCGTCTTTTCTGTTCATCATGATATGCTATTATTTCCTCGTCATCGAAATGGTTGGATACTGTGAATTCAGTCGTATACCTCTGTATCAAATACCTGACTGTACTATGTCGAATAGACCAAGGTGGTAATCCATTGCCCAATCACCCCGCAAATAGCACAGACAGTTGTCAGTCCTGCAAGTGATAGCAAGTCTTTTATTACTACAGTAAACCTTGGCCATAACGATGCTCAAAAAACACCACTCTTATATCGTTATGTGAAGTTATCGTTATGTAGGGGTATCCACCCGAAGTGTG